GTAACTTCGAAATCGGTGAAATATCGTTGTTCGTCTTCACTCAGAGGTCTGGGCGACGTAATGGTGTATGTGACCATTTGACGTCGCAGAGAACTAGTAATCTCCAAGATCGAAAGACATGAGAGCTGTAGGTCAGGCCTGGATTTGGTTAAACGATCGAAAGCTTGGTGGATAGTTTGAAATCCAACAACGACCTTGCTCGCTGGGTCCGGTGGCAGCATCGTGGGTGAGCTAGGCTGCAAGTGACTGAAGTCTAGATGCTCAAGGTGGCAAGAAGGTTGGTATGGCTTATTAATATAGAAGTACGGCCCTTAATGATAAACCAAGGTGGATGGTAAGGGCCTTGCTTTTGATGGCAGTGTTAACCAGTTTATATACCCTAATAACCTACGCTTTTCCCGTTCGAGACGCTCCCTTGGTCGGTCGTGTTGTCTGTACTTAGTCTAATCATCCCAAACACTACGGGCCTAACTATATAGAGGTTTCATCATAGAAAGATCTACTGTTCAGACCGGGTAGCTCATCAGGATCGGCATAGAGCTTTAATGGACAGGACTTCTCAGGTTGTGGCCTGCATCTGGCGCCTGCATATGTCCCGTTATAAGCCTAGCTATCCCTGAACATATGTGGGCACCATAAATCCGTTATTCTGTACCAAAGAGGAGAGCATAGGGAACGCCGGACAGTCATCCGTATGGCCTCTTGACTACCATCCCTACCGTAATGGTATGTCTTGGTAGCTAGCTTTATATCTGATTTTCCTAGCGCATCGACGTTAGGGACCCCTCTTATTCCTCACACGGCTCTTGAGCCTAGAGGAGCTCGTAAGTGTTAAGTATATTTCTCATCTCGTAATCGCCCTCTTTTCTTTGGTAAAATGTCTGCGGATAATTGTTAGTACCATCGGCATACCGGTTAGACAAGATCACTCTATTCTATTCTTCTATTTAGAAGTTAAGATTATCATCCATCTCTAGGACCAATTCTATCAATAGGAGATACAATCCAGCTTCATTTCCCAACTCTGCACCAACCTCCCACGCGATACGGCAAGGGATTGCTAACAGATAGCATTGCTACTCTACAGCACAGCAGGTATGGAGGAGCGCAGTTCAAGGAAAATAGCCAGGGAAGAAAATAAGTGGTCACTCTAATACCCCTTATCGACATACCTCTTGCAAGGATATGAAAAGAAGCCTAGCATATATACTGTCGTGAGACTTTGACCCTTCTTCAGCTCCCCCTTTTCCTTTCCTTTCCTTTCCTTCTGTGCCTACTGCCCGCTCGCTATGTCAAGATGCCGGACACATTCTCACGGTTCCAATGTCTCCCCATTGAGCTTCAGTGGGTAATCTGGGGATAGGGCATCTCAGATTCTATCATCATTGTTGATATTAAGCGTGGCAAAATTACGAAATTTACTCGCCGACCCCATTTACTTATGCATATTTGCCGTATGAGCCGCACCATATTCCTCAAACACTTGACAGATATTTTCCCGCCCAGCTCGTCGATGAGCATCGCCGTCAATTTTGCTTTCTGAACTAGAGTCGTCGCTTTCACTTTCTAGATGTGTTAATTCGTACCAATTCCAATCCCAGTATTCAAAAAACGGAAGGTTTTCGAGATAGAGCCTTCCTTCTTGTTTGTTTTGCAGATTCGTAGTACTTTGGGGTAAGGGAACGTTTTCTGGATTTTCTTGGCTGCTCATGCCACGTCTTGACTCGTACAGAGTACTGATCAAGGAGCTATCAAAATGTTACGAACCTATATCCGGGGACTCGGATATAGTCGGAATGGGGGTCTTGATTTTAAGGTAACAGTGTCTGTAGAAGTCAAAATAAGATTACGAGGTGCTTGTTCGTAAGAGAGGCATGGAGTCCTCTCACTACAGTTCAGTGCGGTCGAAGGTGTAGTTTTAGATTGATAGCTAGAGAACTGTAATGAATGACTAGATACACAAGGAAATCCTATTCTTTTATATTCCTTGGACCTCTCATACAAATGAAATGAGTCGCTTGACTCGCTTCCAAGAGGGAGCGACTTGGTCGATTTTGCGAATCGCTCAAGTCCCTTGCCAAGGCACGCGACTGATGCGACTCACGTTTTCTTACGCAGAACCGACTCGAAGGGAACAGTCCACCTCACAGTTTGTTACTGTGTTTCCCACTGTCCCTTCTTGGTTCGTAACATCGCCTTCGACGCGCTTAACGTTCCGCGGAGGCCACCTTTCGAAGTCACCATAAACGATTCCAATAGTTCTCAGAGACCTGCATGCCTAGTTCTCGATGAGATTTTTGACACCATCCTTGTCGTCGACTGTGATAGTTGCGTTTGACGAGTCTCGGGTAGGGTCACGGATAATCGATGAACACTTCCTAAGCACAATTTCCGATCCTCCTTTGACGTACAAACGAGCTGCCCCGTTCTCCATCTGGACCACAATACCCATGCATTTTCGGCCAGAATCAAATCCAACGAGCTGCAGTGTCTTGATACTTGACCTCTCTTCGCCTACTGGTCCCATTCCAAGATAAGCCTTGGCATATTCGAGCAATGCCGTTTCCGTCTTCCATCCAATAAAAGTCTTGACACCATCCATCTCACCCTCGAAGGCTGTGGAATTCAGAGAAATACATTTGAGAAGGATCTCCTGCGTGCTCTTAGCCAACGCGCTGGCAAAGTCCTTTTCCGACGGTTCCTCAGACATGTTGTTACCCTCAGACTTTCCACTCCCGAATCGATGAGTTGTGCCAATGGTACCCGCAACAACTGTCATCTTGTTTTGAGTCAAAGTACCAGTCTTGTCAGAGCAGATAGTTGTCGCGTTTCCCATCACTTCACAGGCCTTCAAATGACGCACCAAATTGTTGTCTTTGACCATTCGGTTGGTGGCAAAGGCAAGCGCTAGATTGACAGCCAAGGGAAGACCCTCGGGCACCGCAACAACGATGATGGTAACCACAACGATGAAAATCGCGATGAAGTCCTGGCCTTTCTGGGATCGTGTCTGCTGCCAATTCGAGGGGAGTCGGACTAGGAACATGACGAAAAGCACAACGAAAAGAAGTAGACCGGCGGCGCCTCCAAGTTTGCCGATATATTCACCAATAACGTTGAGCTTAGACTGCAGAGGCCTTATCTCAGGGTCTTCGTTGAGACATCATCGTCTTGCCATAGCTTGAGTAAATCCCCGTAGAAGTAGCGAGAAAGGTCCCTACTCCTTCCATAACTCGGCCTCCCGACTGGATGAACCGATCAAGTTTTCTCGTATCATCGCCATTTTCGATAGCGGCGAACACATCGTCTGCTGGTCGCTTGCGGATAATGTCTGATTCGCCCGTTGCTTGCGACTCGTCACATTTCACCTTGAAACCCTGAATAAGAACGCCATCGACGGGAATTAGATCGCCAGGCTCTAGGTGAATAACGTCGCCCGCTAGGATATCGTACATGGATATTTCGACAGTCTTGCCGGAACGAATTGCCTTCATGAGTCGGTCCTGCTTTTTCCTCTTGAGCTTGGCAAACTGCCTTTCCTTCTGCCAATCGTTCAAAGATCCAACGAGCACGACAATCACAATAGCCACAATGATAGCCACTCCCTCCATCCATTCAACAGATGGCTCCCCGTTCTCATGCTCGCCACCAAACCTTTGGTATAAACCCACAGCAAGCGAGACTATAGCGGCGACAGAAAGCAGAATTAGGACCTTGTCGTTGTACGTAATCCACACCAACTGCAGAAAACTCTTGCCTTTCTTCTCCGGAATTCTGTCTGTTGTCCCCGTAAATACCTTTTCTATCGAAGAATTGGTCGTCGGATCCATGCCCAAGTTTGTGGCCGGTGTTTGAACGAGTAACGAGCGTCTGCGGGCTTTCTAGACCCGAGCTGCCTAGTTTAGAAGGTAAATGGCTCGTCGCCGTTTCGAATGATACCTCTCCATCCAAGTACTTCTCGTCTGCGCTCAAACCTGTGTTGCGGTTGGTGCGAAGCCCTTTTTCCATTCCAACCAGTCCTCCCAACTGATAAAACGCCGATAGACTCTTCGGGTTGAACACCACTACCACGACCATTGTATACCTGCCTAGGCCTTCCCCAGGTAAAGCAAAACCGGCCGATTTTCGCTGATAGTACTGAGGACACTACCTATCACAAGATGGCGAAGGAGACAACTTGCCCATCAACACCCGGAACAGGAGCTCAGCATCCACCCAGTCCATACCGCCTTTCCAGTCCTTCTCTACCTTTGCAGCATGGAGTGACGCTGCGGGAGTGCACGGCGCAACATGATCCCGCACGCGAAGATGATGGTGGAAACGGAGCTCAGCCGTCTTTCGCTAAGCTGAAGCCAGGCCGGAAGAGGAATGTGGCCCATCACGGGGTTCGTCGTTCGGCCAGGATTTCTAGGGCTAATCCTAACGACGAAGATGGGGATGTGGAGCAGGACAACAACCGACGCAATAGAGGCCGTACATTTCATACCAATACGGAGGACGCGCTCATGCAGCGTTTCTTCCCAACCACGACAAGCCCAAGTGTGACGAACCTATACCCTGGTGGGGTATAGTCGTTACTGGATTGGCTAATCCGGGGTGTCTTGATTTGAAGGTAACAATATCAGTAGTAGGTCAAGTGCTTAAGTAAGTTCTGTTCGTCAGAGAGGCTTGGAGTCCTCTCACTATTGTAAGAGAATAGTCTTAGATTGATAACTGAAGAGCTATGAAAAGAGTGACTAGATACATGGGAAAATGCTGTGATTATATAGTTGTTCCTCCTTTCCTTCTTCCTAGTATCTGAGGTTATCGTGATCTGGTGGATCTGTGTGTTTGGTTATGGATCTGGTTACCTTACATAAGCAGATCCAGCAGATTTCCAGATTTCCGGTGATTATCCGTGACTGGTCGCTACATCTCCACTTCTTGGGTCTCCAAATGCCTGCCTTGTCAGCTGGTTTGTAACACCAAGAATCAGCGTGTGGCCGAAAAGATTCGGGCAATCGCAGTATACCCAGCCCGCCATCTTCATATGGACACAGCGACGAAGAGATTATAGAAGTGCATCCTGCGAAATTCGAGGAATGGCCGCTTTAGGATGTAGTGTTTAAGCGTGTAACCGTGAACGGCCTTGCAACTGGAAAGTTGCAGTTTGCATGGGACTCCTGCGCAAATCACAGCCGCGGAATACGTGCGACTGGAAGCCCACTATACAAGCCACCAGCTAAGAACGGTCTCCCTGTGGGGCGAAGAGGGCGGCGCGGGCGAACTGAAATATCAGCCACTTATTTACGTGTAAGCGCACCAATCCTATATCAAATCGCAAGGTTTCTTCAATGGTGTGACAAGGGCTAGTGATCTAGAGCTTGGAATAGGTAATTCGATGATTCAATCTAATAATCGACTACGGTCCCGACGAGCGCCTTGCTTCTCTCTCTCCTTTACAGGAGGGAATTGGACCTGGTTATTATGCTTCTCCGAGCTGCCTGGGGCAGCTTCTCGTAGTTCCTCCCTTGCCGCTGTAAGCGAGGGTTTTCTCGTGTTGCTAGCTGTACATATGGGGATGGCCTCATTGGCCACCTCATTCACCCAACAACAAAGTAACACCAGTCTGTAATTCAATATTGCTGCCTGACTGTATTCACCAGCGTCGTCTGACTCCTGCACTGGCTCCAGTATCCGTGTGACAAATGGCTATTCCGATGGCCTGAGTGAAATAGTCTATCATAAATTCAATTTAATCTATGTTTGACCATCGACATCTTATTGACAGACAGCCTGTCACGAACTGCTTTGGGGATAACTAATTGAGCTATAAAGTAAAAGCTTCCCACTGATTAACTCGCCACTGTTCCTTGGTTCTATATTGTACGTGTTTCCCCCGCATCTGGACCGTAACAGAGCCCTATTGACTTAGAGATTAGAATCTAATACGTTCTCTAGGCTCACTGCTTAGACTCGCCTCTACAACCCTTCGTCACACCAACAAGTAATGAAATCCGCTTCCTTCTTTTCAGCCTAAATTTTTGATTTAAAACGAGGCTTATCGCCTACTCGGGTGCTTATACTGTGCCAGTTTCTTTCCTTATCTACTTTGATTATCTGCTTTGCCCTGAGCCACCTGATTGGGGAGACGTGCAGCTCTCGTGACCAGCCAGCTCAGCCTCACTGTACAACCATCGTAGTGAGGGGAATCATTGATCCTCTCGAGACGAGACGAGACAAGGAACAGCACTTCCACAATTACTTTACCGCGACCTACTTCCCCCCCTACTGTACTTTATAATATATACACAGCGCACTCAAGACTCAAACCTTCCTTTTATTTTCAATAACCAGATTATCGTTTACTACTCAGGTATACTTTGTTCAGAGGGGCGCGTAACCATATCATGGGAGATCCTCTCAGCGTAACCGCGAGCGTGATCGCTGTAGTAGATGCGTCAATCAAGGTCGCTTCGCTATGCTCAAAATACTATAAAGACGTCAAGAATGCCCAGAAAGATATCGATCGGCTCAAATCAGAAATTACCAACCTAAAAGACGTATCCAAAAGCGTACAGAAATTGCTTGATGGTCCCAATGGCGCGAAACTTGAGGCTTCCCAGTCATTGCACAGCGCGCTTAAGGAGATCCTATCACAGCTGGAAACATTGGAAACGAAACTGAGGCCTACTAAACATCGTAAAGCTATGAGGAAATTTGGATGGCGCGCTTTGAAATGGCCGTTCGAGGGCGAGGATGTTGACAAGGCGGTCCAAGACCTTAGGCGCCACGCGCAGACCGTTTCTCTTGCCTTGCAAGTCGACCAGACGTAACGTTCCCCAGGCTATTTTGACACTTTACCATTGTCGAAAGGAACTAACAAGGCATTCAGGACTGCTATACTAGACCATGACCAGAAAACAGTTCTAAATCGGCTTCCCATTGCCGACGGTGCAGCATTCGATTCCCACGCCGAAGAATACAATCCGACCTGTTACGAAGGCACTCGAGTCGACCTTCTACGTGAAATATCGGAGTGGGCGGGGGGCCCCAAGGCCAAAGCGGTCTTCTGGCTGAATGGGATGGCGGGCACGGGCAAGTCTACCATCTCACGCACGGTGGCGCAGAATTTCTCCAAGAAGAACCAGCTCGGTGCCAGCTTCTTCTTCAAGAAGGGCGAGGGTGACCGAGGAGGGGCGACAAAGCTTTTTACTACGATTGCCGCCCAGCTCATTCAACGAGAGCCAGCCCTTGCGCCACCCATTCAACGTGCCATCAATGACGACCCTGGCATCTTCGGAAAGAGGATGCGGGACCAGTTTGAGAAGCTAGTCTGGGATCCTTGGTCTCAGATTACCAGAGAGACTCCCAACACATCTACGCTCCTTATTGTTGTCGACGCTCTGGACGAGTGCGAGCGTGAAGAAGACATTCGAACAATCATCAGCCTCTTTTCTCGCCCTCAACCCTCGCAGTCATCACAACTACGAATCTTGGTAACTAGTAGGCCCGAATTGCCGATTCGTCTGGGCTTTAATGATGCTAAGGGTACATTCCAAGACTTGATTCTCCACGAGATACCTGAGCAGGTCGTTGGGAAGGACATCTCGGTATTCCTTACGCACGAGCTTGAAAATATTCGCAACGATTACAACAAATCCGTATCAAACAGTCTGCAACTCTCGCCGATTTGGCCTGGGCAGCCGAATATCCAGGTGCTTGTGAAGATGGCCGTCCCCCTCTTCATCTTTGCTGCCACAGTATGCCGCTTTATCAAGGATACCGCCTGGCGCGACCCAGATGGACAGTTGAAGAAAGTGCTAGCTTACGAGACGAATACAAACAACTCCGAGCTGGATAAGCTAGATGCCACCTACCGTCCAATTCTCGAACAGGTCCTTGCTGGACAGAATGAACATGCGAGAAAGAGCTTAATCGGAGAATTTTGTCGAGTTGTCGGCGCCATTGTTCTTCTTGCCCAACCTTTATCTACACTGTCTCTCGAAAAACTCCTCGCCACCAGCCCCGGCATTGTAGACAGGAGACTGAGCTCATTGCACTCAGTCCTCAACATCTCATCGAATTTGGATATACCGATTAGACTTTTCCATAAGTCATTCCGCGATTATTTGTTGGATGTAGAAAGGCGAGATAGCAATCCGTTCTGGGTAAACGAGAAAGAAACCAACAAGCAATTGGCGATCAACTGTATACGCATTATGAACGACGCCCTCCGGACAAACATTTGTGACATACAATGGCCGGGAACACCTCGTTCCTCTACTGACTCCCGAATAATAAGCGATAAGTTACGGCCCGAAATCCGATATGCATGTCAATATTGGGTTTACCACATAAAACAAGCAGGAGGGAATGGTAACGACGATAATCAGATCTACAGCTTCCTCCAGCAGCACTTCCTGCACTGGCTAGAGGCATTAAGCCTCATGGGGAGAGTCTCGGAAAGTCTGCAAATGATCAGGACATTGCAATCACTCCCCGAGGTACGTTATCGCAGAGCCAAGTATTACAACATCGCTAACTTGATCTGGATGGAGGTTTCTACACAACTACGCAACTTCCTTACTGATGCCACACGCTTTATTCTTACCAACATATCCATAATCCAGCATGCGCCTCTCCAAACGTACTGCTCGGTGCTTGCCTTTGCCCCTGAGAAAAGTATTGTACGTACCACATTTAAGAATAACATTCCCAAGTGGGTATGTCTTCAGCCAAGAGTAGAGGCACACTGGAACGCATGCTTGCAAATACTTGAGGGTCATAGCAGCTTGGTAAGGTCGGTGGCATTCTCAGCCGACTCGAAGCTGGTAGCATCGGGATCGTATGACAAGACGGTACGGCTCTGGTCGACAGATACGGGCGAATTACAGCAGACACTCAAGGGTCATAGCAGCCGGGTAAGCTCGGTGGCATTCTCAGCCGACTCGAAGCTGGTAGCATCGGGATCGTATAATAAGACGGTATGGCTCTGGTCGACAGATACGGGCAAATTACAGCAAACACTCAAGGGTCATAGCAACTGGGTCACCTCAGTGATATTCTCAGCCGACTCGAAGCTGGTAGCATCGGGATCGGGCGACAAGACGGTACGGCTCTGGTCGACAGATACGGGCAAATTACAGCAGACACTCGAGGGTCATAGCAGCTGGGTAAGCTCGGTGGCGTTCTCAGCCGACTCGAAGCTGGTAGCATCGGGATCGGGCGACAAGACGGTACGGCTCTGGTCGACAGATACAGGAGATTGTCTGCTGGCTCATGATCTCGGCACCACTTTCTATAACCTATCCTTTGATCCTAACGGCAAAACCCTCCATACTAACACTGGTGCCATCTCCCTTAATGATCTACATTCGCTAACTAGGATTGTCACCATTAATAATACTGACCATTCCTTAATATCCCCTCGTCAAATACCCAAGCCAGGCCGAAATTACCTTTCCGGCTATGGCATCAGTACAACTAATGAATGGATAACATTGGATGGAAATAACTTGTTCTGGTTGCCAGCAGATTCTCGGCCCCGGAAGTCAGCTGTATCTGGCTCTACGATAGTAATTGGCTGTCCTTCAGGAAAGGTTATTATTATGTGCTTTTTAGCAAAGGGGCCCCTAGAAATTTCACTGAATGCTTCAGTTTAATTAATCCATTAGTCATTTCGGGATTGGTTGGTTAATGATATCAATTAAGTCTTATTAGGTTGAGTAAGGTAAAGAGGGGTCTCCTCTAACGTAATAGAAGCTTTTGTCAACTTACCATGTGTGCAAAGATAGACAACATGAGTCTAGAATTCGTTCAAATATGCATGCAAATCAAAGAAACCCGGCGTGCTGGCTGGGTCCGACGAGGTATCAAGGATGGGGAGTCGGTCGCTGACCACACTTTTGGGGTTTTGCTACTGATCCTACAGGCTACCAAACAGCTGCCTGCGGAAACCAGACTCAAGGCGTTGGAAATGGCCATCGCGCATGACCTTCCTGAGGCCATCATAGGTGACTACACCTCGGCAGATCATGTCAGCAAAGAGCGCAAAAGGACCGAAGAAAGCCTTGCCATGGATTTCCTACAATGCCTGGCTCCTTCCCCTACTACCGAAACTCTCCGAGCTCGGCTGGCGGAGTATAATGAACATCAGACTCCAATCTCGAGACTCGTTCATCAGGCCGACAAGCTTGAGCCCTTGGTCCAAGCTCTACGATACAGCAAGATGTTCCCGGAGGCTCAAGACCTAGAAGATTTCAAAGCTCATATCAAATACATCGAAGATCCAACTTTAGCTAATATTGGCAAGGCAAGCCTGGAACGATAGGATCTTTCTCTGCCAAACGTCCAATATATTTTTCTGATCGGTGAGTATACCGTAGTCCGTGGCATAGATAAGCCAAGCGCTAATTAAAGTTAAGATGGTCCTGGGGTAGGCAAAGGTACCCAATGCAAACGCCTGGCTCAGGAGTACACAGCCTGCTTTTCTCTTGGAGAGCTTCTACGACAGGAAGCAAATAATGATCAGAGCCAATTTCAAACCTTCATCAATCGAAGCTTTAAGGAAAGTGTAGCTATCCCTAGGGAGCTGGCTATGTAGATCCTACGCGATCGCATTTTAGCAGAAGCCAATGCAGGTAAATCCCTTGTCGTGCTTGATGGCTTCCCACGGAACTTGCAGCAACTTAAGGCATTCATGACAGAGGTATGTATCTGGCACGTATCCGATCCTTAGCTGAACATGGCAGATATCATTCGATTTCAGCACCCTCTACCTTAGCTGTCCAGTTGACATCTTGAACGAACGTCTTGAAGCCAGGGCACGATCATCTAATCGACCGGATGATCTAGATGCCAGGATTCGGATTTCGAGGGCGCAAAAGTTCGAGGCGAGCAATCCGGCTCTTTTAGCAGAGCTCAGACACCATCCATTTCGAGAGGTATGTTCACCATCTCAATCATCAACAGTAACTGACAGCTATAGGTTGACGGGAGCCGTACGGAGGGTGATGTTGCAAATAACGTTCAGGTTTGCCTACAGGAGTTACGCTCTGAAATGGAGACGAAGACTTAAGCGCAATCATGGCTCTGGTTGTCATGTTCATGATGAGGAAACACGCCCTGAAAACTATCTCGCGTTCGCTCGAATTCTGCTATCTACCTAGGATAGGAAATCGTATTCATTCAACAACTAATTACAGTCTTTCAAAGCGACCAAGTTCGTGATGCTTCCGTCAACACTGCTATCGTTGACCTCTTGGTATGAGTATAAGGCCTGGACTACCGGATCTGATAAGGTTAGCTGAGAATCCTACGGATAGCGACCAGCTTACAGTTGTGCCCTGAGATCCGCGACCCAAGATTAGCCCGGCGGACGACTATCCACAAGGCATTCGCGTAAGCTATGTTCTGCTTGATGAGACTTTGTGCGCTTTGGGGATGGCGCCACTGGTAGCGCTGCGGCATGTCAGTTGTTTCATATGACCGTTCAATTGTTATGTGCCTCTTGTGGGTGCCTTGGCCAGTACATAAGCCTCCATATATCTCGCTCCACGGTTGCCATCAACACAAGAAATGCAAAGTAAGCTTCTTCGCGGTATTGTACGTAGGCCTCCTTCCCATCGTGCTGATAACACTCTTCCGATGCGTGTTGTGATCTTTCCAGCAATATCTTTTCTTTTTCTGTTATATACGATTCGAGAAGAGCATCAAGCTGTTCGGAAACGACAGCGGGTGCCGGCCGAGTCCCGTAGTACGGGTTCCGAGGATCTGTACATTTGGCACTAGCATCGGATTGCCAACCCTTCATGAGAAGTTGGTTAGCTGTCCAGAGTCTGAACGCCTCTGGCAGAAGACCGTGAGTGGATCTGATCTGCGAAGCGACGCTCACAAGAGCATTACTACATTCTATTAGGCATGCCGGCAAACAATCGTCAATATATTTATCAATATACCCCAGAAGGGATTCCGGGAGTAAGGGAAGCGTCTCAAGGGATGCCCATCCCGTAGACGTCTTTTCCTAGACCAAAACATCCTCAGGCCGAGAAGGAATAAAAGCTCGAGCTCTCACGGACAGGTCCGGCCCACCAACAAAATGATAGAGTCGCAGATCGCATAGTTTTGCGACTCTCTCTAGATGGGCCCATGTTGATTTAGATCGATAGCCGGCGTTTATCCCTACTTTTATCAGCACGAATGAACAAGGCCTGATCGAAAGACTTTACATTTCGAGAATATCGGCATGTCTTGAAGGCGAATTCTCAGACATAGTTGGTAGGGTCGCTGTAGATTTCTGAGATCGTTTTGTGATGCCGCTAAACACCAGAGCTTGGTGGTGTAGTAGTGGTCGTAGTTCTGCAATGCTAACAGGGACAGGATGGCTGGTGGTGGGATGCATAGGTATCAAAACGTCTCGAGTTATGCATTCGTCTCTGGGGATTTTGGGAGCTGGCAGACACGCACGTCTGGTGTCGTCGTCAATCGGTTTTATTACTACGCTCGTTGTTGTTACGAACCTATATCCGGGGCTCGGATATAGTCGGAATGGGGGTCTTGATTTTAAGGTAACAGTGTCTGTAGAAGTCAAAATAAGATTACGAGGTGCTTGTTCGTAAGAGAGGCATGGAGTCCTCTCACTACAGTTCAGTGCGGTCGAAGGTGTAGTTTTAGATTGATAGCTAGAGAACTTGTAATGAATGACTAGATACATGGAAATGTTGTAGTTTATATAGATATCCTTCCTTCCTTCTATTGGGTGTATGAGGTTATCGTGATCTGGTTGATCTGTGTGTTTGGTTATGGATCTGGCTGATCTGGTGGATCTGTTTGTCTTACATAAGCAGATCCAACAATCTTTCTAGAGTACCCGACAATTGTCCGCTATTGGTCATAATGTCACCACTTTCTGGGTGTTCAAGGTTGTTGTTGTCGTTGGTTTGTGACAGATAAGGTGCTTGCTGAACAGGCGTCCATTACTTCGGAGATTTCCGAGGCCTCCGGCGTCTCTTTTGACTGGTCGGCTCTGGATCCAAGCCTGGATCCCAATCAGGTTTTGGCCGGTCTGGATTTTGGCGATGGAAGTCATCAAGCATCCACTTCACATTCTGGAGATGTTCAATAGGTTCCCACGTGTTTTCTGCTGGTTCGTATCCTTCCCACTTAATGAAGTATTTTATCTGACCGTCTTGAATGGCAGAGTCCACAATCTGTTCCACCTCATATATGTCGGGGTCGTCCTCAATCTGGGTTTCTTCATCGATTATGGCGTTTTCTGGTGCTGGTTCTAGCATTGAAATATGGAAGATGGTAGTCCGCAGCTTCATTGAATTGGGTAATGATAGTTCATAGTTGGTTTTGGATAAAACTTTCTCAATTTTGAATGGACCCAATTTCTTGTATTCCAATTTGTCACTGGGTCTCTTAGTTTTGATTTGCGATGCTTTTAATGTTGAATGTTGTTTATCGCGTAGAAGGTAGACTTTGTCTCCTTTTTTGAGGACTGGTCCTTCAATTCTCTTCTTATTATAATAGTGTGCCATTCTGTTTTGAAGGAATTGAAGTTCTCGTTGTAGTCGCTGTTGCAGTGACTTAATTTTGGTGGCCATGGTTTCTGCTCTAGGGACTGAGCTAACAGCCATAGGTGCTTGCTCATCTGGAATGTCTGGACGTTCTGTGACTGGTTCCTGTCCATACAATGCTTCGTGTGGTGACATCTTCATGTTCTCGGTTACTGAGGTATTGTATGCGGACTGAGTCAGTGGTAATAGTTCTACCCAATCATCCTGTTGGAAATTGACGTATCCTCGTAAGTATTGTTCGATAAACTGATTGAGGCGTTCAGTCTGTCCATCCGTTTGAGGGTGTGCTACAGTTGACAGTTTTTGCTTGGTACCGAGTCGTTTTATCAGACTTATCCAGAATTTAGATATAAAGAGCTTGTCTCTGTCTGAGATGATCCTTTCGGGTAATCCATGTCTGCTGAACACTTCGCGTAGGAAGGCAAATGCTAGCTGTTCTGCGGTGGCTGTGGATAAGAATGGGATGAAATAGGCGTACTTCGTAAGTCTGTCTACTATTACCCATATGCTGTCATATTTTACCTTGGTGACCGGATTGATAGACAGTAGTAAAGAGGTGATGAAATCCCAAGCTATGGTGTTCCATGCTTTATCTGGTATTTTAATTGGTTGTAGGAACCTATAGGGCTTATGTCTGGCTCCTTTGATTTTCTGATAGATGTTGTTTACGACCATTTCTATTTGCGAGGCTTCAAGCTATTTTTCTTTGTGCTGGTACTATTACATTTACTATTAAACATCATTTTGGATCATTCTACACTTAAATATCCTACCAAACTTCAAATTCTACTTTCCAAACTGGTTCATTTATAACAGCTTTAGATTTGTCTTACAAAGAAGCCTAAACGACTCGACCCCATGCCGGCGAATGGTCTTCGACACCATTACAATTTGCATCATTACGAAAAGTTTTGGCTCCAATATACATCCGACGTATACGATGATGGTCCAGAGAAACAGGTATGCCCAGCATGCCGATGGCATTCTAAAATATTCCAATAGAAGTTCTTTGATCATGGCTATTTCCGTCTTATGTTCGACCTGGCTCTACCGGCACATCCTATTATACAATAGATTATTAAAAGCAGAAGTCCGGCGATCATATGGGTTAGGTTTTGTGAGTGTTTGGAAATGTGGGAGGAGAGGGCTGAAGAATTACAGAATAAGGCTAAACTTAATAAAAAAGATATTGAAGAATTCTACCAACAGGTGTTAGAGGCGATTGCTGCATGTTTGGAGGGGAAGCTTGACTGCTCTTATTGAAAATATAATTTGTTTATTGCTTTAGTTTTGTTTATCTATCAGCTATAAATATCTTCTTCTATTGTTAAAAAGGCTTGGAATCCTCTTATTATATAAGAAAAATAATCTTAAATTAATAACTAAAGAACTATAGAAAGAGTGACTAAATACATAGGAAATGTCTTATAGTTATGTAATTATTCTTCTTTCCTTTCCCTATACTAGATATGTTAGATATGTTTTTTATATTAGATATGTTAGATATATTCTTCATATTGGATGTGTTATTGATCGACATATCCAAGTATCCAAGGTTATACTGTTATTGGTTTATATTAGGCCCTATTCATCCTTCAGAAGCGGGCGCAGGATTTCCTGGTTTGTGACACATGTTTGGAAATGGAATATTAACGATTAAATACTTATATTATTATCAATCAAGCAATAAGGATATGGTTAAATTGTTAAGCAAAGATTTTTAAGATTGTAGTTGTTATAAGGTTTTTAAAAATTTAATAATTATAGCTTGGTTAATTTCCTTTAAGTATATCTTGTAGTCCAATCCATTTGCTGCATAATATCTCAAGTGTTACGTTCCAAGCTGCGGGGTAACACATATAATATAGAATTGGGGAACAGTGACCAATTGGTCACTGGGAAGCTTTTGCTTTATGGCTCAACTGGTTGTCCCCAAACTAGTTCGTGACATACTTAAATAAGTTTTATTCATCAGAAAAGCCTAGAATCCTCTCATTATACTCAAAAGAATAGTCTTAGATTAATAACTAAAAAACTATAAAAAAAATAACTAAATACATAAGAAATGTCTGTAATTATATAGTTGTTCTTCCTTCCTTTCCCTAAAATCTATTATCATTATAATCTAGTTGATTTAACTAATCTAATTAATCTAGTACCAGATCAACCAGATCATACAAATCACATAGATCACCTTAGGTCATATAAACATGGAGAACCCCAATTCTCCATAGTTCCTCCATGATTGGGTTAGGGTGTCTCCACTCATGATTCCTTCAATTGTTGCCTGATACCGTTGGTTCGTGACACAGTATTACAATTTTAAAATGAGTGTACTGATAAAGAAACCAGTTTTCTTTTTAATATGGCGGAAAGTTACTCCGTGTTTAGCAAGTATAATGAGGCAGAAGAGATGTACCGACAAACATTGGAACTGAAGGAGCAGGTGCTGGGAAGAGAGCATCCCTCCATATTAAAAAGTAAAGCAAATCTAGATGTTTGCTTAAAAGCTAAGATGGATAAGGGGTTATCATAGGTTTCATCTAGGGACTGTACGGATTTATATAAGGGAGCTTATCAACCAATATAAGATGTATTGGTAAGGTATTAAATTTATAGATCTTAATATATACTGGTTGCGCTTAGCTGTCCTACTCTTGAAACTTAATAACATGCCTGATGGTTGCATAGTGAAGAACACGTGATCTATTTAGTCATCATACTCTCCTTTAAGTATGATTACCTCGCTACATACTTTCATAGATAAGACTTTCTTCCTCAGATAACTTAATACACATCGTCTTACCCCTACTATTTTATTCTTTTCCTTATCTTTACTTTGCTTCACTTACGTATGTACCTACCAACAATGCCTTTCTTTTCTTCGCTCTTTTTACATGTGGCTTGTACTCCTTGGTCAGATCGGGACTCATCCATCTCTCTAGAACCTACATATCTTCTCTGTCCAGATGGTCCTTCCATCTTATATAATACTCCATCTTTCTATTCTATCTATAGGTATTAAAAATCTATACACTTAAATAAAATCCTTTAAAACCCTTTTTAAACCTTGAAAAAAAGCTTATTGTCCAAGATGTTTTTTATGGCATTTATTAGTAACTATATGTGACGAACCTATACCTCGGGGAGGTATAGTCGTTGCTGAATTGACTAATCCGGGGTGTCTTGATTTGAAGGTAACAGTATCAATAGTAGGTCAAGTAGTTGAGTACGATCTGTTCGTCAGAGGCTTGGAGTCCTCTCACTATACTCGAAAGAATAGTCTTAGATTGATAACTGAAGAGCTACAGAAAGAGTGACTAGATACATAGGAAATGTCCGTGGTTATATAGTTGTTCCTCCTTCCTCTCCTCAGAGTCTGTCGCTATCGTGATCTGGTTGATCTGGTCCAGATCACCCAGATCACCTCAAGTCACGTGGACAAGTAGAATCGCAATCCTCCGTAGTTCCTCCGTGATTGGCCTGAGGTGCCTCCACTTCTGGTTCCTCAATTGTTGCCCGATGCTGTTGGTTTGTAACAATAACTCGCATTTAAATTCAACAGCTGCCTTTACATCAATTATGCTAACATGCATAGCCAGCCTCAGCACCGTTTCGCCTAGACATTGCTCGCTACTATTGGAGTATGACGGAATCGTCAAGGACCCTGAAGACAGGGGGCTTAGCCGGCAGCTAACGAGGCCGGTATTTCATGTCTGAGCAGCAGTGGAACTGCCGTGGTTCCATTATAATGGCTTTATTGCGTGGCTCCGCCTGTCTTCTCTAAATGGAATCTCTGTTAAATGTCTTTGTTAGATGTCTCTGTTGAATGTACATAAAGAGAATTTATGGGCAGATAGTGGCCGTATTTTATTGCTGGTTTGTAAACTCCTCTGCGTAAACTCCTCTGCCTGCTTGAATCTTTCGTTCACAGGAACTATTTTTGCTTCCGGCTCTTTAAGATTGGAGATGGGACATTCGGATACACTTCTATTTCGATGTTGGATTATTACTAATACGTCACTAGATAAGGAAATCAACTAAACACCATTGTCGTCCAAGCTGGAGCACTGCCAGAGTCAGCGTCTTCGTGCAATAGATAGGCGACAATTATTCCTTGATAATATTATATGTCATAAGAATACTGATAAAGACAACAAGATGCCACATTAGTAGAGTATGTACACTACCAATCTAAAGAATCAGAAGAAAAATGATGTACAAAAGCATAAGATTGCTTCTCGTACTATCCATCTAGCGGCTGGCGAAACACCTTCGACCCCGTACCACCCTTCGTGCTGCAGACCAAGAAGGTACGTGTCACTTTATCAGCTCCCTATTGCCAGTCATGCAACTGCATTAAAGGCATTAAGGACTAATGTTCTTGGTGGATCTCGTAAAGGCTGTGACTTACCACCTTTGGTCTAATGATGGATGGACCGCGGCGTCTCAGGAAGATGGTACATAAAATAGACTAGCTATTGTGTTGCAAAAGTGTCATTCTTCTCAGTACCGCTCTTCCTACTTCGTGCATGAGCTTCGCCTCTTGCTTTTACGACGTTGTCATGCCATTCCATGACTCACTCACCTTATCACCGTTGCTTCATCCTGTAAAATAATTCTGCCTTACCTTCTTCTAAACATGGCATAGGTTGTGAGACATGATACTAATAGGGGCTGAAGCATCGCCACGTCATCGCCTTGCTTCTATCCGCCCTTTTTCTATGTAGGAAAACCGAAAAGAAACAAGAAAGCCTAGGCTATTTCACTATGGCATTACATCCAACTCGCTATAGCTACGTTACTGGCTGCAACCTGAATAGCCACCTATGGATTAGGACATGACTGTTAGACCAAAGAACCAGCAATCGGACCGACTATGATCAATGAAGCGTACGATGAGTCCAAGTGAATATCGTAGCCGAGTTACAACAAAGCGGTCGGGGAAGGGAGAGGCCTCCTAACGTCCTCATATTAGCAACACCAAAGTCTTAAGTATAATCTAGTGATGACTTGAGTTGCGAGTCTCTTGAGCATGTACTACGTATTGTAGATGAAGAATTATAGTCAACTATTACTTACGACACAGTGCCGTACAATACAAATGAAAAAGTTGCCATTATAATTTCAATATTATACATAAGGTGAAGACATCATAGAAATGGGAAGCAAAACATGGAGTAACGAGCATGAAAGGAGTCACCGAAAAGGCTGAAAACGCAGCCAATCAGCAGCGAGGGACAACCTTGTACTGCCCGTGTGGGTAGACTAACCTAGACAGACATCACAGCATCTTCACGATTTTAATAGAATCCTTGCAGGTTAATTGGTCATCAGAAACCCCAGTCAATTGGTCTAAACGAAAACACTATAACTGTGCCACAGGAGCACATAAAAGCACACCCTCTAAGCAGGCTAGAGCAGGGACTGCACAGGCATACATCTTAAAGAGGAAATTTTCCAATGAGTAGATTCGTGTGGGATAATATGCTGTTATTCAACTTCTTGTGGTACACAATTCCCGTCCTCGTGGTGGTCATGCCAACTTGATCTACACTACATTACACGAATAGTACTACAGATTCACCACATTCAATTATATCCTTGGGGTTCTGGGGTTAATTTAAACTCCTGGAATACATAATGATCTTAGTTTAAGTGCTTTTAAAAGACTTATGGTTGGCATTACTAGGAATGGCGCTGAATTATCGTTTCGGTTACGGTAGTTGATGTCGACGTCGGTTTTGTAGTAGTAGTTACACTATGAAAAATAAATTAATAGGTAGGGTGAGTATCCCTTTTTTTGTTCAATTATTATATCACTGCTTGATCTCTTGCTTCTGAAACATCCCTAGACGGCGGTGTTGCTATGTCAGTAACTACAAATTTAACAAATATAACGAACAATACTAGCATACCTTCAACCTCGGGCATCCATGGATCCCTTAACTTGCAGAAGAACTCCCCCTTAGGTTCAACTTGGCCACGAGCATGATCTTCCATCGTGCCATAGAAAACATAAATATTATCCCCCGCATTAGCCTATATTATCATCAGCCCTCTTTGTCCACAAGAGACATACCTCCCCTCCTCCCCAAAATACACCAACCCAATTTCAGAAAAAAAGAACAAGAAAAATCATCAACTCACCCCATACTCTAACAACGGCCCTCCACAAGTACCACAAAACTCACGATGCAACACCACACCGCTCCCATTATCCGCTTCATGTACTTTGATACGATCCCTTCCTTGCGTGATCTCAAAAGCGGATTTCGGAATCTTGGTCGTGATGCCGTGCTCCCCGCCGGTGAATTTCTTGCAGTTCCCGCAGTGGCAGATACTCGTGCGCGCTTGAGTTTCCGGGTCTTCGAGGGTGATGGTGTATTTGATGGAGCCGCAGTAGCAGCTACCTGGTAAGGGTGTCATGGTTTTGTGTTGGGGTTTGTTGGTGGTGGTTGAGAATGCGCAGGTTTGTAGTGGGGCTGCTGGTTTGGGGGAATAGGGGTAAAAATAAGAATTCGAACAGAGATTGAATTGGGAGTCGTGGAGTAAGCTAAGAGGATGCCTATTAAGTTTATTTAGTGTAGTGTGATGAATAGCAAGTCGTCGATAGAGTATGTAGTGGATTTTAGTACTAGACATAACAGATCTGCCGACCTCAACCGATGATCACACCACTAAAGATCTGCTAGAGTTCCATGGGGTCTTCTTTTCTTTGAATTCAAAGAACAATTCGATTAGAGCGACGACATATATGCGCGTTCTTGTTTATATCTACAATTGGAAACTTTGCTCCTCAATGACGTCGAATCGTCGTCATGAGTCCTCGGCGTCAGTCCCACTAAACCGGACCCGGTTCGGCTCGGTCCGTTACATAGCCTCCGTAGAATTAAGATCAGAAGGTAGTCCGCGTTAGCGCCTCACGACCATTTATTCGTGGGTATCCAAATAGTCTTGCAGTTCCGGTTATTGCGAATGAATTGTATTGATATTCTAATTGTTTTGGGTATCATCCTATCTCCAAGTTCCGTAAACCCTGTCATCACTCATTCCTGGGAAACACAGGCTCGCCATTCTTCAAGCAATCCTGACACGTTCTTCCAACAAATTTGTCTTTCGATCCCTTATCCTTCTTTTTTCCACACTCCCTGCAATGAAAATGACAGTAATAGAAACTGCAACCTTTGGCAGGACATTCTACTTTCCATCGACAATCCTGGGTGAGATGTCGTTCTCCACAGGGGCATTTCTTGACAGAACACTTTCTCCCTGAATGGCCTTTCGCGCCACACATGCAGCAGCGATAAGAGCAGAGCATGGCGTTCTTGTGTTTGAAATGACCGGGTGGTTGGGGATGTCCGCATCTTCGATTGCAGCGGACGTAACATTCACCCGAGGTGTGACCTTGGGGAAAAGGTCGACATTTGCATCGGTTGGTGGTCTTGATTGTGCAATTACTTGCCTTGTGGGACGCTGCGCCACAATAGCCACAGCTCGATGGACAATTCTTCGTGAGGTGGGTGCGCTGTGCACAATTCGCACATGGGTGCTTGATTTCTCCCTGAACCTTGCTTTTCGGAGGTTCTTTAACAACCCACTTCGGCTTATCCGAAAACATTGCTCGAATATGTGTTCGACTTAGACTCCTCCTTCGCGACAGCTTGTCCAATTCAGACCATGGACGACGGGGGAAGTAAATGAGCCACCTCTCCCGAGTGTCCATCTCATCGAGTTCTCCTTCAATAGCCGCAATACTCCATTGACCACGTGTGGGCGCACTACATGACCTTTTTTGTTTACCTCGGCGTACACTTCCGAGGGTGGGGGGTTCTGTCTTCGCGGTCTTTCTTGTGGCTCTTGCGGTGTATGTCGAATTGAATCCTTTTGCATGTCTAATTAAGTCAATCAGTCGGAGACCGATAAAGCAGGGGTCGATGGAGTATTGAACGTCGGAGGAACTATTGATTGGCAGGTGGTGACCGCCGGAACAGACCAAATGGCTATAGTGTGTTTTGGCGGCTTGATCCAACTTCCTCAGGCGTGAGACTTTGGCCTTATCCCAACCCGGGCCATACTTGTCTGGTTTTGAGCAAAACGAGCGATGATGTTTTATCCATATTCGCATGGAAGGGTTAGATTCTAGGTAGTGCCTTTCAATAAGCCCTATGAGGACATCTTGAATACTGACGTCGTGCTCTCTAATCCTATGAACCATAATAAAAACACCACCATGTGCAGTAAATAGTTCGTCGAGAGTCCAGTTATAATCAGTTTTCAATAGTCGATATAGAATCTGCATATAAAGACCAAAGTCCCGGTCCCGACTTTTAATTTTAGAGAAAGGGGAGCCTCGTTCGCATGGCTTGTTGAAGACTTCTGCCTTTAAACGTTTCGGAAACATATATTCTTCCATCAACAGGTTGATTAAAATGTCGCGGGCGCCGAGAGGTCTGTGTTCGTAGCGACTCCAGTTTAAATCCATGCCATTCAGGGGGTAATGTGAAGCCATGATGAAATATTCCAGTCGGATACCGAAATCCGGTGGATCTTGATCGGCTCGGTTCCAAGTACGGACAGATCAGTTCAACCCATGTCAAGAAGCTTCTCTGTTAAAATCATGAAGACCTTCATAAGGTATATGAAATTGTATGCTTGGCCAGGTGTGCGAAATATTTGGCCTTTATATTATTTTTGGGTGTTAAAATTGAAGTTGTTATTATTTATTGTGAGTTGCTTTGATGATTGTAGGAATGTTAAATATTAGGCAGGGCACCGTGCGATGGATAAATTGTATCGCTATCCGAGGCCTGCGACTTACGTCATAAAGTTTCCTTATGTAATTGCATTAAGTAATCATTTATTTATGTATAGTTCATAAACTTACATAATTACTTACATATTACTAATCGGTTCTTCCCCAATGGCGTACTTGACGATGCGGGTCTAGCGGACGTAGCGGGGAAATTAGCTGGGGAAATAAAACCCAAAAATCTTAGAAAAAACAAGCTCGTCAACTAAAATCAACTAAATCCGCTAATTTCGGCCCGTCAAACAACAAGACAGGCCCCCATTTCACGATACTCCGTGATCTAAAGAGGAAATTCGTCCTGGCCAAGACACACTCGGTCAAACCCCTAGGGTTATGTCCCCTCGCCCATGCTACGTCGAATGCTTCTCGTTGTTCCTTAGGCCGAGACTGGAATGACGCTAATCACTTTTCACCAGGCATCGTCCATACGGAGATGTCCCCTTCTGTGATTGTCAGCATACAAGGGACCAAGATAAAATATGCCCGCTCCAAGACCGTGGTATTGCGTCAAGGGTCCAGAACATTATGTGCAGGCATATGATTCTGGTCTTGGGAACCAGAGCCTCCCGGCTCCCAGGTTCCTTACCCGCACTCCACTTTACTCTTAACTCCACGGTTGACCGGCTTCCTTGGATCTAGTTCCTAGGAACGCCTGCTCGCGATCATGCAGAGATACCATGACATGGCGATAGAACTCCGGAGACAGGATTCTCCTCCTATAATCTAGGGTGTATATGATAATCTGAGTATTTACTAGGATGTTCGTCAGATCTAGTTCGGAATGAGTTTCCGTCAGCTACTATACCTGTCAGCCTCGTTATGTGATTTTATATAAATCTCGCCCTTGGACGCCGATCTCTTCGAAATGGAGTTCTCCAGCTTTCCCTGCACGTGGATCTGGCGTGGCATCCTAGTAGCACCATGGGTCGTTTTACTTCCTTTGTAGCGCTACTCGCGGTCAGCTTAAGTAAGCCGCCTTCTTTTTGGTTGCTGACCGTGGCCTTACTAACGCGTTGCAGATATCCAGCAATGTCTTGGCCAGAGTGGTACTCCAACCGTATATAAAGACAGCAAGACCGGGATTACGTTCGACACGTGGGTAGTGCCTGATAAGGCAGATGGCGGTAACGGTGTATCAGCTACAGGGGGTCTCACCTTTGGTGTTGCACTCCCTGAGAATGCCTTGACCGTCGATGCCACCGAGTTTATAGGCTATCTCGTCAGCATATCCAACTTTGATACGATATCTTCGTAATAGAAACTAATCATCATAATAGAGATGCGGCTCCAATGGCACAACTACCAAGGCATGGTGCGGCCTTTCCTTTGGAGGACCAATGACGAATAGCTTACTTCTTATGGCCTGGCCTTACGAGAACGAGATTTTAACATCTTTCCGGTTCGCTAGTGGCTACACAAGCCCGGACGTATACACTGGCAATGCCAAATTGACCCAGATATCATCTACCATCGATAAAGATCATTTTACTCTAATATTCAGATGTCAAAATTGCCTAACGTGGGACCAAGACGGGGCATCTGGCTCCGCATCAACTAGCGCCGAATCCTTGGTGCTAGGCTGGGCCAGTTCACTACAAGCTCCGTCAAACCCATCCTGTCCAGGTAATATTGGTATTAACTTCCACAACAATGGTCAAAGCATCTGGGGCGCTACTTTGGATAGCAATGCTGCGAACCCATCCTATTCGAAATGGGCCGCTCAAGCTACCGCGACAGTTACTGGGAGTTGTGGAGGTGCAACGCCTACGACTACCACAACAAGTTCTACGACAATCCCGACCGCTACCGGTATCCCAGTACCTACTGCCACTTATGACTACATTGTGGTTGGCGCCGGTGCTGGTGGAATCCCTCTAGCAGATAAGCTTAGTGAAGCTGGAAAGAGTGTGCTACTTATCGAAAAGGGACCTCCGTCCTCGGGACGATGGGGTGGTTCCCTTAGGCCAGATTGGTTGGATGGAACTAACCTAACTCGATTCGACGTACCTGGCTTGTGTAATGAGATATGGGTTAACTCAGCAGGAATCGCTTGCACAGACACAGATCAGATGGCAGGCTGCGTACTCGGTGGAGGTACCGCCGTCAACGCTGGTTTATGGTGGAAGGTTCGTCATATTTCACGAATTGCCTTATAAGAATATACTAACAATAACATCTAGCCATATGCTCTAGACTGGGATTACAACTTTCCTAAAGGATGGAGATCATCAGACATGGCTTCTGCAACTAAGAAGGTCTTCTCCCGTATCCCTGGCACTGACCACCCTTCAATGGATGGCAAGCGATATTATCAACAAGGCTTCGAGGTCCTTGCTGGTGGTTTGAAGTCTGGTGGGTGGACTGAAGTTACCGCAAATGACGTACCTGATCAGAAGAATCACACATTCTCTCATTCGCCTTTCATGTTTTCTGGTGGTGAACGAGGAGGCCCTATGGCCACTTACCTCGTTTCTGCTAAAAAGCGCAAGAACTTCAACTTATGGATGAACACAGCAGTGAAACGAGTTATCCGAACCGGAGGTCACGTTACTGGTATTGAAGTTGAACCTTTCCTGAACGGCGGTTACAAGGGCGTCGTAAATGTCACATCAGTTACTGGTCGCGTCATCCTCTCTGCCGGAACATTTGGCTCTGCCAAGATCCTATTAAGAAGTAAGTCGAACGTCAAGATCATTTGTTTGCCTTATTACTTACTTGAATAGGCGGAATTGGACCTGCAGATCAATTGACTGTAGTCCAGTCGTCGACTGATGGCCCGACGATGATCTCCAACAACTCATGGATCGACCTACCTGTCGGTTACAACTTGGAAGACCATACAAATGTCCGTTACCCCTATGTTGCGAGGGAATCACAGTAATACTTACATAATTCGCAGACCGACACCGTCATCACGCATCCAGACGTAGTGTTCTACGACTTCTACGAGGCTTGGGATACTCCCAATGTTACTGACAAGGACCAGTATCTTGGTGGGTTATGTATGATATCTGTTAGAGAAATGTTATAAGCTAACTCGTATTAAAGGCTCACGATCCGGTATCCTTGCTCAAGCAGCACCGAATATTGGTCCGATGTAAGCTGATATCTAAATATTATGCCTTAGTCATGTCTAACGTTGTATAGGTTCTGGGATGAAATCAAGGGTGATGATGGTGTCGTCCGACAACTTCAATGGACTGCCAGAGTTGAAGGAAGTGCCGGTACACCTAACGGGTGTAAGTTATCCTTAATTTTAGAGACGCCCGCATGCTAATGAAAGTAGACGCTATGACCATGAGTCAATACTTGGGACGAGGTGCCAAATCGAGGGGTCGTATGACGATTACCAAAGCGTTGACAACTGTGGTTTCTACGCTTCCTTACTTGCAGGACAAGAGTGATGTTCAAGCTGTCATTCAAGGAATCAAGAACCTGCAAGCGGCCCTCGCCAATGTCAAGGGGCTTACTTGGACCTACCCACCCTCAAACACGACTGTCGAAGACTTTGTCAATAATGTGGGTCGCCTACCTCCCTACGCAGGATTGAATAGGGGTTAATGATTTTTAGATGCTCGTTTCGTACACTAACCGGCGCTCAAACCATTGGATCGGTCAGTTCCGCATATTAATCTAGATGCATGCAGTATCTGACAATATCTAGGAACGAACAAGCTCGGAACTGATGACGGCCGAACCAACAGTGGCTCCGCAGTTGTGGATCTTGACACCAAGGTTTACGGTACTGACAACTTATTTGTTGTCGATGCCGGAATTTTCCCTGGTCATATTACCACCAACCCATCTTCATACATTGTCATTGCGGCGGAACACGCATCCGAAAGAATCCTCGCCTTGTCGCCGCCCAGAGCGCAGCCGCGTTTTGCGCAATGCGGTGGGTCGCGCTGGACGGGTAGCTTCCAGTGCGCTGCACCATACACTTGCAAGTATCAGAACGAATTTTACTCGCAGGTAAGCATACCTTTCTAATACTTTTTAATGAATTCAACTAACTTGATGCATAGTGTGTTTAAATTTTGTATATAAATTTGAATTTCGTAATGCTTCAATCGCAAATAATGTTTCAATTAAAACCGATCACCATGTGCTATTCTGTTTGGGTAAGACAACCGTGACCAACCACATGTCTATAACAGGATGCAGCTTCTAGGAAACAAGATTCGCGCCTTTCGTACATGTTTAATGCTATCGAGAGAAGGCTCAAAGGCTACCAAACTTACTGGCACCTCCTAAAGATATGACTATCTTAGCACAGCAACCACGACGTGAGTTTTGACTGAGCGTAGGGAACCCCTAGATCAAATTCTTAATAACTGGCTTTTAAAATTCTACCTTTCACATAATTTCGTAGACAGTCTAGTTTCGCTACTCCTTCTATCATCATCGGCTAACTATCATTTGATATCTCATATTTGCTATATATCGCATGGAGTAATGGAGACATCCAGCGGGTTAGTCTATCGTGTTCCTCGGCGCGGAACTGAGAACCCTTTATATCGTTTCCAGCATCGTAAAGGTCGCTATTCGTTGACTACCGAAGCCCGACCTCGCCAGAACATCATGGGTCCCCCATCAGTCGAGTAAGTCAAACAAATATCTACCATACAAAATGGAGGTGTCAATCATGACATTCTTTAGGTACTAACCATCGGCAGCCTACTCAACGACAGGTTTTTCAAGTTCGTCGTCGGACGCCACGAAAAAAGGTACAACGTCCACGCAGACGTCTTTGCTAGCCTATCGGTACCCCTCAATACCCTAATCAACGGGCCATTCATCGAAGCCACGAACAAGACCACCATCTGGAGTGACGTAGACGAAGAAACATTCGACCGTCTCAGACAATTCGCCTATTGCGGGGACTACAACTGTGCTGAGCCCGAGCTAACACATAAATTTACGGAAATCAAACAAGAAGCCTCACCTCCCGAAATCGAAGGGTCCCACGATAATGTATACGTACCCAAACTCTGTCCGCCGCCCAGCAATGGATTTCTCTGGACACTACCCTATTCCATCCACGACATGAGCAAGGACCTAGAATCCTTTGAATCCACCGTCGTAAACCGGGTGCGCGAGTTCAACAACTTCCGTTGTAGCGTTGAATTCAACAGTCGACTCGCCATCATCGACGCCGTCGGAGAATGGTGCGAAGCCAACGGATTATGCCGTTTTGAGAAACTAGTCAAGCAGGACGAAATCGAAGATGGTCCATGTCCGAATTTCCGCGAGCGGTTTTTGTGTCATGTCGACTTACACATCGTCGCGGACAAATACTGCATTGAAGAACTCATACTCCTGACTACTTCCAAACTGGCTTGTCTTCTACGAATGATCACTATATTCCCGGATATGGTGACCGAGATTGCGTTACTCATTCGTTACGTGTTTAAGAGAACACCGGTTTATGATAAAATGCGGGAGTTGCTTATTTTTTTCAGCGCTGTTATTATTGAGGATGTCTGTGATGACCCCGAGTTTAATAATTTGCTTACGGACGTTCCCGAGTTCGCGACGGGAGTCTTACAGAAGGTTGCACAGCACCGTATCCTGAAGGGTTAGCGGGGTACGTTATAGCGAGGGAGATGGGAAGACCCTAAACGAAATCCCTAAAAATGATCAAATATTTGTATTATAGCGACATCGATTCTTGAAAGGAATGTCAGATATAGGATAGACGAAGGAATTACAACTGTGAGAGTCACAAATTCGAATGAGTATCAATTGACTCGCTTACTCCGAACGCCCCTCTATTATTCCCATGTGCGCTGATCGTCGGCCGTCTTGATTCTATGTCGTACAACCCGTCTATGTAATTCTAACTCCGTTTTTCCGGCCTGACCGACGCGAGAAAAGAGTAATTGGATTTAGACCGTTATACGGCGTTTCGTGGCATATTAACCTGTAACGCTGCCTTTTCAACAGCAGAGGACGACTCGGCCGCCTTCGTCTCCTCTTCGATCTCCACTTGTCTGTTCAAGTAACTCAAGTAAGTCTGCCAGCCTACCGCAACCACACCAGCGAACACACTGCGGTACTCCATAGGCACAAAAGTAAAACTGAACGCCGTAACAGCGGGCCACAGTTTCCAGGCATTGAGCCAACTAATAGGAACAGTACGACGCACACGATCCCAAGTCTCAGCTAGACTGTCTCCAGCTAGTAGTGCCTGCGCGCCGAAAAAGTAGCTGTTGAAAATAGGCGTGAAAGTCAACTGATTCACAACAATCTTGACGCCGATAGAGAGGGCGTGCGATTGATAATTAAAATGTTTCGACAACCAGACGAACCTACTACGAATCAGCCTTATCATTCGGAGTTTTACTTCAGACGAATAAAAAAAACTCACCACATAAAATTCGGCACAGCCGAAACGCCGCCAACGACTAAATTCCTCGCCGTACGCTCCGGCACATACTCCTTCCCGCCAATACTCTGCGCACTTATATCCGCAGCTAGATAAATCACAAGTGCGCTCACAATCTGCGTAGTCCAAGGTCTGTTTTTTTGCGCGCGCGCGTATGCTTGGCCTGCTTTCGTGAGAGGACCTAATCGCGACCAGAAACCCGGGGCGGCGGCCGGGGTGCCGCCTACCGGGACCGGGTCTACTGCGGGTGGTTTGGCTGCTTCATTGGGTTTAGGGACGGAGGTAGTGGTGGTGGTGGTGGATTGAGATTGGAAACGCCGTGGTATCCTGGAGATACGGAGATGTTCTATATGTCGCCGGAATACCGTGCGTAAGATCATAGAGCTAGGTGTTGAAGGAGGCATTTTTTCTTGTTTGTTCGGCGGATGAACAAGTGCCGAGTTGTTGTAGTTGTTTTATGAGTGTATTTAGAGATACTGATACTACCTTAAGTACTATCCGCGATCTAGATCTAGTATCCGAGTAACTCCGAGCACGAGAAAAGAAGGAAGTCTATCAGGATATCATAGTTAAATAGGAAAGCGATTAAGTTCAATGGTTCTAAGTGAAATTTCTAGTTTGGATGAGAAGGAAAAAGAAAGAGCGACAATATGGAAGATAGAAAGTCCTATGTATTAAAAGTTGGGTAAAAAAAAAAGAGATTAGAGATTAGATTTCGGATTCGCGCGCGACAATTTCGCATCTATCAATACCCCGCCGTGTAACCTGCACGCCAAAATTCAAACGACTTAGGTGGCATACCAGCTCGGTCGTAGCCCGGAATTCCGAGTTGTTAAAATTAGCTGCCGATTACTTAATTCATTTGATCCAGGCTTACTGTATTAAGTAATAATAGATGACGCTATATGAGCCCGTAATCACCCCCAATCGCTGTGTTCAGCTTGCTACACCTAAGCAAGCAAGGGACTTTATTATGAAGTTTCTTATAAATGCTTCTTAATGAGCCATAACCTACACCAATACCTAGGTAGGTAGTAAAATCTCCGCGACAATGCAAGTAAAATGTCGACCAAGAATTGTCGGATCAACTCAAAATATTAACTAGAAGTCCAATACCAAATTCTCTGGACTTTTCCTCGCCAATGTCAACTCCAAATATTCACTCAATCCGGTCCCAACTCTCCACTAACAAAACCAATTTGTCTCCTCGCCCCAGGTCCCGCGCCAGCGATATTCGCCGCTAAATTGCTCTGGCTATCGACCAATTTCCTCTGCTCCTGAATGCGAGTCCTGAGTCGCGAATCCGCTGCTTGATCTAAGCGTTCTAACTCTTCCCTTTCTCGTAGCTTGATGCTACTGAGCTGGTTGGCATTACCTACACGCTCGTTGCCTACATCGCGTTCCCATTGCAACATTCGTTTCTGTTTCTGCGCTTCGACTGCCAATTCCGCGTCTGCGATCGCTTGGGCGCGTGTCAGGCCCGCATGTGTTAGCGCTTCTTGGTGCTTCACTTCAGCAGCTTGTCGTGCGCGTTGTTGTCGCATGGCTGAATTGAATAAATCCTCCTCAACACGTGCTCGCTCTTGTATGGCCGATAGATCTGCGCTGTGTGCTCGTTTCTTGCGTGCATCCTCCAGTTCGGCTTGACTTGCCCAAATTTGCGCTTGGACTGCTGCGAGTTCCTTATTTCGCTGGATAGCCAAAATATGGTCTTCGTTCTCTTTTTGTATGCGAGCTAGTCGTGCTTTACGTTCTTGCTCTTCGAGTTGGATATTCGTAGGCATACCTATGGCATCATCAGGCTGTGGGCCACTGTTCGCGTAGTAAACGTCGATCCCACGGTTTGCTCGTAATAAGACCAGAAGTTGTGATTTGTGGTCGGATTCTGGTAGTACCCGCTGTACATACATGGTGGGCGAGTAAGTAAACTTTCCATCCGTGTAGTAATTGAATGGCTTATTGATGTATCTCCACATGTCGGCTCGCAACAAGACTTTTGTTGTAGTTAGGGGATCGGCGGATTCGAAAGCTAGAAGGAGGGTAGATTTGCCATCAGACTGTAAAGTGATATCAGATTCACTTTGGAGAAGGAAATTGATGGCTTTTTCCATCGTTTTCTCTCGGCGGGCCGTGAGCTCGCCGGAATCCGCCGCATGAAGGCATAGCTCGCCCAATGCGCTACGCCCACCATGTAGTGGACTGGGGAAGTCGGGGTCGTGCCTATATTCAACTAATACTTGCATCGCTTGCAGATTAAGCTCGCGTGCTGCATTGTGTAGCGAGCCGTCGTTCTTTGAGGCTCCTGCTGCTAATAGGTTTGACATCATGATAATAGCCAAATCTCCTCCTATCGCAGATGCCATTGATAGTGGTGATCTTCCCGTCGCGTCGGTTACATCAACGTCGGCATCTGCTATAAGCAAAGACTTAACGATATCTTGGCGACGAGATTGTATCGCTAACATTAAAGGAGTCATGCGGGATATAGATGTTTCGAAATTGATCTTGGCACCTCTTTCAATCAACAAGTCGATAACTGCACTGCTAATTTTCTTTTGGGGTTGCAACAACGCCCACATGAGCAGTGTCACTTGTTCCTCCTCTTCAATTTCCTCCATCACCTTGCAAGTCGTCATTTGGTCATGATAAAAACCGGCATCTAAAAGTGCCCCAAGGATTTTTGTCGACCGCGGAAACTGACTCAGTGCTCTGATTAAGGTGGGCTCTGAACCTGACTGGGTGAATGCAACATCCATCCGACTTTGCCCGTCGCCGTATTCAATGAAAATCGTAATAAGGTCGTATACGTCGTCTTCGGTCGCATTTGTATTGAAAATTCGAGGGAATGCAAACGTAAGTGCTTGTGAGTTAGGTCTTTCCCGAAGCAGTCTTTTGAGTAGGTCGGGATCTCCCTGGGCGGCTGCATTTTGGAAAGATTCTCCGTTATTGTAGTTGACATCCGCGCCATATTTGAGAAGCAGGTCAACGAAATCATTCGCTAATTTTGCGTGCGTTTCGACATAGAGCCCCAAAACTGCAGCGAAAGCTGCATCGACTCCATCGCCAGTCGCACCCTTTTCAAGCAAGCTCTTACCGATCTCGTAGCCGCAAGTAGATAACCACCAAGAAACATTATCGGGTACAAAAGCTTTTGCAAATACCGATGAAGCCTCTTCCGCGGTGATTTTTGACTCCAGAAGTTTAGCGAAAGCTGAGGGCGACAGAGTTTTAGTTGCATCGACTAAGGTCTGGCAGCTATTCGCTGTTGGCGATGCTCGATTGGTAACGAGAAGTTGAATGAGTCTTTCCTCTGGATTTTCTTCATTAACCGCACGGTTCAACATATTGTGGACGGCGCTCGGAACGGGCTTTCCTGCTTGGAATACCCAACTCATGATTTTAAATCTTGTGTCCCTGTTAGTATCCCAGCATGCCTCCATAGCACGTACTAGAGTATGTGAAGAGGGCCGTTTCTGACGCCCACCGACATCAACGATGCCTAGGAGCATCTCTAAATTGCCCAAGAAGGCGCTCCTTGCAGCCTTTTCGACTGCGTCGCCGTCGTTGTAATCAGGGCTTGCTCCATACACCAACAAAAGCTCCACGAGATTTTTCCCTTCGTCGCCATATCTTCCAGCTGATACAAGCTGCGCATCAACTACGTCTCCGGTGACACCCATTTGCAGAAGTAACTTGAAAATCTCAGCCCTCTTCTTCAAGTCTCCGACTTGTGTAGCTGCCTGGAAACCTCTTTGAAGTGTCTTCTGAGCGACTTTGGAATCGCCCGCTAGCAACATGGCTAAGACTTCAACAGCTCCTGACTTGCAAGCTTCCACAATAGCTTGGCCGTCTTTATGCTCCACACTACCCCCATTCTGCACTAAGATGGTGCCGAAATCCACGTCGCCATCCGTAGCAGCGGCTAAGAGTGCGTCAGATACCACATCACCCGACGCTCCAGCTTTTAATAAACTAATTGAAGACATGCTTCTTGACCTCTTGTTCTTCCCCCTCGATGCATGTGTGAAGCCAGTGTTAAGGACCTCGGTGGTGAAAGTCTTCTTGCGGAGTATTAATTCCACGATATCTTGTTTCTCTCTCTTAATGGCATCCATTAAGGCTAGCCCGTCCTGAGTATCGGCGCAAGCTAAAAGTGTGTTGATGAGAGGTATATCTTCGGGGTAGGTATTCACCGCAAATACAAGAGCCCTATTCACTTCATTTGGCGGTATACCACCTTCTAAGACTTTTTGCGCAAATGTCAGTCGGTCCACCAAGTCGCGAATACGAAGAGCGTGAGGCATAGCAAACGCCATCGACGTAGGGTTCGGCTTGGCGGTGAATAGAACATCTACTAATTGCATGTTCGCCGCAGCAACCGCTCGACATAGTGCTTCAGCATTCATGGCATTAATATCAGCGCCATTTGCTATCAGAACTTTCAAGGTCGAGAAATTCTGTTCGGCCGCAGGCACCTTCAAGACGGCCTGTACTTCTTGTATGAGAAGAGCGGTAACGGCATCTTTCGATTGTGTGCGACGTAATATCGAATTTAACTTCTCTGTTTTAACAGGAGATGGTGGCAGTTTCGCTACACTCTTCAAGCCCCGTTCTAAGCTTTCGTTGTTGGGTTGTCCTAGGCCAAGAATCATTTCAAGGATATCCGGATCTGAATGAAGCACGGCATGCTCTACCGCAATCCCTTGGTTTATATTCACATCTGCGTTCCCTTGCTGTAGAAGCGTCTTGAGTAATCGCTTGTCCGGAGGATTTGCTTGCACAGCTGCATCAACTGCTGTAGATATTTCCGTACCTCCTTGAGATGCACCTGCCGCTAAGAGTAAATTTATGATTTCGAGTCGTATCGCATTGTCGCCAATTTCCATCGCCCTAGGAATTGCTTTAGCTGTTACTTGAATTGTCGGTTTGCTCTTGAGTAATCTCTCTAACAGCCTGACATCCTTTTGTAAAACAGCCGCAGTAATAGTATGGCCTTCATTGAAGTTCACATCTGCATTGTAACGGAGAAATAGAGCAATGAGCTTTTCATCTCGATGCGGTGGCTTCTCGTCGATAGCATTTTCTAATGCACTATGAACCGTAGGACCTGTCAATCCGGCTCTGAGGAAGGATTCCGTAATTTGATATCGTTCTATCGGCGGAAGATTTCGCACGCTAGGGAATATTTGAGCAAGTGCAACGGGATTAGGTGGCTTTCCTGATAATATCAAATTCGCAATGGCGGTATCACCTCTCTTCACGGCGATCTGCAATGCCAAGGCGCCCTTATGTTCCGTAGAGGCAGTTTCGTGACGCTCGAATACCATGCTTCGGGGACCTTTCCTGATGTCTTTGCTTCCAACTATTTTCCCACCAGGGAATAAGGGAGTAAGAAGTATTTTTACTGCTTCCAGGTCACCGGCCTCTACCGCATCAATGAGTGCATCATCTAATGGTGTACCGGCTGCGCCTTTATGAAGTAGCAGATTGAGAAGGGTGTGCCGCTCCTCGAATCTCATTTTCTTTGGTAGAAGTTCTACACATTCGGATGCGTAATGGGAACTGAAGCTGGATCTTCCGTTCAACATAACCTCCACCAAGTCGATTTTGCCTTTTGACACAGCTTTACGAACCGCAATTGCATCTTGGTATTCAATTGACGCCCCGTAAGAGATTAGAAGATGTACCATTTCGAGGAAGTACGTCGCACAGGCGTGAATCAGGGCTTTCGCGGTTGAGTCTCCTCCGGCCCCGGCACATAAAAGAATCTCGGCCATCGCCATTTTCTCATTCGGATTGATATTTTGGTGGGTCATGAGTTGATCGAAAGCTTCATTTAAACCGGGTTGAGATGGTGGCTTGCTGCCAAGGACGATGGCGAGAGCGATATCTCTCCGACCGAGCGCCACCGCTGCTTTCAGCGCTGCTGCACTATCGTGGTTACCATCGGCTATTGACTGGCTTAGATGTGTCACCGTACCAAGGCAGCCAGCCCTAGCAGCTTCTACCATGGATTGGGAAATCCAAGCTGCATTCGGTCGTCCCTCAGAACCCAGAATAAGCGAAATTAAGTCCGGGTGACCACCTATAGCACACATTTGTCGAAATGCATCTTGTCCATCTGCGGTTTGAGCCACACTTGCACCATACCGTATGAGAAGTGCAGCAATTGCTACATTCCCGTTTCGTATCGCGGTTGGCAATGAGGTGTCTAAGCTTAATGCGTCGGCGTACGGTAGTAAAACTTCGACCATCTCATAATGTCCATTTTTCACGGCAATTTGAAGCACTTGACTGCGCTCAGCCAAGTCGAGACTTTTCCTCCTGCTGAGTAAACTGGTTCGGCTCTTTTGTGCTAAGTTGAGATTTCCACCAGCTAGATTCAACCTGAGTATTAGACATTCGGCAACTCCCGGTGATCCTTGGTTAGTAATATGGGCTACAAGAGCACTATATATTTCACGATATTCCCACGCCTTCTTTTTAGTCGTGAAGGCGCGAGTAAGACTTCCCTTGGACTGTTGATTTTGTGATTCATTGGTGCGCTGTCTTTTAAGAAGGTCCTCTGCGAGAAATTCATCGTTGTCTGTTCGGTATGATGGCGGTTGATCGGGTCTTGGCGAGGGTGATGGTGGTGGTTGACATGTTATACCCCATTCCTCACCAAGTGATTGGAGCCGTGACTGTCTGTTATCTTGAACAGGAAAATGCTCCATACTGTTGATAAGACCAGGCATATGACATCAAATAATCCAGTTGGGAGAAACGTTGACTAGGACTGGAGTACTAGATGCGAGACTCGCTCGAGATGGATTGGTGGAAACAACGATCTCTCAAAGATACCAATGTAGAATAGAAATATGAGCTTAGTCATAAATGTAATTGTCTCCAACCAAGCAGATCTTAAAGATATGTCATAGCCTCATTGTAACGATTCGACGCCAAGAGGGAAGGAGAAGGAAGAGAGAGCAGTCAATCAATAAGTGGTTCTCAACGATGCGACGTGCAACAAAAAAATTAATTAACAAAATGCGTCATCCTATACTCCAACAAATGCAATTAATTGATTATAGACGACCGAAACATAGGCGATGACACGAAAAGCACCTAAGGCTTAAGGGAGAAAAGATACGAGCAGAAAAAAGAAAAAGAAAATAAAAAGACAATGTTTCATGGATTCTCGAGATTTGAGACACCGAAGACAAGGTCTAGGAGAAGCTTAAGCCACATTCAGGGGTCTCTAGTGGATCTACGGCCGGGTTACACTAAAGTCTTTAAGCTGTGTGGCTGTGAAACGACACCCAATTCTATGGGAAGGTTTAGAGTTCTGTCTGCATCATTGGAAACTGCCCATCGCCTTGTAATTGGGTCCCTCCATCTCTCTTGCTGCTTTCGCTGCACTGCCTCCCGTCTTGGCAGCATAAGTAACGAAGGATATTGCGCAACCTAGCAGGAGCAGCAGGAGTAAGCGCATACGGGTGCGAAGCTTATTCTTGCTGTTTGCGAAGCTTTAAATGTTCATTCCCATTTTAAATTCGGTCTGTCGTGAACTGCCACGCATTCCCCTCTTCCCCTCCACCAAATCCCCATCTTGATTCGCTCATCCAGACGCAATCTTCGCCAACTTGTGGGTTGGATTCTAGGCAGTAGCATAACCTTCCACAATACATGTACCACAGCACCACACCTGCAGTTTGTTTTTTCATCACATTCAATATTCGACTTGTTCCCGGGCGCATCGGTCCTATTGATGTTCACACGAAAATGACTGCAAAAGCTGATTCGATCATGTCTCTCTTACAGGACCTCGCATGCAGACAGCTGGGTTAGACGTGAGGTGGCTGTGTGCAGCTCGGGAGGTGATCCTCGAGCTGATCATTCGTTACGTACCTACTTTACGCTACAATTGATGAGATCTAGACAAAACAATTACAGGGATATGTATCGTATATAAAGAATCCTGTACTTTGTTATACAAGACCCCAACGCCCCAACATATTATTGGTTGTAGTGGAATAGCATGCGCACTTATGTGAGTGTCTCACGCTCGATGACAATTCAACCCTATTACCAAGCAGGGGCTTAGCTCTAGGCAAGGTAACCCTGGAGAATATTACCTAGGCTGCTAGGTAGTCGATTAATACCGTAGGGTGACCATTTCGTGATGTATCTATCGAAGATGATTAAAGGTAGAGGTGAACTTGAAATTGGAGATCAGGATGGATTTTTTCGTCTATTCTATGAATTAATGTGCAAACAACACATTATGCCGGTCAAGTAGGTGAACTCCTTGTTCAAATCTGACTAGCACACCATCTCAAAGGTAAATACCTACCTAGGTACTTAATCAGAATTCTCAAGAGCTCTTACCCTTGACAGCGGCCAGCAACTCAGCTGGGGGATCTTGTCGATACCCCTTGGGGTTGTTTGATACCCACCGCCAGAGATCCTCGCATGCCTTCTCCATGGTAAGCTCTGTCTTCCACTGTAGCTCTTGATTCGCTCGCGTTGGGTTGGCTGTTAGATCTAGCACGTCACCCTGTCTTCTTGGAACCACCTCATAAGGTAAATCCCGGCCGACAACCTTGCTGAATGCATTGATTATCTCGAAAACAGTACTTCCTCTACCAGAGCCGAGGTTCCATGCCTTAACACCCGGCTTGTGTTCCCGTAGGTAGTTCAGAGCAACAAGATGGCCTCTCGCAAGATCGACGACGTGGATGTAATCACGAATGGCTGTTCCATCTCGAGAGGGGTAATCTATACAAATACTGAGTTAATTCATATATTCTCCGATAATTTGAATTCCGAATATGTAACCTACCGTCACCAAATACCAGAAGCTTTGGTCTGTCGCCGGTCGCAACTTTACCTAGCAATGGCAGTAGGTTGTAAGGAACCCCTTGGGGATCCTCGCCCATGATACCAGTGGGGTGTGCTCCACACGGGTTAAAGTATCGTAGATTGGCGCCGTTCCACTGTTCAAAAGGCTTGTCGGCTTTTTTCAGGTTCGCGCGCTGCGCGCTGATGAAGTCCTCGATTATGTTTTCTACTATAGCCTTGGTTCGGCCGTATGTGTTGGTGGGCCCAATGGGGCAATGTTCGGGGATTGGAATCATGTTCTCGAAACGAGTAGCATCGCCGTAAACCGTGGCCGAGGAGGAAAAGACGATATTGGTAACATCATGCTTCTTCATGGAACTTAAGAGGCAGATGGTACCTCCTACGTTCACACGGTAGTATTCAATGGGGATCTCGGCGGATTCACCGACGGCCTGGTTCGTGGGTCAGCGACGTGGTGCGGGCGATCGGGACTCGACGAGCTTGCCTTGAGCGCAGCAAAGTGGATGACGCTATCAACATTAGGGTGCGCAGCGAAAACTTTGTCGAGACCGGCCTCATCAGTAAGGTCGACCTTGTAAAAGGTCGGTCTCTTGCCCGAGATTAGTTCGATGCGGTCAAGAGCGACTTCGGAGGAGTTGTATAGGTTGTCTACGATAATAACTTCGTAGCCATGTTCGAGGAGGGCGAGTGTGGTGAAGGATCCGATGTATCCGGTACCACTATGAAAATATGTAGTTAGAATATATATTGAACGACTAGCTAAATTTATAGACGTATGTATCATGTCTTTTCCCCTTTTTTCTTTGTTCTTTTCTAGGAGTGCTATCGTGGGGTATTTATAAGAGGGGAAACGTGTTTTAATTGTTCATTTGGAAATGAGAAACACTTACCCAGTGATCAGGACAGTTCCAACGGCCATTTTGAAGACTTGAGGAGACCAATTGATATGTTGAAAGAGTAAAAGACGATTCTTTCAATTTGGTGTAAGGAGGGGGGGGAGAAAAGAATGTGTGATGATGGGAAAGTCGCGACTTTAGAAGGTGCGGCGGTCAACGGTCAACAGCGATCCCCATTTAAAATTGGACGAAATTAGAGGGGTGAAAAACTGCCCCTCCCTGCGACAGACAGACGTGATGCAGGCAAGAACTTAGGTACAGTGAGTAAGATTAGCTCACACAGTAAAGCAGTCACGATGGGAGTGCGACTGCACAGTACGTAATAAATTACCATATGTACTTAAGTGCCTCGTTATAGATAGGGTTTCCGATCTATCCCTATTTAGGGAAGACTTAAATACCCGTCATTCGATGGTCCGTCGAAAAGTTACCACACAAACGGATCAGATCAACGCCATCTATCCATTGTAGTGTCCGTTGCTGTTCGAAAGAGTTTAATTGGCCCAACCACGGATAATAGTTAGAATCCATGGATGACATGAAGCTTGGGAAGCAACACTCTTCGTCACTTCCTGGGTACTGGTATTGAAAATGATGGCGTATTTGACTTACATGTAATCACTTACATATGTCCGTGCTATGAGACTTAGATATGACCAATTGCATACTTACGTGTATATAACTCAAGTCTAATAAATGACAGGATGCTCATTACATAAGTAAATTCTAAGTCATACCTAATGAGTAGAGAACAATGCATGTATTATTTTAATTGTTGGTATTAGATACCCTATAAACTATTACGTGTCTATATAACTTGAACGTATATTCGTTCAAAAGCACCTAGGTACATATATGGATGTATTTATATACATATATTGTCACACAAAGTTAGAATATTCCTAAGGTAATAGGAAGGTACGTGTCTTACGTAATATTATGCCAAGAGATGTGGCTTTTCCGGCTAGGTGTCCAGCTCTATTGTGGGGAAAGGTTAAAAAGTTAATGGCAGCGTGAATTTGTCCAATTGAATTTTGGTTTCGCTACTAAAGCTGAGATGGTAGGTACTTAAAACAGCTTCATACCCCCCATATACATACAACCAACCAACTACCGCGACGCGACCGGTCTAGCTCAAGGTTCGCATTCCTCAATCCTGAACGTTCAAGTTTAACGTACCATGCCGACCTAAGGTGTATAAGTCCCATTCCAGTCGTTTCTTTGACGGCTTCAGAGAATCCTAAAAGGGTAAAGAAAGTCATTGTACATTCATGTCCCAAACCGTCTTCGGAAATCTCCCGTCGAGTTGCGTCCAGTCTCAACAACTCCGGGCTGCTATCTTTATGCACATCCTAGACAACACCCACATGCGTCGCCGGACCCGGTAGCTTACCGCACGTGCATAGCGGTACCTATTAACAAAGCAATAGTACCAACTCCTGCGCTCAAGACGCTTTCAGCATCGCGGATTTCGCATCTTCTTAGATCTTAAGAGGTATTACGCAGGGTGGTTGGGGGTATGATCAAAACCATTCATCTACATCTACTTCCATCACAGGAAGAGAAAAAAAAAAGTTATCACTTCCATTACTTGACACTACCTTGATCGCACAACTCATTCATCGCGCATCATCGATATTGATTTATTCATATCGAAACACGATTATTTTTATCCTTGCGATAAACATCAGTTGAGGATAATACCTGTGCCGCCTATGGTTCGCGAAGAAGTTTGATTTATGGTATATGGTCTAGCTAGAGTGAGCGTGAAACCAATCCACCGGTATGCCGCAGAGATTCAACCACTCTTTTCCAAACTTTTACTATTTCACTCTATCGGTGGTTTAGTCACCCATTCATTTTTTTTTTTTTTTTCATCTACACTTCAACCAACCCCAGTATACAATTATTTCACATTGGCGCAAATCCCCCTACTTAATATTATCACCCGCTCTCCATTAAAAAGAGATGACGATACGATAAATCACTAATTTGCGCATTTTGCTAATTCTTCCTCTGGGTCTTTAGTTACTCTCATCGGCTCTCGCGCCAAGGTTATCAAAATACTGGTTCAGGATGCCGCCCAAAAACGATAAGAACAACGACAAGAATAAAACTAACAAATCTCCCCGTGAGCCGCCAGCGTCAGATCTACCTGGCCTACTTCCTCGGCATGATGGGTCGTATGGCGTCAATTCTCTCATAAATATTGACTCTGTTGGGAGTAAAAATAAAAAGAACAAAACCGGTCTCATTCGCGAGGACGACGAAGATAGACGTTTCACTAGAAAAGTACTGGGTAAAGATGGCAAGCGTTTCGGCATGGAAAAGGACTTAAAAAAGGTCGTCAAAGAAACTGTTATTGAGGCCGGAAAGGGAGATAAATCACAGCCAGAGGATCCCAAGAATAAGGATCCACCATCTGAGAAGCCGAAGGACTTCGGAAGTGATTCTAGCCGGAGTAGCGACCCATCCATAAAGTCATCAAATGACTCTTCGGACAATTCATCAGTAGACGACGAATCTGAGGATGAGTCTGACGAGAAAAAGGAAGGCGAACCAAACAACCAGCAATACCTGGCTGGTAGTTTGAATGATCTTTGGGAGTCTGCGTACGGGGAAGGGCCGGTTCATGAACCAACGCTTTCTAAACTGGGTCGGTTTTTCACAGGTGGTCCCACATGGCAGAGGCAACCAAAGCCGGTCCACAAGCCAGTTCAGCATAGATCCCCCAACCCTGAATCACTCATCCATGACCGGCTCGCTTCGGTACCGCCAACCTCTACCCCAAAGTCTTTCTTTGGATCTCTAAGTGGGTATGGTTCCCTTCTAGAATCGGCAGCTCGTCCCGATTCCAGGAGAAGTTACATCGAAGAGGGCAACATATATGGTGGTTCCGGCGTCCATACTCCTGTGCCCACGATTGGCAAGCTTCCCAAAGCCGGTAATCGTGGGGGTGCTAGCACTGGAAACGCTCGCGGAGGTAGGCAGGGTGATAAGGGGAAGTCCATAATTGGCCAAGGAACCGATGGCGATGAGACCGCTGACACTAGCTTAACGCCAAGTCAATTGCAAAAAATGAATAACCTCATCGACGGCATGATAACATCAGAACGACCGAGCATAACAGAAGAGATACCGCCTGAAACGGTTGCGGATCTTAAAAAACTCACGCCGGCTCAGATCCAAGCGCTTAGGTTTACGGCTGGAGATATGATTAATGACCCAACTAGGGCAAGCCAGACTAGGGAAATACTCGACGAACTTCCTCAACAAGCTCAACAACCCCCCAAAACATCGGTTATTACATTATTTGATTCCGGCAATGAGAGCTCGGATGATGATATTCCTAAGAAACATCCACTTATCGGCACGATACTCACTGAAAAGAGGGCCAATGAGAAGAGCAGTAAAGCCAAAGTCCCTAGCTCAAAGCCCGGTGCGAAATGGCCACCGAGCGGTGTCGCACCCGTAGGTCCCAAACCATCTGGTGGAGCCAAGACGAAAATCCTTATCGATGAGTCTACCGATGACTCCGTTGGAGATGCTGTGAAGAGTGCGACTAAAATTCCGCCGAGAAGACCGGGTAGTAGTGAGCATAAGGCCACTCTCCCTGTAAGTGCGAAAAGCGTATCTCAAAACTATCCCGACGATTACTCTAGTAGTGACACATCCGATACCAAATCTTCACCCTTCAGTCGACAAAGACATCATGTCCGGCCTCTTTGGGGCGCCGGGAACCAGAGAGTTTGGCAAAGTACTTGTTTTGTATTCCTCGGATTACTGACTGCAAGCTGGGTACTTTTGAGTGTCATTTACGGTGGCTCTGTTGATTCACCAGTAAGGACCAGACCAGCCGCCGGTTCGGGGTGGTTCAATTTGGGCAGCCTAGGACAAGGCCTCCGTCAGATCATCCCAACGGGTATTGGCAATCCTATACCGCAAATTACGTGGGGTAGTGGGAAGTCAAAGGAATCTCCAGCAAGCCTGGTTGAGAGCATTATTACGGAAATCCCCGAGCAAGTTTATGTCGACGTCGACAAGAAAGGAAAGCCTAAGATATCACAGGACTTTTGGCATGCTTTAAGGAACCTCATCAGGGGAGACGACGCAATTCTAACGCTAGATAACACTGGTTCTGGAACCCAAAGCATCTCGGAAGCGCATTGGCGCGCTATCAGGCAACGTTTGAGCGAGGACGGGTTCCTCCCTGGAACTACGAGTGATGCAGGCAAGACCTCGCAGGCGGCCCAACCACAAGCGTGGGAGGCGTGGGAGGCTCAGAATAGAGACAACCTGAAAAAAATGATCGGTGGTATCGTCTTGACTAGAGACGAATTCAAGAAATTGTTCGACACGGAAGTCAAAAACTATCAAAAGGATATTCGTAAAGAAATCGGCATCCAAAATAGCAGAATTAAAGACCTCGCCGCGGCTATAGCTAAGCTGCAAAGTTCTGGTGGTTCAAAGCTGCAGGGGCTAACTGAAAAGGAGGTCAAGGCTATCGGCGATGCTGCTATTGCGAGGGCCATAAAAAACGCTAAGATCGACGCAGTGGCCTCTGGCGCTATCCGCAGCCATGCTAATGATATGTTCACCAACCAGATCAATTTCTTTTCAGTCGGTTCGGGTGCGGTGATCGACCCCAAGTATACCTCGAATACATGGCATATTCCTACGGACTCTGTCAAACATCATCGATCCAGGGCGTGGTACCAACGCGACGGGTATAAGCCACAGCCTCCCCTAGCCGGTCTGTCGGCGTGGGAAGAAGAAGGCGAGTGTTTCTGTGCAGAGCCCAGCAACCACAGTCACAGCAAGGAATCCAACTCCATCGCCGTCATGTTGAGCCGCGACATCACGCCGCAGCACCTAGTTGTCGAACACATCCTACCCGGTTCCACGTTAGACCCCGGCGCCATACCCAAAGAAATCGAGGTATGGGCCTACATCGAGGAGGTCACTCTGCGTGATGAGATCCGCGCCTTTTCATTGAGCCAATTCCCGGAGACGTCAGCGCAAGTCGCGGGTATAAAGGGTAAGGTGACATTAAACGAGGGTTTCATCAAGATCGGCCACTTCACGTACCAGAGGCTCGACCACGGCGACGGTATCCAGATCTTCAAGCTTAGCGATGAGATCGCGCGCATGCACGCTACTACGGATCATATAGTTGTCAGGGCTATTAGCAACTACGGTGCTGACCACACTTGCTTCTACCGACTTAGAATATACGGTGACGTCGTGGATGTCTCTAGGCCGTGGGAGGAGTGGGGGTTTAAGGACGAGTAGGTTGGTGAGGGGGAATGAGGTGGGTGGGGGAGTGGTGGTATAGCGTTGTATAAATAACGCAGAAGGGATGAGAACAGACACGTATAGAGGTGGCAAACACATGCCACGGAAGGAGAAGAAATGAAATTTTGTCATCTAGGCAGTGGTAGTAGTAATCGGAAGCAGACGGACTACCTACCTAGCACACAAGCAAACAACAAACACATAAACAAACAAGCAAGCAAGTAGGACTTAGGACTTCATCACATTTTTTTTGTTAGTATCGATTCCCAGGAACTATGGCGGATCGGAGTCGAAGGGACATGATTCGCTTTGCTGGATGGACGGAGATATGGATGATACCTACGAAATGAAGAAAGACAAGGAAGTCTCTTGGCTGGCTGTACACTTTTATATTTTTAAGCCTTAGGACTGACTGACTCAATTATAACGCATTTTGATCCTTACGGTTGGAAGTGAGATGATAGGTGATTTCCTTTGTTTGTCTGTAGACATTGGTGGAGAAATAGACTAGATATCTAGTGAGATATATATATATATAATAGCATAACTATTACTTTCAGTTCCAGACATTGTAAATCATAAATCATGTATGTAGACCAAATGTTTTAGATAATCTATCTAATTAAGGTCTCATATCCTCTTTATCTAACATCGGTAATTTTAATTTGCCCTTGATAATGTAGATATAAAGAGTTGGAGTTGGTATTCAAAAAAAGTGATGTCCTATAACCCCCCTTAAGATGTATTTCATCGTCACCTGAACTCCATGTAATTCATCCCTCTTTACACAGCCTCTAGCCCTTTCCTAGTGAGCGGAGTTGTATAAACGCTATCGATCCCTACCCAGTCGCTCTTCTCTATCCTCTGTAAGTTCGTATGCGGGTCGGAATTGTTGCCCTTCTGTTTTACTTGCTCCCTCTTTCAAAGCTGGGTTCGGATGTGTATCGTCTGTACCGCCTAGTGATGTGTATCCCTTGTCGTAAAGTGGGCAGTATGGGATTCCTAAGGCGCGTATGAACTATGAGTCCATTAGTATAGTCTCATGGAATCCCGACATCGCGTTGATTCCTATCGAAGTGGAATTGTATGATGTACATAGAAGCAAAATATCAACTTACACCCCACACCTCACGGTAGTGCCAGTCGATTACGGGATGTATGCGCATAAAACGAGGCCAATCGGCGTCCGTCTCATCGAAGAATGTCAAGTCGGCACCATGCGGGTCGGTTCGTCTCGTTCCAACAAACACAGCCTTAACTTCAGGTCTTTCGCGCAGGTATTCCGTCAATGCTGGTTTCATGGATTGATTCGACGTTGTGAGGTCTAGGTGGTAAGCCGCCGAGGTTGTAGTGACGAATTCGTCTACTTCGGCGAAAGGAAGAGGTGGTCGGATATAGAGAGCTTGGAGGTGGCGCGGGAATGGTGGAGATGAACAAGAGGATAGAGGTCGCGCAGATTTCGATTGTAGCGAGGCGGAAGACGGGAGGGAAGCGAGGATTAGGATTAGGAGGACGAGGCAGTCTTTGCCGCCGTTGTAGGATAGTGAGAGTTCTTCGGGTCTGTCCAGCTGTAGTCAGCATACTGTGAAAGTAGTTATAGTGTTTCTTTTGTTCCATTGTGTAACCCCTCGGCATAATTCGCGACGTGTAGCCTCTAAGATTTAGAATCGGGAAGTATGGGAAAAGAAGGCAGAATTAGAAAAGAGATAAGCACCTATATCGCCGTAATGCTTCGTCAATTACACCCCTAGCGACTATGATTTGGTTCTTCACCGAGTTGAGAACGTCATCCTCGGTAGCAGTGTCAAGAAAGATATCGACTTTCGACTTGAGTTCGCGACATAGAGCCTCTAAGTCATTAGGTCCCGCGCCGTTGGTACGAGGCGGGGCCGAACCATTCGTGCCGTTTGACATGATCGCTTCAAGTCAATTCGAATAACTAATTTGTATTTGATCTATTATTCGTAGTTTATAAGTAGTTATGGTCGTTAGTCGGTATGTTTGCTCGTCTGAGGCTATGATGACAAAAGGTTACTCATGGAACGTCGGTTGCCATGCTCTACGTTGAAAGAGAGAAGTGGCTGTCGCGGAGGATCGGGGAGATACGAAAAGGAAGGAATATTTTAATCGTCAGACAAGAAAAAAGAATATGAGTAAGGTGGAACCTTGTCGGCGTAATAACTTTTCTCAGCTGGAGGTCTAGGAGGTGTAATCGTCAGGTGCATCCCGTAGATGTTGTGTATGAGAATACGACGTTGGCTCTTGCCTTACAGTAAGACTAAGAATTATATGGGTCGATTACCACCCCTGTAATACATGGATATCGGTGGAAATAGCGATGGAGGGGTCGCGGGGTCCAGAGGGGTTGTTCCTTCAGAAGTCCCCTAAGAGCCCCGCCGACCAGATAAAGAACCACCTAAACTTGCCATGTGATAGAGTTCTAGAAAGCATTAGAAACAAAGCCAATCGGACGTTACAGAACCCCCATGGACGCTACGGATACGCCAAGTTATAGCTACCACCGGTAACTACCACCCTATCTTAACCGAGAGCTAGGCACCTAAGCACCTACCCGGTAAGTAACATCAGTATAATTGGCACAACTTCGTGGGATACACCTTGAACAATTAAGGAAGCTTTTCTTAATTGTCCACCCAGGTACACATGTGTTAGATATAGTTATTGTTGTTGGTCCACTTCTGGTGAATTCTCAATTCTCATACGGATGGTATCATTGAATAACTCCAAGATTCTATGGTATACAATGAAAAGAAGCCGGAATGGATCAATCCTCGAGTAGGCCAGCTGCCAATGCCTCGTAATCTTCTAGGGTATTTGGTGCTTCAGCAACCTCGATAACTTTTCCTTTGCCCTTCTTACTCTTAACCTTCTGTCTTTCGTCATCTGAATCATCTTGGAACCATTTCTTCGCTTTCTTCTTTGGACGCCTCTCTTCTTCTGCTTCGCTACCACTGTCTTCACCTGGCATTGGCAACGATGCTAGGAGAGCAAGCGGATCTTCCCCGTCATCGGCTCCTGAGAGTCTGGGCATACCATCCATAGCATCTTCACTTCCCATCGCTTCTCGGGCTTTCCGCTTCTCTTTCTTCTCCCGACGCTTATCCTTGGCGAGTTGTTTGTCATCGATATCGGCCTCCTTGACCTTGACTGCTTCGCTTTCAACGAATTTCTGTCGTTGAGCCTCCGCAGAGCCGTCCTGGATGAAATCTTCCTCGCCCTGTATTTTGTAGGGATGATGCGCCACCCCTTCATCGTCAAACACCACCTTATCTCCCTTGCCCTTAAATTTGAGCATTTTCTTCTTGGATTTGAGCATCTTTTCCCTTCGTTTAGAATCCACGACAAATGGTTCTTCGCCACCAAGCCCTTCAATAATCTTAGTCCCGGGAGCTGGGCCGTCGCTTGTCTCACCATCCAGATCATCGCCACGAAGGACGCGCTTCACTGAGAGGAAGTCTTGGTCGTCATCGTCGTCATCGTTCGCAGCCTGTCCCTCATCACCGATCAATTTATTATAATGGCTGGTTAAAACGTCTTGGTTTGTTCGTTCAAACATGCGATCGTATTTTGTTCGGACCTCGCCCTTCTTTCGTTTTTTCTTGTCTTCCTCAAACTCGGACTCGGAGTCGCTGGACAGCCCCGCGCGAGGCGCATTCTTCAATTTCTTGATATCTTCACCCTTCTGGAATTTGATTTGCGGCGTTCCTGGTAGACCCAAGCTAGCGGCATATGCATCCAGATCCAACTTTTTCAAATTAAAAATCTCCTTGTCCTTTTGTAAGTGAATAGATCGTGTATAACTGACGAAAGCTTTTTGGCCGAGATATTTCAGGTCCGGATTTTTGAAGCACATATCCTGGATTGAATTCTGGATACTCAATTTCTTCTTTTCTCGCACATTGACCTTATATATCGGCACTTTGCGTTGTTCAAGTCGCTTGAGCATGCCTTGCTCCTCACTCGGATCTAGAAATAATACTGCTTTTCCGTTTCTTTCGTAACGCGCCGTTCGCCCAACTCGGTGGATGTATGTATCGGTATCCTCAGGGCAATCCATTTGCACCACCCAGTCAACAGCAGGAAAGTCTACACCACGCGCCACTACATCCGTCGCAAATAGACACGAATTTTTAGCCGCAGAGAATCTTGAAGTAATTTCCAATCGAGCCACTTGCTTTTGTCTGCCGTGTAGATGTAATAGCGGAATACCGGGTTGTAAATGGCGAAAGCTCTCGTACACGAAGCGAACCTGCTTTCCCGATGATAAAAATACGATCATTTTGCTCTTGAGATTAGCCTTGATGAATCCGTATAGAGTTTCCATTTTGTCCGCCAAAGGTGTAACCAGGTAATGCTGTGTTAACGTCGTCGGTGTCGCCGCGGCAGCAGCTTCGTGAACGGCTACATATTCGGGTTCCTTCAAGCTCAATCTAGCTAAGTCGGAAACCTTCTTGCTTTGGGTAGCACTGAACAACATAGTCTGTCGCGATTTAGGTAAATGTTCTACAAGCCCATCCACGGCTGATTGAAATCCCATGTCCATTATCCGATCCGCCTCGTCTAGCACTAGGATTTGTAAATTGTCGACGTCGAATCCGGCGGTCTGATCGAGGTGTTGGAGCATGCGACCTGGTGTGCATACTAGAATATTCATCCGACCCAACCGTTCTGCTTCCTCGCGTAGACTCTTGCCTCCGATTACCAGACCAGCGGAAAAGGTATGGTATCTCCCGATCTTGCGCAACACTTCGAAAATCTGCACGGCGAGTTCGCGCGTCGGTGAGATTATCAAGGCACCTAACCCATCGTATTCTGTCCATTGCGCACGGTACAGTTTCTCGAGAACGGGAACAAGGAAAGCGAGGGTTTTTCCAGAACCAGTTTTTGCGGCGCCGAGGATATCGCGGCCTTTCAGACCGAGGGGGATGGCTCGCGCTTGGACATCGGTCAGGTTTTGGAAGTGTGAGGCCTCTAATCCGGAGGCAGTCGGTTTCGATATGGGCAGGGTCGAGAATTTGGATGTGTTTTCGGGTTTGGGGTCCTATGAAATGTCTTGTTAATTTTTGCTCTTTAAAGTCGTTGGTTCTGATCTTCGAGATTATTACTTACGAATTCGTCTACATCATTTTGTAGTTTTTGAAGATCTTCTTGATCTCGTTTCCTCTTTAGAGATTTCGAATCCCCCTTCACCTTTTGGGATTTCGCCGAAACGCGACTCCCTGTACGAGCGGCAGGCATTGCAATTTTCAATGGCTATTAAATTCTGCTGTCTTTAGATTCTAAGATGCACCCTGTAAATCTCAGAAAAAAAAAGTTGGACCGGCAGGTTAGTGGGGATTCTGCCAATTAAAGTGAAGCTACGATAACGATAGGCGCTGACCGCCTAGACTCGGCTGCTTAGTCAGCGCTATACAGCTCACCTGTAGGTGGATATTTAGCAGCAAGGCCTCTAAGAACTATCCAAATCAATTCCAACAATTCACTCTGTCAACTCCTCTTCTTCCTTGACGATAATCAGCTAACGCGCTCGATAAATAAATATAACCGGGTAATTGAGTTGGAATTCTTTTCTTGTGGATAACTATGAATTCAAAAATAGTGCACACTTAATATACCTGATTTAGTATAGCCTTATTCAATCATTGAGAGGATATCCTCTGACTTAACCAGCCAACGCCATGTCAACTTGGAAGTTAAAGCATTGAGCACCTTAAAGAGAGTGCATAGGTATCACTAGCCTCACCCAGCAAGTCAATCATAGCCTAGCTCTCTCCTTCTCCGATTGAGCCTCTTCCGCAATCAACTCAGCAGCTCTCTCAGCAACACCCAATACAGTTAACATAGGGTTGATAGTGGGAATAGTAGGGAAGATTCCTGCGTCCACAATGCGCAGTTTCTTTAATCCTCTTACTTTCAACTTTTCGTTAACCACGGCTAAATCATCCTTGGTCGTATCTCCCATTCTTGTCGTTCCGCAAGGATGATAGACAGTGTGCGCTGCTTTGCGCGCATAGTGGCTTAAATCCTCGTTTGATTGAACCTTGGGTCCTGGAGCAACCTCCTTCTTGATCCAATCCTTGAATGGCGCTTGTTCAGCTACCTTGCGTGCTGCTCTCATACCGAATACTAATGTAGCCGCGTCATAACCTTCCGGATCTGTGAAGTATCGGAAATCGAGGGCCGGTTTGACCTTCGGATCCGCAGATGTCAGATATAACCGACCTCGTGAGCGTGGTCGTGGAATGTTTGGTGTCATACAGAAGGCATAGCCGTCTGGAACATCAGGGTATCCTAATCGGAGGGTGTTAAGCGTGAACGGAATTTGGTAGCAGTGCATCATAACATCTGCGATATCTCCATCCGATAGGCCTTGTGGATTCGCAGCCGATTTCTTAGCCCCAGCACCCGGCGCCTCACGACGTAAGAATATCCCTGCGTCAGAATCCATAGTAGTCTGGTTTGGAGGTACCGGCTTGTTCAGCTCCCACATGATGATACTTTCGGGATGATCTTGTAAGTTTTCGCCGACGCCGGGAATATCCCTCACAACGTGAATGCCAAGATCAGACAATTGCTTCTTAGGTCCAATACCCGACAGCATCATAAGCCGAGGCGTATCTACAGCTCCGGCGCTTAATATCGTTTCGGTCTTCGCCTTGATAATCCGCGAAGAGCCATCTTTCAACGTAAGATTAACACCTTCGACGACGTCGCCAACAACATTGATTTTTGAAACCCACGCATCGGTGAGAATTGTTAAGTTTGGTCGCTTTTCTTCACCCCGGAGGATTGGGTGAATGTATGCGACGGATGCACTAGATCGTCTTCCATCATCCGGATTGTAGCTCACCGAGAAGAAACCTACACTCGGTGTCAATGATCCGGCTTCCGATATTTGCTTGTTGAAGTCGTTAACAACTGGGATATGAAGCGCCGTGCTACACGAATCAACCCAGTCCTGGCAAAGCTGGTTGCGATGTCTCGTGTGGACTGGTTGGACACTATTCCTCAGTCTATCGAGCGCTTTCATAAATATCGGAAAAGTCCAGCCTTGCGCCCCCAACGATTGCCAAATATCCAAGTCGTATTTGAATGGTCTGAAGGAAATCAAAGTGTTATGCGATGAGCAACCACCTAGAACCTTTGCTCGCGCATGCCTAATGAAAGAATTGCCTAATAGAATACGGTAAGATAAGAGATGGTTTATTTGGAAATTTCAGACTTACCCATAGGCTGTTCAGTGGTGCCATAATCATAATCGAGCTCACCACCTAGCAGATGCAGCCATTGCTTAAGGTCTAGGACACGATCATCCATAAAATCACTTGGACCAGCCTCAATGAGAAGAATCCTTTTGTGTGGAAGATATTCGGCCAGCCTTGCCCCGAGGACACAGCCGGCCGTACCCCCACCAACTACTACATAGTCATACTTATCAGAATCTGATACGGGGAGTTGAGTAGTAGTCATTGTTCCTCTTCTAATCTTTTCAGCATCCAATTCGCCAATGTCGGTTTTAGATTAGCAGAACACAGCATAGGTTGTGTTTCGGGCTGCAGGTCGTGTGATGCTCCCAAGATTAGTTCGACAACCATGTGGCAATCAGGGACTATTAATCTTAGAGTACTTTCGGAGTGTTTGAAGAACGGACGTGCCAAGCCGGCTCGGAAATCGGTAGACAATTGCAAGACTTTTTAGTATGGAACCGTACGATCGATAATTGGCTCATAGGCATACAAGTCCCTGTACAAACATGCAGCTGAATCCTTACCTAGGGCGGTGAATGGTCTGACTCGCGGACGGCAAGACACGGACAAGACGCAACGTGGGGAAACACAAGCTCATCCTGTCTACATTATCTAGGTGGCTGGGTCTCATCCTACCTAGGTTGGTTAAGAGGGAAAGATTAAGTCCCTCTCTCTGTCAGCCCACGCAGCCATCACCCGTTACAATCAAGAAAGCCCTTGTGTCTAGCGTTGCCACCACTCGATTCTTATCTCTAAAGAAATCTCTCTTTGTCTCCATAATCTCGAAGACGCAATACACGCTAATCACCAAAATAGTCAAAGCTGCCGTCAGCCCGAAACTTACCGGGGACTTATGACGAGTGCCGGGCGTTGCACTAATAGTATCGCTAATAAGACCGGCGTCTTCCTACCCTCTACCAACTCTACCAATACATTAATAGGGCGGGGTCAGCTTAAGAAGAGCCGCAGCGTTGCCAGAACCATTTCTCCGCTCGGACTGGGATGACGTGAACCCCTCCCTACGACTATCCGGACCGATCCAATAGATTGGCACGCCTCAGAACCGTTTATCCTCTTCTCTCCTTCTGTATTAGTAACACCGATGACTTCGTATTTACGTACGCGTCGAATTCCTTAGTTCAGACCGCTCCAAAATTGGTCCATAGTAATAACATCTCAGTCGACGTTGAGGATATCGATTCGGAATAAACCGTTTCGCACGTTTCACAATTCATACGCATACGTACGACAATATTTTCATTTCAGGCTTCACAATCTAGCCGCAAAGGGGAACAATTTACTTGATAAAAAAGTAAATGGTGAAAAGCAGCCACTACGCCACTTAATTAGAAAATACAGTGTTCACACGGTACTTGTGAGCAGACAGAACTCCTCCAATATCGACACCATGGGGTTTAGAGATGCGGACCGTCACACATTTTACGCCGGAAGTCCACAACTATCCGCGGACTCATCGGGGAGTTATGAATCCATTGATCCATCAAATGGGAAACCCATCTGCAAAATAAATAATTCATCACCAAAATCCATCGACGCCGCAATTCAATCGGCTCAAAAAGCATTCCCAGAATGGTCTAGCAAGCCCCCAATAGAACGAGCGCGTATTTTGCAGCGGGCCGTCGCTCTCTTGCGCGAACACAATGACAATCTTGCACGCATCGAAACCTTCGACACAGGAAAACCCTACTCCGAGACGTCCGCAGTGGATATCGTCACAGGCGCTGATGTTCTTGAGTACTTTGCCAATTTAGTCGCTAGCGGTGGATTAAACGGCGAATCATTCCGTCTTAGACCATCTGCCTCAGTATACACATCTAAAGAACCTTTAGGTGTGTGTGCTGGTATTGGTGCATGGAACTATCCGATTCAAATCGCGCTCTGGAAATCAGCGCCTTGCTTAGCTGCTGGTAATTGCATGGTTTATAAACCGAGCGAATTCACACCGCTGCACGCTGAGTATCTAGCGGATGTTTACCGACAGGCTGGTGTTCCAGATGGTGTTTTTAATGTTGTATATGGCAGCGGTGAAGTCGGGGCTTACTTGACGAAACATCCCGCCATTGCGAAGGTTAGTTTTACGGGACAGGTCAGCACTGGGAAGAAAGTAGCTGGCGCGGCGGCTGGGGAAATGAAATATGTTACTATGGAGTTGGGTGGTAAGAGCCCGCTTGTTGTGTTACCGGATGCGGAGGTGGATCAGGCTGTTGATGTGGCGATGATGGCGAATTTCTACAGTACGGGACAAGTGTGTACGAATGGTACGAGGGTATTTGTCCCCCGCGTGATGAAGAAATCGTTTGAGAGCGCACTTCTTGAGAAAGTCAAGTTTGTCCGGCCAGGCGATCTTTTCGATATGGATACCAACTTCGGGCCTCTTAGCAGTAAGGTTCACCAGGATAAGGTGATACGATATATACATCACGGAATCGAACAGGATAAGGCGACGCTGTTATGTGGTGGGGTGGAACCACCGGTGAACTTACCGGCGGGATTGAAGTCTGGTTACTGGGTCCAGCCAACTGTTTTCACGGATTGTAAGGATGATATGACTATCGTGAAGGAGGAAATATTCGGTCCTGTGATGACTATCTTAACATACGACACAATCGACGAAGCCATTACACGCGCGAATGCGACGGAATTAGGTCTCGCGGCTGGTGTGGTTGGACGCGATATTGATAGGTGTCATGATACGATCGCGCGACTACAGGCTGGTATTACCTGGGTTAATACATGGGGTGAATCGCCGGCTGAGATGGCGGTTGGCGGGTGGAAGCAAAGTGGTGTGGGGGTTGAGAATGGACGAAGAGGACTTGAAGCTTGGGTTAGGAATAAGAGTACGCTTGTTGAGATGGGTGGGAGTGTGCCGACTGTGTTTGCGAAGTTGTAGGTTGGAGGGCGGTCTTAATTGGCAAGCGACTCACACCGGAGGCCTCTAACCACTATCACTACCCTTTTTTGCCCAGGGTATGACGTGTAAAGATAGCAATATCCTACGCAGTCAACGCTCGCATGGGGACCGCTTAACGGTATTGGATTTGAATTGACGCCTTTACGAGTGTGGCAATCTAAGCAGAGATTAGTGATCAAAATTCACACCCAGTTCCTCAATTTGGATGTTTATTGATAGCGGTCAATCGAGCTTCATAATGATCTTCGTCGAATTCCACCACAGCACACAACGTCATGGATTACCAGGGAATGCTGGCTTTATCTACCATACCTAGAGGGTTGCTGCCTTATCGTAGGGCTTAATGCCTTATTCGAAGAGCCTTGAGATACAGATTAACTCAGCGATCGCCCCTAAATCCTTTCCCGTTTCAACATTGAACCCATCAACCCACATGGAGTATCGTTATTTTTATCATATTCTTCCTTGTTATTTCGTCGTAAAATTGTTACATAATATGGCAGTGTATGGGGCTGTCCTGTAGATCGAACCACGTTCCGTGTCGATCTTCCCGACTACCATCGTAGGATTCACAACCGGCTGTCGGGACCGATTGCAGATATGACCAATGAGAATTAATCGACTCTTAGTGTGTATATCTAGTTAAACACCATATTCGATTACTATACAACCAAGCCATACTCCTCAGCCATCAGCCTGGTTCAGCTCTATCTTATAGATCTGACTTCGACGTCACTGATGTCGTAACAAGCTTTTATTGCCGTACAATCTAGACCGCTGAAGTAATCCATAGGGCTGTATTCGATGTAAGTACGACGAAGACTGGATACTAACAATAGTTATGTGTTTTCAGCATTTGACGTTCGTCGATATAAGACAACATGCCTCGCCAAGGTTTAAGGCTCGAATTAGGTGGTCAAGCTCGACAAACGAGAACCATTATCGTTCATGGAAATGGCTAAAGTAAATTCACTCTACTCATCATGGCTGACTAGCCTCTTGCTCTTCATCACAGCACTAGCCCCCCTTTCAGGAGCAGCATATGCCTCTACCCCTACTTCATCTGCCAGTCCACCTTCGTCAACCGGTACATCTACACCTGACAGCGACTCACTGCGCATCGTCCAATACGCAGGTACACTATACGCGCCTGGTTCATCCGCCAAAGTCCACGTTGCCGAACTCGTCAACTCCACGCGCCCTGTCCACGTAACTAATGTCCTCTGGGGCACCTGGACACTATGGTCCAACAAAACCATGGTCATGACCAAGGGTGGAACAAACATCGACCCTAGCATTCCATCCAACGCCTGGGCACTCACCGAAATGAAAACTGTGCAAAAAGCCGGAGTCGCTGTATCTATGTTCATGCGCGGCGGTTGGGGTAATTTCAACAATGATAGTAACTTCGATACTTACTACAGCGTCCTGCACGATACGTTGAAGAAGTACGGTTTCGACGGTATAGACCTCGATATCGAAGATAACACCGACGGAAACGAACACCCGATCACCATAGAGCCCGTGACCAAACTCGTCAAGCGCCTGCGCCAGGACTTCGGACCCGACTTCGTTATCACACTAGCCCCAGTCTCAACCGCAATGGCAGGCTCCGGCTCAAACTTAAGTAAATTCAGCTACAAAGAACTCGAAAAACGCGCCGGCGACGCAATTTCCTGGTACAATGTACAATTCTACTACTTATCCAACGAGCTCGGGTCGACCGCTAGTGTAGATTCCGTTATCAACAATGGGTGGTCTCCCGAGCGTATTGTTATCGGTATGATGACGACCCCTGATTTCCCGCCTTTTATTGAATTCTCGAAAGTCGCGAAGACGTTGCAGAAGTTGAAGAAGAAGTACCCCGCTATTAGGGGAATTGATGGCTTTGATTATTATGATCAGAAACCGGGTGGGTACCCCGCGCCTTGGGAGTGGCCGAGGTGGGCGGTGAGGCAGATGAAGAGGAGTGGTGATGGAGGGGCGGCGCCTAGTGCTGGGGTTAGGGGGATGGTGTTTAAGGCTTAAGTTTTGAAGATGACTAGAATAACTACTTAGGTATAGATTGAATTACTGGGACAAGATGCAGTTGCATAATTGGGTACATAGCTAGATATTAGATAGAATTCTCTTCTGAACATATGAGATCTCTTCATTTAATCGGGAATTATCGATAAACCTTGGCGACATGATTGTTGCTGTGCCTCGTAAGGCGATGCTGTGCCGCATTCTAGCTAATATGGACCTACCGATATTTCGTTTTATCCAGTACCTGTCAGCGCGATCATGAGTTATTCCGTTAGAACGGGTCTTCACTTTCATTCGCACCATGATCATTCAATTCCTGTTGGGTTCCGCGGTAGCATACCTCGTGTGGAGCGTCGTATGCTTGGAACTTAATGTGCGCAAGGTGCGTGCTATGAACGTGCCCATCGTGCGGCTGCCGATCGACTCAAATAATGTCCTCTGGGTTATTCTCCATTCGCACGTTTGGAGTATCGTCGACCGTCTTCCGTTTGACTGGTCGTCATACCCAGACTCTATTCGCTTTTCACGTCGAGGGTGGCATTTTGCAGATAAATCGGAATCCCATCTACGCCACGGGTCCGTCTGGGCTCTTGTGAGTCCTGCGTCTATTACCCTGCATTTCGCGGATCCGGATGCTGTTCTGGATATCTTCTCTAGGCGCGTCGAATTCGTTCGTCCCGTTAAAGAATATGGTAATTCATAAAATCCACCCTGTTCATAATAAGTGCATCTTTACTAAGAGTCGATAGAACTGTTAGCGGTTTATGGCCCATGTATCTCTACTGCTGGTTCGCATGATTGGGCGCGCCATCGCAAGGTTCTTGCGGCGCCTTTTAATGAGGGTGTTATGAATTTCGTCTGGGAGGAAACTCTGCGTCAAGCCACGAGTATGTTACGCTCGTGGGCCGGCGCCGCTGAAGATGGGATCCCGAGTATGCACAAAGATACACGGACGCTATCGCTTAATGTGCTCGCATCTACGGGGTTCCGGAAGTCATACACCTTCAAGGGCTCGGCAGATTTGGATTCCGCAGTATGTGAAGCTGAGGATTATCGCGATGCACTCCAGACGGTCCTCGATAATGTGATTATCATGATGTTGATCCCGTATCGATATCTAACAGGATCTATGATGCCAGAGAAGTGGGTTAAAATCGGGAATGCGGCGAAGACGTTTAAGAAGTATATGATGAAGATGCTTGATGAAGAAACAACAGCGCTCAGCCAAGGGAAGGCTGGCTCCGGAGGTATAATGACGTCGTTCGTTCGCGCGGGCGATTTACACGCTCGTGAGGCGGCTGCATCCAGTAATGCGAAAGCTGACAATCAGAGAAAGGGTCTTTCCGTTGACGAAATATTCGGAAATTTATTCATTATCAATTTCGCGGGCCACGATACAACGGCTGGGACCTTGGCTTTTAGTATGATGCTCTTAGCCGCACACCCGGAAGTGCAGGATTGGCTTGCCGAAGAGATTATCGCTGTGACAGGGGATATGCCTGCTGAAGAATGGGATTATAAGACACTCTTCCCGCAACTGAAACGCTGCCGTGCCGTCTTACTGGAAACATTGCGCATGTACTCGCCGATTATGTCGCTCCCTAAGCGGACTTCCCGACAAGTGCAGATTAAGGTGGGGGAACAGACTCTTGTGATCCCGCCTGGTGTTGGTACTACTCTCTACGTCCGTGCTCTGCAGATGCATCCGAAGTACTGGAGTAATTCGTATACCTGGATGCCCAAGCGCTGGATTGTGCGTCCACCGCAAACTTCTTCTTCGGCAGAGGACATTCTAAATGAGGAGCTCTACATGCCCCGAAAGGGTATTTACTTCCCGTGGTCAGATGGTCCGCAGAATTGTCCAGGCAGGAAGTTTTCCGAAGTCGAAGCTGTTGCGGTACTAGCCTGCTTATTTAGGGAGCATAGACTCAAAGTGCAGAAAAAGGCCGGTGAGAGCGAAACGGATGCACGGAAGAGAGCTGTGGATTGTACGAATAACTGTAATATGGATATGCTGGTAAAAATGGAGGATCCGGATTCTATCAGGCTTGTCTTTCAGAAGGTTGCTAAGTAGAATATTACCATGAATCTTCAAACCCTTAAAGGGTTCGTTCTTGTCTTCTAGGCCACCGGGTGCTAAATTATATCTAGAGGGGGTAGGGAAAGAAAAGAGGATGGAAGGGGGCGTGTAGAAGACGCGGGGCTATAAAAAGAAAAAGGGGGAGAGGTAGAGCAGCCACTTCATCAACTGGTAAGTATCGGATACGATTCATTATGATAAATATGAAGTCAACCTTTCTCTATATTATTTAGAAAAGACAAGAATCTGTTTATTTCAAATAGAATCTCAAGTAAAGCATCAAAATGTGGTCGGTTTGTTTTAGGCGAGTATCTCGGATCTCCACTGTTGTCCGCACAGTATCAAGCGCTAGGGTAAGCTAGGTGGGGCTCACAGACATTCAAATTAGTAATGAAATATAATAGCGCATACAAACAAAACTTTCATTGGCGAATTAGCCCTTATAGCTCAGTGGTAGAGCGCGTCACTCGTATCTCCTTATGAGTTATGACGAGGTCCATCGTTCAATCCGGTGTGGGGGCAGTAAGTTAGTATTTGCTTTTGCTTAATTATTATTATCTTTTTGTGTTTTTTCTTTACAAGCTTTCACACTAGGTAAAGTGAAAGCCTTCACACAATTCTCGCGCTAGGCCGTCGTAATTGAAAACTTCTAGTTTCTCAATACCGCTACGTCGCCCAGCTGTTTAGCGCATAAATGCAGCTGAATAAGTCAGTTAGCGAGGATTACAGAGTAACATCGACTTCACTATCAGCGACAAGCCTCCAGTACAGTGCAGCAACGCTTTATTTAATCTATCGTGGGCCATAGAGCCAATCTCTCCAATCTTCAAGCCCCATTGTGTTCCCCTACCATATCGCCTTCCAAACTTCTTCGGTGAAAAGAAGAGCGCGGCGATGGGCTGATACGAGAGAAGTTGACGGGCAACCCGGACGCCTTAGAATCATAAAGACACATGATGCGAAAGGAAGCAAGGCTCTCCTACTCAAGCCCGGTAATCAATGAGAGTGGCAATCCACTGGCGATCTGACCCGGAATATTCGAGGCGGGCGCTTGCTGTCGGATTAAAATGGACTATTGCTGATCATCAGTATGCCCCCCAGATTCAACCCCAAACCCAGCCCCAGGTTTTCTTTTAGCCATGACTAAATCTTGGCTCCTGGGGAAATCTAGACCTCGTCAAATTACCGTTGCTTCTATGTTCTGTGCCTCCCACGAGGTATGGGCATAACCGGGATCACGGACTACCCGCTAATTCGCCACAACTCAAACGAGTCCATTTTGAACGGCTTTACATAGCTAATACATTTGCCACTTTTTTGAGGCCTAGGAAAAGGCTGGCCTACGTGCGCTTTCGGAACGAGACTGAATATGTTATTCTCCAACGGGACTAGCAATTCTCTTACCCGCTCCTACCTCGTGTGCCTTGAGCTGCCAATACTCAGTTTCCCCGAGGGGGCCTGATATCGAAGCCCGACGCCTAGAGAGGAAGCCGACAACATATGAACCCAGTCGGCAATACCGACAGCGAGATGTAGAATCTCGCGGAAACATTCCAAGGGGAAGGAGAAATCTCGGGTAGAGCACATCGATCGCAGGCCTTGCTAGCATCTAGCCGCCCCCGGCACGATTCCGATCCTTGCTCACTTCAGATAGATGCCTACTCCTTTGGCAAAGGGAATTGAATTCCAAATTCTTACCAACATTGTCTACTTGATTGGGTCTCGTTCCACTTCAGTTTCAATAGTGTCAACACCGGTACCATCCAGAACCAATGGTCGACAGTGTAGATATTGCTATTGCTTCGGCGATATATACATTGCATTTACTTGGGGTCTGTCCCCGTGATCAGCTGTCAACTTTTCACCTGCCCTGGACGAACTGTGACGTAGGGAAATGATTTGGCCTCGGCCCTTTTCTTCACCAAGGCCGCCAGTCATCTATTAATCCGCTACGTTAGCAGGGTGCTCACAGGCTTCAGGTTATCTCGATTCGCGTGAAAAGTCAGACATATCTATCAGAAATCCTATCACCGGCAAAATACAGAGCCTATCATGTTTTGTTTACTCGAAATCCTAAGGCGCCCTTAATCCTTTTACCCGGTGCGGACTTACCATAAACACCCTTGCGCATTCGTCCGAAAATATTAGCCTCTAAGCTCTCATATCGTAAAGGGGTAATAACCTGCCGAGATCTTTCTGGAAATTCGATAAGTTGGATGCCATCCAAGTTGATATTAATAGAATATGGACACATCGGTAGTTAATAAGCAATAGGGAGGCTGTTTACCCACGTGTGTCCTGATCTACATATATCCCAGCACGCCCAACGGCCGGTCACATCTGGTACGACTTATGTTTTCCGCACAACAAAGTCTGTAGAATCAACAGCAAGCAAAATGTTTTGGACTACTCTCCTCAGCTTTGCTGCGCTCGCCGAGGCGGCGCCCCAGTTTGGTGGTGGTTTCGGTGGTACCACTATGCTTCGATTCGGTTGCCCGAACGTTGTCATTGACCGAATTGACCCTCTCGTCAACCCCGGCCAAATCCCCTCCGCCCACGTCCATCAGATCGTCGGAGGTAACGGTTTCAACGCCTCTATGACCACCGGTGATGTCTCCACGACTGCCGACTGCACAACTTGCCAGTTTAGTAAGTTTATCCAGTCCAAGCAGTATGCATAGTACCATTACTTACGCGGTCGTAGGCGAGGATTTCAGCAACTACTGGACGGCCAACCTTTACTTCAAGGCCCGCAACGGTACCTACAAGCGTGTGCAACAGAAGGGTCACGCGTACGTCTCTAGAGACACTAAATTTTTGAATCCTTACTTACTCTGATTTTCTTAGTCTTCAATTCAACGACCAGTTCTCCACCCAGACCCAAGGTGGTATCCTAGTCTACTACGTCTCGGCCCAACCCGGTCAAATCACCGCTTTCAAGCCCGTATGTTCATTCCATTGCTATTGCGAATGGGAACTGTAATATTAACATTTTATCCTAGGGTTTCCGTATGCTTTCTGGTGATGCCATGGCCCGATCCAGGTCCGACCAGACCCTCAAGAGACAAAACTGCTTCCGCTGCTACACCGGCCCCAACTACGGTGGTGACACTGGTGCTCCTTGCATGGACAACAAGTAAGTCTTGACCCTATCTTATTCAAGAATTCCTGATAACTAACAAGATGTAAAGCGTCGACTCCGAGTCTCTACCCACCAAGATCTGCCCTGGTGGTATCCGATCCAACATTCTCTTCCCTACGTAAGCCTTCTACCTACACTAATTGACCAATTCCATGCGATACTAACGATTGGTCTAGCTGCTGGGACGGAAAGAACTTGGACAGCCCCAACCACCAAGACCACGTCGCCTACCCCACCTCGGGTCCGGCCAACTTCTTGAGCTTGGGAGGCTCCTGCCCCTCGACTCACCCCGTCCGTATTCCCCAACTCATGTACGAGGTCGTCTGGGACACCACCCCCTTCAATGACAAGTCCATCTGGCCCGAGGACGGCTCCCAGCCCTTCTACCTCAGCCAGGGTGACAACACTGGATTCGGCCAGCACGGTGACTACGTCTTCGGCTGGAAGGGCGATGCTCTCCAGCGTGCCATGGACACCTCCGGCTGCATGGGTGCCAAGTGCGCCAACCTCCTTACCCAGCAAATCGACACTGCCCGCAAGTGCTCCGTCAAGAAGGTCGTCTCCGAGGACGAGGATGGCTGTAAGTTAACTCCTTATTCATTCCATGATATTAGTATACTAACTTTTCGCAGGGCTCACCGAGCTCCCCGGTTCCTCCATGCCTATGGCGTAAGAACCTCTTGATCTTGTCAAAATAGGGGTTGTGTAGGAATGAAGGATCGGTTATGAACTTCAAAGATAGTCCGAAATATGTCATTTATACGTAGGACCTTCTAGTTTGAACCGTTTTTAGGATAATCATATTAGCATACTAGATTGTGTTATAATAATAGACATTCTTTATTAAAAATAGTGTCCCTGTATTATCTGTGTAGCGTGATGCTGTCTCCTAGAAGCACGTATGAGCCACGTCTATCGTACTTACCATTAAATCCTCCCAACAATCTATTTTCAACGGTATTTGCATTCGCCAAAGAATGACAGGTTTTCACTGATTAGTATTCAGTCGCCTAGGTAAGCCCAAGATGATGTGTTCAAACAATTTATATTATAGATGCGAGCTCCCCGAGTATCGTTATCCCGCTATAGAACTGATTCCCCAGGCATAAGCCCATTCCTCCATTTCATCGTAGAATGTTTGTTCGCCCAATCTAGCATCACATCGTAATCGACACATTCATGTTTCGAACCCCAACCCGGACCCGCCTCCGTCTCGCTCTCCAGATTGGTGTCCCCAGCACACATAATAGACTGTCGTAGATAATCAAAACAATGCGCCGAATGATGAGCCACTTCCCCCGTTAGATTAACACCAGCGTATCCTTGCTGGTAATGCTCGACTATATACGACAAGCAATGAAGCTGGTGGAAAACCGACATCATGAATGCAGGCCCATCTGTTGTCCGGTCAAGTGCTACCATGAATGGCTTCCCGAGGATGCCGTAAGTGTCGTAGTCGGGGACTTGGACGTAACCCCTAGCGTCTGCGCTTAAGGGTATCCAGTTATGAAGTGAATGAAGCGTATCATGCTCATCGAAGAGCATGTCGTCGCGTACATATTGCGGGTCGGGAAGGAATGTGTATATCTTTCGAGGGACTATGAAGACATATTGTCAGGGCTTTTCTTATTGAATCATCTATGGATGATATAGAAAGCACATACATTTTGGTACGGGAGGTCTTTCGACTCCGACCCGTTCGTAAGCTATACTGACTAGCAAGCCGGCTATTATGACACCCATTACAATCTCAAGGGTGAGCCGCAAGTATTGCGTGGTTTTCCGGGAACGTTTTTCGCGGGACCAGATGGCATCCTCGCGCGATGAGGATGGCGCAAGGAACGCCTGTTCTTCTACATTATCTTGTTCTTTGCTGGAGCTCATCGTAAACCATGCACGCAGTTTCGCGCAAGTGGGGTCATTGGAGCGGAATGCGGTTTAGATACGATATTATCAGAAACATTATATAAGGAAAAGGTATTTGAAGTTATGATAAGAACCTAAGGTTATTTCGCGCTGCTCAGAGATTATTAGGCATTGTGGAATTTGCCTAAAAGGGAAGTCTGTTGTGCCTCCGTTCCAAACTAGGCCATCCCCTCTATCTGTTGCAATGAAATTAACATATGGCCATAAGATACTACAATAAATTGAAACTTATAATTGTAATAAATTTCGCAATTTCATGCTGGGCACTCACCGTATAGTTACTACAAAATACACATATTGAATTGATGTGAAAAGTTGAGGTGCTTTGTGTTTTGTTTTGAATGTACCTAGGTATCATAGTGTGCCACCGATCTGGTTTACCTTCTATATATACCTACCTAGGTACCTAAGTATGTAAACGTATCCAAGTACGAGCGGCATTGATAATTGAAATCGAGTCTATTAGATAGGATATTTCTATAACAGAAAATGCCTCAACATAGCACATGAGTAGCCTTCGCGCGTTATACTGCTGGACATATTCCCACCCCTTTTCGAAACATAGAAAGATTTTATACGGTAGCGATATGTTTAATGTGCCAAAGAAACTCCGTTGACCAAATATTGAGATATTTCAGTGAGGTGAGTAAGAGGTATGTCTCATTTTCACTCCCGATAATATACCCCTTACCTATAGTAAGAACTCCAAGTAAGTGCCTTAGTACCTAGACACCTTATATATGCCTACCTGGGAAGATAAAGTCCGACCCTTGGGGCTGTAAGCTTTTATTCAAAATAATCAACCATATTATACCTAAGGATGGCATCTGCCGGTGAATAGCGTTTATAGCTTATCGCTGGTGGCCGGGGATTTGTTGTTACGCTAGGTTTGAAAGTAAATAGGGGGAAAGGAAAGGGGTGGTGACGGTCTGATTCAGTGACACTTATTTAAACACACGGTATCTACGCTTATTGTAACGGGACTCGCGCTATACCATAGCTGGGGTTTCTTTGGGATATCAAGCCTCATTTGACAAACGTCCTTAGGGCTGTATAGCTTGGTACGTCTTGATTAACCTTCTCGCGGAGTTTTACACATTTGCTTAGCATAATATACGTATTTATATAGTAGACTTAGGTACGTCCTCGGATTCTTTACGTTTTTCGCCGACTACCCACAACTCACCGCCTCTTCCGTATTTGCGTTAAGAGGCGTGTCGATCAACCCGTGAATGATGTTGGTGTAACGCAAAGATACTCAGAAAAGAAATGCTTGCAGAACTCAGTGTACCCCTAGACTCGATCCTAGAGCCTCATCGGAGATACTGTAAAATTTTCAAGCTCAGCTGAACATTGCGCGCATATTAACCCACAATGTTATGCGTATCATGTCACTGTTACACCGAATTATTACCATTCATAGTTAGACTAAATTCCATCGACATATCATCGTAGGGTATTTCTGTTGTACCTAGGTACAGTGACACTTAATACTGGCCTATTGGGTTCCCAAAAAGTTGGCTCGCCTACTTAGTAGGTAATTCTCTGAGTATGATTCGATTAGCGGCAACTTCATGCGAGCCGGGCTGTTACCTTATAATGTTCCGCGTTACGGTTGAGTTTACTGCGTCGCCCGCTTCAATTACTAATTATCTACGCGCCCGTTACTTCTTGCAGTCGAACGCATTATCTATATCTTCATAAATTTCTGCAACTTTAAACCAGGTTTGGAGGCATGTCGAGCTGCATATCGAGCTGAATATAGAGCCTAGCCTGCTTCCGTCACCATGGCTACCCTACCATGTTGGGATTCCCCTGTAGCATTTATTCGCGGATTAGATCGCAAATACCTGCGTATCATGCCTTGCAAATGTAAGTCTTGCGGAGGAGCCTCGTTCTATGATGGCTAGCCGACTTTCTTTATGTAAGTCCTTTAAACCGCCCTGCTCGTTCGATTGCTAGATATGTCACATGGTAGATTAATTCCTAGGTTGAATACTCATAAGTATAAGGCAATTGTTGGATCCTTATCCTTAATTTGGGCCACCGCAACCCAACCTTGAATCATAGCCAACAACTTATGCAGCCATTGCAAAAGACTTCGCCTCTCAACGGAGAAGTTTATGATAAATGACAACAAGCCGTCGGATTTAGAGCCATCTCTTGAGTCCTTACGGCTGGCTAACGAGCGATTCTCTCTCAAGCCATTACGATATCTTAAAGCCGCGGCTAAAGCAAATACTTGCGAACTATGCTCGATCGTTTCTCACACCGTTCCAAATGATGTGGCGCTTTCATACAAGAATGCGGAATGCCATCTTGTTTGGGAGATTGACGGTCGTGATTCCGCTGCTAGTCGGCCTGGTCACGGGAGACGCATACGTCGATTACGGGTTCGCTGGTATAACGTAAATCTCAAGCAGTACAATGCGTATCTTGTATTGGCTGCCCCTTCAAAATTTAACGACTCAGACCTTGGATACCGCGATCTTTTGGGTGCCGAAGCTCAGTTTCTCGGAAGGCGCCTAGGACGACCGGTGAATAAGCAAAGCTTAATCCGAGCGTTCTTACAGCTCTGCGAACAACATCACCATGGTCGTTGCGCTGAACCGTTCGAGATCGGGGGTGACAATGTCAATCCATTTTCGGAACCCTATTTTGGTGTCATCAACATCGAGGATGAAAGTCTTGGCCACTTACCAAAGCGCGATGGAAGCAACTGTTATGAGGAATATGCGACTGTAAGCTATTCCTGGGGCAAGGAATCTAATAAAGAATATAGAACAACCACCAAAAACGTCCAACAGCGGCTCAAATCTGGTGGCATGGCAGAAGTTATTAGATCTATGCCAAAAGCACTCCGATCAAGTGTATGGCTTGTACACGTCCTTGGAATTAAATACATATGGATCGATGCAATTTGCATTGTACAAGACAGCAGTCACTCCTGGAACCTTAATGCACTATCAATGCATCTGATTTATGGAAGCTCCATGTTGACTATATGCGCAGCGGATGGTGAAAACGCAGATGCTGGGCTAGTAGCGCTTAAAGAAAAAGAAAAGCCACCTGTTCAAGTAGTCGCAACATGTGCGCCTGGAGTGGACTTGATCCTTCATCAATCCCCTGAAGCAAGCATCGAAAATTCGACGTGGAACAGACGAGCATGGACCTTTCAAGAACGCCTCCTCTCTAAGCGTTGCCTGATATTTAGGGATGGTAGAATTTACTTCCAATGCCGCTCTACGAGTATGTCAGAAGACATTTTCGCGGAGCCTACGGGCTGCGGATGGTCACTAGATCTCATACACTCCCCCCTGCAGATGCTGTCGCAGTTGAAGGATCGATCTTTGTGGTTTTACATTCGCTGTGTGTCCTTGTATACCCTTCGAGAATTATCCGAACCGTTTGACATTCTCGCGGCATTTAGCGGCATGTGTAAGTTCATGCAGCGTACTTCAGTGGTGGCTCCGTTCATATTCGGCCTCCCGAGTTCTCATTTCGACTTTGCCCTTTTATGGCAACCAGTTGGATATTCATCGAGACTAACAGAGTCAAAGCGTTCCAACGAGCCAAAATACAAGGACATGAAATTTCCGACCTGGTCGTGGTGCGGGTGGAAGAGCAGGGGAAACAGGGGGATCAGGTACAGATCTGAACTGGTAGACGGATGTCTGAGCGATGTATGCGCATGGCACAGTGATCACACCTGGATTGATTGGCACATACGAGACGGCTACGGCACTCTTAGACGTGTTTGGGATCGCAATCGAGTCGGTAGCGATAGAAGCGAGAACGTTAGATGGAGAGGTTATATGGGATCGCGAACCGACACACCTGGGTTAAATAATCCCTATGGTCGTCGTTTCCTAGATGGAGTAGAGAGATGCTTTAAGGCTCCCCGAAACTTCGCATTAACTCTTCCAGAAGATCCGTACCACGTTCGCACAAGAGAGAACGGTGATGGAACTGGCGGTAATGACAACCCGGAGTTCCCCGACCAACCTTTTCTGCAATTCTTCACTTGGAGAACAACATTCCACGTTGTTCCAGTTACAGCCAACTATGTTGAGGAAGAGCTATGCCGCTGCCATATAATGGATCAACTTGGAGATAAGTGCGGATCTATCCTCGTCGATGCTCAGTGGCTGAAGGAACGGCAGGGAGCTCAAGACGCAGGCTATTGGACTGCCTGGTCGCTCTTTACAGCCCCGGGAAGACTTGTTAAACGCATTGGAAACCGGAGACCCGAAGAAAGTGTCCAATTTAAAAATCAAAAGAGTACTAAATTCAGGTTTATCGCTATTTCAGAGGCTAAATCATTTACAGAGGAGGAGTTTCCTGACTGGACTTATTATATACCTAAAGAAAGGTCGGAGTCGGAGTGGGACTTGTTCTATGTTCTTTTGGTCGAAGAGTCCAAAACCGAAGGATTTGAGAAGTGTTACCATCGTGTAGCTCTTGGAAAGGTTTTTAAAGCGGCTTTTAGCCTGTCAAAGGATGAATGGACAGAGATCATTTTAGGCTAGCTATGACCCAAAGTGGCTTGTATACCTAGGTATAGAAGAAGTCGTGAACGGAAAAGTCACGACGATGAGGTAATCAGGTCAGCGATCGTTGTGTATTTTATTCAGTTTGCTTGCTTGCGTATAAGCCTCGGTAATTGTAATCAGCGGCCGAGAATTTTGTACTAGGTAGGTATTGAATCTCGTTACGACTCATCAAAGAAAGCTACTTCGGGGAATCCGGGAGACGGCCCATCCAAGAGTGATGAATTCTTGCCCAATAATGTGTAATCAAAGAACGCCTTAACGTAGGTATTCATAATCTGTACCTCCCTAGTACCATTTATCGACCCTGCTGCCTGGTCTGCTCCGGGCTCAAGTGTCTTCCAGAAGCCGTCATCGCAGTAGTCATGATGCGTCGATCCGTTTACTGCGGTCCTCCAGTATGGCCCCGTCTGCCAGTTTGGAAATGAGGCCCATGTCGGGTCACCTGTGTATGAACCGTGCGCAGACTCGCTGCCAAAGAGGAATGCTGGTTTTTGCTCATCGGCCGCACTAGTATTCGACGCTGGGTCTCCGAATAAGGTGCCGTCTAAATTCAAACCCGAAGCGATATTCGAGGACCTCTTTAATGAGCCCAAAGCTGCCGCACCGCCCAGCGAATACCCAAAGGCACCAATGTGGGTGATATTGAACGGTAATTGGTGCTCGCGTATCAATCCTGGGAGCGCCTCCAAGAGCGCTGCATTGTCTACGAGGCGCGTGTCATATATATCCGTGATGAGCTCAATCGAGTTATAGTCGATGACGATCCCCTCAACTGCCGTGCCGTTAGGGAATCGGATGAAGGGTTGCTCGTAGGGGTGATCAAGCCCTATGACGGCATAGCCGTAGGACGCTAGCTCAGAGAGGATGATTGTATCACCCTCAACTGGTGGGCCGCCAGCTCCAGGACCAAATAGGATGGTTGGGTAAGGTGGAGTAATCACTTTTGGTTCTTCGTTGATGAATATTGTCTTTTCCATGAACGTCGCATTCTCTTGAATCGTCGATGTAATGGACGACAGAGTCCCAGCCGTGTAGTTCCATAATTGCTCAAAAATGGCCGCCGTCTCGGGATTGAGGTATGGTTTTGGGGCGCCAGGCTTATCGAGTGTCGGGTAGAACACAGTAGCCAAGAACGCCGTGCTCACATTGTTAGGCGCGACTGGATCATGGTCGTTGTAATGTTCGATAATGTACTTGCGGACGCCTACTTGATACGGCCCAGTGGGAGGGGGTAGTGAGACAGCGTCAGCCAAGTCAGCCACACGGAGAATGGTAAACACCGCGACGGCGATAGTAACTCCGAGGTTAGGTATCCCACAGCCTGCATGAATCAATCCCATCTTTATTGCTTCCAAGATGTGAAACCTATGATTAGTTACTCTGGAAAACGATAGAAAAGGCATCTACGACACGCCATCTCTTATATAGGCTCATTGATTTGACCTACATCGTTGCCTTGTGATGCCGACGCCCGGGTAGCTCGTAAGACTCGAAAGTTGGGAACCTTCTAAGAAATCCGTGCCTCTATTTGTGTGACGATGTATGTATGCGTGTTACACAAGTTTCCGGAGCTATCGACGCCGTGGCGCAGCTTCTTTTGCGATGAGCTGAGGTTTTGCTCCGCAAAAATTTTCAAGGGCCCGTTGACAAGAGTCCCTGCTACGTCCATTTCGTATAAGTAGAGGTAGATCGGTAGCTTTTGAATACCTAGGTAAGTAGGAGTGTAGTTTGACGGTAGTCTGACATGGTGGGTTATCATCCACGCTCCACAGAGTGTGCGGGAGCTTAGCCATCAAGCATGGCAAAGAATCTGTAAGTTCATTGGAAAGCGGCGTGAAAAGAAAGTGTGAAGCGTTAAACCTGCTATTGGCCAATTTGCGAAAGCAACATTGCCTGGGAAACATCTGGCTGAGCTGTCACAAAATGATAAAGTCGATTAATATCATGTCGGTTTCTTCTACTGTTACGGGATTTAATAATCGAGTGTGATATTAGGAAATACCTATCAACCAGTCAGGATGGGTTGTTTGGTCAGCATATTTTTGAGTTGACTGTGACTGTGAGCGAAGGATTTAGATGATAATGGAACGGGATCTCAACCCCTGAAAAGCTTGGTAACCGTGTAATCCTGTACGCACGTATCACTGGAGCCCCCTAACTGCCGATCGTATGGATCTCAGCTAGGAGCTTGGTCACTTCGTGCCAGTTACTGAATCCGGTTAGCATCGCGAGGTACGTACCTTCAATATAGCTTCAAGTGTTCCTAATGCAGGAAGACGTTTGCCAAAAGACCCAGACGATCCGTGTATAAATAAGTAGTTTACATCCTAGGGTTTATTCCTCACAAACTTCCATAAAGCCACACTCAATCTATAAGAAAGAAACAGACCCTTCACTCTGAGAACATTTACTACTCCACTACAAACAGCCGACAACCTAGCATTCGAGTAATCGCTCAACCATCAACAAAACTAAACAATCAAACAATCATCACAGCCGTTAATCATATAACATCTGCTCAGATATTCAACTCATCATGACTTCATCCGGCGCCCGCGTGATCGTCACAACTCACAACGAAGATGGTACATCCGTCTTCCACTCCGACAACGTGGTCGAGCCGTTCTCACCCTTCGGACCAGGCGGGAGTTCCTTCTCCGTCTTTGACGCCCGATCCACGGTACCTGTAAACAATCAAGAGGGGCCGAAAGATCTACAGAAGATACTTCCACGCGTACCACCCGCCGGAGTCACTTTCTGCATCACCAACATGGCGCCCCACCATAGCGCACCGATGCATCGAACCCTGAGCCTCGACTATGCTGTTGTGCTTTCAGGCGAGATTGTCTTAGGTCTCGATGACGGCGAGGAGAAGACTGTTAAGGCGGGCGACTTCATTGTCCAGCAGGGAGTCAACCACACTTGGCACAACAGGACGGATGAGGTTTGTCGGATTGCCTTCGTCATGGTGGGGGCGGAGAAGGTCAAGCTAGCGGATGGACAAGAATTGGAAGAGACGGTGTTCAAGAAATAGTGCACCGTAGGTAGTAGCATTAGTCAATTTGGGAGCGTGCTTCATATTATACTAAGACATCCAAGATGTGACTTCATTCCAGTGTACTCCCGGATCCGCTCAAACACCACACGAGCACTCTGTGTTTGCTCGGGTGTCGTTGACATTCGCATTTGGACTCCTTTAATAACTTTGATAGGCCAGAGTAGTAGGTATCCCCCTATTCCTCGACATCTAGGAGAGCCGGTGCGATGATCGTGCACACGACCTAGATGATCAATGTCACCGAACATTTGAGGGACGGTCGAGAGAACTTCATCAGCAAGTTTACGAATCGTCTCGGTGAATTGTTCAATTAATAGATGAAAGCTCTCTCTCAGCAGCACACTCGAGTCAGGGGATCCTACTGCAGCAATTAAACAGTTTAAAAGCTGTTGGTGGCCAATCATCCGAGCCGTACGGTGGTAATTCCATTCATAGGCTATCCAAATGTCCGGGTGGAGTTGGATAGTATCGGTTAATGGTCGCACTGAAGGATCGAATTGAGGCAAGTCGGCCACACGCAGGGTTTTGAAAGACCATTGGGGCTTTTCGCGCCAGCTGACTACTTCTTGGTCTAGCTTGATCAACTCATGCACCATTTCAAGAACTTCGAATGTCGATGAAGTGCCGCTAGTTAGCGCTTCCTGCAAATTCCGACCCCGCTCGCAGATCTGGCTGATCCGTAAAGCGTCTTTCTCTAAACGGACTGAGGGGGTATTGTCATTCAACTGACTAATCCAGTGGACCGACTCGTCAAGTGGTTTCATATTGAAGGCTAACTGTTCTCTTCGCTAGGACCAATCCGTAAGCTTCGCGAGTGAATAACAGGGTGTAGACTTAACTTACAATTCTATGGTGAGCAAGCCTAAACAGACTCCAACCACGAGGATTGTAGATCTGATCGAACCCTCGCAGTCTCAATATTTGCGCCATACCCTGGGTATGAGCTCCCCTCATTGAAGGATCATTGATGAAGAAAGTCTAATGCTTTAGTATATGTGATCGATTACAATACGACATTATGGACATACCTCGAAAATGTCCAACATAACCACAGTCATCAAGTCATAATCATCGGGGACCTTATTCGTCAATGACAAGGACTCTCCCAGTGCGGAAAGCGACATCCCATAGCAATGAAAAGCCTTGCTAGCTAGCTCGTCGTTGTTTTGGGCTTTGGATAGGTCGGCATATGCTGCGGCTCGAACGGCCCAACGAAGCGCAAATCGACCCTCCACGTTCACATCCTTAAACAAGGATGGCAGATGCTCAAGAAACCCCGGTGAAGATGTCTCGTTGCATGGGTACATCACGTATTTATCCATGAAGCGATCAACCATCACGTCTTCTGGAGGAGGCTGCAAATGGGTGGGAGTTGCCTTAGCCCACGGGAACTGATTCGGTAATTCAAGACCCTTGGCTTCTTGTTCCGTGAGATCGGAAGGATCAACAAACGCAGGCGATCTACTCCGGTCTAATCTATTACCAACGGACCGGCTCCTTCGTCTAGACCTCCGCGTAGAACTGGTACATGGCGGACTCGCCGTTACTGCAGCCGCGTGCTCTATTACTTTATTCGTCTCATAGCGAAACACAATACTAGCTTCGTCGCGATAACCTTCGCATATCTCGTTTCGGTTCATACATCGCTGGCATGATGGCTTTCCTTGGTCGCATTTAACTCGTCTCTGGCGGCATCTCAAACATCCACGGCTAAGGCGTGACATTTCTACTTTCAGTTCTAGATGATAGTCGACATATCCTGTAAATTCGGGTTTTCAATCGACCTTCTCAGGTTACGAACTGTATCATTTCAGCTCGTCAGAGTCCCTTCTGATTACCGTTTATTTCCGCTATTCCCGGAATAGGGGCTTATGCCGTAATCAGCTAAAGCGCCGAATAAAGCTATCACGTGACATATTCCCGCCCGTGTTCATAGAAGGGTCTGGATTTGTATGATGGATAGTAGTACAGCATATTTTCTCGGCTTCTTTTTCGCATTATCATTAGTGGATAATAATAGCAGAGCAATAATAAAGAAGATAGATGTAGACATCGGACGGAAATAGAACGTATGACCGCATGATAAGTACTGGAAAGTGTTCTGGTGAGCAGATAGATAGATGTTCTTGACGGGTTTAGAAGAGTACCGTGCTATTTCCATGCTGACCTTATGTGCATGCGATCGATTAGGTAAGCATTGACAAAGACAGATCTTCTCTCTCGATTGGCGAATTGAGATGGCTGCGCGGTAGGAATGGCTACACCACTTAATCTAGAAATTTCCAGCGCGACTTTCCACTATGAGATCTGTAACCCCTTTTGTTCATAAGTGGGTTACAAGAGCAATATCTATAAGAGTCATCCCAATTAAGAACCTCCGTCATATCGCCAATCTTCAACGTTTAGTAATGGTACGTATGACGTGAATCCGACCATTTAAGCTATAATCTACCATCGAGCCGTTCGTGGATCTAAAATTGAAGCCGGTGATGATGACGGAGTTGGGGTTTACAAATCTCCTCCACGTCCTCCGCATTTACCCCAGACGAACGAGTGTGGATCGACAACATATGACGTCCCCATGAACAAATACTCGAAGCTTCGAGCGAATCGATCTCGAGTTTGCAAATAAGATGCTAATCTCCCTCTATAGCGTCGCATGCCTGACATCGAACATGAAGTCATTCGTCACGAGATGCCACGAGATGGATGACCTGTTTAGGGAACTAATTCGATTATATAGATGGTGAACTACCCTCGACTTTAGCATTTGTCCATTCCGACTATTACACACATATCCACAGAAAAACAAGTGAAACTTCAAATCAATCGAACCACAAAAAAAAATACAACTTCAATCATGGCTGACGAAAATCACGGATTATCCGACAACGCCATCATGGGCGCGCACGACATGATCCACCATGCCGAGCAAGAAGAACATGAGTACGAAGCCGCTATGAAGAGAGGAATCTCGGATGAAGCCGCAGAGGCTGAATACGACCTGATGCACGGCGCCGAGGAGCGGGCCGCCCGGGATGAGGTAAGGATCACTCAACCTTAGATGCCATTGTCTACTAGAACGCATGCTGACACTTTCGCAGAGGAGACGTCGCGGCTCCTTCAACAAGGTCAAGAGGACCTTAGAAAAGCTCATCCCCGGTAAACATTGATCGTTCAATAATCGGAACATCATGGCGTCGAGTCAGTAATTGTACTATGTATATTATCGCGGTTTCCTTCTGCTATTCATGATATCCTATGTTTGTCGAAGGTCTGGTGGCCTATCGGGGAACTCTGTATTGAGCACACGACTATTACTACTTAGGTAGTTGTAAAGTTATATCAACCGGTCTCTTCCTCTCCTCGAATACGAAAGGAGATATTTTATAATAACAACTTATACCGTTTACTCAATTCATCCTAGTTACATATGCTTGTTGCCGCTGACATCTAGCAACTATGGCGCAAGTCCACCTAAAAAGTGACCATACTTAGATCCTATATTCGGTTAGCCTCTATTCCCACCAGGCTCGGGGCTCGGGCGTCTCAGCATGTCCCGTATATCGGAACCACCCGAGCAGCACGAAGCCTCCTCCATTTCCTCGAATTATTATCTTTTCTACAATAATTCTATTCCAATTGCAAGGGCGAAGATAATGGGCAGTGCTACTTAATGTGGCAGGTTGCAACCGAAGGTGGAGTATCGTCGCATCCCGTATTTCTAGTCCACATTCAGCTTAGCTAACTCGAGTAATACGAGAAAATCGCGAATATGTTGTTTCCTATTGGTTGTATTGAGCGGTTTCAAAGAGACTAGAATTGATGTGAAACCATATACTCATGTACGTGCCATATAAGATGCGATACTCCCTTAGTACTCATGTGCGTAAGAGGTCAAGCCCTCCCACCAGAGCTACAATGGTGCGCACTAGCGGCCCCGACACGATGTTGCTATTAACACTCGCTGCAGTCGCAAGCGGCCCAGTCGCAGCGTATTCGTGGCCGGACCCTAAAATCGACTTACTCGAGAGCATCCTCTACCAACAGAACGGGTACCGACAATATGGGCTAGCTTTCGGCGTCTCACCATGTACCAATATGGCCAACATGCAAGAAACAGGTCGCGACGACTCGGCGGAATGGTTTCGGACAGCATATCACGATATGGCAACAGCGGACGTGCAAACTGGCATAGGCGGTATTGATGCATCCATCGGGTTCGAAACCGACCGGCCCGAGAATAAGGGTAAGGCCTTTAACGAGACTTTGAGCTTCATACTCGCCTTTCAAAGCGCGCGATCCTCAATGGCTGACGTTATTGCGCTCGGTGGGCTATTCTCCGTTGGGTCGTGTTCAAATGGTGAGGTGATTATTCCTTTCCGAGGCGGGAGGATAGATGCCCTCGAGGCTGGACCGACAGGAGTACCCCAGCCGGAAGAGGATCTTGATACGCATACAGCTGCCTTCGCTCGACAGGGCTTTAATGTTTCGGAAATGATTGGATTGGTGGCATGTGGCCATTCGATCGGTGGGGTTCACGGAGAGAACTTCCCGGAGATTGTTGACGTTGTGGATGATATCGTAAGTTGACGTGGGCGATTAAAGACGGGGGTACTCTTCTAACGAAAAGGTAATAGAATAACCAAGCAAGTCGTCAAGACTTTGACGAAACATTCGACAACTTTGATAACAGCGTGTGAGTTAGGCCGAGTCAATACTCTAGCTACCAGTCTCGATTCTGATGTTGACTACGTAGTGCGAAACAGTTCGTAGCCAACACTACGCAGAATCCCTTGGCGTTTGGACACAATGAGACGACGAGATCCGATTTCCGCATTTTCAATGCCGACGGCGGAGAGTTGATTCGAAAGATGGCGGAATCGCAGCAGTTCTTCTGGGATACATGTACGACACTGCTGGAGCGTATGATAAATACGGTACCGAAGGGTGTCAAGCTTACGGATGTCATTGAGCCCATCCCGGTCAGGCCTAATAACTTGTTCATCACAGTTAATCCTAATGGAACCCAGACGATCTCAGGAGAAGTTCGGGTGTGACATGAGAATCCAATATTGCTCACTCGCAGTGGATGGATGCTAATCCTAGCGCAGATACTAGAAGACGGCGTCACATCCGCTAACCGCCAGGTCCTCATTCACCTAAAATCTCGAGACGGCAAAAACATTTCGTCTAACCCGGTCGTCGCAACAACGCAAAACGGGCTACAAGTAGTGGGCTACTACAAGAACTTGCCAAGCTTTACGTCCTACACGTTCACAACAACCGTACCGACCACCGTGGGGGTTTCGGCCTTTGACGTCCAGCTCAAAGATGGCAACACTGATATAACCAATACGAACGGCGGTGGCGGTTTTCCATTCCAGGATGCCCTCATCACACAAGCGGAGAGCACGTGCGTAGGGCTCGAGTTCTTTAGTACTAAATCTAACAACACATTAAACATTAGCGTCGCTGTAAGTAGTACCCTCGAATTATTTATGCTAACGCTGTTTTAATCCTTCATTCAAGGTTCGCGACGATATGGAATTCGATACCGTGCAGTTATGGGTACCGAAGCCTGTGAACATGATCGGGACTTTTTCAACTCGGTTTGAGCCAACGAGTACTGAGCTATCGAAGACTGAGTCGCTGAATGGTACTGGTTACTCAATTTACTCCGGATCATATTGGTTCACGGTCGATTCGGTTGGCCCGATGAAGACGTTTGACTTATTCGCTTCGGGGCCGAATGGGGTTGTATATAATAATTTTACAAGATGGGCCGACTTTAATGTATGCCAGTGAGTCAGTCTCGAAGACATATATAAATGCGAAAAGTATATAATTCAGAAAACGAAGAATAATTTCACTAAATATGATAGAGGATGCTTGCTTGAAGAACTCAGTTTTTGGGCTATGCTTCACGTCGAAGCAGCCGTCTCTCATCATAGTTCTTGTTAAGCGCCCTGTATCAATCCTTATAAGCCCCCCCTGGCCAACGAATAATCCCCCAGTACCGCCTTATATGCCTATTAAAACTCTGACATTATTAGAACCCTACTGACTTCCCCCCACAAGCATGCGGATTCGTAAGATCGTCAAGCAGCAGCGCTACTTGTTCCGCACCTTCCATATGTATAATATTCGGCGTGATTCTTCAAATTAACACATACCTGCATACTGGGGGTTAGATAACAGCCAATTTTCTCAAGACAGTATGGTATAGGGACGAGCAAAACTCACCTAAAAGGATGATGAATTGAGACCACGGATTCGATCCGCGTTCAGGGCGATGATGAGGAGAAGAAATCCACTGAGGTAACGCTAAAAGCGTGGAACGTAAAGAGAAATCTTTACGTCCTTCGAAGATGAGCAGGAAATTTTCTAAGCTCCTTTTATATGTCCTAACAATGCAATAGGGGGCTAGTTATTGATATTATTTCGGTTTGACACTCAGACCTGAAGCAACGATATAACGGTTCAATTGTGACTCAATGGGCTTTATTTTGGGGGGCACGGTCCCTATAATTAGAGGGCACATAGCGCTATAAGCTTGGATAGTTGGCCATCAGAGGCGGCAGTCATAGCGGTAAAGGTACCTAGATAGCCGCTATATAACCCACGCCTCGGTGGGGTTGATGCGCCGCTGGCGTGCACATCCCCTACAAGTTTTGAGCGACATCTAAGAGATGTATAGAGGTAGTAGTGGTTAATCTGCACGAAATATTCATCACCCATCATGAATTCGCCCCGTTATTAACTGCGCTAGAGTCTTTGGCTGTATTCAGGGACCGCCAGTGATATAATTAAAGTTCATCGGCGAGATGACTTTCTACCTAGGTAGAGTATCGTACCGGCCACAGGAAGGTTGTATGGTTGATGGCGCAGCTCCAGGAGGGATCTGTGCCAACGAACGTCGAACTGGAGACGAATAGGCATCATTCCAATTACTTTAGCCCGATATCCCATTACGTTGCTTTCTGCGTCGTCGTCTTGCTTTCTTAACTCCCAAAAATATGTGTCAGTGTTCAATCGGGCTCCTTTAAAACAATGGTGATTTCGAGGTACCTTAATGTCACGGGAGATAGTTAGGGTTGCATTTCTTAGATTTGAAGCCGCGCCGTAAGGACGTAAGGATTTACTTCTTTCCTACCTAGATACAGGGCCACGGGGAGCTTACAAGGCCCCAAGCAACCTTGGAAGTCTAACACCCCTGGAAAGAGTGCTAGCTTACGAGCTCCACAAGGAAAAAAATACAGGCAAAAGCGGAACCCCTTTTAGCACATTCATCGCTATTGAGGCCGCTGTAATCACCAATGGTGGTAACTGTACTGTAGTTGGTATTCCCCAATTGCAGCACTCACCACCATAACCATTAATCGGGGCTTGATTGCTTAGTCATTCTTTATTTGCTTACAAATGAAAGTTAGTCAGCCGTAAAAGCCCGAACGATTCAAAAGCATACATCCAGAAATCCATTGAGATGCTTCTCGTCAAAGTTGACACCCACCCACGCCGCCAACATACTCCAAAATCCTATTCATTCCAGAGCATTTAGAAAGTGTGAATAGTAAAAAACTCAAATGGACTATATTTTGAATTTCGATGGGTACTAATTACTACGAAAAGTCCCAGATGGATCAGTTCACGTCCCTCGCCCGGGGATTATCACAATGAGCATTCAGACTCGGCGAACCCTTAGCCCTACCGGTGAAGGAGATATCCCGTCTAGTCAAAATCAGTGAGATGTTCATCCGACCCTTTATAAAAACGAATGTAAAACTACACGTTCATAATAGAGTGCTTCGGTGTATTGGATTCCCATAGATCGAGCCGATCGGTCGAATGAGTCGACCCGGCCATCTTAACCAAGAGCTTTAGTCTCTGAAGTGCCATTAGCGTGGCTTTCGGTCATGCTATCTTAGCCTTGTGGACTTCGTCGGCCGGCAATGGCACGAGACCGGGGTCCTTGTAGTCTCGGTCTCGGTGCACATCCGTGTCCGCAGTGGCCTGGCCTCGCGGTTGCCCGGACTTCCTCATTTATATCAATCCTCGTATAAAATTCAGATGTATCGTTATAAATCGGATGAAAATGGAGAATTAAATGGCATTTTAGAATTGAAGTCGATATGGAAATCGCAACAACCACTTCCCCTAGGAATACTGTCTTCGTCACCGGCGCGACTGGGTATATTGGCGGGGCCGTCTGTCGTGTATTCGCCCGCGCTGGTTGGCGTGTTTTCGGCTTAGTCCGAAACCCTGAAGCAATCGACGACTTAATCGCTGACGAAGTTATCCCTATCGTCGGATCTATATCTAAAGAGCCAAATTTCCTCAATGAGTTATACAAGCATACTCAAACATTCGATGTTATCATATCCTGTACCGAGGCGGTACCTTTCTGTCATCATTACGAAGGAATTTCAACTGTTCTTGAGTTATTGAGCAAGACTTCAAATGAAAAGGGGGTAAAGCCCCTCGTTCTCATGACTTCTAGTTGCAAGGACTATGGCAGTAAGTGATTCTCCACATTAAACATATATTTCTATCCTATTAACTCCCAGAAGCGACGTCTCTCCACGGCGCCCCGGACCTAGTGCCACATACCGAAACTACGCCCCTAGGCCCCCCAGGCTTCCTACACGAACGTACCTTCACCTCGCTCAAGGCGCTTGAGCACAGCGATCTCTTCGATGCTGCCATCCTCCGACCGACGCCCCTCTTCGGTTACGGAAGTAGCTATTGCGGCCTCATGTTCGAAGTCGCCGCAGCCTCGATCTCCAGCGATGCTAAGCCATCACTTGATATCCCCGCCGACTTCAGCACCATTTTGCACTCGTGTCATATTGACGACTGCGCGGCGGCATACCTAGCCCTTGCGACGCATGCAGAGAAGGACCGCGTGTCTGTCGCAGGTGAATGCTTTAACATCTCAGGCCGGAGATACGAGACCCTAGGTGAAGTAGCCGGGTCTCTGGCGCGTGAATATGGGTTCGTTGGTGGTGCGCGAGAAGTGCCTCCCGGGACCGTCCCCGTCGCGAGAGCCGCACTGTTTGGGTTTAGTCAGTGGGTGGATAGCTCCAAGATACGGGAGCTAACGGGATGGAGCGATAAGAGGGCTCTATTGTCGGAAGACTTAAGCATATATCGGGGCGCGTATGAGGTTGCTGTTGCGAAGGCGGATGAGGGCGTTAGGAGGGTTAGGCAGAGGGCTATCAAGGTGTGGGGGGAGTTGGTTTAAGGTGCTTGGAATCTTTGACGAGGACAAGTGAGGCGATACTAGTCTCCTGGTTTGATTGGTATTATACGTGTTGTATTAGTGCTCCAAGTCCGACTTTTATATTGCTAGAAGGGTGTACGGGTGACCAACGCCATTATGAAAGCATGCGCACGTATGGTGAGGGTTAGGGTTGGGGTTAGCATGAGGGGTTACCCCTTGACTCTTTCACCGCGCCCGTTTCCTTTCTCATTAATACACCTACAAATACTGCTTACCTGAGAGCTCAATAACTAGGTAGGTAAAAAGGTATATAAATCTTATTTTACGTATCAGGATGTTCATAATTAAACTCCGAAGGAAGTATTTCATCCAGGCGTTCCAAGACTTTGCTACGAATGCTCCTATTTTAGGCTATTATATAAAACATGCTATTACTACATCACGAAGAAATAAACGATCTCATCCAATTAGCACAAGCGACCCCGCACATTCAAACTCGATCTATGACAGACAGAACGAATGCTACATATGATATAGCATCATATGTTTTGTTGGCAGTATTCCAATCGCATCTCCCAAGCCGATGGTCCACCAGCTGCGCTCCTCATGAACTGGCCGCATAACTCACGTAAAAAGTATACGGCTTCTCATATTGGGTCACGTAGAAGAAAAATAAGATGGCTACAGCCGTTGCGACGACGCAAGTATCTCATGGGTTCGGAACCTCTGCTCAAGAGCCTATACATACAAGTCAAACACCAGAACGTCACGACGTACTCACGACGATTAACTACTACAAGGACCCGGGCGATGGTTCTCTCCCAATGCCAATAGTTATCGCTAAGTGAGCGGCCAACTTTCTAGCCTCATTATGGCGTATAGACTAACAAGACATCCAAAGTAACACGGTCAAAAATGAGCGTCCACATATACCCCAACATACAATCATCCACGACGTAACAGGCGAAGAGGAAAAGTACTCGCTCGACAGCCACGGGTTCCAATTCCTACGACATAAAAGCAAAGTGAAATATCTACAAGACTTCCAAGATGACGAAGTAGTCAAAACCAATTACTACCCAGAGTCGATACAGCTTCTTAAAGATGTGTAAGTATACCCCTATTCTTCCCCCTCGCCTCCCACCCTTTTTGAATGGAGTGAATTGACAGAAACTAGCACCGGCGCATCCCGCGTCTTTATATTCGACCACAAAACACGCTGCGGCCCATCAAACTGGCACAAGCTGGGCAAAGGCAACCGATCATCACGCGGGCCCCTATTACGCGCACACGTCGACCAATCCTACGACGGTGCCGAACTCGTTCTACGGCGTTGGTTCCCAGATGAAGCCGATGAGTTAGTCAAGCGGCGGTACCAAATTATTAACGTACGTCTCTCACCTCCTTTTTTAGCGCACTTTCCTAACGCTGACCGTGACTACCTAGATATGGCGCCCCATCCGCCCCATCCAAAAAGACCCTCTAGCAGTAGCGTCCGCCTCCTCAATCCCAGACTCGGATCTCGTCGCCGCGTCTATAATCTACCCCGCGGACCGGGACGAAACATGGACGATCCTCCCGCGCGCCACGCATAAATGGTACTACAAGCGTGGTCAACGACCGGATGAAGTATTGCTCATCAAATGTTTCGATTCGGATGAAAACGTACCGGCGAGGCGAGCGCCGCATAGTGCTTTTGATGATCCGAGTCAGAAGGATGCGGATGCTAGGGAGAGTATTGAGACTAGGGCTTTGGTGTTTTATGACTGATCGGTGGAAAGACCGGGTTAGAGACTGGCTTGCGGGGTCTTGTTTGGTGGCTGTTAAGAGGTCAATGTATGTAAACATCGTGAGAAAATTCACTTTTCAATGCACATATATATTCCAAGGATATCAATTTGGTATCATATTCTGACCGTTAATCTAAACATCGTTACATAAAATTCGTACTCATATTATTATTCGTTCCACGGTTTCGACGGGCTAGGCAGGGGACTCGTCTGTACGCGTGGTCTGCTCTTGAACACTGCTTCGTAATCTTCTTGGTTGCCGTCCATCAATTCCTCAGCAATCGAAGTGTCGGCGAAACTTTCTTCTTCCAATCTGGGGAAATAACTATCTTTCCTCGGTACCGGCTTGCTCTTCTTTTGCGATCGCCTTCTCTCTAAACGAGCTTTTGCCTGTGCGGCTTCGTAGCCGACCATAGATCTTCGAGTACGTCCTAACAAATCTTCGTACTGTTCACCCGTTTCTGGTGGTTGGATGGAGGATCCGTCTGAGCCACTTTGGGTAAGAGTAACCTTAGTGGGAGATAATGGAGGGAAGTCATCATCTTTTTCATAAGATGTCATCCGCGTCATCGACATACGAGTTCTCTCAGCTAAGGACAAAGTATGGCGATGCTTCTTCACCGGGGACGGCGATGCATTTGACATCGACGCCAATATTTCGTCAGCCATAGCTTGGGTTGGAGATACCGATGTCAACGGTGTGGGTATTGACTCTACAGCCTGGCTCGGATACGATACTTCGGGTTCGGTAGGTGAGAGATCGCGCGAAGTAAAAGAGTGTGAAATTGAAGCCGGCGGAATGTCATCTTCTTTAGGTGCTTCTTGCCTTCTACCTAGATATCTTGTCGATTTCGGTGGCTGAGATGGCTTGATTTGTTCTGAAGTCTCAACTTCTGGAGCTAGACTCGGGTATGTTTTCTTGTTTCGATCGTACGTAGGTTCGGCGGATGATAGCTTCGGTATCTGCCGTCCGGTTCCGAAGCTGGTCTTGGGAGGCATAAGACGGTTTTGGCGTCCAAGCTTGGGTTGGATAGGCTTCTCAACCGGTTCCGGCTTATCTTCTGGATCATCTTCCCATTCACTAATATCGGAGATCGGATCGATTGTAAGCTGCGGATTCGTAGTATCTGAGACGCTATCCGGTACAGGCCCTCTCCTCGAGCCTCTCAAGAAGTTCGAAAAGTCGGGAATCTTCGGCTTCCCAACAGCTTCGAGGTCAGCTTTCATATTATTGATTATCTTAGCATATTGTGGAGGCGGCGCATTAAGGCTCGCTTGGTCTTTTACGTCGATATGACCGATGTTTAGCTGTTGATGCGCAGTGAAACTCAGTGCAACATCTTTCGGCTTGTTCGTAGCTTTTGCTTCTTGGGGACGTTGTGGGGGTAGGCTCCCAAACATCTTCTTTCGAAAGTCGTCCCATTTCTCTAGTCTCGCCCTTTGAAGACGGACTCGGCTGTCTAGCTGCTCCAAGAGGCCAGCATTCTGGTCCTCTAAATCAGAGATTCTTCCTTCCTCTACGCCAGCCCAGACATCGTCGAAGCTACTGCCTAGAAGTCCGCCTTTGCGTGGGTTCGTGTCGTTAAACAGCAGACTATCAACCCACTGATCGTTTCCGGTCCAGTTAGTCCGGATAGTATTGGTGATCTCTGCTTTCGTCTTTTCCGACGGCTTATCCACGCTTCGTTCGGCTTCGACTTTCAATTGTTCCTTTCGTCGGACGATTCCTCGCTCCTTTAATGCTAATAATTCTTCAAAATCGCGGTACTTCGCTCGTGCCGCATTCTTCTTCTCTAACAGGGATCGCAGAGAAACTTTATGCGCAAGTAGTAGCGCATTGAGTTCAGTTCGATCGCCTGAATAACCCCAATTTTCTAGTGATAGGCTTTCGGAGATAGCAGGACGGTACTCAGGTCCCGCGTTCAGCGCACGCTCTGCCACTAATTTCTTCAATACTGCCGAGGAAAAGACAGCAAGAACTTCTTCGAGTCGCTCGCCCTTACACTCGTCCAACATTGTCTTTCGTATTACCGCATCCCGACCGAGAACACCATTTTTCTTGGCTTGCTCGAGGCCTCGGAGGAGGGCCGCTCGTAGGTTGACGGATTGGACTTGGTCGAGGGGAGGGTAGAACGGTCGCAATTTCTATAAGCCATTAGTTAGACGATCCTTCTCACCTAAAGTGCCCATATTAGACATACATTTTGAGCTTCATCGTGATCCCATAGTGTAAATAGTTGGTATAGGGCCCATTCGACACATTGAATCCGCTTCTTCTGTCCACCAGCGGCATCCTTAGTAGAGAAGGTCGCTAGGGTAATACCGGGCCAATCCGACTCGTGATCGAGGTCCAGCAGACGGAGGTTCGTAAGGAATAAAGAGACGTTCAAGGTAGTGCAAGGTATTTGAGCAGATGCGATAGATGTTGGACCAGACTGAGGGGCGGTCAAGGTTGTTTTGGCGGGGACGCGTAGCGATCGCAAGCGTGCCGCCGACGTATTGGCTTGATTAAGCGACATTGCGGCATTGTTGGTAATATCATATGTATTATTGTCTATGAGGCCATGCGTATCGATGTGGTTTACTATATCAGCACCGAAGCCGGTATAGTATTAGTATTAGTATTTCTTAAGGAGAATTGGATAGAAGTTGTAAGTTAGTGGAGTGGATGAATTTATAGCTCTTTATTGTTGATTTCCACCTTCAAATTGATGCGCTAATGTGCTGTAGTGACCTTATCGATAACCACTACTCCATTTCCATTTTCGGGCGATTAGCAGTGGATCGCCCCGCCACTAACCCCTAAGCTTCCAGGCTATTTAGTGATCGATTCATGGATCTCTCCTTACTACAACCAACCAACCAACCTACATATTTAGGTGCCGGCAGCTAAGACAGTAAGAAAGAATACCACAAGCAAGAATTCCGAATAGCATCGTGAAAATCAATTCAAGCTTGAAGAAAACCTCCTGTGTCCATTTTCCCATTACAATTCCCAAAACTTGCTACCCAGCGCCGTATGCTCCAAATCCTATCAATCCCTCCAAAAGAATAGTACTCAAGGAATGTTTACTAAAGCCGCTTAACTCACCAAACCATCGCGATCGCTACCCTCTTCATCTCTCTTAATCTTCCTTTCAGCCCTCAAAACTCCCATACTTTCTCATCTCACACTTATATCAAGAAAGCATCTCCCTCGTAGCTCACTCATCCTCCTTCCCACACCCTCTCGAGCACTGATCCACACTAAGACACCGGCACGCCGAGCATGTACCCGCAAGAATAATCGTCAAGTCACCCGATACAGGGTCACAATGCGCTCCGCTGTTGCTCGCCGAACACATCGCTGTCGTACCCGGGGATCCGCAATCTAGACGCCATGATGCCGGCGCCGGTGTATTAGCTTCCGACGGCGTGGCTGGGGTCGGTGCGGCAAGTACGAGCACGGTGTTGAAGAGTGCGAGGAGAGTGGATATAGTGTTCTATAGGGAAGATTAGTAGGTTAGCTCTGGTTCGAATTATAACCATGGCGAATGAATGAGCGGTTAGATCTACCTTCATCTTGCAGGTATCTAAGCCGAAATACGCTTCTTATATAGGTACGTATCCGGGTCGATATGCGTTACACCGTGAGCTAGCTACCTCAGTATGCTAGTCGATGCGACGTTATAACGAACGCAAGTAAGTCAAAGAGAAGGTCGATCTACTACGTACAGAACGAGAGGCACGTAATTCACCAGAAAAAAACAGGGAGAAGGAAAACGAGGATGATCAGCCACGTCGTTGACTTATCTAGTAGAGATCCACGAAGAAAGCAAGCATCTACCATGGCACCCTACCATTTCTCACCAGAGGCGTAGAGTATATATATAGTTAGGTACCTAGGTGGGTTAGATATGTAACCCGCGAGCCCGGTCTCGATCTGTCCTAATGCCTGCTCCGATTTACCACATGCGTCCCGGCCCTGTATTCAACTAGCCCCAGCTAATATGAGAAATATATCTGCCCGGATACAACCTAATCCCCGGGTGGTTCGCCGAGTTTGGTTATATTTAGGTGATTCTAGATTGTTAATTATTACCCGGGAAACCCTTAATAACCTACCTAGTGATGCTTGTGGTAGTCATTTTCGGGAAGTTTGGTTTGCTTGGAGCATGGACGCCGATTGAAAACTACGGCGTACTGCTATAATCTACGAGATACAACACAGGGCGATCAAACACGCGAACTTTCAATAAAACATCAATTTCATTTTGTGTACAATGTACGGGAAATCTAGTCGAACAAATATGAAGAGACCGAGCTTAGAAATTCTAAAAATAAGCAGATGCTGTCCCTATTGATTACCCGGGATGTGGTAGACTGGCATCTAGAGAGATGGACCCATTTATCCATAGTGCGGCCGACAGGGGCTGCGAGAAGCATGCAGTGATACCTCAAACCCCGGACGCCCGCCTGCCTGTCCCCATCCGGATTTATGAACACTTTTACTCCCTAGCTCAAATAAAATCACGTCCCTAACGCCCTGACAATCGGAAGTCGGCATCAAGCCGGTCGTCCATAGTAGCAGCCGTGCCCTGCCTCCATCGTGCCACTGCCAATCCGAACACCTTATCGTATGCGCCTCCTTACAACACAATAGAAGCTAGCCCTCCTATAATACACATCATAAATTGCTTGGTGAAAAGAGCATCATGTGCCACGTAAATCTCCCTAAACGGGATACCCGCTCTAAACATAGCCAACGGAGGGACTCAAGAGCAAGACCGAATCCAAGCAAATCATATACTTCCTCCATCGGCTTGTCATCGCCCATAGTTATAGCCAAGGCAAAGCCCAGAAGATCCGCGGTCAATCTCGGAAATTTCTATAGCAAGCCTAGGCATCCAGATCCGTACGAAGATGAGCGAGTCGAGATTTAACGAAGACCGAATAGACCCCTCAACTCAGAGACGGTCAGTCGACTAACGCCTTGGGCACCCTCTTCGCTAAGAGCCGCAGTAACAAGTTCGCGTTTCTTTTCCTGCAGTGCGCGAATGCGGTCCTCTACTGTATTCTCAATCAGAATTCGATGAACCGTAACCTCACTTCTTTGACCAATTCGATGAGCTCGGTCAATAGCCTGCTCCTCTACGAACGGGTTCCAGAACGGTTCCAGTATAATGACCTGCGTCGCCGCTGTAAGGTTGAGACCAGCGTTACCGGCCGATAAGCTGATTAACAAAATCTGAGTATCGGGCTTCTTCGTGAAGTCCTTTACAGCCATGTCTCGGTCATTCTGGTCCATACTTCCATCGTAGCGAGCGTATCCGAATCCCGCATCGTGAATGGGAATTTCAAGTAAGTCGAGGAAAGATGTCCACAAGCTAAAGACGAGGGTTTTCTCTTGTGGATTCTTCTCTCTGATCGCGTGTAGGATTTCCATCGTTTTGTTGATTTTAGCACTTGGAACCCAATCCTGTCTCAGACGCTTCAGATATTTGGCTTTCGCCGTAGAATTACTCGAGCTTGCTTTCTTCAGAGCCGCCAGCGACATGAATTTCTTGCCCTTGCGTCCTTTCTTACCAGCTCCATTGTTCCTCTTCCTCTTCTTCTTGGGAGTGGTCGAATTATTGCCGCTCAGTCGCTTTCTCTTACCCTTAGTAAGAGGCGGCTTCTTCTCGTCACCCTCGACATCCGGCGTAGGCTTAGGCGTGGACTCATGCTTTATAGACCCCTTGGGCTGATCTTTGCCAATAGTTTTCATTAAGTCGACTTGTTTCCAGATTTCTTCCAAAGATGCCAGAGAGTCACTGTCAGAGTCCTCTTCCTCTTTCAGGATAGTGTCTTTCGACTCGTCACGCATAGATACTGGGGATCGTTTACACTTTATCTTTTCGAAAACACGACCTTTAGTATCCGAGCTATCGGAATCATCCTCTTCCTTTGTGTCAGAGACAATAAAACCCTTCAAGTTGCCTCGCGCGTCTGCGTCTTCGTCATCCGAGTCGCTCAAGCTTTCAAAGCCGTCGTCGTCCTCACCAGCATCCGAGTCAAGATTATCAGGCATATGAACTTCCATAAAGTAGCAGTAGCATATAACCTTCTCGGGGTCTATCTCTGAGCGGCAAGGTTGGTGAGGACAGGGTTCACGATCTTCGATATTTGATGCTCGCATATCTTCCATCCCAGCGGAGAAGCAGGTTGCACAGATCGGATGACCACATGGGTAGATGATAAGTGGGTTACTGGTCGTCTCATTGCATAGTGGACATTCGAATTCAGTCTGCTCTTTGAGTCTTCCAACCACTTCTTTCTTAAGCTTTTGGGCAAGCTTGCGCATCTCATCGGATGAAAGCTGTGTCCCATCGGGTATACCGAAATCTTTTATGAGATGTGGGTGACAGCAAGCTTGGCGGAGGCGAAGGAGCAATACTAGTATGTAGCTATACTTCTTCATTATAGTACCAGCCTTAATAAATTCATTGACTTTGAGTTGCTGCTTCTGCTCGAGAGCATCGTAGAAATCCTGTTGATCTTTGTTGAATTCAGTCATAGATTCCTCCCTGACCAAATTCGGCAGCCGGAGAATGGGCCGGCCGTCAAGAATGCTTGTCTTGGTTCGTCGTAGGGTAATACTTCTAAACAGGGCTTGAAGTTTCCTCATAGCAGCGTCCTGGGCGTTCGCATTGCTCCAATTCTGCATTGGTCTGTTGATTTCCCACCTGAACTTTTCCCAGTTGTTGTAAGGTTTGATACCGAGAAAACGAATGAGTGAGAATATTTCTTCTGCTCTGTTCATGAAGGGAGTGCCCGTCATGCATAGTCTATAAGTAGCCTTGATTTGGCAAGCAGCTACCGAAGTCTTGGAGAATCTGTTTTTAATGTTGTGGGCTTCGTCTAGAATGACACGATGGAAGACGGCTTCTTTGGATAGGATCAACTTATTCGCGTTACCTTTCTGAGCTTTGTTTTCCCACCTAATTGTTCCGTACGTAGTCAAAACAACATCATAGGTAAGAAGTCTGGCGACCGTCATCCCACGTTTGGCCTGGTTGTGTAGCACGATTGTCTTCAGCTTGTGGCTAGGCTTTACTTTCGTCTGTATCTCCTGCTCCCATTGCTTGAGTAAAGAAAGCGGTGCGATTATAAGTGTGGTCTTCTGGGTACGATCTCTCGACGGGCGTGCCAGGATCAAGGCGAGAGCCTCAATAGTCTTACCTAGACCCATAGTGTCTTATGGAATATACGGTTAACAATCTTCGTCGCACCAAACCCTAACAGCAATGGGACTAATTACCTGCTAGGATTCCACCTTTCTTGTGGTCATCCTCTTCTTGCTGCATCAGCCAGGTCAAGGCAACCCTTTGATGCTCCATCAGCATACAAGACATCGCAGCCGGGGTAGGTTTTCGTTGTTCCCGAGGGATGTCAATCTCCGGTAGTTTCAAGAGCCGCTGCATTTGTTTCTTCGACTCCTCGGTTCTCTCCGGTTCCGGATCTGGCCAATATGAACCGGCATTTCTATCAAATTCATAACCAGCATTATCTTCAATTTCGCCGTAATAATATGGCGAGGGAGAAATACCTCCAAAGGGTAGAGTGGGTTGTAGGTGTTGGTTCAAGTGGGTATGTTGTTGAGGAATTGTTTGAGGATATTGTTCAAAGTACGGCAAAGGCTGCTCTGGAATATGTTGTTGATATTGCTGGGCGTACGGTTGAGGGCTCGGCTGAGGAACCGGCAGTGAGTATGATGGAAGCAGCTCAAATTGGCTGTGGTCGGTAGGGTCCATCGATGCCTGGTATTCGTCGTAAAGATCGCGAGCGGTTCTAAACAAAGTAGCAACACCAGGAAGAATTTCAGAAACAGGTCTACCGGAGTTGGCCATGGCAGCGAATTTTCGGGCGATTTGGGGTGAATCCGGGAAGCGATCCTATGTGGCGCTCGGTTAGACTACGTAAATCCGAGGTCGGTGAATTGATGTCTTACCCTAACTCTGCGAATCAACTTGGCAATGCCCCCGGCGTCAGCAGATTCCGGTTGATCTACTTCAGCTCGGCTCTGTTCAGGCTGTGGTTGTCGTCTTTCTTCTCCTAGTGACTTCCGATGAAGTAATTCGGATTGTTCTCGATCTTCACCTTCACGAAATTCTCGCGTGCGTTCGCCTCGATGGTCTACTTCTCCGGTTCGATCTCGCTCTCGTGCCCGTCGCGCCTGTATTTCTTCTTTTACTCGATGATATTCCTGTCGTAGCCTTGCCTCACTTGCCTGCCTTGCGATGCGATCCTGTTCGGAATGGGGTAAGCGATCGTCGTCTTCGAACGGGTTAAGGCGTGAATTATTAGGAAGTTTGTCGCTTGCATACGAGGAACGCGCGGGATTGTCGCGTTGTCGATTTAAGGAACTCTGAGTTGGTGAAGAAAGAGGCGGTGGGGGAGAAAGGGGAGGAGGCATGATGAGAAAATGATTAAATTCTGCCTGGGTGCATGTAGGGCTGCGCCTTCGTTTGTCAGTCAGTTAGGTTCCAATCTTGCGATCGAGGCTGCGAGGCGCAACGCCAGGCTCCCTCTAGTTAGGTAGCACCTGCAGCCTGAGAATCAATGAAGTGTTTGTGATTGGTTCGGTGTTGTATTCCCGCAGATAACATCCTTCGAGGAGGAAATGACGGTGAAGAAGGGAAAAAAAAGTTAAAAGTTGGATGGAAAGAACAGTAAACGTTTTGAGGGATCTTGACTGCCTAAGTAGATACAACATTAAATATTTAATCCTAGAACGAACAAAGACCCATTAACCCATTACGTCGGAAAAGATGCTAGTCACCCAAGATTGACGCGCATAATCGCGGCTCCACGTGCCTAAGTAGCGCACGGCTCCAAAAGAGGATTAAGCGACCCATAAATACATTGTCTTCTGTTTATTTCAATAACTTAACAAACTCAATTGTCAAACGGCCTGTCCAAAAGTTGCTAGCCAAATGAAGATTCGACAAACAAGCAGGTACGTTGTGGCTTTATTCTAGACTAAATTTGGCCTTTCGGTGCAGTCAAAACGGCGTAAATTTAGAAATTCCATTACAATTAGGTATACAAGGCAAGAGGGTATGTCCTAACAGAAACCTAGTAGAAGGCTCTGAGTCACCTTAACTACGAGGTACATAGGTAAGCGCCCATGTATCCATAATGTGTCGGTACAGGGGAACCCCACCTCAGCAGTAGCCGCCGTAGTGTATTAATGCAACATAAGGTTAGGTGCATTAGCCAGCCCTGGAGGGCTCTTATGAATCTAATGTCACTATACAACCAGGTATAGCATTATATCATACACCCTGATCCTTATGAAAAAGGGAAGAATCCACATAAAGTTCATCGTAGATTCGCAAGTAATTAATTATACTAAAGTCTAAAGACATCTGTACATATATCTTACTTGCCTAAGCAATAAAGCTAACGACGCTATGTTTATATTTACACTATCAAGTATATAAATCATATAGTCTTCATACAACTTATGCATTCAAGATCCAGCTGCAGCCTGCTACTTGCGTACGCAGATAGCTCTCATAACGATCAACAATTTATAATAACCAGACGAGCGAATGATCATTAAGAATAGGTCACTCCCTACCTACGCCACCTTCCATCAACAAAAAGAAAGATTTGCCCGTATACAGATTTTTTAAATAACGCGGGCAATTATCAGAAAAGCGCCAAAGAGTTCAGATGTCATATTTGGCAATGGACTATCAAACGCAACTGATTTATTCATGATAGTCAAGCAGGACTATCTAGGCATCTATGTCCATATTATCATCACTATCCCCACCAACGACAACTTCCCCCTCACCAGAATCCTCATCGCCATAGTAGTCAGTACCACTACCACCATCGTCGTACGTAGCGGCATCCAAGATATATGTTTGAACTAAACGTTCAAGCTCCCCGTCAGATTCAGTTCCGCCTTCTTCCCCATCGTCGCCATAGTCCTCAGCTGTTTTATCGAAAACCCCGTTTACAATCAATTCATGTAATTCGTCCAGTCGGGGTTGATTTTTAGGGTCGACAGCCATTAATCTCTGAACAAGGAAAATCAGATCAGGATCGTAACCACGAGGAAAATTAGTGTCATCCAACAGCCATCCACGCACATCTCCTTCATAATATAGGTCCTCTTCGCCAGATAGCATTCGAACCATAGCCTACGATTATCAAGCCAGTTAGCAAATATCTATAAGTTATAAAGACGCCATATAGGTGAGTACTTACCACTCCAATATCTAATAGATTTCTATCAACTCCCCTGTTCCGTCTTTCGTTATCTCGGTCTGGATGCCTATCCATGTATTAGCAATAGTTCTCATAGCATAGTTAGTCGGAATCACCTACTTTGCTGCTAAATCTAGCCGTTCATCGTATCTTAAATTATCAGGTGGGGTATCCTGGTCAAATGGCAGCAGCTCCCTCGCCTCACCGAAGTCTATGAGCTTCAACATGGGAACATAGGGGTGTTGGTCAGTCGGATACCTCCCTGATGCGTTCCGCATTGACAAACCTAGTTCCCCGAACATAACTTATTATGTAAGGTTAGCAACTAATTTACCTTGTACAGGGAAGTGGGCATTCCCCGTGAGGATTACTTACAGTTACCATTATGCATATCAAGATGGGTAAGCGTTGACGGCATGTCGGGTCCGGGTACTTCTAGCCCAACATCCGGGCCATCGGGCGCCCACGCTAGACCAATGGTCGCTCGTATAACTAAACACCGATTAGAATGTACTCGTAAGGACATAGATACTTGAATAGGTAAATACTTACAGCAACCCAGGATAGCCCACAGAAGACGGTTTGGCAAGTTTTCTCTTGCGTCCTTCGCTCTCCTTATGAATATGGCAAGAGTACCATGTGTCATGTACTCCGTCACTAAATAAGGGTATCCAAGCCCATTTGGCATACCTCGGAAGAGTATAACCCTATTGATATGATCCGCAAACTGAAGTCTCTATACCAAGATTAGTAAATGTTCTCCAAATATTCACTTTTACGGGGGACTTACTCTCAACCAGTGGTCTTCTATTTCAAGGTTGTTGTACATACCAACTTTTACCGCTACATGCTGATCTATGTTGCCCGTCTGGTATCTGAGTAGCGCTACCACGTCTGAGTCGCGGCTCTGGAGAATTCTTACAAGCTGAAAGGCCGGCTTACCATCGAAGTAGTCCTCAACATCCTGAGCTAATGACATTTTGATTATTCGGTTAAGACTAAGATATACAACTTAGATCGTTAACTTATATTATCACGCTATTATTATAACAATACCTAGGTATCACTTATTGTTCATCACTAACACTATTATCATAGATATTTGCGTGTATATATAACTTTTACAACAAACAACAACGGACCAATTCATAGATAGTTTGAGATCCTACTTCGCTTATTTATTAGAAATACATTGTCTTATTGAATTTTAAATCTTCAGTCGTTTCGATTTAGTCTTTTGTTCTATTGTTCAAATATTGTGTTGAAACCCCTTCCCTATGTTGTGTAAGAAAACAAGTCTTTAGTTCCTCTCGCATTTTCCATGCCTACCTCAAGATTTCGAAAACCATAGTTTCTGACCTTGCCAGACCACTTTTGTGTGTACGAATCGACAAGCGATTTGCACTGAGCGAGGCTGGCGGGCCGAATATGGGGAAATTTAATGTGAGTCGAGTTGAATCGAACTTCGAGATTGTTGATTTTGGAAAAAAGTGCTCTGAAATACCCCTTAAGCCTTTGGAACTCGTTTATCCTCGATATAAAAGCATATTGATCAATCGTTGCTCTAGTAGCAATTCTTTGTAACCCATCCATATCATTGAGTAGCCAGTGTTTTAGGCGTTGCGACGAGGAGGCTCGCCTTTCTGAGATGAGAATTCAAGGTGGAAGGTGCATTATCCGCGTCTCGCGAACATTGTGGCCCTCCGCGCCAATATAACGGCCTGTCATAAAGCTGTTGGGCGTGTCAGTAACTCCTGAAAGTTGTAGGTATTCCCGACAATTTAGAACTGGGTTAGATGTGTGAGAAAATTTGCCTCCAATGCAAATTTCCAAGGGCGATATTACGGCACACGTCAACAAAATGAAGCACCTCGCGGTCCACCCTCTCTCCATAAGATGGTAGTTCGGCAAGTGCGGTATACCAACGTCTATAGCAGCCATCAATCAAGACACCAAGTTCATCAACAGATTGTTGAAGGGACATGCCCTGCTCCATAAAGAGTGGGATTAGGTTATGATCGACACCAAACTCCTAGAGACAAAACCAAAACTAACTTATTGCCCTATACGCCGCAATTGGTACTAGGGTGGGATCATTTACCAAGTCTTTCTGGTATGATAGAACGTCATTCACCCTAAAACCTTTTTGTTAGCCGCAATTTGATTTACTTCCATGCGTTCTAAACCTACAAAAGTGTAAGCTCGGCTGAGACACGCATACATTCCTGCATAGAGCTGTGCCTGAAAACACTCTACGGCAGCTTAATATCATGGGCGTACTCTACTATAGGGACAGCCGGGTAGACTCCTACTGAGCCTCTGCGGTCACTCAGATACGTCGGTACGTCACGGCTGAGGATCTCCCCTCTAGCCAACTGCTGTACCTGCAACAATATCCCGTCACAAAATCTCTTGTTTTCAACTTTATACCGTTGTTGGAGCTCTGTATCCTCTTTTAGCATAAGCCTTCCTAAATACCTAGACAATAGGACTGGTAACATGAATATCCAATAGACTTACCTGGGGACGCCCTTTGCTTGAACTGTAACCAGCACGTCTGGAAAATGTGTCGGATTGGATTCTCGGTCGGTGTAACTAGTGGCGCGGCCTCATCCATGATAGCCGTAGTTTTGTCAATTTCTTCTTCCGCTGCAGCAGGATCGTCCCTTAAGTGGCCCTCGTCAAACTCTGAGGAAATCAGTAAGCTGGGGCGCATCGGGGTATCGTTCTACATACGGTCGTCAAAATAGAATACCTGGATTTCAATTCATTAGTCTCATTATACTATTAAGATTGCGATTCGGGCGAGAATGTAAAGGGTTCGAAGAGGGAACCAACCCACTGAACCCAATTAGTTATCATTTTTAGCGCTTCTTCATCAGCGTCCGGTGCACGTATGGACATGAGATAACAGAAATCCATTCCTACATTTCGGGCGCTGGTTTTCTCGTCCATTTTCATGACTCTTGAATGTCATCATATATCAGTCTCGGTCTGTCTGTGGCCCCAGCCAACAATTGTCAGGGCGGTTACCCACTTTGTAATCCATCTATTGCTTTCGGCTCTGGCCTTGAAATAATTCGGGTTTACTATTGGCTTGGAGGCCATTATTGAAGAAAACAAATCTGGAATTCGAACCGAGCGCCTCTCTGCAAGTCGCTTGGCTGGCTTGGGAAAATCCGACCTTGATGACGGAGTTGCGCTTGAAGGAAGCGAGCTATAATAGTTCGACATCGTGGAGTATGTTCTACATGGCGTAACGAAATGGCGGGACCGCCGCAGATAGTGATATAGCATTTCTCAAAATAGCCGTAAGGACCCTAGGGGAAGATTTGCGTTGTCACAAAAGAGGCAATTTCCAACAGGCTTTGGGTCTAAATTGTCGAATCGATATAATGGAGCTGCTGTATTATCAGTCTGTTTCTAATAAATCTAGAGGGTGAGTTTCCACCTATCTACCTATCTCGACGGACTGAGGCGAGACGGCTTATGCCGAATGCAATCTAGAGCTAAATGATCTCATTATTCTAACGGGGAGGTAACTCTACCCAATGTATTATCATTACTTAGGGGATCTTGCCTGGGTTGGTACAGGTCTGTGGTATTGCTATGTTTCTTCTCGGAGATGGCACCCAGTAATCTTCTCCGTGATCTTTACTGCCATCTCTATACTTAAGCCATCTACCTCAGCGGTAGGTGGGGCCGTGCTGGAAGCCATTTAATTTTACCCTTATAAGGGGATGTGAAGGCGGCTTGGTCATGCTTGGGGCGCTTCCACATGTCGGGAACATCATGGATCGCGGCCGCCCTATTGTCCGCGCTCAGATAGTGCTTAGGTCGCCATCACTCATAAAAACCGTCGATCAGCTCTGATTCTTGTTACCAAGGTATAATTCCATCTTCGCTCGTCAGTAAAGGCGAGGGAAAAAAGAGCACCTAAACAAATGTGACGCCTCCTAGCAATACGATGTCCAAGGCGCACTGAGCCGACGAGATAGGCGCGAGATGTTACCTTATTATAAGCCACCCCCACCAATGCTGCAATATCTACCTAGGTAGGCATGTCTAAGCCTGAAATAGGTCGGCCATTCTCATGGCATTCAATAGTTAATGTGGGAGAGTGAAATTAACCAATGTGGCGTCCGAAAGGAGCCGACATGCAGACAAATCAGCGATTCGTCAGCGGAAAAGCAATGCTTAAAATTATAGACAGAATTCTTAATTCGTATGCAGATATGCCCGTGTCGACTCAAGATGAGAATATCGTGTAGGCAGACGATGATTGAAATGCCGTGCGATGTAGATCTCCAAGTTTCTGTCTCCCTGAGAATCCGGCATTGGTTAGAATGCCCTATCGGAGTTAGCAGACGCTCTGAAACAGCATAAAAAGCAAAATAGTATCAGAAATAACTACCTGCACACCCCGAGTACCTGGATACTGCACTGCTCCCGCCACTTGTAATAGTAATACATGGCCATCCAGACTGCCAGGTAGGTACATCAATACCCTTTACTCTTCAATATTGGCCCATGTTTTGACAAAGTTCATATATTTCGAAATTCAAGCCAATAATGCTATCGGTGGTTAGGATGTATATTCCATCTTGTGATATGAGAAATATCCTCCGGGCCCTGATACCTACCTAGGTAACTATCTAGGTACATAGGTAGGTGTGTGGGCATTGTCTATACCACAAGTACCAATTTCTCTCCGCTTACGCCCTTGAGCATCTTCTCCAAACCCATTTGCAGTGCACCAAGCCCGCCACCCACTATATGGACCGGGAGTGGCAGTTTGTACTTCCCTTCTTCCAGTAAATTTTGCAGGGATCCCATCATATTTTCAACCCCCTGTATCTGGGATAGGTCTCGGCTCCTGAATAATACGCTGTCCACGCCACTAGGAACCTTGATTTCGTCGTCACCGGTCCAAACCTGTGCATATTTCTTAGGGCCTTGGGGGTCAAATGTCTCAAAAACGTGTTTCTCAGTGGCTCCAGCGCCAACAGTGTCGATAATGGCGTCAACACCGCGAGACGCCGGGCTGGCCTCTTTCACATCAGCAACCAATGTCGTTGAAGTTCGATCAAAGGCTCTATGGGCGCCGAGAGTATTGGTAAGACGGCTGTGATGTTTTGGCGAACTTGTCGTCAGCACAGTGCAATCCGGCAGCGCAAGACGGAGCAGCTGGATTGTGGCGGCGCCAAGAGCAGAGCTACCCCCAAGAACTAGAGCCGAGGAGGGAACAAACCCGGTGGCTGGACCATCCTTAAGGAACGGCAATGGAGTCTTTAAGCCAATTCCAAGCCCTGCTAAGGCCGTGTAGTAGCAGACGCTGATATAAATTAGTACACTAGGTAATTATCCTTCGAAAAGGGGAGGGGTGGTCGGAACACGCACCCTAAAGTCGCTGCCTCCTCAAACGACCACGTAATCGGCTTCTTAGCCACTGATTCCTCTTGAACCACTGCGAAGTTCTGAAATGATGCGGCACGATCTCCGGGTATGAAATTGGCCAACACTTCGTCTCTTATAGAGAAGTTCCTAACTTGATCTCCAACCGCGTCGACGATACCAGAGCCATCGAAACCCGGCACAAGCGGCCATGAGGTCACTCTATGACCCTGGTATGCCATTTTGACATCCGCGGGATTAACTGCAATTGCTTTGAGGCGAATTAATACCTCATTAGGACCGATGTCAGTTGGTATTGGTGTGACTTTCTCTTTCAGGGGGGCGCCCTTCTCAGTGACAATGTACTTAATATTTTGTGATGCCATACTGGAAGTTGCCGAGAAGAGTATTACCGATGCTCCTAACTTTACAGTCCGATCGGATCGGGTATCCGCTCGGCGTATCCTTGGTGTGCTCAAGAAGATGTGGCTTTTTCTAAGTAGATATGTCCAGTGGATTGTTCTTATGTTTGAAAAGAGTGTTCCCCGTGAGAGCATGCCACCGGATATTATACCCTGGGTCTCGCTGTAAATGCACAATTGCCACAAGAAGAGGCACTGTCAATCAGCACATATATAGTAAGTATTTTTTAAGAATCGAGTATTTTCATCAGACATACGAACAATTTCTACGTTCAAAATGGGAGGAAACCGGAGTTAGGAAATACGTTCGGGTTTTAAGGTATTAGTTCCGACTAGCCCTTGGATACCCTGGATAGGTACTTTGGGCATCGCAGGGTAATGTAAATCACATGCTATGAACTTCGTCCAAGGTGCTAGATGATGATAAAGTGGATCGAGGAGGCAGCCGTCGCCGTCGCCATCATCTTGATCTCGCCCACTTTATGCCCAAAGTTAACCACCCGCAGATCGATCGCGACGAGTTCTACATTTCCTTCATTCATATCAACTTCTTTTCGTAGAGGCGATACTCCGTAGGACCAGCCAGCTGTGGAGCCAGACTCGGGTATTCGACTGCGAAATCCTGACGCCCGACGAGTTGATACCCCAACTTGCTATACCACGCATTCAGGCGCACCTTAAAGGGATGTTCAAAATGCGTGGGTACCAATAGATCGACCTGTGAGATAGCCACACCCGGACCTCCTAGGTTATCGCGGCACCAGTTCTCCGCAAAGACCAACAGATCTCGACCAAATCCGCGGCCACGCTGGTCCAGCGAAACGGCGAATAAACCCAGCTCGCCACGAGTGTCGCTGAGTTTGCGGATGGAGATGCAGCCTAGAGGAGTGCGCCCGGAGGGTGATTGGGGTGTGGTTTTGGTAGGTATGGAGGCGACAACTAGGCTTCCTGATCGAAGGAGTACGCTAACATCGCTGGCGGAGGTACGTAAATACCCTGGCTTGAAAATACCTGCTTCATCCTGCGCATACGCGGCGTTGACGGTGCCTACAATTGTCGTAACGAACGTCTCGTCATCTGCGACTGAAGTAGGCGGAATTTCAATTGTAATCTTAGCCAGCGAATCTGATGATGTACCATTGGTGATAGTGGATACCTCGCCGCTAGTTACGCCGGACTCGGCCATTCTGTGACTGTTTATAGTGGGTAGGGTCCTGACGGGCTAGTGCTCTTTGTACCGTAGGTATGTGTCAATACAGGAGAGAACTTCGACTTAATGAAAGAGAAAGGATAAGAATATATGGGACGACCATCTTGATGTGTCCTTTTTATATCAACACACTAGTCTGTTTTCCTCATCTGGGGCGATATGACTCTAGGGGAACTTTTGTAGATTCACAGGAATGAAAGGTGCTGATATTTTTATAGGTACCTAGTCACCAACACAATTAGCCCTTGCATGATGTTGGTTCCTAGATGGTATATGCTATATGAGAATTCTGGGGACTCCCTATATCCGAATGCGATTAAGATCTGTCTTAGCCAGGCACTTAGTCGACAGGGGGGTTAGAAGGGTTTGACGAAGTTTTAGTATTTCATGTTGGCGCACTCACTAAACACATTTCGCATCTAAAGGATTTTCGTAGAATAAGATTGTATTTATATTATCCATTACACTTAGTCGAATCTGTCGGTCTCACGACGTCCATCGTTGCCCTTTCATTGGGCTAAACAATATCTTCAGCGTGTTCATATCCAGAATACACATTCCACTCCTTAATTTTTGTTTCAATCCGTCTCAAAGAAGCTTCCGTTCTTCTTTAGCATAGACAAATCGATGAGACCCATAACACGTCCGTCGAGACGTCTAACATTTTCATCCCAGTACCAGTATACTCCACAGGCGCCTGCAGTGATGGCAATTTGGGTGATTCCCATCCCCAAAGCTGCGGCCTCAAGACCATCCCACTCAAACACGGCATCGGGCAGGCCCAAAATGAAGGTGCCTATAGCGAGATTTCGTAGGCATGCTAAGCCGCCATGCATATCAGCCGTATTTCGCAAGCCGACAGCGAGATTCGCGGATGTGAAAGCTGTAGATCGCTGGATGACAGGCCGAATTGTAGCATCAAGGCCCAAGGACCCGACAGCTAGTAGTCCCAGTAGGAACGATACCACTGGGAGGCTCACGCGGTCTAAACCCAACTCCCATGTAGTACTGAAAAGCTGAGCCGAACCATTCGACGGCATCGCCATCGATCCCGCTAGATACAACCCAAAACCTAACATCCCGATGGCAGCGATTACAGTAGCAATTGCGAGAGTAGCTAGGTGAACGATCGGTGCGAAGCGAAGATGAAATAGTGGTAAAGCAAGCGCGATGGCTACAGGGGTAGCTAGGAGGAATGGGCCAGTCATTAAAGCACCAAGTGATCCAGGGGTTAACATAAAGGGAAGAGGTGAGAAGAGCAATGAGAGCGAACTTGCAAAGCCCCAAAGGCCAGCATAAGGTAAAAGAGTGAGGGTAAAAAGAAGGCCCGTTGTTGGAGCAAACATCGCTCGGGGTGCCTGTAAAATGAGAGGTATGTTGATTTTGGTTGCCTGGTACGACCATGGCTTCATCTTAGCGATATATCCCAAGGCAGCTTCCTTTGTGTATGTCACAGTTGGAAATAGTGCCTGAGAACGTTCAATGGTGGGTGGTTCGGTCTCGGAGACTACACGATTATACGTCGTTTCCGGAGCACCGAACACTAGTAATAAGATCGAAATCGTTAAAAAGGCGCTCATAATCTCGAATTGTAGCTCGAAGCCCCTAGGACCGTCTGAAGCAACACCGCCGAGTAGGGGAGAACCTATCATGGTCACGATCGACACAGCATAATGAATTACGATCATTAACTGTCGTTCGTGTTCCTAGGAAAATTAGTATGACTTTTCGCCATTAAAACTTGATCGATTTTGCTCACAAAATACGTGTCCTGAATCGACGCCAAAGTCAAGGTATCAAACGCACCCCAACCTAACCCCTGGAATACCCTCGCGGCCATATTCTCCCCCATATTTCCCCTCACATGCGTATTCCAAACCACCCCGATGAATATCATTACCATTGAAACTAAGTATACCGGTCTTTTACCCCATAATCTTGCTATTATTAATGAAGCTAGTCCCGTCACTGCAGACAGCATTAGAGGAACGGCAGTTAAGGCCACCGCCGACGTATAAGAGTCGTTTTCTTCAATCGCGATCGCACTGTTCACACTGATATATGCCGTTTTCATTACTCCAACCAACGCGACCATAGAAAGCAGCGCCCCAAGATTCAGATGTTTTTTCCATAGCGGCCAATTGAGAGGATCATCTGGGTCCTCACTCGGTTGCGGCGATAGTTCGATGTTCGCATGCTTTCCCGTGCCATACTTGATAGTTCGTTGGCTCGAATAAGAATAGGCCGTCGCTGTAGTAGCTACTGTGACTGTGGTCGCCGCGGTCGCTGGTCTGAATGGGTCTTTCGAGACTGGTCTTGGCGGGCGCTCCTCCATCTCGGGAGTCCCCAACGAAAGTTCAACTCCCTTCTCATTGCCTCCCAACGCCGTTAGCAACGATTCGAGGTCACTCGTAGTGGTTGTCGCTCGGTTGCTATCTATCGTCGCATTTTGTTCGCTAGAATCGCTGGAGTCTGGAGAGGATTCGGTTAAAGGTGTTGGTGGTGGCAGCGGTGGAAGTGTCTTCCGGAGGTTGATCGCCTTCTTCGCTGGTCTCAGAGGCGCAGGAACATTCTTCTCTATTTCGAATATCTCGATGCTCGACGTCGTCGGCTCGGGACTTGTCATAGCGGCGATCCTTATATGATCTCCCCCCCTCAGCTATTACTCCTGAAATCTTTATTCCACGATATGTCTGTTTCTGCCGGCTGTTATTCTAACTTCGAAGAACGTCGTCGATCGTGTCATCGACAAGTGAAAGAAAATAGCAATTAGTAAACCAAATTAAAAGAACGTTAGATACTATGAAAGAAAGGGCAGCCAGGCCCACGAAGATCAACTTCGAAGAAACGAAATCGCAAGGTAAACTCAATATGGTGATGAAGAACGCAGATGAAAACTGCGATGAAGAAAATCAATTAAGCAACAGAAAGGGAAGCTAGCTTCAAACCCAATTCAACAATAGGATGGCACGGACAGTCAGTGTGTGACGGATCGTCATATCCTCATGGGTATCACAGACCCTAGTCATCGTGAGCAAGGGTATCATTCGTCGAAGCTAAGGGTGTGGACCAAATTCGATAAACCCCAAGATCATTAACGAAACAATTCCAAGATGAATTTGTCGGTGGCTGGAACTTCAAGCAAAGTCGAAACCCCATTGCCGTCATATCTTACCTCTTTTCGATCCTCCATCGTCATAAAGTCCTATTAGGACTCGGAGCGATATGTAAGCTAGTCCAGAATTTCTTAGGCCAGAATCCTATCACCACCGTCCGAGACGATACACCATATGTCCTCAGTAGGAAAAGAGAATGAACTTCCAGGCAATGTGAATGGAATGACTAGGTCCATTAGATCTGATTCCGCATTGCTACAAAGCATCTCGAAGCATCTCGTGGAAGTCGTAGGATCGTGGGATAACGATAAGAGCCCTAAAAAACTCGGCCTATTCCGATTCTACGCTTGGACCATAGGTAGGTATTACTGAAACCCGCCTGATGCAGGGAGCGTGTCGCGGATCCTCCCGCAATACTACGTTAGAAACAGGTATCGGGTACTTAAGCGAGCTGAGCTTGGCTACCTAGGTAGGTAAGAAATCTCGCCAACGCGATAAATAACTCTTCATATATACTTAGTTACATATCGAAATCCTCCGTTTCCGTGAAATTGACTTCAAGTTATCTACCTAAATGTGAATACATAAGCACAATTCAACTATTGTAGGGGGCCTAGTTTGGTTCAAAGATGATTAGCAGTATTTATCAAACAGACCCCCCGGTGTTGACCAAAGCGTTCAGAGAGACATGTACAAGGATTAACAAATGCCTGTTCCCAGTCCCGTGAAAATTCTCTTGTTACACGATGCATGATTAAAAAGTAACTCCGGACCAAAACCCACCAAATACCCCTCATTAACATAGATCTCTCCCTCGTGGGTTCGGAGAATTGATGTAAGATGACTTGGGACCTCGGAGCCTTATCACAGGACGTGGGTCTCGAAGCAACTTCTTCATCATACGTACCTCACTTCCATATATCCGTCGGCAATCCCATTGTGTCTAGCCTGCGATCTATGCAGGAACAATGCAGTCAGCGTCAAACATAACCGGACAGAACCGGGTACAGGTGAGATTTGAACGACGGCGACGCTCCGATAGGTGGGCTGCGCTGGAAATGCCGTGACGCACGGCCCCATGACGAGCCAGTTCATAAGTCACAACTTGCGAGACTCGATGTAATGCCATAATCGAGACCGGCGTAGATCATACAGACGGGATGGCCGGAGCAACATTATTCGCGGACGGAGAACTCACCACTGTGAGGCGTTATTGGTTGGCATCGTGAAAGACCTAGATCTTCGGACTTCCGGGTTTCCCGTGGGCTGCCCACGCTTGGAGTCTCATGATCTCGCGAGCGATGTCGGTGTCACAAGTAAACCGCAGAGGGTACAAATGGCAATGCTCTAATTTCTATCCTACTATACTTTGTCTAATTCTAATTTTCCTGAGTTTGAAGAGAACAGCTATTACACTGAGTTCTCAACCAACGTCAAACTCGACCATCGTCTTCACACAGTACCAAGGGTTCGTCGCGTATTGACGATCATGTAGAATCGCTTCGTTCCACCGCCCTCTCTGCAAGTTCGAATAGTGTATCCATCCAATTAAGTCGCGCAGTCGAGTTATTCTTCAATTGTGCCACATATTAACAATTACATAACAAATGTAGCCGCCATTGCTCGAAAGTGTTGTGTCGATGAAACTGCGCATTGCAAGAACGTATTGCATGGATGTATAATGCCGCTTCCTGGAAAGTAAACGGCTCCTAAATCAAAAGTATGTAAGTCAAATACTCTTTATGGTTGACAATGTAGTATGTATATCCGACCAGGATTGGTCGGAAAGAATAAGCAGGCTGGAACCAGCCAACGCAACTCGCTTTGGTCATTTCCATTTTAAATTCGGTCCACTAGGCCAAAAACTTGTCCTCCGCACCAGTGGAACATCATTCAACAGCTTTGTTGGTCCCGCCGCCTCACGGTTTGAGTCGCGAGTAGAACTCTCGTGTCTCGGAATTAGGCCGTGGATAGATCGGACATCGCGGTGGGGTTGATAGGTACTCTCTCGCCGCGTAGGATGCGGAAGAACTGATAATGACCGTCTCCGGATATCTCGTTTCTAAGGCTCTCAATCTCGAATAGCCCTTTCTTTTTAGAAGGATGCAATTACGACTGCTTTACCTGCATGAGTGACTTGCTGAGCTTCGGCTGTTTCGAAGCTCAACAATAGCCAATTCGCTCTTATGAGCAATTCTATGATCATGTAAGCCATTGCTCGGCATTGACCCAAGCAGTAGTAGCTTTGGAAAACATACCTTGATACTCTAATGAGTATGATACCGACGGTTCTTCATCTCGGCCAAAGAGGATAGGAGTGGGTACACTTTGATCCTGAACAACCTTGAATCTTAAGCCGACGGTCTTTGTTGAGTCATTCGTCCATAAGACGGATGTGTCATCCACGCTCTTACTCGCTCGCTGTTGCATCCCCGCCACCTTTGCTGCTTCGCTCTTGAGCCAGTCACGCTTTACGCGAATAACGGTGTCCGTAATGTTGGCGATACTGGAAAATAGGCCGCGCCTAGGCCCAATTTTGACTAGGTTGGTGATAGTGCAAAGCTGCGAGAAAGGTTCGTCGGAGTCCAGGTATATATCGTGTGAAGGTCCCCGCATGATGGAACCCGCCGCTTCTCCGAATATAGCGCCGGGCTGTTCATCTCCTAGATAGGGGCGAAATCGTACGTAGAGATTGTTGAGCTCACGGAGGTCGGCATCATCGCCAGCCTCTACGAGACCATCCACACCAAGAAAGTCGCAGTGTAGAGAGGGCGTGGAGAGCTTCTCACTTGGATGATAGCACTCGAGGATTACTTGATGGCTCTGCAACCTCGAAGCCTCCACAAGACGAGAATAATGCACACGGCCCACGAGTCCATAAAAACGGCGGCACACAGCAGCCAGGGGCAACAACGAGCGAGTTTCGAAAGAGCTTAGGACTTGGATTATGATCTTGCAGGTAGGTGTTAATATCTCCAATCCTAGTTAAAAGGGGGGGCATGTCATACCTCGTTCGGAAGGGAGCCGATTGATAATTGTGAGGGCGCCATGCCGTGCAACACGGGTAGTACCAAAGATTCAGAAATAAATCAACGAAAACACAAAGCACGTTATCGAGCAACTAGAAAATCTCGACCGCGCTTCGGCAGGATCTATCGATTTTTATATATCGTGTTTTTCGGGGGCTCTTGGCGGTGAATCTGATGTAAGCCAGGCTATCCGGCCAGGGGGGCGATCCAACCAACGACAATACAATCAATACTGGACCGACCCAAGACTGCTCCTTGCTTGCCGTACAACAAAGATTCAAGCCCTAACAGTATCGATTTGTTGTAATTGCGATACAATCAGATGTTGTAGATCCACCGTCTTTCCGAGTGAAAGCCGGGCTCAGCTGTTACGGAACACGCCAGGTCGACTGATAGCCTAATTTTTCGACTGGTTAGGTCGTCCGGTTTACTCCGAGGCAACTACGTGTCTGATGGATTGAGATTTCGAGTATCACAATATGAGTAGAGTTTGATACGAGCTTTATTGATCGACCATTGGTTTCTTATGATTATAAAGCAATATCGTGTAATGCAAGTTAGTCTTCGAGATGATTAAGTCGATGATGACGACGAATGTCTTTTTGCCACCTTTCCATTAATTCTCGTTATCATTATATCGGTCGGTACAGTAAGTTACCGTGTTATTATTACTATTTTTACTGTATTTCTTTATGTTTCTTCACCGCCTGGATCTTCTATTTCCTGGTAAATTTAGCCCCTGCCTGTCCACAGGGATCCTCGGTATGCAAAATCAATTTTTCCTTTTTTTGCAAACCTCGTTGATATGAATTATAGATAAATGCATACTCGATATATGAACATGATATATCAACGGCAGCAATGATTGGTAGATCTCTTTCTCTCTTCCCCGGTTTCTCAGAAGAGGGCTCCGCATAGCCATTATATCCCGAAGATGACAGCATTAGCCAGATATGCCAAGGGATAACGATATCATCATTATCGCAATACCAAACGTGTTCTATGACTGGAGTCGTGAAGACATGTATGAGCTTAATTGGACGTGGATTTTCTGTCCGCATATGTCAGTATTATCTAAGTTATACCATTATAGGCGAATATCGTAAGTTTACATTCAGATACTCACTCTAGTTCTCAGTTATGTTTTCGTTTATAGCCGCCATGAGTTTCGAATACTGTTATGGTTCATCTCACCTACTCCGAAGTAACCGCCCGCTATTAATCATGGCATAAGCAAAACCCCTACATCACTTAATCTATACTAGAGCTAATTCTTGTTAGTTATCTACTTTGGGGGACGCCCCGTAGCTTGAACCATAACAGATTTCCCATCTATTCCCATTGGTGAGAAGCTATGCCCATTTACAGGTAGCAGATCCTCAGTCTTGATTTTAATCTTGGGAATCGAAATAAAGCCTAGCGCCAAACTTCTATTATTAGGTATTACCCTCACTGGGGAGCTCACAATTCCGTCGACATTTCCTAACAAGATTGCTAAAGTAAGACAACAAAGCATACTAGCGAAGTTTTCAGCCTTCGAAAGCCGACAGTCATGTCTAACTTGAGTATGTCATACCAGCCAGCCTGCATTAATTCCTCGCTGAATGATACCGAAATTAACTAAGTTGTCACAGTACTATCTCCCATTCTCACGTTTTTCACACGCAGCTCTTCAAAATATTCCAAGCCACGCCGGGGGAAAGTTCCGTAGTTGGTATGATTGGTTACTGATTACAGTTTCCGCTTCTCCTATACAACCCCTGGAGGATGTTGGGTTGAAGAAACAATGAGACAACAATACACTTGACGCCAGAAGCGAACTAAAAAATGAAGTTATCCATATTGAGAAAGAACCCTATTGGTACTATCCGGCATGGTTAACGAACCACAAGGGTTTTCACTTAGTGTTCCATTTCCATATAGGGGAGGATGCCGATATTGTTGAGTGTCAACAAATGTCTCTGCTACCACTTTGCAGAAGCCGTCGTCAACCATTCAACTCCGGATTGGCTGGTTCGCAGAATCATAGTCGCACTCTTAATTCCCTCTCGCCCAAGGTCGCGATCCTGATACCTTATGATTCTTTCTTGGTTTCAATGCATGCTCGCATGATGGTGTGCTTCGACTCTTCCTGATATGATCATTCTACGGTGAACCGGGGTCAGCATCTGCTCCTCCTATACATCGTGTTCGATTACGAGTTCATTCTAAACGCGGCTACGTCGCTAAATGTTGCAAGTCGTCGGATGTGCTGGAAAATCGAGATCGTTTTGATATTAGGCGTTTGTTATTATTCCGTCGAATTTTGTAACCTCAGATAATTAAGCGTCCCAGGTCGTTGCATTAGCGTATCCTCGGCCAATTTCTCGAGATCCAAGGATATTTTAGTACGGTGGCCTTTTTCGTCGGCCTCGCCCCTATCGAGCGGAAGGAATATGTCGTCAATTTATGATCCCTTGCCTCACATCGCCACATGCCACATATAACGGCAGAGCGGCGACGAGGATAGCTACATAAGTTTATGTAATACCTAGGTAGCGTTTATCCTACATGGAACTTTTGCAGAATAGTGCCGCGTGCCGACGTAATCTTAGGCGGGAAGATCAGGTTTAACACCTGCGTCGTGCTCGACACTCGGCGTAGCTATCTACGGCAAGATGCAGCTAGCCTGCATGGTCCACTGTATCCCGTGGATTAACAAGCTCGCTGCCGTGTCCGGCGATCATATTACTAAATGCAGCCGATGGCATGTTCTTTTGATGGTGCTCGAGCCAATATTGCAACTTGAATGGTGCTAACCCTTTTGCATTATCTCTCCTAGACTCGAAAATACGCGTCTAAATAGCTTCCCAAACCAGGTACTAAGAACCTACTTACACCCCCATCCGACGTGGCACTGGGCACGGGTGCCACAATGGATGGCTGCTTACTGCATATCGTGCCTTGCAATAGGACGTACGCAACGAGTTAAGTAGCCCCCCACACCATTTGCAAACACCGCGAAGTCAGACCCCGAGGCCGAGGCATGTCTTTCCCCAGAACTGGCGTAGCATTGCAGGGGCATCAAGCGCAACTATAAAAGCAAGGTGGAGCAGTTTCCAGTGGATACATACCAGGAAGCGATTCCCATGTTCGCGGATAGTTGCCGCACTTTTGACGACCTTGCAAAACAAAATGCTTCTACGACTCTTCTTCCGAGTAACCGAGCTAGCATCACGGGTGTTCTAACGAATGGGAAACCTACCGTCACCCCCTGGTTGTCTCATTGATTGAATTTTGATTTACGATAGGCACAATCGCATACAATATCGATTTGTCATACCTAGCTGAAGGATCGGGCCCGCGCCAATGCTTTTTACTACGGACCGAATATTGAAGCGGGCTTGCCGATGATGAGGGGGTAAAATAAAGAGGCACACACACATTCAGTCGCCCATTTACACCCATATAACACACTTCGCGAGGGATGGGCATCGTTAGGAGGAGTAGAAAAAGAAATGCAAAAAATTGGAGGAAAATGTAGAATTTTTCTACCTATTTCCGAGATTATCAACCAAGCTCCTCATTTCCACGTGAGTCAGAAAAGAATTTAGTCGTTCTTTGTAAGTATTACTTGCCCCTAAACCCCTTATGAGTAAGTATGTGTCAGTATTATCACGAAGTCCCCTTACTTCATCATCCAAATCGATAACGTTGCTCGGACGTGAGACCTAGTCCCCCTTTCGACGAATCATATGGATTCTAGCCACATACAGAACGCTGAGCCGCAAAGGTGCGTTGCGCTGTTCCATTGAGGCGCATTACGTGCCTGGTGTAAGTGTTAGTACCTAGGTATGGTACAGCGCAAGGGGGACGTGTAAAGTCTGGGACGAAACTACATCTGTGTAGCACCAACATAGATATAGAGATACTGTCGTACCGATACATGCCGGGGTCGGTACTACATACATACATACATACATCCTACATACATATATACAGACCTACATATATGTACATAGCATTTGTACCTATTTATCCTGCATGTACCTAAGTATATTGGGTTACTTTCAAGGTTTCTCCTCCGCTAATGCGAGTAGAGATCCACTCAGAGTTACCCAAAACTGATACCCCCCTGGTCCCATTAGAGTCTTTTGGAGTCTCATGGACTATGACGAAATGGGATTCACCGCCCGGGAAATTCTGCCTATCGATTTTATGAGAGTCTGATCGCATTGTCCTATCGCTGGTCGAGATTCCTCGAGATTCCTTCTTCCTCTTCATTCGTCCTCTTGTATACCTACATCGGTACCTATGCCGCTACGGTTCACATTTTTATCTCCGAACCGACCTGGAATTTTCAAAAAGGGTCTTGGCAACACACACACATATACACCACACGCACACATATCTAGTCACTCATAGGTACACGGTATTATAGGACATTGGACCTACATAACGCATACACTCACACCACATGCAAGCACTCTAGTTAGGAGAAAAGCTTTAACGTCTCCATTCATCTTTCATGGGGGGCCCAAGGGGTATACCACCATGAGAGGGGCACCAAGGGAGGGGTATTTTGCATCGATTTCGACTTGGACTTGTTTCCTTTCCTTTTCCAGACCACACTTTTCTGAATAGGGGAGGGACTCACCTTTTATGCGCTTTTGCCGTTCTTGACTCCTTTCGTTGACTCGCGTGTTCGTATCTCGTTCGCATACCGTGCCGCAAATATATAAAGGCTATCTCGTTCGAGGGTTTGAGACAAGTTCGTTCCGAGTCTATCCACAAGGCGCCCACTCTACCCTCTAGCCTATCCTCTAGTCTTTCCAGTGGACCCCTAGTTCCCGAGCTCTTTTTTATACCCACTTGATTATTCCTCTTAAGCGCCACTTACATCGAAAGCACCCTCTCTGCTTTCTCCCGAGCCCAGTTCGACACCAAACACCAGAAATATCGAGACATTACCCAACAACATGGGGTCCGAATACATCCCTCCGATCCGCCTAGCGATCCTCGAAGCCGATACCCCGGTTCCCGGTATCCAAAGCAAATTTGGGTCGTACGGCGGGGTATTCGAATACCTATTCGCGCGCGGATGCAAGTCCTTCAAGCCGCCCGTTCCGCTTTCGGCCGTCCTAAAGTTGTCCTATCACGACGTAGTCCACGACCCTACCTCCTACCCCGACCTCAACACAATCGACGCGATCCTGATCTCTGGGTCTAAACATAATGCCTTCGACCAAGATCCTTGGATTCTAGAGCTAGTCAAATATACAAGAAAATGTCTTGATAGCGGTCGTGTTCGTGTTATCGGCGTCTGTTTTGGCCACCAGATCGTTGGTCTTGCCATGGGTACTCCTGTCGGGACGAATCTTCGTGGTTGGGAGCTTAGTGTTGTCGAACATAACCTCACTGAGGAGGGCAAGAAGTTTTTTGGCCTCGAGAAGCTTGTTTGTTCCCGTTCTCTTATCCCCCTCTTGTATTTTACCATATCACTTCAACGTGACCCTAACTTGTATAGTCAATCCACCAAATGCATCGCGATATCGTCCATAAGTTGCCACCCGGTGTAATAGCCCTCGCAAGCACAGACATATGTCCCGTGCAAGCCATGTATGCCCCGCGGCGCCTCATCACGGTGCAAGGGCACCCCGAGTTCACTAAGGACATGGTGGGCGAAATTCTCCAAAGGCGTTACGACGGCGGCATCCTCAGCCCGGACATCTATAAGGACGGTATGCGTCGTGTGGGCAACGAACACGACGGTGTTGCTGTCGCTAGGGCCTTTATAAGATTCTTGCGCGAGTAAGCGATAACCCTTTCAAAAAAAATAAATGAGAAATTTTTGGAAATTCAGACATAAATAAGAACAGTAACGCGGGGATGTGGTTGAAGAAGAGAGTCCACATACATCACTATATCATATCGCAATCCGATATGAATATCGAAGGACCTTTGAAGAAGCATGAAGCGTGTTGGTTTTTTTGTTGTTCCGGTTTGGTTAGTCACCCGACATGATGTTTATGTGTTTTCGGGCCATCATGTTTGATGATGTCGATACCCCAGTATGAAGAATGATGAAATAGGGGAGGATGAATAATGGATGGGTGGGAGTACATACATGTATTCATGTCAAGGCCAACTCAACCCATGACTCAGCAGTAAGAGTCGAAAGTTGGCTGCCACGTGTACGTACGCAGGTTACTACCTACCCCTTAGATAGTTTTTTTTTGGTTGATTTCCCCTATCGCATACTATCTCGTCGCACAACGTTTCACGGTAGCAGTGGAGCGGGTATCTTCACGTTTCCGCAACAAAACACAATAAAACATCAACAAAATTTTGACAAAATAAGAAAAACTTTCCAAAAACAAAATAAATAATTCCCATGGGAGGAGGGATGCAATAATATTAAACGGAATGGGTAAGACAGCATCACGTGTTGCATTCAACTGTGCATCCAATACCGGTCCAAATCGTTCCTTCAATTGCTATGATTTGTACCATGGATCAAATCGGTATGGGATGGGACGGTATGTTATGGTATAGTATGGTATGGTATGGCTTATAACATAAAAACCCTCACACAGTACATTCATTACCTATTACATACATATACCTAACCCTACATAATAACTCAGATAGGTAGGCAAGTCAGCCTCGTCACAGTGCCTAATGTAACGCAATGCTTATATGAACGCCGCCCGATGCCCCTTTTGAGAATGCTTCCCTCCCTACCTTCCCACCCTTCCCCGTTCGTTAAAAGGCTGTTTGTGGTATATAATGATCATAATAAAAAAATGATAGAAAAAAAGGGCTGGGCCGTCCAGTTTTTTGATGTTTCTGGAAACAAATAACCCCCCACGCACTTCTGCTCCAACCCAAACAGAAAAATAAAATACCCCCCAATGAGATCCCCGGGCATCCGTGACATGCATATATGCAAAAATGAATCGATCTTTTTATCATGAATCGTCGCCCACCTTTCGTGTAAATGCAGCAAGCAAGCAGTCAGTCTTACCTGGCATGCTAATATCGTTTCCCCGTTGGTTATGCGTAACCCATGCTGACGCCTGGTATTTGTGAATGATATGTTACCCCTCCCATTAAGTTTTCATCTTACTTGCATCCCTTCGTTCATTCGTTCTATCGTTCGTTATGCTGTTCGGATAGTGCTAGTTTCAGAATCAACATCTAGCACATCCCACCATTCGCGCGGTACCGTATTATGCAGTGTTCCGCGTCCGGATACTCCCCTGCCGACCTCGCTGCTCAAGTTCTCCAGGTTCTCTTCTTGGTCCCGTCTGACACGCGCTGTACGCGCGTCTACAAACATCTCCTGACGTGTGCGACCGGCGCCTCTATGCCGCCGTCGCATTGGACGGTGTATCCTGAGCCGCAATGCTAGACCCTCCCAGAAACCCCCACGCAGATGTAGCCACGGTTTCTCCCAAGCGCTAAAGAAACAACAGTCGACGGCCGCACCAATACATAAGCTCGCGATGCTAACAACTTGTAGCGCTAGAGGTTCCCCGCTGCCGCTTTGTCCGTTTGGAGCTATATCGCTGTCGTACCCCATCACGTGCGACACGAACGGCGCGATCCACGTTAGCAGATAGATAGCCGGGTATACGAATAGGAGGCGGAGTTGTCGTTGTTGCTTCTCCCGCGATCGACGCATCGCTTCCTCGGTCTCTTCTTGGGACAGAAGGGCGGAACTTGAAAATGTACTTTGGCTTTCACCCTTTTTTCGCGGTGGCCCACGCCGTAGAGCATTAACCACGCCAGACACGGACCCTGTTTTACCATGTGAGCCTAAAGACATCGAGCGTTGCCATACGGGTTGGTTTTGACCCGATTGCTGTGAGTTGCGTGGGCTGTTATGTGTAGGTTCGGGTGCACAGATAGGGATGGTTCGCTCTGCGCCTAGTGATGGGGAAATTGGTACTATGAGAGCCGACTCGCTCTCCCTTCTCATTCCTGGTTTTCTTGGGTTGTTACCCGCAAAATTTACAGGGTTCCATTTAATCGAACTCCTTCTCGCATGTTCGGGTTTTCGTGGGGGAGTTGACGAACCCTCTCCCGTATTCAAAGTACTGATGGTTGAGCTAACCGAATTTTGACGATCCCTGGGATCCTCCTCCTTTGCCAGACTATCCCGCGCCGAATCCAACATTCCATAGTCAGAGATGGGTGGCGTAGGTGGAACTTCTCGACTGCGACTATGGCGATGGTTGTTTTTGCGGTTGTGGTCCGGGTGGTTGCTGTGCGCTACGCTGGCACGCCTTTGGTCCCTACCGAAACGCCGGAATCGGCACGCGACATAGATATAGAGAAATGTATAGGTGACAATAATGATAGCGAAGATGATATAGCGTGGAATCCAACTAAGAGCACTGAGATACCAAGCAGGGCGTCCAGGCAGGGAACAATGGGGCCCATTGTCTGAGAAACGTCCGCCAGTAATTGGTACAACCGCAGCCAAGATGATTGGAACAATAGCCCAGAACGTGTAGGCTATGTATCTGTATGGGTACAAGCCAGCATCCGCCCCGCTCGAACTTGAAGGCCAAAGTATGAATAGCGCTGTGTGTGCTGCAACTAGAAGAACTGCGATATCCGAGGCCTCGATGCTAATAGTTAGGAAAAATCCAGAGACTTGGCAAAAGACGGAGTTCGAATCGATAGGCACACCGGCGAAAAAGGCGAGCGGGTTGATTACGAGCCATAAGGCCTTCATCATATCGCTTTGGATTAGGAGCATAATCAAGCTGGAAACGCTGTCAGCCGATTTGGAAATACAGTGCGAATTATTCACTATGTCCCAGTTAACTTACTCGTGGCGAAAACTCCTCCGCATTCTAACGAACCAATAGAAAGCACATAAGGCAGCCAGGACGCTGATGGAGGCTGTGGAGAGCGAGATTGACATCAGAGCTATAAGCTCGGGATCGTTTAAATTCACATCTTGTGTCGTGTCGCGATTTATTATGTTGGCGGTGTTGGGCATGAGGTATTCGGTGAGGGAAACACCAGACAGCCATGTCAGAGGAGCCATCGTTTCTGCTGTAGCCGGAAAGGAGCTCAGGATGCAGGTTGAGCAGTCGATGGTCAGTCATGCTTCCAGCAAATGCTTCATCGGCATCGTACGCCGGGCTTCATGTTCGCGGTTGGTAGTATAGTTGGTTGGTGAGCAAAGTAGTGGAGGTTGTATAGGTGTGTGTGAGGAAGCTTTCGGCGGTGGAAGTCTAGATGATGAGAATAAAATGGCAAATCGAAATGAAGCGTCCTTTCTATAAGGCTAGAAAAAGTTTAAAAGGATTCCAGGGTCCTTTTGCCTTTGGGTAGTAAGAGGTGGTGGAAGAAGACAAGCGAGAGGAAAGATCACATCCACTCCACGAGTAAGCGTCGAACTGTGGGAAATCATGTCCTCGATCGATCTCACGTAATGTGCGGCACTCAAGCGGCAGGTCCGAATCTAGAGATTCATGTTGCACATTCGAATAGTAATAAAAGAGTAAGAGATGAAGAGAAGAGGTCAGAAACCCTGCTGGATGCTGTAATGGCTGTAAAGCAAGTGGCAATCACAGGTCCAAGTTAACATGAGAATAAGGTAACCATCATATGAATGGTGAGAAACGTAGGAATGCAGTAATTCAGTAAATGGTAAGAAATAATACCTGAAAATGTTAGGGTAGAACAAGGTATATACTTTAAAAGTAACATGGGACTAAAGAGGAAATATATGAAATACCCAATCCCTAATTCCCTAGAGGATGGAAAAGGACATTTCCATATTTTAATGTTCACGGTCCGTTTTCGTGGCGGTGAAGCAAGAAAAAAAGGAGTTAGTAGGACTTTGTAACATCGGAGAAATCGGTGTGAACAAAAGTGTGGAAAGTGTGGGAGGGAAAAGGTACCGTGAATAAAAAGGCAAGGGCAGTGTTGTTGATTCCATGCTTGTTATTCCAGGTTTATTAGGCTTGTTTGGAAGATCATAGGCTCTTTCCCCCAATGAGAGTTCATAGCTTCGAAACTTAGTCCAAGTGATGAGGACCCGGTGACGCTACGGCCGCAGCGGAGACAGCATCCGACAGTTTTTAGTGCGCGGCGCTTAGGTGACATTTCCAGCATTCCCTCTTTCGAGCCCCATAACAACCATAACATCCCTAACATCCCTAACATCCCTGAAAGAATCAGTACGATTTAGTACAATCAGTGGGATAATCCCCATAAACGACCACTACATCCCGCTATATCCCGCTACATTCCCCCATAACGACCCCACAATATCCCCGTAACATTGTCCCCTCCGCTTTCGTCATAACCCTGACCACGTAGCAGGTAGCCTACTAGTAGCCTTTAAAGTGCTAGCATTATAAGGCATTCAGGTAATTCAGCGTTGTACAAATGTCCCATAAGGTGCATGCAACCGAGATCTGGTGACCGGCGTCCCGGGACAAATTCCAAGCCTGCTGACCCCCGCAAAGTACAACTTCACTTTTCTTTTTCTTTTTTCCAACCTTTTATTCTTTCTCTTAAAACAGCGAAGACGATAGAAAAACGGACGATACCTCCCACACTATACTTGAAATCTACCCTCGGACCGGAGTTATGAATCTGTCGATCATTGTGGTGGAATAAATACGTACGAAACTCCTACGAACTAAAAATGACTTACGGACGTTTCCATTCTTTTGTCGATCACAGCTTTGTATTCGAGGCGTACGCTAACCCGAAGGCGGGGGATTTTCAGCTTGTTATTTTTCCTTCTCTTCTTGTTATTTTTCTTTCTTTTCTTTTCTCTCAACAAGGCCGAATCTAAGAAACAACTGGAAATCTAAATGCTCAACATATAGAATGACGAAATCGACTATGAGAAGAACCCAATAAAACTCCGGACCTGAAACTATGCCAATATAATGATCCCCGGATTTCACAGAAGGGTGTGTAGTACAACCCCAACCAAGGCCCAAAGAAATCATCAAAATCCCGCCCCCACTGTCGTTTCGTTGAGAAATATATCACTTCACTTTATGTGAAATGTGTCCTACTCTATGGTTTCAAATATTAAGCCAGTGTGAGTGATCTAACACCCACTATAATAAGCTCTCACAGGTAAATCCCTCAAATTTTACGGCCGCATATTTTGGAATAGCTGAACTATATGAAGACACAAAGCAGGATGACTAGTTTCATATAGGTCGTCTTTGAAAATAATTTGCCTTGCTTAGAAGTAAAGCGTGCGCTACCATGACTCCTTGGCAAATCTCCTAGTCCTGATACGACACTAGGAACGACATGGTTGGCGCGCGGCTTCCTGGTTTTCTCCTTGAGATGTGATGATTGGTGGGGAGCGCGCCTAGAGAATATTGAAGACCGTCCATTAATACGCTACGAATAGCCAAGCCATCGAGGTCGAATTAATTGATTCCAACAACCGCGTCTGACGCTTGAGGCTTTCCTGAGCCTTTTACCTCCTTAGGTCGAATGTTTTGACCTTTCAATTCACTCTTCGCCGGTAACTTGGAAGGGCTGTCTCCCAGCAAGGGATGGTCTCCAGCAAAATCCGCCGTCACTTTTGAAATCGTAGATGTAGAGCGCAAACGCAGACGATCGAGAGGTTGTTCGCCAGTATTAAAATGGGCTTTCTCAACCCGGGGACTTTTCGTAATTTGAAGATTCGTCCCAGCCTCGCTCGGGGCGGGGCCTTCCTCGGTCGTATCCGTTGTTGGTATATGGCGCTCGAGTGCATCTAGGTGTGTGAACGCAGTACCACAGATACAAGCGTAGGCTAAATGATCTTTCTCTATCCCATGCCAGTTTAGTTCCCAACGGGTTGGGAATGACTCTCTGCACTGGTTGCATGAGAGGGGATCCCGACGGCTTAGTCTGTAATGGGGACTGGTTCTCGGCTGGATCATGCCTACCCTCGGGTTCGATACACTCTCTGATATGCCCGAGTCCGAATCCCGAGTATAAGTATCATGCGTCTCCGGGATCGGGATGTTCGTCTTTAAATCATAACTGTCGCCTATCTCGGTTGGGATGACCATAAGGGCGATGTCCTGAAGATGTTTTTCAAGATGATATGTCACTGTTGCTTTACCGGTACCCGTCTCCTTGAAGCACAAATTGCATTGAAAGCTTGGCCATTTTTTTTCTTCATTTCCGTGATTAGAAGCTAAATGGAGGACCCAGTCTCCCCTACTGGAGAAAGGTACTAGAGAAAGGCATGATAGTTCGAGGCAATAGTAAGGCTGGAGATCATAGAACAAATGTCGCCTAGAATGTTAGAATGCATAACAACCAACTCTGTAAGTGTAGGTAATTCGACTTACTTCCAATCAATTTCATCCAGAAATGTAACATCCTCTGCGCATGCAGTACATACTCCATCTGCTGGAATTGGTGGAACCCTTCTTATTTTCTCATCGCCCTGGTCAGAGGACATTGACGCCTTCAAAAGACCTTTTCCTGGTGGGGAAACAAGACGGGTCCTCGAGATATCAGTGTTACTTTTTCCTAATGCCATTGATTTGAACCCCTCGTGGTTTTTATTTTCGCGGACTAACGTATCATTCTCCAGCCGGCTATCAACAATGTTCAAAAATCTTCGAAAGTTGACTTCTTCGAGATGAGTTGCCAGCTTATCATTTACATGCGGGAACTATGTTTTGATTCTTTCGACGAAGATATGATCCAGAATAACCGATATCGATAGCAGGACCTTGGCAACAGCTTCATTTTCATACGACAGAAGACATTCCGTTGCTGACTCATAGAGGGGGGTCATATCCATCAAGTTGCTCGTTTTTGCGTCCAAGTCATTTGCAATCTCCGAGAAAGAGTCGAATTCGAAAAGAGTTGAGGTTTCACTTGTAGCTTCATCAAAGCTATCACCATCGCCAACTTCAACGTCGGGATCTTTTTTTAAAATGAAGTTAATTTGATCCTTCGAAGTTTGCAGTTGCACGCACAAATTCTCCAGCTCCTCCGTCGGTACGTCAGCTCTAGGTACCACCCCTAGCTAAGATTAGCCTTCCTATTGTCTAGTACCCCTCACAGTCATAGCTTACTGTCCATTATAATGCACCCGATATAGAGGAGAGCTTTCAATGTTGATTTTTGCAACTGGTGGGAATGATACAAAGTATCGTCGAGCTTCTCGGAAGTTATGTCGTGTTGTTGTGCCCATAATAGTAAGGCTTGAAAAGGTTTTTTAAGCTGTAAATGAATAATGTCTTCACTCTTCCGTGAAATTCTTTCTAATACTGCCTGGTATAACTGCGTGGTTATTACATAGAGATCTGCCGTTATAGGGAGGTTTATGTGGTCAGAATCTAATTGAGAGTTCTGCCACTCGTCGATATCGTAAGTCTTGCCGACTTCCTCCGGAGTGTGCGTTAGCGACCTTGTTCCCATTTCTAATAGGCAGATCAAGTACTGATGAGATATTTTGGTGTTCGTTTGTAATTGATGAGTGCCTACCAGATAGGTACATATATAGGTACCTAGGTAGATGTGAAAGTCGAGAGATTATGCCGGGAGCCCCGCGACCACATGTCGTAGGCACCTACATATAGGTACATGGGTGGGTGAAATCAGCCTTGAAGTCTCCCTACACATGTACCTACCTAGACAAATAAGGCAGTGCAATGTAACCCATCAGCAAAATGCCTTACCATCTACCCTACCGTTCTGTAAGCTTTATAAAGGGTAAGAAGTTCGAAAGACCCGCCCAATATTTAGAACATCAAACTTGTCAATATCTAGGTAGACACTATGTCGGACCCTATTTCCCTTGGCCTTGCGATTACACCTTTAGTTATTGAGGTAATCAAAGGATTTCGGTCTCTTCAAATCAAATTGAAAATATTTCGGCATTATTCACGAGAAGCAAACCGGATCTGGGACAAATTTAAAGTCCAGCGCGATTTTTTCCGAATAGAATGTGAACTTCTTTTTAAAAATATCACCAGTGATGTTTCCAAAGCACGAAATCTACTCAATTCGCGTCAGATTGGCAACGAGAATTGTCAACTTCTCTAAAATCTCAGCAAATATCTCGGGACGAGCTATGAATCTTTCGAGAGTACCTTCATTGAAATAAAGGGCTCACCCCAGCATCTCCAAGCGCAGTTTCAAGGGTTCGCAGAAATTGATGAGGGACGTAAAGATGTTAGTCCAATTGATCCTAACATGGTTACTTGCATACCTCAAATGTAAGTAATTATACGATGGCGAGTGCTGAACATTCATAAAGGGCGAGCCCCTCGTAGAGGCTGTCAAACGACTCAGGACTCGTGTAAAAATTACACTCAATCATTCGAGTTATAATGAAGCTCTAGCAAAACTGAAGGAGTCAAATTACGATTTAAGAGACATCCGAACTCACTTGAAGGAACTTAACTCGCAAGGCTCGCATCCGAGCACGCCGACAACTGAGGTTGCGCCAGCGTCAGCATCGATATCGGCTTCTCCCGAACGGGAGGAAACACGAAGAGTGGGGTTGGCTGCCCATGCTCTCTACGAAGTTATGGGCACTTCATGGGTATGTGATATACAATCACATCGCCGCCATCTTGTGAGGCTCTTTGTGAGTACTAGAGTTGAGGAAGACGTACAGATGAACCTTTCGTTATCTGGCGACCATCGTCATCAGCCTAGCTATGATTTGTCCGTCCCATCGCTAGAACACGGGACACTTAGTGTCGCTCGACCGATCGAATTCCCTCTATTAGTTCGAGCCTCCATTATTAATAACTCCCTGGCGGCTGGGTTGGGCCCTATAGATGTAAAAACTTCAACAGAGTCTCAAACCTCTAAACGAAGAAAGGTTGTGCGGGTCGAGTTCGACAACGGCTAAGTCACACATTTAATAAACTTACCTAGACCATTCAGGCTCTTTGATACTGATGGCGTTAATGCTATTAGGAATCGCGAGCTTCACCACAAGATTAGCACTTTCAGAGCCGTTGGGTGCATGGCTCTAGGAAACTGTACTCGGAACGAAACCTTCCTGGGGCATCTTGATGTTTGCATGCATGCTCAATACCGCCATTCTTTCTATGTATGGCCAAAACGATCCTGCGCACCGGGCACGGACGCTTTTAGCGTCCCGGTACTTCTCGACGAGTTATTTAGTCAACCACCAGATGATCGTTATCACTATGGAGATCGACTTAGGTTGGCGAGAGCCATGGCCTCTATTGTCATGAAATTTCACTCCACCCCATGGCTAGATTGCCGGTGGAATTCGAAAAATATCGGCTTTATAGCCACTAATGGGAAGATGGACGATGTTTTAAATACTCTTCACCTCAATTCGGTCCTTCAACACCGCGGGCATACTAATTCTCGAGGCATTGAGTCGCAAGACCAACCCCATATTAGGAATGTCGAATTGTATATCTTGGAATCATCTTGCTCCAGATCGATCGATGGAAGAATGTCCCCGACTTGAAAGAGGTCGACAAACTTGCTAAGTGGGCAAATCTCGGTTTCAAATATAGAGATATTGTGCAGAGATGTCTTGACTGTAATTTTGGTGTAGATTATGACCTTTCCAAACCTAAGTTGCAAAATGCGGTTTGGGAAAAGGTGATAAATGAGCTGGATTCGATGATTGCGGGAGTGTCAATTATAGATTAAGGGAAACGTTAGGTGCCCAGGTGCACATTGGAGTGCCCAAGGAAAAATTAATAGGCGGCGTTACAGTTAGATAAACCCGCTGTTAAACCACTGTCAACGTGCAACTAGGCCACCTACGTAGGTACCCAGGTGGCATAAGACAGCTCAGTCTTATTATGTACAAGCGACAAAGTTATACAATGCGCAACGAAATATAAAGGCTTTTGTCAGAAAACTAAAATAAATAAAAATATTTAAATCAAAAATTGCTACTGAGTATCGAACGGGCCGGGTATCTATCATCAATTCATTGCCTGTCCATAATGCGAATGTTGACATGGGAAATCACTTCGTTCCAAGCACGCCCCCCACCTTCTCATGATGGAAAACTCCGGCACATTCACTGGGCGGATTTCGCATCTTCATGGTCCCGAAGACGATCATCGATGATACTATCTAAGCTGTCGAAGTTATCCGACGTTTCGTTTAACTTCTCTTCAATCTCGTCCGTCATCAATACCGGGTCGGCCCTAATCTTGGGAGCGAAAACATCGACTTGGCCTCGCTCGAACTGTACCCATCCCTTAAGTTCTTCCAGCTTGCTCACGTCGGAATCCTCCAGAATCTTCGAGGCGGGCCACTGAGCGCGGTTCTCTAGGATATCTTTGAGAGCTTTCGCGGCCTCCCAAACCCAGTCAAAATCGTAAGTCCCCGCGACATATTGCCTATCGGGACTCGTCTCGGAGTAGTTGTCAAGCATGTTGACGCGTTGGTTACTGGTAGTGTTGTATGATCTTCTCGAGTTTGTTGCTAAAAAGCTGAAGCGGTGAAGTGCTATCGCAAAGCTGTGTGTAGCTGAGGACGGAGAGAATAGAGACACAACTCTAGATCAAAGTCCCTCTTTTATAGAAATCGCATCTATCGTTGCACAGAAAGGTCATCGTCACTATTTCTGGTGCGTCACTCATTGTGATTCGGGAATACGACAAGATTTTGGAAAACGTTCCATCATCTACTTTGGGTATCGCTTGTACAGCAACAACGTGATTCATGTGTGCGTACAACCCACCAAGTCAAAGCAAATATGGGATGAATCTCATCAAGTTAACAAAAGAGCTAATGGTAATCATCTATAAATGTCTTAGCTTAGGTAAATTGACTTGTCTTTTAATGCGATTTCCTAGGACTGACGCTGAAGGCCATGCGTCATTCTCAGTCACCGGGGTTGTGTCGGATTTCCTCGTTGGAATTGAAATCATCCAATGCCTTCATATGCTCATTATTCATTATTGGCGTTAAGAATACTCGTGTCGAATCCAGACCTGCTGCCGTATACCCAGATGCCTAATCGGAAGCGACACACCAATTGGTGTTTGAAAGAGACATCTATCGAATGGGAGGGGGCTTCTCTTACTTAGTAACCTTGGTAGGTTTTGGTTCGGATCTATGTCTCTGGGGGGATTCTCATCCGAATCTGTTGGTATTCCTAGAAAAACCTATTGTTTGCGTGGTTTGTGTTGGCCCTCGAACGAGAAACCGTATCAAGAGGTTTTGCGATGCCCTTTCGTGTTTTACGTAAGGAAAATAGGTATACACGTAAACAAGGCCTAGTTATCTAAGATATAGATTAATAATCATTCCTCAATGCTAGAATGGTTCAGATATAGGGTGCTTGGAATCTCACTGGTCTTGAGAGGTGGTATGCTTCGGGGTTATGCCGCCAACTTGCATCCGGAGCATAACACCGTATTTTCAAGCCAACAAGCTGACTGTTAGAATCCAACGGACCGATATATCGCCTATCACGAGCATAATTATGGGGTTTCCTCGCAGAAAATACCCTTTCCGGACCTCTCTTGCGTTTATATCGCTGCAAATATGGAAGTGCGATGCAAGGTGCTGTAATCGCGTAGAAAAGGTAGAAAAGGGGGTATCTGAATCAATGTGTGCTGGCTAAATATTGAGTCGTGAGCGTGGTCGGGTTCAAGGTGATAATTGAGAGTTGTGTTGCGAATGTTGATCAATTTTCGACATGTTTCGTTGATTGACTTGAAAACCGACTTTCTGTCATACCTCATCTAGATTACACAGGTAGCGAAAGTGAAAACGATCTTGTTAGTTCCAAATGGTATCTGCTTATCAATCAGTATCTTGGGGTATGTGAAAGGCGACTCATTTAATTACATGGATCATGCTGTAAAGTGACTTCTAACCAATTCGCAATTGCGGTAATGTCGCGGTAGTCCGACGTAGCCGCAAGTAGCGGGCGCGGCACCCTAGCCTCTGGCAACCTTGTTGGGCTTACAAGAATTCCTAAAATGTTCGCTGCTTGGAGATCATGTCTGATCTAAGAAATCGCGGTATATTTCATGTTTTAAGAGAAGCACGTCGCCTTGTGGTTGGGAGAGCCACCTATTGTACACGGCATTGAAAGGCTATCAGTCATGGATATTAAGCATCTGCTGTCGCCATCTCCCGGATTTGTCAGGAATCTACTCTATTTCCGATAAAGCGTTGAACCGACTACCTCTTCCTGTGAGAAAGTCGAACTCACGTTTCCGTGGGTCGGCATCTGTTCCGGATTCCTTTGCCCCTAATATGTCTTGGATCGACCAAGCAATTCTTTCCGCTCCAATCCGCGCACCGATTAAGTTGGGAGCCCCGGGACCAAGCTGCAAGGCGGCGAGCCTTCCAGCGATGAAAAGAGGCACATCATCCCGCCACTATATCATATGAAGTTAGTCATATGTACGTTCCCGAAAAGTGACCAGCTGAACTTGGACTCTGAGTGGGTTGAGTACTTACAGCCATGTTCTCGGTAATGCAAGGAAGACCTCCACAATTCTCGACGGGATAGTCGGAGCATATGGAATGTAGGAAGGGGAGACACTCATATTCGCTTTTGACGCCGGTAGCGAAGTAAATATGATCTATACGAGGGAGTACTTGGTCCTTATCCGACAATGATATCGCCCAAGTCTTAGAGATCGGGTCCCATTGCTTCTCTTTGATTGTCGTATTCTGGAGCAAGCATAATTTACCGGTCGAAATATGCCGCTCGAGGATCTTCTTGTACGGCGGTGTAATACTTCCACCGTTTCGGGCAGTCTTGATCTTATCCCATCGTTCCTCCGCAGAATCCGAAGTCCAAAAGGCGGCCTGCTCGAAGTTTCGAAATTTGCCTACCCATTCAAGTCCTACGTCGAAAGGCTTGACTTTCAGTGGCCCACGCATCAGTAGCCATACTTTAGTTACCCCTCGGCGAATCGCCAAGTCAGAGAGTTGAGCCGAGGTGAGTCCCCCGCCAACAATGACAATATTTGCCGGGAGACGCGCACTAAGCTTCGCGCGTATACGAGGCGACGGCATTTCTTTGATATGCATGGCGTGGGTGACACCCTCTGTCCCTTCAATTGGCATATTTGGGATCTCTGGAGGATTTCCACCCACGGCCAATACCACGGTCTTCGCGTGATGAATGCCCTTATTGGTTCGTACCGTGAAGATCTTGTCAACTTGGGAAAAGTCCTCGACATAATTGAAGCTAATGTCTTCCACCTTCTCATGGCACACCATATCCCCACGCAAGCCATAGCGATCCACTAAACATCCGCAATGCGATGCGAAGAGTGGAGTGGACGGGACGAAATAGTCGTTTCGATCGCGTTCGTCGACTGTGGGTTCTGTTCTAGGTCTTCCAATTCTTAGTATGTTATGGGGATAGGTAAGTCGAGGTCAAGCTTACTGTCTGCCAGATCTTTCTCTTTTCTTCCTTTGATGCTTACTTAATTCCTTTCCGACGCAACCCCGAATCTCTGTTAGCTCATTATCTCTTTCGTTTCTGTATGTATAGGCCAAAAGACCGTCTCGTTCCGAAGGATCGACATGAAAGAACATTGGACTTCGAAGGTGGGATATATCAAAGGTCTTGAATAGGGTGTCCCATCGTGCCATCCATCGATTATCAGTAGCATCGAGCACTAAGAGATCAAGACCAGCATTCCCTGGAGAGGCGGTGCATGATTTTCGCCGTGTTTCACGGCCAGTCTTATAACTCTTAATGCTGGCTTGATTCCTGTGCTTCTGGATCCAATGATACCTTTGATGTTCGTCGTCCGAAAAATTGGCGGCAGGCATACGTTCTGACAAGCGTGCTGCGACAGCAAGGCCGCACGGCCCAGCGCCTATAATTACCACATCGTGAACCCGAATTTCGTCCATTTTTTCTGTGCCATTTTCGCTCTATAAGATAATCGGCCATAATGGCAGGACAGAATAGCCGATATAAGGTACTGGGTAAGGGAACCTTGATGGTGAGGCGAGCACCCTGATGGCATTTTCCATCCAAGAAAAAATGACCTTTGAGGTCACCACTGCCGAATGCGACTCATTAGAGCAACCGATTTTACGGTCCCTTCCGTCATTCGGGGGCCAGTCTATACAGTCAATGTAGGATCCATCGTGAAAAAGTGGTCTTCTTGGCGGTTTCTGCAAAGACGAGTTGCGAGATAAAAATTGGAAAATTCAGCCATACGGAATTTGCTCAATTGCGACCGAACAAGGCAATTAGCACAACTCCACTCGCTGGCTGTGGAGTTTTCGCTATTTTCAATTCATCGACATTGTAGTTATAATGTATGCTAATTGTCCAGCTTATTCAAAGTGCGTCGCGACATGGTGGGCTACAGCCGTCTCGTCTCCTTCGAATTCACCGCACACTGGACAAGTCGCAGTGGCTGATGTGACATCCGCGACGGTTGAATCTAGATCATTACTTCCCGAGGCTTGTTGACCTCGGGCCGAGCCGTCTGTTTGGCTAGACCCTTTTGTGCCGTTTCTACCTTTGCCCTTGCGTTTCGCGGGAACGATGTATGCGCTTAGGTCAGCCTGCTCTGGTGCGACGGCGAGGGGTTCCTCTAGTCGCGCGTCCCGATAACGCGGGCGACGTCCACGTGGATGCGAGACATTATTATTAACTGAATTGACTAACTCGCTATCTGCGAGCGATTGATCATCAAGGGGTGGCCTGAATGTCGTGTTTCCAGGACTCGATGATGAAGCAGAGGAAACGGACGCCATGCTCTGGACTCGTCCAATCCGACCATCCGTAAGTCGGACTTTAATACCGCGATAATGGTCACCCCGCGTCAAGACATCGCGAACGGTCCCACTCACTTCGCGGCCTGTGCGCTGATCTGCTTTTAGGACAATGTTTACAATAGCGCCAGGAGTGACCTCGGCCATCTTCGGAACCACACGATTGGCCATTGTAGGGTGTGCGATGGTGTGTAGGGAAGGGTAAAGGGTGGATGGTGGCGTCCAGACTGCCAGATCGGTAAGATAATATACGATACGATCTTTGCTTTTTATTCGAGAAATGTGACAAGTCCGAAAATAATAACTCCGCAATTCGGTAAGTGAATTTATAGTCTATTAATACAAATATTTGCTTTGTTGCATTCGGCTTAACTGAGCTATGTTCTCTTCTTGGCTTCTATGGTCCCAAATTTCTTCGCGTAGATTCACACTCTGTAATTTACCAAGCTTCTAAATAAAGGGTATCGGCTCATGGATGATTGCAGCTTGCATGCTGCATGCATACAAGTCATGTCACGGGATCTCCTATAGGCAGAATGCCTTTATATCTCGTGTGTTCAAGGGTTTCCAGGCATCTCTGACTCCATCTTTATCATGGAGTTACAATCCCCGACCAGTCACCATGCAGATGACCAGTCGTTTGGAGAATAGGAGATGTCCGGTCTCTTCTTGCACCAGATTTGCGCAATGGATCTCCTGGGTTACCACTCCCAGACCCTCACCGACTACCATAATTTTCCAGCTATGCTTCACGCGATTGGTTAGGGGATCGCCAGTTGGCTTCCCTTGCAGAGTACACTAGGCTAGCCTGTCGCCATCGACTAGCCCCTGTACAAGGCTCCAACATAAATGTCAACGGTCTCCTCGTCCCGGAACTTCGTGGATACCTCCTATTTTAGCATGCACAATTCTTCTTCGAACTCTTATATCCCGACACGGAACCTTTTCCTCCCCTCATGTTATTCTAACCTCTTCGACTACATACGGCAGATCACGGATCACTCAAAATGCGAAAGGTTTTGGCGGGGCCGGCTGATCGTTTGCCAAGACCGCCATATGACGCCGAGATAGACACTATATTCAAGGCACTAGGTGGAATGCCAGAGCGATATGAGGTTGAGAAGCTTCGAAAGGACGCGCTGGCGAGAACCCAGCCCCTCACCAACGCTCTGCTTGCCGACAAGAGCATTACCGTCGAGGACATTTCCATCCCTGGGCCTCGCCAGGATCTGACGCTTTCAGTTGTACGACCGGTGGCAACATCGACGTGTGATAGTCACCCGTGCATCTTCTATATCCACGGTGGCGCGTTGGTCGCGGCGGATCGCTTCGCTGGCTTGGACACCAGCGTCGTGTGGGCAAGGGAGTTCGATGCCATCACTATAAGTGTGGAGTATGGACGTGCGCCAGAGAACACGGGGACGCAACCTGCAGAAGACTGCTACGCGGCGCTACAATGGGCTGGTAATCATCTTTCGGAATTGGGTATCGATCCCGAGCGTCTGCTCCTCTATGGCACCTCGGCCGGGGGTGGTTTAGCGGCGGCAACTGCCCTGATGGTACGCGACAAAGGCGGCCCGAAACTATGCGGGCTTGTCCTCGAATGCCCCATGCTCGACGACAGGAATGAAAAGGTTTCGTCTCAGCAATTCTCCACAGGCCCCTTTTATAACTCGACCCTAAACCGTTTTGCATGGAGGTGTCTCCTCGGCGAGCGTGCTGCAGGCAGCTCAGTTAGCCAATATGAAGCGCCCGCACGGGCACATGATCTATCGAGACTCCCCCCTGCGTTTCTCGATTGCGCATCCGCCGAGCCTTTCCGAGACGAAATCGTAGCTTTCGCATCTAAACTGTGGGAGGGAGGTGTGCAGGCTGAGCTTCACGTGTGGCCTGGTGGACCCCACGGGTATGAACGAATTCTCCCCACCGCACCTTTCGCGATACTGGCGAGACAGACCAGGCTGGCCTGGATTCAGAGGATATTCTCTTAGACTCTCTGAAATCTTGGCTTCCGAAGCAGTTATTGTTGGATCTGGTATAGCCGCCACGTAATTACACTATGTGGCTCCACGATCAATCGATTCGGTCGTTTGTTGGAGACTAAGTGGACTTTTTCGTCCGAGGGGTGGTATATCTGCCTCTTTCCTACCGATATGCATATACGAATGGTGTATTTTAACAGGAGTATACTGGGGAGGGGGGTTGTTTGTGTGGTGGTTGCTAGTCTCATCCACTGAAAGAATGTATAACAATCCCTGAGCTTCGCGCAGAGTAGATCCATCCGGTTGGCACAGAGCCATCTAGTTGCTCTAAGGTGTATTGATTAGTCTGCTATGATTAGAGAGATACGTAAATTGGTAACAATTTGCCCGTTCCCCTTTTTTACAGAGGTTTCTTGATGAAAAAAAAGTTTTCTTTACTAACACACAAGTAGGGTCGACACGGACGTATTTGATATTATTCAACTCAAGGCGAACTCTACGATACGATAACTTGTATCTCTGGAGGTTTGCTCTGCCGGCCAAACAATTATACATTCATTTCTTCCGCCTCACTTTTTGTGATGGCGTCGTTTCAACATCCCTGTTGCTGCCCAAAATCCTAAAGAGATAGGGCTAACTACGAGTTGTTAGAAGCTCAGACCAGCAATATTTTACGCAGCGACCACATTGTTATGTATGAACATCTCTTTCAACAATATGCCAATTATCTATGGGGGCCTTGGAAATTCCGGTCAGGGCGTATCGGACTCTATTCCTCGGCATGAATCAAGACAGGAATAATACTTTTTCTCCCCGAAATGAACGATTATCAGACATCCCACACCCAAACGTACGATAACGAAGAATCCTTTTCGGTCTTTCACGGCAATTTTATTGTGCGGAACGCTCTGACGTCGCCATCACTTGCCGAGAAAATGACGCGAGGTCTCCATAATACCTCTACAGGAAATCAGTGATTTGTCACTGTAGGACTTTGAAGGGGACTTTGAAGGGACAACGACGTCCAGTACTTTTAGGAAACATATATCTTCTACCTAACGTTCTACACATTTGCACATACAGGTAACACTTATAATTATTAAGTTATAGCCCTAGTTACGAATTCTGGTAGAGCTCACCGTAGGCCTAAGCGAATGCGTGTGTACCTTAGGGGACCAACCCTCCACACGGTGGCCTGTAAGAATAGAAAATACCTACCTGCCGAAGTAGGAATTGATTCTCTATCACCAACAACACGATATTTACACGAGAATTCCCAGCACATATCCCAAAGATTCCACTCGTTCTGATTCTAGAACGCATCAATCAGCTATTATACACTTCAAACTTCCACGTCGTCGTCTATGCTATTTTGACTATTAGATTCAATAGGTTTTCCGGCCGTAGATACGTCATCAGCGCCGGCCGAGCCGGACAACCTTTTACTATGGTATGTGAGCATTTTGCAGCACGCAAGCCATCCACTAACTCTTGACGTAATATCAAATTATAAATTGGTTTTTTTAGTTCATGGCACGATTTTGTTGCACCACGCCGTCCAAATCGACTTTATTACGAGCACATCCGAGCTATGCGGTACCTTCCACGAGTCCTTCGTCGCATACGAACACGACGGAGTATGGACTTCGTTCTGTCCATCCCCGAGATTCCCTAGTACATACGGGTTGCGAACTTGAACAACGCAATGTGATGGGCCAATTCCACCATAAAATATAATATTTCCGCTTGTTCCGCTAGAAAAGGGATTATTCCTAACGAACAGTATACTGTAACCCTTATCGACCGACCTGAACAACTCGTTAGAGACAATTTGCCCTCCCAACCCATGATAGAATACTCTAATAGTTACTGGACAACTATAAATAACTAATTTCAGATGGATCATACTAGAAGGAGATTTCACTAGTTACAGAAGATGCCACGTTCCTGGGATTTGGTTGTCTTCCATAACCAACAAATGTAACTTCCATTATTTTGTCATCGAGTTCTATCACGACTAGTAGAGTATAGTTATAAAATATTTTAGAGATATAGCCCGATTAAGGCCCGTAATAATGCAACTAGCTCTATAGAAGACCAACAGTCTTTGACCGTTAATTAGTTAAACTCGCCTTCAAAGTTAAAAAAAAGATGAAACTCCATTTATGTAACCCAATATCACAATCTAGGTAGTTCTTCTTTCTTTAGACTTCCTAGCGACTTTCCCGCGTAAATTACTCAACAAGAAATAATATACCAAAACGCCTTTGTTATCTATACGCCACTTGAAGCCTATAGGCGTGATTCTGCATGAATTATCGTACCCTCTTGTAGATGTACAATAAATGGCTAGTTAGGTCCCCCATCCGTTTAAGGAACTGGTGTACTTATATTCTCGGACTTTTATCATAAGATGTTGTACTACCTAAGAATCCATTAATATCAACACATATATTGGATTGGATTGGTGGAAAAATAGAGGTTTACGTTTGACTCCTATTAGGTCTGCCAGTACCCTCTAATTTTCCACTTTCTCCTGTAGCTGCAATAGGAGTAATTAAGTGTCAAACTCCAGGCTCAATCTTCTGCATTAGGTATAATTAGAATGTCTACCTAATCATTGTGGCCTTCAAAAAGTTAGATGAATACTTAGGTACCTACCAGCCACTCCAAACCGGATTCGAGGAATCCTCTCGCACTAGTAAGGGAATACCCGCAGACTCTACGGGAAGTTTTTACCGCCCATTTGGTTCGGGCCTACGTCAAACCTTTGATTTGTCCCAAAGGTAGCCAATGGTAGTGAAATTGCCAACTATGATGTGTCCGGGAACAAATCATTAGCCCTAAGTTTCTAACACCACTTCAGCAAAACATATTAATTCCCGGGCGATAACCTAACCTGCGGTTATCCATTGAATGTTTGTAAGCTAAAGATGATACAGACCTTCATAATGCAATGATGAGCCAACTACGAAATGTCTACGATGTGAATACCGCAAAAAGTAGCCTAGGTGGGCCACGTATCAAAACAAACGCACACGTGGATAAGCATAGGTGTCCTTGGAGACGGTATGTCCTAGAGCCACTTAATAAGGACCTTCCCATTCCGTTCAGCATTTACCTACTATGTACGGTCTGTCATTTTGGCAAGGAGTAGTATCATATCTCACAAGCAATAGTTCCTGGGGGCCAATGCAGCTGTGAGACGCATTGGCCGAGCTAGGTATATCGACAGCGGTGGAACCCACCGACCTTGCCGTAATGCGTCTGGCAACCATTTGCGAGTATCGAGAGTCAATCAGAACCCTAATGCCAATCTTTCGTCCTGAACTAATTGGTCCCTACCCGGCGAATGGCACACCCGGATAGCCCCCCATGACGCGCGCCACTCAACGCCCTCTCATCGGCAAGATACGAAACCGCGAGATGGGAGAGGCTAATGAATATTGCACATGGGACAGAAAACCAGTTTTAATAATGGTGTGCGTGAAGCAAGTTAGGTTTTGGGGCCAACCGGGTTGCTGGAATCAGGCCGAGCCACTAAAAGGGGGTGAGAAGATCACTTGGCTTCCCGGGGTGGTACAGATTCTGCATGTATTCATGGCACGCAGATATCACCATCGCCAGCTCAGAATGACACGGGAGGGGTTCAGCTCGTTTAACATGCAGGTATGGCGTGGTCATTGTGAGATATGGAGCTCGCTTCACCTAATCACGGCACCCACCCCGAAAACAACGGGTGTGATTTGTTGTTAAGACACCTGCCTAGTGGAAATCCATTATTCTAGCCAATATTTTAATTATTAGGGGTTGATTGATATACCTAGCCCGCCAGAGTGCAAATGACTCGCATTTTCAGCGCGAGGGCATGTATAGTTTAGTATCGTCATGGTACAGGCCTTGAAACGACGAAATCTCGTTCCTATCGGAAATAAAATCCGTAAGTTCGTCGAATAATCGTACTTTCGGTTTCAATTTGCCGAAGATAATACCAAGGTGTACCTCCGCGCATGTCAGGGGTCAAATACTCCTTGCCATGATGTGTAAGTTATATCTTCACCGACACTTTTTGGAGGCTTACAATTTCTGGGCACTGAAATCCTGACGTACGACCACATTTCATTCCGGGGTTTTGTCTTCCTCGTCTTGATGAACTCCAATCGACTAGGGCAGGACCTAATAGGGATATACTTTTGAATTTGCCTATCCGTATCTGGTTCTGGGTCTGGGTCCGTCCCACACCATGACGGATTCTGCGATTGTTCGAACTACTCACATAAAGTATCTGATATGTGCAAGTAAAATTTAAAAAAATAGCGCATACATCGATTTTATGGGAAGATAGGTTTCCATCGCTACTTGACCCTCTGTTTTGAAGCTAGTCTTGACGTCCCACTTACCTAGGTGGCTGATGGCGATCGCTCGGCCGCCACTCGTACACCTCTACTAGTAAACCCTCGCTTCTTCGCATTCTAATTAGTGCTTGTTCGCAATATAGTTCTCCTTTACTTTAACAGGACCTACACCAGGTTCGTAGCTGAGCGCCTATTTTGTGTTTGGCTGGTTTTTCTTCAAGGGGCTGATCATGACGAACATGAGTATCATGCAATCCAGGCTAGGAGAAGGATGTAGGAACTGTGCGAGCTTTTTATTGCGGGAAAACGGTTCCTTACCTCGAGCAAGTTGGATGAACGCCCTGTAATTCGGACAGTGGATTGTTAATTTAACTAACGGTCCTCGTTGGGCGTGTTCTCTCGGCGGCTAGATCTATGAGATCAAGCTAGCCTTCTCGCTCTACAGCGGAGTTACCCTTCAACCTGAAGATGAGATGAGGCTAAGATAAACTACCATTCGTGTTGGTTTTGTTAGATTGGCGATAATCCATGCACATTTCAATCAGAGCGTCAAGGTCGCTTGCCATGTTCACACTTCTCGTTCAAGAGAGAAGCTCTCGACTAGGTATTGAGAATGGCTTACCTTCGCTTCCGCTTGCCTTCAGCAAATACACCGCGTTGTTGTACACCCCATAGTAACATCCGACAACATTCGAGTCTAAGCTAAACCCCTTAAGCCATTTCTTTTTTTCGAAAAATCATCGCTTGTATCCGATAGGAAATGTTGTCATTTTCATAGTAAATACCTTCCTTTCAATTTTCAACTTTGCATGTATTGTTCATCGAATAAGCCTTCTCCAACTCAGAGTGTCCAGAGCAGAGTATTACAGGCCTTTTTACCGCCAATGACTGACTGTACATAATCACCGATTTCTTCGAAGACGTCGCTGTTCGTCGCCTTGGGAAGAAAGATCTGCTCAAATTCAAGAGTGTCGTCGCTCAGAGTTAACTTAGTCGGATGATCATGATATTCCTCCTCGTACGTCTTGTCTCTCACTCCAGGGCTTGAAGTTGTCTTTTTATCCCACTCCCCAAATAATTTATAGAGTATTAACGGCTCTTGTCCCTAGCCCGTAACCTTGTTTGGTTATACCGCGTCTCTTAACGTCCGCTAGAGCTCCTCCTTCTTTCGTGGGCTTTTCCTCCTTTCTAGCGTTTCCTGCGATTGTCGATCTAAACTGCCAATCTCTTCCTCGTTGATCATTATATTTCCGCTTGGACTCTTATCTGCCTGTTTTTGTATAAATCGTGCTCTGTATGATAGGTTTCCGAAACATCTTGATGCGTCTTCGTTTCTGTTGACAGTGTCTAGAACCTACAACGTTTAGCACTGAATAAAAACTCACCCCTGATCTACCTGCAATTATCTTAGACACTAGTACACTGGATGATTAACAAATCCGTAGGACTTTCAAGTTGTGAAAACGTCGGACCAAAACGTAAAGCTTGGTTCGTATTCGGAGCGATGTGTTGTGGAGTTGACAGTTGCGAACGTCTCAACGATGTGTTTAGCCTCATAGTTACGTATGTAATTGGATATGCTGTCAAATATTATACACTATGACTGCGGTTTGTACAACTAGGCGACGGTGATGCCCTAGTTTGGGTCGATCTTGATATCGTACACATGGTAGATGGGGATCTCACCAGCCCTGTTTCGTTAATTCCCTAACTCTGGTGACGCAAGCCTTGAATCCCTTCTTAAATCTTGCCCGCCATCGAGCACTCTTTAACCTCTTTCGCTTGAGACCTGGTCGCTCGTGGAATTTCTGTAGTGAGAAATCTTGTCGTACTCTGTTCTGGTTTACCTGGATTGATAAAAGTTTGAAAGACCTAGCCACATCGACGTTGTTTCTGACATGGACGGTACGGCCGGTTCGTGGGACCAGTCGTAGAGGGGGCCGTACGGGAGCGGGGCGCTGTTCTACGATTTTGCTCTTGTTCAGTTCGCCTGAATCGAAATCAACTTCTGTGATTAATGGGTCTTCATCGTAAGCTGATATATCTGGCTTCTTGATCACGATATTGTCTTCTTCAGTTTGTCGGGATTCTCTGGAGGAACTGGGCCAACTGGCGGAAGAGTAACTTTGGTTCTGCGTATGAGATGTGGGTGACTTCGCGGGGGAAGCAGGGTCCCTAGCCCCATTGTTGGCTTCAATCGATCGGAAGGCTTGTGTCGTCGACAATTGTCGCGCACTGGTCATTCGAGATCCTGATGCGACTAAGAATGTTTGTGATGTCCATCTTGGAGTAGAGCTTAGAAGTAGAGATGTCGCTCGAGTGGCAACTTGTGCGGCACGATAGAACTCGGCCCTAAAGAAACCAGCAAATTAATAAGTTATGGGAGGAATAGGGAGTTTTGTCTCACTTACATAGTGACTTCTACCTGGCCCTAGTCAGTTCTTAAGGAGTTTATCTTCGGTTCATGATTTTGAGGTAGAATTGTTGTATCAATTGCGATTCGCATTTTCTGCCGGGGAGGGACCCACCTTGAAAAATAATTCCATACGTGCTTATGTAATGAAAGCCCCCACTATACATACTTCAATCCATGGTTCAGCCAATCTGTGGCTGTGCTTTGCTAGACTCTTTTCGTTACTAACTAAACTAAACAAACCTTGTCAACATCAATTCTTCAATTCTTCAATTCTATTCTTCATACTAATCACTACACATACCAGCTTACTTTGCACCTTGGAATATCTTCATATCTTCCGCCCCTTTTCCCCGGTTGGTAACGAGAAGCGCGCTGGAAGGGATACGCGCATACGTCTTGACGCCGATACAATCGGCCAAGAATCCAGTTCGCTAAACGACGCCCATCGAACGATAGTAGTACTGCATAGTATTTGGAAGTCATGGCGTATAATCCTTACGGCGGGGGTAAGTCATATTTAATATCTTACTATTCATATACAATTGGGAATATGCTAACGAGAATACCCATTTCAAGTACCCGGCTTCGGCCCACCTCCGACCTACGGTTCGTATCCTGGCGCCGCCGGTGCTCCAGGCCTCCCGTCTGCTCCTGGTCTAGGTATGTAGTTTCGCACTCAATTGTATACGCATTCATGCGCATAGCCTACTAATACCACCCATCTTAGGACCCCCACCAGGCATGTCTGCCCCAGGAACGGCGCCACCTGGCGTTCAGCAGCACAGCATCAATCAAGCTAATCGACCTAGCGGTCTACCCTCCAACTTCCAAGCTCCTCCGAATATGCCCAACATTAACTTCAATGCCCCCGTAATCCGCCTCGGTACCGCCTCCGCGAAGCCCCAAACCCCCGGCATACCGGGTCGCAAAGACACCGACACCCCAACTTCTGCCGGACCTAGACCTGGTATAGGTATGGACCGCGGTTTAGACCAGACGCGACAGGCTATACGGGAGAATATGCAAGCATTAGTACCTCCTACCAAAGAAGAGATCATTCGAACAGTCTTCGTAAGTGGAATTACAGATGGTATTAGTGGCAACGAAGGCGTCGAGAAGATTCTCGGCGCCCCAGGCAAGGTGCGTCGTTGGGACCGAGCTACGGATGCTAGTGGAAAAGAGATGACGTTCGGCTTTGTCCAGTTCGAGGATGCTGAATCGCTCTGGATCGCCTCCGAAATCTTAAAGGACATCACCGTACCCGTAAAGAAGCAGACACCATCCGACGAGCCGGCGGGTGACGACGATACCTATGAGAAATTCGAAAAAGTAACCCTACAAATTCGACTCGATGAGAATTCTACCAAGTACCTAGAAGCTTACAAGGAGAGTAGGCCTGATGACTCAGGTGCAGAGGCAAGACGTGAAGCTGCCAGAGGTGCGTTGAAGCAGACCATTAAAAATCTCTTTTATCCCACGTCACGACCTGGAGCAGACGCAGATGGGGATGTCACTATGGGTGATAGTTCGGCCCAGAATGGAGAGAATGTTGAGGTGGTTAATATCCCCTTGGCACAGGAGGACGAACTCGCCGACATCCCGGCTGAAATGCGCGAGACCGTTGCTGCCGAAATCGCTGCATTCAGGGAGCGAAGCATCAAACGTGATATGGAACGACTAAAGAGGGAAGAAGAACTCGAAGCGATGGAACGCCAGCGTAATGGTGCGCCAAGACCATCTCGATTAACGTCACCGCCACCCTCTAGCGCGAATACAATACCATTGGGACCGCGTGGCGTACCTAATGCGCCGTCTGGTCCTAAGGGACAGAAATCTGATATGGGTAAAGATTTCAATAGGTCAATCAGTTTCGTAAATGGCGGGACGGCTAACGGTGGTCTTGGTTATAATCGGGATGACGATGATGATTCCGCCAGCGACGAGGAATTAGAGCGCCGACGAGTTGCGAAACAGAACGCGGATACAGAGAAACTCTACCTTGATGCCGAGCGTAGGTGGTTAAACCGAGAGAAGTCGCGTACGGCTGCTCTTGAACGAGAGAAGGAACGCGACGAGTCTGACGCGAAGGACTCTGCTAAGAACAAAGAGAAAACGCTACAACGACTCAAGCACTTCGATGATGACGCAGAAGCATCGCGCAAAACCGAGGAATATTACAAGGACCGCAGCGCTTGGATTAGAAACCGCACTGCATTTAGGGCTAGAGAAATTGCTGCTGATGATACTGATAGACAAGCAGAGGAGCAAGAGCGCGTCAGAGAAGAGGCGGAGCGTGAGCAAGCTAGAGGCATGGCTGATTCATTCCTTGAGAGACAAGCCCAAGAGATGGAACAGCGGCCAGCTCCTAGGGTTGGCATTGCTGCGCCGCAACCATTCAAGCTTTCGCTTGGTGCCGCCGCGCAAAAGGCCCAGGCTCAACGTGCAGCTCCACAAAGAAAGACCATCGCCGAAGTTGAAGGTCTGCTGGAAGACGAAGATGAAGACGCATCATCCAGACGCCAACTTATCCCCATTCAGTTCGAACCGGCTGCAGCTGCAGCTATGTCGGATGAGGAACGTGACCAAGCTGTTCGCGCGTTAGCTCAAGAGATACCTAATGAAAAGGAAGGACTATGGGGATGGGATGTCAAATGGGACTACTTGGATGAGAGCGTCATCCGAGAAAAGCTTAGGCCTTTCGTCGAAAAGAAATTGGTCGAGTATCTTGGTGTCCAAGAACAACTCCTCATCGAGGTTGTGGAAGAAAATCTTAGGAAGCACGCCAAACCTAATGATTTGGTTGAAGAGCTAGCCGAGGTACGTAACTACCCTACCATTATCTCTTGATCTCTTGACTGCATTTAACTAACTCTTTTTCAAGGCACTGGATGACGAAGCGGAAGCCCTAGTCAAGAAGCTTTGGCGAATGGTCATTTTCTTCACTGAGAGCGAGAAACGCGGGCTTTCCGCATAAGTTGGGGGGATGTACTAGCTACCACTACTTCGCTATACTTGTATGAGGTCTATCAAAGTTATTCAGCACATTACAGAATAATGAAGCGCTCGAAAGGACCATCACAAGCAATGGCTTACCCTCATAATCGAAGATATTAATCAAGGAGACAAAGGCAATAGTTTATACATTCACAAGGGAATATATTGAAGGGGCGCTGTTCGGGCATTTCCAGTGCCATCTGAACCATATGCAAACTTTGAAGGCGTTGTTTCCATGAGCCGTATTGTGTGTATATGGCTAAAAAAAGGAAAAGGGCTAATGAAGGATACTCTTCGGGTGAAGTTTCACAACCATAATAAAATTCAATGGAGATATCCCATTCAACTACTTCCGCGCTTGCCCCGTCTTACCTAACGTCTCGATACTATTTTAAAAATTTAGGAAGGTGGCACACAGTCCGTTGCCCGTCAGGGGTGTGACGCAACGTCCGGGGATTGCGGAGTAGAGTGGGTCTGACGGAATACCGAGGTTACTCTCCACAAAATCCCCAACATTCGGTTCAATTCATCAGTACAGCACGGTGAGTAGCATTTACCTTTATTAAAGCAATCCTTCCTTCCTATTACCTAGGCTTTGTTTATTGATTATTCATGCTATATTTTATTTGTCCGTCCGATATACTATAAGATTTCATATTAGTCTTTTAACAACACGTCGCATTCATGATATTTCTACATCTAATCTAGTAAATCTACAAACCTACATTAGTCGTTCTCAACAAAGCCGAGGAGGTCTTCCCCTTTTCCGTACTACACACCACCACCCATCATGTCCTCCACTCAATTCACATCACAACCCCCCTCCGTCCCAAACACCCTAATCTCCTTCCCAAGCCCACACATCCTCCTCGTAACGCTCAACCGCCCAGACGCTCTAAACGCGATTCCAGTCCCACAACATTTCGCCCTCGAGAAACTATGGGAATGGTACGATGCGGAACCCTCATTACGCTGCGCCGTACTAACAGGTACCGGACGCGCGTTTTGCGCTGGAGCGGATTTGAAGGAGTGGGATGAGACGAATTCTTCATCTTCCCCATCTTCTACCTCGAACTCGGGGTCAGAGTTAATAACACCCCGAGAACGAAAAACCCGCTTCCCACCGGGCGGTTTCGGCGGGATGAGTAATCGAGGCGGGTTGAAACCGATTATAGCAGCGGTTAATGGCGTGTGTTTCGGCGGCGGCATGGAGATGGCGGTTAATGCTGATCTTGTGATCGCGAGCGATGCGGCGGTGTTTGGACTTCCGGAGGTTACTATTGGGGTTATTGCGCTGGCGGGGGCGTTGCCTAGGTTGGTTAGGAGTGTTGGGAGGCAGCGCGCTGCGGAGATGGCGTTGGGTGGGAGGAAGAGGTATGGTGCGAGGGAGATGTTGGGGTGGGGGTTGGTTAATGAGGTTGTGGATGTTGGGAAGGGGGGTAATGAGGTTGTGGTAGAGGCGGCGTTGAAGTGGGCGAGGACGATTGCGGGGAATAGTCCTGATGCTGTGATTGTGACGCGCGAGGGGTTGAAGTTGGGGTGGGAGGGTGTTGGGCCGGAGCAGGGGACGGATTTACTGCTTAAGGGGTGGTTTGGGCGGATTGAGAAGGGTGATAATGCGGTTGAGGGTGTGAAGAGCTTTGTTGAGAGGCGGAAGCCAGTTTGGAAGGATAGTAAGTTGTGAATAGGGTTTTTGTTTAGGTACATTTGAGTATTGAACAAGCTCGCAAGTTGTATATTGAAACTGACTATTAATGTCTGGTATCGTCAAAATCATGGGCGTCCGGCCCTTCTATATATCATTATGTCATGAAAAAGTCTCATCCCAGTCCACGTTCCATCCACCTTTTACCCCCCTCTATTCGCTTTCACCTGCTCGTATATAAAATAGCAAGTGGCGTATGTACAGTATCGGGAGCCCCTCTCGACAGCTTCATTTCCATAACATAACGTAAGAAAACCCATTCGTCATAAATTCATATATAGTAATCGTGTTAAATATCCCCGGTCCTTGCGCGGTGGGTAAAGGTTTAGGTCGTCAAGTGATGTGGCGGATTTCGTAGTGGCGAACCTACCTCCATATCATCGCACCTTGCTAAAGAAGCCACCAATTCCAGAGAGGCTTCTGGGGGATCTGGAGGAGCTTCGTCTTGATATGGGCGTAGGGGGCAAGTCCAAGCGCAATGGAGTAGCCGGTGAAGTCGGCGATATCGCTGTTAATTCCGATATGTCATACTGACCAACAAAACTTCCGAGTATCATCTTGTACATATCACCTGATACGTGTTCAGTATCGACCACATCCCTGTAGGTGGTATGTTAGCATTCGTGATTATTTCATATGGTTCAAGTTGAGAGGTGGGACAACCTACGGTATTGAATACTTCTTCCCAATTTCGTCGTCAAGGTGCTGCAGTATTCGAGGAACCTCGTGCCCGAATGCAACAAATTGGATGGTGAACCATCGCTTTTCCAGCCTCTGTGTGAAGAACGGCTTCTTGAGGAAATCTGCGATGGCCCGTTCAACGCTTGTGGGATCGACAGTTCCCTTCCAATCTCCATTCGTCAGGATAATAAGTGTCGTCGCACGCTTCGCTCCGTGTAGATACTTGTCAAAGATATTCGTCAAGGTCTGGGTCATATCTGTATCAAATCGATACCTTGGGTTTGCTGTTTCCCGCTTAGCCCCTTCGAATTTTGCTAGCAACTTGTTACTGGAAACACCGCGTGCGTTGTGCTCGTTTCCAACCGTGAACTCGATATCCAGGCCGTCCTTGTCGAACGCCGCGACTTTCAACGCGAGGGTCTCTAGAGCAACAGACATCGTTTCCCAATGTTGGTTCATACTTGTGTCGTTATCTACGACGAACATCTACACCGGCGATGATACGTTAGGAAATTACTCGCGTGTATATGGGAGTTTGGGAACTTACGATGTCTCGATTGACAAGAAACTTCTTCAAATAGTCGTCATGATCCTTTTTGAAAATACGAGCCATGACTCCCTTGCTTTTCAAAGCCCGGTGTTCTTCGTAAATTGACCATGAAGTATTCTGGTATTGGGGATACCATTGCGGGCTCTCGGAAGAGACAGGAATGGGTGCTTGTCGACCTATCGATGGTGGCCTTATTGGTAAGTAATTATTCGATTGTATTCTAGGCGGTAGGCTATGTTCTTGATGCATCGGGCTCTCTATGGAGGTTCTGTATGGCGTTTGAGTTTCATTTCCCCGTTGCGACTGAGTGTTAGGTATTGTGAACGTGTCAGGGAAGACCGGTTCTTTTTCGATAAAAGTTCCTTGGCTCCTGGAAAGGGTAGAACGTCTAGCAGGATGGCCTAGATCAATATTGGGTGTGAAAATTAGATTGTGTGAACTCGAGTTGTCGACAGGTCGCAGTCGTAGAGGCCCTGGCACCAAAGAAGGCTCGACGGTGCGATCGGTTTCAAGACGCAGGTCTGGTTGGGTTAAGGAATCTGATCGCCTCCCATCTCGCTTAAGGGCATTTTGCCGATGAGCAACCCTCCCTTGAACTGCCTCGTCCATTTTTTTGGACTTATTGATGCGACTATACTTTGATCGGCTTCGTCGCGATGGAGTTGGAGAGAGATAAGTGGAAATCTTGGATGAGTCGCTGGCAGTAGTGATTTCTGATTGATATGAGTTCACCGGCGAGGGTGCTCTATCCTCAACGCTGAGTAGAGCCTCCTTTACCGAGTCCGTTACTATGTCAAGACCAGGACCTCCCATGAGTCGGTCGTGCTCATACTGTGCCTCCTGTAACTGTTCTTCCATAGCAATGTGCAAGGCATTTGTCTTCCGTGCTGATTCGGGTTGTAACATACATTCTTCGACAAGGTCGAGTATGCGCCCTGTAATTGTATCGGATCTCCTCAGCACACTTCTTAGATAATTGTGCCATTCAAGGACCTCTGGAAGAACATGGACACCGTTGTGGAACGCATCATCAGCGACTGGTACACCTATTGTACTGTGGTAGACTCGCTTTTCCCGAAGTTTTCGAATTGCAATCCGTCTCAACTCATAGTAAGTGAGGACTCCTTGATAACCTAATACCACCCATGTTGCAGAAACAGATAAAACACAACCAAATGACCATGTATCAATTGTTTGTGAGACGCTTATTGAGGGATCTTGGCGTGCGCGGTCGCATTCAGGAGCGCCTATAAGAACGTCAATGATTATCGCTAACTACCCACGTAAGGTTTTTCCTTACCATATGTCTCGGTCCCTCCGGTAATACGTGCTTTAGTCTGGACGTCACCCAGTTTCGTTGGTTTGAACTTCGCGAATCCAAAGTCTGCGAGCTTGAATTCACCGTTGACCCTTAGAATATTATCAGGCTTTAGGTCGCAATGCCACCTAAAAAAGTTAGCTTTAAGGTCACTAGAGATTGGTAACATGTGCGGATAATACCCTGAAAAGCAATCATGATGGCCGTTTTCACGTTCAAGCTCGAGATTGTGTATTGCGTCTAACGCTTCCGCAACATTCGCCAACGACTTCCAAAACTGGATGGTCTCTGGATTGAGATTTGGCGGGCAATTCCTCTGCGACGCAAAGAATTCTTCTAAATCTTCTTCGCCATATTCGAGAAGAATATTCCAAGTACGCGATACGCGTCCATCCTCAAGCCGTTCGTCGATCTCGTATTCACCGAGGTATCGAACCATTCCGGGCAATTGGGGTTTGGCCTGTACCACAAGGTATGCCTCCCTTTCCCACTCGAATATTTCAAGGTGTTCTTCGGTGAATGTTTTCACGGCAAAAACGTAACACTAGGTAAGAAATTAGACACGATGTACGGGACAATTAAGATATTAGGGAACCGTACCGTTCCGTGGTTGGAATCCAAGTATTTCGATCGCTTAACAGCCTCCGCCAGCTTAGGGGGGACCAATGATTCCTGGACAGCCACCTCCCAGACTTGTGCCGTACCGCCCTTATCATTGATGGGTTGGCGCTTGCAGAATGGCATGATATATCTTGAGTCTAAGAACGTCGCACGCATTCTAAACTCCAAAGCGCACGGATAATATTGCCACACCCGTTCTTGGAAACACTCCCAGAACTGGTTACTCTCCGTAGCGCCCCCATTTTTGAAATATTTGATGGGGAAGTGAACGTCAAACTTTCCGCGATCTGGTAGTTTACTATCGACGATACCATATCGTTGGAAGGCTTCAATCAAGTGGCCATATCCTAACTCAAGGAGAATGGCGAACACTATTAAGCAGCGTCGCTCGCCATGTGAGATCTGCGACGATTCGTGACGATGCGGGCGACTTGGGAGGCTTTCATAGACCTCGGTGAGAAGTAGACCAGCGTTGGTGGTTGGTTTCTCAGCGTCCATGTGGAGCATCCATTCAACCATGTTATTAGTACAATAATATTCCCGACCGCAGTATGCTGTGAACTTCCATTCATTCTGGAGTTTTTGACGGAAAATAGAGAAAGTAGGAGCGCTAGCGAGCACGTCGCTAGTGCACCCAACCATGTTCGTAGGTAGTGTTGTTCATCCAAAATTATTAGGTGATGATTCTTATTAGCAGGGGACGACAAGCCTCAATAAACACAAACACAAGCTTAAAGGTTCATTGATTATTGGTGTGAATACTTCAAATAATTGTGGTTGAAAGATGTCTGGCTTTGACAGGCCCGATCCAACATTTTTATCTCAACTCCCTAAGCCTCGCGCCTGGTTCGCGGCTTCGGTTGATGCTCATATTGCGACCGTCAGCCTGCTTCCTGAGATACACAACTAGGCAACAAGGCCAATTTGCATAGCCTGATAGATATTCTTTAGTACCCCTTCAGGCGTGGGCTATGCTTGCGCCCGCACCCGCGAACGTGTTTATTGCGGCATGTTGCACTGTACGGGACGTACTGTCCAAGGAGAGGTGAGATCGCCCGCCCAATGCAAAAGTTGTCCCATGTGTGTGAACTCGGCGCCAGGAATTGCACATATCTAGGTACGGGTTTTTATCGTCGATTCCCCTAAAACTTGTACGTGCTGAGCCCCTTCAACAGGGACAAGGCATTTTCTTGGATGGAATGTAAAAATTCCCCCAGAAATGCCACGATGGTTAGATGGTTGGTTGGTTGGTACGGCAATTAATATGCGCAATGTAACACCCAACACCGCCACCTATCACTTGCTGCGGAATAGTGACATCGGAGTACGCACCCAAGGTTCATGAACTCAGCCGCAAATGACTTGCGACTCAAAAATCGATCCAATGTTAATCACTCGATCACATTGTTCCTAAAAACATTAAGCACCGTGTTATTATACGATTTTAATCCAGAAAATGTTATGCGTTTGTATTCCAAAGCCACCAATGCGATATATCAGAAATAATTAGCCGCCTTTAACACTCGGGTAGGTACTTATTAAGCTGCCTTAAAGCCCGGACACCCGGATTTAGGTATCCGACAGCTCAATATCTTGCGTTCTACCAGTCATAACCCTGTTAAAAAATGATCCCTTAGGGTCGTGTGGCGCCCTGTTATGAAATGGTAGAAGGGCAACCGACGAATTAAAAAAATTCTTCACCGTCCATAAAGTCGATCGCCCTTCTTCTAAGCCAAATTCACCCTCCCGCCGTTTTCCTACCATGTATTGTCTCGCTAAATAAGCAACCCCGCAGGTCAATACAGTCAGCGGTATCGTTACTTGCAGCCATCTCTTCATTGCAACAGCGGAAAATGTCCCTCCTGGAGAGTTAGAATCTTGATACTTAACAACATTAGTGCTGAAGAAAGTCTGAAGTCATTTAGTAAGTGTAATTTCCCTCTAGTTCAGGGCTGCTTACCGAAACAAACGTCGCGGGGAGATATATGAGAGTTACAACTGTTATAATCAACATGAAGACTTGCTCTTGTTCCATAGATCGGCTCAATCGCTCAGCTCGACTGGCCGATTGACTCTGCAAGTGCTGAATAACCTAGGTATCATTAGTTCAGTTACAGTGCAAATTTCTGAGGAATACTCACCAACTGTCTGCGATCAGAGATGGTTCGTACGAGGAATTCGGCTCGTTTAATTTGCATCCTGAAGTCAGAAACAATATTTTCAACTTGACTAGCGAAAGCGCATATATCAGATGCACACGGTTTCCGCAGGGGAAAACTCTTGTTACGGGACAACTTTCGATAAAACGATACTAGAGCCAGCATCACATCCAGATTACCTTCAAGAGCTAAGATTACCCGCCTAGTTTTCTCTTCCCAGATCTGTAGATCTTGGATATCTCGAGGCGTATATGTTTTATGCGCATAACCAACACCGGGCGGGCCGATCACAGCCATTATATGCTTTCCAGATTCAGCAAATTGTACGTGTTCTCATTCCGGAAACATACCTCTTTATCAACAACATTTTCAAGCCACTTAATATACCATCTCCAATCTTCCGTAGCCGCATAACAATACATCAATTGAGCCGATAGACTAGATCGGAAGCAGTCCTCAGGAGTACCAAAAGATTTATCCTCAGATCGAGCGTTTCTATCAGTCAAGGCTTTGAAACGCTGCTGGATATCGATATTTCCCCTAAGAACTATCCAGAGAATGTTTCCATTGATAACATCAAATTGGTGATGCACGACAACCTGGCGAATAGTCCATTCGTTTAATGTGGAATTTTCTGTGTTTTTTGACTTGAGCGCTGCAGATTTGAGGTTGTAACACATCTGATAATGTTTCCCACTTCTCCCCAGACTGGGGAGAACTAACTCGTCGGGCGGGTTAGTTAGGACAACCTGCTCTTTGAAGCTGCTGAATTGAAGCTCAGTAGTTTCACTTTGCTGGCCAAAAACGTATAGAAAGTCGAGAAAAGTTGGCATAACTTGATGGAAAGTAAGGATGTCTAGAAGCATAGCTCTTGTCAACCTCAACTTCGCTCTTGAGTGGGACCCATATAGATAACTTCCAACTAGGTTAGTAGCATACACATATTATAAAATATAACATTACATTCATTACTTACATGAAGCGACATTTGGGATCTTTCCGAGTTGATATCACCGTCGGTGCGTTTGTAAGGGGTTTCTGGACGCATATCCCGAGCCGTTCAAGTAATTTCTGATGGTTATGGACATTGTACTTGTCAATATCTGGAAGTAGGTAATTAGCTGGGAAATCCGACAATAGCCGCCCGCTGAACCGACTCACCCTTTCCACATGCAGTATCCAAATCTCGAATAGGGACCTCCCATTCGTATGGATTGTCTTCAAATAGATCCCATTCCCTGTCACTTAGTTGGCTTTCGGCTCTCTCCAGGAATTTCGGATATGCATCGATTGTCTTGTAAATAGTGTTCTTAGGATACGACTGCGACTGTGAAAGCGCAAGTTGAAATAAATACGGGAGTTGAGCACAGGACATTATGAAGAGCTTTTGAATATCTTCTTAGATCGGTTATAAATTGTCTCCAATTACAGTGGACTCTATACTAGACAGGCAGTACCTAGGTCAACTATCTTACGGCAGTCATCATTAAATACTCGACATAGAACGATAGTATACCCAAGTAGAACTTTCACCAAGCCTCGCAGTATGCCAGTCTGACTACCAACACATGGTACAAGTCTGATACGAGGGCATATTGTGGGTAAGATACGACTTATTCACCGAAAACACTACCTAGGTAGGGCAGGAGATTTTCCACTTTGATCAGTATAATTATCACACAGTAGATACAACTGTAGAAACCCTGCTAGATCGGGGGTATCAAAACGAACCCAGCCTGCAGCTATAGCGCCGAAAATACATAAACCAGTAAGCCGCCACAATACTCCCCCACCCATACTTTTGCCAAATCATAACCCCGCCGCCAAGGGGCAATACAGTGGGCGCTTAAGAGATCGTATGGTGACCTGCCAGCCTGTTTAAGGCTCTGGGGATACTGAGTCCCGCCGACCTTGTGAAATGCTGTCTCTAAGTTTGTTTATTTCGGCTTTATCCTTCTGTAGCATTTGTCAATAACTTGCTCCAATAATAAGCCATCCGGAACTGACCTCAGTTAAAGGCTCTGGAGTCTGGAAAACCCAATTGTCGTCTCTCTAGAGAGGAAGTCAGCTTCATTTTCATAGACTTGGCAATTTTGGCCAATATTTACTCTTTCCTCTTTGAATGTTTCATTAGGCCACCTTTTCAATAAGTAGCCTTGAAGAGCCTCCCAGCTCAAGCCAGCGTATACGGGGTATTTCTCTTGGTGCCCCCGAGGTCTTGCTGATTCTTGTTCTCTTCTCGCCCGGACTAGGAATGATTCTGTGCGTTGACGCTTCCTAGTGCTGCGCGTTGAATCGGCGGTGTTTTGTCGTTTAAATGATTCCGCCCTGCCCCCATATCTCGGGATATGGTCAGGCGGGCTCTGGCTGTTGCTTGACGACATGTTGTAAGCCAAGGCTGGTTATCATTGCCACAGTAGTAACGACATTACCTATGAGAGGGAAGAAGAGTCGAACTTAATGACTTTATAGATAGCCCTATTTTATCCTTGGGCTCAGGTCAGGTACAGGTGCATGGGTTGCCTTGCTTCTGCCTACTTATCTGTCGCCTTACATTTAACCCGCACCAGGGTGGCTTACTTGAACTTTGGCAGGCTTATAGGGGATAATAGTCCCCATGTAGAGCCTCATTTAAGGGGGAATCAACGATACCCCCCCTTCGTCCCCTTTGCGCTGCAGGTGCGTACCAGTACCAGTAAAATCGTCTAGTCATCGTAGCTGATGACCCCTAGAACCATGCCTCACATTCCATACTGCCTAGGATTTTGTGATGTGGAACATACCAAGGTACTACCTTATGTCCACTTATAGGGCTCGGTGGGCAATTACGCATGGTGATAGGCTGAAAAAACTCATTTACTACCTAGGTATTGTAATGGTTTATTCACCAAAGTTCTTGAGCTTTACTGGATATCATTTAATCATATGCCATGGCTCCGAGCGCCACTTTCTTAAAAAACGCAAAGGTTAGGGAACCTACAGCAACTTATTCTAGCACCATACATCGGCCATTAGCAGGAGAGTTCGCGCCAAGATGTGACCGACGCACATGGTTCATACCACTGACACTCCCCTATTGATATACTAAGACTCCATCAGCCACAGGCACCCACTAGCCTATACATTCCCCTGCCTGCATGCCCGGTATTAATATGTACTAGCCGCCCAGATGCCCGGGATGATACCAGTTGCGGGACGCAATATGGTAGCCCCTACACGCTAGCTTCACCGATAATTAAGGAATACGGCGTCATGACTCACTAAGCAGCCCTATCAATTCATTGGAAGCCATTACATGAAGATGGTACCAGAGGCATTAGACAAGTTCGGCTACCAGCCCGAAACTCCTTCAAAAGTAGACATGAAATACTTGCTTATTTAAAGCGATAAAATAAGCCGAAAAAAAGAAACTTTAAAAAAGAGAAAATTAACAAGTCTTGAAACTAGAGGGAATTATTGTGCTACTATTCAATCCATGTATTATAGCCATGCGGATTGACGGGTCGCTAAACTTAGGTATATTTAGGGGCAACTCAACATTGACTCCTAGCTTTAGAATATGACATCGAATCTGAAATCTATCCAACTTCATACTAAACTCACGTTATAGGCCGAGTTACAAGAAAACTCACGTTAAGAAAATCTCATGACTATCTATCAAACGTATTGTGCGATCTAGGAGAAGCATGTTTAGAACAGACCCTCTAAGTCCCCCGCTATGACTCCTGAGTACAGCTATAAAAAGGCGCCCGCCTCCCCGAATCCCAACTCCTTTCCTTTCTCTCCTCATACTTCGTTCGAAAGCTGGAATGGATTCCTTGAAGTCCTAAGCTGGATAGCCACCTTTTTTGGTGCGCCAAACGAAACACAATCCTTTTCATTTGTCAATTCCCTCCATCATCACCATCACTACCACTACCCAATTCCTCCATTCCCCTTCCCACTATCACATCCACCTCACCCCCATCCAATTTCCTTTTGTCTCCCCTCCCCCTACTTTTCTTCCTTGAGTCCCTGCCCAAAGCAGAGAATTCAACGAAAAAAAGAAAACAAAAATTGTACGATGACATCCCGATACTACCGGAAAAGAGCGCAGTACCGAGACATCCCAGAGTGCCGATGTGCAATGGCTCTCTGTAGAAGAGGCAATTCTTGAGCTACTTCTTCTATCGTGATCTTGATATGAAGAAAAGAAAAGGAAAAGAAGAATTGGTTCGATGGGAAGATGGGCGGGTATTTATAGGAGAGGGGAGTGGGTCTGCGAAGCTGGTCGAGATGGAAGTGATGGAAGGAATCGAGGACTCGGTTGGCGGTGTTGGAAGGAGAGCTTGGGGGATATGATGAGGGATCGACGACGATGACGAGTTACGACCACGATGGTTTCGACGATTTGATGGAAACGAAGGAAGTGGGAGAGTGATAACCGACATGTCTTGCTCGATTAAGGGGAGGAAAAGGGGAGAAAAGGAAGTGCGAAGGGAATTTTATGACATGGTGGATGATTTTGGGACGTTACACTCTTCGAAAACGCAACTGATTCCTGCTATATTCTGGGTTGTCGAGATGGCAATGGGAAAGTGGATGGGCGGTATCATTTGTTTACGGCAGCTTCAGCGCAATATTTGGCCTATGGCAGAGTTTGGTGGCGCGATACGCATTATTCGGGAAACTCAGGGGAAACTGAGAACTCGGCTCTACAATATCAGAGTTCAATAGAAGCCAGCACGGCATGAAAATCATAATACAACTCGCTTTCCTAAAGACTAATATGTTGTGTTTAAAGGGAAGCACAAGGGGCCTATGTAGGTTGTGCTTAGGAAGTTGTAACTGAAGATGTTGTAGAAGTTGTAGACCCCTAAAGAATAGCGCTGCCCTACAAGCGACTAGCCCCTTATAATAGCCCACTAAAATAGAAAAGGGGCGAGCCTCAGGCGCCATCAAGGCCATTCAATTAACCTAACTCCACTAAAAGCCACAGCGGAATTGGGGTAACAATATTGGTCTTGGGCAAATGATAGCGTAGGTATACTTTTTGTAAGATGAATTATACAAAATCCCTAATATCTGGACATGCGAATCGTTCAGGTCACACATCATATAAAATAATCACATCATGAACACGCGATGTTTAGTGGATGGCCACTTCATTCAACTTCCAAGTAGTAGTCTACCTAAGGTACCTACGGGAGACCCCGGGGCCTCCCAACATAGCCGGCCCAGCGGAGGCTCATCCATAAGACGTTTGGGTATGAACTTCATAGAAGACATGGTATCGCATCTCCCATCCCCAGGCACTGCCATCATCAGTACTACCATCCATCCATCCATCTCCTCATCTTCAGTTAGACCCTAGGTCCAACTCATGGATCGTCTCAACGTCCATTTATCCTCCTCCTACTCATCCACATCAACCCAAAGATCCAACCATCCCCTAAGATAGATACCAGGGCGCTCTCATCATCCCGGACTGCGCAGCCGAAAGCGAAGAGAAGAAAGGTATCAAAGTTGTCAATTGAACTCTTTTCAAAGCTGGCTGAAAAAAGAGGTATACAAGGTATGCTGCGTCGATCCAAGGATCAGAAGAGATCGCCCGTAGCACGGACGAACGAACTAGTTATCAACCCTGTGACGGAAATAGCAAGAAATGCTGCGCGAGGGTAGGGAACGGCGAACCCCGTTGCAGCGTCGATACTGGAGTGTTCCAGAGGCTCCGTCCCAATGACTAGAAATTATCGACAAGAAATTACCAGATTATCCCGATCTGAGCAGCCATAGAGTGACTCCATCCCAGTGAAATTGTGTGAAGTGCCTGATCGAGGTCAACACTTCTAACTTTTTCCGACGAAAAGCGATGAAGCGAACATGCGATGGTCGAAATTGCAAAACAAAAAAGACAAATGCAGAAAAAAGACGCCAAATTTAGAAGTGTAGCAAATAGAGAGCGAGAAGTCGCAAGCGAGTGTCGAGAAGGTCAAATCGTTCCCAAGTTCGTCAAGGTTCGTCATGGTCGAGGGGAGCAAAGGTTTAATGCACCACTAGAATATAGCCGAGAGGTCTATACGTTGTATAAGTGGTTATGTAGACCGTCATATTCAATAGCCATTATTCGAGTAAGGCTGTTTGATTTTTTTTTTCAAGCGTTACAGATTAGTACGCTTGGCCAGGAACAGGCTTCCTGTCAATAGGTCCCTGGGGAGGCCCTTGAGGTCCTCGGTATTGCTGTTGCGAAGGGGCACCACTGTTAGGGTTCATCGGGCTAGGTCCCGGTGGGCTCATTCTTCGTTGTTGCCTAGGTCCGGGGGATTGAGCTCGGGGACCTGGGCTCATCGGTCGACCGGTAGCGGGGGAAGCCGGGCGACTACCGTACGGGCTCATTGGGCGTCCAGTGGCGGGCGAGTGGGGTCGCATCATAGCAGGTGATTGAGGGCGTCCGTGTTGCATGGGATGGTGCATAGGAGACTGCGGGCGACCACTCTGGGGGGTCATGGGTCGTTGTCCAGGAGGATAGTTGGGTCCAGGACCTCGGGGGCCACGTGGGCCGCTGGGGTTCACAGGCGGACCGTTGCGACCACCGGGAGGGCTTCCAGCAGTACGGGGCTTTACAGGTCGAGTCGATAGGCAGGTTCTAGGGACGACTCCTTGCTGACTGCGGTCAAGTCGGATGCAGAGAGACTAATCGAGGTTAGTGAATTATGAAAGCAGTGGAATATTCTTCAATGAAGTACTTACCCAACCATCATCGTACTCATGTAGCAATCGAACAAGTTGACCAGCTCTCAATCCCATTTCGTCTTCCAAAGTCGGCTTGAAATCTAGTTGGACACGGTGAACAGCGGAGTGGGCCGGACCACCGGCTGCCGCAATGGCCGCAGCGCTTCTCGAAGGACCAGGGGATTGACCGGGAGCAACAGAGTGAACACTGAACTCAGTATCAGCCGGGCTAGGTGGTCCATTTGAGTTGGTGAGATCTAGAGGAGCGGGCGCGTCTTTTCGGGTTGAAGCCTTGCGAGCTAAGGCGGCACCTGCAGCGGCACCGGCAAGAGCTCCGGCGCCAGCAGCGGCAGCGGTATCAATTGGGGAGGATTTTGGCGGCGAGTTTGTAGTTTGGGCGACGCCAACTACATTCTCCGGGTTCTCGAACGGGTTAGTGGGGCCATCGTTTCCAGTGGGCGTGTGAGCACGCTCCGCATTGTTACCGAAGGGGTTCTCGGGGTGGTCATTGGCGCGGTTGGCACCAGGACGTTCCCAAGGCGACTGAGGAACATTTCGAGGGGTCGCGTGAGCTGCACCAGTTGCAAGTGCTAGAGCGGCACCTTTGCTTGATCGTCGCTCACCGAAAGTGGGCATGAATTCGGTAACAGGTCGTAGGCTTAATTGGGGTGCAGTAGCACTGGTCTGGGTCGAACGAATGGAGGCGGTGCGGCCAACAATAGGTCCGTGGATCTTCTCGTTGTCTTGGTTCTGGTCTCTCTCAAGCTGCTTTCTGCGTCTGCTGAACAAGAAGTAGATGAGCAGAGCAACTACAAGAACACCACCTAGAACACCAATTGCAATACCAGCTTTTGCTGCGCCACTCGTATCACTGCCCGAAGATTCCGCTGCAGCTGTAGGAGAAGCGGAGGAAGAGGCAGCGGCCGCAGCATTTGTTGCAGAGCTAATTTGAGATGATTCAACATTCTTAGTAGCCTGAACAAGTGTTGTAGGAGTGCTGGTCGCAATTGCGAGCGTGGAGTGTTCGTCAAGATCGATAGAAGAACTTTGCATAATCGATTCGGGTAAAACCGATTTGTCTGTGCCCTTCGCAGTTTCTTGGGCCTTAACGATTGAAGCGGCGGTCGTATCTTGTTCTTTAACTTGCGAAGCGGAAGCTTGCGCTTGAACGACCGAAGTAGGCGCGGCGGCGGCGTGGGTTTCGGGGGTATCATCGGTCTGACCTACAGTCGAATAGCCAGCAATTGGGCCGTCGAATGTTTTCGACATGGTCTGGTAAACAGTTTTGTAGACGGTCGATGGCTCAGCAGCTTTTGCCTGAGCAGTAGGTGCGGATTTGAAAGGGTTGAAATCGTTAGCCGCACTCTCGACACCGTCGATAAACTGCTCCCAGCCATCCCGCCTCGCGTGGCGGTGGTTATGATGGTGACCCGGCATTGCGAATATCGTTATTCTCGAAAAATTCTAAAAGTTCAAAACACTCCTGCGAAATGGCAAATCTTCTCATCCACCGCAGTCGTCCCCCAAAAACAATCACAATCGTATGTCTCCGTGGACAACTACAGAATCAAGTCGTATTTCGAGTTCCGATAAAGTCGACGGGCAAAACGTGTTGACTTTAGAATGTAAAAAGAATGTAATGCGCACATAAGCGTTGTAGGTTGGCGGTATGCGACTTCGATATCGATCGTTGTGGCGGAATGAAGTTGTGTTCGCGCTTTTGTTTACCGTTAGATCGAATTGGCTTTAGAGCGTCGACGTCGCGATTCGTAGCGTAATGAAGGTGAATATCCACGAAAAATTCGGGAAAAGGGAATCGAAAATGAACGTAATTGAGAAAGGATCCAACGAAAGAAACCCAATTCTCGCGGGGAGAGGGGGGAGAAGAGACCGCGTACGTGGTTGCGACGTGGGAGGACGGTAAGGAAGGGAAAGGGAAAGGGAAGGGGAAGAAAGAGAGGGAGGAAATACAGAGAGAAATGGGTTAAGTTCAACCGCTGCAGGAGTGATTTGGGGCTAGTTGCCAGGGTTGCAGGGGTACCTTAGTAGTCAATTAGCAGAGGAAGGTACCTACCCTTTAGCGTATTCATGCGGGGGTACAGAGATACTCTTAGTCGTCTTAGCCTAGAAACATGTACTTGCTCCCGACGGACAATACCTGAGATGTCCTTGTTTCCCTGCGCGTAACCTTTTACACCCACCTGTAAACCTCGTGGAAAACCGATCCAATACAAGTGTATTGTACCTGCAGAAACCTGGTACTTTTTATCCTCTTAAATTCTAATTGGAGCATGGAATCCTTGCTGGCTATTTCTCAATTGTTTGCATAAGCACATTATTTCTTATTTCCTTTCGCAAACGGAAACGCATTAAGAACAAATTTGACTTCCCTCAACTATCATGTTATCATATGGCCCAGGTGGGCTAATTACGCCTCCATCCGTTCTGTCTCTTTTAAGCTGCTAGGTATAACATCACTATAGCATATTCGTCACCCCTCTATTAACCACCTAAATACTATAGATACCTATATACCTAGGCTGTCAGGTAGTGTACAATTATAAAAGAGTTGCTTATACCTACATTGCTTACTAGGACGAAAAGACACGAGCAAAGGTCGTATCGTGCTCATAACCGCAATTGATGCCATTGGAACTGAAGGCAACCGCGCGAGGATGGGGGAAGCGCTGCAGTCAGCACCGAATCACCCGTTTAAAGTGCTTAACGAAACTTAATGGATCTTCGTATCCTTGCCATCAACCCAATTCATCATCCCATCTCGCCATCTCCTCAATGTCGATCATACCTAGTCGGTCTTTCTCTCATGGCCGAACTGGTCCAAGCTCCATGCGCTAGTCAGGCACAGAGTCTCCACTTTCCAGGTACAAGAATGAACTCATTGGTCGATTTCTTCAAACGTGCAGATTACGCGAGATTGGTACAACCAGGGTATCCTCAGGGGTTGCATCCTATCTTGAATTTCTATTGGTTAACATGATAGAAACCAAAAGCGCTACAAGGCACAAAAATAGGTACATAGCCCCTTTAATTCTCAGAAGCGGAATACTCTCACGGAATTCCTCAAGTTCGCAACCAAGCATAACCAATTACAACCCAACTATACTTTGGGTGAAAGTATATGTAGTCAATGTCAATAATCGAATATTGACGAATTTATACCGTGCCCCTTTTCGTGGCTAGATACGTAATGAAATAGTATCATGGTTGGTGGCTCATGTGCCGCAAGCCTCATTCCGAATATCTTAACCTCTTTCATTATATTGCGGATGGGTATCGAAAACATAGTGTATGCACGAACATGCGGATATGTTAGCCGGAATATCAGAAGCGGACATAAGTGACCGAAGCAAGCAGATCCCAAAAGAAAATCTATCAAATTTCTGATAGGGATCCGCGCGAACATCCGTCTCATCGGGTCGAATCGTTCCCAATAAAATCCACGATACATAATGTATTTTTCTGTTGTGGAACGCACCATGACGTCTGCGTCACCGTGCTTCTTTTTAGACTTTTCCGATTACGTATTTTCGGACTTCTGTTTTTATTTTCCCCTCCGATTTCTTTATTTTTCACTTATTTTTCCAACCCGTGCATGGTTCATAGGAATTCATCCTTCACTATGGTCCCCCTGGATTAGACGGTTCTTCCTCTTCAAGTCGATCGGCTCCTACACTAGCTCTTTAATTCTTTCAGTCCTTCTCGAATCTAATCCTTCTAAACAAGTCCCGCCTTGGATTTTAATTATTTTAGCCTTGTGAAACACCCGAACTTGGCGAACATCTTCCTTTTCAGTCCGTCGGTCCGCAATTTCAATTTCCGTCTTCCCACCTGTTACATGTGCCGACCCTGCTAACCCCGGTCACCCTACCAGACTTAGAGGCCGATCACTATTTTGTTCCAATCAATAGGACTTGTGGGTTTGTGTGGAGGATCATCGTTATGGCCCACGCTAGTGTGAGTAACTCAGACGAACAGACAATTGCTGTTCTCTTTCCTAATCTCAAAACGTGGAGAGAGGTGGAAATCCTCAGTGCGCTTCCAAATCTTCTAGACGTACGTAAATAGATTTCAGCACTTATCGTCACATTGTGACATCGCGTCATGATTTCAACGGCACGGCCATGTGGGAAGTTCAGAAAATGATAATCTACATTTACATCGATCTATCCCATCGATTAAGACCAATGTCGCTCACCTAGCCATGTAATTGTCGCTCACAAGGCTAGATCAATCACAATGGGTCCATAACACGAGACAGTTATCAGTCAAAGACCTACAGCTTCGACCTGTGGGTTTTTAGACTAAATGATTAGATGCTATCCTCCCTTACACCAATTCACCGCCTCTCTAATAAGTTACAGAAGACCAAAGGTTGAAACGACGCCTCGTCTTTGCTTCAAACATACATCGCGTACACGGGTCGGCGATCCAAACAAGCAATATGTTTAGAAAGCTCTAGTGCAGTAATATCGGATAGAACACTCGTTCCAGTAGGTACACGGTAGATAACAACTAATTTCTCAACTTTCTATAACTAAAAGCCCCCAAATTAAATTAGTGGCGCGGTCTATATTACCTACCTACCTCTTTCACAACCTGATCCCGTAGTAGTCAGAAAAAACAGTGGCTAGTCCGGCGGGTCCACCAACCACATCTAGAAGGCAGATATAAGATATACGAGTTCACAGCCACCGGAGTCACTATATCCCAAGCGTAACAAAAAAGAAAAAGTTGGGTCAATTAGGTAGAATAACGAGCTTGGGAGCTTACGCGTGGAACAGGGTCTCCCGGCGTACATGCAAGCCTCTCGGTTGGAAAACCCAAGTATTCATAGGTGCCTTGCGTCGGATCAAAATAGTACGGATATTACCGAAACCAGCAGCACGGGATGTGCAATGTCGCTAGCTCGACTTATGATTTCTAACCACAAGCTGCATGCATGGTCTCGTTGGTTGATAGGATTCTGCACATGAGTTGTACAGCTGGTAGCTATTAGATAAAAAGAAAGTTGGAGCTCGGGGGTGGTGGGTTGGCGATGCTGTGATGCTTGATGTTTAGTAATAACTACCCAGGTGGGTAGGCTAAGCACGTACCACCTTATTCGGATATCCCCACCACAATAACCTCCTAGAACTCGCGCATTACTCATCCTCTTCAGCCTCTCCTGCCATGCCATTATCCTCTGATATTGTTGAAAACATTACCCTCTGTCCTGAGCTCTGTTCGAGTTGATAACCCTTTATTATTTAGTCAGGAGAGCCCACGTGGGCCCCTCTATCTAGATATATATGTGTCTGTATCACCTCCCTTGCAAGCAATAGAACGCCACTGCCGTATGCACTAGATAGTAAGTACCCTTAGAGCCAGACCCCCTAGTAAGGAAACCACCCTCGAGAGCCGCTCGAGGCGTTGCCCCATTAGCCACCTTGCCGGCGCCCTCCCTGGCAAAAGGCGACGGCATCTCCCTCGCATGCTATCTTATTTGACGGTTATGAATAACATCACTGCGGTACTGGGTTTCAGGCGTCTTATCTGAGCCCATTCTAATCTTTCCAGGCTTCGCAGCATCGAAATTTCGGTACTGTTATTAGTGAACTCAAAGAAGGAAACGTTTAATCTTTCTACCAAGTTAAGCATATGGGTAGATAAAGCAGAAGAAGAATCGGCGCGGCGACAACTTGCAGCTAATGAGGTAAACCGCTTATTGCGGCGCCAGCGAGAGTACGAAAATGAGGTTCAGCGACGCATAGATACTGCTACCCGCATATTCCAATGTAGCCCGACGAACTCCTTGGCTCAGCGAGATCAGATAATTTAGTAGGTATTTATTAGATATAGCATTCTGTTACGACCCCGCCCACCCCTACCTAAGAAACGATGCGACTAGCTAATGCCGACCAAACAAAAGAAAAACGAAAAAAAAAAAAAGGTGGCATGCGTAGCAAATCCTATACCCCTTTAGACCTCCTGGGACTCCGTACCAAACTCGAGGCGACATCCGGTAAATTCCTCGATATCTTCCTTAATGCTCTCGAACGGGATAACGAAACTGATGTCGTATTCGATCCTGGAGTGGTAGTCATAATTATGACCTCCCCAGAGCATACCTATCACACCTGGCACAGGTCTTTCCATAGATTGGGCACCCCGACGCGAAGGCGATAAGGGAAACGTCGAAGATGCGAGGCGGGCAGGGAGAACCGAGAATACGACAGATCCGCTGTCTCCTTTGTCGCTAAACGTGTGGACTTTTTTACCCGCTATAACGGCATAAAATTCGATTGTGGAAGAGGATTCCCAGTTGTACGACATCATAGAGTTGATTGTTCCCCAAGACCCACCACTAGAGCCACCAACCATGTACGCCTCGATGTTTCCCCGCTTAGGGATACCCGCGTCGTCGGAAGTGAGACGGTTGGGAAGACTTGGGTCTCGCTCGACGATAGCCTCTCGAGTAAAGTAAGTCTTGATTTCCATGACCCCGTCCTGATCCGTCGCACACGCAAGTTGTACCCTAGGGATGTTTGTAACATTGACGAGATTACGAGCATGGAGCGGAGTGAGAATCGACGAGTGGAATTGAACCACTGCCCAATCGCGCATGGTATTACGAAAGACCCCGATGGCGGGTGAAGCTATAACGTTGCCTACGTTGCGGCTGGCAGGCTGGATATGGGACTCGCAGTGCTCCAAGAATGTCTTGCAGCGTTCCCGCGAGAGAGCGGTATCGCTGAGGATTTCTGCCTGGTGCTCATTCCTTTCCGCCGGGTCAACCCATTCCTCGAGATGATGTATGTTTTGGTCAAGATCATCCAACGCTTTTGCAAGTTCCGGCAAGATGGAGTCGAGCCGTCCTTGGCTCGGTTGGACTACTCGTATAGGCTCGCTCGGAGATTCGGAGATTCCGAGTTGACTAACGACCCGCGTGTCTCCTTTTGAGCAGACGACATGGCGGGCCGTGATCATGATAGGAATGCGTCGTATCCCGTTGTATCCGCAGTTTTGAAGCAAATGCGCATGGAGACCAGAAGAACCAGAGATACCAGGATTAGACATGGCGCCGATAGACGGGCTCAGGTACGGTGTGAACTGAAATACGTCGTTACGGAACACGGCCGCGAATCGACACCTCAAGTCCCACAGACCTTCCGTCGACAAGAAGAGACCGGTGTTGGCGACATCCTCGACTGATGAATCAATTAGTCTAGAAGCATCGACCCTAGATTTGCCATCTTTTTGCTTACCAGCTTGGGCTTCAACGGCCTCTTTGCATGTTGACCGGACGTCGACAGAAACACCCACGGTCTGCAGCGCCGTAGACGAGCTGTCGGAAACCTCTAGCGTTGCAAACTCATCGGCGACGGCATCTCGCGCTTCTTGGGATCCGGTAGAAAGAGTCTCCGGAACTTCTCGTGCCGTCGCCGAAGATCCACCCCCGTACGGACAGAAAGGCGCCTCGTATACCTCGCAACGGACATCGGAGATGTTGAATCGGCGCAGCAAACGTTCCATGTCGTGTGCCAAGCGGCTTCCTTGTTCCCACGATACCATATCCGGCTTCACCTTGATGATCAGAGTAATAGGCTTCTGGCCTTCCGATTCATAGCCAATGCGCAAGACATCGCATCCAACCGTCCCGGGGAAAGATTCAATCGCCAGCTGGCGGATAGAGTCAAAGACTTCAGGGTTGGAGTTGAATAGGGGTACAACAGGATGGTGGGCCTCTACGACTGCGAGAACTTTAGGGATGCTATGGTTCATCTCGATCGGCACCTTCTAAGTGAACCGATTCTCGAGAAACGATGCATCCGTTGTTCCCACGAGCTTCATGAACGGCAAGCCGTAAGCGTAAGCCATGAGGATAGAGGGGGGCGGGCTAGGACCCGGGTTAAATTGGTTGGTTTCATCCATGACGACGTTGCGAGTGTTGTCACAAGTTGGTGTTGAATGGGGATGGATTGAATATGGATTGATAGTCGAGAGTGGGTTGGGTGAATTGGGTGAATTGGTGATGGATGAAAGGTGGAGGGTTGGAATTAATAGAAAAGAGGAGGGCAACGTGCGAAAATGAGAATGGGAAGAGCATTTCGCTCCCACGCTAAGAGCAATCATATTAGAGGCCATTTCCTAAGCTGTAGGTGGTTCGTGCGTCGTCCGAAGATGAATTTACACGTTGTATGTTAACGTAAAAAGGAATAGCGTGAGAGATGTCACGTGTGCACCTTATATATTAACCTATCATTTCGACGATTCCCTTATTTTTACTGTGTCCTTACTCGAATAACAAGCAGGAAAAAAGACAGTAAACAAATTTAGTAGATGTTTGTTATTCGTTTCGATGTTTTTTCTTATTTTTACTGTGTCCTCGAGTAATCCCACTCTTGCTTGCTATAATAAGTAAGGAATGACTCGAATAACAAACAGAAAAAAAGGACAGAAAAAAGGACAGCAGATGTTTGTCTCGACATCTTTTCTTATTTTTATTGCGTCCTCGAGCAGTCCCACTGTGTTCGTAGTCATTTGCTACTATTCTTAGGTACATTACCTGAAAAATGCCCCGGAAAAATCTACCGTTGCCAACAAGCTTGAATTGCTCTGAGACCCCCTGAGTATGTTGTTACTGGTTTAACTCAAGCTAAGGGTGTGGATTTTAAGGTAAGCATTTGTAGTACCGTGCGCCGGCTTATATCCGTACACCTGTCCATGGCCCGATACCACAACTTTAAATCGCACTGATTACCTGGTGGACTACGAATCATAAAGTCGGTGTGAAATCAAACAGTTCATCAATGGGTATCAGCAGGTAATGTATGTGCTCCTATAGTTCTTAGTACAAATGACATATGAGCATCATGTCGAATATCAGGGTAAGCCTTACGCCTTGTGGTGTATCTACAGATCCTCGTTTAGAGCGGATATTGGATGCCAAGCAGAGTCAGCGACAACGCAAGTGTTAGATCACTTTAATGCTCATTCCCCGTCCAATATTCAAATCACTTCTCGTTGGTGGCAGGGCCCTTCCCTCCTTTCTCCGATGATTTTGCGACTGCCTTGACTTTGTTCCCTACCCCTCGATGTGGTCGCCTAGACCGCTTTTGTACACTTACCCCCCTCTTCAGCGCTCGTTCTTTACCTCCTCGTTTCGGCTGTTGTGTACGAGGTTGACGAGACTGAATCGTGGGATTAGCTCCCCGTGTAACCGGCTCTGGGCTTCTTTGGCCGACAGACGGCGGTGTACTAGCACGGGAGGCATCGCAATATTGTCCTCCATTTTGTACAGGAGGCGTCATGGCATTAGCGACCATTAGGTCCATATTCCTAGCCATGACAACGTCCATGACAGTGTTGAGATTCTATCCGGCACCGCCATGTCCGGGCCACTGACCATTCTGCTGCTGGTTATACTGTGCCTGCATCTGGCTTTGTATGGCAGCTAAAAGTTCAGGGCTGTAGAAGGGGTTTGCTCCATTCTGTTGACTATTAAATTGGGGCGGTGGAGGTGGAGGTGGAACGAAGCCTTGTGCTGTGTTCTGTGGCCATGCGAATGGGAACTGTGCAGGAGGTTGTTGGCCATTTGCACCACCGTAGAACTGTAGCGGCTGCTGCGGATACGTCGCATTGGCTGGAGGCGGTGGTGGGGCTGGGTAATTGTATTGTTGAGGTTGAGATTGATGGTCTTGTCCTCGAGGGGGCCTAGGTGGTAAAGAATAGCCGCCTCGTGAATCTCCGCGACCACCACGTCCACCCCGACCACGTCCGAAACCTCGTTGGCCCCTGCCTCTACCACCTCGGAATGAGTTGTTACCCGCGTGGCCATTTTGATAGCCATTTGCGTATTCGGGTTCTGAAGGTGCTGGTTGACCTTGCGCGAAGCTTGACGGCCTTGATAGCTTTCGGTAAGGGCCATCGTCCTCATCGTCATCGTATGGCAGGCTGCCATCTGCGGGGAGCGATGGAGTCTCGCTGTGACCTCCTCGGCCTCCTGGGCCGCCCTTACCACCACGGCCACCCTTCTTCTTAGCTTTTTGTTGTCTCTTATACTCTGCCTCCTTTTCGTCATCTGAAAATTCCATCTCATCGTCCCCTGCCTCTTCATCGTGCCAATTGCTCGCGTCCGTGCCTTTCTGTTCCCGGAGCGCTTGTGTGAAAACATACGATGCATGCGAAGGTGGATAAAACACCTTAGTCCCTAACTCCAGACCAAACGATTTAATTTCTTCCTCGTTCGTGAACCTCGCCGTGTAACGTGGTTGTCTAACGTTGCCGATCAAGTCTGCGACTGCTGCAATGACAGTACGATCTTCTTTGCAGAGCACAGAACCGGTATCGATAACTTGATACTCGCCCGTCGTATGCGCTTTGACTACGACTGTATTTTGGACGATGTGTTCGACTATCCCAAGCTCGGTAATATCCATCTCAGGAGTTATGGTGACGTCGGGCTTAGGAACCACTTCTTCGGGCATTTCATGCTTAGTTCGGACTTGAACCCCAGTGCCGCTCCCTTTTGCCTTTCCTTCTCCCTCGTCATCCGAACCTCCTTCCATTTCCATTAAAATGCGGGCCGTCTCCTCAGGGCCAAGTAATTCATTTCCATCTTCGGAATCGTCGTCCGAATCATCTGAGCTGCTAGATTCGGATGAAGACTCGTAAGGAGATGAGTCTTCTTCCCATTCGGGGTCGCCTTGGTTTTCTTGTTCGCCTGGCTGCCCGTTCTGCTCCACGCCGCTGGATTGGGTTTCCGGAACATCTAGACCGCCAAGCATAGCCTCCAACGCCGAAGTTAGGGAAGGAGGACTAGGCACATCATTAACTCCACCATTGGTTTCCTGGGGTTCCTTTTTCACTTCGACGTGCTCAGAAGGATTTATGCCTTTCGATGGAGCTTGAGTGTCAATTTCCATTTCTGTGGAAGGCTGAGAAGTCATAGGCTGCGTTTCAGTCTTGACATGAGTTGCGTCCGGCGCTGACAAAGTTGTCAGGCCAGGAATCGCAAATTGACCGGACATATTTGCGAGATCTATTGGTTACGTTAATTATGATCTAATAAAAAGGGAAAAAAACAAAACACATGAAACATATGAATTATGATGAGGAAGGTTCCGGCGCTAGTATTAATATGGCTTGAGAAATTGACTTACCAATTCGCAATCTGTAAAAATAGGTATCTTCGGAATCCGATCTTGTAGAAGTAGATTTAATTATGGCGAACTTGGTTATCAGATGGTAGGAATTAGTTGTAGCCTTGTTGAAAGACGCCTTGATGGAATCCTAGAAATGAATCCAACCTCGGATAGGTTACTTTGGAGTTGAAGATTATAAGGAGTTGAACTCTCTGAAGCTTTCTGCAAGCTCCAGTACCAGAAAAAATAAAGTGGAAACGGAAAATCTTACAGTACAAAATGGATAGAGTGAGACTGACCGTGTGAATTGACCAGTCGGAAATGCTACACTGTCCGGGGATTATCCGAAATTCAAGACCCACAAATACCGAAGCAGTAGATACGTATCTTTTTAACTTACCTAAGCCAAAATTGAAGCAACGTCATTCCCCCAATTGATTCATTTCAGCTTTCAACATTTGGGGAAAAAATACTTACGATAATCGGCGAATATGCCTCCTACCGACACTCAACATCGGCAAGAGTTTGTTCATCCAGCTGCCCAACATGCCAAAATGAAGTAGGTGAATGAATGCAAGAGCTAGATGATCACCGGTACGCTAACACCCTAGCACAAGAATATCGCCCTTTATGATTGAACCGATTAAAGCGTTTTATGTCTTTCTAATTGCCAATTTTGTCGCCGCTTTATACGCACCGATTCAAGATTGTGACGAAACCTTTAATTATTGGGAACCAACCCATTACCTTTCTCATGGCTATGGCTTACAAACTTGGGAATACTCACCGGAGTTTGCCATTCGGAGTTGGTTTTACGTCGGACTGCATGCGATAGTTGGAAATTTCAGAAGAATATTACCCCAATCTACCAAGGTATTGACTACTTTAAAATAACTCATGCTTTTATGACATTATTCTCACTACTGCAGCTTGCCGAATTTTACTTCGTTCGATATGTCTTGGCGTTTATATGTGCGTTATGCCAGGTGTTGCTATTCCGAGTCATTAGCTTCACCTTGAATCCTCGGATTGGTCTCTTCTTCCTTCTTGCGACCGTTATGTCGCCTGGGAATTTCCACGCAAGCGTAGCCTACTTACCGTCCAGTTTCGCTATGTACACCTCCCTACTCGGAGCTGCTGCATTTATGAACTGGAGAGGGGGGCTCAGGACTTCATGGGGTATCTGGTGGTTCGCTGTCGGTGGAATTCTTGGTTGGCCTTTTGCCTCGGCTTTATGCGCCCCCTTCTTGATTGAAGAGGGAATATTTGCCGCCATCACTATTCTGCGCGACCGAGAACAATTCTGGGGGGCAGTTCTTCGTGTTGGAAGAGGTGTAGTTGCGGCTCTGCTGTTCGTCGTAAGTTGCTCCATTGAATGTACTCGCATTTCACATTCTTATTGAAAATAGCTCGGCGATGCAGCCATCAATACTTTCTTCTACAAGAAGGTTGAAGTGGTCGCATGGAATATTGTGAAATACAATATTTTTTCCTCGACTGGTGGCCCCAATCTTTATGGAACAGAGCCGTGGACGTTTTATTTCCGAAATCTTGCGATAAACTTCAACATGTGGTTCGTTCTAGCTTTGTTGTCACTACCACTGTTTCTTATACAGAAAGCTGTGTCGACGAAGCAACATGGGTTTCAATCTGGGATACGCACCATCGTATTTCTCGCTCCTTTCTATATGTGGCTCGGCATATTCACTCTCCAGCCGCATAAGGAGGAGCGGTTCATGTACCCTATGTACCCATTCCTCGCTTTGAATGCAGCCATAGGACTGCACATCATTCTGTCCGCTTTTGGCAATTCCGACCCGAAAACGTTTGTCGGAAAGATTCCAGCACAGTTCAAACTCCTCGTCGTTGTAGCTACGCTATTATTATCCCTTGATATAGGTGTAGCTCGTATCGCCGGTGTGTACACCGCCTATTCTGCGCCACTTAAGCTGTATGAGCCACTCGGAGCTGGGGTGGTCGGCCAACAAGGTGTGGGTGGACGTGGTGATCACGTGTGCTTTGGGAAGGAATGGTACCGCTTCCCTAGCTCTTACTTCTTACCTCGCGACATGCATGCGAAATTTATTCGGTCGGAGTTCCGTGGTTTACTGCCTGGTGAATTCGCCGAGGCACGAACTGGTTTCGGATTTTGGAGTGGTACGTGGTTACCCGCAAAGGGGATGAACGATCGCAATGAAGAAGACGCCAGCAAGTACGTGGACATTGGACAGTGCTCTTTCTTAGTCGATACACAGTACCCCGAGAATCATCACCCCTTGCCGTCGAATGAGCCGGACTATATTGCGGACGAAGACAATTGGGAGATTGTCAAATGCGAACCTTTCTTGGATGCGGGAAACACCCATCTCCTTGCAAGAGTCCTTTGGATTCCTGATTGGGGCTTCATCCCAGAGAAATTTAGAAGGAAATGGGGACGACACTGTCTATTGCAGACGAAGAAACATACCTAGATTATTGGTGGGAAAAAGCGGATATCAGCATAACGAATAACGAGATCAAAATAGCTACGAGCCTTGATTCGACCACGTCCCGAGCGCCCGGTTACGGTTAACTCGCTTGGTGTTGCGGGGAAGTATGGAGTCACACACACGTCAACAGGGCTGAGGATAGGCTGTGCCTCCGTTCTGCGCCGGCATTGGGAATATATCTGCGGCTCAAGCATATTCTACTCCACATTTAGTTCACGTGGAACCCATTGATAACGTAATGACAGTGGTAAGCCATTGAGTATCGTCAATTTTTGTGGAGGATCTTGTTGGGGTTTCTATACGGGTCATCGGTACATATATGGGGATGGGAATAAGCTGGATTTCTGACCAACAAGGCAAGATGGCTCCTGGTTCGTCAAACCGTCTGGTGTTGGACAGCCTAGGCTCAACTAATTACGCGTCAAAAATAGTGCCCGTCCCCTGCTTACGATGCGACCCTCCCACTAGTATGCAGAGATTTAAAAAATTGGTAGTTTTTCACATGAGAAAAAGAAAAGTGAGACAAAAAATTGGCGAAAATTTAAATATAGGTAAATATTGATTCGTGAGTCCGTATAATATCCCTTCAATGATGCTGTTATTTTAATTGCTACAGCAGCTGTCAATTTAAGCTTGAGATCGGATCTGAAATGTGAGGGTCCTGGGGATAAAAATTGTTGATCATTGTTGATCATTAACGACTTAGGTACTTCGATCCATGCTAACTACGCTGGAATTCTGGGGATTTCGGAGGATTTGGACTGTGATCAGCTGCCCTACACAAACCGGGGTTCGATCAAGAATCATCGACGCCTAATTCATAGCCAAAGACAATAGTTCCCAATGGACACTCGGAATAGGCAGGTATATCTTCTTTTTCGCAAGAATAGATCCCCGAGAAAGAAGCACTAGACACATGTAACGTTGTCGCGCGCGGCCAATGATGGGAAAAGTGCAAGGGGTTATAGTACCTGAAAAAGTCTGGGGTTGACGCGGGAGGCTTGGCCAGATCTATAGTATTCTATGCAAGCTGACAGGGCTTCAGGCGCCGGTGCATCACGAGCCCTGCTTTTTTACTCAGTATTGACCCCCATTTTCCCGCACCGTTGCCACCTAAGCCCCTCGAACGACTACGACTTAACATAGGATCATAAGATGTTTCATTGGACGCGTTTGCCGGAACATGGGCATCTTTCGGCACCTCCTTAACTCCCATGTTCTGATGTCCTGCCTATTGTAGCATTGCCCAGCTATTTTGTTCCTTCACACAGGAGGAGCTTGGCTTACTTCGTCTGTACTGCTAACCTGCTAGCTGTTAGGGGAGAGAAAAAAAGTGTGGCCCTCGTTTATTGGTGTGAAACATCCCGCTGGGGCTTGTTTCAACTTCGCTGAAGCCACGCCTCGCTAGCGATTATACCGTCGACACGCCATTGACAATAGGGATGATGAGAAGGACCGAGTAATGCCGAGTGAATACGCATACAACATTCCAGCGAATCTATAAATTCCAGTCAATATGGCCCGCAAGCGGACGAGTTGCATTCTACGAGGGCGCACTTCGTTCCTCGTCTGCTTCGGCCCATACTCTCTCTCTCTCTCTTGTTTTGTTTTCGTTAGACCCGCTCATCGCCCACCATGAAGAGCTTTCTGTTTTCATTAGGTGCCGCCGGCTTAGTCGCCGCGCTCCCGAAAAATGCCCCGCGAGCTGCGGAGGAGTTGCCGACGCTTGGGCTAGCGAACATAACAAAGATCGACATGGCCGCCGGCGGTCTACAGGGCCGTCGCCTAGCGGGTCCGTTTATGGGAGTCGACTTCCCTGACCCTAGTATAATATGGGGTGACGGCTCATGGAAAGCCTACGGCACATCATCGAATGGAAAGAAGATCCCCGTCGCCACATCGTCGGATACCTGGTCGTGGACGCTCACCGGAAACGATGCGCTGCCGGACCCGGGATCCTGGGTTGACCCCAATGATCAAGGTATCTGGGCGCCGGATGTGCAGAAGAACGTATGTTTTCGTCGCATCGAATCGACTAATATGTAAAGGTTTCTAACTGATAGTGATAGGATGCTGGTACATACGTAATGTACTACACCGCGCACCAAAACGGCGGAAGCCACTGTATCGGCGCCGCGACATCGAGTTCAGCACTAGGCCCCTTCACACCACAGAGCCAACCACTAATCTGCGACGGCGGAAACGGCGGTGTTATTGACGCCTCCGGATACGACGACGGCACAGACCGGTGGATTCTATGGAAAGTCGATGGAAACAGTCTCGGCGGCGCAACAACTTGCCAGGGTGGCACACCCTCCGGATCGTACAAGTCGACGCCAATTAAGATTCAGCGAGTAGCGCGCGATGCGCTCACTTTACTAGACAGCGCGAAGACGATTTTGGATAACGAGGGTGCGTCAAATGATGGCGTGGTCGAGGCGCCGTCGCTGTATAAGATCGGTGATGGAAACTTTGTCCTCTTCTATAGCGCGCATTGCTACTCCAGCGATGATTACGACGTCGAATACGCCTTCTCGAGCACCATTGATGGTAGCTACGGAAACCGGGGCATTCTGATCCGAACTGTCGATAACCGTGGTGTTTTTGGACCGGGTGGTCTAGATATCGACCCCAATGGCAAGAGTGTCGTTTTCCACGGCCGCTTGAATGCTAATGATGGTGGTGCTGCGCGTGAACTGTATAGCGCGGAGTTGACTATCAACGGACAATCAATTACCGCATAAGGAACTTACTTATAAGGGGTTTCATATTAATTTGGGTTGGCGTTTAATAGCGAGGGTTACGCATATGATGGTGTGATGAACGGGCCTGTCGTCGCTGGAGAGACAGGCCGGAGCTTGCATATAACTTCTAGCGATTGTCATGTACATATTTTTATATTCTGGACATACATAGCGGTATTTTTGCATAAATATTTGGTATATAGTTGCTGCGATTATGAACTTCAATGTTATAACACCAACATCCAACTTATCAACTACTTAATCTCGTATGCGTGCTTCATTTCTCTCGTTCTTGTGCCTTGGCTTTTAAGGACGATTAAGTGGAGCTAAATATTGCATGAAATGAGAAGGAATCGGACCATGGTTTTGGGCAATGCTAGAATTTCGCCACTTTCGGCAGATATCGTTAATAGCCCCCCAAGAAGTTTTACAAGTAGTGCAGTTTGGAGTCCTTGGTCAAGCGACGGAAATACTTTCCGTAGGGGACAAAAACGCATACTCCAAGGATAGAGGAGCCAAAGGTGAGGCCCATCATCATGAGTACGGGGCTAACATAACCGGATTGAGCCGCCCAGTCATTGAAAAAGAATATCATCGCGAACTATTTTCGTTAGCGATCATGATAATCTCGACGAGAAAATCAAGAGACGAAAAGGGCAGTACTTACTCCGAAGGTATTCTTCACGATCGTGGCAGCGATCATGATTTCGCCTGGAAGGGCCTTGTACTATACAGAATAACCGAGTTAGCGAAAAGATAAAAATAGGAGTGAAGTTGAATAATGAGAACATACACTATCAACAGCATACGCAACCGCAATCGCCGGGATCCCCACAACCTGCAAACCCACAAGCGAGTATCCAACAAGCACAATAGCCTCCCAAGGCCACGCACGCTGGTACCCCACAGCCGCGACAACCATACCCGCAAGATTCGCCGCGATATACGGGAGCAGCGCTGGTAACCGCATCTCCGCCTCTAGAACACCCCCACGTGCTCTCGCGCGACGCAACGCAATACCATCGGACAACGGACCCGCCGTGATCAACGCGACAGCAGCCCCTGCCGCGAAAGCAAAATTCGCGTACCCGATCTGATCGGGGGCGAAGAGATACGGCGGGGCGCCGAAGACTTGGGCTTGTGTGAGGTTCAGCGCGAGTAGAGAATTGGCTGCGAAACCGGTTGCTAATGAAGCCCAGAGTACGATGGGATAGCAGAAGAGGATTTTGAGGGGTGAGAGGACGTCCCGTACTAGGATTTCGATGAACTTCTCGCGCCTGGTTTGGTCGTCGTCGTAGGTTGGTCCGTAGCCTAGGCGTGTGCGAAGTGGTAGGAGGTAGAATTGCGCCCGGGAGGGGTAGCCATTGGCGATGTGCTGGGATGATGTGACGGCTGGTGGGGGTTGAAGGATCTGAGGTCGGGTGCGGGTGGACGAATTTGAACTTGATATCATGCCTTCTGTTTGCTTTTCCATGGTTGTATTGGAGGATCTTCCGTCCGTTGTTGTCGGGGTGCTTGTAGCTGTTTTGAGTGCTGGACGGTCATATTTGGTTTCTGGGTGAGCAAAGAGGAGGAAGAGGAAGCTTGCCTGGGATATTATTAATAGTCATTCATTACTTCGTTATATCAATCGAGACGGTACTTACGCCTTGCAAAATGGTGCATATCCAGAACTGCATTCGTCATGTTAGTCAAATGTCGGGAGGGAACCAAGATTTCAGGGGTCCAATACTTACAAACCATCTCCAGGAGATCTGCGCAGCAATCGCGCCTGATATTATAGGGCCAAAGAATAGACCAAGGAAATAAGCCCAACTAAGAATATCCCATGAGTATCTTATGTTCAGACATGTAGCATGCTACTTACAAGTACAAGGCCATACTGCTAGCCCTTTGGTGTAGGAATAATAAGTCTGCAATGACCATAGGCATGATACTCTCATTCGCAGCAGCACCCATCCCCGAGATTATACGAGCGCCTAGGAAGCTAGAGTAGCTGGTAATGAGGGCTTGCCAGACATTGGCCAAAATACAGATGAGACCACAGACCAGTACGACGGGACGGCGGCCCCATGCATTGGCGGCGGGCACAATGAAGAAGTTCGCATATCCCAAAGTAATAGCCGCGGCGCCGAATAACATATTGACTTCAGGCAGAGTCTTGCGAAACTCAGCCTCGAAAATAAGTGTCATAGGCGCGATGGCCATTGGCGTCAGTATACTGACAAACACAAAGACGAACTGGTTGAAGATAAGAGTGAATTTCCATGCTGGGTTCCAGTTCTGCGAGTTGTGTTAACTGGCTATTCTTCTTCGTTGTTCATGGATAAAATATGATCTACTCACTAGCGGATCGTCTGCGCTGGAGGTTGGCTGAGGGATAAGTACGACATCGTTGGTGGCAAGATTTTCGCCGTTATCTTGGCCTGCGAAGATAATGTCTGTGCCCGGAATGATTTCCGGTTCTTCAATTTGTGTCATGATCTGCGAATCACTCTTCCGTCGACGAAAGAGCATAGCTCGTAGCGCGACTATGCTAGCCATATTCGAATAATTGTTGACGAACGGATGCGCAGTGGACGTCTTCGCCAACGTGTGAAATTGGCGAGGGATGCCATCTTATCCATTTCGATACTTCACACTGGTCGTCTTATTCTCTATGGTCAAAGTCAACTGTCGCTACATCAAAGTTGTGCGCTCAGACAATTCCCACTAACATTGGCAGTTTCACGTCAAGTTTATTCCTACGGCCGAATATGGAGGTACCTTATTTTGGTAGACTCCGACGTGGTGGTGCGTGGGCGAGCCCCAAAGCTCTATCCTTACCGGACATTCCCATCGTGAAATGCCTCATCATATACGGCAGTATTACATCTCGTTGGACAAGGTCGGTCTTTTATGTCGTATGGCGCGAACCAAGAACTTTATGTTTGAATGTTTCGACCTGGCACGGCTGCTTGCCTTAGCCTCGACCACGACCGCTTGGCGCTAACGTTGGTAGAGTGCCACATCGGATGTCCGGAGTGTTCGCCTGGCCTTGATTCCGGAATAGGCACTTTCGAGTAGGTAGATTCCAAGGCATAGTAACGGCGGGATGGAATACGTTTCAACCAATAACCCAAGATCTGTTCATGAATATGGTTGAAATGCTTATACATATCAGTCAGCTGGCTTTCCACAAAAGATGGGATGGGTCTGTGCCGTACAATGACCATGTGGCTGTCGTTAGCGACATGCTCGGACATAGGCGGCGCGGATTTCCGAGGGGCTCCACTGTACGCTGTACGCTGTACGCCACAACGGGGCAGTAGCTCAATGAGATCTATATTGACCTTTCTAACCATCCTTCCCTCATAGCAACCCAACGATCCAAGTCTATCAATAACCCAAATCAACCTCAATAATGCAGCGTGCGATTAACAACATTAATCAACCTCTCCCCCCTGGCCAACCTCCCAACATTCAACTCGACAATATCCAGCAACCGATCCCACAAGAAATCCGTCTTCCAGCTGACATGCGGGGTAAGAAACAAATTCGGTGCATCCCATAGTCTATGATCCGCGGGAAACGGCTCGGGGTCCGTAACATCAAGCGCGGCACCGCGAATCTTTCCCTTTTCGAGTGCTTCTATTAACGCGTCTTGGTCTATGTGTCCACCGCGCGCGATGTTAGCTACGAAAGTCTTTTTCGCGCTGAGGATGTCGAATTGTTCGTGGGATAGGATATGCCGCGTCTCGGCGGTTAAGGGCACGCTTATGACTAGTAGATCAAGGTCTTGGCCTAGGAAGGCGTTTACGTCTGCGCGTGAGGAGCCGTGGAACCATTTCGCGGGGAGGAGACCGTTGGGGTCACCGGTTCCCGGGACGCAGTAGCTGTCGTCCTTTCGGGACTCGGGGGTTGCGCGCTCGCTGCGTGTGTATGCGTAGATCTCCATGCCTAAGGCGTTGGCGAGGCGCGCGCATTGCCGCCCGATGGCGCCGTACCCCAAAATGCCTCTGCGAGGGATTTAGTAACATGCGCAAGGTTTAGAAGTTGAAATGGGTGACTTACATCCGTAGGTTCGTTGAATCTTGGGCACGCGCTGCGAATGGCGATTCCCAGAACCTCGTCTTCATGTTTTCTGCATAATGCAGGAAATTGTGCTGATGCGAGAGCCATACGCCGATGACCCATTCCGCGATCTGCGGCCTACGGAATGTTAGCTTGCATTCATCATGCACCGAAGCTACCTCATGGTATAACCCTTTATCATTAAAGCCTCTGGGTCGATACTAATGAGGAGTGAGAACTCACGCATGAATTCCGTTTGTGGTGCAAAATATGACGTTCTCATCTTGGTATTTCGGATGACCAGGCCACCTATCGGCGCCTGCGGAGGTAAGTTGCACAAAGCGGACTTTGGGTATGAATTCCGCGGGCGGAGGCAGAAATGATGTGAGTAAGGTGACGCCATCCCATTTCTCAGGACTAACTTCTTCGGCCTTCACAATTATGTGGTTGTCCCTTATTGAGTTAACCCATCGAATTTGAAGTCCCTTAAATCGTTTGGTTATTCGCTCTATCCATTCCGGCTTCTCTGCGAAGGGTACGAAGAGTAAGAGGATATCGTTGCTCAGAGTGTCGATCTCGCCTCCCGTCTCTTGAATTGCAGACATTGCGATCGATACTAGGACGAGATTCACTGGCGGTCTCTGACTGAGCCTTTATGGAGAGACGAGACTCAATAAAACCACGCTTTGTATGATAATATTTAAAATGAAGACGCGCTTCTCGCTTTCAATATTTTATATCGGTAAGGCCCTCTGATGTATAATGACCGCACCTATGTAACCTTGGGAGAACAAACCGATCGGGAGTATGTGTCAATGCTACCTGAAGCTGTATCCCGAGTGGAACCGTCTTACAAAGCAACGGAGGGGTCGTTTTTTATCTCAGTTGACATAATAGTTCTGCTTATCTTTAGTTTAGTTCACAAGGCTCGCAACATGTGCTCCTTTTTCGGTGAGGTACTATTTAGATGGGTATCACAGTATTATACATCAAAGAGATAAGAAGAGTAGGTGGGCTGCCCCGCTGATGAATAGGGCGAATGTTAGATCAAGGGATGTCATCACATCCTAGTATCGCGCAACACATTAATCCCGATGGAGCAAACAGCTATCTCCATGCTAACCCCATCATGGCTCGCTAGTTTAGCTGCGATTTTGATTGGAGCTCTACCGAAGTAGTTTGAGGATACAGACGGCGGATAACAACTTCGATGTCGCTACGATAAAGATGCGATGCGATGCGATGCGATGCGGTGAAGATTATTTTATAATCATGATTCTATTTATATTAGCCATCGTATAAATAGTTCTCCACTATGGGAAACAAGATACTCCAATGGGCTTCGATCCGCGATGCGTAACGCCAATGCTTATAACTGGATACATTTGTTGTACTATCCCTTCTTATACCTGGAACGCCTATTCCAAATCAAATTGAGAAGACTTCGAATATTTTTACGCGCCCTTCATCTGAGTGATCCCATCTGCAGCCGTTTCAACCACTTGGAATCCGGCGGCATTACCGGCACCTCTAGCTGCTTTTTCGAACGCGTCATCACTCCTAGATTGAGAATATGTTAGTAAGACCAATGATACATGTGGTGTTTATTCGATAACGTAAAACATACCTGTCGCATAATACATCGATATCCTCGTCGCTCAGAATTCGATCTCCGCCTGAGTGCTGATAGATTTCGCCGTCCTTCAACAATAAGGATTGAAGGGTCTCCTTATCTAGAGTCTCATTATTGTCAAGCTTTTGACCCATCGTCTTGAACCCTCCTTTTTTAATGACGAGCTTTTCTAGCCGGCGCTTCGCATCTGCAGAAAGGAGCAGCTCTTCCTCGACGGTTCCTTTGGTAGCTATTCGGTAAACGATAACAGGGCGTGTTTGACCGATTCGATGACAACGATCTTGAGCTTGCAAGTCTTGTTGGGGATTCCAATCGCTGATTCAAGCGCATTAGTTGGGTTCCGTAGGTCATGGGTATAAACGAACTCACCTATCAAAGAGGATGACGGTATCCGCACTTGCGAGATTAATTCCCTGACCGCCAGCTCTTGTCGACAACAGAAATATTTTGAAATCCGGGTCTTCGTTGAACTCTTTAATCTGTTGCCTTCTGTCTTCTTGCGCAACGCCTCCATCGATTCGACATACGTTCCACTTTCGCAGCCCGGCACAATAATCGTGGAGGATATCCAATTGCGTCTTGAACTGTGAAAAGATTAAGACTTTATGCCCATGTTCAAATAACTCTGGGAGTAGTCGGTCTAGAAGCAGCATCTTGCCGGAAGCTGTTACAATGCTTTCGTCGACCGGAATATTTTCATCGTACGCCCACGGATTGTAGAAATTGTGAGGACTATTGCACACAAGCCTTAGCTGCATTAGAGCATTGCCCAACTTCTTATCGGCTACTTGAATTTCTGCTATGCGTTAGAACGGTCATATAATCTAGGCTTCTTAACTTACTGGCAAGTTCTAGCGTAGCAGCTCGCTCGATTTCTTCCTCATCGCGGAGGTCTTCGTCTGATTCCTCATCTTTCGCAGCAAGTTCGGCGGCCAACTTCGCCTCAAACGCATCATCGTCTAACTTGTCTTCATCGGAGTCATCGGCCACTTTATATGTTGAATAGCTTTTTCGGGATCGGCCTCGACCTCGACCCCGAGTGCTACTTGCTGGTGTAGACAGTTCGCTCGATTTGCTGCTCTTTGGTGATGATACTTCACTCGTGGGTGAAACTTTCCTCTTCCCATTTGTCTTGACTTGAGGTACGGGAGGAGACATATTCTTAGGCATCGCTTTCAATGTGGACCCTCCTTTTTTACCCATCATCATTGCGAATGCGTTATTGCTCGCTGGAGACGCTGCTTTACTTGAGGTTGCGCTGGGCGCGCGAGATGATTGGCGGCTTGATTTTCTGGAGCTATTCGGAGTATTGCGAGTCTCTGTTAAACGTTCAACGACCTTGTTCTCCAGATACGACCTCGTATCCGTCTTCTTATCGCTGATCACATTATAAAGATCGGTTTGTTCTTTGGTCATCGGCGCAAAAAGAACATATTCTCGTTTCTTCGGTAGGTAATTGGCCACATCCGCCTTGATCCTGCGAAGTAATAAGGGCTGTAGGACCTTGTGAATCTTGGACACAAGGTCTTGGCTCTCCTTATCCTCAATGAATTGTGTAGTGCCCTCCTCATCTTGCAAGTCGCTAAAATCAAACCACACTTCGAATGCTTCCCAGTCGAGGAATGTTTCTGGCATTAAGAAGTGTAGAAGCGACCATAACTCCTTGAGATTATTCTGAAGAGGTGTTCCGGTAATGAGTAATCGAGTCGCTGATTTGAACTGTTGCAACTCTCTGAAAAGCTTCGCGTCGGCGTTTTTCATTCGATGTCCTTCGTCCTATGATTTGTCAATCGCTTGCAGTGTAACTGGCAGAAAAGTATCCTTACAACTACGATGAAGGCCCAATCGATCTTGGAGAGACTTGCGCGATCTCGAAGAACCATTTCATAACTAGTACACACTACCGGGAAACGTTGTGTGGGACGACCCTTATTATAGTTCCTCATAATCTTCTCGCGGAAGATCTGCTGCCTTTCTTGGGGAGTACCATGGTATAATACGAATGGAATTGTGGGAGTCCATTTTTGAAATTCATCTTGCCAATTCGATAATGTACTTAAAGGAGCAATGATTAGGTGAGGACCGAAGTAGCTTTCTTGTTCTCGGAGTAATGCGACGAGGGATATGACCTGTATTGTTTTGCCTGGATTCTAGTTGGCTTATGCGCATTGCAACAATTCACGGGACAACGAGTACTAACCTAAGCCCATTTCATCGGCTAATATACCACTTAGACCTTGTAAACATATCTCGTACATCCATGTTAGGCCTTCCAATTGGTAGTCGCGCATCGTTCCACCACTCATTATCTTGGGTTGTTGCTTCAGTTCGAGACCGGCATCTGTCAATGCTTGGTTGTCGAAATCGCGTCCGACACGACCGAGTGCCTTTGTCTTCTGTGTGAGGATGTCGCTAAATATCTTGCTCTTTCGCAAGAGCTCATCGAGTTCCTTAGCTTTACGAGCGCGTTCTTGGGGAGTCAAGTTGACTTTGCGCTTCCTTCGGGCAGCGAGTCGCTTGGCTTCAGCTTTCGTGTTCTCGGCCCTTGCTTTCTTTTCCTCCGTGAGCATCTGCTGCTCCGTGAATGTGGAAGTGGAGCCCATCTTGATATTGTGCGGACCGTCTGCGGGTGGTGGTGAGGAGGGAGCACTAGTGGGTAGTCGGGAGGAAGAATAAAGAGAATCGGCGTCGGAAGATGAGGCAGGGGACATCCTCGAAGAAAGAATACAATTATATTACGTGAAGTAATCAACTCGAAGGAAAAAAAAGCAAAATCCTATGATGATGCAATGGCGTAGTATATTACAAGTCTCGTAGGATTGGAAAAAAGAAAAGGAAATATCAGTTTCTATGTGAGAAGAGAAAAAAAAGGAAAATAATGACGAATTCATAATTATAATCATCATTCACTATCTATGTCTTAGCGCGTCAGAGAACATTGCCCATGGAAAGGACGACGCGAGTTAGTTGCGCTATCACGCGTTAATTGATATGGGTCTCGCTGAAAACGTACTGGAGCCAGGGGTGTTCGTTCCCCAGTATCTGTGCGACTACTTTAAATCCTTGCACCTACTGCTTACCTAGAGATGTACCTTCGTACTCTGTTACCTATTCTTAATTATGGTTGTTTCCTAGGGTAACAGCTGAATAATCAACTGTCTCCACTAAAATCTACATCTTATCTCCAAGGCATTTCGTCAGCCGCAACTTTGCCGCCGCACTTAACAACAATCAACAATCTTCCGCCGAACATCTCCTGCCTCGGAACACCACCTCGTTAAGTAAATCGCTTAGTATTTTCATCGTCGCGATACTCTTGCGATACTTAATTTGAGATTCTCGACAAATATAATCTACCAAAATGGCGGCTAATGCCCAGAACTTCTACGAGCTGTATCGACGAAGCAGGTACAGCGCCGCCTTTCATGTGATTCTTACCATCTAGTTCCCCGTATTAATGATGATAATTATAGCGTCGGTACTGCACTGACAGATACTCTCGATGATCTCATCACCGAGCATCGCATTGACCCTCAACTTGCTATGAAGATCCTCGCCAACTTCGATCGCGCAATTTCCGAGGTTCTCCAAGACAAGGTCAAGGCCCGCCTAACATTCAAGGTAATACCATATATTTCCGCCTGGTATTTTCAAGCAATGCTATCATCGGGGTGGTCGCTAATCGCTATTGCGCAACTATACAGGGTAGTCTCGATACCTACCGATTCTGCGACGAGGTCTGGACATTCCAGCTCAAGAACGTCACCTTCAAGATGGAGAATGGCGGTCAAATCGTTAACGCAGACAAGGTCAAGATCGTCTCTTGTACTGCTAAGCCGACAGGCAACGCTGCGTAGGAGTAGTGTTTGCACACAATCGAGACCGGTATCCTACCATTCGTTACGAATCAAAAGACGTATTTCCGATTGTGGAGGAATATATTATCAACATAGACCTCGTCCTAGTCGATATTTTCTTCCGATCCGCACCCGAATGACGGCATGATACTATAGATACCAGTTCCGATTCATTTCACCACTACCATTTGCCTCCGCGATAAATACAACTCCATTATTTCTCAGCGAACCGGTTTCGGCATCGATCAAGCATATCCGAACTTTGAGGAGATCGGGGGAGATGGGTTATACGCGGATACGTTGCGCGATTGCATATTTTCTTTCCTAGGGTTATTCAAGGGTATTTGCATTTGATGGCGTAACGCATACTAGGTGGTCTTCACGGCGTTCTATGGAAAGGATATCTGGACCTGGTAGTTTTTCTTTACGCTACCCACTGCATCGGCAACACGGGATGGAGATGACCTTTGCCTAATAAACAATGTTTGATTTCACATATTCATGCTTATGTGTTTTTCGTGAATATTCATCCGAATCACTGGTCTAAAGCCAAGACTTAATTCTACTCTATCCATCCCAAAGTGTTCTATAGATGTAACGCGGGGGTATCGTAGTCCGAAAGGCGAGATAACACAAATGGGGATCATTCCCTCTGTACCCTTTCTATTATCACGATTTAACTCAAATCACCCAAAAGCGCAACATCCTCATCCTCATCGTCCTTCTCAACGGGTAAGACACCCTCAGTCTGAGGAACCCGGCCTTGCTCTGCGGCATTCACATCGTCATCATTACCATCATCTCTGACCTCGACGTCATCGTGATACTCCGCCTCGGCTCTTTCATCTTCGTTAACTGCGGCTTCCGTAGCGGCAGCATCGTCTTCCTGCTTCCCGCGGCCTATAATAACATTCCCCGCAACAAGCATGGCAGCGCCAGCCCACCACAAAGGCGGCAGGGACTCAGAGAAAATAGCTAGGCCGAGAAGTGCCGTGATGACGAAATTGGTGGATGTGTTCATGATGGAAACCTGCGTCGTCGATTGCCCCTTGGCGAGGGCTTGCGTGAAGAGGGTCCACATCTATGGGGGAGCATGTTAGGATCATGTACAGATGTAAAAGGGTACCGGAACATAACATGATATGATACGTGGGGGTCGGCATGTGGCCCCGGAGGCTTGCATCTTGAGAAGTGAAATCTGAAATGTGATATGCGAAGGATGAACTTACAACTCCATTGAACGCTAGATTGAGGCCGAAGAATCCCTATGAAAATTGGATGCACGTTAGCACTTCTAGATATCAAGTCTCTCCTCATCAAATCCTTAGATAGAAATCGCCGAAGTGACTCCCTAAGCATAAGTTGCCGGCTTCTTTCCTAGTCGGCGCAGATGCCTATGCATGAAGAGGCACCATCGAGTCTAGAACATCGAAAAACTTACACAGCGAACAACAACCTCAACAAATCCTTCCAAGTCCGTGAGTCCCAAGAGTCCCGAAACTCCGTGGGCTATATGCGTAGAGAGCTCATTCGTAGTCCTACAAAAGCAAATTCCGCATTAGTTCCAACATGAACATGGCTTCGCAGCATAATCCTGATTTCATCCCGTCCTGCATGCATAACCAACCTTCGGAGGTGTGGTTGTACGGGCATCACAGACATGGGGGTGTGATTAGAAGAAAGGGAAATAAAAGAAATAAGCGAATACGAGAACGAGACCGAGACAAGAATAGGTAGATGATAGATAGGTAACACAAGAAGGATCGCAAAGTAAGAACATGGAAACGGTTGTATGAGATGCCGTTGGTTGGAACTCACAGTTTAGCGAAGACGCCGTTGAAGGCGGCACAAGCACCGCTAGCTATCGCAAACACGATCCATTTATTCCTCGTCGCCCAAGAAGGCATAGCCAGGTCGTCTTCCGAAGGTGTCGGGCCGTTACCGGTCTCGGACTTAACAGCACCTTGTTTTTCACCGGCCTGTTGTTTCTTCCTAGCTCGTACGGAGGTAGCAACGGGAGCGGATGCGGTAGTCGTTGAAGCAGAAGAAGAATCAGGAATAGTAGATTGAGTTTTCCCGGGCCGGGCCATTGTGGGTTTTAGAATATTTACTAGATAGGCAAGATCCGGATACGTCGGTATGAACACGCGCGGTTCAAAGTAGAGTCAAGGGAAAGAAACTAAGGCGGGTTACAAAGATAAGTTTGCGCGCCTGACCCTGAACGGAGAACTGGGACCAATGGGACGGCCACGAGTCGGATTGGCACGCCAAGATGTTTCAGTCCACAAGGATCTGATAAGCCTTTCTTGCTTGAATCGCCAAGTTCCGTTCCTATCCCAGAAATGTGGCTCTGTCTTGGCATTAAGCAACGTATGTAGATATGTGTTATACTCCACTGTAATTGTGTATGTGTTGTCAGGAAACTCTGTGAGATCGTAAGCCTTATCTAGATCAAATAACAAGCGCTTGCTCATCTGTATGTAAACCCTTGGTGAGCACGTTTTATTTGTTCGGCAATGAATCAGGTTCCTGCAGCGAAGCGAAAGGGGTGATGGCATAGGGGAAATAGCCCCGCTAATTTGTCGCTACCGAAACTATTTCTAACAGCTGATAGGTTGACTGCCGGACCCCCACCCAATGTAATCGTAGATCTACCGGACGCGGGCCGATGCAGCTACCATAGTTGAACTCTGAATGGACTTGGAATATTCCCGTTGTGGTAACCGTGTTTAAGATGCTTTAGGGGCTAGCGAAGAGGTAGAATATACTTCGGGAACTTTAGAGTGTTATGCAAGTATTATAACAAGTTAGCTGTAATTCGAAAATTTGAACCTACCTTTGAGGCCGACCTCGAAAATGTAGAATATTCTTAACTCTCAAGGACCAGTATTCTCACATATAAGTACAATAACGTGCAGTTAAACATTTCGAATTATCACGTCATACCAAGTACATTTCTCTATCTACTCTCCAACTCGACCCCATCATCAGGGGCCACGTCCTCATCACCATCCATGATACGCCCATGCCCCCTCGATACAGCCGTCCTCTCATCTACTCCGCCCCCAAGTCTCACACGCCCACCACTCAATTTAGATATTTTCTCGGCGATCCAACCCGCGACACGGTTCATCACGCCCCAGAGCCTCTCATGGCCCTCTGCAATCTCGTGGTCGTCACGCGGATTCTCGGCTGCCTCAGCCTTGAACTGGTACTTTAGACAATCCTTGACCGTGACAAGGCCTATAAGTCGACCTTGGCGCTCGATTAAGATAACACGGGGCCCGACTTTTCGGAATAATTCCATAACCGTTTCGAGTGGTAGTCGCGGATGCACCGTCACCGGTGTTACATCTACGTATCTGCTGAAGTCTATGGATGCCGATGATGTGCTATAATCTGCATTGTTGATCGTAACTGTCGGTGTAATAGGTGTGATCGCATTTGCCGACGGCGGTGAAAAGTTGCATTTCGATTCTGGGCTAAGCATAATAGCTCTCTCGCGACGTAAGCGATCAATAGCGTAGCGTAATTCTGTACAACCAATATAGCCAACTAGAACCCTTGCCGACAAATCTTCAACGATAGGGAAGCCTTGATATTTGGGTTGCTTTAGTAAGTCTTCAACAGATCGCAAAGTCATGCCATGGACAGGTATAGCAACCACGTCATTAGTCATGACCGCTGATACTGGGACGCCAAAGTTGTGCTCCTCCTTATTATCAAGGAATGGGAAGCCACTGAACCAAATCATTCTGTCGGCAATACCCCCTTTACCGAACAAATCGGATACAGCCTTCGTAACACCGACGACAATCATAGTAGGTAAGATGTACGTTAGAGCACCAGTAAGCTCGAACATGATAACGACAACCGATACGGTGATGTGCATGATACCGCTTAGTGCAGCGGCAGCTCCGAGGAAAGCGTATGTACCAGGTGTGATACAGGGTTCATCCGGCTGACAAGCGGCAAAGAAGGCGCTATCAGGATGAGCATGATAGATGGCTTGCATTATAACTCCAACAGTGCGACCAAAAGATGCTCCTACAGCCATAGAAGGCACGAAGATACCTGCTGGTACTTTACATCCGTAAGAGATAATGACCAGAAATATGCGAATTATAGTTGCGAGGGCAAGTGATATGATGTTCGACCATCGCTTATCGTTGTCGCAGAGCCCGTGGTAGTCTTCAGTGCCTTCGCATTCCAAAAACAGGATTTCCATACTCTCCGTCATATCAATTCGGAGAAAGACGTTGGGGTAGCAAATGATAGCTGTCCCTGCGGCTAGTAATGTAGCTTCAAGAACAGCCCATTTTGTAAGATACTTCTTTCGGAAAGCCTGGGCTCGTAAGTTCCACTTGATTACGAACGCACCGTATAGACCTCCGAAGATACCGATGAAAATGTACGGTACCGTTTCGAAGAAATGCCAAGATCGGTCATACTTGACTTGGAACATGACAAGTTGGCCGGTCCTAAACGGATTCATCGCTGCTAGAACTGCGGTCGCAACAAGAGCGCAGAAATAACTCCTCCACATCGTCTTCAGAGGGAAATAATTCGACATCTCTTCTAAGGAGAATAAGACACCCCCAATGGGGCTACCGAACGCGACTCCCACGCCTGCGGCTGCGCAAGCGCTTAAGATTTCTCGCGTTTTGGAGGCATTCCGCTTGTACTTGTCGAACATCCTCGAGATAACGTTGCCTGTACATACTGCATAATGCACACTGGGTCCCTCCTTACCAACTGAGAGGCCTGATGCGATGGCTAAGGGAAGGGCTATAGATTTAATGACCAAAGTCCAGAATCCTAGAAAGCCTTTCATGACGAATCCAGCGATAATGCACTTTATCTCGGAGATACCCGAGCCGGCGGCATAAGGTGCGAATGACTTGACGAGAATCGCGGAGGTGAAAGCAAAGATAGTCTAGACGCCTTAGTTTTGACGTAACATGCCAAAAGTGAGGATGGGCTTACTGCAAACATGATGTATAGTATATAGTTCGCCGGTTCGAATCCCGTCCAACGATGCCAATGATCGCATCCATTGTCCTCTCCCCAGCAGCAAAAGTTCTCGTTCAAGTAGAAGGCAGTCGTGCAGTAACCCATCTTAATATCAGATAACCACTCGGTTATGATATTCAAGAAGGCAGCGTTCAACCCAATGGCAGCGCCTATCAAGGTCACGACAATCCAGCCTTGAGCGGCATCATATGACTCCCACAGCTTGTATCTCCATGATGTCTTGCCATTATTAAACATACCAACATTTTTCCTATGTCGCGTCTTTCGACGTAATCTCTCTTGCGCCGCATCTTGTACCCAGTCTATATCGCTCGTCTTAGTTCATTCGTTCTATATAGATCGAAGGGTTTCGTCGCAGCGCATACCTATAGTAGTGAAATCCTAATAACACGTTAGTCAGAGGCGCGACTATTATCCCGGACCTGTGCACACCTCATATCTCTTAATCTCTGCTATCTCCTCCTCAATCTGTTGTTCTGCTGGCGCATTGTTGCCAGCTCCCTCTCCGAGCTCGGCGGTCGATACCGCGAATGATAGCCTAGAACTAACAGATGGTCGTCGGGATAGCTGCGGTCGGGCGAGGGAGAAGGAGGTTGTACGAGAAGACATGAGTCTTGATTGGAATCGTGCTCATTCTCAACTCTTCATCGAATAAGATATCGAATGATTAAGATTTGGATCTAAACTCGCGCAATCGGATAGAACTAAAAGATAATCGGGGCGTCGGCGTTGAATTCGGAAAGTTTGATGGATATTTGCATAGTTTAAACTTCAAAGCAAGCTCCAGCGAGTTGCTCCTACGTAATCGCCGATAAGCAAGGTCCTTAATGCCTAGAACTAGCGCACCTTTCCAAGCTGCCAAGTGTGACTTGCACCGTATAAATCTCCACTAAAATCTCTTAGTAGTCACGGCATAGCCCCCAAACTCACAAAGAAGCTTTCTACTATTTCCCCCATTAGCACCTTCTTCACACGGTACAGACATTATCACCGCCTGCCATTTTCAGCTTTAATAGAATCGCGTCCCTCCTCAACCTTCACGCGTTCCACCCAGGAATCATAAGGGCAAGGACAACTTCATATCAGTCATTTTGAGATCAATTCGTTTCGATCATTCTCAAATCGATTTAGGAGTAACCATAATCCTAGAATTACTAGTGAAGATTACGAGCACATTCACCCATTTCACCTACATTATTCTGCCGTCAATATTTCCAAAGTGAAAGTAAGATCAACCTTTACATCCCACCACTACCAGTTCTATATGATATCCATAATTGCACATTTTACTATGTATCCCATACCTTGTTGGATTGTAATTTTTAACTCAAAGCTAAACGGATTTCTGTCTGATCTCGGTTCATAGTTTGCCTGCTTACTAACTTATCTGATAGAGACACTGCAATAATCCAAGCTTTTAAATCTTAAGCTGTGTTCAATCTCGATTCCCTTCCTCGCCTTTTTTCAGTCTCATCATCCCGACGGAATTCACAATGCCGTACAACACCACTGCGATCCCTCCTCGCAAGGAGGTTACAGGCCAGACTCAGCTTCCCTGTAGGCTCATCTCATATTCTAGTGGTGATCATATATATTGACCATACTTATACATATAGTGTCACGAGTAAAGAAAATCGTAGCCCAAGATCAAGATATCAGCATATGCTCCAACAATGCCGCCTTCGTCATCACACTCGCAACCGTAAGTACTCACCCCCATTTCTCCTTCACGCCCCCTTTTTCTTTCCCGTCACCCCACTAACCCATCCCAGGAAATGTTCATCCAATACATGGCAGAGCAAAGCTACAGCATGGCCCGTCTAGACCGCAAACCGCGCCGGAACATCCAATACAAAGACCTAGCCGCCGCCGTCTCTGCGAAAGAGAACCTCGAGTTCCTCGAAGACGTAGTACCCAAAACCTCAGTATACAAGCAAATTAAAGCACAAGCAGCCGCCACCCGCGCACAGCTTAATAACGGCACCTTCGCGGCTCCGGGCGATCGACCCGATGACTCACCTGAGATAGGAATGGCATTTGGTAGCACAGCGAACGGATCCGGAAGTAGTAAGAAACATCGCCCGAGTACAAGCCGCTCGAGTTTGAATGGCGGCGCGGGGAGTTTTGTAGGCGCTAGTGGTGCTCAGATCGTGAGTGAGGATGATGGAACGGAGGCCGACCCCGCGGATCAGTTGCGCAGTGAGATGAGGCAGGCGAATCGTGGTCAGGGGGATGTGCAGATGTCCGGTTAGGAACCGTTATTCGGCAAATGGATTATGCGTAAATAGGTTATGCGATTATATTGCATTGGACTCAAGATTGCGATTGGGGGCTTGGGTTTAGGACCAATGGATATATGATGCGAAGCAATCTCTATATTTGATGAATGACCAATAAATCGTGAACATGCACGTCTTTGTCAATTAAATGGCAGGTGAAAGAATAATATTGCCTAGTCCGTGGGTATACCCTATCTTCATTTTTAAGACCAATGACTGAAATCATACTTTTTTGGTCCCCATCATCATCACCTCACCGCCTCCAACCCTCAACATTCCAAGTTCCGGAGATGGCATAGCGAATCTTACTCCTCCATCTCATCACCCAAATGCACACCAGCCGGGATCCGTCCCTCCCTCAACATAGTATCAAGTCTAGTAATCTCCTCCAAACTCGTAGCGTTCTTGATCATCTCCTGCAACCGCTTCTTCTCCTTATCCGTGAGCTTTATACGGGACATACGCGTAGGCAACCCGACGCCCGTGGACCCGGCACCGTTGGAAGCGAGGGTGGAGTCGAAGGTCTTGGATTTGATACCCATGATCTTGGATGCGAGGTCGGTGGGTGCGGAGGCGGTGCCGAAGAGTTTTGTGGCTTGCTTGCGCTCAGCGTCTTTGACTTTTTCGAAGTCGAGGAAGCGGACTGTGGGGCACCGCCATAGGACCCAGTATCGATAATTCTGCAGTACAGTGTAATTCATTAATTAGTCTTCTTAAATTACAAGGGAGAGGGTGGAAGCTGAAGAGCTTACCTCCTTCTTAGTCACTGGATTATCTCGTAGTACTAGATGTGTCAGGCGTGGGAAAGTTCCTAGAGGGTCTAGGTCCGCCAATTCAGTCAAGTTGTTCGACTCTAGCTGTATATTCGTGAGGTTCGGGATCGAGTTCGCGAGCGTAGGCTGTATGGTGGAGATGCGATTACGCTGGAGTAGGAGGGTGTGTATTCGTGGCGATAGGGGAAAGTTCCCCAATAGTTGGATATCATTGTCGACGAAGTCTATGGCGTCTTGGGGCTATATCATATGGCTCAGATTAGTCGCCGAGGTTACCGTTGAGATAACAGCATTATGTAGCTGAAGGGACATGAAAGAGGACTTACTCCAGCAACACCCAGGTTCTCAATAGCGGGAATTCGATGTCCTGTTTAAAGCCGGCGAGGGCATCGCTATCAATTCTGCTCTTCTAGATCAAAAAGTGTAGTATCTGTTCTTTTCTGACGTACCTCGAAGCTCGAGCTCGCGTTCCTTGAGCGCGTTCAGCCATGAGGGGGAATTCTGGAGGAGCTCGGCTGTGAGCCTCATGTTGGGAGTGCCTTCGCTGAAAGTTTACCGTTGCAAGAGATATCCGTGTTCAATGGGTGTGTAAATCCGGGGGATATCGTACGTTAGACTTTTGGACCTGTGTGCTTAATTGATTAATGTCGCGTGCGAATTTCGTTGGTTAGGCAAGCTTGGAGGACTAAGGATGAGGTATACCAAACAGAAAAAATGTGACGCTAACTTAGCGCATCTTAAATTATAGGGCGCGGGGAAGCTATGGGTACGTAACTCTGGAGGTACATATTTTAATTCAACAGTACAGGGCAATTTATAAACATCTAAAAATCGATTTTAAAACCCATGCCACCTATAACATCATTCACAATCCTCATAATAGTATCTAGGTGTAAAGCCAAGATCATGAATCTTATTGTTAAACTGCAAGAGAGTAAATCTTTTATTACATCCAATTGCTATAGTGGAGCCAAAGGTTGAGATATATGGCTTACGGTATTCTTCTGGTAAACGAAGCAACTTGTTTCCATATAAAGTAATCCAGTACCTATCTTTACTCACACCATAGTAATTTTCGGAATAGTCAAATGGGGCTCGGATAGAAAATGTTTGGGGAGAACGATTTGCGATATCGCCGACGACATTAGTAGGTCGGGATATGTGAGCGAGTGAGAAGTCGCTGATACCTGTCGATAGAGTCTTATTTTCATCATCAAAGCGTAGCTTATTGCACTTGGACCTTAGTTCGATTGTTTGTATACAGGCGCCTACATCGCGGGACCAGACCCATACCTCGTGCCCGCCGGTAAATATGAGCTTCGAATCTGGTGAAAACGCGATCACATAAGCGGGAGGACTACGGCAATCGGCAAGTGTTTGCTGCAGACATCCTGTGCCTACCGACCAGGTCCTTATCGTTCTATCTCTCGAGACGGACGCCACGAGCTTCGAATCATATGAAAAAGTGATGAGCTTTGAATCATACGAATACGAGACCGGATCGTATGCTAGATCAATATGATTTCTGGTTGCCCACAAAGTCTTCCCCGAATTAACCGCCCAAATCTGTACCGTGTCATCCCTCGAATATGACGCAATAAACTTGCTATCGGGAGAGAACGCGACTGATACGGTATTAGCGTGGCCTGTAAGTATCAGCGGCGTCACTGCCACCGACCAAAGCTCTATTCGCCTAGACTCGAAAATCGACGCGATGTATCTCGAGTCGGCCGAAAATACGATTTGTCGAACCCCGCCGCAATGGAGTTCGAGTGTCCGCAGCCATGACCCGTTCTCGATGGACCAAACCAGTATTTCTGGACCCATCGAAGTTGACGCAATAAACTCGGAATTAGGCGAAAACTCGGCTGACTCGACATCAGAACTATGGCCGCTGAGTGTATACTGCAACAATCCCGTATCGGTTGACCAAAGCTGTATCGTATCATTTTTTAATGAACCTGCCGCAATTAGTTTGCGGTTGGGTGAGATTGTAATGAAAACGAGCCTAATGGCAGCGAATATAGAATCTGGATCTATCTCGATATAAGGTGACCAGAGACGAACGATATTATCTTGGCCAGCTGAAGCTACAAACTTTGAATCTGGTGAAATTGCAACAGTAAGTATCGGGTTAACGTGGGCACCAACCGCATAGCGCTTTCCCGTATGAACTGGTAGTGCCCATACCACGAACTCGTCGTGGGATACTGTAAACTTCGGGTCATATGGAAATGTAGCCGAGTAAGTAGCAGCATTCATGTTTCTCTCCAGGAGCCCCGTATAGATTGATATGAATCGAACCGTCCCGGCAGTGGCTAATGCTATAGATCTTGAATCGGCCGAGAATTCTAATGAGTTTACTGCCGCACCATAACCCTCAATGGTTCGCATGAGCTTTCCTTCCTTTGACCAAACTTGCACAGTCTGGTCACACCAAGCAGACGCTATAAATTCTGAATTTGGCGAGAATACTACGGAAGAAACCGAGCCGTTATGGCCAACGAGTGTCTGCTGTAGCGCCCCAGTGGCTAACCATATATATACCACATTGTCTGAAATTAACGCCACAAATTTCGAATCGGGTGAAAATACCACTGCGCTGATATTTTCATACTTCTTAGATTCCCACTGGAATATCGCTGTATCGGTAGACCAGAACTGCACTGTCTGATTCTCGGAATGTGAAGCTAGTAGCCGTGAATCCGGTGAGAAAACCACGGGATATGGATGGTTTTCAAAAGTTTGCTGCAACATACCCGTGTCAACCGACCAAACCTTTACTGTCTGTTCCTCTGATAATCCCGAATTCTGTGCCCTCGACGCTATAAACCTTGAGTTGGGTGAGAACTCTATACTGATAATTTCTTCTTCGTGACCTACAAGGATTCCCAAGCAAGGGTCCCAGAATTCGCCAACATTCGGTGTGGTAGAGATCCAGTCGGGAATATCGTCGCGGAATAAATTTTTAATAATACTCTTCTCCGGCGCAAAAACGAGTGCTGAACAGTATAGTTGGAGAGGCGCATATTGCACTATTGAAACATACTCAATAACAAAGCGCTCAGCATCTTTCAGGAGAGCTAAGAGCTCCGTGCAGCTTCCGGGCTAGACAAGGTCAACGAGATGATCGTCCAACGTTTGATACAGGTATGTATGTGGTAGAATACCTGAAAGAGAGATTGTAGTATCCGAATGTTTTGGACACTTTCTGAAGCTCTCCCTAGGAGACTCAATGTTTCTAGCCAGTCGAGAAAGTGTCGTTTGAGGAAATTGTGGACCCAGTCGTTATCATGCACACGATATCCTGTTTGTTCCGTATGGTGAACCCAATAGTGGCAGGCATATTGAACCTCTGGTGAAATGTTGTCGTGAATTGTCTGAGAATTTATATTCGATGCGGGGGTCCCAGGCCATTGAATGTGGCATGGATTAGTTCGAAGGTTTTTGTTCATAACCTTTACACATCTAAATGCTAATCTTTTATGAGCCCCTTTCTCATTTATTCGAAATAAGTCCTTGCCTGATGGATCAAGGAGGAAGTCTCGAAACGACAGGTGTAGTAGGCGCACGGGGCGGTTCGCCGACGACGGTATGCTTAAAACAGAATGGAGAAACCGGAGGTGGCTATCAATTGTGGTTGAAAGAATATCGAGCAAACTTGCTAGAGTAGTAGTAGAAAGCGGCGTAGCTAGGATAATGATTGAGCCGATAAGGTATTTGAAAAGATCCAATACTTCCATTCTCTTTTCTTCGCTAGGATCATCCATAAGACGGTCTAAAATGGGCCTGTATGTTAAATCGAGTTTGGACCCTAAGCCTTTAGTTTGATACTCTAAAACCCTTCGAAGTGTTGTCTCAGGGTCGCTAGTTCTAGAGTCGTCAATGAATCGACATATAGTTGATGCATAAATAAATAGCGGAATAGCGCTCTTTACGAGTATGGTTACATCTGATCGCATTGGCCAAGTTGATGGTAGTGAGTCCCACTTATTCTTGATTTTCGTAAGCTCATGATTAAAATATGTAGATAAGTCATGTTCAATGGTTGGTAGTGGTATCTCATGGAGAATTAGATCTTGGTATGTACCTTGGCTAACGCTGGAGAAACCTAAGCGAATAGGTAACTCCGGGCGGCTGGTTACGAATATGCGTAGCCACAGAGACTGTGGACCTTTGGTATGAGTGTTCGCGTCAGAAAATAGCCTAATAATTAGCTTTATATCATCCTCTCGCTCGCATTCATCTAGAGCATCAATAACGATAATAAGGGAGTCAAGTTTATCATCTTTAGGAGTCTTAGATATGGGTATGAGGACAAGCTTTTCGAACTGCTCTCGCAATGTTTCCTCGAATATGCTGGGGTCGCCCTCAATAGCATTTTTAACGTGGTTCCCGAGGGCCGGTTTTCGTTGGACTAGACAAGCGGCGATAGTGCTGAAGAACTTGGATATTCCTCCTCGATCTGCCTCACCCCTTTTGAAGAAAAAGCTAGCGCCTAATTGTCCAGCCGCGAAGAAGGAACGTGCCACGGTGCGCGAAATTGTCGACTTGCCAGTGCCAGCCATGCCGTTTAGCCAGAATACAGTTCTGGCCTGAGAGTCTCTGCTCCATTCCAATATCTGGTGAAGGATTTCAACACGAGTCTCTTCAAGGCAGGTTGGATTGTGTTCTTCGGCGTTGGAATCAAAAAGTGCGTCTGCAACAATGGGAAGCTTGTCTAGAACTGCTCGTTGATCAAAATTGCTCACTTTGAGACCCATCTCTATCACGCTCTCGTTTACTGAAACTGTTAGGTATTGGTCATATAGTTGAGGATAGGTTCTTTTAAATGACTAACAATTATCAAGAACGTCAATTATCTTCCTCTCGGCTTCCATCCTGCTTGGTACAATGCAATTCAGCAAGCCTTTAGCGTATGCGGCTGCTGCCATCGCGGCGTATCCTTGCCAGTGGTAATTCTTATGCGTGTCTGAGTAGTCGCATATACCACGAATAACTAGACATGGAAATTTATTCATTAACCCCGCTGCTTCCATTTCAAAGCAAAGGACATTTTCGACCTCCGAAAAGTGATCTCGAGCCAAAGCGTTCTTCATCAATTGGTCGCCCGATGCGATTTGGCCATAATGAATTACTGGTATGTCGTTGTCTTCGGCTCGGTCGCACCGGGTGACCAATATCGACTCGTCATCCTCGATTGCAGTCGTGCAGCAGGCTCGCCCGCTATCGTGGGTGAAGTTGGATTGGTAGAGCCTGTCGGTATTTGCTTCGGGACGGCCGTACTTCCTCCGAAGCCTTGGCCTCTTTTCAATGGCAGCATGAATAGCGTCTTCTAGCTGGTATTCGCCGAGGTCGTGCTTCGCCTGCATTCCTGCGACAGCGGCACGCACAACAGGTGGCGGCAGGTTGAGATAACCAGTGCGTATAAACCCTTTGCTTTGGTCTGCCTTGCCAAAGTCGTAGTGAATCACACCACTTTTCCCATCATAGGGGCTACCTACCACGACATCCCCGAGGCGGATGTCATGATATTCCCGTCCTGGTATAGGTGCACCACCGCCAATACCAACCATGAGGCCAACTCTGATATTAGGGAAGCTCCGTAGCATATCTGTGCAACACTAGAAGCAGATGCTTTCCCGTATTCCCCATCCGGAAGGACGGCAACTACGACATAGTGTTTTCCTATCTCTCCTAAGGTATATTCATTATTATCGTTCTGTGCTTGGAATTCAGGTTGCTCGTGGCGTTTATCTAGAAAGGCTTGTGCGGCAACGTATTCCGCGGTTACAGCACAGATCCAGCCGACATTGTATTTCTCGTTCGTAGTTTCCGATTTCGAAGTGCCAGACGTTGACGACTTCTCCAAGCCAATCTCTTGCCTCCTCTGCTTGCCTGGGCTGGAGACACCAGCTGCGTCATTGGCGGTTCTCTCTGACATTGTGCAACGGCAGTTGAGAGTACGTTGGAATACCAGCTGGCAGATTTACGTTATCTGGATGGGACATGGGTGAATGGGATTGTGGATTCGAGGAAGGGCAACGCTCAAGGATATACGGAACTGGGGAAGTCCACGCCCATGAGCAAGTAAATTTCCGATTGTTAATTGGATTGGGTGGGTGGCTATTTAGCTATGAACCGAAGCTGGGTGGAGTTTTGTAGGAGCCCGACACCTTGATGTGCGACTATGTATGCAATTATCTATTGGGCATTGTGTAGTGCAAGAAGCCACCTTCGTAAGCACTTACACCCAAGCCACTGCGCCATCGAACCATTTCATTTACAAGGCAGGGATTTATTTGCTTAGCATAGCTGGCCGGTTTGCTAGTCCGGTTATCATGGATGATACAAAATACGAATATACGAATGGCTGGGTGTAACTCGAGGCAGCTCACAGATCAGATTTTGTCAACTTACGTATCTAGGTAACATTAACACAGAAAGGGGGAAAGTCGGTTATTAGCTCAGTCAACGCTTCAAAATAATGCCAATGTATTATCCTCGTATCTATAACTACGACAACGTGCTTACTCCAGACGCCGAACGGTTTTGCGAATCGTTCCATAGTCTAAGCTGGTCATTATCCCATGTTGTGTCGAGCTCACTGAACTGTGCGTTCTTTCGAGACGAATAGGGGCTACCCACTGCGACACCCCTTTTCGACGACTTCCCAGCAGTTCCAATTGTAGCAATAGATGACAAGGCGTGTCCGTTGTCTCCATTGACGTGAATGGAGGATGGGCCGGTATAACCTGCTAGTACCTGACTTGTCTTCTTGTACGCACTTCGGAACAGCGGTGTCAAGCCGGGAAGGTTGGCAACAACTTCCGCCATGTTTCGCTCTACAAGCCCAAAGATGTAGATTCGACGTTGTAACGTCCAAGTATAGTCTGGGTCCACGAAATCATCGATGAAGGCAAGATGGGCGATGGAGGCAGCGAAGACTCTAGATTGAAGGGCATTAGGGCTCGTTCAACGAAAAAGGGGTAAGTAAAAAAGACAGTTGTTAGGGATTGGTACTTACACCAAACCCGATCCCGTCAGACTAATAAGGAGAATCTTTTTCTTTAGATCTAGTTGAAGCTTCCCGAAAAAGTAGATTGGGGATAAGGCGTAGAATAAGTCAGTCGCGGCGCCCACGGCTTTGAAGAACAGTTAGCTTACCACAGGTTTTTCTGAAAGACGCAGGATGAGCAAACTTACATTGAGATACGATATGAGCAGTAATTAGTGTATATGGACTTGCCACAGTTCCAGGTATATCGGGGTTCCATGCCTTTTCCAATGGCTTTGCCTGAAGGGACCAGACGATAATCTCAGATAGGGTAGCGAGAGTAGTGAGGCTAATCAACCCGTAGATGATCCATCTCGCTCGCTTATGTACTTTGGTCACGAGGGAGAATAAGAACAAAGTGATGGATAGTTTGACAGCTAGGAGCGCTATATCGGCCATAACGATGATATATAGGGCGAGCATTCTGGCCCTACTACGTTCTTCGAAGGTGAGGAACTGGAGATGTCGGCCACAGCCTGTTTCCACACACTGTATTTCCAATGCATTGCCAGTCAAGTTGAATGCCTTATGATATGCTGAGTTAGGACGCTCCTAAAGGTAGCTGGGTGACGGTCTAAGCGTACTAGAGCAATGATGATCAAAACATCGTCGGCGGAGAGCCTATGGTTCATCCGCAGCTTCGAAAAAATACGCAAACTTGTTGACAGGATAACGAGAATAGTAAATAATATGGCAGGGATCAGAATTATCCGACCTATGGATTCATCCTCCAACTTGGGATTGAAAGGGATAGAAAGGGAGCTCATGGCGTTGTCTACAGTCCGGAGACGTGTAAACTGGAATCGGGACAAGGGGTTCACAAACGACTAGCGCGCTAAGACAGAAGGCACTTATGACAATGGATTATGTTCGAGAAAAGATTGGTTCTAGACTACATACCTATAGTATTTTCTATCTGCTGATGGTAGACTCAGCCTCCACTGTAACGGTATACCTATCTCTTCAACACTCCCCACCGCAAGTCCTTGTAGATTAGAAAAAATCATACGTAGGAGCGCAGGGCATGATGGTGGCATAACCCACTGTAACTACGATGAGTTACAGCGCGTACCTCCCTATGTACATGGAGACGACCGTTCGGGGTCAGCTGAAGGTGGTGCAAGCCGACTATGTAGCTCGATTGGTTATATGTGTTGCACAAGGCCCTGATTTGTTCGGATGCGAATTATCCTTCATTGTATAAGTGCACGGTACATAGCCAAGATTCTATTATCACTTGTTCCTATCTACCTACCTAGGTAGGTATTTTGCTACTCAGCCTCTTGTAAATTTTCCTTTAGTACCTTACCTTAATAATTGAACCTACCTAGTATTCCGAGTCATTAGCGCTAATAGCCAACGACTAGACAAGCTCAAGGGCCATCTAAAATATTTCAGGAAATTGGGTATCGAGATCCTCCAACCATTAGAACTGTTCCATTCATACCCTCGCGGCAAGATGCCCCTTGTAGGCGAAAATGGTATGGTTTCACAAGACACCCTTTTCGAATATTATTTTCGAAAAAAGTAATCGCACATCGATAGATCTGATAGGCCTTTATGAAGATCACTTCAGCCATCGAACTCCAAATGCTGCCACGTACCCCCACTTACCATCCATCATAAGATTGGTTTTGCTCGGTCTGGAGCTCCACATGGTTTCAATGGCAGGTACCTGGGTATCCAATGGACGAAGTTACTACTTGAACCGATTGATAGACGGGTCTGGTTCCATCTCACCCGACTTTCTTGCTGCAGCTATAACGTGAGTCGGGTATCACAAGGCTAGGTAATACCGATGCCCCAGACCGTCGTAGTAACGGTTTCATTGGATCGAATTGAAGGAAGATGTATATGCGAGTTCCCGTCATGGATACCTACCTAGGTACCTAGATACCTAAGGTAAGAAATGCTGAAGAACGCGCAAGCCGCATTGATATGATTTCTATCAATCCTAAAAGGGAAGTCACGAAGGCGGCTCGGGCAAAATGCGGATAAGTTTATATTTAAGTCTATATTCAACCTTCTAATTAACCTTAAAATTGGAGTTCATTCCCATGCTTGAAGAGCTTCTAAAGCACTTTGAACATTTAGGTACTTAGGTAGATTATAGACCATCTTGTTTAGGTGCTAGGCAATTCATCGTCTAACACTAGTACCCCGCACTTCTCTCTCCTCACCCCACCTTATTCTTCAAACTTCAGTTCCGGAGCACTTACCTTAGTTTTATTCCCGATATACGAGACTGATTTGAGCCTCTATCTCGCAGTATCATGATGATAACATAATATCAGACTCATCATAATGTTGATGCCGATTAAAAGTTATTGCGGACACAATACGTGGCCCCGGCCTCCTACTGGTGAATAGGTACGAGAACAGCACAGCCTAAGGTTATGACCTAGCTGGTTTAGGTCTTAGTTCCGCAACATCGTTCTAAGTGGGAAGTATAGAAGCCTATAACATGTAGCCAATTTGAAGTGTTGGTTGTCGTATATGGTATGGTGTAATCCTATGGTGGTATATCTGGGAAGATTAGAGAAACCGTAAGATTTACATTCTGTCGTTAAATATATCTAGAAGAGTGTTCGCACGACGGGTTAAGATAAAGGCAGTAGTAACGGTGAGTTTCTTCGTGAGTTTGTTGCTGCCCTCTTTGTCAGGTCGTTAGCCATGGGTATATCATCACTCGTCATCAGCATAGGGATTGGCCTTGCTGCCACGTACATCTTGATAAGACTCTTCAGCTCATTCAATGCCCATCGTCTTCCTCTTCCACCAGGGCCTAGGAGCCTTCCTTTTGTTGGGAACTTGAATGATCTGCCTAAGCCAGGCGTGTTAGAAGCCCATCATTGGTTAGAGCACAAAAGGCTATACGGTTCGTCTGCTCTCATCTCCCAGAACGTCGCTGTAAAGTAATGGCTCTTACCAATGAATTACACTTGCTTATTATTAACAGGCCCTATAAGCTCTGTAACTATGATGGGTCAAACGATAGTAATCGTTAACGATGCGCAGCTAGCATTTGAGCTACTGGAGAAGCGATCGGCAAAATATTCGTCGAGGCCGAGGCAAGTTTTCGTTGGTGAAATGTGAGTGTCAATTGCTCGTGATATTATGCGGAAAGGGGCTTCACATCAAATTTAGAAACGGACTAATTGGCTTATATAGGATGGGGTGGGAAAATTCCCTTGGGTTGTCCCCCTATAACAATCGGTTTCGGTCATATCGCAAGAAGATGACCCGCGTCTTGAGTACGAAGACCGGTGCAGCGCAATTCGACCGGCTTCAAGGAGCTGAGGTGGGACATTTCCTACTCCATCTCTTGGATAATCCAGGGGGTTTCGTACAACACATAAGAAGGTGAGTCTAGCTTCACGTCACCCATTAGATTCGCATATTGACCCCCTTTTCAAGACAGGCTGGTGCGACCATATTGAAAATAGCATACGGCTATACCGCAGAGTCGCATCAGAATGACCCCTTGGTCGACATGGCTAGCGATGCGATGGATAAATTCTCTCGGGCTGCGGTTCCTGGAGCTTTCTTAGTAGATGTCGCCCCTTTTTGTTAGTGGATGCAATAATGAACCCTTTGGTGGATGCGACCTAATGAGCATGGCTAGTGAGACGACTTCCTGACTGGGTACCGGGAACAGGCTTCAAGAACCTGGCGCGTCAATGGGGAGCCGAGCTTAATGATGTAGTAGAAAAACCGTATGCCTTTGTTAAACATCAAATGGCACACGGGAAAAACGAAACATCATTTCTATCGCAGTTGTTGGAAGCTAGTGATTCGGACTCTGAGGAAGAGTTCGCCAACAAGTGGTCGGCCATGTCCCTATATACCGCAGGAGCAGACACGGTGAGAGCCCTCCTCTTTATTTGACGCTTCTGGAGGTTTTCGGAGATTAATATTGATAGACCGTATCGGCAATGGCATGTTTCTTCCTAGCCATGACGGTTTATCCCGAGGTCCAACGAAAAGCGCAGGAGGAAATCGACCGTATAGTGGGGCAGGATAGACTTCCTAGCATAGCGGATCGTAGAAACCTACCATACATCGAGGCGGTAGTGAAGGAAGTCCTACGTTGGCATCCTGTCGCACCAATGGCTCTTCCTCATACGAGTACTGAAGACGACATCTGCGAAGGGTATTTCATTCCGAAAGACTCAATGGTATTTGCAAATGTGTGGTGAGTATCCCTGCCCCTCATAGATATCATTGGTACAGTTCAATTGATAACTGGCTAGGCATTTCACACACGATTCGAACGTCTACCACGATCCTATGTCCTTTAAGCCCGAACGTTTCTTAGCGACAGATGGACGTGAGCCGGAGCCGGATCCGCATGCGTTTGTGTTTGGCTTCGGACGTCGCATTTGTCCGGGGCGCTACTTAGCAGATAACGCCTTATTCCTCAACATCTCGCAGTCACTAGCCACGTTTAATATTAGCAAGTACTTGGAAGACGGGAAGGAGGTTGCGCCTACTGTAAAGTTTGAACCTGGCATCATCAGTCATCCTGCACCGTTCAAGAACAATATTAAACCGAGGTCTTCTCGTCATGAGACGCTGATTAGGTCGATCGAGAAGAAATTTCCTTGGAAGGAGAGCGATAGCAAAATCTTGAAGGTCATGGTCTAGCAGGGTCGGCTGCTAGCTACTTGGCGCTATAGAGATTGAATGGAATATTGAAATGGCTTTGCCTAGGTCTATCATTAGAAAAACCATGACTCTTCAATGACCCTTGTATGCGGCGCTCAGCTCGTAGAAGTGATCCATTTGAACATGGTTGAGGACCCGCATTACCTTTGCTGATGCCAGCAATATAGGCTTGAAAACCTCACATCTCGGGTTCTTGTTCGGGGCCGATGATTAAAGGCCATTCACAAAACCCCGACAAACCATTTTAGATGAAATACTACTGAGCTAGGTAGGATTACGGGCATGAAGGATCAACAAGGTCAGATTTTAGCTACTGAGCCTTCCGCGATCTTGTTAAATGCCTAGACAATTGTGGATACCGTGTTGCTGACATCATGCTGGTTATACCAACTACCGGAAGACTAGGGAGAGTCGAAATGGTATTTATACTTGATAACTTACTCGATACTCTGTGCGAATGATTGCTATAGTACCTATGTTAGCAATTAGGGAGGCTCTTTACTATGTATTCACATAAGAGCCTAGCGTTAACCCCTTTACTTGCCCTAGCGCATCGGGTAGTTTGTGCTCCTTCAGGGGCGCATCCAATTTGCTCTCAAGACAACATAGCCTATCATATATCCTCCATTAACAGCCCCTTATCTCATAATGTAACGATACTCGACGTCGTCCATGTTCCGTTCAACGGTAGTTATGGCGACCCGACCCCTATTTTAGGTGTTGGGGCCATGTACTCAACCGCGTTACCCGACCTCTGTGCTGTAGAACTCAACGTCACGTCATCTGAGACATCATCGTACAGTGTGTCGATATTCCTCCCGTCTAATTGGAATTCGAGGTTTCTTGCTGTAGGCGGAGGAGGAGTTGCTGGATATACCAATTACGCTGATATGGGAGTTGGCTCTCAATATGGATTCGCCACGGTTTCGACAGACAATGGCCATAAAGGTGCTCCCTTCGACGTAACGTGGGCCTACAAAAACACAGAGAAGCAGATCGACTTCGGCTGGCGCGCTATGCACGGATCAGTCGAATTGGCAAAGCAATTGATCACGCGCTACTATGGCGAAGATATCCGGTACAACTATTACTCCGGCTGTTCGACTGGCGGCCGCCAAGGACTCAAGGAGGCGCAAGTCGATGCCAGCAGCTTTGACGGTATGCTCATTGGGGCGCCCGCTTGGTGGACAAGCCACCAAGTAAGCTGGACTACCAAGGTTAGCAAGGATTATTACCCCGTCGGCGATCCGAAGAGTATCCCCGCCGAATTGTTCTCGACATTGGTAGCCCCTACGGTGATCGAGCAATGCGATAAGGCAGACGGACTGAAGGACGGTATCGTCAGTGCTCCAGACAAGTGCCACCCAGATTTCGATGTGATATCTTGCGACAATCACGGCGCAAACTCATCTGCGTGTCTTACTTCTTTGCAGATCGACACACTAAAGAAGATTTACGCCGATTATTATGTCGGGAAGGAGTTCGTGCATCCCGGACTTGGGTACTCGTCGGAGTTAGGGTGGTCCCAGAACATGTTCAGTGGCCAGCCAATACCTTTTGGTCTCGATTGGCTTAGATACGCGGTTTTCGAGGACTTGGATTGGCCTCTTGATGCATACAATGACAGCACATATGAATACATCAAGAAACTGGACATCTGGAAAGACGTCGATGCGGATGATTACGACGTGTCTCCTTATCGGAATAGGGGCGGTAAGATAGTAATGTACCATGGTCTATCCGATCCGTTAATCGTCACGAAAGGTTCGGGTTACTTTTACGAGCGAGTTGAGAAAGCGACCGCGGCGTCGCGACCGATACACGATTGGTTCCGACTCTTCTATATTCCCGGTATGATGCATTGTTCGGGCACTGCGCCCGGGGTTGATGCACCGTGGCACATCAATGGTGGCGGTCAAAACTTAGGTATTGGTTCCAACGCGTATTCGGTTCCCGGATTTCGTGACCCGCAGCATGATGCCTTACTCGCTTTGATGGAATGGGTTGAGGGTGGAAAAGCGGTCGATCAGATCATCGCGACGACTTGGCATAACTCGACCGTTCCAAGTTCAGGGGTGTGGAAGCAGCGCCCTCTTTGTCCGTATCCGAAGAAGGCCGTATACGATGGATTCGGTGACGCGAACAAGGCGCATAGTTGGGTCTGCAAGTAATCAAGTAATCCCGCGTCTATTCGGCTGTGAGGATTACAATTCGGAATATCGTTAGCGGGGTTTACGATAGCGATTGACACCCCCATCCACCACTGTAAAAATCAACTATTAGAATGGCCCTCTCGGAATGGGAGAAGCTATTAATTTCTACTCACCCATTCACTCAATCTCGTTTGAGTCTTTTAATGTAGCAGGTCATGTACACAGATGAATATTGTACAAATGCGAAAAAATCAAGTTTTTCAGCCATTAGCTGAATGTGTATACTGTCTTCGGGTTAGATAGAGGGGCGGTGGCGTTCGTGACTGCATAAATATTCCACGCTCTTCCACTACTTCTCAGCCGTATCGTTAAGACGGAATTGACACATCAACTTTTCACGGGTCGACGAGAGGAAGTGAAAGTTTTTCATCTAAACTCCTACTTTGGTTGATTCCTAGCTAGGTATTTTTTTTTTCCGGCGTTTTGAACTACTAACATGGCCAAATTTAAACAAGACATCTTCCAAGAATTTCAAGAAAGGCATTTTAGGGTACCTTGCGATTATAAACCTACAGACGTCCAAGTCATTGAAGTGAAAGGTTTCGAGGTAGGTTTTCGCCAAGTTAACTGGATCAACACAGCTAATTCGCAATCTAGACAGATACCCAAACTTTTCGGTCATTTTCAGTCAAACCGGACGAATTAGGGAGCTGGTTCTCAGATGTAATCTTCTGTAGCCGCTAGGAATCAATGGCGACCGACGAACTAATTGATTTTGATGCATCCCTAGAAACAGACGAACCGCGCGAATGACACCAACCACTATGGGCATAAACTACGTGTTGTGTATGGTTCTACTCACCAATATTAAGTTTAAAATTCTGATATTGTTAGAATCGGATATCTTGGGAAAGGGGTGAAAAACGACTACGTAATGCACGATCAAAAATTCGCCCCAGGAGATATTCCCCCGGGCGCATCAATCACCACGCTACCCTTCTCACAAGAGCACTACCAACTCATCTGTCAAAAGTTTAGTTTACCTAAGGTCACATATTTACTAGTAGAGCGGGGGGTTAGGACATTAAGAGGCCACTTCCAAGTCACAAAGATGCCATCCGAGCAGGGGAGGATCATCTACAGTGAGTTGTACATGAGGCAATGAATCGCAAATATCGTGCGCTGAAACCGGTGCCAGGCTTTTCTTTGAGTTCGTTCAGTAGCCTGTTGATAGGTACCAAGTTAGCGGCTTCAATGTCGTACTGCCCTTCAACGGGTGTAACTAACGCATTGGTACTTGGGAGTGGTGAGCAGGATGGGTTTTCATGGCTACAACAAGACCTAGAGCAGCTAGCACCCCTGTCTGATAGCCCCTTTCTCGTGCCGATGATAATCTGTCAGCGCCTCACTGATGCTATCAGTGACTCCGTGGATGGGATCTCTAACCGATTACATCAGGTGGAGATTGGAAGCGGCCAGACGGGCATTATGATTGTTGGCGATAACGGATTGCCCATGCCACGAGGACATTGTGAAGACCCCAACTTATCTGTCGCTATCCTTAGTGTGGCCCAACAACTGGTTGCTGTTGAAGCCTACATCAAAGGCCATAGTGTTACTGTGCGCTCTGTTAAGAGTGAAATGTTGGAATTTCCATGGCACCAGTTCCCTAGTACCAATAGTGATGAGGTACGGGAGCAAAACAAGCTTATTGCCAAACAGCTTGACTTCATTGATCGCAGCCTAAGTTTCGCTCTTTTCGGAGTTGAGCATCTGAAGCAGAGGGCAAACGTACAGGCAACAGCTGTAAGCCAATTTTTATCCACCCCCATCCTTTGCTTGCGTGCTTTCTGTTAGAGCTTAATCGTTGACCTCTCTAATTCCAGATCAACAATTTATTTGCTCAGCGTAATAGTGAGATGAATACAATGTTGGCAGAGTCTAGCACAAGCATCGCGCGCGACACAAGACGAGATGGCTCCGCTATGAAATCAATTGCCGTTTTGACTATGGTCTTTCTTCCTGCGACTTTTATTGCAGTGAGTTGTGCCTAGAGTTAGTGATAGGATATGAGAATACCATGCTAATCAAATTCATGATTAAAGACATACTTCGGCATTCCTGCGGTGGAAGCATCGCAGCCATCACAGGGGATTTATTGGGCTGTGACGGTGCCACTAACCTTGGTTGTCCTTTTTATGTGGAGGCTATATTTCTACTTCTGCGTCGTCAAGAAGGATTATTGGCGGTTCGGCAAGCGTCGTGAGACAACAAATTTAGATGATCTAGTTCCTGACTATTAAATCTCTCTTGACATACTCTGGGTTTTATTTAGAACCAAGATTTTTCTATAATGGCGCTGTTTGGGGCCATGTCGCGATGGTCAAAGCGCTAAAGGCGGGTGATACAAAATTTCAATTACAGACCACGAATTCTTAGCTTAGCCTTCCACATCATACCTCAGTCTTCTCGAAATACAATCTAGACTTTGACTTTGACTTCATCGTTTATCAGTGCCTTCCAATAATCGCCCCTTGGCTTAAACCCCAGGTTTGGTCCATCATGACCCGCTACCGCGAGATCACGCAGCTGATACTCATCCGTCCGACCCCTCCCATTCACGCGCTCGACCTCTCCTTCTCCAAGCTTACCCGCTTCTCCGGGGGCCTTCTCGAAATCGAAATACCATAACGTTTTCGCTATCACTAGACTTATCTCAAGATATGCCATAGACTTACCGAGACACCCAGTATCTCCGAGCGCAAACGGCGCAAATGCCCCTCGCATCGCCGCCCTTTGCTCCTCCGACCCTAGCCATCGTTCCGGCCGAAATTCGAACGGTTCGGGGAAGTAAGCTTCATTGTGCATTAAGCAATACGGGCTCACGCCAACAGCGGTGCCTTGAGGTATTACATGCCCGTCGACTATAAATGGTTCAGTGTAGGAAGCATGCGGTTCACGCCAGAAGGTGCCCAGAAAAGGCGGTGCGACCCGCAGGGTTTCATCGATAACAGCGCGAAGATACGTGCAGCCAACTGGTTGCGGCCCGCTTTGAATCGCGGTCTCAGCGAATGTCGTGCGAATCTCCCTAGCGAGTCGAGCATAAACGGTCGGATGGCGTGAAAGGTAAAAGAAGAGAGCGCTAAGCGCCGCAGGCGTCGTAGCACCACCTGGGATACCGAAACAGTGTCAATCCTAGAAGCACTCACCACGAAGAGGGGTCGATCGTCGAACGTCATGATGGACGCCGAGATGTCTGAACGTTCATGAAATTATAGCTCACCAGCTGGCATGATAAATACAGCCTCAGCCCATAACTCGCTCTGTCTCAGATTCTCATTCTCAAGAACGGGATCGCTCGTCGCAACGGAGTAAAAGTCGTGCTTTGCATCCTTGGGCAGAGCCATACGTTTCTGGATTATGTCTCGTATCGTGTCGCTAAATGCTCGTCCGCTTTTCCGGTACAACCTACTGAATATCGGCCATATGACAGAAAGGTTCGGCCAGGTCACTACGTGAACGATCAGCAACCTTATTACCGACGACAAGAAGGGAGCGAGCCGATATATTTTGGCAACCCGCAGGGAATAGAGCCCACATACTGAAAATATAAGCTAGGCCGCCCACCGAAACCATAGCTCGAGGAAAGGTTCTATTCTTAGCATCTACCAAAGTATGAAGTTGTTGCCCAAAGGCTAAGTTACCGGCGACGTCGGCGGTGAGACGCTCACATAAGAGCGACATGTTAGCGGGCTTACCGCCCATTTTCAAGAGTTGGCCCAAGAAAGCATCAATCTCCTTGCTCATAGTCGGTTCAAAAGTACGCAAAGATCGATCGGAGAGGACCTGCCCATATATCTTTCGTTTCTGCCGGTGGCGCTCCCTATCCAACGTACCAAATATATTCTTCTGTGGGTTGAACTGCGTTTTCTCGTATATACGAGCTTTATTAACCCCAGGGTTCAGATAGATATCTATGCGAATCGTCATTATACGGTGCATCTCGAGGGTTGGGTAAGCCGTATTCCCTTACCACGGACTGCGGTTGCCGTATTAAACACCAAACGATTAGGGGCATGTCTAAATACCGAACCTATTCATGTGCTCGTGGGGCTTTGTCAGTTATGTACTAGATCGCGTTATCATGGAAAACCGGACGCACCATATTTCAAATAATCACGATATGTGACAAGATGGAGATCCTGTTTCAGCGCATGATAGCCACTGTAGCCATTACTCAGTTTAGCAATGAATGGCCCTGGGTATTTACTTAAGGGATGGAGAATGGCTCGATAGCCGACGGCGAACAGGACCTGTCGGAATAAGATTTCTCAGCCACGGTTATTCATGTAAGAACGTTATTTGATCGTTGATTTACCAATGCTATCATGATACTAAAGCCGTACAGTGCCACCAAGGGCAACATGTCCAGGGCCCACATGATGTGAGAGGTTATATCCATGTTTATGAACGCGAATGAGTGTAGGTGGATTCAAAAGCAAAAAAAGCTAACGATAATGGACGACACACTTCTTAAACCGAGAAATGGAAAGGTCCATTAGGAGAGGGATTTAGGTTAAATAAGGCGCAGCCCGCCTCTACGCCGCCCTTGCATACGACCGTTTCCTCTCTCTGCTCATGATGACCCTGGGTGCCTAACAAAGATAACAACCCATCACTGAAGCGAAACTTTTCAATACCCCTGCAGGTTAATCGAATCGATCCAACAGGTGCCCAGAGTAATGGCCATGGCGTGGTATTTTTTCCCAGCAAGACGACCCCGCGCATCGTAGATGAGTACCCAGACAACCACCATGTGCGGGACACGGAGGGTAACTCTTTATAGGAGTCCAGGGCTAAACTCGAAGTTTATACGTTACGTTGGAAGTATTCCGTCCCGCGTCGGCATCAAGTTAATAATTCGAGTCTTCTCAGGTTATCGCGTTTATTTTGTCTTCCGCCCTCGGGTATGCGGCCTCGGTTGGCTTTTATTACATGTTACTAACAATACCACATCCTAAGTAAAAAAGGGAGTCTCGGTGCTTTCATATAAGCCCCACATATTACGAAGTCAAAGGATTGTAAGAGGCAGTTTACAATAACACTGCAACTTAGGCTTTGTCATTCTATACGCAAGGTAACACCAATATTCATTAACGAAATATTAAAATACCCAGGTAGGTAGCGATGACCAGGTCAAGAGAGAAGCTATAGTGATAAGTATAATCAAGAGCAACCAATTACAATTGCATTATATACCCTCTACCACCCGATACCATCTGGTGCTTAATTTATACCTGAATAGTCTCATCTGGTTACCAAGTGGTGGAAGGCTTGATTTTCGTCAAAGACCATAACAGCAATACGTATAACAGACAAAGAGATTGTTTTCAAACAATTGTCGGGCGATTTATAACAACCTCGTTCCGCTACAGTTGAAGAAGCATCGTGTAATGGTTCAGTGACGCTGATTATTTACGACAACATTGTTTTCAGGGTCTGGATACCCCTATAATTGGCCGAAGATGACAGGAGAAAAAGCATCATCGAACATGGAGACAAAAGTCATATACGGAAAACGTGGTAGTATCTTAGGAAAGATCCCAATCAAGATGAGCAACCAAACTGCTCGTCAAAACGATCGCCGAAGGAATGATAACAGACCAACTCAAACTAGACAGCCAGGCCTAAATCGCCAACTTACCGCGAGGAACTCTGAAGAACTGCTTGACGCTGTAGGGATCGCTTTACTTCAAGGTGTGGCGGAGGCAGACCAGTATGTCCATGCACAAGAACTCCATGAAAACGTGGAAGACGGCCTTCCGGGACTTAACTTCCAATTCGAACAAAGCGACTTGGTCGGAAAGTTTTTAGATACAGGCTTCCACGAAGAGGACACACATCGAAGGGTCATACCGGAGAATGAGTCGTTTTTCCCAAACCCTATGGTTACCTTCCTTGTTGACCAGCCCCAGAATCTCACTTGCCAGATTTGTCTGGACATGCCTGTCAAGTTGGCTTCCCGAGATCATGGAGGTACTGCAGATTTATCTGCGATCCTCCCATGTGGGCATGTAGGGTGCTACCACTGTCTGATAGCCTCACTTGAGCAGAATTCCTCTTGTCCATTCTGCAGGGAGAGACTAGTTTACGAAGATTGTCGCCATGAGGTCGAACCAATTCCACTTACCTATGGCAACATTATCTCGTTACCGAAGACTCTTTCCAAAGGGGGTGTCATCGGCAAGAACTGTCGGGCTTGTGACGAAGAAGTGGAATGTGAGAAGGCGGTCAAGAAAATGAGGACAGCAGCTACTTTCGTTTCTAATGCCTACCACCGCTTAGGATCATCCGCGGCCGGTTCAGATGGAGCTGGGTTGTTAGACGGCGTTGTTGACCTTTTTGAACGTGTCCCGAGGGAGCACGTCCTCAGAGCTAAAACTCGAGAGGAGTGGTAAGTCGGGAGCCTACTATCTGGCTGCGATAGTTCTGAGTGTGAACATTTCCTACATTCATTAATTCAGTGACGTTTACTTGTTTTGTTTAGTTTGGGGGACCACACACTTTTGAAATGTTTACTCTGGCAAGGGGCGTTTTATGTTTGCTGTTTACTGTTTAGAGCTAAATTGACCGCCTTAAAATAAAAATAAAAAAATTCAAAAAATGATAAACCCCAAGTATTTACATTTCCAGCTCATAAAAGTGACTTTTTAAAAAAAGAAAAGAACCGGTATGTTTCATCCTAGTAGTTTGAAGATGGTATATGCATCGTAGACATATGGGACCATGTACTGTGCTATGAACGTAATATGATAAATACCTAGGTAACTAGTGTAGAAATGCCTAGATTTGAGTAAAGAAATCGCATCATTAATTTGCGCATGTTTTGACGAATTTGTGGTCGTATCTCGTTCTCTATTATTAAGGTAGGAATTAGTTATCACATATTTGAAAATAGGGGCTTGTGATGGTCAGATTAAGGGTATCCAGGATTCAAGAAAATTGCCCAAAATGCCATCACTTCTAACGAATTGATAAAATAGGCTACTAAACCAGGTAAAACTGAATTTAGGTTCGTGTTTATTAGCCCCTTTACTACTATATGTCATGTGACTCAACTAAAGGAGCCGGGCGATAGTGTGACTCTATAAAGGCGGCAAGTGACGAGACCCCAACAATATCCACTCGCTTCCCTATGCTTCGCCAAGGTTACATCGCACTATTCAATAGTTCCCTGTCGACTCTGAAGTCTAAGACTGACCTATCCATACCTGTACTACGTGCGGTCGATCTTTCTCGTCATACACACCCAGGTGGTCCCGTTGGTGGATTATACGCTGTCATTGTACGGTATGGAGAAGTATGCAAATAGTGCTATAGCATCTCCTATTTCAATACCACCCATGTTTTCGTGGGTAGACTTGGGTCGTTCTTATCTCATCTCTACAAGCTACTAAGAAATGGTCCTGGTGGTCCGTAGAAATCGCAAAACAATCGCCTTAGGTACCTAAAGTATATATGGGGTAAAATAGAACCAAATAAGTAACTGGAAATTAAGTATTGTTAGGTTGTATGAATATAACTTCCATGTAAAGACACAATTAATGGTTCAGACTAGTTTACTCTCCAACTCTTCGTCACGTTTATAGCACTATACGGCTCAACTTTCTCCCCAAGCCTTGCCATCTCTAAAGCAGCATCACCGCTACTCCCAGAAATTGTTGAAGCCACCCGAGCATAGCTTCTTCCAGTCTGGCTCATCCATCCTATTTCCCTTTCCACGCTCGCACGACTCGCAAGCATCGCGTTCAACGGATACAGCTTATCAACCTGGTTTTGGAGCCGGACGCTCTCAACATCATCCTCGATTGACATGTTCCGGGGCCTAAAATTAGTAGAGTCGAGTTTGATGGAATTGCGAGTAGGTCTACGGTCTTTGGTGGAGAAATTGCTGAATACCCCCTTTATCCCCCCATTGTTAGAACCAAAGGATGACTTTACTCTTCCCTTGAAAGCTGACAACAATGGCGGTAAAGTGGGAAGACATGCGCAGACAATGGATAAATTGGCTTCCAATGCACCGAGAATACAGGCAATGGCGCCGTACTCGGTGAAATGCGCAGTCATCCATGTCTGATTGGTGTTATATGCAAGACGAGTGATGGAAATGACACAGATGCTGTTTCACTCGTTAGCTTGGTTCTTCTAAACAAGGAACCAGAAACTCACAAAATGCCCATGGTAAAAATAGAAGTTAAGGCGACTTTTTTGCTCGTTTTAAGCGAGAGGTTCCACACTACGGGCATCGGAAGGAAAAGGATCAGACAATCTAGAGTAACGCCGATTCCCGCCTGTGCGATGAAGAAATGGGATGTGTTAATACATGTATAATTAGGATAAGAAATCTTATCCCAATTTGCTTCGAACGGCTGGCAGCCGGCCAGCGAGACGATGGTGAAGCTCAATCCATAACCCGCGGAAAGAGCCATTAGGATATAGGCCGAAATGCGGAAGCCATCCTGGGTTGCAAATACAGAAAGAAGAAAATCAAGGATAGAAATCTTGACGAATGCCACTGCGAGCGATCCGCATACATCAACAACCAAAAATTGCTAGTGTATTAGTTATTAGCGTGCTTATAAAAGGGGGGATTAGGGGCGGGTCAGTCACACTGACTTACCTTGGTTGAAAATAGCAACTCTTCTGGAGCGACATTCACCATCTTCTGACCAACTCCTCCGCGCGTAACACAATAATTCTCGCTTATAACGAGACCAACTGAAAATAACTTGAGGCATAATTAGTCGTGTATCTGGAACTATTACAACACGTCACTTACCCATGAGGCGATGATCATATAATCAGACAACCTCAACTGGAGTTTCCGAATAGAACGGGCCCAAAATCTCAAAGCGACAGAGATAGAAGAGAGTGCTAGGCCACAACTGTTAACCGCGAGTACTGCGGTAGCCAATTGCATATCCGTAGAGTATGGAGCCATATTCGCAATGATCTGAGTATTCTCAGGAGCGAGAAGACAAAAAAGTAAAAGAGTCTTCAACTCCGTCGGGGGCTAGGATCGAGTCTTCAGAAATACTAGACGCGGTTCGGGATTATTCAGTAGGCGCACCGTGACTATCGGCTCCGGTTTAGGGCTGACCTTCACGCCGCATGCAACGGGCCGCCATATAAATATGGGGCGGGGAGAGTGCCGACGCTCCTACTGCAACGGCGCGATGTTATCGGCATCTTGGGTCGCAAGAAAGGAGCCAATAATATCGCAAATGGAAAAGATCTACTAGATCTACCTATACTCGGCATTGAGACTGCAAGCTCATATCGATTATGAACTTGTTTCGGTTCCGTAGGAAACGATGTAGTATCGAGCCTACATATTCACAATCCTTCCACGCAACGTATAACGTGAATGAGATAATTCATTAGCCGCTGTCGCCCCTCGGACGCGCAGTTTCTGCGCGTAGGCGATCTTTTCCCGCGTCTACCCCTTTTCACTGTCAATATTTGAGTTGTATTCTGAGACCATCGCGTCTACGTCGCAGAGCATCTTTCCCGCTGCAGAGTTTCAGCGTTACATGACATGATATGAACATGCAGTTTGACGCTTCTGTGATGAAGAATTACAGTAAGCAGGTCGTTGGAGATATTTGTTTCACGACCTATTTGCGTGCGATGATTTCCCAGCCCGAGAATCCAATTCTCCAAAGTTACACTCTTAATTATGCTCATTTCTAGTCTTGAAAGATGGAACAAGAAGCATACATTCTCGGGCGTGGATTCTCAGCCAATGCTAGGTTCGATCCCTCATCACATCTCCAAATGCGGATCTGATATGTAATCTAACCTGGCGAGTAGGTTGAATCTGCAATATTTCCTTTGGAAAGATGGAGGATTCTCTCTGCATCCTAGCATACCAACTGATTGTGATAACTTACGCGTGGCAGAGATAGGTGTTGGAACTGGGTACTTTTCCCTTCTTGCGTGATCCTCCCGATGGCTGTGCTGATACCGGCCGTGAAGGATCTGGCTGGTGGATCTTGCGCGACATCTACCTCCATCTGCTCAAATCGATGGTTTTGATGTCGACTTATCACAGTGTCCACCAAAGGAATGGCTACCATCCAATGTGTCCGTGCACAGGGTCGATTGTCTAGCCCTCTTTCCCGAGAACTTGCTTGAGCAATATGACATCGTTCACATTCAGCTTTTTCACTTGGCAGTACACAATAATGACCCGGTGCCTATCATACGCAACCTAATTAAGCTTCTGAGTAAGTTTTTAATCTGACTTGTATTCGCACGTGGTGATGCTTACTAGCGGCTAGAACCTGGAGGGTGGATCTCGTGGGGCGAGATGGACTACAGCAGTTGGAAGATTATGCGAACGGAAGACGGGAGGGACGTCGAGGATAATTTAACTCCACTCCTAGAAATAATAGGCACGTTGGGGGGGACAAGATCCAACTGGACCACTGACGAGTGAGTGTTGCTCATAAGCGAGATGTTGGTACGGGAATAGGCTGATGCCGTGAGCTAATTCCGTCGCAGTTGGCCGATTAAGTTGCCGAAATTTTTTGAGGAATATGGGCTCACAAATGTTGCAAAGGATAATAGGCCGTTTCCGTTGGACCTGTTGGTTTTTCAATTGGATACTGCGTTAATGGCATCCGAAGAAGTAAGCTACAAGGCCTTGGATCCTATGCGAAATGGCTCTGGCGATACGTGTCGGGGTGTGATCTCCAAGGTCTTTCGGGATAGGCAGAAACTTGCTTATAACGTAGGCCGATTGACTGTTATCGGACAACGACCATTCCAACGAAAGGACTAACTGAGAGAAATGATGGGGGGAAGAATGGGAATATCAATGAATTTTTCATATTCGCCAAGTATAATAAACAGTTATGAAGTCAATCTATCCAACGCCGGGTACCCAAATACCTAATAATACAAGAAATACATATCTCCTAAACTATAGTTGTCCAATCCGAGTGAGCGCTTCAGCCGTGTACTCAGGCATACTCAAAAAGGGAGAGTGGCCAGCTTCGATCTTCAGGATCACATCAATCTTATGAGGTCCACTTGACTTCGCAGTATCAATAAGGTATTGCGCCGCGGCGACGGTTGTTGGTCGGTCTCCTGCGCATAGAATGTATGCGGTCGGGATGTAGCGCCAAGCAGCGTAGGTAGTAGTACTCCAATAGGATGCGATACTTTGCGGGCGCAAATTCTTCGAGAGCTCAGCGACGGTATTATCATCTAGATCTTGATAAAACATATCCTTCGCATCTTCGGGTTGGACGTTGATGGTGCCGGCCTACAATAACATTCATGTTAGAAGACACTGAATGAATACAAGAAAAGGGTACGGTAAATCGCGGAGTTAGCTTACAGTAAAATCTGTCTTCATTTCAGGAATCATGTTATTCCGGGTGCCGTGTGGAGAGTGCTGGAAACCCTCTGGAACGAGAAAAGCATTGATGTAGATCAATCTTACGACTCCGCCCTTCAATCCTTTAGACTCGCATGCCCGCTTATCCAGGCCTTCTAAGGCCGTGCCAGCAGTCATGCCACTGAAGCTATGCGCGACGACAATCACGTTGTGATTCTCTTGAATAAGTTCCAAGACGGTCTTCCGGATTGTTTTGACATCTCCGGACCAGTCTGGTGTCGGCGGGGTGGAACCGGTCGAAGGGAGTGCGGGCGCGACGGCCGAGTAACCTTGCCTGTTTAGTGCGGCGATAACATGATCCCAGCACGTAGGACTATGCCACGCGCCGTGGAGAAGAACAAAGACTGGCTTAGACATATTCGCTGATGTGAAAATCGTGTATATCAAAGGATGTTGTGGAGTGATTTCTTGGCGATTTCCATCTGATGATGATGCTGGCGTGGCCGTATTTAAGAACGATTTATGGTGCTATCATCTATCACCGAAGAGGGCATTTATTACACAGAGAGACTTGCGCCGCATCGGAGCAGGATGTCCTCACTCACAAGGCATCCGGCGACGAGATATACGCACCCCATGATGCATTTGCTCCGGGACACGCCCTTTCCGGGACTCCTGTTGCTTCTGTTGGAAACTTACGGCGTATCTTGGTGTGCATGTATTCTTTTGATGAATGCCCACGCACAATCGCACCAAACTGGTGCGAATACCCATTATCATTAACCCTCCGAAAGGAGCAATTAGGTACAGCTGAACCGCGGCCTGTGTGATACGGATCCTAACAGCGTATTCTCTGCTTACGTCGTTGGGTTTGTACGACGTTCGACAATCTAAGCGATTGGCTGACTTGGCCCCCAGCCACCTATTTTAAAACCAACCCTACCTTTTCCCCAAAGGCGATTAATCCTTATTTTTCGGTTCTCTACCTCTATTAGACAACAATGCGCCGGGGAATTATGACCTAGGTGATGAATTACGTCTGCCCTACCAACGCGCGGTCGTAACGGCGATGAATGGTAAGCCGTTATTGTATCCGCGTGCCACGGACAGTAGGCTGTGTTTTTCGATGTAAATGAAGCGATGTAATTTCCTGTTTGAGACATGTGGCAATTAATAGAATATGTTGGGATGCGTTTTCTCCTGCCCACTTCACGTTGGACCAGAACCTCCGAATGATTCACTTTTACAAGATTATCAATAGAAGTCTATTAATGAGGGTAGCAACAAATAACTCGAAGGATTCAATTGCAAGTATTCCAAGATTTTTGCCTTGAGAAGTCCTGAACTCCGGAACCGAGAGGACAATAATCGACAATATCATGACCAAATCAAAAAAGCAAAACGACCTCAAAGTGTTTATGCAGGCGATCGAGCACGGTTTAGGCCGCTCTGAAACAAATTACTGCTGTTTACTGCAGTGTAACCCACCGCCTGCGACCCGGGGACGGCAGTCATTTCAATAATGCTACAGCATCACACACAGGCGGTTCCAGCGCAGTGTTGCAGTGGTTCCTGGTCTTCCATATGATTTAAAAATGTCATCATTTTGTAAGCTAGCTCTCTGCATGCCTTTCAAAGCTGTATTCGGAATGATGCTTGATTGACGTTTCTGTATTCCACAGTTGAGTGTTTGTATCTTGGAGTTTCTAGTCCCCAAAACTGGGTATTTAGGGGTAGAGAATTAGACAATGTCCGTTATTATTATAGAAAGGCGAACTTGCGATAACCCTGGGGTTGCTCTCCAGTCGTCTTGTCTATAACTTGGTAAACGTCTGACATAGGTTTCGATCATGTTGTTATTATCATCTTCATACCTTAGCCTAACGGCAGTCATATTAGGTGTCGCATCTCATCTTGCTATCTTCATCAGAGGAGAATGGCATATGCTAGCACCTACCCTCGTTAAAATATACTCTGTTCTTGTATTTATCATATTCTCTACGCTGTCCTATGTTAGCGCAGATACCGCTTATGGTCGTAGGGCAACTGCCTTAGTGGTAGCTTCGTACGCCACCGGACTTTTCACCAGTATCATTCTCTATCGGAAATATTTCCACAGGCTGCGCAATTTTCCTGGTCCCACTGCCGCTGGAATCACTAAACTCTGGCATGTGTGGCAGTGTCGAACCGGGAAGAATTATCTCGTCATTGAGAAGCTGCGTGGAAAGTACGGACCCGTGATTCGGACCGGCCCGGAGGAATTGACGATAATCGACGCTTCTGTTCCTTCGGCCGTTGACGGCCCCAAAAATAATTGCACTAAAGCTGTATGGTATGACTTTTTGCTTCCCGAGATTGCCTTGAACACAACTCGGAGCATTAAAGATCATGACATTCGGCGAGGTATATGGAACAAAGGCTTTAGCAATAAAGCACTTGCTATCTACGAAGAACGTGTCGTGGAGTACGCAGAGATGCTCGCATCACAGATCGAGAGGCTCGCTCGAGAAGGTACCACAGTTAACGTATCGGATTGGTTTTACTGGTTCACCTTCGACGTTATGGGCGAATTCGCCTTCGCGCGATCATTCGGAATGCTCCAAGATGAGAAGTGGCATTTCGCAGTGCGATTATTGAGGAAAGCTATGGGCTTGCTCGGTCCATTCAGCCCAGTGCCATGGATCGCGCAAATAGCATTCTACACCACACCCTGGATGTTTGTTGTTCGAGACTGGCTAGCTATGATGCAATGGTGTAGGGACCGCATGAGCGACAGAATACAGGTTAGCTACTCATATTTCTTGACTTAAAAGCCTTGATCGTCTAAACATATAATAGGCAAAAGTAGCGAGGCCCGATGTATCGCATTGGCTCATAGATGCATCTATTCAGAAGGGTTCCTTGGACGCTGATCGTGAATGGCTAAATGGTGATGCTGTTACTATTATTATTGCCGGAAGGTGAGTTTCTCGTGCGTACGGCCATATAATCATGCAACCCTCTGATTATAGGTAGTGATACTATTGCGCCGACCCTAGTCTTCGCTTTCTATGAGCTGGCTCGCAGCTCGTGGCAACAAGACGAATTACTCTCTGAGCTCAAAGATATAAATATCTATGATCGCGTACAGCTCCAAGGCTGCGCTCATTTAACTGCTATTATAAATGAGACGCTACGGTTGTATCCTCCCGTACCTACTGGTGGTTATCGTCAATCCCCACCATCTGGGATAACCATCAACGACGTGTACATTCCTGGAAATGTTACTATCGCCTCGCCCCGATATTCACTTGCGCGATTGGAATCATCTTATGAAAGTGCTGACCAATTCGTACCTGAGCGCTGGACAACACGACCGGAGATGATCAAAGATGCTCGGGGATTTGCGCCGTTTTCCCAGGGTCGCTTCAATTGCGTTGGTAAATCTCTCGCGATGAGTGAGATGCGATTCGTTATCGCTTTATTAGTGAAAAGGTTCAAGGTTGAATTTGCAGGGGGCGATAGGGGTGAGAAATTGTTCGCTGACTTGAGAGACCAATTCACAGCCGCACCAGGTCGGTTAGATTTACGGTTCCGAGTCCGAGAGTGAAGATCTTCCAACTATTTTTTCATGAAGTCTGGTCAGGCAATCTGCTTGGTTATTCGGGAATATGTCATTTAATGGCTTGTGTTACTTAGCACATGCTTCTGTCAACTTTTCGTTCTCAATTCTCCTAGCCAACCAATTCTCATATATGCTATCGGAAATAACAAATTAATGGATATTACTATTGCAACGGGATGAGACCCAAATCCTCTCTCCCCGCATTAGCTATCCAACCAATGAACTGGTGTACCTAGTTCAACTTAAATTGAACATTCATGATCCAAGTGGGTTCATAAATCCTGAGGCTATTCCCACCCCGCTTTTCTATTCTACCCCACAATCCAATGGTGGATCAATTTGAAGCTTTAAACGCACCAACTGCTGAACTTATAGTGGGGTTTTGCGCCATAGGCAATTTATTTAGTTAACTCAACCATTATATTTTTAGGGACATTTAGCGTATCGTTCGATATTTGGTAGACCTGGTGAATACATTTGGACAAGACCATAACTTAGCCGCCGCTACGTTTGGCTAGACGGGCTAGAGGAACTTTGTAAGTACTGTGCGAGATAATCCTCAAAACCAATTATATTTCTAACGTGTACGGATCGCTGTTATATTCGCTACTTCAACATGCCTGATGTCTTCAGCCACTAAGACTTGTTCTTGACACTCCGACTAACTGGCGCCGTCCCCTGTCTCTGGGTATATAATAGATATCCAAAAACAACCGCGGCCAAGGTACCTAAGATAAAGAAATTGTCTATTTCGTGTCAGTACAGGCGATTCAGAACTCGGGAAAATCGTCTTAGGTGACTTACGGATTGCGAAACCAAGGGTTCCCTCAACGAAGTGGACAAAGGCCTGGAATACGCCAATGATTGAGTTGACGATCCATTGGAAGAAGTTGATGACGGTCGCTAATAGGCCTTGAATTACTTCGACGATTGATTGGAAGACATGACCGACTCCCGATGCAATACCCATGATGACTGCTGATATTTTTTTAATCGCTGAATACGTTGTTTTGTTTTTTGCGTTGTAAGAATTCCAAAGTACTTGGTTAGCTTAGATTAGGGGCACGACGTGAGCTTTTGTATTCAATTATTTTCATACTAGAACCGCCACACAACAAGCTACGTCAGCGACACCAAACGAAATCGTACCAAATTCCCGGAATTGCAAGAATAAAGAAACCAACTTCAATGGCTTAGATCGTAATTGTTAGCACTTGTGACGCTTCCTTTCGCCAAGTTTCACGTAGACAAATTGAAGTCATGACGTCACCCTTCCCCATCGGGAAAAAGAGTCAAATCCACGCTTTCTCATTGGTCAAATTCAATAACTTAGCTACGCCATATAAATAACACAGGGTCCCTCCTGGTACTATGTATCTCGCTATATCTATAAGTCCTATACAGAACCAACGACTACCTATGGTAGAATACCGAAATTACTCTACAAGAGAAGCCAATGCCAAAGATATGGCCAAATAATAAGTCATCATAACGAGACAAATAGAATTGTCCACTCATTCAAAATTCATTCTTATAATAGTCGTAGCACTGACCACAGTCTCGTAGAGGGACATTAAATCAGATACTACTCTCGCGGAGAATAACTTCGTCGCATAAAACCTGAGAACTATGCAGGCTATGTAAATACTGAGATCTACAAGGAGCGCCCAAACAGTATAATTCCATCGCGCCGCGTCTGAGATATCCTATCGCATTCTAACTGGATATCTAATCCTCAAATGCCATGTATTCTCCATACGGCATCCTTGAGAACCTTGACAACTGTAATTCAAAGGTTTTGAGGTATACTCATACATATCAACTACCGGACTCGAGTGAGAGGTGAACGTCAAATATATTCAACCTCATTCGTCATGGATGCAAACAGTGGAGAAGGAATTTTTCAAAAGATAAAATCCCGAGTTTTCAAAAAAGAGTCTAGAGCGCCAATATGGGAGACAAGAGCACTTTGATGACATTGCGATTCGGTGCTCATGATCAATATATCGTGATGGTATATGGTTTTGGTGGGGAGTATGTAAGCTTTAAGATATACCGTTTCATTCATAAATCACAAGTTAATTCGCCCACCGACCGTCAGAAGTAGCTATAAGCAGCTCATGCAATCAATTTTTCAGTTCGCATGATATTTCCAGACCGCTTTTCTTCAACATAACCTTTCCGCATATACATATGCGCCTTTGGCGGTATACGCCCTTGTCCTCCAGAGCCCAAACTCCGAACAGTTAGAAGCTTACAAGGTATGTATATGCGAACTACCCTTGTCTAGGCGATTGTTGCAATTGAGCCTGAATATCAACACCATCACAGTTTTCATGTGGGTCGTCCCTGTTGCTATGATTTGTCTCCTGTAATATGAAGTATGCAGCATGTTGAACTATCTACCAACATCCTATTACTTCCCCAGGCCAAGCCGCCGTTCACGGCTCGGACCGCCGGGGTAGATAAGTACATATAAATCAAGACGCAAGTTCTCATTCGAATTTTACTATTCTTCTCTATACCTTCTTCCAAAGACTTCTAAGAAATAACCGAAATCATACCATCTTAATCATGCCTTTTACAATAATCGTTACTGTCAAGCGCAAGGCCGGTACTACACCGCAGCAATTCCGCGACCATTATAACAACGGCCATGTCCCCCTAGTAAAGAGACTCACCGGCTCAACATGGCCCAAGCACACACGACAGTTCGTCATTCGAAATGAAACGAAACCAGCAAACCCCGACGCAGACAAGACCTCTAATGAGGTATGGCAGTCTGAAGTACTAAGGGGCAGTCCTTCCAATGTTGACTTCGACTGCTTGACAACTATGGTATGGGAAGACAGAGCTGCGTGGGATCGCTTCTTGCAGAAGTTCTACGAACACTCCGAGGAGATCCTCGCAGACGAATTAAGCTTCGCTGAGCCATTTGAGATCATCTGTGTCGAGGAACCTGTAACTACTGATCGCGACTAAGCGGCTTCGACGAATCTCGCTTGGATAGGGGTTAAGGGATACTGTACTGTGTCCTCGGGCTGGATGGAGGGCTGGGTTTCTATTTACTTAATGTATCACGAATATCTCGATGGCGAGAATCGCCACCTCATGAATGAAATGTTCAAGAACACACAGGAAATTTTCATAATTTTACGCTAGGAAAGGTCTACGCAACTTGGTGGCACGTACATCCCGATGTATCGTTTATTGGTGGGTGGTACGGCAACTGTACAGGGATAATTTGTGCATTTCTGCTCAAAAATGGACATGATTCATCGATGAGTTTCCCAAATTGCGGTCAACTCCCAGGGGAAGCAGGAAAGACGAAGCTTCTTGGCGTGGGCTATCGACTTATGCTATCTCGATGGCCAACCACATGAACTCATGAGTCCAACATTATTGCATACCTACCTACGTAGGTGGGTAGTTTACATAGTATATGAATATATGGCATCTAGGTTCTCGCTTTACTCGTTTTTTATGTACATCATACCACATCGAATTCATTATAGTTCGTAAGCCCCTTTCCCTTTCCCTTTCCAACGCCGAGACCAATTATACCGCATCTAGATTTCAATGTGATGGAACTAGATTGAAATCGTCCACTATAATCTCCACAGGGCCACCTACACAACTTATAAGCGCCGTGAACTCCATACGAAAGATCGACGTATCCGACCCATCCCCATCTTCCAAACCCTGGGCAGGAATGTCAAACGGTCCCATACTAGAGTTGGAGTTTACTTTAGGGAAATTGTAACCGATAGACCAGTCCTGGCTGCCAAACGTATACTTGAATTGGCAGGTACCGCCCCCTGACAATAGACCCAAGGTAAAGGATAAGTCGTATGCCTGTCGAGGACAAAGGTTTACTTCCGTTTTCAAGTCCAAGCTGACATCTCCAGGCATGTTAAGCATATTAATATACGCCGTTTGACCACTGAAGTCGACGTATCCACCACAGCCAGGTATCTCGCAGGTTCTCCATCCCTCTCCGCCGTTGGAGAAGTCGCCGTTCGGGAAGGCCTGTAATGGTGCACATTTGTCTGTGGGAGGATCGGTGCATTGGCCGTCAAGACAGTATCCTGTGCTACACTTATTACCACAAGTGCCGCAGTTATTCGGATTAGTCTGGAGGGAGATGCATTGGCCGTCGCATTCATCAGCAGGACATGTACAGTTGCCGGAGTTACTATAGCCTCAATTAGTATCGCTAAAAGGTTGAGAGGTACTGTTTAACATACCATATCGCTTTTGAAGGGCACTCTTTTCCGCATGCACCGCAATTTCTCACATCCGATCCGAACATAGAAATGCACTTATTATCTCTATCTGCTCGACCGCATAAGCCCGCTGACTCGGGACAGTAACATCCACACCGGTCGTGAGTAGAAGAGATAAAGGCTTGGCGGCCGGGCTCTTGACTAACAACCCAAGCGTAGAAATCGGCGATGTTTAAGCATATAACGTAAACCTGTAGAAAATTAGTTAATTATCCTATCAGGTAAGGGTGAAACTAGACTTACCAAGTAAGAATACCAATGATTAAAGTACTCGCAACCAGGCCCTCGCATGCATTTATGAAACTTATTGTTACATGATTCCCACGAATCCTCACAGTTGTCGTAGCAATTATCATGGTCATTACAACAGTCACCAAATGTGAGATCCGGTATCAGGTGAATGGTACTAGGTGTTCCGCATCCGTTGGGTTCAAGTGGACGGGCGCCGGGAAAGACCCTTGACACAAGACCGGGCGGATTGTTTGGGCAGCGAGGAGCCGCACCTTCGGTATATTGGCTTCGCCTAGAACTTCCCCTGTTCTTGGGGCGCATCTTTAATGGGTATGCGACCATAGACCGATTTGATGCGTCTAAGCCGGCCGTAAATGCCGTTGAACCACCGCCAGCAGATACGTCCCATGTGTACCGCGACCCATCTTGTGTCACGGTAATGCGGCCTTTACAATCCACCCCGAATATGCTCGTGATGATATCTTGACCGTTTCGGTTTACCGGCGTTGTTCCGGTGGAGGCATCGGTCAGCACGACAGCACCCTCAGCAGTCTTAGCCACATATTGGGGGGTAGCACCCGTAAGCACAATGTCGTAGATCTCACCCTCGGCATTTTCAGGCTTCTGGAAGAAAAATTCGGGTAGCGCATATTCCCATGGTGGTCCCATGGCATTGGCTTCGGCTTCCGATGTTGGTGCGGGGAGAGGTCGCAACGTGTTGCCGTCTTGGTTAATGAGAGGTATGAAGTTAGATCCGAGGATGTTGAACTTTTCTTCGGGCTTGCTAGGATCTAGAATGCACGTCGAATCGTAGAAGTCGGCTGCATGGACACTCCGTGCCTTCTGTGAATCCCGAGCTACCACCGTCAGGAGAGGCTCATCTGCATACTTCTGCGTAGTAGCAGGAGTTTTATCGTCTAGTAGAAAACTAGCCTCCACCAAAGGAGAAAAACTACTATTGGTGATTAGAACACTTGGCGTCATGAAAATGCTTCTAGCGTCGTTTGCGATAGATGTTTTATTCAAAACAAATTTCTCGGCGTCGCTGTACTTGGATGAATGGCAGCCCTTATCAAAAAACTCAATAGGGCTCAGAGAAGCAGTTGTCGTTATTTTTTCCCTATTCAAATCAGCTGCATCCTTTGTTCTTGTAGTTATCGAGAACACCTACACTGCTTCTTTAAAGTGTAGACACAGGCCTTCGCCTATCGCATAACTGGCGCATTTCTCATCGCTACTGCAATGCGCACCACATGACGATGCAAGACTGAGGCTCGATTCCGGAGTTTTGAAATACGGGATCGAAGAGAAGACCGCATTGGTGCTGCATATATCAGCTGCCCATGAAGGTGCGAAAAGGAAATAAATGAGTAATAAAATCTGGAAGCGGCCCATGGTTTAATGTAATGATTTTAATATGACTTCAGGTTATTATCTATGAGTAGAGTAGTTGATATATCAATGGGAAGGATATTGAGCGCGTTATTTTGAGGATGTCAGGTTCCTAATGATACTGCCATCGGGTCCCTAGGATCAATATCATTACATTGAACGCCATGACTTGGATAGGAATAAACCATTTTATAGAGTTCGTTGTCATGGATTTATATCTCGATAGTTTGTTGACTTAATTTAAAGTTAACAGTGGTTCTATAGCAGTAAAACTACTAGTAGCTGTAGTAAATAGCTATTGAATTTTAAGTCATCTAATATTGGGGTTTTATAGTTTCGACTTATGCCAGTGGCACTAGGTTAATAAGCTATTCCGTCGAATGCTACCGATCTTATATTTTTTTTCTACGCGCGAGAAATCGCCGAGGAATCACTAGCTGGATTTCATTGATCCGCATGTGATCTAAAACTTAAAAAGTGATTTAAATATTCGCTAGATGGTGCTCCTGAGGCAAGGCCTACGAAAAGAAATCCCCCTTGAAAGCTGCCTTAGGCATTTGCACAAGAGCCGCTTCGTCGACAGTCAGCTACATAAAGCGGAAAGTCCCGGCGGGTCTCTTATATGATTTCTCTAGGAACTGAATGGAGTACCTGATTATCTAATGTCTTTTATCCATAGTTTAGCATCATTCCAAGAGATAGGGGTAGTTGCTTACGTAATTGTGCCATAGTGATATGTTGTATATAAGTTATATATTCTATTTAAATTTAAGACGACGCCTATTCATTCTCTTGGTGATGCCAGCTTTGGTCTTCTTAGTATGTCTTTTCTAAGACCTAGCATTGAAAGAGTCAATTCATGCTCGTCGGACCTGTTATAGTAAAATAGGGGTAGAACCAGGGGTAGGTGCTTACGTAATGAGCTCGCCGTTTGGCATCTCTGGGGAACTTCATTGTGAATAGCATATAACGATTCATCGAGCGATTTTGATATTATAAAGGCCCATATAAGCCCAATCGGGTTATCAAGGAAATATAAGAGCCTTAGGAAATATTCAGTTTTTTGGGTTCACGGAGTTGTTCATGGAAGTGTCAACTCATAACTGAGAGGCGGATTATATAATTATTGAATTCCATAATGAGAAGATCAATTATGTAATCATATTTGCAATTAATCATACTGCTTGCCTAATACAACTCTTACATAAGACGCTAATGTAATCTTTCTTGGACAGACTAGGTTTGCTGACATAATTGATGAAGCACCTGCTTAGTCACCATTCACCCCACGGCTAAAACTCATCAATGTTCCGTCTCGCCGTCCTAGATAGCTTACCTAAGATTCTCAACACTAACAACTACTGTTAACCAACCTCGTCTATTTCTGGATACAGCATCTCTAAACTACAATTATGCCTCCTATACCCAGTGTTGAGGATAGTTCGGCCGAGAATAGTGCCTCTTTTGATATTGTTCAGCACGGCCATAAGGATTTAGTTCAAGCGATCGCCTTCAATGCGTACGGTGACAGATGTGCCACAGGTAGTGTCGACGGCAAAATCCGTGTTTTCAACCGACATCAAGATGGTATCTGGAGATTATGCGACAATTGGAAGGCTCATGCGGGCGAAATATTAGAGGTTTGTTGTCATCCCGGCTTTCGCCCCCGCTGACGCGTCAACTTCTCACGCGTAGCCGAGGACCCATTCTAATCAAATGCTGTTAGCTCCAATGGCTCCCCCCTACTATATATCCTAACCTATTGGCTTCCCTTGGTATTGAGGGACGCTTTAGACTATGGGCTGAGGACCCCTCTGCTGCTCCGGGAAGGCGCTTCAGCTCGAGAGATGGTAATGGAAAAAATGTTTCCGAGCTTAGGTCCAGCCGACACCCTTATAGGTCTTTCTCGGTCAAACACGATGAGGTAACGCGATACACTTACGTCGCGCTTCTCGCATCCGATGGACATCTCTCGGTGCTTGAAGGCGAGGAGCATCAGGCCTTACAAGATTACGGTAGAGTCGATGACTTTCAAACCTGCACCAAACCGAACCGGGGCGAAGAAACCTGCTTTAAGGTCCGCTTCGACCCGAATCCTGAGCCCTGCTATACTGCTTTAAGAGCCGGTGTACCGCCGGACGCGCTTAGCTTGGTAGTTTCCGGTTTGACGATGGTCAAGATTTACAGGACACGCGATTCTTCTGCAAGTTCGTTTGGTGCTGAGACTCGAACCCGGGAGTTCTACCTAGCTACCGAGATCACGGACCATAATCACTTAGTACGTGATGTTGCTTGGGCCCCTGGAAACTATAGAGGCTACGACATGATTGCTACAGCCTGCCAGGACGGCTTAGTAAGAGTGTTCCGAATCGACACACCCTTTTCTAATGACGACGGTAAATCTTGGTCTCTAACAGACGTCATGGGTCACGCAAGAGCCGATGAACACCCTACATCTAGGCATACCCAGCCCCGCCGATCGTCGCAAGTTCCTTCTGGCATAAGAGCCGAGATCGATAAGTCAGGGACGCATGGGGAACGTACCTCAACCGACTTACCGGGACAGATCTACCATACCGTTAAGCTACTGTCGAAACTCGGTGCTCATCAGTCACCCGTCTGGAGGGTGGACTTCGATGATGATGGCCAAATCCTAGGAAGTGTCGGCGACGAAGGAAAGTTAATGTGTTATCGTCAAATGCCCGACGGCTCATGGGCGAAGAGCTCGGAGTTGGGGATGATGAAAGCTAGGATGGCTGCGCCGCCCACCAATTTTAGTTGAGGGGTTATGAGGGAAGTGGGGGTCCTGGGATTTATGATTCGACCCAATAAAATCATGATACCCGTTTAAAATAGGTTATGGGAGGACAATTATACGAAACGACATTGCTATACACATCTTTCATCACATCGCACTCTCGCATAAGGCCTCCTGGGCGATGGTAGGTGTAATTGGGCCGGCCCCGCGGGGTCGCTTCTAATGTTGCCCCACCGAACACGTCGTATGTCCTATTTCCTATGACCGGCACCGCTTGCGCCAAATGTCTTACTTAATAGGCGTGAAAACGATCCAATTCTTCCCAAAAGCCTGGCGGCAGTGTAGGATAGCGATTACCAACCCGAAGCTCGCATCCAGATATCAACAATCTTTGTTGCCCCGCCCGGCTGACTAGAATCTACCACGAAATACCAGTCATACATTGCTCCTGTGATGCAAGCGTGATTCGGATATATCCGAACGTTTTGACCGACCTCAAGTGGAATAGGGGACAAGCTTTGCGACGCCACTTCATTCTTACTAATATCCCAAGACACAATTGAATGCTCTTGGCTGATTCTTTTAATGATAAGTCTTCGTTCGAGATCGCTATTTTCTAGCGTCGGCATCGAGCCGACGATTCCCCACCCATCGTAGGAGGGGCATGGTTCCCTCCCTAAGCCCAACACCCCAACCGCAACTAGGACCTCCGGATACTGTCGTTCGCCGTCGTTATAGACGCTTACTACCTCAGCAGCAACTGAAATTGCGATTTCGTCCTCGAATCTGCCTATGGTGCTCCTGGAATTAGTAGCAAGTTGTTGAAGGTCTAGGATAGAGTAAACGCCAGCATGGAGTTCGAGCGAAACGTCGATTCCCCCATATTCTCTTGATGAAATATCCCCGATAGTGCGGACCAAGGTTTCGGTAGCTCCTTTTTCTAGACCGACATCTTCTGCGAAGTTCTGGATAGAAGTGACTTGAGGTGAAGCTCCGACGCTGATTGTGAGCTCAAAGGGCGAGCTGGGAAAGTATTGGTGATTGTGTCGCACCGCACCTACACACCCTCGAATTTCTCCCGCTAGGTTATCCATGGCTTGCTGAGGGGTTGTGTCTTGGTAACTTAGGCTGCTATGAGAGTATAACCCCACTAGTAAAGCTTTATCCTCAAGGTGGAGCTGAGTAATAGCTTCGAGAAGGCCATTCTTATTCAGAGAATCAGGCGGAAGACCCGCTCGATGATAGCCAGTGTCTACCTTCAGGAATACCCCACCCGGAAACCCCGCCAACTCATAGAAACGACGAAGTGGGCCGAGCTGTGATGGATGGTCTATCAAGAATGAAATGCCGCCGGGGCCTAGTTGACGTGCGATTGGAGCGACTCGATCGATCTGTGAAGGCGGCAATGGTAATCCATATAATACATTGACCTGGCGGCCATCCGCTCGGAGGCCTTTCAATAGCGGCAGGACATGTTCGATCTCAGCCACAGTTGATACCACGATTTTCACGTTATCAGTCTCATCGCCGATTTGGAGTTTCGTGAGCTCGGCTGTCTATTACGGGTATAAGTTATCTTTTGAGACCCCAAGAACCATTTCTTAATCACACGGCAACTGGGGATCACTAACCTTGTGTGTTTTTATATGGGGTCTAAAAGCAACACCTAGCGCCTTTGTCGCGGCCAGCATCGAGGAGCAATGACGACGCGCTTTTGCGATGTCCAAGATTATGGATGGCTTGGGGACGTTTTCGACATCTTTCCCGACGTATAGTTGTTCAAGTTTTGCCTTCTTGGCTGCAAGCTGTTCGAGTCCATCCATGGCCGACTTCCAAAATTCCCTAGGTGTTTATTCTTCGTTTCGTACGCTCCGATATAGCTCCAATGCACAATTCGCCACTCGTCGTTTTGAATTGTGTCTTAAGAAATTTATTCCCGACTACGCCTAGCTTTTATGTACCTAATCACATTTAACAGGAATCCTTCTCCGAGTTAGTTCCTAGTAGTACCCTTTTACTAGGGAAAGACAGCCGATGTTGGAAGAGGGTGTCCGAAGTGGATCCCGAATAGGGCTCGGTAAGGACCCATCTTACCGGCGCTCCCGCTCACCTTATGTGGTATAGCGCTATGCCCACAGTGGGGAAGCCACTAACGATGCAACCGTCATCTGTATCCCCTTTTCCCACGCCACGTCCCCTAGCAATCAACGGCATCGCAATTCTCTGGCTTCTCTCTGGATTTTTATGGATTTCTGCGAAATACTCGGGCTTGACACTCCAAAGTACGCAAATATCCATAGAAAAGGTACCTTCACGCTTTACGGGATGTATAAGCCGGCACCACCTCGCCCAAAGAAGACACAGATCGTCCGCACTCGTACCGGATGCCAAAATTGCCGGACGCGGCGAAAGAAGGTCGGTTCGCAGCCGAGTAGGTTACTATGGGTCCGAGTTAACGCAATCTTGGCAGTGCGACGAGAAGAAACCCGCCTGTGGTCCTTGCACTCGATTGGGGAGATGTTGTGATGGTTATGTCACTAAGCTAGAATTCCGCGATGTATCTTCGAGTCTAGCCGAAACCCGGGGTCATCGAGTCCAGCGGAGTAAGGGCCCGGTCTCCCCCCAGCAGGAAGCTACCGCGCAATCCACACGCGATATTATGTGGCATGCTTCCTACCGCAATTCGCCATGTTCCTCGCAAACCACTGGTAGCGATTCTGCTCATTCCCTAGCACCAAGTCAGATTCCATGCAGTGCGGACTTCAAGATAGATTTAACTCTGAAACCCGACATGGAAACCTTCTATATGAGTATTTGGGAGATTCAATGTGCCCCTGCAATTCATCCAGTCTTTCGCAAGTTAATACGTCTTGGAAACTTATCTCCGGTGATCGTGAATACAACAATGGCTATTGCGGCTCGTCAATTAAGCCGGATGCTCCCTCGACCAAGAGAATCAAACTCACTTGATCTTCCTGGGTCGTCGTTTAGGCCAGACCTAAGGCAACAACATATCAGCGGGGGGTTCTCCAGCTCTGCTATGCGGAGCGTAGCACAATGGACTCAGACAGACTTTAACCGTGACCCAACCACCGCATTGGCAGTTCTTACCATGTTCTGCTACCTTGAATCATTGATGAGTAACTTCCAGGGCTTCTACTTACATTCAGCTGCTGTGGGGACCCTGATAAAAACTGAGGGGCTTCGTAAAGCTCAGCCGGATAGTTATATGGCCGAACTTGCCTCTGCATGGGTACAATCCAAATTGCATAACTGGTGGCGAAGACTTCACTTCAGCACGCCTACTTTTCAGAAGGACCACCCCGCTCTCGTTACCCAGTCGACGATATTATCTCTTTCAGCTATAGTCAACAGTAGCCGGGTGGTGATCCTTACCCTACTATGTGAATCTTATCGGCTAAGCACCGCAATTTTCATGTACCATTGCGGCGATGTCGTGGATATGGAGCTCGCCATGCTAAGCACTCCATTCCACAAGTTGAAGCCCCCTCCCTCATCTTACTTGAGTGCGTTTCTTAGCACACAGGAAGAGCGACTAAATTACCAACGATTCTCCTTAAATCAATGGCATGATCGGCTGTCACCTTCGGACCTACCTATCGATTCATATTCTACGTCTCCCAGCGATAATAGATGGGACTCGGGCAATTTACAAGTGGACCCATTGCGGTTTAACTCCCATGACGCTGCGATGAACTTCGCTTATTATATCACTGCTCGAGTTATGCAGTGTACAGAGTATCTTACGGCCTTCCAATCAGAACATTTCCATGCGAAGATAGGTGATGCTTATAAGATTGTGGAACCATGGGTCATACTGCTCCTTCGTCTCACAGCCAGTATCAACTGGGAAAATTGTATGAAGCTTAATACCTATACCGTCGGCATATCTGGCTTGCTCTTAGCTTGTGTTCTACGCTCAGGAAACTTCTCGATAGGCCTCTGGGTGGAAGATTGGCTAGACCAACGATACAAGGAAGGATGTCTTGAAGAGGGAAGCTTTCCCATCTTCCAGATTCTACAAGTACTGCGTATTATCAATCAGGAGAGAAAGTCTGGCCGCCATGTATATGCTGTCTGTCAACCTACCGATGACGGTGGAGGCGTGGGCAAGTTTGACTCGTATAACAGTCAGAGGTTAGCGTCAGTGTTGGTTTATGGATGGTGCTTGGGCTCGCAATGTTTTTACGTGCGTCATATTGTCCTGGATACTTAGAGGAAGCCACCACCATAATTGAATGACAAAAACAACAATCAAAAGTGATTTTACTAGATCGGAAGGATTAAAAAGCTGCCAAGCATTCATGTGGTGATCTGAACTAAGCATACGGCTAAATCTACTCTTTACGGGATGTTTAGTGGCCTTGCCCAATGACAGCTCCGTATGCATAAAAACAATCAATCCCAACTACACGATGCTTATGTGGAAGCTAAGCCTAATCCAGTACGCAAGAGCGCTCGCCTCCCATACACATCACGGGTTACCCCATATGTCGTAGTGAGTAAACAAGCTAATAACTATCCGGATACCTTCCCTGATGCCGATTTACAAGAAGTCCTTTAAGGTGTCATGCAACGTCTTTCCTTCCCTCAATGGGACGGCGTCCCCCACACGAGGCAGTCCGATCCTATTATGCCAAACGACCTTCATACCAGCATCAGTTGCTCCCTGAACATCTCCCGCGCTTCCAGCAACGAATAACACATCGCCGGGATCATCAACAGAGATCGTCCCCAAAATATGCTCGTATGCCTTCTTAACAGGCTTATAGTATCCACTCATCTCAGCCGTAATAACAGAGTCGAACGAAAAATTCGCCTGGCCATCCTTTTCAACTCGTCGGTAAGCAGTAAATCCCAGCGGACTCGAGCAGTTCGTCACCACGCCGAGTATGTATCCCTTTGCCCTGAGCTTGGATAACACAAGTCCCGCCTCAGGCCACGGCCGCAGTCTCCTCCAGTCGCGAAGAAGGGCTTCGGGTGCTGATCGGGGCAAACCAAGTTCTGATGCGGATTTCCAGATTAGGTCCTGGTAGGGGACGTATTCGCCCGCGCTGAAAGTGAGTTTTAGATAGTGTTCACGCCAGCGCTTGCCTTCTTCCCGGGTCTTGGATGGGGTTGATGCGTCCCAGAGGCTCCAAGAGTCCATTAGGGCGGTTAGGAGGTCAAAGACTATGGCTTTAGGTCGCCATTTCGATTCGGTTTTTGATTCAGTCTGGCTCTGATCGGTTGACATGGTTGCGTTAAGATCAGTGGATATTGGATAGAGACAGGTTAAGGCCCACAGTAAGTTGGGGGGAGATGCAAGTATATATACCTAGGCTAAGGTACGCAACCCCGGTGTTCATGTGACTCACCATCCTGGACCAACATGTCTGCCCCAGCCGCATGAGCATACATTGACTAATACACCACTTGGGCAGTCCTTCCTCCGCATCATATTTCGGGACCATTGGTTACCTAGAGTACATCAACCCTCCTCGTTCATGCCATCGTCATTTCCCAATGACCATCCTTGACATTATTTAAGCACCCCATATAGGAGGCCGTACTACGCATATACGAGTCGTAGATAATGGTTAACTACACCTTTGTCGATAAGCAACAACTTACCCTAACCCTAACCCTTGTAACACCCCAACTTTACCCCTGAGACATGCACCCCTTTTCTTCAAGCCCTGGGTGACCAGAACCCACCCCAGTTTGCTCAATTCATCATGACGCATTTTTTGTGAACTTTTTATTATGCCTCATATTACTTCTAGCAATTGTTGTTGGTTGATACGGATCACTCAATATGATGCACGACGTTACAAACGCCAAACAGAGCCGGGTGGTTAGGATGAGCACATCAGCCGTCTCAATAGGAATTAATTTAGTCTACGCCGCCGATAAGCTCTCTCTAACTCCCTCACCTCATAGACACGATCTCCTTCAGCTACCGCAACATCGGGCTGAGCCCGGAATTGCCCTATTCTCATGAGATCGATAGCAGCACACCCGCCTCGAAAGAGCTTATTACCATTAGTACCAGTATGCTGTATCACCGGGCTCCCGTCTGTTTTACGATACTCCTCAGCGGGCTTGCTCGTTGCCCGGATGTACAAGTTCTACTATTCGTTACGGATTAATCGCTTTCGTCCTTGTAGGCTGGCGCGTATTTGCGCTGGAAGATCTGAACACATAGCGAGCATTGCGTGACAACTTGTTTCACACTAATGTTCATTTTGTTAAAAGCTGCTTTATTTGAAAGTCAGAACGAGTAAGTTATATAACTATTAATCATTGAAACAGAGTTACACAACTGTCGGTTAGATCCGATGGCGTTCTTTGAAGGGGATTTTGTACTACGTGGGCTGCTTTTCACATCGGATATTGTCCGATCAGTCCTGATAGTTTTCGGTTATTAGTCCGATATCCCCACAATTTCTACGAGGGGTTGAAATCTGGCGACGGATCTATCCGAGAAGAAATTGGGAGGCTGGCTCCTTCACGAGACGGGAACTTTTCCGACGGCTTTCAGCTGACACCAATTGCAGATTACCAGCTCAATACCAGGATCCACCGCTGAAATTATCTCAATCAATCGCTCGATGTATGCCTTATACGTAGCACGACACAGAAATCACAATTCAATTTAAATTCGTTGCGCTAGGATATGATGTTTCAAAGGCATATAATTGAAATCGCGGCCAACCGCGGCGGCATTCAGCACCGCGGACCGAAACTCACCAGGCTTTTCCGAAATTTGTCCTCCCATCATATCCTACATGCTTTCAGAGCCGCACGCAACGTCTGAACGAATGATGTTACATGATCGGGTCCTATCATGGTATAATGGCCTCCCTGAACTTCGCGAAAGCGTACTTCCGTTCGGCAGAAGTCTTGCCAATGGCTCAGCCATTGACTAACCCATTCCTCACGCGACGCTGCCGCCACTTGAAGTGGTTCCGCGTGGAACACGTCTAAGCTCGCAATATTGCCTGTCGGCTTATAGTCAACCGCCATTCTCTGAAGCCCATAGGAGACATTGGCCCATTGCAGCAACGCAGCTTCGTCTAATCCTAGTTCGCGTAGCCGCTCTGCGTCGGCAACAGCAAGTACACACTGCAATGCGGCATCTCGCGGCATCTCGCGGAAGGTAATATCATCTTCTACTGTTTGATTAACTGTTTCTTCGTCTATAAGCCCTAGGAATTGACCCAGGTGTAGCAGGCACACGTTCCAGGTCAGCTGGCGCATGCGCTGTTTAATATGCGGGGGGAGATTGAAGCTGGCTAGAAAGCCAATAGTCTCCCCGTGTTCCTCGAGCTTTTTCGCCGACTCAAAAGCTAGCATAGCACCGTAGCTGTATCCAGCAATGGCATACGGGCCATGTGGCTGTTTGCTCTTGATGGCCGCCGTGTATGTGTCCACAGCCTCGGCGATACAACTAAAATTCTGCTGCCCGGCTTCAAAGCCACGCGCCCGGAGTGCGTAGATAGGCCTATCGTCCTTTCTCATGTGCTGCGCTAGCCCCATGAACACGAGTACTTCACCTACGCCAGGATGGATGAGCCATAGTGGTGTTTTTCTCCCGCTTGACTGTAGGATGACTACAGGATCGTATTCTGCGTTCGACCCCGCTTCGGCGCCATTCGCAGTCGAGATGATTTTTGACGCGCATTTATTTTAATCAATGGCACGAGCAAGTGCCCGCACGGTCGGATTTTTCATCAGCACAGCCATAGTCACCGTCATTCCTAATCGTTTATTAATACGTTGCCTCAGTCTTATCAGATCTAGCGACGTAAACCCCAATTCAAAAATAGGCGTATCTATGCCGACGGACCCTGTGTCTAGACCTTTTGTCTCACAGAAGTCTGCTACCAGGAGCTTTTCTTCTCTGGTTAAAGCTAGATGCTCCGTCGCCTGTCGGTTCTGCTGCCGAAACGCCTTGACATGTTGGTAATGGTAAGCAACATCCTCGTCAAATGCGCCACCTTCAAGTAGCGCGCGCATCTTGATCCCAGAGATCTTCCCTAATGTGCTTGTCGGCACCAAATGAAGATATTTGGTTTGCACTACGAACACATATGGCTGCGTTGTGCTCACCATCATGCACGCCTGGACTATACGGCTGTCAATATCTGCCATTTCTACGGGTGCTAACGGCCACTTTCGCGGCACGTAAGCTACCGTGATCTGCTCGGTTATAGCCTTCGGTGCCCGGGATGGGAAGCATACAACACGGTTGACGTGCGTCCCGCGCAAGGCCACCTCTAGGGCGGCTTGAACCTCGGCTGTGACAACCTTGACTCCATTAATGTTGATAACTTCCTTAGCGCGCCCAATCATGCTCATGGTGCCGTCAACACCAATTACAGCGTTGTCACCTGTACGGAACCATCCATCGCCCGAGGGAAATGCCTCAGCCGTCGCCACTGGGTTTCGATAGTAACCGTCAAAGACGACAGGGCCGCGAACTTCAAGATATCCCGGCTCCCCGGCATCTCTGGACGTACCAGCACCATTCACAACACGCATCTCAATGCCAGGGATACAGCGGCCTAGGGACGCGATACTGAGAGCCAGCCTTAGCTCATACGCTGGGCAATCCACATTATAGATGGCACCTGCACACGTTTCGGTCATGCCAAAGCCCGGTTGGACTACGTTGTATGGTGCCTTATAGCGTCCGAGCAATGCGACTGTCCCGTTCATTGTGTCCATATCATTGGCTTCACCCCCCGAGATAAGTGCCGTTAAATTAGACAAATCCCAAGCTGCTTCGGTAAAGGGTTCCGGATCCGATGCGAGTAACTGTGCAAGGAAGAAATTGGGGGCAAACGTTCTAGAGATACGGTGTCGGCTTAATAGCTCTATGAATAGGGACGGAAACGCCACGACGTCAGCAGCATGTATGTGTACTTGGTCAACGCCGAGCCATAGTGCGGACAGATGCGTCTCAACAAGAGCCGCAACGTGGTCCATCCCAATCCAATTGAGAAAGGCACCGTCGACCGGTAACGAGCGCATCGACATTTTGCCAGCAACAGCAGCTAGGATCTGGGTATGGCCGAGTCGCACAGCCTTTGCATTACCGGTGCTGCCCGAAGTCAACATGAGGACAGCTAGCTGATTGTAGTCGGGCTTATGTGTCGCAGCAATATTTACGGCAGCATCATGGAGGCTATTGTTTCCAGTCTGTGCCTCCGAAGGTGTGACTTCCGCTTCTAGAGTCTCGATAGAGTGCAACTGCAAGGTATGTCCGCTATTCTTGAATAGGGGTAGAGAACCCTCCCTTACGAGACAGATGGGAGATTCGAGCAACTGCGAAAGTGCTTGCAGATGTTTATGGCGGTTCTCTTCAATGTTTCCTAAGGGTGGAGACATGACTGGTATGCCGCGTGCGAGGACTACGGCCCAAAACCAATTTATAGCATCCCAGTGATCGTCTAGATGAAGAAGTACCGGTCTCCTAGGGTTAAAGCCTGCGAGACTTGCAAGCTTTCGACTATTGATCTCGGCTTGAGCGTAAAGTCTGCCATACGAAACTTGACTCGGCATCGATTTTGCGGTACTCCCGAGCGGGTAAAGAAAGAGATACCTCGTTGGAATTGACTTAGCACGGGAATGTAGAACATCTTGAATACAATTGTAAGCTGGCCCGTCATGAGTTGCTGTTCTTGGCCGCCCGATGTTGACACACCCAGTGTAGTCTGTTGAGTGTCCTTCGAGCTTATTTCGCTTGCTCCCAGAGTCGGTGGCGGGGAATGTGTCTATCATGGTCTTCAATAAGGCTGTCATAATATTCGTGGCCCGCTCTGGTTAGATACTATCCCAACTAGATCTATCAAGTAAGTGGATGCTTTCAGATATGAGAAGTATTGACGATATTGAAGTTGAGATTCCATATAGTCTACGTGGTCCAATCGGTATTGTTTCAGTCCCTACTACTAATTCTACTTCATGTACTGGGGTCCTAAGTTGTTGCAGTTGCAGACTCGCTCCCTGTAACCGTATTAAGCATAAACGAGAATAACGAGGAGGCTTTTGTCTCGATAGTTTGTGCTACACACCACCGCTCTCCTTTCCTATCTTGGTATCTATATAATCCTATGTGCCGCATTGAACCTGACCGCCAGCCTGAGCTCTTTTCTAAGCGACGTAATGTTGTTCTCCTTAGTAGAAGAGGCGGTTTCAAGGAGTCCCTCATCTGGCCTGTCTCTATGCTGTACCTCGACGCTCAGGGAGTTGATTTGCATGCAGGTCTATATGCTGCAGGCTTCGTGCTACAATATATTGACGCCAGTTTTAATATAAGTAGGCATCTCTTGCTATTTGAGATTGGATATGCATGTTGGAGTATGGTGGTGGCGGAGCTTCCCCCATACCACCGCTCACACTCTGAGGCTTACCGACATGCAACAGCACCTAGGCACCTACCTATCTAAGACATCACTGCAGCACTTACAGGATATGACACTTACCTGGGTTGCATTAGATAGTTAACTCCTCATTCCATTGAAATATATGCAGGTTATAAGGTTTGACACATTGTATTAACCATTGAAGGAGTTGCGTAACTCTAGTGTGACGGATCGCTCTACCTAGTCCGTAGAGATCTTGATTTTAAAGATAACAATAAGGAGGTAACAATCAAAGGTCGTCAGGGAAGATAATCCCCCCCTATAGCTGAGCTTATTCGTACCATAGACTTAAATTGACTACTGCTGAAGGAAAGTAAATGAGAGGATACAGGTCCTATTATACCTGAAATGAACGTATGGACTTCCTCCGGCGACGACCTCATCGTAGCCGGTCCTCACATGATATGACTTCATTCCTACATCCAGGGTTTACCCATGATTAGCCAGGAGGGAACCCCTTTTTGATGGTCCCTTATAGGTCCTTGTTGGTTCGCAACATTTAGCCACTGATTTACCAGCCGCCGTCTATTCCAGCACATTCTGAAGTACACCTTTATGGAAATGATCTAGGTTAATTACATATTTCCAATGGGTGTATTATCCATGTCCTTCAAACGTAGTTCCATGACTGACTCGTTCTCGAGTGGATTATATGTGTAGATTTTGACAAGTTTGAGTCCAGCGCTCTCAGCGAGGGTCTGCCACTCATCCTCAGTGCGCTCCATGCTCGCGAAGGCACCCAGCATTGTTAGGTCAATAGAGGCGGAAATGAAACCGACATCCGTGGAGGGAAGCACTGTCTCGTCCACTAAGAGAACCGAGTCGGGGGCCATGGCCTCACGGACGCGTTCGAACAGAAGGCGTACTCTGTGGGGTGGGTGATTATGCGGCACGCCTCGCATGAAATAGAACTTTGCATCTTTGATGGGCTGTGGTTCAAAAAAGTCGTGCGCCATATTCTCGACACCAGGTGTTGGCAGTGCCCGTACTATTGTATCCGGGAGGTCCTGTAGAATGACACGACCCGGTATGTCAGGGTACTTCTCCCGGAACTGTGCACATTGGTGGCCAATACCACCACCAATGTTCACATAGAGCGGACGATGGTGGTCAGTTAGACCGGAAACTTCCCGGCGTACCGGATACACAGTCAACCATGAGAGCTCGGCCTGGCGGCGAAGCGCCATGTACGTGTGAAAATTATCCATAGCACCTGGCAATGTGAGCATGAGATCAAACGGCTGTTTCTCCGTACTCCAGCCCATCTTGAATGCTGTGTTATTTTCATCAGTCGGGTTCTGATAGTTATTCTCCTTCAGGAATCGGGGAGTCGCCTGGTATTGCTTGGCCACGAGCTCGTAGCTATACGTGTGAGAGTTTGTGAGATGAATCCTTCCATTGACCTGAGGAATTCAACCATTGACTTACTAATGCTTCATCGCAGTAACGCACACCTCCTCGGTTAAGTTTCGCGTAATGTTAGTGGCCTCATACTGCTGCGGGCCGACTTCGCGGGCGACGTTGACCGTGTTGTAGTATCGCATAATCCGTTCTATTCGTTATTGTTAGCTACCTACCTAGGTAGGTAAATTTGAATATATGTAGCTCATCAATACGTACTGATGAGCTGCGGGTCTGCTCTGGTATCTTTAGCAATATCTTCGACTGTTTTCGCACCCGCGGCGCTGGCTAGGATTTTGAAGATGCCCAAATCGAGGCCGATTTTGATCATCGATTTTTCGAGGTCCTATCTTGCTGTTAAGTTCCACATTCTTACAATCCATCGTCTCCGACTACATGTTACAGGGGTCTCACAATGTGTCCATATCTGTGAATCGTGCCGGTCGTGTCTTCCAAAGAGTCGGCCATCCGGCGGAGGGCAACAATAAGATTCCGGCGGGTGGCCCTATCAGCAGTCGCCGACAACTGCGCGAGGGCCGATTCATCGAATATCGTCATTGAGGTCATTGTTCTTACTAAGGGATGTTGACGATGATATCGCTAATTTATCAAATAGTATGTTTACTTTGTGATTGTCCGGGATTGACATTTCGTTGAAATAGTAGATTTCTACCGCCTATGCACATAACTTTGATAAAGGAACGTATTCCTCTAAATGAACATATGCCGCACATCATGATGTTGGCCACTTTTCTAGGATCACCCCCCCTCTGAGAAATCCTCATTTCACCGTGTTGGTCTCACTACATGTAACACAACCGCCGATCAGCAAAGATGTTCCTCAGCCTGCCGCTGAGTCGGTCCTACGGTCCGGAATACAACCTTTGACGGAAATGAAGGGGCACGGTGGCGTCTGCAATGCTAAGGGAGGTACACCAATATGCTTCGATAGGGGTCGGTCGAACACATGCAAGTATGAGCCAGGAAGAGACCCACCATCAGTAATTCAAGAGTGAGTTAGGAACGCGAGTATAGTCCATTTTTTAGATCTCTCCCCTCCTCTCTATGCCTCAAGCACTCTTGCAATACGCTCAAACACTCATACAGTATTCCCGTCACCATGCTCACAAACATTAACCTGCCTTACATAGCTTTGGCTGTGGGTAGCGTGATCTTCTTGTACTTCATATTGGCACCGACTAACCCTAAGAAAGATGAACCATGGAATAAACTCGACAAGATTGGGGTTTCATCAGGGTTCTTACCTTGGACACGCGCTACATTCGCCTCCTGTACGGCCCTGCTACGAAATACCCATGAAGGATATCATCAATTTTGCAAGAAGGGGCTCCCCTTCGCACTGCCGACAATGTGGACTGGAAAGGCCATTGTCGTGGCCCCAATTTCAGCTCTACACCTTACCAATAAGCCAGACAGTGAACTGATAGGCTATTGGGCATTGGTCGAAAATATTCAACTCCCGTACTTCATCCCTGATCGCAATGTTCTCGAGCACGTTATTCACTTCGAAGTCTCACGCAAGGACTTAACCAAGCGAAACGTCAACCGCCAGCTTACTCCGACGGCTGAGGAGCTAGACAACTGCTTCTCCACTATGTTAGGGAATAGCACAGAATGGACGACAGTCAACGGATGGGACATGTGTGGCCAGATTATTGCCCGCGTGGCCCTACGAACTTTGCTTGGATTCCCGACTTGCCGCGATGAAGAATTAGTAAAAACCGCGCAGCACTTCGCCAATAATCTCTTCACTGCGGCTGCCATCATCAATTGCACTCCTCCAGTCCTACGGCCGATCCTCGCGCCGGTCCTAGCGTTGCCAACGAAGCGCTACCGCAATCGATACCGCGAGATCGTGGTACCTGTGATTAAGGAACGGATCAGCCTGTGGGAGAAACACCAAAATACAGGCGACGGTGAACTCCCAGTGAGCGCTACCTCCCCAAATCAATTCATACCATAATCTTAGTACTAATAGCACCAGAGCGACTTTCTTCAATGGCTAATTGCCAGGGCTGCTCAGCATGGCCCTGAACACATGGACGCCTCTACGATTTCATACCGCCTCCTCGCCCTCAACACCATGTTTGTTTATGCTATGAGCTTCATATTTGCTCAGACCGTCATCGATATCTGTTCTAGTCCCGACCATAAGCGGTTCATGGATGGTATGGCGTCTGAGTGCAAAGACGTGTTTGGCCGTTATCCAGGGGGACTGGCTTCCGACGATGCCCTCGAGCAACTTCATCGCGTCGATTCAGCCATCCGAGAGTCAATGCGCATCTCCGACGTGAGTCCGCTCTCGCTGCCTCGTGATGTCGTCGGAAATACGCCATTGGACCTGGGTGGCGGCATCGTCTGCCCACCAGGTACCCGTTTGATGTATCCCTCGCAGCCCATTCATATGGACCCAGACTTCTGGGAGAACCCCTTGCACTTCAATGCTTTCCGCTTTTCGGATCCATTCGATAAAGAAGCCGAAGGATCGCCACCTACTCAAAGTGACGGCACCCCGAAGGAACGGGAGAATCTCGTTGACTTGACGAGCACCTTTCTGGCCTGGGGCTATGGCAAGAAAGCCTGCCCCGGCCGCTGGTACGCAGGACAGACCATCAAACAATCCCTTGCCTATATGGTGATAAATTATGAGGTAGAGTTGATTGGGAAGCCACCTAAGCGAAGAGCTTTGTTAAATGCCATGATTCCTCCCACGGGCGCAAGACTACGGTTCCGACGAAGAGTTTGGTGAATCTGCATTATTATCTAAACTCAATGAGAAACGAACATTTATTAGCTTCTTGTTTGCTTGAAAGCATCTGGAAGTCCCACTTAACTAGGTAGTCAGATTTCTTTACCGCCTTCGCGTTGTTGGTGAGAGTAGATACTAAGGCGATCAGAGTTGAATAAACGTATAAATTCCCAACTTCCCATAGATACCTACCTAGGTATATATCATGTTTAAATATAGTGTGATGTACCTAAGTAGATATATATATATATATACCTAGGCATGTAGGCGCTTGTTTATTTTACGGCTACAACTTGAAATATCTCTCCTTCGCCCACCTTGATGTCCTCTCGTCTCGAGATAATCCGTTGTCGGAAGGCAAGGTCTAATCCTTAGTAATAGGTGAATATTACGTTGGTTAGAGTAGCAACGTCGTCACTGCTTTAAAGTCGTGTCTGTAGCTAGTATAACGAACTTGTATTTTCTAGATAATGGTCGGAGGCTAACGTGTCCGATCACTTTACCTAGTTACAGCTATATAAGGGACATCATAGAGAGAAAACATCGGATAACGCAATACCCCTTAGTAAACACCGGGCATACATAGGAAATGCCATGGTTCATAGATGCCCTTCCCTATATCCCCTTAGTTTCTGAAGCTATCATAATCCAGTTGATCTAAGTGGCCAATTAGATCAGTTAGGTTAGATGTGTGCCGCAGTTTTGACATGACGTCCTACACCTTAGGTCTCCAAAGATGTTTGGATTGTGACAGGTATCTTCCCAATCGACCCCCATACCGAAAGTATTAGCTAGGGCCGGTTGGAGCTACCAGCATCAGCGTACGAAATAGCGAAAGTATCAGTGCGCTTCACCTGACCACTGCTATACAAGTTGTAGTCGTCAACCTCGTGCCATACTGCACTCGCCTTATTTCCGAGTCCATGGCCGTCCATCTCGATATCGCGATATGCACCATTGTGATACCCCGAAGCCCCACCCAGAGTCGACGGGTTGCTATCAGCCTGCATTTTCTGACCTAGTAAAGTGGTTAATGAGTTGAAAAATGTACTTAATTTTTTAGGAATATCCAGCTTGAGCAGAGCGCGGAGCGGAACTATGTTACCCAGAAGGATAACACAGGCCTGCTCAAGCGTGGCCGAGAGTAAACTAAGCACCGCAGCGTATGGGCCGTCGGGTCCTGACTGTTCGTCGAGGGCTAGTACACCCTTCATAATAGATATTCCGCCCGTAATGAAACTTAAGGCTATCAGCACAATCAAGCCTAGACGGCGGTTCAAGCTCATGTTTAATCTCCAGACGAAGAAAATAGGGAAAATGACGAAAGTAAAGTCGGCAAGGGTGTAAAGCGCTATTCTAGAGTTAACCATCGCTAGCCGCACAAAATAGCGAGGAAGAAAAAAACGCACATTGCCCGGCGTACATCAAATCCCGCACGATATTTGGATCCCATCGCTTGGGGTTCGGGATGGACGGGTCCCATAACGCCTGTATCGGCTGTCTCGACGCATAAAGGCAGACAATTATGGCGATATTCAGAGTTACGCCGCACGCGGTAAGTAGAATGGCATAATATCGGAACCAACGGTGGACGCCGAACAAGCGAATAAGCAGAAAGCATATGGAGATACGCCCAAATATCCCCGATACAAGCCCTGGCGGAACCGAAAACCACTCCCACATGGTCATGTTTACTGCCCCATCTGGCATGTCTAAGTCCCAGATATGTTTTCCCATGCCATACTTGAAGGAGATAGAGATAAAAATCTGGGCTACAAGTTGGAAGGTCTGTTCATATGGGTTAGACTATTTGGTCTTCGTACTATTGCCTATCTAGGAGTAAGCAACATGGAGTCTCACTATTGCAACGAGCATCAGCCAGTCGTCTGCCCCCAGTTTTGGAGCGATCTGCTTTCTAACGTATAGTCGGAGGAGTGTGGTAACTAGGGCAAGGCCTGTGAGAGCCCATGTCAAACCCATAACCATCGGCCCGCGGCCGAGGTCGTTCGGGTTAACTGGTGGTGGAAAGGCGTCTGTGGTAGACATGGTAGGCGGCAAAAATACGTAGAACTAGAAAGTGTGAAAACACCAAGGAAAAGAAGAGTAGTTCGATGATGGCGATATCAGCAACTGATTAACAATAATGATGGACAAGACATCTGACTTATGAAGCTGGAAATCACCTACATCTTACTTAGATGCATATAGGAGACATGGTGTAGCCAACTACATGTACCTAGGTATATATGTATTTCTAACCCAGCCATGATCGTTGTATCAGGAGACCGGCAATCGTAGGATAGGGGAAGTAGGTAAAACACTTAGAGCAAGGTTTTGGGGGGGGCCGCCAGGTCCCTGGACAGCGGACGATAACACGAAAGAGCCCTGCTTGGTAGGTGCTGATGTGGTTACATGAAATCCGTTGGTGCTAGAGTAGTTTCCCCAATACGTGCGTGCATGCAGCCAACATTCATCCTCCGAGGGGAACGTAGAACGAGGGGGCTTGCAACAGCGTAGGGACATAGAGAGGGAGAGACTTCGGTGCTGACAGTGAAAAAGGGCAGTCCATGGAGAGAACAAATTTTCGCGCAATAACCCTCAATTCTTGTTGTTGCGACGAATTTTATTCTTTCAACGCGTTTTCTCATTCTACTTAGTTTGTAAAGCCCATTCAGTCGCTCAACCCTAGACCTACTATCATTATGCTACCTCCAGAGAAGATAGATGCGCCATCATCTATGGTGAAGCAGCGCCCGTCGCTTGAGTCGCCGGAGACATCCCATAGAGGCGATGGGGATAGGACAAATGAAAACATGGTCATGAACTCTGATTTAATTCCTCAGCCCGAGTACGTTACTGGATTCAAGCTTATTCTTGTCGTTTCCGGTGCAGCGCTGGCATGTTTCCTCATGCTAGTCGACACCATGGTGATTAGCACGGTTAGTCCTATTAGCGCCACTCCTCAAGAGACTAACCTTCTCACTCCCTCGCACTTTTCAGGCTATTCCTCGCATCACCGATGAATTCCATTCGCTTGCCGATGTCGGTTGGTATGCAAGCGCCTATCAGTTTGGCATGTAAGGCCGCTCACGACGCGCATCGCACTCCGAGCTACAAAGCTTACATTGGCATCACAGTGCAGCTCCTCAGCCTTTGGTAGGCAAAATCTATACACACTTCAGAACCAAGGTTAGTACCTACTACTAGAAGACCTCTTACGGCTGAGCTGATGCAGATGCGACAGTGGACTTTTCTCCTATTCTTCGGTATCTTCGAACTTGGCTCTGTATTGTGCGGCGCGGCGGTCTCATCTATTATGCTAATTGTTGGCCGAGCCGTTGCCGGTCTTGGGGCTGCTGGGATAATCAATGGTGCCATCACCATCGTGTCCAGCTGCGCGCCGTTAGAAAGGCGCCCTGGTTAGTCGACTCCATCATCAATGAAATAGTCGGCGTGCTAATATCTCATCTCGTCTTATAGCTCTCCTAGGAATTACCATGGGATGTACGTTCCTCCCGCAAATCTATCAAATACCGAACAATCTAATAACATTTCTATCTTAGTACAACAGTTAGGACTCGTCATCGGCCCCCTGATCGGAGGCGCATTTACCACATATAGCACGTGGCGATGGTGTAAGATTGAAAGCCCGGGAGAGTATTTGAGGTTACCATCAATCTAGGCTAACTTTTGGGCCTTAGCATTCTATATAAATCTACCTATTGGTGCTGTTATGGTCCTCCTCATCCTCCTTGTTCATATTCCGGAGCAGGCACATAAGGGAAGCTTCCTTTCCGTCATTCCGCAACTACATCGCCACCTGGACTTGATCGGCTTCGCTCTATTCGCCCCAGCCGTGATACAGCTCCTTCTTGCCTTGCAATACGGGGGAAACGAATTCGACTGGAACTCGCCTCAGGTGATAGGACTTTTCTGTGGTGCTTGTGCAACCTGCTTGGTGTGGTTTTTCTGGAACTATCGCAAAGGTGACGCTGCCCTCCTTCCCGCATCTATGATCCGTCGACGAACCGTTTGGTCAGCAACCATGTTCAACGCATTCCAGATGGTGGGCATCTACGGGCTGTTCTACTACCTACCTATATATTTCCAAGCCATCTACAACACTTCGGCTATCCTGAGTGGGGTCTATATTATACCAATGATACTACCTCAGCTTTTGACAGCTGGTCTCACTGGTGCTGTCTGTAAGTTCATACCAACAGCCAAAGGAATTAATCTATTTAGGGGAGATATTAACAGACTAAAACAGTGCAGAAGATGGGTTACGTGATTCCAATCGCCACTTTTTCCCTTGTTCTCTCATCGATAGGTACTGGCCTTATGTCCACGTTGCAGGCCAACAGCTCCGTAGGAAGATGGGTAGGATTCCAAATTCTCGCTGGGGTAGGCTCAGGAGCTGGGTTACAGCTTGTATGTCTCTTGTCTACGTCCTGACTCGTGTTGTACTTACTGACGGGCCTTTAACAGGGCATAATATCAATCCAAGGTGTCACAACGGGCGAGGAACTGTCCTCGGCCATGGCATTCATGGTGTTCACCCAATCACTATTCCCGGCAATCATTTTGTCCCTTTGCAACTTAGTCTTGGTCTTGGGGCTCAAGTCCCAGTTACCTCTGTATGCCCCTAACGCCAATGCAGCACTTGTCGTCAAAGCTGGAGCGACAAGTTTCCGTGAGGTCGTGAATGCGGCTGACCTCGGCGGTGTCGTCACGGCCTACGCTAACAGCGTTGATCGCGTCTTTTATTTGGTTGTAGGTATGGTCACCGTTAGCGGTCTCTTCATATGGGGCATAGGGTGGCAGGACATCCGGAAGAAGGCTGGGGATATTGCATCTACCCATAAGAGTATCCATATCGAAAACCAAGAAGCGTCAAGTGGGTAGTACCTAAGTTCCACTGGAAAATAGTTGGTTACCTACTGGACAACTAGGTACACATATGTAACATTATGCATTTTAGTAGTCAATTCCTTCAATGTTAATCAGTACTTGTAGCACTGTCTAATACGATGTGTAATACAAAACTTGGAAGTGTGCGGTAGTTACCTAGGTAGTCCCCCAGCGAAGATACTGGCGTGAATGTAGTACAGTCCATACCGCGCCAGAAATAAACCCCTCGATAAGAATAAGATGTGTCTAGACACGGCTAAGCCCAATACCCCTAATACCCCCACGGACATATTGCATCATGCATGAGGAGGATTGATTGGAATAGTTACACAAGAGTTATTGATGCTGTTGGAAGCATTCAGAACATGTTGGGGGATGTTTTGCATATCCGGTCAAATACACCAACACATACAAGCGAGTACATACCTAGGTAGTAAGGTTATATTTAATCATTCATGTTTTTCATCACATTCCATATGCGAGGGGTCGAGAAAAAGGCAAATAGTAAAATGACATTTGGTTTATGCGAAGCCAACAAAATAGGACCGAGCTAACCAACATACGTTGTATTCTAAAAAAAAATAACCATAATGTGCCACTACTTGGAGAAGCACAAATAGGGGGCTTGATACCCGCTTCCCCCAGAGACGTAGCCTTATCAAGATACCTAACAACATCTCCCGAGAAACAAAATGACAACAGTGTTCGTCACAAGTGCAACTGGGAGTCAGGGTAGCGCTCTGTGCAACGAGCTCCGAAATTTGGGGTGGAATGTGCGCGCAACGACACGAGATCTCAACTCGCCTGTGGCACAGTCACTACTCTCAGCAGGCGTACACCTCACCCTAGGCAACTGGGACGATGAGGACTCGCTACGTAAAGGGCTCGAAGGAAGTAACAAGCTCTTTCTATGCCTACTACCTAGCCTAACCGATTTTGATCAGGCGCCAAGGCGGGCAGCGCTCATCGCTCGCGTAGCGAGAGAAGTTGGCGTTAACCACGTCGTCTCGTCCACCACGCTTGGTTCATTCTTAGTCGAGCCAGGATTCGTGCCGTCTATCAGACTTGGACCCTTTTTCGATGCTCATGTCCGAAGCAAGAAGCGAGTCGAGCAAGCTGCTATTGACGGTGGATTTGCGCACTGGACCGTTCTGCGTCCCGGCTTCTTCATGGCCAACTTCGTCGAGCCCAAAATCCAGTTCGGTTATATCGAAACGAAAGAAGGCTCTTGGACGAACTCCCTAACAGCCGAGTCTCCACTTGGACTCGTCGATCACCTCGATATTGCCCGTTTCGCAGTCGCGGCATTCCAGGACCCTACCACATACCACGGTCGGAAGCTAGGTGTTATTAGCGAGGAGCTTCAAGTGCAGGACGCAATGGACCAGCTAGCCGATGCAATCGGCGATGGCAGGTCAATCAAGGCCATCTTCATGACCGATGAGGAGATCGCACGGGAGCAGGCGAAAGGTTCATGGTTGTTCTTTTCCTCTGAGCCTTGCTTACGGCACTTGTCTGGCTACACGGATCTGGATGAACTGCAGCGGCTCGTTCCAGGGTTAATGACTTTCAAGGATTTTCTTATCCGTGAGAAGGAGGCTGTCAGGGTTACATATCTCTCGCTCATAGACGTACACCCAACCCCGCTTTAAATTAGGGGTAACATCCAGCTTCAACTAGGCAATCAAGTTAATACATGCGTCTGCAAAGTCTTCCAACATACATAGACATAATAACCATTATCAAATTAATAGCTGTTCTAATATACCCCTATCGATTCCTATAGCCAGGGTGGCGCTAGAATTCTGGCGGCAATCCCGATTTTTCTTGGGGAAAAACTGCTTTAGTATATTGCCCAACCCCTTACCCCTTTTCAAGCTCATGCGCTATGTTGTGTAACCTCGTTTCAGAGGGTGCCCAACTAGGAGGTAAAATACATGGCGCTGGCACTTTTTTTTTTCTTTCAATCCCACCGGCTCTCAGTCACCTACTTAGGTGATTCATTCAGTCATTCAGTCACCCCAACACGATTTATTAATTTATCTCACATTAACTATAGCTCTCTAATAACGCGGGCTGTTTCTTGGAAGATGGCCACGATTCCGCCCGAGAAAGCCCCAAAGCCGGGTCTAAATGTTTATGGCTACGCATCTGTCAACCCCTACAAGTTGACTATCGCGGCCGAGGAACTCAAGTAAGTGTCAACCACCTCTAGTGTTTACAGAGGTCTAGTATTGAACATCTTGACAGCATACCGTATAACTATATCAACATTGATATGCCTGCAGGGGAAGCCCAAGCCGAGTGGTATAAGTCCATCAACCCAAACGGCCGTCTACCCGCACTTGTCCACAACAAGGAGGATGGCGCCACTGTGACTGTCTTTGAGAGCGCCGCCTGTTTGCTCTACCTCGTTAGCGAGTTTGACAAGGATAACAAAATCTCATACCCCGTCGGCACGCCCGGGTACTGGCCGCAGCTATCCTGGGTAGGCACCATTCATTCCATCTAAGCAGCCACTATTAAATTGACACGCAATCTCAACACAGCTCTCCTGGCAGGTTGCTGGTTTCGGCCCTATGATGGGCCAAGCATGCTTTTTCAACCGGTATACAACCGAACCAGTGCCGTATGCTTCCTGGCGCTACACGTCTGAAGCCCGAAGACTTCATACTGTGTTGGACAGACAGCTGGTGAGCAATTAGATATCATGGCCACCTATAGGTTAGGTATCTAACTATTTGTCTTCTTAACAGTCCGCTACCCCATTTGTGGGGGGGGACCGCTTGACGGTTGCCGATATCGCCATCTTCATTTTTGCCCACTCCGGTAAGTGGTGCGGCGTTGACATCAACGAATTCCCCAACGTTAAGGCGTGGCGTGATAAACTCATCCAACGACCCGCCTTTCAGAAGGGGCTGCAGATTCCCGTACCGTACCCGTACAGTGACGAGGCAGTTTCGAGTCCTAACGGTCAGGACTTCTATACCAACCTGCGAAAGTACGGTGGCCAGATGATCAAAGGAGCGACGGAACAGTGGAAGGGCGACGTCGTACCGGTCCCTTCCGACCATGCAAATCTTTAGGTTGTCTATTGAGAGACTTGAATCCTATATATTAGGTACCTGACCAGAATGAACGAGGTCGAATTCAAATTATAGCGTTGATAGATCTATGAGCTGTTATGGTCGTTATTAATCTACCCTAATCGTACGAGTTTTAATACTGACTTATACACACATATTGAGCATGTTAATGAATCGCATCCGACTCGCGACTCTCAAGCAGATATGATATAACAATGTTTCTGAAATATTAAGCGGATAGACTACATAGGTAGGGGACTTATAGTACAGCGTTACATCCCCTATCAAGTTAGCATAGTTACAGTGGTTCGACCCCAGATCTCCACGTGGGTCCCCCTGACTGACGTCAAGACTTGACCATGATTCCGCAACCCTCCAGGTTTCCTCACACTTCTAGAACACGCCGTAACCAGATTTTAGAATAGAAAAGATGCTGTACACAAATCCCTCTTTTCATATACGTAGGCGCTTAGAGGGGCCGAGGAAAAGAAGGCCATTATTATTATACGAGCGGGAACGATAGCAAGCGGGCGATATCCTAACCATTGGAAGTTTTAGCACGGACGTAATAGCGCTTTAGTATACTAATTCGTAGCGTACGATGTCGTTAGCCCAGCACGTCACCGCCAACGAAGGCATCGACCGCGTGCCCCCCGAAGACGAAGAAGACGGGACTGAGGAGATCCTTTGGCGTACTCTGAGTTACGACCCCGTACCACCCACCGAAATCACCGCCCCTATCGTCGTCCACGAGACCGCATTGCCCAATGCGGCCGCTTACAAGGTCTCGGCCGCTAAGAGAGCAGGTAAGAAACAACCTCACTGTTATCAAGTCCCCAGTAACAGGGCACGCGCACATTTATTGTGCTACATACATTACAGTCGCATTATAGTCACATTATGATAGAAGAGCTACGACTGACAGACTTATCTCATAGCCCAAGTTGGATTCGCCATCGTCGCATGCTGGTTTGCCGCGGGCATCGTATACGGTTTCGCATCGCTGAAGCCCGTACTAATCGAAGAGGGTGTATACGGGGACCTCTGCCCTCCAAGCGATATTAACAGCAACGATGAAAACACCGGCGATGGCAGCGAGAAAGTCCCCTGCGCCGCGCAGGACATGCGCTTAAACTTATTCTTCATCGCCGCCTCCATAACAACCAATACCTCCTCTCTAGCCGCCGGCTGGGTCCTCGACCGCTACGGCCGACGCCTATGTTACATTATCTCCGGATTCTTCATGATCGCCGGCTGCATCCTCATGGGCCTCGCCTTCCAAATCCCCGAATTCGACGGGTACCTCATCGCCAACATTCTCCTCAGCCTCGGCGGCACATTCGTCTTCGTACCAAGTTTCCAACTCGCCAACGCGTTCCCCAAGTACTCCGGCGTCATCGTCGCCTTAGTAACAGGCGCCTTCGACGGTTCAGCCGCTATATTCCTATTCTATCGATTAGCCTGGGAAGCATCGGGCCGCACCTTCGCGCCGGCAACTTTTTTCTTCGCGTATACCGTCGTAGGCGTACTTCTATTAATAGGCGAATGGGCAATCATGCCACCACGCGCATACCACTCAACCCCCGAACTCGAGCGCAAGCTCGAAAAAGCACAGGACGCGACACGCGACGTACACGATTCCGACGACGAACTCGAAAGCCCTGGAGAGATCCGACGAATCAGGAGTGCTCGCGCCGAGCGTCGGCTCTCGAAACTGGAGCAGATCGAGGAGTTGGTTGGCGATGAAACACTCCGCGAAGACCGTATCCAAGCTGAAGAAGAGCGGCAAGAAGCTAGTGGTATATGGGGTGTACTGCACGGCATACCGGCGCATCGACAGATGCTGACGCCTTGGTTTGCTTTGTTGCTTTTGCTTACGGTGTTGCAGATGTTGCGTATGAATTACTTTATCGCGACTATACGCTCACAGTACCGATATCTACTAGGATCAGAAAAGCTGGCTGAGGACATCAATCATGTCTTCGATGTAGCACTGCCGGTCGGTGGTGTATTCGCGACACCGTTTATTGGACTACTTCTGAATAACTTAAGCGTAGCGACAGCCTCGGCGGTGTTAACGCTATTCATCGTCTTAATTGGCATACTAAACTGTCTCCCACAACTCTGGGCCGGTTACGGAACAGTAGTAGCATTCGTATTATTCCGACCGCTATACTACAGCGCCGTGAGCGATTTCGCGACCAAGATCTTCGGCTTCGCCACCTTCGGTCGTATCTACGGCACCATCACCTGTCTATCGGGTCTAGTCAATTTCGTGCAGTCCGGACTTGACGCACTGACCCATGGACCGCTACAAGGAGACCCAACACCCATCAATGCCGTCATGGCAGCAGGAGGTGCGATCCTCGGTGTCGCATTAACGGCTTACGTTTTAATCCAGGGCCGATTATTTCGGCAGAAATTGCAGAAGAGGGAAGACGCCGAGAGAGTTCAAGAGAGACTGGGTCTCATCCGAGAAGAGAGGGAAGCAGAAGAAGCGGGATATGGCACCATTGACTGATTATTAGTGGCGAAACTCAAGGGCCTTTTTTCATGATGAAATTGAAGAATGAACATATATCAACAGTTAGAAATTTATAACCTAGATGAAGAAAAGGGGCTAATACGATGCACCAAAATCTAGATTCTTAGACAGTGAAGGGCTTATTTTAGATCAAGGCTTAGATACCACAGTAAGAAGATAGGGTTCTGACAGAAATCGTCGCATAAATATTATTAACGAATTCTACAATATGGTATAGATTGAATCCAAATATCTTCCTTCAACTTTTTCTTGGCCGCATGGCCATCGTTCATATAACCAAAGCTTAAATATCCATAATTCCCTAACGCACTTTAAACATTACAGCTTTAATCTGAGGAATGGCGCCATCGACCCCTTCTCAAAAGGGGCGATTCACATCACATGAATATGAGTGAAGTAGAAGCTTTAAAGCTTTAAGGGGTACCTCTCCCTCAACTTTGCGCCGAACTTGAATATAATCATAGGGACTGGTATCATAGCCACGCCAATAAACCCAAGCACAGAGCTTCCCCAGCCGATTCCCAAGTTATCGAACAATGCCGGACCACAAAGCGGGAGAAAAGCAGCGATGACGCTACGCAGAACTGTGAAGGCGGCGATCCCAGATGCGGCGTATGAAGGGTAGGCGTCAATGATATAAGCCTGGGTCGGCATGAAGACGCCGATCACACCAAATCCGAGTGGGAATAATCCGATGATTGGTACGATCCAATGAGTGCGTACCTGAGCCGACCATCCATACCAAAAGAAGGCGAGCGGGCAGAGGAAAGAGTACCATATCATAATAGTTAGACGAAACTCGGGTTTGAATGCACCGGCATTGGCTTTAGTTAACCGTACGACCGTTCTGTCCGAAAGCATGGAAAAAGCCCAGAGGCCAACCATGTAACCGACGCCGATAGATATGAAAACCAAACCAGAAATACCAGTACCCCATCGATATTGTGATTCGAAGGTCGGGGGAATGGAATTGTACATTAAGTAGACGGAGCCGTAGATGAAGGAGACGTATAAGGATTGAATAAAAATCATAGGCGCAAATATGAGCATCTTCAACGGTCTCAGCATACCGATCGTAAGAATTTTCAACTGGGACACCTTTCGAGACTCATCGGCTTCGTAGCATGTTTTAAGGTCGGTTCGTTTCCATTCCTTGCTCAGACGCTTGACCTTCCGTTGCATGAGGACCTTATGATTCGTCTCGGGCAAAAAAATAGCCAAAATTATAGTGATAATACCTGATGGGATTAACACAATCCAGAACGACCAACGCCAACCGATAGAACCAGCAATGAAAGCCCCTATCAATGGGCCGACCCTATAAATGAGATTAGTTTGGTAAAATATTCATAAATGAACATTTCTACTCGAAATCTGTGATTGAAATACGTACGTTGGCCCGATAAGTGGACCCAGCGCCCACACACTAAGTGCAACGCCGCGAGACTCTATAGGAAATAAGTCGCCAATGATCGCGCCTCCGAGTGTCATACAGCCGCTCCCTCCGATACCAGCGGAAAATCGAAACGCGACGAGGAAGGCTAGGTTCGGAGATAAAGCACACCCAATATGCCATAAACAGAAAAAGATGTTGGATAAGGTGAGTACGCCAGCGCGACCGAAGATCTCAGAAAGCGGAGCTAAGAATAAAGGTCCTGTTGCGTAGCCGAGCAGATATATACTGACAGGGAATGGCCCTACAGTGGGATTCGTATTATGAAAGTCTTGGTTGATATATGAGATAGCGGGAGCTAAGACAGAGGACGAAAAAGGGGACATAAAAGTGATAGCAGCCAGTGACCACACAATTACCCACTTTCGAGCTGATGAGAAGTTCAGGGGCATTTTCGGGTCATCTTGACTTTCCCATCCGATGATGGAATGTTCGAGATCGGAAAGGGGGAGAGTAGTGGGTTCAATTCCCTCCGGTTTCTGCGTCGATGAGGATTCCTCTTCGTTGACTTCGTTGGTAGCTTGTGTGAGAACTCCTGTGGTTTCTCTAGCTAGGCCACTCGTAGAACGAACCTGCTTCATTTGCTCCCGGTCCAGAATCAGTTTGCCGGTAGAGTAAACCGATCGTATTTGATCCCGGTCTAAAACGAAAGAGAATCGAACAACATCTAATGAAGGCCGCACTTGGTTATTTTTCCGGGTTATATCGATAGGGATGTTCGTTTTCTCTTCTTCCGCCTTTGAAGCATTACTGCTACTGTCCGTTACAAGTTCCGGCTTTGGTGAATCTTCTTGAATCTCATCCGGTTTTGGGTTGTTGCTACTACTATCTGCTTCACTTTCAGCTTGTTGCGGATGATCCTGAATTTCTTCTAACTGTGGGGTTTCTCCATCTGGCTTAGTATTTTCTTCATCTGACTTCGTGATCTCTTCTTCCTGTTTCGGGGTATCATTACCGTCGTCTGGTCCGTTCTCGGGTTTCTGCTCGTCCGGCGCCTCGTCCGATTCCGAAGCAGGACCATTGGTATTCTCAGTCTCATTCTCGGTATCCAAACCCATAGCGGCGGCAAGAGTCGACCTAGTATTAGTGAAGGCTAGTAGTATGGGTATCGAGACCAGCCAATTCAACCAGGACATCATTAGTAGTAAGTAAACACATCTTTACTTAAAGATAGAGCTTAGGACAGAAACGAGACTTAAGATAAGAGATCAGAGAGTATAGACTTGGGACATATGGATGACTTGAGACATAAACTAAGTTACTGTGTATGAATCTGGGGTTTAGTTGAAAAGCTTCTCGGAGCCCCAAGTCCTTGCCATGAAGATTCGAGACGGCGAACTAAGTAATATTTACTCCCGACTTCGAAACGCCGACCATTGCGGAAACTTCAAGATTAATTGGCCGATTTCAATAGTCAGCCTACCAGATCTGAAGACATTATCAGGCTCGCGTGAGTTTCGCTTGTTGTTTTCAGTAGAGAAGTCAATGTTGCCAGGCAAAGAACATTAATGTAACACTCGATAGTTCTGTGTTGCGTTTGGGTTTAAGATCCGAAATGTCTCCATCATACCATATTTCGATACTGAAGTAACAGTGGACGGGTACTAAGAGTGTCTAAATAAGTGCAAACATAAAGTAGGTTTAAAAGTTATGATTATATAATGTAGCAAGATTCAAAGCAGTATCTAAGGAGGAATTGAGCTCGAGTTTCAGTCAGAAAGTGGGGTTGAAGATGAACGATTTAAATGAAGACAAATAGACAAAGAGTGGTGTGAGCAATTAATACCAGTTGTAAACTTAATTAAGCCTTTCAAGAGTTTCCGATTGCTCAACTTGCTCAGATAGTTAGGAACAAGCAAACTTCTGAATTTTGAGATTGCTAGCAAAGTTGAAATAAAATGTTGAAAGTGTAAAGTGTCGCATTATGACCCACATAATTGTAGTAATAAATCTAATAAAAAAAATTAGGTAATCGATTGCTCTTCTAGCACAGACATGTGATTGGACGTAATTGATCGGCAAAGACCCCTGCACCTCGTCTACAAGGACCCCTGTTCGGTACATAAAAGTATCGGCGACGTGGGTACGTATATACGTATTTCGTATTTATGAGCCAATGTGTCTTTTTATTTTTGGGACCGGCCAAAGCTTTGAAGCACCCAAAGTCAACAATCGGCGGATCTTATCCTACTCAGCCAACTCAGCCTTATTCGTCAACACCACCACCACTTTTTAAGGCCACGACACCCATTTCATCCAGCACCGACATTAAATGTGACGAGATTAACGTAACGGCGAATAACGGCCTTCTTCGCCGACCTCCTTCCACCCTACCAAGGAGAGCAATGCCCTAAGTTGCGAAGATGCCGACCGCCGCGACATCCTCCCACCTCTCCAACGCCGAGACCTTGTTCCTTACTGGCCTCGCCTTGGCCTGCGCCACCGTCCTTGTACGAACCTTTGAGGGTGAAGGTGAACCTCTGGTCGCATCTCTGGCTCTTAGTGGCCTCGCATTCGCCGCTAGCTATGCTATGATACGATGGCTTGGTCCTACCTTCATCAAGGCTGGATTGAAGGGTCGCGACTTATCCAAGGTGAACAACAGCCATTACATCCCGGAATGCATGGGTGGCATTTGCGCCGTGGTCTACATACTCATCATCATCATCTTTATTCCGTTCCCGTTTTACAAGGACATTGTGGTCGCTACTAGTGGTGGTGGAAACCGTGATGTAGTAATGAACGCAGAGTTTGTTCAGAAGGGAAGATTACTTCACAAGTTCCCGCATAGCAAGGTATGAAGCCTCTTAGCACCGGTAGTAAACTCCGATGACGTGAAGCTAACAGTTTCGCGATTCTCATAGCTGGCTTCCTATCTCTCTGCGATCATATCACTCCAATCAATCACTCTCCTTGGTATCGGCGACGACCTATTCGATATCCGCTGGCGGCACAAATTCTTCATTCCAGCATTCGCTTCGATCCCGCTCCTAGTCATCTACTTCATCGATTTCGGTGTCACCTCGATTGTACTCCCTACCTTCCTCCAACCCTACGTCGGTCGCGAGCTATTCGACCTCGGTATCCTCTACTATGGATACATGTCAGCATTCTCCATCTTCAGTCCCAACAGCATCAACATCCTCGCCGGAATCAATGGAATCGAAGTTAGCCAGAGTATCGTTATCGCCCTACTCTTAGCATTCAACGATGCCCTCTACCTACTCACACCATACCCTCATCCAGCGACCGACTCCCACTTATTCTCCCTCTACTTCCTCCTACCATTCCTGGGTGTCAGCTTCGCGCTGCTAATTCACAATTGGTACCCCGCCCGTGTCTTTCCCGGAGACACCTACTGTTACTTTGCCGGCATGGTGTTCGTGGTGGTTAGTATCCTAGGCCATTTTTCGAAGACCCTGATTCTCTTGCTGGTACCTCAGATCTTCAATTTCGTCTACAGCACACCTCAGCTATTCGGACTGATTCCGTGCCCGCGTCACCGCCTGCCGCACTTCAGCGCGCGAACTGGATTACTCGAGCCTAGCGTAACGAAGTGGGAGAAGGATAAGCAACCCCGCCCTATCATCGATAAGGCCCTACGATTATTAGCGCAGTTCAAGCTCTTACGTCTCAAGGAAGACGAGCAAGGCCGCATTGAAGAGACGAGCAACTTCACGATTCTCAACCTCTGGCTAGTCTGGCGAGGTCCAATGCGTGAGGACCGACTGGCTATGGAGATCACAATCATGCAGGCAGCACTAGGCCTTTTTGGCCTATTCGTCAGACACCGTCTGGCTCTTCTGATCTTTAGGGAAGATAACCTAAATATTGGAAGCACCGTCTAGCCATAAAAGCTGGATTTGCCTGGATTATTCATCCAAAGATACCCCTTTGCAATGTACAAGAAAAAAAATAGAACGCGAGTTGACATGTGGTTTCGCAGCCGAGCCACATTGTATATAATCGCATACACATGAATAAACGCGAGACCCGGTACGCCGCAGGTCGCTGATTTATGAAAGACCATCAATGTGTCCTTTAGTAAAGTAAACCCGTGCTTATTTATTGGTGTCCGTCACTTGTGATATATAATTCCACCCCGCCCTTATAGCGAACAAATCATATTGCTCTACTTGTGACGAATAGATCGGTCTCGTATCGCACAGATCTCTTATCCAGAAAACCATCCGAATCAAAATCAAGACCTAAAAAGGGGGAGCCAATCATACCAACTCCGAAAGTCCAAGTAGCTAAAACATGTGTGATATTAATAGCACGCACATCGGTTTCCCTGGTTGAGTGACGTGACAGGTCGAGCCCATCTCCTATCTAGCCCAAGGTGTATATATACAGACTTGGCTGTTGGATCCATTTAACAAGATTTTTATACGTACGTACGTACTCGTATTCTCAATTGGTTTCGAATAGACTATTTCGTTAGGTAGGCAACTGAGCACCGCCAATAATACGACCATTCCGGTTTTACTTAACTCCTAATGAATACCCTCACCTGAATCAAAACGGGTGATTCGGAACCCAACGAAACCAGCATACTAAACTACAGTACATATATTAGGTACACACATGCCCATTAGTTAACACCACCCGTGAGCACCTATACAATATGTACACAGCCAACACATCAACCCAAGTCTAAGCCCAGCAGTAGGACAAAGTCAACTGTATAAAGTTATGCGCCGCACCAGATCAAGTTTTCCATTTGCCCTTTCTCTATAAATTAGGGATGGATGACCGGTATTATATCATCCCATAGCCGCCGGCTTGATAACTCCGGCTCCTTCTAGCATCCATGCTTACTATCATTCTCCTCACCAAATTTTCACCAACGCCATGAAACCCTCTCACAAATACCTACGGCCCAGGGAAGCCGTCCCAAACATACGACCATCATCTCACCAAATATCGAACCCATGGATAGCTGACTCAGACATACCAATAGCAACGGCGTTAAGAGAAATAAGAGAAACGAAAAAGAAGCAGGATCTACGAACGAATCACTTCATAAAAAAAGGATTGGTTATACACTCTTTAACAAATCTTAATTCGGGTGGTATTGATTTCCTCCCGTACTGAACGTGATCTCCGTAAAGCTAGCTAAAAAAAGCTGCGGTCCTACCCTTCTAATCATGCAATTGTAGGTATCATCAACCCGCCTTACACGCCTGGACCAAAGCTTTCAGCTTCTAGTAGTAGTAGTAGTAGTACATGTGCACACAGGTATACGGAATCCCCACCTCCTTTTGTTTTGGACTCCGCCTTCATTTTTTCGAACCTCACATCTGCCCCTTGAACGATGAGAATGGTTCGGTCGTCACCCAACACAACAAATAGTCAAACCAAACCACGTAGAAGCTTCCTAGGTCCGAACAAGTAGAATTTTCGAATCGGTAACGAACATGGGAATTGCGAAGCAAATCGATCCCTTTTCAGAAGAATAACCCCGTGCCTATGCCCCGTCAAGGACCACACCATGTCCCTGAAATTACCCTCCCCAACGCCTAACGTGAAAAATGACATTGCCCTTCCGGCATGACAATCACTTCCAGATCCCTAAAACCCTAAGACCCCTAACCGAAGCATAGTTGAGAAGAGATGCACCTGATGATGTGCAACAGAAGGGGTGCTATAACGCAATAGCACCTAAGCTAGAGGTATACTTGTCCCATTATATACCTCAATGGATTTTTGACATAATACACTGTCCTAGTAGAATGATTTAATCCGTACTTTTATCGCCGACCGATGCATCAACCATCACCGTATCAGTACTGGTCGGCGACTTCGCCTCCTCTACAACGGTAGAAGGTGGCTTCAGTGATGTCGGCACCGGCTTGCTCGCCGCGGCCTTGTTCATTCGACTCTTTGTATAATCGCTTAGACTTAATTTCTTCTTGATTGGACTAGGCTGAACCGCAACGCCGTTTACCGACGATGGCGCGAAAGGGCTAGGTAGGTTACCAGTACTAAACGGCGATTGGACCGGGGTTCCGGTTGCAGACAATGGGGTTGTCGCATTTGGAGCAGCAGAACTATTGAATGCAGGTACAGGAGGCATCTGAACACGTAGCTCAGGTGACTTGGTCTTGATTGGTGCGGTCACGGGCGGCTTTAGGATCTGGGAAACTTTGTTTTCTGTGGCCGAGATTGATGGTGCATCCGTCATGGGAATATCGGTGGTTGAAATCATGGGCAGAGGTATTGGTTTATCTTGTTTTGTCTTCTCGGGCACGGTCGCTGATAAAGGGCGTTCCGTTGTGGGGGATTCTAAATCCATCTTGACTAAAGCAGACGTTACAGAAGTAGGCGAGGCGGCGTTGATCCCCTTCCTTCGTTCTTCATCTGCTCGTTGGCGATATCGTGTTCCAAGCAAGCGTTTTGATAGAGACACAACACGCTTCTTCGATTTTCGAGTTTCGATAGGACTGCTGAACCATTCCCCGTCAACAGGTTCGGTTTGGACGGAAGCATCGCGATATTCTGGAGGTCCCTGGGAGGAAAGTCGTGAAACACCTCGTGCGGAACTATTTCGTCGATCGTAGGGCAAGAAATGGTTGGTAGTATTCGGCGATATCGCACTAGAGGGTGAACCCGACATACTTCGTGAAGTGCCGGCGTCGACGTAGCGACGCTCCGTATGACCGTTTGGCATGGCGGTGGAATGTACAGACGAACCTCTTGGCTTAGCCTTTGTGGTAGAATTAGAACTACCAGTGCCATCTGAGGTCCGCTTCTTCTTTCGTGGCGGTTGTTGCTGCTCCATGCGACGGAATGAATCTTCAACCATTTGAACTTTGCGCTTGTCTCGATCGGTGAGTTCAGTTAATACCCCTAGTGTATCGAAAGAACCCTGTCGTGGAGCGGGTGTCATATCTCGGCTGGGTGGTTTACTGCGTGACGAACCAGAATCGTTATCCACACCATCATCGCCTTGACCCTCACTAGGGGCACGGCTATTGGTTGCGTGGCCAGTACTTGTCGGTGAGACGGCATTTGTCTTTACTTTCCGGGGTTTCTTTTTGGCGCCCTTGACGTCCTTCGAGTGTTGCGGCTTGAGAATGTAATTCCGATGAAAGCGAGCGAATGCACAGTCAGCGCCTAGATCGCACGCACATCCACCGTATTCCGAAAGAATAGCATGAACCCACGTAGCAATACTTTGATACGTTTCTGTCTCCTTTTCGTTATAATCCGGCTGAGGGCCCGAATCTTCATCGCCGAGGCCAAGCAGTTGCTCCCATCTTCGGGCAACATCTTTCTGCAGATTGAATTCCCATGGGATGGTAATCTGTTCGGAGGACGCTATCCGCCGATCGCTTACAAGCCAGAAGTGGTACTCGGAACTAGCGGATAGATAGGTGTCTAGTACCGCATTTGGTTTGCAACTTCGACGAACGTAGCGAGCTAGGGATCCTTCTTTTCGTGTGTCGATGTAAATGGGAAGCATAGGATGGAAGAAGACGAACGGAAGTGGTGAACTTAATTCCTTCCAACGATTCTCTGGATCTTCACAGTAGTCCTTCTGTATTCCAATCTGGCCGTTCAATTCCATCAAGGGCACGTCTTTGTCGACTGGTTCCGATGCTACAAGATGTTGCCAGTGTGCGACAGTATCGGGTCCTATAACCAGTTGTTTAGATTCCACACGCGGCGAAGCCTTGATCGATTCAATCTTCGGCGGTATAGTTTGGAAAACATCGTCGAAATCACACCCTGTCTCTTTCTTCAACTTGTCGCGATCCTGTAACCATATAGACAAAAGGTTCGAAATAGAAAGGCTAGCAAAGGAATTTGTTGGAACAATGGGTACATCACGATCGGCCTTATACAAATTGTAGAAGGCATTAGAATATTGTATTTCAAGCTCGGAGGGGATATCCGGCGGTGTCGTAGCGGGACTGGGTGGGTGGCCATGGGGATTGCCAGCCTTTGTTTGAACATATGAGGGACTGCGTTTTGGGTTCTGTGAACTGATGGATTGACTCGGTCGATGTGTGCTCTTGGATTTCTTGTGTTGGTGTATGGGAGTGTGTTCAAGGGAGTATTTGGTGCTCGTGTCGGAACCAGTGTGACCATTTGGTGCTAAATCTGTTGGTTTGGCTTTCTTCTTGGTGCTCTTGGTCGGAGGGCGCTTAACCTTCCTTTCGGAGGCCTCGATCGAACTAGGTTTACTATGTCGCAATCGTTGGCGCTCAAAGGCACTATCGTGGTCAAGCGGTCGTGGTTTGCAATCGGCACAGGAGTGAGCAAAGTCTTCTCGCAAGGCTTCCTCGGTGTTGAGGGGGTAGTAGCAATCGATATGTTGCCAGGTATCACACGTTTCGCAATAAATAGTGTTCCCGTCATCGTCAGAGAAGTGACAGATACACTTGATCGTGTATGGTTCTTCTTCGATCGGCGCCTGCACCTTATTTGAGCCATGATTGTTCAATAAGGAAAGTGTGGATTTGGGACTAAGGACGGCCGTCTGACTCGGAGTCACTGATTGCGTCGGTAGAGATGAGATCCTGTCTGTCATAATCTAACATACACCCCAAGAGGTGATTGCTAGCGAGTTGAAATGTAGGGAAATGGCGTTTTATCGTAGAAGCCCGGATGGCATGACGACGAATCCGGGTTCGACAAGATCGCAATCGATTCCTGTGGATTTCGGTAATGGGATAAAGACGTGTCGGAAATTCGTACAGCGATATCGAGCGAATTGCAATTACAGTTAACGGCGCGTTAAGATAACGGTGTTATTATCGTTATTGTTATGAAAATCAGAGTTGACACGCCCGGACTCGAAATGTGGGCGCGGACTAGTACAAAGGACAGGTTCGAAAACAAAAGAAAATTCCACGTTATGATGTCGGGTAGACGTTATGATCTGATCGTCTGACCGTAAAGAAAAAATTAAAGGAATATCATGCCACGGTAGTACGTGTTGTTGAGTAGAATAATAGAATGAATGAAGACTGAGCGTGTTCGCGAAAAAGGGCGTGGCGACAGGAAATGACAGTTTCGAGCTTTTTTTTTCTTTTCGCCTTTTGCTGGGTCGACGAAGAATGCGCCTCGGGGTAGAATGGAATTGGAACGGATCGGAGGAGAGTGACGAGTTCGTAATTAGGTTAAGTTTAGTGGTATCTCGAAAGATTCGACGCTCGGGACCCAAGGAAATGTAATTCTTGTTTGACTTGTCGCGGGGAGTTGAGGGTGAAAGGATGAGGGAGAATGGAGGAGCACGGGAAGAGAGAGTAGGCTGTGTGTAGGGTGCGGCGTAGGGTGCGTAGGCCGTAGGCAGAGTGCAGAGTGCAGAGCGAAGAGTTGCAGCAGCAAGGGCCGATGGGTGGAAAACAGAGAATGCGCACCAAAGAGATTACCTACCTAGGTACCTCCTACCTGCTAGGCCGTACTGGGTTCTGCTGGTTCTGGCTGGGCTGCCCTGCAAGAGCGGAGAGGGAAGCGCGAGCGTTGCAGGGCACCTGCAGCTCTCATTGATAATTTTAAGTAGTGGTGCGTGCCTCAGCACCAATTGGCGTCGCTCTTGCGTCGTCGTAGTGAAAGAGAAAGCGGGAAAGAATAGTGCCTGTGAAGGCTAGTACATACTGATGTACCGGTACTTTACCGTTTCTATTGTGTTATTGTGTACCGTTGATACACAATAGCGTAGTGCTGTGGTGCAGCAGCAGCAGCAGCAAGAAGCAGAAGCAGCAGTGGATGGGGCAGTAGGCAGTGGGCAGTGCCCCCATTTGCTCACTAGCGTGTGGCTTCTGGTACTGCTGTACTGCTGGTACCGCTAAAGTATTCCGCTGTCTGTCCCGGTTCTGCGGGGCCACTTGGAAGATTTTCGGTGCTAGAACCACCAAAATATGATCCCCGTCAAAACTCACCTGGGCAGCTGGTTCGACCATCCCGCTGGTGAGAAAAGTGCAACCAGTAAAAAGTGGAGACGGACTCGAAATAGGAAAAGGAGAGGGGAGCGGAAGCGGAAAGGAAATGAAAGAGTCGAGACACGACCAACCTGTTCTGCCTGTGTACATCAGCAGGCGTACCAAGAAAAAATAATAAAAACGAAATCAATAAAAGATAACGATAAGAGCATGGGCCATCATGCAGCCGAAAAAAAGGTCCTACTGCACTAGAGAGAGAGCTATGTATGAGGCAAGAATAAAAAGGGGGACATGGGGAAAGAAAAGATGGAGGAAGGATGGGAAAGTGTGCGCGGCGAGAGGAGCAAGCAAGAGGGGAGAGAGAGACGGCGATGAAAGGGAAGAAGGAACATTGAAGCCACTCACATGGAATGCACTTGCATTGCGTGCCCTGGCGCATTGGGCAATCCTCGAGACAAGAGACTAAGCCGGAATGGGGGTGGGTCACAGCGTACGGGATCGACCAATGAGAATATCCGGGCTTATGCTTCCAAGGTTGTAAGCTAGTACCCTATGTAAGTACCTCCTGCAACCATTTTTACAAGGCACTCCAAGGCATCAAAGAATTCGATCCGGCTTCGATCGCCCACGGCTGACAGAAATAGCGTATGTGATAGAAGGGAATCATCATTTCTTGTAACGAGGCGACCAATTTTGATAGTGAAGCGAAGCCGAGGAATAATTAGACTCTAGAGACCAAATTAGAAAAGCTTCTAGGATATATCTAGACCCATATTTAGAATAAATTTGCTTTGGCGTATAATATATATAGATATGAAATTATTCTGATCGGGATGATGGCTGAACACGCAGATGTGTATGAGATTGGTAAAAAAGAAAGAAATTTAGCTTGGTGGTAAGTAGGTAAGATGGGAGAAGGGCACAGTTCAACGACGCACACAATACTAAAGATAATGTATGTAGCTGTGGATGATATGTTTTCTTACTCCGTAGGTACAAGCCTGCAAATATGAGGGGAAGAATTTATGTTATGACGAAAGGGTCAATAGAAGTAGCTTTTCCTGTAAGAGCCGAAGACTAAGCTATCCATGGATCCCTGACACAGTGTATGTGGCAGAAATGGGTCTCGGTGCATATTGATTGGGTAAGAAGAAAAGATGGGTGTTTTGAAAACTTGAAATCTGTCTGGAGGCGGGGGCTTTCTCTTAGAGTCACAAGGATATTCCATGACAAAGCAGATGCACCTAACTAAAAAAACGGTAAATTTAGGTAAATCGTGCCGTTCAAATACGCTAAAAGTTTATTTATTTTATTATTCCGTATGTTATTGCGTACTTTATAAAGTATAATAGATGCGATTTATTTAAAACAGTCTGAGAATATTCGCATTTGCGCTTAGCATGAAAATAAATAAATTCCAAGTGTTTTTTTTCCTCTTCTTTACTTATCGGGTTACACTTACCTATGTACCAGTGAGTCGATTTGTAATTCAAGGTGTCGAGCCAGTAACTGAGAATGGAGGTGAGAGATAAGATTTCGTATAGCTTCATCGCAACACATAACTGCTTCTGTACGATTGGATGATTGCTTATTGAGAGGACCCTGGTATGCAAACTTTTGGAATATAATATTCCGTTTGGTTGTCTGGTCCCGGACTTGCGGCGTTCTTCCTGCAAGATGATCGTGTGATTGATATTAAAAGTTAATGATTCGTAGGCATGTTGGCAGAGCCTCGCTTCGTCGCAGCTACGTACACAGCTGTTCTGAATGCGCTCCCTGACCGCTTCTCCCAGCAGTCCACTCACCCGTGTGCGTGTGAGAGGTGTGAGAGACAAGCAGTTTTGATTGTGTCTTCATCAATACGGTAAAGCACGTAAACGTTTCGACCAAGATTCGACTCTTGGATTACAGGGTCTCGATGGCCTCTCGTTGGTTGCATTCCGCCTAGAAGAATGCATGACATCGTGGCTATGCTTGCAGTCTAGTCTCACATGCCCAATCATCAATCCGTATAGAGTAAGAAACCCTGTATTCGCACCAATGAATTCGAGCTCGTCGGGTGTTGCAGCTGTGTGAGTCGTCCTTGTCCCTCGGTTATAAACTAGGCAAAAGTCAAAGTTGTAATGCAAATATTTCCACGAATGCGTCTACCAACGTCAATGTTGCCTCCCTCACCTTCTTGTGTGCCACTCGATGATAACCCAGGGAGATAATGAACCCGATATAGACGAGAATTGACATCAACTACACGTGTTAGTTGGTTGTGTCACACAAATCTGCAAACGTCTGCATGCGACCTAGACTTTAGTTGCCAAATTGACCTCAATATCTTCTTGAACCGATTCATCCTGTTGGTACCAAGACATTGTGCAACTCCACGACTCTAGTTGCTAGAAGGCGAGATATCATATCATAAGTTACTCTGGATTCGAAAACTCTGGCGCGTAGATTCACGTATTATAATGAGTAATATATTGATGTAACGGCACCGTGTACTGTCAATGGTTAGTCCATAAAGTTTTGCTTACGCGTGTCCGGGTGATTGCAGAAGAAACAGCATATTTTAATGTCTTGACTGTAAGAGGATGGCCCTAGAGAGGTATATGACAATCAAAATCCATGCTTATGACGAAAACCTATAGAAGCAATAAAATATACTCAACCAATAGAATTAGCGCGCTGAGAAGGAAAGCAAGAGCTTTTTACACAGTGCAGGAGGGGCTGCGCGCGATTTGCGATTTCGGCTACCGTAGAAGGCGTAACTTGTACATGTGTTTCCCTCTTCTTTTCCTTCTTGGGTAAGGCTTTGCCTTCGATGTTGCAAGCTGACTTAGACTGTCAGAACATTCGAACCTTCCGTTCGCCAGACCCATATTCTACGCTTTCCACTAACGCACTAGCGTTCTTGAAGCGGGGCAAATAATGGGTCTTATTCTATAATAATAAACTACGAAGGTACACCTCAGATACTTCTATGAACAATTCGTGGATAATCTTGACCTTGTATTATACTTAGGTATAGCTATATCCGGTAATCCGACGGAAGTATCTTCTACCTTTGTCAAATTTATAGATACGCTACCTCACTTTATATCACGAAACTTCATAGATCTCATATTTAGAGTAATTTCTCTCATCATTATCTATTAAATTTTTGAGGCTTTACCGACTACTACGGCTGTCGGCCTAATTATTATTAAACATTTTCACATTATGAGTCGAGCCACTTCGTTCGCGCTATCAGCCAAGCTCATTCGATAGCTCGTTCCAGACGACATGATCAGAGACAGTCTCAATCATGACGAGACTCATTCCAGAGTAGATCAGTACTCCTTAGTTACGATTTTGCACCAGGAAAGGCGTCCGAGCTTCCAGCCTTAATAATATCCGCTGCCTATCACCCATCATAGTCAGCATTGTCATCGTCAAGTCTAAATACGAATTATCAACTAGGAGACTTACCTTCTCGGCAATAGCGTATACCGTGGCCTGTGTATGTGCACCTGGAAGCAATGGTATTACTCCCGCGTCAACCACTCTCAAATTCGCCGTACCGTACACTCTCAGTGATGGATCTACAACCCCACCTAGATTCTGGGGTAGCATGGATGTTGTACCGCTGAAATGGAAGCCGGTTGTGATCATAGCCCGCATCGTTTCGTCAAGAGATGTTTCATTTCGAGCGTCTGCGGTGCCAAAACCTGGCGGCGGTACCGGCATCAACGCGGCCATCGGCGACGTTGCTATCAGATGATCGTTGAATTTAATGCCGAGAAGAAGCAATTTGCAATCGATAGAGTTTGAGCAATACCGAGGATCAACAATGGGCTGGGTATTATCGAAGATAGACGAGGACCTCGCTAAGACCGTGCCCCGAGAGAATGGCTGCATCGCACTTACTGCCAATTGACCCCAGGATGTCGACATAAGCTCGTATGTTGGTGTATCTGTACGTGAAAGGAAGCACAGTGTCTCGTTCTTCTGCGCGGCGTATCCTGCACGAAGGGTTGAGTCGTACGAGGATGGCAGGTTGCTAGTTGTGTTAACAGCTTCGTCTAGTAATTCGCGAAAATTATCCGTAACCCAACTTAGGGCGGGAAACGCAACCGCATTCACCATTGGTGTTGTCCAGGGTCCTAATTTCTGTAAGTATATCGAAGCTAACGACTAAGAGCAGAGTAAGGCATACCTGTACGATTGGCTAGGTATTCTTCTCGGACGGCATCCCTCGTAGCCCCTACGATATCCTGTACGGAGAACACATCGGGCGCGGTGTCTACTTAAAAATTAACAAACAAAACATGGAGAATAAAGACGGGTTAAACCCACACTTATAAACGGGTTGCAAGGTGGGATGATCCTGGAAATTACTCCCTACGCCCGGGAGGTCGACAGCGACATTTACCCCCAAGTCCTTTAGATGTTGGGCAGGGCCAATGCCGGATATTTGCAACAAAACGGGCGATAGGATAGCACCGGCGGCGAGAATCACCTCCTTATCGCATGTTACGTTCATCATAGTGCCGGTCACATTTGAAGCAAACTATTAGGCACGTGAAGTTAGCAAAGTCACGCCAGCGAATGTTTAGATATCAAAACGGCAACCTGGGAACTTACCTCGACACCGGTAACATTTACGATGGGAGTATCGCGCGAAGCGATCGCGTTGCCACTACTATTGTGCAAGATATGAGTAACAGTGTGGTTAGTCACGAGATGCAGATTATCCCGTCCCAGCGCAGGATCAAGATACGCAGTGCGCGCATCGGAACGAGACTGGTTCTTTTGTGTCATGCTGCTGGGGACGACAGTTGCGCCTGTGGCATTTCCGCTATTGGGATCTTCATTGACAGGTATCCCGAGTTGTTGGACGCCGTCGAGGAAGTTATCTTTAAAGTTAATCAGTCAATCATTCCAATCTAACGAGAAGGAAAACGACTTACCAGATTGGTTATAATAATAATTAGGATAACCAACTTCGACTGGTCCTTGATCGCCATGTTTTCCATTGACAGGATGGACAGGTACAGGGATTTTGCATGCCGATATGTCATGGTCTCTCGTGGAATAGGTTTCGGACTACATAATTCATGTTAGGCAAACAATCCAAAGACGACGCTAGGATACAGGGGAAGAGGAGGTTAGGTCGACCTGACTTACCTTCCGGAAGTATGGTAGAAGACCGGACCATCCCCAGCCAGGGTTACCAAGACGCTCCCAAGCGTCGAAGTTAGCCGTCGAGCCCCTGGTCCACACGAGACCATTAACTATCGTGCCGCCACCAACAGCCTTGCCCTGGCTAACAGTTCGCGTTTTGTTATCGAGGAACTCTTGCTCAGTCATGGTTAGCTTTACCTCGTACCGACGAGGGTCCTCAAATCCGACGCTCCCAGGGATTGAAACATCTTCACCACGATCATCTCTAAATGTGGCTACAGTGGTTAGTAAAGCGAGAGAAAAGGTGGTAATAGGGCGCGCTAATAACGGAACGACCATCCCTTGCACCTTACGAGGGTTTCAACATACAAATCTCCAGCTTCAATAACCAGCACAGATACTGTCGGTCTATGTTAGTACTATGCTTCTGTGACGAGCGAAGGTAATATCAATGTCTTACCTGATGGATCCTCCGTTAGGCGATTAGCAACGACGAGACCACCTATTCCTGCTCCCACGACAATATAGTCATAGCTATCTCGGAGCAGCAAAGCGCCATTGGGGGCCGGGGAGATACGTATAGCAGAAGCAAGGGGCGGCAAGAGGTTAGCGGCAAGCGGGAAGGCGACGGTACTCGAGAACCTCATAGCGATGCAATTTCTAACCAAATTTCTAGGTGGAAGTAGATGTGTGTCGTGAGGCTGAGTGAAGCGACATGCTTGAGGGTTCATCAACAAGTTGAATATATATACCTAGGTAAGAATCCCGGTTGTGTAGAAATGCGCCAGCCCACCTCACGGACAGATTTGATAAACAAACAATGCTTGGCTCGTTCATGCAAGCGCACTGTATGTTTGCCTAGCGGCTATTCCGACTCGGCGACAACCAAGATCCTACGACTCCGTGATTCCGATCTGTTCTTTATCCCTATATCCTTTGAGGTCGGAATCTTAAGGTCTTAGACCCGGTGATATTGTGGATTACCATTACGGACTCACTCATAGACTTGGATTCATGCGTGTATATCACTGGATAGTTTGATATGATCCGTGTAATTACCGGACCAAACAATTCACTATTACGCTGTCTTAGTAGAGGCAGTAGAGAATCACGGATGTGACGCGAAGTAATATATTCCGCACACACATAGTTAAACCTCAATGTTGGGACTCACCGTTGCGTAACGGGATGATATAGACAACCTTGGAACCTTTCTTTACGAATTTCTGCTTAGGATAAAGATTTTGATACTTTCACATGCTTCATACCTCCTATCTATTCGCCATGAGATGAAATATCATATTATTCTACCTAGGTATGGACCCCTTGATACCGCCTAGTAAAAAATTTTTCGAGATCGTAACTATTTTGCTTTGTTCTGGAGGGGCAGGAGGGGGTGCCTAAGTATGCCTTGCACGTCCCTTAACTCCTTAAATTTGACTACCCCCTTTTTTTGCTTTTTCTTGTATACAGGTACTTGGGATAAGCATCATCATGGTTTCAGCCACTATCTTTCCGCTACTACTTTGAAGGCGGGTAGTCCGAATCAGTTGTAATTTTAAATCTGAGAATTTAGCTGTCGTGAAGGATAATGCTATATAGCTTCACAAGTAATGAGGTATGGTTGCTTTGGAGAAGCTATTGCGCATAAGGAGGCTAGACCTTGTTAGCTCTTAACGTCCAATAAGAGAATGCGTACGCCTGCATAACCACGTGCATCATGAGCTTAAAAAGACAATATATAAATCTTATAAAATAAATCGAATTACCTAAACTCGTGGGACCAATGCAAGCTGAGGTCTCCTAGGTGGGTTGGTATATATATATATGGGCTGCTCCATAAGTAGTGATGCGTTGGCATTCATCCGAGGGAACCGTGATAATACAATGGGCTTCCGGATTGAGATAGCGGCAGAGACCCTCCCTCAGTTCGCTAAACTATTTGGAGAATCTGCAAGAAATATCGGAGTTCCAAAGGATGGCAATGAATGGATTCTGAACGCATCGCGGCAATTCAGGGGGTAGGGGGAAGAACATCAAGTTTGCATCGTGAGAGTTTGCCCCACTATGTAGAAGATCGTCAGTAATTCACGTAACGTAATTCAGATGTAAGTAGGTATCTTGGTGGGTAGGTATTAACGAAGGCAGTGCAAACATTGAGCCATTTCTTACTTCTAAATAAGTGGCTAATGTAATTGACAATACGATTCGCTCGAGCGACTACTAACAACGCCCTTCGTCTGACAAGAAATTTGCGGTGACAAGATAAAGACAAGAAGGGAAATCCGACGATGGCAGGATGGCTAGATGGTCACTTCCAAGGAAGAAAAAAAAAGTCTTCAGTCTGATGTCACACCTGGAGGGGCCTAGACTATAGGCGCATCGGGCAGGTGTAAGGGACGATCGAGGGGCTAAATCGATGCCGATAGCGGTGCAACCCACTATCAATTTTCCCTAGCCCGTGCCGTCCTCAGCTTCTGTTAGTGCTGTTAGCGCTTGTCGTGCGTCGTCTTATCGGTTCGTTATCGTAGCTTGAGTCACTGGAATTTGAGAATATATTAAAGTTGGATTCCCACCAAAACTGAACAACTCCAAAGACTGCTTATTCTTCCAGTTTAGAATTGATGCGATCCGATATGTGGTAGTTGATATAACTACTTATCGACTGTTCTCAAATCCAAAATGCTCCGCGCACTATGACAATGCGTCTTATGGCCTGGAAGAGGGCAATTTCGAATTCGAATGTGAGGCCTCTCTCTACACACGGCGTTCGGAGTTGACTTCTTTCGAAGGCCAACTGAATGCGATATCTTGATTTATTCATCGTCTCGTAGTTGATTTAAACAATAAATTGTATAAAATTGGCTGATCAATTATAGACGTCGTCGACCAAGGACCCCATTAGAATCAATGGCTCCAATCCATTGTCGTTGTCGGTTGCGCGGAGTGCCCCAAATTGCGGTGGGCACTCGATAACGTTCACCTCTTCGTATACCTCTATATCTAAATCACAGAAACAAAGGAAGAGACTCGACCGAGTATTATATACCACCAATAATTGAAAGCTGTAGTATTCTAATCTTAAGTTAGGATTTCTTCGTCTCTGTCCTCGAAACTTCCGTCACCAAGCGAGATGCCAAGGCTTATATGAACAAGTTTGTACCTGTGTTGGAGAAGAAGGGGGCCACAAATTTCAAGCAGCGCGCGGTTCAGAACCGCCCGATTAACGAGGAAATCTCCCCCGAAAAGTCATCCCCGATTGATGCCGTTATTACCAAAACAGATGTCGCGCAAGGACCGAAACCCGAGCCAGATCTCGCAATCCAGGTGCCCTTATATGTCGCTTTAGTCAAATTCCGTGTCCCCCAGGAGGTCGATGATGAAACACTAGATGGAGTTGGGAAGACCCTCAGCCAACTCAGAAAGCTCGGTTTAATTAGTATTGTGGTGGTTGATTGTGGCATCACCAGTGAAGATGAAGCTGTGAAACGGCAAACAGCTACCGTGCAGGCCAACCGTATTGCGACGGCAATCGACAACTATGATGCTCCGGGGGCACGAGTGATAGACTCGCCGATTACTATCGATGCCCCCGCCGAGGGGGATGGTTCACACTTTACTTCACGAGGCTTGTTTATCGGCAACCCTAATGACTTGATGTCCGCATTACAGGATGAGGTGGTTCCAATCATCTCTTCTTTCGGTTATACAGCCGATGCTTGCGCAGTTAAGCAAGTGAATGTCAATGATGCTATATTGGCCCTCACTAGACAATTATCGGGTCTCCAGTTTATAGGTCAACCGGTCGAAGATTTGAAGTCGATACAGACGTCCAGGTCCGCCGAGGTGTACCGATTGATTGTGCTAGACCCCCTGGGAGGGATCCCAGCTAGGAATCGAGCTACGGGAAGGCATCTATTTCTAAATCTAGAGCAGGAATTTCAAGAGGTACAGAATGATTTGACCTCATTAGTGTCGCCCAACTCGGATGGCCCGAGTCCAGACAGGCTACAACACTTGGAGAATGCCGAGTTAGCAAAGAACGTTTTGTCTTTGCTGCCGCCAACCTCTTCTGCCGTAATAACGACTCCACACGAGGTAGCGAATGAACGAGCGCCGGAGGATAGTCTCGTAGATTTGGCACTTGTCGGCACAAGACGCAAGCAGAACCCGCTAATACACAGTCTTTTAACTGATAAACCTATTCAGTCGTCCTCACTACCTACCGAGCGTTTCAGGCCATTCACATCTTCCGCTGGCACGGCTCAAATTGGCTCGCTGACAACTTTAGCTAAACGTGGTATGCCCTTGACCATATTACCAGATCCTCGAGTCACTCCATGGAAACCTCCCCAAGTAGGACAAAGAGGCCTAAATCTCACAGATCCATGCATTGATCTCCCCAGACTAGTAAACTTAATCGAGGACTCATTCGGCAGGAAACTAGATATCGATGATTATTTGAAGAGAATACATGGTAATCTTGCTGGCATTATCATCGCAGGAGAATATGAAGGGGGTGCACTTTTGACATGGGAGAAACCTCCAGGCCTAAGCGATGCCGAAGCAGCCGGCTCATATCGGCTCGTACCTTACTTGGACAAGTTTGCCGTGCTTCGCAAAAGCCAAGGAGCTGGTGGAGTGGCCGATATCATTTTCAACGCTATGGTTCGAGACTGCTTTCCACATGGGGTCTGTTGGAGGAGCAGGAAGAACAACCCTGTCAACAAATGGTACTTTGAACGGTCGAGAGGATCACTGAAGTTCAATGACATGAACTGGACCATGTTTTGGACGACTCCGCACTTGGCGTTGGATGAGCAGAGGTTCCAAGATTACGAAAGCGTCTGTCGGGGTATTAAGCCGTCCTGGGCTGACAACCTACATGTTGTCGATTAAAAACTTACCAAGCTTGAACACGCCAAGATTTAGGGAATATGGACTCAAATTTCAAAGTACTCAATTTACCGTATGGCGAGAAATATTGAAATTATCGTGGTTTCGGCGTGCTTACCATGTGTCGATAGATATGATTTTGCAACATAGAGGTCCAATTTTCTGCTCTTGGCCTATCAGACCACTCCTATAATGATTTTATACAATTTCACATGCTGGCATCCGATGCTTAATACGCAAAGATTTTCCCTGAATTATTATTCGACAGGGAAAAACGGGCCACAACATTGTTAGGTACAATTGTAAATAACACCTCGCTCTCATAAGACGTATCAATACAAAGCGCCTTTCTATGGAACAAACTGCAGTACCTTTTGTCCACGTATCGTACAAATCATCATGAGGTTCCGGAATCCGAATAGGCACACCTAGGCTTGCGTCGCGGGGCGGCAAGGCGGCAAGCGGTCAGGATGTAGAAACCCCACCATCGTGGTTGGCATTACATACATCTGGTCTTGGTGGGGGAAAATAGGTGGAATTTTTTAAAAAATGGGGGGGGGGGGGGGGTGTAAATGGATTGGCAGCTTTATGGGGTGGATATAGAATTGGGCTTGTTCTGATCGGGTCTTACAGTAAGTACCTTTTCCGACTTGATTCTTTACTATGACAATCAACTCAAAGAAGTGAAGACTACCACAACAAAGCTAAACTCTGGATAGAATATAATGGAAGATAAGAATTAATTGTCTGTTCGAGGTTAGACTAAGAGCTTGAATTAAAATTCAAAATAATTGTAGAAATTGCAGCTCGATGACTAAATTGTGGCTTCCGTGGCGTGTATATATATATATATGGAGCCTTACCTCATCGGTACATACATTTGAGGTGGGTACATTATGTACATTCGTAACTAGGAAATTACCTGGACAATGTAGATAACACTCGAAATATCCAGAACGTTCGGAGAAGGCTGATATTACACCCGGGCGTGTAACAAGTGAGGGGCTCAGAGAAAACGCTAAGGTTCATAGTCTTCGCGCAACTCCCACTTCGCATTTTCGGGCAGCTTTTTTTTTCTAAGGTCAGAATCTTTTTTTTTCCTTTGCGGCAAACACGACATTCCAACCAAACCACCATCGGAATTCTCGTTTCTCTCTCTGTCTAGTACACTGAGGCCGTATTTGACGAAATTAAATTTTGCCTTCGCCAGAATCGATCAAAAAACTCGTAATTCTAATCCGGCTTAAGGTAACGGCTCACGACGTTTCCTGACATCCCCGCAGTCAAACATCACTTTTATTTGTTTACCATAAGTCTTGTTCCGCACATCCCACCAAGATGAGTGTAGTTGGTAGGTTTCAATTACAGCGCCGACATAGGCTAGGCTTCCGGGTGGTAAAGTAAATAAACTAATCATTACTTCGAATAGGCGTCGATTTCGGAACCCTGAACACTGTTATAGCAGTCGCCAGGAATCGAGGTGTTGATGTCGTACGTACAGCCCCTCCATCTTGTTTCTTTTTCTTGATAACTAGAAACGAGGCTGATCACAATATGAATGACAGATCACCAACGAAGTCTCGAACCGAGCCACACCGTAAGTTTGAAAATCACAATTTTGCGCTTTATTTACGTCATATGCTAATATTTTGTGAATTTAGGTCGCTAGTTGGTTTTGGGCCCAAATCTCGATATCTCGGCGAACCCGCGAAGACCCAAGAGATCTCTAATCTCAAGAACACCGTTAGCTCGCTAAAGCGCCTGGCCGGACGAACCGCCACAGACCCCGACATCCAAATCGAGCAACAATATGTCTCTGCTCCCCTCGTCGACGTCGGTGGCCAGGTCGGCGCCGAGGTCTCCTACTTGGGCAAGAAAGAAAAGTTCTCCGCTACACAGTTAATCGCTATGTACCTGAGCAAGATTAAGCAGACGACTCAAAATGAGTTGAGGCTGCCTGTATCAGACCTCGTCATCAGTGTACCTGCGTGGTTCACCGATGTCCAGCGAAGAAGTCTTCTCGACGCGGCTGAGATTGCTGGTCTCAAGCTCCTCCGTGTGATGAACGACACAACTGCCGCTGCCCTCGGCTACGGTATCACAAAGCTAGATCTCCCCGCTGCCGAGGAGAAGCCTCGCCGAGTAGCATTCATCGATATCGGTCATGCCGATTATTCCTGCTCTATTGTTGAATTTAAGAAGGGTGAGCTCAGCGTCAAGTCGACAACCTACGACCGCCATTTCGGTGGCCGAGACTTCAACCTGGCCTTGGTAAACCACTTCCACAAGGAGTTCAAGGGCAAGTATCGGATCGATATCACTACTAACCCCAAGGCTATGGTCCGTGTCGAGGCCGCCGCCGAGAAGCTGAAGAAGATTCTATCTGCCAACCAACAGGCTCCCATGAACATTGAGTCGCTGATGAACGATATCGATGTCACGGCTATGATCACGCGACAGGAGTTCGAGGCTCTCATTGAGCCGCTGCTAAACCGTGCCACGGTGCCCCTGGAGCAGGCTCTCGCCGAAGCTAAACTTGGAAAGGAAGACATCGACGTGATCGAACTGGTTGGTGGTTGCACCCGTGTCCCCGCTCTCAAGGAGCGTATCCAGGCTTTCTTCGGAAAGCAACTCTCCTTCACCCTCAACCAAGACGAGGCTGTTGCTCGAGGTTGTGCTTTCAGCTGCGCCATTCTCTCTCCCGTCTTCAAGGTCCGAGATTTCGCTGTCCAAGATATCGTAAACTACCCCATTGAATTCTCTTGGGAGAAGGATGTGGACATCCCAGATGAGGATACAAGCCTCACGGTCTTTAACAGAGGCAATGTTCTTCCTTCGACTAAGATATTGACATTCTACCGAAAGCAAGCGTTCGACTTGGAAGCTAGGTACGCCAAGCCCGAGGAGTTGCCCGGCAAAGTTTCGCCCTTCATTGGACGATTCTCCGTCAAGGGTGTCAAGGCTGACCCCAAGACTGAATTCATGATCTGCAAGCTCAAGGCTAGGGTAAACATTCACGGTGTCCTTAATGTGGAGAGTGGATACTACGTCGAGGACCAAGAAGTCGAGGAGGAAGTTAAGGATGAGAAGGATGGCGAGAAGAAGGATCCTGACGTAAGTAATAACCACTATCCCTTTTTTCAACTCCATTTCACGGGCGGGAATCGGGTTGTTGCGAATAAACGCGCAAGCTTCGATCCCAAGTGATTTGTAGTGGAATTATGGATTCCGAAATAATGAGAGCGAATTAAGCTAACCAATACCGTAGGCAATGGAGACCGATGACAAGAAGGAAGGCCAGCCTAAGACTCGAAAAGTTAAGAAGCAGGTCCGTAAGGGTGATCTACCGATCGTTGCCGGCACAACATCTCTAGACGGAACCACCAAGAACGACCTTATCGAGAAGGAGGCGAATATGCTTGCGGAAGACAAACTTGTCGCCGACACCGAAGAGAAGAAGAATGAGTTGGAGACGTACATCTACGACATGCGTAACAAGCTGGATGACCAGTTCGCCGACTTCGCTAGCGAGGAAGAGAAAGACAAGCTAAGATCTAAGCTAACGGAAAGCGAGGTGAGTCTTGTTATCTAATTAGTATGCTATGGAAGAAGCTAACAACATTTAGGATTGGTTATACGAGGAAGGTGAAGATGCTACCAAGGCTATCTACATCGCCAAGATGGACGAGATTCGAGCTATGGCCGGTCCCATCACGCAACGTTACTTCGACAAGGTAGAAGCAGACCGACAAGCCATTCAAGCTAAGCTTGATGCCGAAGCCGCCGCTAAGAAGGCCGCCGAGGAGGAAGCCCGAAAGGCTGCAGAGGCTGAGAAGGGTGACGCCCCTAAGGACGAAGAAATGACAGATGCCGAGGCGGCTAAACCTGAGGTTGAAGAGCCTCAGTCGTAAAGGCTCATAGATCCAGTCTTTTCAATACGACAGCTCACGCAGTCGACATGATGACAAAATTCTCTTGACGATCAGATGCATACCCTAGGCATAAAACGGACGATGATTGTGCGCATGAAGAGAAGACAAACAGAAATAAAAAGAAAATCAAAACCGTAATGATTGTATGGTAGGAGGAAAGGGTAAGGGGGGCAAATCTGGCGGACACCGGAACTAGGCATCGTTCAAGGGGGGGTCCTTCATCATCAAATCATTCATCATTTTGCGGTGATTCATGACGAATAGAATTTTTGTTGTCTCGTTTGCGAACCGGAAAGGGGAATAGGGGTTATGACTCTAGCAGTGAGCAGAACTTTAGATAGACCAGAAATGAAGGTTATTTGATGAACTTTTGATGCTTAAGTAATTGAGTGACCAAGTAATTGATTGTAATGTTGTTGGTGTTGATGGTCGCGGGGGAAAATAGGGGGAGGGGTAAGGCGGGGCGGGTGGATATTCAGGGGTTATGTTCAAGGTGAATGTCGATTCTTGCAACCTATGCTGATTAACCCGCCGCGGCTCTTATAAAAAATATTGCCATATTGAGAAAGGGAGTATCGTGTTTTGCATCGGCGTATAATGTCATCACATATATTACAGTATATACTATGCTAAATACGGAGATTTTAAACGGAATTAGTAACTTGGTAAAGTACATTGGGCTGCAATTACTGATATCTGCAAGGTATGGAAATCTTCGCCTAGATTTACCCGCATAACCCATATCAACAACGAATCAGAAACCAAGTCGTAAGTCCCGTACTTATATCCGTTCTTCTCTCCGAACCTTGGAAGATAGGGCTTATTGGAGAGATAGTGGTATTATAGTTGGATGAGTAATCGCCCGGGTCACAAGCGATTACATACGTGTAAATATAGAAAGAAGCTAAAGTATAATAGATAACATGTCGTTCTAGGTGAGCGGGGTTGTGGGATGTTAGTGAGAGTTGAGGTGTGATGTTCTTCTAAGTATATTGGAATTACTGATATAAGATGACTTGTTGCGTGGAGAAGTAAGCGATGTTGGAAAGCGTATAAGTACTTTAGTGATGAACATTGACTGACCCACCTTGTCTTCATCTCTGTTTGCGTCCTATCTCATTTCAACACTCTCTTCGCATGTGAAAGGTGTGTATCTCTAGCTTCTTTCTTACCTACCTTACTGCGTATACCCCCAGCTTCATATCATGCCCATCGACTTCCACCTCAGCCTTTCCGAGGCCGGTATAAGAACCGCCGCCGCAGGTTTCGCACAGCAAGTCCTCAAACCATCACGAGCCGAGTACTTGAAGTATAATCAAAGCCATGAGCGATTCCAGGCTACCCAACCTACTTATGCCGCAGCGACTAAAGGTGGCCTGATCAAAGGCCAAGTCTCGCCGCGTCTTGGTGGTAGTGGTGGATCACTTATCGAGGCAGCTATTATGGTGGAAGAGTGTTATGCGGTGGAACCGTCTACGGCTTTGACGATTTTCGCTACTGGTTTAGGACTTACCCCTTTGAATATTGCGGGTAAACCGGAGCATGCTGAGTTTCTAGCTCCCTTTCTGAGCGGCGAAGGTGCACCATTAGCCTCACTCGTATTTAGTGAACCAGGTGGCGTAGCCAATGCTTGGGAGAAGGGAGCGCCAGGCCTCCAGACTACGGCTCGCCGAGAGGGCGATGAATGGATCATCAACGGCGAGAAGAAATGGGCTACGAACTGTGCGGGGTGGGATTTTAAGGGATGTGACTTGGCCTGTGTGGTGTGCCGCGATGTTACCGAGCCGGCTGAGCCCGGGTCCGATCCTAAGGACCGTGCTATGGTAATCCTCGTTACCCGTGCCGACCTCGACCGCAATGGTCCCGATGCATTCCGGGTTTTACGCCATATTCCTACTCCGGGGCATACATCCGTCTCGGGACCTCATGTGAGGTATACCAATGTTCGCGTGCCAGCAAAGAACGTGCTTAGTCCACCCGGGCAAGGTGCTCAATTAGCTCTCGCTTCTTTTGATGCTAGCGCAGTTCTCGTAGGTGCTATGGGTGTAGGTCTTATGCGAGCGGCTTTTGACGCCGCGTTAGATTTCGCAAAACGTGATAATCGCAATGGAGCCGTACCCCTACTCGGACGTCAGGCATTTGCGGACCTTTTATCCGGTATCAAGATGCAGACCGAGGCATCTCGCGCGTTAACGTGGAAAGCGGCCCATGCTATGGAGAATGGTCCTGGCGATTATGATGCACGTCGGGAATTGGCGCTCGCTGCTAAGGTCTACTGTAGCGATGCGGCTGTGAAGGCTTGTACTGATGCTATTAACGCGGTCGGAATGTAAGTTTCCCTACCTCAAGCCCTTGTGTTTGGGTTAATGTGTTAATTTTGATTGAATAGTACCGCTTATGATTCGGACCAGCCGTTCGCTGAACTTCTTAATAACGCGATGGTATTGCCGATTTTCGATGGAGGAAATGTTGGAATTCGAAGGCGCCATATGCAGGAGTTGATGCTGTCGCCAGATTATGACGCTTGGGCGTCGACGTATGGACCGACGGAGAAGAGATGATATCAGTGGGTTTAACGGACCTAACGACCGAAAGCCGTACCTTGTAGTTGCGGAACATTTAGGGCCATCTTGAATTTAATAATTACCTATCATAAATGGGCTATATTTTCAGCGAAGGGTTTAATATCTATCGCAATGACTTCTATGCGAGAAATTACGGGAAATAGCAGCTGTAAATGATATATAAGGGCCAGTCTATGGGTGCTACCCCTGGCATATGAGGCGCCGTAATATTTCGTTATAGATCCGCTAGTGGGGGTAAATCCAGGGTCCGGGTTTCACTAATATTAGGCCTAGGGATGCCCTGTATTTTCCACGTTGCTCCCTAAGCTGGTGTAGCTGGCCGCTACGATGTGTTAGTGGGCACTAAAATTACCTCCCAACAGCGTCGTTTAGCAGGGCCGAAGCGACTTATTTTTATACGACAATCTGGATTCGTCATCCCTTCGTACCTTTAACTCCCTCAATCTTACGAAAGGCCCTCTTCAATTGAACAAATATCCAAGTCACCCACCGCCAGACCCCGAGTCCATCAGTTACCTAGCCAATACAAGGCTTCATCCTTCAACTAAGAAGAATGCCTAGCCCTGTCTTGTTTGATGATACATAGGAGCCCTAGACCACTTTGGTACCTAAGCGCGACTGTCCTTGTCATCACACCATGACCCGATTCTAAGCAAGTCAACTTCAAGTCTCTCCTTCGAGAGAAGGTTTCGAGGTATCATATTCGGATTCTTAGACTGGGCCTACACCGTGAGCGAAACCATTAGTTGGGTCAGTGTTTTAAGAGAGCGTGACTTACTTCTATCGGCTTAGGATTGCTTCTCTTCAATAGTCCCTTCGAAGAACTACCACGTTGGGTGGCCTCATTTCGGGGTTCTATAAACTTTCGGTTTGCTCTCCTAGATCATAGCGTTAGTATGGCTTGTAGAGTGCCTATGCTTTCCCCATCCCCAAACTTACTCGCTCTCCATTGATTACCTATGTATTATAAGATTCTCCACAAAGGCTGATGTTTGGAGGTCCATGTTGGTTTTCATTACAACTGGATTTCTAACCCATATTAATGAAGGACTCTTAATCGAGGCCGCGATCATATCAAATCATCATCGTCGCGATTATATTCTTCGATGGGAAAGTCACCAGCTCTTAATTGGCTCACTATGGTTTAAGCGGAGACAATGCAGAAGAATATGTACTTTCTGTGTGGGCGGACCAGCTATGGCGTTAAAAGTATAGGTACCCAGGAGAAATAATCGTGGACTCGATGAATCGAAATATGCCCGACCAATCACTTGTATATGTATCCTCCAATGTCCTATTATAAACACAATCTAACTTAGAGAGAACGTGGCTAACATGCCGAAATTATATTTGGAGAAAGTTTCCTAGACATATTTCATCTAGGCAATAATTATAAGGCATTGTCGTCATTTCAAAATTACCATGAGTAACAGAATACATATCCCAGCCTCATCTTGGCGATTTTGACCAAAAGAGATAATATGATTCGCATATACTTCAGGCGATGCTATTCCGAGCATCTCGATTATCATTTGTACTGACCGGACAGTGGTATTTTGGGTGGTATGGGATCTTTGCTCAGATGAGATCCCGTTTTATATTCGATTGGCGGGTCCCTTTATCTCTCGTCAACTTATAGATATTGTGCTGGATTCGCAAAATGGGAAAACTCCAGGACAATCCCACGTGGCTGTGTGTAAGTAGTATATTGCTATGCCTCATAACTTATTCATTCGCTGATACAGAAGCATAGTGCGATTGCCGATTGGCAGTAATGACAACTAGACTGGATACACATTGTACAAACTGTGGTCGCCAACGATGTGCCGATTGCTCGGTCTTCCTTTATAAAACCCTACAGCGGCCCTCGGCGTCAAGCTCATCGAACGTTTCTGAACCCTTAAGTACGAAACCGGACTTATTGCAAAAGGGGGAACCCCCAGTAACTTGTGTGGAGAGCTCTAAAAATGGCCGCGTTGACTATGGCGATGATCATAAGCAACTCAAGCAGGATTCTAACCTTGAGGAGAAAACGCCCGTCAAATCAAAAAAAGAACCACCAAATGAGACAATACGTTCATTAGAACTGTTAGAAGTCTTAGGGATCGGGATCGATTCCGAACCAGAGGTTCTCGAAATGGTCCCTTTATCCCCCGAAGAAGGTCTAGTATATGCGGCAAGTGTATCGGAAACAGATGAGTCCGAGCAGGATGAAGAAATCCACGACTATCAAGCCATAGGGAACTCACCAATCCCCGGTTCACATTACTATTTAAATCATTCTACATCTCTGATGATATCACGATGGCTAGAATCCTTGCAGGGTGATCCTAACTACGAGGTAATTGCCCAGGTCTGTGAGGGTATCCTGCAAGAAGCTTCTGGTAGGGAGACTACTACAACTCGGAATGCAACGGCCCCAAATAACTCAACGGGGAATTATCAAACGAACAGGCTTCCGCAGAAACGAAAAGCATCAGATTTAGAGGGCAATGATGACGAGAATTCTGCAACGCCATCTGTTGCGACTGAGGAGTCACCCACAGGAAACCGGCAGAAGCCGAAATATGCTTGTCATTTCTTGAAGATGAACCAACATTTATATACAGAGTGCAGACGTACGGGTTATGGCCAAGTATGTCACTTAGCGGAACATTTGCGTAAAGCTCATCGCTTGAAGGAACACTCATGCCGGATTTGTTGGCGATCATTCGACAACTCTGAAGCTTTAAGGAGCCATCAGACCGATGCTAGTGAAAATAACTGCCGGGAAACAGGGGGGACACCAATCGAGAGAATAAAAATATCGAAAGCACGAACTGGCGACTTCAAGAAATGGTTTTGGATATGGGAAAAGCTCTTTCCGAATTTTCAGAAACCCGAATCCCCGTACTGGGAGCCATTCGGTCACGACGAGCAACTGTTTTCGAGTTTGAGACAGTTTTTTAATTCCGAACTTTCGTCGGCCCTTCCACCTGAGAACCTACAAGCTGTCATGACCACATTGACGAGATTCCGTGAGAACTGGGTGACAAATCCCCCAGAGCCACGACAATTCGCGCCACTTCCGACCCCAGCGGCTACGCAAGCCACTGATGATGCCACAAATATTCACACGGAGCCGAGTAGACATAGCCCGCAAGACCCCCTGGGCATCGGCACCGACCCCTTGCCATTGAGCGATGAGGTAGTGTTAGATGGTAATGATCCTAGCTTAAGAACTCAAGAGGACGCCGAAAGTGCAGCAGCCGAGGAAATTTTAATTGCTGAAACGTCGCCAGCTTCCGCCATGAATTTTGATATATGGGTCCCTTCATATGATGACGGTCTATACGAATTTGACGCACCGAATCTCGACCTAGGCGACCTGGATCATTTTGACTGGCAAATACCGGATAAGACGGGTACATAATATGTATTATAGGTGGCTCGAGGACTGTGAACGCGCTAACAATTTAACGTAGCAGTTCTTGTGCCGGTGAACCCTTAGTCTATGCTCGAAGAACCGGCGAGGGGCACATACGCATATACGTAAGAGCTTCCAATTGTATGAAAAATCTGTATATGATAGCAATATACCTATGATCCGTTAGCAATAGCCTTGCTACTTTCTATTAAACACCTACTCAGGTAGAGTAGTATATGGCATATATTCCAAGGAAGGTCCCATAGTGAATTAGAGATTGAGTGGAACAAGCCCATATAACTTTACCATTCCCATTCAATAGCCTGAAACGGCATTTCCCTCTCTCCAAGCATATCTTCTAGTATTTGCTGACTCCTATCTTTCTGCTCTCCCGCCTCGTCGCGAGACCCTAGATGGATTTCTTGAGCATACCCTACCGTAACCTCGGCGCCCTCTTTAATACTAGATTCGCGACTTTGTAGTATTTGTAGGTCCGCCTCAGTCACGAAGTCGGCTCGATCGTGACATAAGTCATCTTCAGGTTCTCCCACCTGGCTGGGAACGGGTTCAGCTTGGATCCGGGTTTCGCCCATGTCTCCATCGGGTACTAATAAGGGACGAATCCTTTGATCTACCTCCTCACTATTCCTCGCCTCCGCTTTATCCAAAGCGCAAGGTCCCACTTGAATTATTAATTTTAAGTACCCATATTCTTCGATGAGCTCATGAATGCAAGCCAATATCCCAACTTTTTCGTCTTCCGTGCGTTCTTTCCAGCCCATAAATAACACGTTTTCACCTCCGAATTGTGCTTCTTTGGTAGCTTCTTCGATTGCCCGAAGAACTCCCCAGTCGCTCTCCGTCCATGGTCGATAAGACTTAAGGTATTCTACAATAGCTAAATGGCCCTCTCCCGCCGCCCAAAATACCGCTAAGATGTATTGGAATTGGCCACGGCCTTCTGTTGTAACACCCCAGTCTAATAGGAGATTAATTACATCTAGGTGGCCGTGTCTTGCGGCTAGTTCTATAGCGGTACGTCCAGACATGATGGCTCGCGGGGCGTCTGGGTCAGCGCCATACTCGAGAAGACGGCGCACGATACCGGGATTACCCTTCCAGGGAGCATATTGCAAGGCCGTCATCGCACATTTTCTGGTGCGTGGTGTATGTTTAATATCGATACCATGTTCGAATAATGCATCAAGAATGTCAAATCTCCCAGTCCTAATAAGTATACGAAGCGTATACTCACGCACCTGCCAGAGTCCGCTATTGAGATTGACCCCTACGCCCAATAAGATACCCACTAGGTTATAATTCCCTGTCGCAGCAGCTATGTATATCGGTGGCATAGCGTGAATTAAATGAGTAATTTCACAGCCATCAATATCCGTACATTCCTCCATCAATCTCCTGATCATGTCAAGGGAGGTGCCCTGATAGATAGCAGTATTGAGCGAATATACATCGGCTCTATACCCAATATCTAGTAGGGCTTTCAAAATGGATTCGTCGTGGCCCTTTATTGCGTAAAAGAGGGGAGACACCAACATTCTTTCCGGATCATGCCAACTATCCCATTTCTTTAAGGAAATATCGCATTCCTTATTAGCAAAGATAGAGACATCGAACTCGTTTGCCAAGAGTAAGCTATCAAATGAACTTGTCTTCTCTTTCGCAGGCCAGTAACAGAAACTGCCTCGTGCCCAATCCCAAAACGACTTCCCAGGCAATATCGCAACGCCCGTCTCAGACGCGTTAACTCTCTGAAACTTCGCGATAATGTCCATTCGTTTGTGGTAAGCTGCGATTTATATTGCTGTGTTCTCCAGAATGCAGTCGTATCCATGACTTTGTGGGCTTATAAATCCTCGCCTCCGGAAAATTTCTATTAAGATTTCGTCCATGCCAATTAGAGGGGATTCGATAGCGGTTAGAACAGCAGCACATAATGTTCCAGAATCATACATAGAGATGTCGAGCGAGAGCGCAAAATTAACCACTCCTATATCGCCGCTCAATAAGGCGTTTTCTAAGAAACTTCTTCCATCCGAACCGTGCCGACTGATGAGAATATCAGAAATTTGGGATCGAAGAAAATCTCGTAGCCGTAATAAACTGGGACTCCGGGGGGCGCAGGCAAGTTCTGATCCCGGTAGCTTGACTCCTGTCTCAGCTACTTTTACAGCAGTCTGGTCTAAACCATGCTGTAATGCAAGGGTTAAAATATTGTCCGTAATGGTTGAGCCCGATTCTATTAGTTTTAATGCAATTGATTCATGTCTATTGCGTACCGAGACTAAAAGTGCACTCTCGCCGTTTTTAACAGCCCTGTTCGGGTCTCCTCCCAGTTCAAGAAACCGGCCGGCTAATTCATACTGTTCCAACCGTGCTGCTTCGAATAGGTTATCATTGGTAAAGGTAACCCCCATTTCAATAAGAAAAAATGCGACTTTCCAGAAGCCCAAGTAAATTGCTAAGTCCAGCGGCGACATATTTCTTTTGCTCACCCCCTTATTTATTAGGAACATGAAGAATCCACGCCCGATACGGTATTCAGGGATGGATAGACGGAATGAAACCTGGGTATCAATGTTCGAACCGGCCTGGGCTAAGAGTTCTACCAGCCCGTAAGAGTTATAGGCCACGGCAATGTGCATGGGTGATAGAAGAATATTTGGGTTTTCCGATGTCCAATGAACGAAACGGTACTCGGGCTCGGCAGAATACCCGAGCTCCAAAAGTAGTCGGCAAGATTCAACTTGATCCCAATCTACGGCGGCGTAGATAGGAGAGACCCAATGATTTTTCAGATCCTCCCGTCCCCCAGTTTGGTACAGGAATGAAATGACTTCAGTGTATCCACGCATGGCGGCATGCATTATTGCGTCGGATTTGAGTTTCCCGTCCATGTCAAACTCTGGTCCGGCTAGCATGATAATATGTTTGACTAAATTCAAAGAGGTCTGTTCATCATCTGTGCTCTCATTGAGCGAGTTCGTGTGCCAAGTCATGTCCTCGGCTGCGTACGAACAAGCCAATCCAAGGCACTGAACGTAGTCTAGTTGTCGGAAGAACTCATATGTCGTGCATGGCCCATGAGAGTGGTTCCGGAAAATTGGATATCTTAACTCCTCGGTTGGAATGCTGAATGTAAAGTCCGCTCCCGCCTCGTGTAGAAGATCGATTAATTGGACGCTTCCTTTCCTAGTGGCTATGAGTAATGCGGCTTGTATCTCGCGTTCGTCTATAACTACACCCTTCTTAAACAGGAGCCGGATCAGTCGAACAGACACATCGTCCGGTCTGGCAAGTGTTGCAAGCATTAGAGGCGAATACTTGGAATTGTAATACCCGTAGGCATTGGCAGCTACACTCGGGCAATTAAGCAGGCGATCCGCAAATTCTAGAGAGCCCCTAAAAAGAGAAAATTCTAGTGCTGACCAGACGTCGGGTTCTCCCCAGGAGTCGCGAGCTATCCACCAACTTCGACCAACGGCCCTGCTAGGTCTGATGCGGTCGTCAGCCGTAAACAGTCTGAAAACGAGATCAACTGCTTCTGTATTGACTGCCGCCTCATATAGGAGATCAATCACTGCTGTCATTGTTGGGCTATCATGCGATATTCGGACAAGCTTAGCTAGAGTATGGGGTTCGGTGAGGCCAGAAAGCTGACAACCATTGACGAAAGCCCGAGCATCCTCAATATACGGCGTCGGATTCAATTTGTCATAGTCCATAATCAGATGATTTGATGCAATAAAAAGAAGGATTCTTATGGTTTCTTTTTGCACTTCACGCTGTGCGCCGCCGACTAGGACCGTGGCTCGTCTAAGATTCTCGCCGGGATATAAAGATGGGATAGCATGATCAAGGCGACCCGCGATATGGTCGACACTCTTAGTCAATAGAAGGTTATATGTGAGCTCTTCCGAACCTATAACGATCTCCATGCTCCTTCTTATAAGCCTTTCAAAAGCTGCCAATGCGACTGATACGTTTGATCGTTGCCTTTTATTGGGCCGTATCTGCTTCTCAGCAGATTCCACGACCCTTCCTCGCCTCTCGCTGCCTGGTAATAATTGCAAGCCTGCCATCAACTGTGGTAGTATGGATTCACTAAACTGGAGCCATGGTAGGCTCTTGGGCCACTCGTGCTGTGAGAATAGGATAGGCGAGGTGGCTCGAGGAGTGCAAATGGAGAGGGGAGTGCCTTCATCAGGAGGTTCTGGGCTCGGAGCTGATGGATAATCAGACATGACTAACTACAAACTCTCATAAATAGGGAATATGGGTATATCTTACGGAGCATCCATTTGTTCCGAAGGGTAACAGCCCTGTGACGGTCTGTCTGGGTCTTCACCTTCTCTTGTGCGAGGCGTACTCCAGATAGAATCACAACCGAGTCTTTCCCATGGTGTTTCCTCTTCTGAATTGTATGTTCAACATATCTCCAATTCTCGGCACTTAAGCTTTTTTGGAACCCCCAATGATTAAGTCTAGTGCGAAGTTGTGCTAGCCTGAAGGTATGTTAGAATTCTTATCCCTTACTGTTGATACTAACTTGGAAGAAGGCAAGGGGATTCACGTACGTTACCTGGGGATTCCGCCGTTTAAGGATCTCGACCATATCCTTGAGTGAACAGTCATTGATCATATACTCTTTCCACACGAGATCTTTCCACTCATTCCATTCCACTTCAGAGACGCATGAAGTGCCCTTTCGGACCGAGGTCTGCTTAGGCTCGATAATACTCATACTGTGGCGTGTTTTCTAAGGTCTCCCGGAATGAGATCTCAAGATAGATGTTTAATTGATATAGTTCGTCAACAACTAGATTATCGTGATGCTCCTATTAGAAAATAGTTGAAAATCATAAGAGATTAGTGGTATATATAACCATAAAGCGCCTTCTTAGGTACGTACCCAGGTACGTAGGTAGATACCTAATCAATATGTAATCATTTTAGTAGAAACGTGACGGTATTGGACAATAGCAAAATGTTGGCATTATTATATGGCCAGGCTGCACGCTGGCAAGCCTCATTGCGCTGGGTAACATATGAATCTAGTGCATAAGACTCATTCTGCCATAGTTAATGCACTCCCTATTGGTTATTAACATTCTGCGAAACATCATATCCAATCGTTATATGATCTATGATGACTGTCTCTCTTGTGCTGCAGCTGCACCATGCGAATCAGGACTCGGGGAGGCATATTAGTATGAGAACTCCTGACCGACCAGCCTCTCGCTCAGCTTCCACAATCTTTCGGCTTCGACTGGGCTAGTTGCCCATGGTTTCACAAGATCCTTCCAAGGATCGGCCAACCGACAGCTCAAAAGATAGCCACCATTGTGGGCTTCGGAAATTAGCTAACGCTATTTGTTATAGATAACTAAGTGTACGGGGGCTTACCTGTAACCTCGGGGTCGAAAGCGGCATATACATACGTATTTGCGCCCACCTCAGGCGTGCAAGGAAGGATTTTCTCCCAGCCACCCCAACCAATGGAGTTTCCCATAAGACGATCGATATCGCCTAGCCAGTGCCCGGTATTAGCGTACGCCGCACTCAAGAGTTTGCAACATTTTACTTACGCATAGCTATCATATCAGAATCGTCATCGCCGAATAATTTCAGATGACGCGATAAGTTTGATACAATAAGACCCGGATGAACGCTGAAGGCTGCGAGATTATGTTTCGAACCCAACTTCTCTGCCAATGAAATGGCCATGAGCATATTGGCTGATTTTGTCTGACCATAGCTCAGCCACTTATGGTAATACTCTCCGTCCTGCAGGCAAGATTAGCACCAGTCACAAATGCAGAAATAATTGGAAAATAAACTCACACGGAAGTTATAATCGTCGAAACGGAAAGGACCTAAACGGTGGCCCTCGCTGGTTACATTGATCACACGAGGCGCCGGAGACTTTGTAATCTTGCCCATGAGTAGGTTGGTGAATAAAAAGGGTCCGAGATGGTTAATAGCAAGTTGGCTATCGAATCCATCAGGAGATAAAGCCCAGTCAATTGCCATAACACCAGCATTGTTGACCAGCACGTCGATGCGAGGTACATCGTCCCAGCTATTGAGCTTCTCAGCGGCAGCCCGCACAGCTGCGAGCGAGACCAACTCGAGTTCAAGCGTGCGGACCTTGGCGCCTACTGCAGAAACGGCATCTGCCGTTTGTTGCACTTTGGATAGGTCGCGACCCGCCAAGATAAGTAACTCCGGCTGAGCACGAGCGATGCCTAGGACGAAGGCTGCCCCCAATCCGCCGGGGGAGACACCGGTGGTAAGAACGATCTTGCCCTTGATATGAGACTCGTATATGGCAGCGAGGTCGCTGGCTGATCTAGGATCGGTGTTCATGGTTATGGCTTTGTAAGTGAGTACAAATAGTATCGTCACAGTGAGAAAAGGGGGGATACTGTCTTTCGAGTTATGGATGAGTGAATTGAATTATTTCTATTCCCCAACTGCCTGGGTAATTCACGTCTTTATATATCCCATTTTCAAGAGATAATTCATACTGGATTATTCAGAACTTGATTTCATCGACAGTCAAGTCTCATAGTATGATGAAGCTTGGAAAATAAGTACCCGAATGATTTGTAATTGCTACTGATTGATACATAGAAATATTTATGAATACCAAATAGCAAGATACCGATGCTGCAGACAGCCAATTAGAATTAACCTACACGACGCATTGAGCTATTAGTTACCACATCAGGGAAGTTCTGATGGAGCTTAGGTACCTAGCCGGCGGTCCTAGCAATTACCTAAGCGTACGGCTACTTTAATAGGAGCAACCCGCTATGCGATCAAACGGTACTTGGATGTAAACATCATTATCCCAATTAGGAATAGTTTTCGGATTTAAACGGTTACCCCTGAGAGAGATGAGTTACTGTTGACAACTAACTGTATAAATTCTTCTCATTGTTTAGACATTTTTACTCCTAATGCCGAAATATTGGGACTTATTATGTCGGTGTTAGGAGGACAACTATATCTCTGATATCTTTGGGGGACTCATGTCTGGCAAGAAGCATTGGAATTGGAATTGGTGTTACACGAAAGCTGCTAGTTTTAGGTCAATATGTTTTTTATTCCTCTCTCAAAAGAAAACGCAACTTAAAATCATTGTTGAAATCTTCCAAGGTATGCGTAATGATAGAAACATGATGAAAATCACTAGCGCAATACTTGCAATACAATATTTTCTAAGAACGAGACTGAAGTCCAACCTAAAAAGATTCTATGGTTGCCTATGGTGGGGTTGACTGCTGAATACTTCCTCAGGTGTGTACCTAAACCCCGAGAGAACTCCTAAAATTACCTTTTAAGGACTAAAGATGTCGGGGGTTCCAAGAGTGGAGCGACCCCGTTTTAGGAGATCATCTCGTCCCGTTTCTAATTCTTATTTTTTTGAATGGTATATATATTCGTGAAGTATCTTATAGGAAATCCTACCGTTCCTGAAAAATAGTACTGTCTTTAACAATCGAATATTCGCTATGGCGCAGACAGTCCCCTGTCGTCGTGACCCAAGCGCTGGCATAGGGCTTAGAGCAGTTCTCTCCGCTCAAGAAAAATCCACACCACCAGTTCAAATCCCAACTCCGCATACCAACGTATGTCTACAAAGTCTTGTGCCATAAATTAATTAACTAAGATTTCCATATAGGCTGATGAAGTGAAAAGAACCTGCGACTCATTCCTACTCGAGTCCTTCACAGCCGAGGATGCTTGGGAGCTCGGGCATCTCCTTTACGCACGGTTACTTCCGTTCTCATCTGAAAAGCCTACTTTGATCTCCATATCACTGGCCAACAGTGGACAGGTCCTATTCCAGACTGTTGTTGGATCAGGTACGGTGCCTGATAACGAGATCTGGGTGCAGAGAAAGACGAATACCGTCCTCAGATTCGGTACTAGTACCTGGTTCCAGCATTGCAAATATGCTGGTAACGAAGAGATATTCCGAAAGAAATTTGGAATGAGTCTCGGGCAAGCCGAGAAGTATGCCATTCACGGTGGCGGCGTGCCAAGTGAGTAGATATCCGCCCCTCAACGCATTTTACATATTGATTGAAGTCTGCGTAGTCCGCGTCAAGGGGGTTGAGGGTATCGTTGCTGTTGTAGTCGTTTCTGGGCTTCAACAGCACGAGGATCATGGTGTCATTGTTGATGTTATCAACAACAACTGGCAATAACATATATTAAACTTAGAGGCGAATAGTGAAGAATGTCATCGAAATGGCGTGCAGAGGATGGCAAGCGGGCTGGTGGGAAATGACCCTATAGTAGCAGTGAGTGAAAAATGATTAACTTGTCAGTCCGCAAAAACATAACCTCCATATTTAAACAAAAGTCTTTTACAAAGGATGCTCCTATAGTAAGGGTAATCAATTTCTCGCTATGGACATAATGAGGGGGGAATCAATCGCCATGAAACTACAAACCTCCAAATATCATGCCCATTCACACACCTTAAGGAGGTAGCCAACCTATTTGCGTACCATATCTGGATAATCCGGGACATCCCATTTCACTTTTTCCTTAGTGAAATACTGCGCATAGAGGTCCAGCCTCAGTGTGGCGACAACCCACAGGATGAAATTTAAGATAGTGATGCCCCACGCTGACGTCGGTAACAAATGGCCCCATCGATTCGCGCCCTCCACAATCCCCTCTTGTATCTGGTCAATAAAAGGTCGGAACGTCTGGTCATAGGCCTTGAGGGCAGACGCTAGAGCCTCTTTATTGCTACCATTTACCTCAGAATCCGCATTGAATTGCTTGCTGATCTCACCAGCCAGGACGAACGCGCCAACAAGGGCAGCCGTAGTGCCCATTCCCGTGGTCGCCGTCGGACAATACGCCGCATCTCCGAGGAGCACCACACGACCTTCAGACCAAGCATCCAACCTAACGAGGACCATGCGCTCAAGGTAAAAGTCATCCGCCTCGTACATGGCTTTGACGATATTATCCGCTTCCCACCCCGCACCCCTGAAAATCTCCGCAAACGCATCCTTTTCTTCCTTCACATCTCCCCGGGCCGTCTTATCAAGCCGCGGGGACTCACGTCTAACAATGAGGTATATCTGCACCTCATCCGGACTGTGCCTACGCATCATGATAGCACGTCTCCCAGTCGCTGTGTACCCCGTCGCATTAAACTCCTCGCCTTCTTTCATAGGTCGAGGTGTCGTGAAATACCCAGCGTAGAAATTTGGGAGTGGGAAGAGGTGAAGCCTCTCCGTACGATCGGACCCAAGCATCAACCTCCGAGTGCGCGAGCCCTGACCATCAGCACCGACCACGAGATCGAACCGATCCGTCGTACCATCTGAAAGTCGAACCTCGATGCCGTCATCCTTCTCCTCGAAGCTCTCGATGGAAGCTCCGAAGATGTACTTAGCCGAATGTTTCGTGTTATCGTAGAATAGACGACACAGGTCTCCTCTCATGATCTCATAGTCGGTAGTGAAGTTCTGCGGCCCCTCTCCCGTATTGTTCGCAGGGAAGTAGGCTTGTGGTTTACCCGCGCTATTGACGACCTGCATACCTTGTTCCGGCGCCATTCTAGCTCGGAAATCATCTTCAAGGCCCATCAGCTTCAGGACTTGGATACCATGACCTCGTAAATCGATTTGAAGCCCCGTAGCGCGAAGTCCGGGATGCTTCTCGACGACGGTGACATCATGACCTAATTTGACGAGCCAGAATGCAAGGGCGCCGCCTGCGATACCAGCACCACTAACGAGGACCTTGAGTTTTGCCATAGTCTAGAAATTTCGTAAAATGTAGCACCATGGAAAAGGGCGCTCTATTTACTGAAAAATGACAAGAGAAGGCCAAAAATGAGTGATTTCCAGAGTGATTCGTGTTTAAATCTAGACCTCGGGGATCCGCTGTGGTGCCGAGCTGTCCGCCTTTATCTCCGCGTCGGTCGAATGCAACTATATTCGGAACCGAGATCCTTCCAATCAGAACGGGTAGGAGAATGGGCGTTTACATGAGACACATGCCACCTTGCTTCGTAGAGCGGGGAGTACCGGACTCAAAAATGGAACATCAGCCTCTACTCGTCACCGAGTATGGTCGATTGGTGAGGTGGCCCGAAGCTGAAAAAAAAATGAGCAGCCACTTTTGAAACAGCATCGAGATTTATATGACGTATCAAAGTGGTGAAACTGATACACGTCTAAGTATTATGAGAAATCTGCATCTGGTAGGAAAGATTCCCAGTCTAGATCCAAGTCAAACCCATAGCTTCCATTGAGGCTTCTCGGTGTGAGACCTGTGTTGTAGGGGTACGGTGAGGAGATGGTTCCAGTCTTTTCGCGGAGTAGATTGTAGCACATCTCCAAGCTGTCCCTACCGCTCTGTGCGACCGCAAGTTCATATGGCGTATTCTTTTCTATCGCTTCGACGTAGGTCATGATCATGCTGAGGAACATGGGACTCTTCACATTCGTTTCGCCTTTTCGGATCCGCTCTATCGACATTGTGTTCATATCATTTACGGTTTGCTTGAGGAGCTCTATGTATTGAGAGTTGCGATGCAGGGTCCCGTCAGTGCGACGAGCCTTGACCTGACGGATGAGTTCGCGGGTGATGACGGAGGTGGCGTATCTAATCCCCTCTCTAAACATACCCCCACCAATAGCCATGAGGCGAGAGAAGCATTCGTCTGGTTCGGGCGATATAATAGCTAAAGCTGAGTCTAGGCTGACTTTGAGCGAGTAGTAGAATAATGGATTATTTCGCGCTTCGGTCGCGAATGGGCCATGTAAAGGAATTAAAAACCGACGCACTAGGTAATCCAGAAGATTTCGATGAAACGGCGTCATTCCAGACCGCTCACCTTCCCTCGTGGATTTACTACAGGCTTGATACTCCTCAATTATTTCTGAACTTAGCGCCAGCGCATCGAGATATGAAAGTTCGGAGTTTAAGCCATTTAGAAGCTTAAGGATCCGGAGGCGAATGGGTACAAGGTCGAGTAAGACAAGTTGCATTGATGCATCGGTATATTTATCCTTAGGATGAGGTTGAAGTTCCGTGGTTGACTCGTCTATTTCATCATCGTTGTTGTTAGAGGGTGCTTCTGTGTCGAAGTCGTCTAGGGAGATCCTCGGTAGCATTGCAGAGTCAAGAGCTGACTGCAAGACCATTTCGAGAATGGTGGCCCATAGCCTCCTACGGAGTTCCGCCTGTAGGATGGACATCGCCGGGAGATGCTTGGGGTCACGATGCAAGCCCATCTGCATCGCCATGTGGATAAGCGATCCTACAGATGCCCATGCCAGATCGCCTCCAATTGAGAAGATCTGTCGAGCTAGGATCGTTAGGCAATAAATTTGGATCCCTTCGATATTCAAGCGATCCTTTTCTAGCGGCCCAGCTAGCCACGTCTGAGCGGCATATATCCATTGGTGGACCGTATTGCGAAATCCAGGATCCTTATCTTCATGGCTGGATAGACATGATCCTATACCAATTACGAGAAGGGCCTTTAGACGTAGACTTGCCGGAGTACTTTCTGGGTGGTCCCACCATTTTTGGTACTCGGACCAGAAAGTAGGAGCATGAAGTACCCGGTGTGTCGATTCAAAGTATTGAAAGTACAAAGTAACCATTCTGTCCGCAAGATCGCGGGAAGGTGGTGAAAGGTCGATCTCGGGATGCGAAAGTAATCTGCTAGGTCTCCCTACCTTCATACTCTTCGCTATGCTTTTGCATTTTTGAAGAAGAGTCCACATCTGCGTGCGTGCGGCTCCAAGTTCAGTGTCTGGAACCGAATCTTCCTTGACGCTTTTGGCTGCACTAAAAAAGCACGCAACGAGGGGCTCGAACTATTGCTACCGGTCAATGAAGGGCTATAAGATATGAATCGAGGTAAGACTATACCTCTTCAGCCGAGCCTATTCTTAGACTCCATCCCAAGATTCTTGTTTTGTTTAGAATTATCCGTGAGTCCTCCAGCCCTAACTGACGGGCCAGTATATCTTGACCAGTTTCGGCAAGACCATAAATAGGGCTATTCGCCGAAAGCTTTTCTGGTCTGCTGCCACGTTGTAAAATGCCAATGAGACCTGGTTCATAATCCTGGGCGCGATCTGGTGGTTGACTATTGTTCTGACTGAGATTATTTGACGTGCTGCTTTGGCCACCTGTCGCCGTAACGGTAGCTGACGGCGACGTTACCGAGGACCGGGACGGTTGACTATGCTCCGTAAAGGTCGGAGTTAGACCCACGATTGAGGGCACGCGAGTCGAGGTACCTGGCGCCTCGCCCCTAGAATCGGATTGATGGGGCTGCTGATCGGTAGTAGGCTCATCGCTGTAAACCCTATAGACACATTTCAACTTGGCGGAAACGCAATGCGAACAAGGCTCATTACGGTTACACTTGATCTTGCGACGTCTGCATTCAAGGCATGATAAGGCCGGCCTTCTTCGCCGTCGGGTTTGTCGCTCCATGGATATTCACTCGGCCGTATCACTAAATAAGATAAATCCACAGGCGGGAGACATATACACGCGAGATGTATAACGCGAAACGTTGGTAGATATTTTCCTACTTGAGTCATGAAGCCTTAGATCCGACCCGTTCGGACATAAACCAGAACAATAGACCGCTTATGACCGCTGACCCATATAAACCAAGAATCAACACATGTTATTGGCTAGCTAACCTGAGTGAGGAATTTCCGTCATTTAACTCCGTCGGTGATTCATCGAGGGATGAGATCGAAGGGAACCTTCCTGATATCATACGAGCGCATCGGAAATATTCTAACCATAACACGAACATAAATTAACGTCGTGTGGCATTGGAAGATGAATGATTGATGGCTCCCAGGCAGTTCCGGTCAATGGGAGGACTCATTTCACAAACCGCAGTGTAGCTACCCGACCGCCTTGGACTGAATTTACTTCGAAATAATCCTAAGAATGAAGCGATATTCAAGCACACTACGAGCCACCAGACACATTTCGCCTTACGGAAAGAGACCGATGCTAAGAAGTACCCGAAGAATTAGGTAATGCAGGAGAAATGCCCGGAACTTATTACGATGATAAATTCCGAGGAAATAAGTAGTGGTGGTCCGTGTCTATACTGCAGAATCCCCTGCTAACAATGCGATAATTCCGGGGTTTAAGCTAGTCCGAATGTCCAGTTGGGCCGTTTCTGACTCAACGGTGAATACACTAAGACGTTATTTTCAGTGTCAATGCCGAAATAAGGCGATCTGCAGCTGCTGAAAAACTGCCAAGATACGTATTCCTCACTGAATTTTCGGTCTCGCGCTTGACACCTAGACGCGGGTCATACCCTTGTAATTCCTTCTGTGACCTAAGGAGGAGGCTTTGCGCGCTTGTTAGTAATATATCGAGTGAAAATTAGCTTCTACGCCGCAACTTCGCGCCAGCTGAATTGGTGAACTTCGCGAGCGCGATTTCTAGAACAGATAATTGGTTGATATAAGTATTGTTCTATTGATTGAATTTTGTGATACCTTAATCTCATTATTTTAAGCATCAACAATCAGCATTCGCCTTTGAAGCACTCACAAGTTCGACAAATTCACCAATTCAACAGCTAACAAGTTTACCTACTTATTCCTACCACTATGACCACCCAGAACACTAGCAAGCGGCTAGATATAACCGTCTTCCGTGGCTGGAAAGAATCCGGGCATTATGTGTGGTCTCCATACGTAACCAAGTTAGAAGCACGACTCCGCTTTGCTGGTTTGTCATATAAGACGGACGCGGGGTCACTCAAAGCGGCACCGAAGGGCAAGATCCCGTATATTGAATGCAATGATCTATCCTCTTCCTCAGCAAACCAACAGGAAAGCTCGCAGCCGAAGATACTACTTAGCGACTCTGCCCTCATCCCCAGGACTTTATCGGAATGGGGCGTCCTTCCAGATCTAAACGGCTCACTAGATCCAGTCAAGCGATCGCATGATGCGGGATTGATAGCTTTACTTGAGAATAAGCTATATTTCTATCACGTACGAAGGCTCCCTTTTTAAATCTCACCTTCAACAGAAACTCACGACTAATTGAACAATAGGCCAAAGAGCGTTGGATCCAGAACTACTATACCATGAGGGACTACGCACTATGGTCGATACCATACCCAATACGCGTGCTCGTGGGCTTGATGATCTATCGCAACACTACGGCGATGCTACATGGGCAAGGCACCGGCCGATTCACAGACGAGGAAATCGCTGAATCCCGGCGTGAGATTTGGGAACTGTTTAGTGCGCTTCGTAAGTAACCTCCATTATCGCAGTTGCCCCGATGTAGAGAAGAGCACCTTCGTTAACCCCGCATGTTGTAGTTACTGTTTCGCGATCCAACAGCAAGGGTGGCGATACCGACCCGTTCTGGGTTCTTGGTGGGGATCAACCGACCGAGGTAGACACATGCTTATTCGGATTTATCAGCTCAGTTGCTCTATGTACTGCGTAAGTGAATAACGTCAAATCCATTTAGGAGGAATCTGTATTGACCAGTATATGTTAGTGCGCCCGATTCTCGGAAGGTGGTCGAAAGTCTCCCTGTTCTTTTTGATTACGCGGGGCGCATCCACGATCGCTATTTCCCAGATTATGAGAGATGGTCCGATTAATTGGATAGGATAGGCCGTTTAGTTGATATATGGCGACGGGATAGTGCTCCGAGACTGGACGCCCCAAACTACCCATTGACTTTAGATAGGACGAGGGTTTCGAGGTCGCTTAGTGTAGATGAAGTTATACCATCGAACCAAAATTGCATTGTATTTCATAGTCCTAGTAACTACCTAGGTACCTAGGTTTCCAGGTACTCAGTGTGATATCCAAGCCAATTTGAAGCCCCTCCACTCCGTTTCGCTCGGCAGGAACCCAGTCCAAAATCCCAGCATATCTAGATCACATCAATGGGACTATAAATTCACTAGACCCTCGGTGGCGGGCGGTTTTATGATACTCCCAGCCATCTGTGAAGATCGTGAAGACCCGCTCAAGGCCTTCTTCGTCATACACCTTCACATCTATCAGCATCAATTGACACCATCCCATACGTCATAACTCACCTTCCAAATAACAGTCTCCCCTCCATCGAAGTAATCACGGACGAGATCATCTTGTTCGGCTCTCCTTTGCTCTCTGAACTCATCCAACATCTCGAAAAGGGACTTTCTTCGGAAGAAAAGGTCGTAGGTCCATCCTTCTTTGTGGGGGTAGTATTCGCCTCTTTCCTGCAAAGCTACAACTTCGTCAACATCATATACTCACCCTATAGGAACACCTGGGTGGGGTTGGAGTGAACTTACACACAATCAGTCTGACGAACTCAGCCAGCGTCATGTTCTCATTGATATCTGTCCCACGGACGGCTCCGTAACTGCCCTCTTTGACTTATATCCACATTTCACCACGGCTGCGGTACCCCCGACGATGCCAACCAGCGCCCTTGACGTTGCGAGTTGATCTGTTGAGCGGGCCGACCCCGACGACACGTCGTGCTCGTTGGATGCGTTCTGGAGGCATTGCTTCGGTGTTCTTCGAGTCGCAACAATTGGTCTCTACTTGTATGGCAATTTAGAATAAAGAAACTAGAGTAAGTAATCGAATATTTAAATAATAGCTAGAATAATATCGACACACAGAAATTAAGGGGAGATGGACAATTAAACATCGTTGGCGTTTGCGCCACCTCTTGTTTGGTTTTCCCTGGCCCAGGCACTGGCGCACGGGACAGGCATCTCCCTAAACGCCTTCTGCAAGTGACCGTCCCGCTGCATCATCGTCTCGAGTAGTTCCCGTTGTCCGTTCGATAAAACGCCATCCAGGGGCTTCAAACCACCGCGATTCGTTGGACATGTCGAGTGGCTGCTTCAGATCAAACGAATCGCTTGCTAGAAGTTGACAAGTACCTGTACATACTCAGTAGATTTTCTTTTTGGGGGCGATCTCTTCCCGCTGGAAAAAGCAAAGACTTCCATGCCATTCTCCAGCGGTTAAAGATTAGGGGTGGCCGGGTGGCTTTTATGTGTTGCGTATGCTAGGTGGGGGTACTAGCTCATTGACAAGACCCCGCCCATTCAGCCCGCCTCGTTCGTAGCCCATTCCCCATGGGATCGCTAGGTGCTGGAAGACGGAAGGACGGCATAGTTATGGCTTGCTCGATCTGTGGAGCTGGGTTGAGGGGCGGCGGATCGATGCGACGGTTTGACGAGACTATCCCACAAGAAATCTAATCCTTTTAGCCCAATTGAAGGAATCCCATTACCTATCTAGGGAGGGGGGGCATCCTAAAGTTTCAACTTGCGGTCTGAACAGAAATTGCTGGGAGGATTGAATAAGCCAAGACCTTCCTAGTGAGGGAAAGTTGTGAAAGCTCACGTGCTGAGGCCGGAATCATTCCGGCCATGGCCGGCTTCATTCGGGCTTGGTGGATGGAAGACCCGCTTTTCCCATCCCTGGCCGGATACTCTGTCACGTTTTGATGAACTCAAGTTACGTAAATCCAGTCGGCACATGAGGCTCTCTTTGTCAGATGGATCGGCTAATGGTTTGATATTACGCGACTCTTACGAAACTCGAAAATCTACGTGTTCCCAGTTTAGACGTGCCCCTTTTCATAGTATGAGGGTCACCAGAAGCCACGGCAATGAGCACTCAGGGGTAAATCGACGATGAATCTATCGGCAATACGATATCACCTCCTTATCTCTCATACGTAATGATATTATCATCGTCAAGGGAGGATTGCGATACAGATAATACATTGAAAACCCGACTTCGGTCCCGGAAGGGTTGAGGCCGGAACAGTTCCGGCCACGAAGTGGATCAGTCCGAAGATGAAGGAGCTAAACGTTGAATCCGGTTTCGCTTGAGGCCGGAATGGTTCCGGCCACAATAGTGTCAAAGCGTGTTACGAAGATACACAAGGAGTTTAGACATGTTCAAACTTAGACTCCGCATCTAATGTGGTGAGGCCGGAACCATTCCGGCCACGGTCTATATTAGCTCGCGACACCGGTCGCCATCTTGGGCTGCCTCCATGTTCTCAAGCATCTCTTCCCTTTAGCTCGCTTGGTATCTGCGCACAAATCTGGAGTAACAACCAATCACTACTCTTTCATTATCAACAATATGTTCATCCCTAAATCGTCGTTCGAAGTCCTTGAGGACACCAAACCTGATGATGCCTCCCTCCCTGCCTTCATGGTCTCAACAACTCGGGGATTCTTGGCGCGCATGGATCCCATAGTTGTCCTCCCTCCTGAGTTTGAAGCCATTGAGACCCTTCTTCAAGCGATGCCTGTCAAGACACAGTCAGGGGAGCCTGGATTGCTTGCTACCGGGAAGCTGGGTGACGCAGTCCTACAAGATCTCCCAGACCTTACCGACCAAATTGAAAAGTACCGTGACAATCTCCCCATGATGAATGTCTTGTATCGCGACTATTCATTCTTGGCTTCGGCATTCTTATTGGAGCCATGTCACATGAGGTTCATCAAGGGTGAGCCTTATGGATTAGGGAGGTCCTTCCTTCCGGCTCAACTCTCTCGCCCCATCGTCCGCTGTGCTGAGCTGTAAGCCATGATTACCCTTCTCCACGATATCAAATCTTTATTGACCTTTCACAGCGCCGGGTTCAAGCCTTTCATGGAGTATGCTGGCTCATACGCTCTCTTCAATTATCGCCTTCAGAATCCTGATGCGGGCCTTGAATACTCAAACCTGCGCCTCATTCGCGCATTCGAGCATGGCCTAGATCCAACATCTTCAGAGGCTGGCTTCGTTCTCGTTCATGTTGACATGGTCAAGAACTCTGGTCCCCTCGTGCATGGAACTATGTCGTGTTTGCGGGCGCTTGAAAATGCAGACGGGCTCTCCGCCCCACTACAACGTAAGGCGTTTAATGAAGGGATGCACACCGTCGTAGAAGCCATGAAAAAGGTTAATGGCGTCATGGAAACCATGTGGATGAAGTCGAAGCCTCGTTCATACACAAGCTTCCGAACCTTCATCTTCGGCATCACGTCACAGTCCATGTTCCCCGACGGCGTCGTGTACGAAGGCGTTAACGATGGCAAACCTCTAAGCTTTAGGGGTGAAAGCGGCGCCAATGATACCATGATACCATTGATGGATAACCTCCTCCAAGTTCAAATGCCAGACACACCCCTCACTGAGATTTTGCAGGACTTCAGAGATTACCGACCAAGTAATCATCGCCAGTTTCTTGTTGAAGTGAAGAAAAGTTCCGAGGAACTAGGTGCCAAGGATTTCGCACTTGCCATCAATTTCGAGCGCAATTCATCAACGACGGACGAGTACATAGACATGGTGAAGGATTCCAGGCGCCTCTGGCTCCAGGCTTTGAATCAAGTCCGCGATTTCAGATGGCGCCATTGGTGTTTCGCACGTGAATACATACTTAAGCAGACATCCCACCCGACCGCTACTGGTGGTAGCCCAATAGTGACTTGGCTTCCAAATCAACTTCAGGCCATCATGGAAGAGATGATGGAAATCTCCGGAAATATCGGCGCGAAAGACGGTTCAATGGAACTCGGAGCAGAGTATTGGGATGTTATGGATCTTGTAGAGCGGCAGAACCAAACCCTTAGTAAGGAAGTGGACAAGTATTGTAACGAACGAGGGGTGTAAGCTCGTTACGTAGCATTAAAATAAATCTGAACATCAGATATATGTTACTCTTTCCAAATTTTCCATCTGTAACGAATCTAATCGATCCAAGTCCCCCGCGTATCCACATAAGCCCATGTACCTGTGTATTGATTAGGCTCACAGGAAATTCCAGACATGCTATTCTGCCTGACCCCTTCGATACCTAGGGTAAGCCTTCTATTCACCGAGATTCCCTCAGACAGAAGTGTCATTTTCATTAGAATAAAAATACCCAAGATTTCTTATGAAGAGACAGGACCCATGGTTTTTGGTTCACTTAGATGCACGTCTCATACTTTGAGCATAGGTACCCGATATAACAATATTTCAATGTTCTCTTATAATGCCCACTCCCACGAAGCTCCTCTTTTATAATTTTGATGGTGCGTCCATGTCCCTACCCACATGCTGTTAGCAACATAGTGTCTTTTCTATGGCGTTTTGAATAAGCCTAGATATGTCTAGCTATGTTAAGCAGGTGGCTCATACTTTGAAGAGCCTACTCTTTAGAAGATTTAAATCTATTACCTTTTAAGGCTTAGATTATTATCCTACTCAGATCCTGCAGTATGCTAAATTGTCAGTAGGGACATGGGCGAATAGAAACTCAAATGCGAAACCCACAATTATAAGTGCCCTTATAGAAATCATAGCAGGCTCAGGTCAAATCAAGTATAGCCGGGGTGTGGGTACCCGATATGGGATATTTGAGAAGGTTATTGGCGGTAAGATTTATCTCCCCATAGGCACCCAGGTACGTATACATTGATGCACTCGGGTTGACACTTTATAGGTGCGTTCGGATACGGTGCCGAAACATATGTCCGAGAGGCGATTGACGACCTAGCCGCTAATTATTCCCCCGGAGATGAAATCATCATCATCGGATATAGTCGCGGCGCCCATATAGCTCGACACGTCGTCGGTTTCTTAGACTGCCTAGGTCTTCCTCGGTGCGACAGAGAAGTTATCCAGAAGCTTTATAAGATGTATATATCCGGAAATCTCCTACGAACGGATACCGACCGCCTTTCCAAGGAATATAATTGTTAGTTTTGTTCCGCCATTCCAGGACTAGAAAGGTTGAAATGGTATAGACGTAGAGCAGCTAACATAATATTAGGCACTCGAGTCAATATAAAACTGTTTGTCTGTATCGATACTGTTGCTGCGCTCGGTATTCCGCACACTGGCCTACTCAGAATATTCTCACCATTCACGAAATATGAGTTTGCGGAGACCAATGTCGCATCAAGTGAGGTATGGACAATTTACTTCGCGTCTAAATACTAACGAGTGGCTTAGACGTTGAGAATATGTTTCATGCCCTCGCGCTTCATGAACAACGTGGCCCGTTCCAACCCACGCTAATGCACGTACCTGAGGATGAGCGGCACCGGCTAAAGCAGGTATACTTCCTCGGGAGTCATCGCGATGTCGGTATCCCATCGAAGACTAACTCTTTGAGTACTATCGTATTGGCATCGATTCTCCAGCAGCTAAATTATGTCGGGGTTAGCTTCAATGACGAGAAGATCCGTAGGTGGTTTCCATACGCAGGTGCTAATAGACCCATCTCCGGCACAGGCAGCCACGCGTGGGCTTATGATGATCTAATCGGGCAATCTTCTGCCGTTCTTTGGGGGCTGTTGGGTAGCCACATACGGCAGCTTGGTCAGTATAACGTAGTTGGAAGGGCAATAAACGAGATCATTCACACAACAGTACGACTTCGCGCCTATGGACTGAAAAGCACCCATCAAGCCGTTGAAGGTTATACGATTAGGCTTGGAGCAGATCGGGCACTTGTATGGCACGGAGAGGGAGGGTGGTTGTATACAACTAGCTCAAACCACCTGATAAACCCACCACATATTGGCGAAGAACCTCTTGGGGAATATGAAGCTTGGTTGCTCGGGATTTCCCTTAATTAACTACTTAAATAACACTTGACACTACTATATAGTTTTCGGAGAAGTTATTTCATATCTGAACTAGTGTCAATAATCTGCCAGAAATTAATTGTTCAACAAAACAAATGACGCTGAACCTTCCCCTCAAGTATTGCCTCGTATCCGCCTCAGAGTTCGACATCGACCCAAGATCGAATGTTACCTAACATAAGATGAGAAATAACATTGAAGTTCTAAAACAGGAAATCGATTAAATCAATGGCCGACGCCATCTTCAAATTTATAGGTGGATTGCACGACTAGAAAATAATGGGTGTTAGCATATTCTTTTCAACTATTCACAACTCTACTCCCCTCCAAGGGTTTGGTCTTTGGGGTCGCTCACTCTCGATTTGATGCATTTTTTCCACCTAGGGACATAAATAACAATGTGGAATGCAAATTCCAAAGTTATTTAATATTCGCTATAGTACGTAAAAAATTGCATACTTCGATTATTAGAGCAGATCATCTTAGAAGTATCGCACCCCAAATCCCACCCCGCATTGTAGAGGAAAAGCTCCATCACAATTTCTCTAGCTCGGCCTTCACGGCCTCCTTGAAGGTAGCTTTCCATGCCTCCTCTCCTCTAGTAGGCTTCCATCCAAGATTCTTAGCCACACTCGCCACCGTTCGCGAGTTACTAGCCAAAGCCAACTCGACGAACTCTTCACCACCCTGGCCTCCCAAGAAAATCTTAGCAGCTTCCGACAGCTCGAGATGTTCCACCTCTTTCTGGGCAATCGCGCCCTCTGCGTAAGCTGCGTCGGCCACCCTCTGAGCGACCTCTTCCCAAGCATGGCGGCCATTGCCACTGAAGATAATACCCTTCTTACCCGTCGGAACACCCTCACCGCCCTTCTCCACGATCTGTCGTGCTAAGAGCACATATAGCTCTGCAAGGTCCTCAACGTGCACGTGGTCCCACACCCCCTTTCCATGACCAGGCACCGCAGTACGCTTGCGCTTAAGCGCAGCTCGGACCACATCGGGGATCTGGATGCTATCCTTGTTGAACAGACCCTTGCCACGACCGAAGATTAATCCAGACATAATAACTACAGTCTTAACTCCATATTCCAAGCTAGTGTCTACGACGGTTAGCTCGGTGGTGCGCTGGAAGTACTTGTGGTCGTTCTCCTCGCGCGACTTCTCGTAGCCGTAGACATCATCCTTGACGTCGTCGAATTCGCGGCCTTCGGGTTCCTTCCACAGGCCTGTTACCGGACGGTCGCTGAGGTTAGAGGTACCGGAGGTCTGGATGTACCACACGTCGCGGCCAGTTGAGGCCTTGCGCTGGGCGAGACCCTTAATCAGCGCTACGGCGGATGGGGTATGGAAGCCGTTGGTCGTGTTGATGACTAAGTCATGTTGGGCAGCGGCAGCTGTGGCCGCCTCGACGTCGTCGAGGTCCTTGTAGAGGATTATTCGGACACGGGATCCGTAGGTTTCGGTAAGCTTGGCAGCCCGGTCGGGACCACGGACGAGGCAAGTAATGGTCGAGGCGCTAAGGACAGGGGAGTCCGAGCTAATGAGATAGGACAAGATAGTGCCACCGATGTATCCAAAAGCTCCAGTAAGGAGAATTTGAGGTGTTTCGCTTGAAGACATGGTTGCTGTTTGATTTTGATATAAAGTAGAGGTTTTGAATTGGTAAGTTGCGATGTATGAGAGATGTTGATGATGATGCTACAAGAAATCAGGACTTAGGAGGAAGAGTAAGAGAATATATATATTCATACTTGGCTTGGTAGTTAACTACCATCGTACCCAGTATATCATGGCTCCGGAGACATTTCCAATGGTATTGAGAGTATGTCTCCGATATTCTATCACATCATCGTGGTTTTCACCATCGTTGTCACTCTACGGTTTCTAGAGCATTAGTAATATTTAAGCAATAATCAGCCCGTTGAATCTCATGGTTGAACTAGGGTAGTATCAGTAGTAGAGTTTATGTAAAAGGACATACCAGGGGTTTAGGGGCCTTAGGTACCCCACTCTAGTCTTTATAGTGGGCTACCAATGCCTAATGCGGTATATGGAGCTTCCCGCTATGCATTAGATTGGCGCGATCTAATGCACAAGCCGGTGATAGCGGAGTCTATTATTTACAACCGCCCCCAAAAGGAGGTCATCGCTGACTTACTACTAGCCTCTACCCAATTTTTTTCTTCTTCATATTTTCTGGCTAGTCATTCTCTCTTTTACGAACGGCCGAACAATTTCCCTAGAAATTTAGGCTATCAAATGGGTCCTGGGTCCGCCCAGAATTGTTTCAAAGTGAGATGTTTTATGGTGACCCTGAGTATCTAGATCTGTGTTAAGCAACATTTATAATAGCGGATGGAAATTGGACCGAGTCTCTCTCCAAGACTCTCCAAGTAGCGGATGAACCCCAGTAATAACACAAACGCCATAGAAAATCGTCGAAGCAAAACTACCATTCACGTCATATACGAATTTCGTTCACCGACACCATTAAACATCCCTATAGCATTCAATTAACTAGAACAATACTCAGCACTGACTAATTATGACAAATATTACGAAATCAGACCTGGTTGCTTCTTGACTTGCATTTGATATGACAGCCTCATCATTTGGTCCTTGTTTTTCTTACCTTGCATAGGATGAGCGCTGAATTGTTTCCTCGATCGCCCGATCCTATCCAATAAATTATGTATAGGAATGGCAGAGTTTGAGTACAGACCTACGTAGGTATAGGTATGAGTGGGCTTTCACAGTTGCGAAGCATAACGGCTGGTAAGTATCCGCCCAACGAGCTCCCAGCCTACCTACCCCCCTCTCGAGACTAAGACCTTCAATATGTAGCAGCGCCACTAACAACGTACGAAGTACAATTATGGAAGATATTAAGTATGAATTGTCTCGATGTCAACAAGAGTAGGCTTGAAAGTTAGGCTACCTCCTATATGGACGGAGACTTTTCAAGACGTTATACCGTATACCGAAAGTGAAAACCAACACGGGTCTGTGCCTCTTCAAAGTATCCGAATCGATTGACGTCGCTGGAGCTGTTAGAGCGGCCAATCTCATTCATTAGCCTGGGATACACTGGGGTAACCTGGGGATAAGTTACACAGGTATGTCTGGTTCTTCCAAGTTGAAAAGAAATTTCGAGAAAATTTTGGTACAGGATAACTATTAAACTGACCTGAATATAGAAACTACCTAGGTACCTACCAAAAGCCCGAACTCTCCCAATCATGATGTTAGCGTTAAGCGTTGAGACAACCACAAGGGAAGAAGGGGTAGCGGAGGGAACAAGAGGAAAAAATACTTGCGTTAATAACCGTAAGTTCACCGGGGCCCATATAGAGCTTAAGGAGCTTTTTCGTTCTCATAAGTAAGTGATTCCGTATTCATATGCTAGGAGTTATAGCGACCAAGTATAGATACAAGGTCAATAAATGTTGTAGCGCACGGAATTATCTAACTGTGTACCTATGACCCTCAAAGGCCGGCAGAATAAATTAACTAAATATGCGGCGTATAGAGAAATAAGATATGCATCGCCGAGATAGCCCTCTCACAATCTTGCCTGACCACCAGCACCAACTTGTCCCGCAGTCTCCTCAGCCACTGCCCGCGCAAACGCAGCCTGAACATCATGTTCATGAATCCAACTAGGATCATCCCGATTCTTTATCCTCGCCCTAAGCTGTTCATCTGATTCCGGTGGACTATCCTGCGAATACCTAGCCAACTTCTTCTTATTGTTCTCATGAACAACACTCATCACGCGATCGGTGTGGGGCTTTCGGGTCTTTTCGTAAATACGCAGAGCGGTTAGTATCTCCGTGTCGGTCGGCTTCCTAGTCGCGTTTTCGGGGAATACATGTAGGATCGACGCCGCAAAAGCCCATGCGTCATCAAGTGCGAGACTTCCGCCTGCGGCAAATGCACCCCCGTGGGCATGCGCTGCGTCGCCTGCTAAAGTTACCCTTCCGCCCCCTAAAACCCAAGTATCTAGGACCCGGGCCGCTGAGTTAGGGTACACATTGGTATGGGGCACTGCATCGATAATTTGGCGCGTGAGTGGTGACCAGTCTTTATAAAATCCCCTTAAGACGTTGACGTCGCCCTTCGAATCCCATGCCGAGTCCTTCCAAGGAGCGTCCGGAGCACCGGGGTCGGCCTGGTACGATCCTACGACGGTGAAGAGATCCCTTCCGAGTTTCGACACGAATAACGTACGGTCCGGCCCCCAGAAATGGTTCGCCTCGTCCGGCACGTCCTTAATATGCGCGACGTGTGAATAGGGGAATACGGATCGGAAAGCCACCCACCCAGTCCAAGCCGTACCCGAAGTAGGAACAAAGAATGTCCTGACTGGTGAATGGATTCCATCTGAGCCAAGAATAATATCAGCCGTAGCAGTGGTGCCATCCGTGAACGTTATCAGGAGTTTCCCGGTAGTTGCATCAGAGGTAACCGATTGAAAGGCCTTGGACAAGTGAATCCGAGATGGATCGACATGCTTAGCAAGTGCCTCCTGAAGATGCGCTCGGTAAAAGCGAGAGGTCAAATGGCGATATTCGACTTCACCAGCATGAGAATCAGTTGATACTATCTCATTGGTTTGCCAATGCCTATGTTACGTTAGCAACCCCTAAATGTCATAGGTTTAGGGGTGTACAAACTCACCTGTAGATCATAGGATGTCTCGACTTATTACGAAAAGCAACTTCGTCTTCCAAAGCATTATTAACACCAAGCCTTTCCAAAGTTCTCATTCCATTAGGCCCAAGCGCAATTGATGCTCCTATTTCTCTGAGTTCTAATGCTTTTTCATATACCTGTACATCAATAGCGGGGTGATTCTTCAGTGCGATCGCTGCTCCAAGACCAGCAATACCAGCGCCAACAATGGCGATCTGAAATTTTGAGCTATCTGCCATTTTTTGGAAATTAATATGAATTATTCTTATATCATTCCCAAATTTACTTTTTTTTCCTTTCCTTCTCTTTCCCCTCTTCCCCTCGTGGATAATGAGATGTGGGCAAGATCATATACGACCTTCAACCCCCGCGATCCGGTCTCAATACGCGTGGTAGACCGGACGGACCCGAGATGGCGCAAGAGAGGACTGAAATTGCGAAGCAATATCTTATCAATCAGCAACCCCCATCCCACCCCAAGAACCTCACCATTTCGGACAAGACCCGAAGCCTAACCCTCGAAATCGGACCGTGCCTCTACTGAAGTAAAACTAAACGACGTATATCGGACAGCCCTTACCGTAAGGAGACGTAACCCTAGGATTGGGTGCTGCCAAGGGAGTATTCGCCATTATTGTGGGGTTTGACGAGTTCTACCTGGTCGATGTCGTACCTATACGGACGCGTACTGTCTTATATTTGGACTTTCATTACTTAACGACGTTGTGTAATCCCGTCAAGTTGTTCGGAGCCTTCCTGCCGCTTCAAATTCGTCAAATATGGCTTCTAAAAATGTGCAAGCCACCTCTTCCAGCGAGGTCCTCGTTGAAGCTCCGAAGCTTCCTGATAAATATGCCGATGAGAGTTATAAACTCTTTTCGCAAGTTAAAGTCGACCCCCCAACACCAGAGGAGGCAGAGCAAATTCGAAAGAAGAGCGTCAGATGGATTCTATCATTCCTGTGTGTGGGATATCATTTGATGTATGTCGATAAACAAACAGTAAGTAGTCCATCATGTTTCACTGCTTATGAAAAGTGAGACGGTATTAACGCATTATTCCTATCTAGTTGGGAAGTTCATCTATTCTTGGCTTACTCGAAGATGGCCATTTGAACTCAAACCAGTATAACTGGCTGGCGTCAATATTCTACTTCGGTTATATGTTAGCGGAATGGCCTCAGAACTGGGCCTTGCAACGATTCCCAGTTGCGAAATGGCTAGCTAGTAACCTCATTGTCTGGTGAGTTGTTTTTGAATCTGGTATGCACACTGGTGCTGATGAGAATAGGGGTGGTATTTTATTGTTACACATTCCATGTAACAGCTTCGCCTCCTTTTTCGTCGTTCGCTTCTTCCTGGGGCTAGCGGAAGCATGCATCGTACCTGCGTTTTTATTGACGCTGTCTATGTTCTTCACATATGATGAGCAAGCAGTTCTGATGCCCATAATGTGGGCGGCGGGCAATTCATCGCCCATAACTTCAGGGTTGCTATCGTACGGAGTACTGTGGATTGATACGGGCAACTTTTCATCTTGGAGATGGTTCATGGGTAAGCTCTAATCGGTCGCTCTACCAAAATCAAGATCCCTAATGACGTTCTTAGTTATTACTGGAACTTTGACTATTATCTATGGGATAACTGTCTGGCTTTTCTTCCCCGATAATCCCATCTCCGCGCATTTCCTGACCTTGGAAGAGCGGGCGCAAGCCATCCTGCGCATCTCTTCTAACCATTCAGGTATCGAGCAAAAGCGCTTCAAAAAGTATCAACTAATCGAGGCGCTCAAGGATCCCAAGACCTGGCTTTTCTTCTTCCATGCTTGGTCGCAGGAAATGGCCAATGGTTTGACAAACCAGTACTCCCTAATCATCAAGTCGTTTGGTTTCACTACACTTCAAACCACATTGTTAGGGTGCATCACGGGCCTCACGTCTCTAATTTCGCTAGGTGCCGCGGCTCTCTTTTTGTCGAAGACGAAGAATAGTCGTGCGTGGATCTCGGCCGCTGCGTACATCCCGCCTATAGTCTCCAGCATATTGCTCATCACCCTCCCCTGGAGTAACCGCTGGGGCCTTTTGACGGCTATCTGGATCCGCTCAACTGGTGGAATTCCTTACAGCGTAGTCATGATTTGGGCAGCTAACTGTTCCGCCGGCCACACGAAGAAAACCGCTGTCATCGCTCTATACCATGTAGGATACGGGTTAGGAAACATTCTTTCGCCCCAGCTATTCCAAGAACAATACAAGCCCAGGTATATCGTGACTTGGTGGGTAATTCTATGGATCGCATGTGTACTACCGACATTCATTGTCTTGACCCTGCGATGGTACTTAGTAAGGGAGAATAAGAGGCGAGACAAGTTAGCAGAAAGTGGAGCGATTAGGGAGATTGGAGTCATCGAACATATCGACGAGAATGGTGAACGAACGGAAGAGGTAGTTGATGCGAGGCAGTTGGATCTTACTGATCGGGAAAATCTTGCATTGTAAGTTGTCCGGTTCCCACGCGCATTGTTGGCACGTACTAACATTCACACAGCCGTTACGTTCTCTAGTATTGGTCGTGATATATGGGTGTCCTTACGATTTACGAGTATGCCTTTTGAAGAGCGCTTTACCGGCTCGTGGTGTTTTTAGTAGAATACCTAAGTTAGTAGTAGGTAATTCTACGAAATATTTTATCAGCCTTACCTGTTGGGTGTTCATATATGTCATGCATGTTGTATTTCCGTAGATGTAGGAGTTTGGACAAGCGCGGTCACTGGTAGGTACGCCGAGGGTTATGGGGCTTCCTAGGTGCTCAAAGCAGGTAGGCTATGGCTATGGAATTAAGACGGGACTGGGGATAAGTTACCAATCGTAGAATTGCTGCCATAAGGCTCGATCGAATCCTTTAAACCTCAACTTCCGATAAAACTCTCAACATAGATCCCAAACGATTTGCGATGTTTTAGCGAGAACCAAGCAGTTTAAATCAGGATCGAAGACCCCTACAAGCGAACGCTATCTTCTGATCGTCAGCACCCGTAACCAGCCAAATACAGGCAACCGATCCAGCAAGCGGCGCAGCGCAGTTCTGTAACAGCTATTCCTTCACCCCAGTTCACGATCGACTACAAAATATTCTATAGCATCGATGGGGCCTAGTATAACCCATTCTTTTCCTTTGAAGCATTTACTCTTAATTATCGGGTGTTGCTATAAGTCCCGCAATGATGAGTCTCCAGAGCGCCCAGGCCAAGCACACTCCCAAAACGAACAGACCAGTCGCTCCAGTCCACTAAACAACGCTGACAACATGGGGCGTTGCGACGCATGTGCCCGACTTACAGTGGAGGGCCTTAGGCACAACATGGTCCCCCATCACCCCAATCTACGCTCCCTACGGGACTCCGCTACAGCGGGTTGCGACCTATGCCAGTTGATCTGGACATCCATCCAACAACAAAACCCCGAAGTCGAGAAAATTGACGCCGTACTAACTGGTCAATCCCCAGATGGCGAACCACTGTTTAGCGAGCAAGTATGGCTAAGAGGATCATTTATGGACACCTCCCGCGGGCGGGAACCACGGGGTTCCGCGAATGTGAGCCAGCAGGATGGTGGAAGTCAAGTATACGTGGATTGTGGGAATGAAGAGAATCCAGAAACGACTATGAGCCCGGCGATGCTAACGAGCACGCTGTGGGTATTTGCTGACCCAGGTGCCGTACCGCTATAAATGTCGCCCTTGTGTACCTAGATCTGCTGATGGTTAGTTATTCTAGGTACACCAGCTGGGTCTCGCTTCGTAGAGCGCTATATCAGCGCTGACAGGAATTCCGACGGGTACGTTGAGTTCGGTCGCGCGATGCTTTCAGTCTGCCGGAAGAGGCACCCGGAGTGCGGACCTGTAGACCTAGATGCAGCACCTGAAATGCCTACACGGGTACTCGATATAGGGACCTCTTCAGGGGACTCGATAAAACTGGTTTACGCACGCCTGCACGGGCTACGCAAGCCCTATTTAGCACTGTCTTACTGCTGGGGTCAGGGCGTACGCCATGCTACAGAGCTCCGCGACGAAAATATCAGTTCTCTCTTAGAATCTATCGATGAAGCAGCTTTAACGGCGTCGCATCAAGAGTGCATCGCTATCGCACGTCATCTAGGTATTCAGTATGTCTGGATCGACTCACTATGTATCATCCAAGGAAACGCCGACGACTGGAACGATGAATCCAAGCTCATGGCCGAAGTATACGGCAACGCAACGCTCACCGTCGTAGCCAGTCGCTCAGCAGATAGCCGATCCGGGTTTGTAACAAACCAACACAAACAAGCAACGCCGCCTTGCGCACTTCCCTTCGGCGAGAAAGACGAGAGCGGAAAAGACATAGGACCTATCTTCCTTTACCTACCACGTGCGAAAACTCTCGGGCCCTTGAATACGCGGGGTTGGTGTTTCCAGGAAGGTATCCTCAGTCGACGGAAGCTGGTCTTCGAGATGGAAAAGATTTGCTTTTCATGTCAACGGACGACACGATGGGAAGATGGCACCGCTGACGAGTCCGACAAGCTACGAGCGCGGTTGTTCCAGAGTATAACGGATGATAATACCAACAGCAACACCGAACCGCAAGCGCTAGGACAAGATCAGCTACGTACTGAGATGTTGCGGCTATGGTACAAATCATTCCTCGTCAAATACACACAACGCCAACTCACGAACCCCAACGACATTTTCGCAGCCATCAGCGGTATTGCACAGCTAGCACAGCAATCCATAAAGTCCCGCTACTTAGCTGGTATATGGGAAGTCGATATAGTCGCCGGTCTGTTATGGAACACATGGTACTCATTCGGTGCAAAATCAACTAATTATCCAATAACTTCTCCAATGTATCCCATTAGGCCTAAGAGGCCAACCGATTTAGATGGCAAACAAATTACTAGAGCCCCGTCATGGTCGGTATGTACCCCATATCCAGCAATAAGTAAGTTTAACGAATGCTCATGCCAGTGTTGGACCAGTGGGCTTCAATAATAGGCCAAGTCCACGAGCGCTCTACTCCACGAGACGAAGCCGTATTCCGCGATCCATCTAATTTCCTCGTCCGACCTTGCGATAATAACAACCGCACACCACCAAGGTGGACAGCATCCGATAGCCCCCACTGCGACACCAACATCCTCCACATGCCAGCCTGCGAGCTGCGTTTCCTCGGACGCCCGAAGCCCGTAAAATGCCGTCCAACATGGTCCGAAGTCCCAGGCTTAACGAGAAAATGGCATCTCCAACCCGGCCGACGGCGGAAGTCAGCGGAAGAGGGATACCTCGTCCTCTTGGAACCCGCTGAATCCGAGCAAGCCCAGCTGGACGAACTCGGTCTACTTCCGAAAGAGGATACTCCGAATCCCAACGCTTTAGTTTTCGCCGAAGCTTTCTTTGACATCTCTGAAGAACGCCCTGGTATTACTGACTGTTGGTTCTTACCACTACTCAAGGAGAAATGGGTAGGTCTGTTGCTGAGTAAAAGTACATCAGACGGCAAATTCCGCCGTCTCGGCATCGTCGTAGTGGCTAGAGATCAGGTACGTAATTTCTATTCACATCATTCTTCGTCTGCTAGTATTCTAATCCATTACCTATTACCCAGTTCTTACCATGGGTGCTGTCAGGACCCGAAGAAGAAATCCGTCTAGTATAGAATGATAAAATCCTATGATTCATAAAACGTAAAATCAATTTTTCGTACACCACCTATGAGAAAATACCTAATGTTTTCAGCCCATGTAGCACGCGACCAGACTCTCGACATCGCGAGCCCTACCTCCCATCCTAGGTACGGGGTCTTCATATGATAAATAATCTAGAATGCGTGAAAAGCCCCTTTTCGTACCAGAAGACAAAGAACCATTTTAGAAACCTCTCGCATGTCAACTTTCCTTCCGACACATGGGCGGGAACATGCTATGTTGTCGTCATATCGCGCCATATACACGAGCAACAGTCTCATTAAATACACACCATCAGGTCGCCAATCTCTGTGTCTACCAGTCAATCTAGTTTTAATCCACTTAGTTGATGTCGAACAACGGCTTAAGCTTAATGATAAGCTGCCACTCGTCGTTCGTCACTTCTTTTCGGTAGAATTCCTTCAGTGTGTCGATACTCGCTCGGGATATTAAACTGTAGAGTGCGTCCTTCTCTTCTAGTTGACGACCGTAAGTAGGTTGGTGACCACCCATTTCAACCTTAATAGCGACCGAAGGTTGACCCTTCTTACAAACCGGGATCTGCTTGTGATCTCTTTCGATGGAAGTCCTATTTGGTGGTTAGTTAAAGCGAAAAGGGGTAGTGGGGGGTTTTAAGATCACTTACACTCTGCCAAGACTGACAATTTCCTTAGCGCCAGTTGTCGGGTTCTGCTTAACGGCGGCGATTGGTGTGTTGACTCTCAGACTACCATCTACCACATCAACACCAACAACGATGGGACCGGTCTTGTTGAAGACGGCGACCGTGTTGAGAACACAGGGAAAGACCGCCAACATCTTAGATTCTTCCTTCTTCTTTTCCAATTGCTCGTCCATGTGCTTCGTGAAAGCGTCGAAGAGATGGTAGATAATGTCGGCAGTGAAAATCTTGATGCCGTTCTCCTCAGCGTATGCTTGCGCCTCTTTATCAATCTTGACATCGAAGCAAAGCATAACAGCGTAGTCGGGATTCTTCTCCAACATAGTAGCGCACTGAACGACATCACGCTTGAACACGGGACCAATTCCGACATTGGCTACGGGAATCTTGCAGTCCTTCAAGAAATCCAACAAAGCTTCGAGGGAACCAAGTGTAGAAGCCTGTACACTGACACCACGTCCAGTTGTAGCGACACGGCTGAAGAGCTTGTTGAGATCGGATTCGACTTCTTCCTCGAGATCTTCCTCATCGTCATCAGGGCCGACAACAAGTAATCGGGAACCAGCGATAGCGCCTTCGAGACCAGGTGCACTAATCTTGACACCCATAGCTGCCTTGACTTCCTTGTTATGTACGTATTGGGATTTAACACGCAATTCCTTCATAATAGCGGGTGTTAGGAGTGCACGGATATTTGTGGTGATTGCACCCTCCACACCGCAGACTACAATTCGGTCACCTTCTCGGAGGATACCGTTAGAAAGAATGACATCAATTGTCATACCGAAGCCCTCAATCGCTTTGACTTCAAGAACTGTGGCCTGAACTTCGGAGAGGTACATTAGAGAGCCCACCATCCTTTCTTGGGTCAGCTGGAGAATTAGCTTCAACATGTCAGGGATACCTTCACCAGTATGGGCTGAGGTCGGCACCAATGATACGTATCTTGCCATCGATTTGTTTTCATAGTAAAGTTCGGCATTGAAACCCTGCTCGGAGAACGCGAGTTTTGTTTGCTCCAGTCGATTTCTGAACTCGTTCTGGACACCCTTATTTTGAAGAGCCAAACTTTCCTGGAAACCATTGTTGTCCACCTTCTTCCAGCCGTATAGACGATCGATCTTGTTGAGGGCAACAATGAAGGGCGTCTTACGGTCTCGGAGCAACTTCATTGACTCGAGAGTTTGGGGTTCAAGACCGTGCATAATATCGACAACCAAGATAGCGATGTTACAGAGTGACGAACCTCGAGATCGAAGATTGGAGAAAGACTCGTGACCAGGTGTATCGATGATTAAAAGACCCGGAACCTTGAACTCGAACTTTCCTTCGGGGTTGACCACGGCAGTCTTCTGCTTGATGGCATCAACGGGGAAGTAAGTTGCACCAATCTGTTGAGTGATACCACCAGCTTCGCCTTCTTGGACGTTGGTTTGTCGGATTTTGTCCAAAAGCTTAGTTTTACCGGTATCGACGTGTCCCAAAATACAGCAAATCGGAGAACGTAGGTTATCCTTGGATCTAGCAGCCAGAGCGGCTTGGTGAGCCTTCTCTCGTCTGTCAGCAGCTTCCCTCTTTCGCTGGGCTTCCGCTGCCTGTGCCGCAGTTTGCGCCTCGTCTTCGGATGACTCTTCGTCGGACTCTTCTTCAGACTCATCCGATCCGAGCTTGGGTCTCGACGGTAACGATTTGCCTGACTCAGGCTTCTTCGACGACGATGCAGCCTCTTCATCCGAGTCGGCATCCCAACTTTCTTTGACATCTTCATCAGCAGCTGCCTCCCAGTCATCTTCGACCTCGCTATCTTCCTTCGCTTCCTTCTCCTTCTCTTTAGCAGCTTTGGCAGCAGCTTTCTTAGCCGCCTTTTCTTCTGCTTCCTTGGCAGCAGCTTCGGCTTGCTGTCTCGCGCGCTCGGCAGCCTCCGCTAAGGCTTTCTCTTCGTCAACCTAGTAGAATATGAGTTAGTCCATGAGTATAAACACAGGCTCGGGGGCCGCATGGTGGGCCAGGTACCTTTTGCTCGGTCTTCTTGCCGCGCTTTTTGTTGTCATAAACCTTCTTCTTTTTATCTTCGCCATCTTCGGAGGGCCCGACCTTGATGCCGGCAGCAAGCATCTGCTGAAGTTTTCGCTCATTTCGAGCCTTCTCTTCTCGCTGTGCCTTGGTCATGAACTTGCCCTCTTTCTTCAGTTGTTCAATCCTCTCCTTCTCCTTTTGCTTCTTGCGGGCCTTTTCTTCTTCTCTTCGCTTCACCGCTTCAGCTTCTTCTTGTTCTAGCTGCGCTAGTCTGGCTTTCTCTTCAGCAGCAAAGCGCTCATCTTCTTCTCGTTTTCGTCGCAACTCTTCTTGTTGCTTCTGGAGAGCCAATAGATGTGGAGGTAGCTTCTTTCCTTTCCCTCCTGCGGCCCCAACAGCGGGTGCTGCAGCAGGAGCTTCTTTCTTCTCTACAACGGTTTTCGCGGGCTCTGCAGCCTTCGGGGGCGGGGCGGGTGTCGTCTTTTTCTTCGCAGCCTAGAACACATTTAAAGTCAATTGAGGAATACAAGCAGGGGAGGATTCGAAGTTTACTCACCTGTTCCTTCTTTCTCGCCTTTTCTCGCTCCTTTTTCAATTTCTCCTTCTCGGCTTTGGTTAACACTCTTCCACCCTCTCCCGTCTCCTCATCGTCCGCGTCAGCTGCTGCAGCCTTGGCAGGTTGTTTGTTTTGCTTTCCACCCTTCCCCTTCTTCTCGGGCAATGCGAACTCATCATCCATCGTAGCCTCTTGAGGCGCTTTCGCAGCGGCATCTGGAGTAGGTTCGGCGGAAGCGTTCTCACCCTCAACAAAGTCTTCCGACAAGCCCATCTTCTTTCTCTTCTCACGCTTCTTCTTCAGCATACCCATTAGCCCACCAACAGGCGCCGCATCCTCATCCTGGTTCTCCTCCTCCGGCGCGTCGGCAGCGGCGGTAGTAGCATCGCCGTTGGTGGGTACGATCGACTCTCCCAGATCGGCCTCCCAGTCGTCGGCCGCCTTCTTATTTCCCTTCTTCCTGGGAGGCATTTTGGCGGTGGTACGCGTGGACGTGGGGTATCAATAGTTTCTTAGATTAAATCGGGAGATAGTTATGATAGGTAGAATATCGTTGGTCCGTCTCAACAAGGCGTTTCCGCGAGGATGTGTGCGCCTCTAGTGCGTGTGTAGTGTTGTAAGATGAGTGGGTTGAGATGCCTAAGAGACGGTGGGGTGGACCCTCTGCAAAAACGACGAGGGGCAATAAGAAAAAAAAAAAAAAGAAAAAAGAGGCTCAGCTAGTCGGAAGCATGCGCTCTTCACCTAGTAACCACTAGGCAGTTTTTGTCGCACCGGTAATGGTAACAAACTCAAATTAAATTAAATTGAGGCGGAAGTCTCCTTATAACCCGTCTGCGCTGATATTGTAAATAGAAGGAAGGACAGAGGAAGGGTTAGGGCCGCTATATCCTTCTCTGTAGTGGGGTAATAGGCCAGATCAAACCGATGATGACGCTGGGCAGACCTAAAAATTATTATAGGTTAGCACTTACGTCGTATCCCACGCGAGAAGGAAATATTTTTGTGAATGCCCACTTGCATAACGGAATAATTATGAAATACTAAGCGAAGCTCCTTATCGATAAACCACGATTAGATAAACTATATTCCTTGGGTACCTAAGTATACAGTAGTACATAGAAATATCGACACTATGCACTGTATACGGTGCTGTTTATTAGCTGCCCAAGGTAGGCGTCAAAATGATGTCTCACCACCTCCTCTTCAATCCGTATCACTCATCACCAAACATTGATTGTATTCGATATAACATTTGAATCAGCTTTATTCATAATCAGTCTAGTCACATCTGCCTCCGACTAAGACTACCATACCCGGCCAAGTCGTGTATCCTCTATATGACTGACAATTCGTTACCTAAAACAGGCCCTATCCTTGCCAGCCTATGTACCTGGGTATTCGTAATGGGATGAAAACAGACTCCTTAGTTTTGAAACTCCTCATAACAATACCCGTCCAGTCGTAAAAAGGAGAGGAGTAAAACCACATCATCGAGGCTTGGCTTGTTACCATTTTCTATATTTCCTCGTAGAGAATTTCGATCGACCATCCTTCTCAACGTCGGGAAACGTGACCTTACGAAGCAGTTTATTGTTATTGAGAATCTCTAGTAGAGCCTTCTATGAACTTAGACACCTATAGCATTCATAGGCGCTCCGTTCGAAATATGGTTAGAAGACGGGAGAAAGATAATACTTAAGGATTTCATAAGCCAGTTCAAAGTATGTCGCATCGCTTGCTGGGGAATCCAGTTCGAGATACTCATCATCATCCAGAGGCTTGAGAAGTTCTTTGAATCGTGGTAAACGCCACGTATCTGCGATAATCTCTTCCAACACGTGTTGGTCAAGGCATCTCTGCAAGATATCTCCATCAACGTGCATACCTAACTTTGGTCTGAATGAGGGCTCTGGATTCGGTTCAGCGCCAAACGGCGCTGGTGAAGTATGTGGACAGATTTTCGGATACGCCATCGCCAAATTCTGAATGAATCTGAGGAGTCGCCATGCGTCCTCGTTTAAGAGAGTAAAGTGCTGCAGCGACCCATCAATAGTGAGACCGATGACATCCGACCCAGGCAGTCCACCCGAAACATAACCGTAACGAGCCCGTTTATATTTCTGCCAATTCCACGATACCTTTGTGTTTCCTCGGCCAAACTTCCTGATGGAGGCCTTGAGCTCTGCTTGAAATACTAGGCTGAGTGGCCTTCTTAACTCGGGAGGGGTCCATAAGCCGTGGATTCCACACATTGGATCGGACACGATACTTAGCGGACTCGAGACCGTTTCTACGACAATGCAATGTAAACCATTACGGCTAGTATCGTCCGAACATAAGTCGGCCATCTCCTCTTCTTCGTCGGTTAATTCGCCCTTGTACTCGAGAATTATGAGTGAGTGTTCAGTAGTGAGGGCGTACAATCGCCCACTCACTACCTCCATCCAACAGGCCGGAGATATTAATTCGTACGTCCTTGTCATTTTGAATTTGCCTCCATCAACCGTGTGATATTGAATGAAGTTCCCAGAGCATAGAAACACGCCACGTGGGTCAGTTGCTATTGACCATATGGGCCCGTCCCGTATCTTCCGATCAAACTTAGTCCAGAATCGTATCCGCCGTGACGCGCTACTTTTGGAGGATAAGTTTACGATTTCAGACTCAGCCGAAATTATCAACAGGTAGCTTTCGTTATCCTTGCGTATAGCGACGACGAACCAGTCCGCACTGCTATCTCCGTACCTATACGTCCATGCTATAAGTGACATGACTCTCGTACTCGCATTCCCTAAGCCCGAAATGTATTCGACATCATAATAGTTAGTGCCTCCCGCATCCTTTCTTCTTTCCATGGGTCGAGATAAATCGCACCCCGTCTCGGGATCGAGAAAGTGTAAGGAAAATATCCCATTCTTCGAAACAACGGTTACCAGAGCCCCCAGCTTCTTGGAATGGAGTATCTTCACCGGCGTTCCGTGAACTGGGAAATAACGTGGAACCGGCTTTGGCTGATATTGTAATTCTGTGATTAATATCCGCGGGCCAGAAATCATCACCATCGTTGACTCTCCGTATTCAGGAAGCTGGTTATACAATGGCGCTACACAGTTGATCGGCGGAGAAGACATATTTGGTCTATCACCGTCGGTTGGCCAAACGCGATATATATCCTCGAAATGACCCCCTTTACGGTTTGTCACATATTGTTTCATTATCGCGAGCTCGGCATCGCTGCAAACCAAGGCCGAGAGCGGATCTCCAAACCCGGAACCCGAATAGACGTAAGAAGGTGAAGTACCAAAGGAATCCTGATACACTTCGCACTTTCCAGAATCAGTTCGGTTGAGTCGGATTGTAAGGACATTTCCGTCTTTGGTTCCAGCTATAATGACTGCCTTATCAGCCATATGACCAAGATACACAAAACTCGTTAAGGCACCAAATGGATCGTTCCCGAAAGAATCTACTGGGCCTTTGACCGAGTTTATTGCAGCTACACGGCATGTTAGTAAGTCGTATTTTCGAGATATTCAAGTGTGACATACGCGGTTTAAGTTCTATCAGAAACGGCGTGATAGAAGCTTGGTCTAATTCAGCAGGATAGATCGCTAGACACGGATGTCGACCTTCTAGGAGTCCCGTGAGGACAACAAGGTTCCCGTCGAGTTTCTCTATCGCAAGGCAAGTGACCTCTCCTTCCACGTCGAACGTCCGGCGCAGAGTAACATCAAGGTCGGTAATATTGAGTAGGACGATTTTGTAAGTCGGCCCGGAATGAACTGCTAAGGAAACCGTGTCATCTCTAATTGCTGCATCCGTCACTATAGCAGTGTAATCTTGTATTATATCGTGTATCGAATGTTGAGAACTGTATATCAAACTATGTTAATCACATCATAACAGTATCTAGTCCAGAAAGACTTACGAGCCAGTTAGGGTGGAGACTGTGATACAGTTCGTCGTGATTTGAACCACTACGCCGTCTAATTCTTGAACAGCCAATGTCTTTGAGGAAAGGTCGAATGGTGTGCTTTCAGGGTCCTTTTCTGATACTTCGGAGAGATCTCGAGATAGATGTAAAATTGCAGACCCACTAGGTAGGGCAAGAAGGAGGAAGAATCCGTCTTCCACGACTCCATGGAAATCAGAAATTGCCCAACAATGCCTAATGTTGGAGGAATATGAGAGATCCAAGCCGATTCTTGCCTGGATTCCGTATCGGAATTGCGTTATAGCACCCGTTATACCTCTACCACTACAGGCGAAGACTTTATCTGTTTTATAAGGAATTATTGCTCCAGGCCCAGAAGAGTCGCTAGACCAATCATCATAACTACCGTCATCAGTGACGACAAAATCTACTGTTGGCGACCAATTTGGAATCGACCCAATCCGTTGAGGGGATTGTCTTGCTTCAACCTATTACTATTAGCCAAATCGTTCCCGAGAAGAGTAAATTGCCAACTCACATTCCAAACTGCACCAGGTCCCGAGTCCCCGCCGGTGACTAGGACGTCGCCGAAAAGATGGAATAGGGAAGCAAAGGCGGTGTCGATGTTGCAGTCTACGGAACCCATGCTCACGCTAGTCTCGATTTCGAATTCGTCGCCACATTCTAGGAAGTTTATGAGGCCGTCCTCCCTCGCTAGATATATTACGTCTTTCTTGTCATGATACGGAGGGTGTCGTATCGGCCTGGTCCATGCTGTCCACAATGGCTCGTGGGTGCCGTGGTGTAATTCAGTATCGCCTCGATTCGCCAGTTCGAATGGAACAAATACTGGGGGACTACCTAAGATATCTGAGCAAGTCGCGGTGATTCTTTCTGTAATAATGAGGAAGGCGTTTCGGACCTTGAGTGGGACAACCAAGAGCGGCAGACTGTAGTCTTCATCGAGTCTATAGCCATTTTTCTCGTCAAGAAAGACACCCATTAAGTCGTCTTGGATAGCCCATTCATATATAACCAGTCTAGAGGATTGCTTCTTGACCATTATTATCATTAAAATGATTTGATGTTCTTGCCTGTGGGTGGGATGTAGAAATTCCATTTTATGAATAGTACCGCTGACCGATCGAGATTCCTTATCTTTAATGGGCTGTAATGGTTCTCCCCGGGAGTATTGGCTCTGCAATGTTTTCATCGAGTGGAGCTGGTACATTAGGAAGAGCCTCTCAGAACATCCTATAGCTAAAAAGGTTGACGAGGGGTCTATGGCCATATGAAATCCGGGATAGACGAGACGTTGCCCAGGTATTTTATGTGTAGCAGAAATGAAGGTCCAATTATGGCCTGGCTCTTGTTGCAGGAATAGAAAGATCAACTCTCCGCTCTCCAGTACCAGTATCAGTAGTTGAGGGGGCAGTAGTGGATTCGCGTCGCGGAGGCTGGATGCTGTAATGTCCAAATCGGCCATTTCCATATCGGTATCTTCAGTCTTAACGTGCGTGGTATCCTCGGCGCCTTCGCTAGCTTTACGGGAATACTGAGGGGCGCCCATGACTACGGCGTTACGTATTCGAGACCCAAAGTCTTTCTTTCTGACAACATCTTGAAGCTGTCTATCACGACCAAGCTCGCATATCTGAACAGAATGGTCCTAACTACTAGTTAGAATACGGAATGTGTCAATAAGGGGCATGACGTTGAGAAAAAAAAAAGAAGGATTAAGAAAAGAAGAAGACCATAAGGTACATGTTTGTTATATTTACAGCAAGGCGTAGAAAAATCCGAGTAGTGTGGGCCACATTAGGAACTTTCGTAGTATTGAGGTTATTCAAAAGCTTCTAATCAAAGGTTGCGCTCCGCTAAAGGAAGAAAAGGAAAAGGGGTAGAAAACCTACTCCAATCAACGCAACATCGTTATAACGAGCAGCTCGAAGTTGTACGGGTAACACCCATCTTATGACAGGGCTTTCAACAATTGTCCTTGTAAGCAATCCGCGTATTGGAGGTGGATTAAGTGACGGTCTTCCTGCCTTGCGTGGAGTAGCGATGGTTCCTCTCAAGAGCTCGTCAGCCGTAACCATACGTGATACCCATTGATCATTTTCTAGAACGTAAGTCTGAAGCGACATTGTCGGTAACAGTGTGTAATAACCGGGCCCTAATAGTAGTTATTATGACCGACAGAGGTGGCTATCACACCATATATCGGTATGAATTGAAGAAAAAATATCGGTCTACGATATTAGAAACGTAAATAGTGTTAGAGGGCAATCTTCGAGGGTTAACACGACGCCATTCGTATAGTGTGCGACTAAGACGAGGGTGCGGTAGACGACGGAAGCTTGAATAAAACCTCAACGTGCTGGATCGATGGCTACTTGAAAGGCTCCGAAGGACTTTCCGGTTCAAAGAGTTTGATACTCCGGTTGAGATAAGATCAACGTCCAAATGTTATCGATGCGAGGGTAGGAGTCGAAGGGCGGAGAAGTTACACGGTCCTTGAGTTGTATTCGACACTATTCGAGAAGGCTTTGGTAACGAATCGGTAGATGGATCCGTTTGAAGGTATACTTAACTTATCCAGTATCCGAGATAAGCTAAATAGGACTTCATCAGAATTGAAAGTATGCGTGGTTAATTTTCTTTTTTCTCTCTTTTTTCCTTTAGACGTACTATGTCGTATTTCGGGTCGAATGGTTGTTCGGCCGTATTCAAGTTGAAGTCGAAGTCGAGGCCTGACCTTAGGCGCCAGTGAAGCATTAAGGGGGGAAGTTTCCACGCCTAAGACGCTTAAGCACCTAAGCACCCAAGTATAGTTGACAATACCGTTGTGGGCTAAGCAGCTGTCAGCTTTTGTAACTACTAACATAACATTGAACATTGAGTTGATGCGGGGAAGCAATCAGTCGCGTGCCCTTAGCTTTACCAGTGTAGTGCATTGAGAAAATGAAAATAATTTAGATTTCCTCCCAAACCTTTTCAAATTGAGGTGCATGAAGCCAAGTATTATGTGTAAAGTAGGAGGTACTTGCCTGTTGGGTCAAATTCGTCGTACAAAAGACAATCTGTACATGCCTACCGGGCCTACGGGGAAGGCGCGGAATAGTGGGAAAGGAAATCGATGTGGAGGGGTTAAAGTTTCTGTGTCTCTAATCGGGTAGGTATTTTGTGTTCCAAGTACCCAAGTAGGTAAGTAAGGCCCAAATATCACCTTAGCTTCAAAATATTCCTAATTGTTCTTTCCCTTCTCGAAACTTCGTGATAGGTAATTCGATACTTCCGTCCGAAACGACATATACGATTTAACTCGTGCAGGGTTAGTTTAAAAAGATAATCTCATAAATAAACTCTAAAAGAGATACATCGAAATATGATCATATTTAGGCAAATTGGTCGTACCAAAACGATCATATAATTATGAGACTAGTCGGTCTACGCCGACGATCCCAAAAATTTTATCGAATACGCGCCAAATCCAACAAGAAACCCAAACGGGGTTCAATGTTTCTTAGACTGGATATAAAACATCGAACCATCCACCACCCAAGAAGGATATGGATGATTAGCGTACCTATCTACCCAAGGTTCTTTGTATAAATGAATCCATTTTACCTAATCGATAGGCTGTTGACATAACTTTGCCCCCTTGACGACATTGGCGACATAGGCGACCTTGGTTCATATCCATATGCTCCTGTTCATATAAAGAAATATGATGCTGATGATGCTACGCTTAGCATGCAATGATGCCTACGAATCCAATGCCTTTTTTGCCTCTTCAGCCTTATCTTTATTTGATCAATACTGTCAAGGATGACTAAATGTCGATCAAGAACAAAGAGGTGCATACGGGATATGGCAAATCCCTTGTCTAGCTCCCCACGGACGAGAGACAATCAGATCCAGGCAATTCCGAGCACTGGCAGGTCGAGGGAAGAGAACCAGAGACAATAACCTTGTCCCCCCACGGAGTTCTTCCAGAGTGCAGCCAACCAGACGTTAGCTAGGCTATCCCTGTCTGTTCCATAGTTAGAAAGAACAATAACAGTCATATTTCTTACGCCATATGAGATCCATGTTAAGGACTAAAGGGAAACCTTAAAGCAAGGCGAAGGTGGAAACGAGATGTTATTCGATATTCCCAGTTTAATAAAATGATGAAGCATCCACCGTAGATGAGGCGGAAAGTACCCAGTATGGTAAACTTTAGGTATTGGATGTACCTGCAAAAGAACTAACTCAGTGTGGAGACCATCAATTGATACTGCCGCATCCTTCATTCAATGTTCCAACGCTACCAAAGTACGAATTAGGTACATATATGTATGTAGGTACTTACATCGCCTACATCGTAGTAAGTTTTAGCGCTGTGGCTCCCCCGGGACGGGGACCGCTAGATGGCACCTGCACATGGCGCCGCAAGGGTACTTTCAGCGGGAGCGACCCAAGCTGCGACCCACCTAAGCTTCGCTCCCGGCCAGCAGCCAAACCTTCTCTCATCCTTCTCAAAGTTGCATCCCAATCTGTTACTTGTTCTCTTACAGTTGGTCCAGGCTCAACGGTTTTTTACTTCTGTTAATTACTATTATAACAAGAATCATACGTTGCACCCGATAGGGTTTCCATTCCATCGACTAAGATTTTTGGTTTTTGTTTTTCTTTTATTGAAAGAAATTTCTAGCCATACATAACACGTCTCAAAAGGCAACGTCTATTTTATCTATTCGGGTAGATAAATAGGTGGGCTCACCCAAATCAGGCTTACTACCCCCAGTTTGACGGAGTGCCAAGTCACGGTACATCGGGCTCGGTCAGGGGCTTTTCCCTCACCAGCGTAAGCGACAAAAAGAAAAAGGGGACCATAACCTAGGTATCTGGTATTTGGTATTCATTGCTGCATGGTCGAATGCCACAGCACAATTACGACCCTGCTAGGGCAACAGCATGCTATTTGTCCACACCGACGCACGAGGCTACAAGTGAAGCAACCTGATGTGCAGCTGAAGCAAAGGCGGAAGCGGGAAATGAGAGGCGAGACCTCCGTCGATCTCTCACCGATGGCCTGGGAAGATGAAGACGTTGACAGTGGGGAGGAGAAAGCCGGTTCAGATGATGACAGCGAGGCGTCCGTATTGGCCCGTAAGCAGGGGAGCATATTAGATGCATGCAGGCGGAGGGACATCGATAATCTCCAAGTTTTAGCTGTATCGAGAGGAGGCTTCCTCTCCGACGCCATCCGTCGCCAAGCATGTGAGTGACCTGCGCAACCTCACCCTCATCCCGCGCCGTCCTGCATTTTTAAATTGGGGATCACGCGGCTCAAGGTTCTTTAAACAGGGCCGGTACTTCTAGGATTCCACGTCGACCTGCACGGGGAGCTAAGGGGGGTTTCCGATTCGTGGAAACAGTTGGAACGACATCGAGACGAGGATCAGGTTAAGCTAGACGTCGACAGGAGCTTCGTCTATTACCCAAACGGTACGAAACACATTACATCAGAACCTCGTCACAGTCACTTCCCATATGGAACTAATCACGACTAGGTAGATGATACCCCGTCGGAACTCGATCAGAAAAAATCCGAGCTTTCGGACCTCATCACCGAGGTCCTACGGCGACAACCATACCTATGTTACTTCCAAGGCTATCATGATATTTGCCAGGTCTTTTTATTAGTACTACCACAAACAGCGCGTGCCACGGCTGTAGCCCGGCTGTCCGCTTTACGCATCCGGGACTTCATGCTTCCAAGTTTAGCACCAGCCGTCGCACAACTTCGATTAATCCCAGATATCCTTAACGCCGTCGACCGGCCACTCTGCGCACACCTATCACGAACAGAGCCATATTTCGCGCTATCAGATACACTAACTATGTTCGCCCACAACGTGCAACAATACGGAGACATCGCACGACTCTTCGATGCATTATTAGCGAGGGAGCAAGTCTTCACCTTATATATCTTCGCACAAATTGTTCTATGCCGGCGCGATGAACTCTTCGAGCACGATGAACCGGATATGCTGCACTTTGCGTTATCTAAACTACCACAGGACCTCGACCTCGACGCTGTCATCAACGACGCCGCTGCTTTATTCCGCGATCATCCCCCGGAATCACTCGGCAATTGGCATACCTCAATCACATCATCTAGCGCTCTAAAGACAGCACGCGAGGTCCCAGTTTGTGCTACGCAGACTTTAGAAGACGGGCGTGTATTCTTCGAGAAGCAGCAGAGTGAACTCCAATGGGCGGCGCGCAGGGACCAGGCACTAAAGACCATGTGGGCGAACCGCACGGTGATTTTCGCCGCAGTTGTTGCTGTTAGCGCCGTGTACTTCCGGAAGTCACCCGTATGGGCGGATCTCGCTTCATGGTCGGGTTTAAGCAGTTAGTCTAATATCTACACGAGAGTCGTGCAACGGCGCATATGGTTGCAGGCGTTAGTATCGGCGTAATCCGGTCAGGTTTATGTTTATTACGAGGGAGTATATGATAGTTATCCGTTTGATGAGTTCGGGCGTTAGGTTTCATCCGAGGGTTAGGATTTGGTATTGTTACTATGACGCAACTCACGGGTTGGGATGCTTTTTGGTTTTCTATACAAGATATTGAGGATCGTCTCCGAGAGATGGTTAGTGTAGCATTGGAACCAACCATCTACAATATAACATTGGATACCTCTTCATTTCTACAATTCTGGTGAAATTACTGTACGCATATACAATTGCATTTCAAAATTTCAATCTCATTTGGTCATCCCAACGCTACCTAAATACCTACAATCACAATCCCTCAATTCCGCCAAAAAAGGTCACTTCCCACACTCAACTCAATTCGGTGCATATTCACGCAGCTTCCTGAAAAGCCGCCTTCAACCCCTCAAAATACCCCTGCTCCTCACTCGCCAGCTTTCCCTGCGTATCACTTATAATCGTAAGTATCAGACTATAATTATTATACAAAAACCTCTCTCTCTTCCTCTTATCGCCACCAAACGCAGTCCCATACTTCGTTAAAAAGGCCTCGATTTCACCGCGTAGACGGCGTAAACTAGTAGCTACGGGTTCATCGTCTCCGGCTTCGGCGCTTAGGGCTAGGATACCCTGGAGTAATTGTCCGAAGCGTTGAGTGCATACGTGTGGGGCGGCGGATAGACGACTCTGGTCTGCTTTCGATGTCGGGGGGCGAGAGGGGAGGGCGGAGGATAGAGTGCGCACGGATTCGCAGTGTGCGTTCATGATTGCTTGGAGGCGGGGCCAGAGGAGCATGGCGGTGCCGTTGAGATAGCTGTCCGCGGCGGGGACTTTGCGGCGCTGGAGTTGGAATTGGAAATGTTGATTCAAGCGAACAGCCAATAAAACGCCAATAGCGTCATATGTATCCGTTACCAGGGTCCTAGTGAGGGCGTGGCCAAGTTGAAATGTAGGCTCGAAGATGTAGGCGAAGTGGCGCGAGATGGTGGAATAGCTCAGGGCGGGCGAGAAGAAGGATGCGAGGAAGGTGTACTCGGCTGTCGCGTTGTCGATGAGGGCTAGGTTGAAGTTTCGGAAGGGGGCTTCGAGGTAATGTGTCGATTGGTCCTCTTCGGCTAGATAGGACGAGAGTGCGCTTTGGTTGCTCGTACGCAGGAGGTCGACGCGCCGGCCTAAGTTAAAGGCATCATGCGGTGGCCCAGCGATTTTCGAACTCGAGAGGACGGTCCCTTTACGGGAGGTATCCTCGTTCCCCAGCACATCCGTCTTATCTAAGGAGTGTAGCTTTATTTTTTTGAGTGCGTTCTCGTAGCGACTGAATTGGTTGGCATAATACCATCTCATAGTATTCATATATGCCAGACATATTTCGTCGGCTAACGTAGAATGGTGTTTATGGAGGAAGGAGTATAGATCCTTAAATTTGAGGAAGTTCTGTTGTTGGATGATTTGCGCATTGATATGTGGTGATCGAAGAGCTTTAATCTGAGCAACCAGAAAGTCTCGTATTCGTTCGACGGCTTTGAGTACCAGCTTTTCTAATAAGGGACCTAGATCTTGTAGACCTTTGTTACCTTGCGTACTCGATGTGCTCTTTTTATGCGCGGTAGCCCTCTTGTCGATCTCAGCAAGGACCTTTACCCATGCCTCGTCAATGTGACCATCGGCGATCTTAGATACCACCGTCGGTGGTACGCTAATCTCCTCAACTACGGGTCCTAGCCCCTTCTCTACCGCTTTTCGGTTTTCCAATCGTACATTAAGAGCGGTCGATCGCGCTTGTAAAGTCTCGATGTCGGCAGATACCGTAGCTAAGTCGTTACGAAAACTCGTCAGATTAGTCTCTACTGAGCTTAACACCTCGTCGCAAGCTCGTATCGATTTGTGTAAATCCTCGAATTTGGTCTTGTCTTGTTCATCTAGCAAGTAGAAAGATAAGCACACGACGCAATAATAAATAGTGGGGTTTAGGACCAAAAGGGGGCGTACATTCTTCAGCTGCCTGCGGTCTATGTACACTAACACCGTCTATCGCTTGTTCCTCTGACAATGCTAGCTCTCGAATAGATAACCCGCCAAAATCAAATTCCAGTTGGAGATCTTCAGCTGATATTAAGCTGACCGAGTCAGCCGCTGATTTAGAGGTAGATGTCGCATTTTGTTTATCATCGCCCAGGAGATTATTCAGAATTTCTACTGGGTCAGGTCCTGTATATATTGTCCTCGATTCTTTCAATGTCGAGCCATTGGCCCTCCTGGAAGATGCCAAGAACGAAGAAGCTGACGATTCGGTGGATGCGAGGGATAGCGATGACGATCTCGGCGTAAGGCCAGGTCGTTGCTGAGATGTGATATAAGGACCTAATCCGCTCGGGGTTCGTCGAGGTGCAGGAGAATAAGAGCGGCTGCCTGGCTGGGAGGATGAAGGTGACGATGACTGACCAGCAAGCCGATCGAGCCACATATTCTATATGCGAACAGGGGATCGGCTAGGAGTTGGGCCGCGTCATGATATTTCTAGCTGTAAGCCGTATCGGCAAGCTATAAATTTAATATCGAGATTTAACTAGGGCAGAATAGTCGACGAAATAGAGTAGTATCGAGAACGCAAGGGCGTCGTATTTGTAATGTTTAATCAAACGGTTAGTTAGTTGTGATGAACTTCTTTCTAGAAATGTCAAGGACGAGGCCGTGCGACAGCCTCTCCCGAGTCGCAGAGTAAAAAGATGTTGATTGGTCAAAGCTTAAGACACATGTCATTGGAAATAATAAATACCATATTAGGTTTAGACCCAACCTCATAGCTGGGTTATCAATCCCACGGAGTCTTAATAAGATCTAGAGGTGGGGCAATTTTTAGTTTGCAAAATGATGCTCACCTGCACCAAGGCAGGCCAAAGACCTGGATATCGGTACTTCCGGTACACGATAGGTACCTGCGCCTATAGACGCATATGGGTGTTGACATTCCAGTACCTGGGCACTAGTAACAATTAAAATATGCGACTTTTTCCAAACCTCCTCGTAGATGTGTTTATTAATAATGCCAAACTGATTGCGGTAAAACATCGTAATAAAAAGAGGCGTAATTATTCATACAATATATACTTGCATGTACCTATTCAAGTTACAGTGTCGAAGTCACGAGCTCTACATCTCGAAAACGTTATTTTGCAGCTGCGAGAAACCTTAGCTGTTTACACCTTAAAAACTTTAAAACACTCTCACTGAAGTATCTAGGTAGGCACTATATTAGAAGAGGGGCTGCCGTGTCTAAGGGCATCGGAGCGCTATGAGAAAGCAAAAATTAGTGCTCGGCTGTGTGAGTTTGGCCGCCTAGGCTGGCCTAGCCCACCTGAGAAACCCACAATATTTTTTTCACCCCGCCAAACTTCCCTATCAGTATAGAAAAAAAGATAGAAAATACAGAAAAATACCCAAAAGTTACTGGGTAATGGGGCTAAACCAAGGTATCTAGCCAATCAGCCTATCAGAAAAGGCGTATAGTACTGTGTGTGCCCAATTGAATCTGGGAAGAAAAAAAATCCCGTCTTTTTCGTCTTTTTGCCTTTGACGTCCCTCTCTCTACTTTTTTTCAACCCCCTCCTCTGCATCCTCTACAACTTCTCACTCTTCCCAATTCTTTCCCTTCCACAAAAAAGTCCACCAACTTCGACTTTGGTCTTGGACTTTGCCTGCAGAGCCTCTTGCGCATCATCCTTTCTCTTCCACCGACCTAAAATCTATTTCACTTCAGTCAATCATTCAAAATGGCGGACGAGGTAAGTTGAGAGACCCTATCCTTTTCTGTCCCTCTTTTTTTTTTATGTGACGATCGCAGTTGGTGGGCGAGTACCTAAACCACCCCGCATCACGCATTACGCATCTTGCACGCATCGCCAATGAACCCCGCGATATCAAATACCGCTTGTCGCACATATTAATTTTTATTACTGCCCGCCCAAGCGATCACGATACCATGCAAAAATGGCCAAATTTGACCATGCTAACATATTATTCTTCCTATAGTTCGAGATCGACAACCAGGGTGACGCTGGCGCGTCCAACACCTTCCCCATGCAGTGCTCTGCTCTGCGAAAGAACGGTGCCGTCGTGATCAAGGGCCGCCCTTGCAAGATCGTCGACATGTCCACCTCCAAGACCGGCAAGCACGGTCACGCCAAGGTTCATCTTGTCGGTATCGATATCTTCACCGGCAAGAAGCTCGAAGAACTTTGCCCCTCCACCCACAACATGGAGGTCCCCGTTGTCAAGGTCAAGCAGTACAACTTCGTGAGTAAACCCGCTCGCCTATAATATTTATCGGTCATCTCCAGAATCGCACTGACTGATTTGGTTTATTAGTCCCACGTTGAGGATGGCTTCCTTGTCCTCCATGACATAAACACCAGTGAGGAGCGTTCCGACATCAAGGTCCCCGAGGGTGATATCGGCAACAAGATCGAGGCTGCTGATGAGAGCGGTAACCCCCTCGGTAAGTTATTGCTGTTTCTTAAATAATTATCGTCCCGCTGTTACTAACATACCTCTAGTCATCACCATCCAGTCGGCTATGGGCGAGGAGGCTGCCATCAAGGCTGACGAGACCAGCCAGAAGGACTAAGTCTCCAATAAGGGGACTTAGGACTCATGCGGATAACGTCAATAGATCCGCAATCGGGAATTAAAACCTCTGCCAACTTGGACATCATCTGAAAAGGAGATCATAGAACTAGGAAACTAGTGGTGAAGTTCGCTATGGGAACGCTTATCATGGTCGGTTCTTTATGGGGTTTCTATATGGGATGCTAGTGTCCACAGCAAGGGGAATGGAATGAGTTATACGACAATCCTACGGATTTCGCATACGTCCCCAAATCTCTTTTTGAGAAAATGAAAAAAATGATGTGCATGGTGAGGATCTCAGTAGAGTCTAGGTTCATTTTTATTGGTACTTGACTTATCCTGCACAATTTACGAGATCTCACATTATCTTGCAGCATCAGGTGATTTGTGCCATTGTTTTTTTTACGTGATTCGAGAATTCGATTATAACTACATTGTATTTGTGAAAGCCATGTCTGAAAACGGTAACTGGTGATGTCTCAACTTGGCATTAAAATCTAAACATGATTTTCATCGTAAAAAATAACCTCGAGAATTGACGACCAACGAATTGTTCGGATTATAAGGTCGAATCTTAAGTACTTGCGCAAAGGAATATAAAATTAAGGAATGAAGGCCTGCGAGATAAAATAGATAAATCTCGATAAAAAGCTGCGATGATAAAATGTACTGTAGATATCCGTTGTCGGGCAACAATCGAAGCTTGTGTCATATAAAAGCTACCATAAAACTTATTTGTTATAACTTAGACCAAATTAAAATTCCATCTCTACCTAAGCCCCACGCCCATTTCCTCCCTCCTTCACCAACAAACTAGACCAAACTAAATCACCACCATCATGGCGCCAACGAAATACCACCGTTTCCGCCACGGCGAGCGCTGCGACGAATGCGGCGCGCGACAATGGTACGCACAAGATGCCCTGCGATACTGTCGTAACGGACACCGTCTCGAAGGCTTCGCCGAGCAAGTAGCAGACGAAGACGCCTTCGGCACGCAGGGAAAAGTATCGCGGAAGAAAAAAGAAGTCAGGAAGAAAGTCGCGGTTAAATTATCTGGGGACGAGGGGAGGGAGTTATATCTTGAGGCGTTGCAGTTTGTGTTACTGAGGCAGGTAAGGTGGTTGGTGGGGGAGAAGGGGTTTCCGGGCGATTTTGAGGAGATTGTTAGGGCGCTTTGGGCGCTTAGGGTTAGGAATTTGCCGTTGAGGGGGAGTGAGGGGGTTGAAGATGGGAGGGGACGGAGGAGGAGAGGGGAGAGTGCTGCGGAGAGTGAGGATGGATATGCGTCGAGTGCGAGTGCGGTCATGGTTAGTTCCCAGAGCGAGATGTCGGGCGCGGGTTCTTCGTTGGAGCCGGATTTTTCGGATGCGACGAAGGGTACGACGGCGACGTGGGCCCCGGATGCTGGGAGACGGTGGAAATTGCCGAAGCTGGTTGATTCTTTGGCGTTGTGCTACTTGGGTTGTCTTGTAAGACGGTTACCTGCCACGACGGCGGATTTCTGTGGGTGGGCGCAGAGGGGGGAGATTGACTATCTTGCGGCGGTATGATTACCTACTCCTTCGTTATGTCTGGTGTGCTAACAGATGCTGTCTTAGTTGAAAGGGATCCCGCGAAACGTCCGAGACCGACTTCCCGCGGAGTATCACCGCGCTCTGCAAGTTAGAGACCACATACCGTTGGGTCGACTGCAGGCTGCCGTACAGGATCTGGTCATATCATATAAGGTCAACTTCGACACGATCTTCCCATCGCTGAACTATGTACCTATACTGGTACGGTTTATTACGGAGTTGGCTCTTCCAGGTAAGCCTACACATAGAACGATATGATGAAGGTTCCTCTACTAAAAAGAGGCAGTTGAAATATATCTAACAGTTAAATGTTTCGCCGAGATACTAAGAACGAATTTCTCCTATCCTGTTGGGGGCAAAAGAATCCGAACAATGGACAACCCCGAGGTTCTCCTGATAACCCTAGTAGTGGTGTCTACGAAATTACTTTATCCACTAGATGGTGTTGAACGGCCTCCTAGGGACTTTCAAGACCCTCGAAGCATAAAGTTCGACTGGACAAAATGGCAAGAAGTTATGCGAGAAGATACAAATAAAACATCAAAAAACCTACTTCAAGGCCAAGAATACAAGGTCACCTCCGAAGATGTACTGACTTTGGAGAAGGAGAAGCTAGATGATTTTATGGACTGGTTTGAGTCGATGTGGATAGGAGGAGATAGCGATCCAAGAAGTAAGCTATATTCATATTGTTTTTTATTCATTGAATAAGGCTAACTCTTTATAAAGCGGCTGAAATGATACGCAAGCCTTTTGAAGACCAAAAGCGTTCCTCCAAACCAAGAGATTCTGGTGGGCAATCGAATGGGGATATAGAAAGCCAGCGCATGAAAGATAGATACGAGGCCATAAATGACACTATGCTTATGGTCCAGCCAGTACCCGATCCTGAGGATGCAGATATCAAAAAGCAAGATCGAGATTTCTGCCCGGTTTGGAGAACTCCGGAGGATCTTCCGGACGCTGCCAAGGCGCTGTATAGCAAAGCAGCTGACCTTGCAGCTATACCCTTAAACACATTGATAAAGGGAGCCGTGCAAGTTGAGAGGCAATTAGAAGTATGGTGTATTCAGAGAGCCAGAAAAGCACGGGACAATGAGAAAAGCAAAGGGAAGGGAAAAGCGGTTTGGACAGGCGATGATTCGGATTATTAAACCAAATGTTTTCTAGAGATACCCATATGAGTTTGACTGAAGAATGAATCAATGAATTCAATCATCAATGACGATACATAAAATAGGTGCATGTATAAAGGAGAGGAAGTTCCGGACTCAGCTCGATTTGCATAAATAAATGCACAAGCTTATGTCACTTCAATGTGGAGCACAGTAATGCAAACACACAGCTGATAGAAAAGAAGTCCTTATCAGAGCGCCACTTGCACATTCGAAAAAGAAAAGGTCAGGTGACTTTAAATCCACTAGGGTTCGTCTGTGGTGGAATTTCAAACCCCCACCGAATTTCTTTAGCCGTCACCATCTTCGACTTCTCAATCCACAACCTCATTCACGACAATCAGCAAAAGTAAGTACACACACGGCCTATTATACCTAATTTTGCAATGATGCTAACCAGAATGTGTCTATAGTGCAGATGTAAGTTATCTCCCTCGAAAACGAATTCCCGATCGAATTGCGCATCCCGTCGCATGACCTACCGACCGAAATCGATTTTCAAAAAAAAATTAGCAACTAACAAAAACCAATAGCTTCGTGAAGACCCTGACGGGTAAGACTATCACCCTTGAGGTGGAGTCTTCCGACACCATCGACAATGTTAAGTCCAAGATCCAGGACAAGGAGGGCATCCCCCCCGACCAACAGCGATTGATCTTCGCCGGAAAGCAGCTTGAGGATGGCCGAACTCTCTCCGACTACAACATCCAGAAGGAGTCTACTCTCCACTTGGTCCTCCGTCTACGTGGTGGTATCATCGAGCCCTCTCTCAAGGCTCTCGCCTCCAAGTTCAATTGCGACAAGATGATCTGCCGCAAGTGCTACGTAAGTGATTTCACATCCCTCAGGATCTCTACAGCATACTAATATTCGGATTTAACAGGCCCGCCTTCCTCCACGTGCCACCAACTGCCGCAAGCGCAAGTGTGGCCACACTAACCAACTCCGACCCAAGAAGAAGCTGAAGTAAACGATTCGTCCTCGACAACGGGGTTTCCATCATATTCATTCGGCGTCTTTGGTTTCGGGATGTATCATGAGCACGCTACGGATCAGGTGGATAAGGCATATTCGACGACCAGTTGCTACGTACGATGGATTCTTCTGCGGAAAATTAGCATAGTCTAGTTCAGTGGCAATTAAGTTGCGTTGCACATGAAATCTGAATGCATTTTCCTGAGTGAATTGGGCCTAGTAGTCAAGTCGGATCAGGAGATTTCAATTCTGACGACTCCATGAGAGCCATAATCTAAGGGCTCTCTCTAAGAATACTATTTTGAACATGGGCTACGATGCTAATCTACCAGCGATCTTGCGAATTTACGACAATTGTTCGCAAGAAAACATAATCGCAATGCCTGCCATAGCCTGCAATCAAATAATCCAATTTGACATGAAATTTATTTAACATAATTAACTTTCACTCAACGAGTATTTTACGTATAAATCGTGAATGTATATGAAACGGAACGAAAAAGATACGAAGGTACATGTACATTTCTTAATAAGGGCCCACTCTGACCAATGAAACGTCATCGCAAATTAAACGCAGCTAGGCGATCGGCGTGCTTCCGTGTCCTCAATCAATTTACGGCGAGCTAAGACTTGCAACAAAACAGGTACCTGGAGCTAACAACTTCACCCCTCGACAGTTCAATCACTATATTAATTCGGATATTAGGGGACTCATCGACGTTGATACAATACTATTAGGTTGGATTGAAAAGTCAAGAGGAGGCACAATAAGGATGTCGAACGCAGGCTACGACGCCGTCGTCGACATTGACGATGAGGTATGCTTAGCTTTCATAATGACACAGCATAGCTATCTACCTCGCTATACCATACAAAACTATGGAGATAGAAACTAACAATCACATCTAATACACAGGGCGACCTCGGACACACAGACCTACAAGAAGACCTCGAATTCCACAACTCCAACTTCAACGAATCGACCTCCCGCAAAGGCGCTCCAGCCAGCGGTCTCCCACCTCCAGCGACCGCCTCCACAGGCGGACCCAACGCCGCCGGGTCCTCGAAACGATACCTCTGGACGATATCATTCTACGCGCAGTACTTCGACGTCGATACCTCGAGTGTGTTAGCGCGGTGCTGGGCTGCGCTATACCCGCGTGCGAATTTCCTCGATGTTCTTGAGGGAAACCCGGATTTGTATGGACCGTTTTGGATCGCTACTACGGTGGTTTTGATTTTGTTTTTGGGGGGCACGATCAGTCAGTATTTGGCTAGTAAAGGGGAGGGTCCGTTTGAGTATGATTTTAAGTTGTTGAGTGGTATGTCTTCCTTTCTTTTCCATGGGGGTTATAGATACAGAAGAGGGTTCTCGAAATGGAGGCGGGAAATAGGGACAGATATAGTAGAGTTTGGGTGATATGCTAACGAGTTGAATACAGGCGCCGCCGGTCTCGTCTACGGCTACACCCTCGTAATCCCCGTCATCCTCTTCGGCGCACTCCGCTACTTCGGCTCCGAATCCGCGAACCTCCTCGAATGCTGGGCGCTCTACGGTTACTCGAACTTGATCTGGGTTCCCGTAGCGCTTATCAGCTGGTCGCCTATCACGATTCTCAACTGGGTGTTCGTCGGTGTCGGCTTCGGCCTAAGCGTCGTCTTCCTCCTGCGTAACTTGTACCCCGTCCTTAGTGCGACCGATCGCCAGACTTCCAAAATCTTGCTTATCCTCGTTGTGGCCTTGCACGCTGGTTTGGCGCTTGCTATCAAGATCCTGTTTTTCGCGGCTGGAAGCCCGGTTTCGGGTGGTCCGGAGGGAGATACACCGCCGGCTGCGGGAGGGGACCAGCCGCCCGCTGATACGCCGCCGAGGTTCTTTTAAGGGGTCGTTGTGTATGATTACGTCTGAAGAGAGGGGAGAGATGATGGGAGTGACATGTGAAGAGAGCGCGCGTTCGCCTATAGATGGCGTGTATGTTGAAGCTAGTATAACGGCTTTCCGGCGTTTGGCAGGTTCTGGACGATATAGTGTTATGTGCACTACTAGCTAGCTGGTTGATACCTTTCTGTACTGATGTAATGAAGCCGAATTTACTTTCAATTTGTCACTTTTTCCCCTTAAGACTCTCAGTCACTTTAAGAGAATACAGTATGGGACAAATAGTACAGAGCTAGATGTTAATTTCACATCTGTAGACCCCCTCATCGCTCAATCTTCCCACCCTTCTCAACCCAATCCAACCAACTCCCAGGGTACTCGCCAATATTCGTATACCCAGCCTCCCTAGCAAGCGTAGCAGCCGCACGACTCCGCACACCAGCTTTGCAGTAAAAAACCAATTGCTCCTCTTCCCCACCTTCCCCCTCCTCTCCCTTTCTAACTCCCGGTCGTTCGAATCCGTATCGATCGTAGAATTCATCCGCGGACAGGAAAAAACTCTCGGGTGCGCTGGATACGGGGATGTTTAAGGCACCTGGGATTCGGCCTGTTTGGGCTAGTTCGGAGGGCTCGCGCGCGTCGATTAGGGTTGCTTTTACTTTGGGGTTTGAGGGTGGGGAGGTGAGGGTTTTGTTTATCTGGGGTAGTGTTTATTAGTATGAGGTAGTTAAATTAGGAGAAGAGTGAAAGGCGGGAAGGGAGGCAAGGTGGGAGGTGTGAGGATGTAGATATAGATATAGACATACCTCCTCAAAAGACCATATCCTACTGCTGCTCTCGGGCGCCGAATCTGAGGACCATCGGATACTCGCGGGGACGGTGCGGCGGGTTAATTGAGGTCGTAATATTGTCGCTGTTTTTGTCGTCGGAATTCGTGGTGTTCGAAGAATTGTGCTGAATGAAGCTCGAAGTAGACGGGGAGCTACGGGAGCTCGAGAACTGCCCCCGCGCAAAGCGGTGTTCATCGCAAGTCGTCTCGTTGCCATTGCGATATTTTCTCAGATACGGAACACGACTAATTCGTAGAGTAATCTCCAGTCAAGTTGTCGTTTCTCTTCGCGAGCGATAGCTTCTACCGTTCACCGAAGTGATATTGTAGATGGAAGAATTACCGAGCTCTGGTTGATTGGTGGGTTGTGATGTCACAGTAAAGTAACGCCGCTAGTCACCGACCCGCGAGAAGTACGTACATTTATAAGGACGTCACAAGTCGAGCTTGAAGATCACACAACATGTCTATAAAAACAGGAATCTGAAAATACCGCTGGATTTAAGGCAGATAATGTTTTACTCTGATACTATTTTATTCTTAGTTTTCAAGACTTATTGCTTACTGCCGAGTACGTTCATCAACGATGTACTCTTACCCAAGCCAACCGCACCCAGATACTATTATCACACCACATTGCACCGTCTATACAACACATCGGTTTGAGCAAAAATAACTTTTGATGGATTTTTCCAGGTCTAATTCAGCGTTTATGGACATTCTAACCGTCGTCGATATCGACTTCGACTCATCCTCAGCGCTAACATATATACAAGACCGACATTACGATTACTATATTCTACTTTCGTTCCATTCATTATAGGACAGTCCTAGCTCCTAAGCTTGCGTCCAGATCCCCAAGCCCAAGCCCAACTAGAGATCATCACCATTTCCTCTCGGTAAACGTTAAGGGGCAGTCATCCTAATAATACGTCAATTACTGTTCACACGAATAGAGTATATAAAACATACCTTGGGGAAGATGGTAGCGAACACCTTGATCTCATCAGACTCGGGCGTCGCGTGGTGCTTCCAGTCCAGCTGGACTGACGCCTTCCCGATCATGAGAGCCAGGTTAAGCTGCGCATAATGTTGACCAAGACAGTAGTGAGGACCAGTACCAAAAACGAGGTAGTTCTTGGCACCCTTCTCCTCAGCGTCACCAGTATAGTATCGTTCAGGGTCAAATTCGTCGGGGTTCTCGTACACTTCGGGATCACGGAGAGCCATGTAGGTAGTCGGGATGACCATGGCGCCCTTGGGAACGGTGTAGGTAGGGGTAACGGGGAAAGCCTTCTTGGCCTTGTAGGGAACCATTATGACAGGAGGGCGCCATCGTAAAAGTTCTCTAACAACCGCGCGAGTGTAGGTCATCGATTCAAGCTGGTCCAAGTTTACCGGGGCATAGATATCACCGTTTCGGACACGGTAGTTCTCCTCTCGAACACGATCCAATACATCGGGTCGGTTAGCCAAGACTTGGAACATGTTGGTGGCAGCACTCGACGTGGCATCCTGGGAAGCAAAAAGGAAGGTGAAAAGGGTTCGGGAGATTTCCATGTCGCTGAAGTCGCGCAGCAGAGGGGATGGCTTCACAAGACCCTCAGTCGAAAGACCCTTCCCGGTAGCCTCAACCCATTTCTTCGAATCGATCATGTCCTTGATCCAAGCGTCCATGATACAGGTGATATCACCACCGGCAGCCATGCGAACCTTGGACTTAGCAGCACACTTGGCAAGTTCGTCCATAACCATGCGCGCGGCTCTCTGTCCGTACCAAGTTCGGGTGTATGGAATGATAATTGGGAAGTTGACGAGATCGAGAGCGGCAGTTACAAGGTAGTAGTCATCGGCGATCTTCTTACAAGCAGAGTCGGGCATGTAGTATCCGGCGAATGTTCGCAACGATACGGTACACATGAGCTCACGGAACTCGTGCATAAAAGGGACAGGCTTTCCACCAGCATCCTTGGTGAGCTTGAGGAAGTCGGCGAAGTACTTCTTGTAGACAGCCTCCTGACCGGGAAGATAGCATTCGAGGGCCTTGCGAGTGAAGAGACCGTTCAATCCCTTGCGGTAGTCGACGTGGGCCTTTCCATCCAAAAATACCCAGCTATCCTCTCCGAGAATCTTGGTAGCGACATCGACGACACACGGCTTCACGTATGCGGGCGAGTTGAAGACCTTTCGGGCTAGGTCACGAGTGGAAGCGATAACGACGAACCTGAAGAACCAAATGTTAGCAATGTTGAAGGCATAAAAAAAGGGGTAAGTGAACATACTTGTGGAAGATAGAGACACAGCTCAGGGGACCACTCTCCCACTTCTCCATGTACTCCTCGAACTTGGGATTTAGAGACTCGAGGAAAGGACCCATAAAGGGTAGCTTGAAGGACGGTCCAACGATAGACCCCTTTTGCATAAAGTAGCTGACTATATCACAGATTTTGATTAGTAAAACGCGAACTTTTTTTTTTCGAGTCCTTCAGAAGACTATCAACATACTCTGGTCGTACGCGACAGCTATAGCGAGGATTGTGAAAACCCATGTCATAGCACTAGCGTTCGCGATCATGTCAACAACATAATCGACTTGAGGAGGCAGGCTTCCAGCAGGAATGCCGAAATCCGCCAAAGGCGAGGAAAAACTCGTAGCGTTCGCGGCCATTTCGAAGACGAGCAGATATTTTTGAGCCGCGCTCTCGGTAGGAGACCACTCAGGGGAGTATGTATAAGGCGCCGCAGTCTACTATTTATCTACCAAAATTCCGACTACAACAAAAAAAGAACACCCACGAAGTGTCTCGGAATCCACCCGCAAAAGGAACGAGGAGCGAGGGAGAGAGAAGGATTGCGGAGGACGACCCTTCAAAAAGGACGAGAAGCTAGGCGCGAGGAAGGGTATTAAAAAAAGGGCAAAGAAGAGCGAAGACGAAGGGGAGGTGGATATAGCAGGGAATCCGCTAAAATTTGTTAATTGAGATTATTTGATTATCCCATTTGATTATCGAAGAACCCTTTTTTTGAGGCCTTGACCCCTGTATAATCTCAATACCCCTACCAAAATTTAGCTCGGATAGATAGATATCCGTACCTTCGGGTACTATCATGAACTAATCAGATTGTATCTAGGTACATGCCCTGTAGTCATTGAGTTTGAAAATGGGTTGATGACGACTAATGCTCTTTTTTGATTGGGTAACTTTAAAGTTATCCGCGGGTGCTTAGTGCTTCCTACTGCACGAGCGGTTGCAGGAATCTTCTTTTTCATAAGGAAGAAGGTTACATAGGTATTCCGTACATAAAAGGTTGGGTTCATATGTATGTACATCAAGATGTGTATGTATGTACATATGTATGTATGTATTTCCGTCCATCCCGTCTCCACCATCTTCGATAACGGAGCTATGATTAACATTATCCGCTAGCTTCTCCGTGGGATCAAGTGGGGTAGCTTAATTCTCACTTTGACACTTTCATTTGTGCTCCACTGAAATTTTCATTTCCTTTCCCTACAAATACTTTCGGACTATAAGTCATTTTCTTCGATTTTCCCCATTCCACCAAGGAGAGAAGAGAGAAACAACATGTCATACTTGGCAATAACATACGGTAATACTAATCATGTCGGCTCATTCGTAACGCATACGTATACACAAGATGGTATCAGCATCGGTTCATCCCGTTGTTTTTATTTTTTTCTCATGGAGAAATACATGCGGCCTGCCCCTGTACAAAAAGTGATGCAATGCAAATCACCTCAGCAGCCGAGCTACCAAGGCCAGATTAGGTTTCATTGCTTTATGAATTGACCAATCATCCGAGCTGTATGCCTCACCCCCTCCATTCACCGCTCCTCTATTCGTGGTCCAAGCTCTTGTTCTGCGGGACAACCAGAATACGAATACGAATGCTCTCATAATTAAGATGACCTGATTGGGGAATAGGGGCGGAACACGCAGGATTTCAGTTTTCCGATTATCCCGGTTACCTGCATACCCTTTTTACCATTCCAGTCGTCGTTACTGACCATTACTAACTTCCCTTGGAAGCTCGTCAACTCCGTGTCGTCTCCGCGTTCTAGAACCAAAGATTAGACAGGGAAGCGTGCGGAATGTAAGCACATTAACTCCTTCATAAACCAAACTCCGTTACTCTCGTTTACCTTGCTCTTGCTAGCTGTCAACCAAACAAGTGAGGGATTGAATATGACCCCAGCCCTTTTCCATCGAAAGGTGGAAATTTATCTCATCGTTGGTCGAGGTCTGGAAAAGAACAGTCTTGACTATGCCTTGATACCCAAATTTAGAGACGAGATTTCCCTGGGAGAGGATACCTTTATATACTACGAAGCTAACTTCGATCATCTATTTGCTTGAAATTCAAAACGAAGACATGCTCGAATAGCCAACCGTGCAGCATAGGCTGAACCACGGTGCCTTGACGCCACACACACCTAAACCACTCAGCGAGAGCAAGCCAAAAGGGAAACAGTGCGTGATGAACCAGCACCTAAACTAGTTATTCTCACGCATCTTATCCCGAGTTCAGGACCTCCCTCCATTACCTCCGACGTCAGACAAGCTGGTCCTTCCGTCTTAAATCCAGCGGGTTCAATTTTAGCCGAGCATATGAGTTTATTATAACTCGGATCCGTACGGGCGACAGAAGAGGTAGTCGCCTAGATATATTTCAGAGTAACGTTCACCATAGTACGAGGAATCGCCATCTACACAAGCTTCGTCCGTGCAAACAATACTCGCGCTATCTACTACGTAACTCAAAATGAACAACGAACTTGAACGGAGTAGTCGGGACGATAAGTCCGTGAGACCTAGCCGCGACCAATCCCTTTTCAAGCACGAGGCCGGGAGGGGGGCGTGGTGAGTAAGCTCCCTGATCAGTTGAGGCTCCAAACACCCGTTTGAATCCGGGTATAAAGCCTATCTGTCATCATTTATTAGTTCAGCCCTATGGTACCCCCCGGCGCGATGCTTACAGTATGAAAAAGATGAGGGAATTTGGGAGCAGAGAAGAAAAGATGAAGCTGGCTGGCTTCGAAGTAGATGGTATTTCCTATTGTCGTCACGGCTTAGCTGTGACACCGTTCTCAGAGTCGCGAGCTCTGCCGAGCTATGAAAGGGTTATGCTACGCCTAAGCCACGTAAATGAATAGTCGACTTTTCAACCTCGAAGTCGATCAATTTATGCTACCTACATGGCTTCAACATGGATTCAAATGCGCCGCCCAATAGGTAAAACTAGATTTATTTCTACAAAATACCCGGGAGCATTAGACTATTAAAAAAGACACTAATAAGTACCAGTATCTTGGAGGCTAGACGTAAAGTAGGCAAGATTATTAATCCAATGCTTACATGATCGCCGAGTTTTTGAAAGATAATAATTCCAACTCATACTTTTTATAAGCGTTGTGCTACCATGGAATTAAGCACTCGATTTTTAACCATTCCTAAAATTCCTTACTTCTTATTGCTAAAACCGTTAAAAATTTGTGCGTTGAAATATTACATTCACTTCAGTTTAGCTACCAAGAAGTCAAGTCCTTTAAGTAGAGACCTCAAATATCCCGAAGAAGCAGATATCGTCAATCGAGGTTTGAAGGAATCGTCACATGCAGGCAATGGCGGGCTTGATAATCCACATGGCCATAGTCGCAATATGTAAGCCAGCGCCTACGTATTATCTACACTATTAACTATATCAATATCCAACAAATCCCACGGATTTGAGGCGTAAAAATCTAGATATCGAAATGCAGAAAACATCATGATACTCTTGTTAACATACCTACCAAAAGGGGATATTTTAGTTAGAGTGATTGGGGTGTTGCTCATATGTATGGGTGAGTCATTTCATTTCATGATAGGAGAGGGATGTCAATATTCGATGCTGTATCGTGAAAGGAAAATTTCCGCACTATAAGGCTGAATTCGGAATCTACACCCTGGTCCCATCTAACTAGGCAACAAGAATTAAAGAATCTTATAGGCAGCCGTGGGTTCAAAGGTATAGTAGTATTCTTTCAAGTGAGTCAGTTCGCCGCCAAAGACATCAGACTAGCTAGGCAGGTCGGAACTCGGATATATACTAGAAAAGGATTGGTAGCGTTACTTTGAATGCAGTATACAGTTTATCTCCGAGAAGGAATAGTATACAATGACTTTGAGGTAAGACTCAGGTCTACGAATACTCTTGAGTCAGCTTCGGCTGTTGTACAACTTGGCTGAATCCCTTGCTTTCTATTGCGTGTAAGTTGGCTCAAAGTGACGGATTTTTATTTGAGCAGGCTTTCCGCCGAGCAAGACTATCGAGCGGCGATCTGTAGTGCTACTTACTTACTGTACATCTCTGTCATCAACGTGAATCTTATTACCCATGTAGGCAGTACGCCGTAGGGCGAGTATAAGGCTGAACAAGCGGGATTCTAGAAGTCAACCTACGTATACATTCTAAATTCATATAAGATACGCAAAATACGCTGATGCCTTGAATGATTTGATATTTCTTTCGCTCTTCATCAGGCAGCCAAGACATCCCGTTCAATAAGCAGCAGACGGCATACTACTACACTATACTACACCATCCATCCATCATCTAGAAGAAGCGGTGAGATCTTACACGCGATCATCTAGGCAGCCAAGCCGGGCTCAACTCCCGTACCAGGCACCCCTTTTATCAACCTGTCAAGCCTCAACCCCTGGCCATCGACTTCTGAGTATATAGCAAAGTATCTATTGCAATAAAACCATCTTAGCAAGAAACGAAGAAGCATACAGACACGCTACATCATGGCCAACTACACACAAGACAAAGCGCACTCCTCCGCACTCCTCGGCGCCATCCTCAACGGCGAGAAGGCGCAAGAACAAGAAGCGCAACAATTGCAGCAAAAGCAACAGCAACAAACCAGCTCTACCAAAAAGCCCACCTCCGACTCAGCTTCCATTTTCTCCACGAGTTCCTTCGGTAGCACGAAAGCACTGCTCAAGAAAGTCGTGCCGGGAAAATCCAACAAGGCCTCCGGGTCTGGCTCCTAGCTACGCATACACTGGGTTCATCGATCCTGCCCATCGACGTTTCTCTGTTCCCCATTGAGCTGGTTAGGGATAGGTAGATAGGCGGACATCTACCCCCTCGCGTTAAGACCGGCCAGCAATCTAGCGGAATGGGGGTCGAACTACCGGAGGTATATCATAGAGAAAGTCATGTTTTGACTTTAAGGGGGGACGTATGGATGGTGCATTGAACAAATTTCCTATGTTGGGGCGGCTTTTGGTTTCTTTCATCAACACACGATAGTGGAATCTAGGACGGATAGGGTGTATAAATAGGGGTATCTCTTGTGTTTGTCTACTTACGACCAGAATAACAACTATCCATTTTTCCTGGTCTGACGTTGTGCACGCCGCCTATTCTGCCACGTTTTATATAACCTGCTCTGCTGGGTACCCAGGTAGGCCACATTGTACTTCTAGAACGTATCGTCCAAGATATCCTGATTCATCTTAACCATAGTAGGACTATACTCAGAAGAATCCTCCGGCCCGGCGCCGGCCGTAATCAGAATATCGTCAACGATTCGTTTGCTCGCCTCTCGTGCTGTCGTCCTTCATTAGCATCCGCCACACCTCTCAAACAAAATAACAAGGAAATACATACCAGGTGTCTGCATAAGTTTACTCGGCGGCAACGCAAACTGAATCGTCTTCGGGGGACTAAACCCGCCCAACTCATCATCCTCATCACTGTCCCACGTAATCTCATCAGGATCCTTCTTCCCCTTCCCCTTCCCAATCCCCACATCCCTCGCCTCGGCAAACACATCGCGCGTCTTCTTCGCCGTCGCGGGGGTCTGCACGCTAACACCAGGTGTTCGCGGCTCCCCTGTGGCCCCAGCTCTACCTCGTAACCCGCCAAGTCGCACGGGGGACATGTACAAATCACTCCTCAACTTCGGCACCGCCATCTCAGGCGAACTCGTCGGACTCTCCGCCCAAAGCGCGCGCCTCGTCCGATCCTCCTCCGCCTCCCCCGGTTTCGCGGGCGATCTCGACCTCGATCTCCCCCTAGGTCTAGGCAGCGAAGGCGGTGGTGCCATTTTATGCGGTGTAGCCTGTAATCTATAATTCTTATCCAACACGCGATGCAACAACGGGTCTTTACTCCTCGCCCCCTGCGTCGCCGACTGGAACGGATTCGGTTCCTCCAGTAACGACGACGAGCGCGGTGTCATCGACATATCGGGTAACCGCGCTTGGGAGATGCGGCGCGTGGATTGCGCGGGGAGTTCCATGGTATCGTCTTCGTCGTCGTCGTCGGGTTGTAGGAGGTTGTCTTTGAAGATCGTGTTGTCGCCTTTGAGTTCCCGACGTAGTTTCTCGTACGGCGATTCGAAACTAGCGAATTGCGATTTCGATTTCTTGGCGAGGGTAGCGTGCGGGAGGGATTTCGTGGTAGGTGGGCGAGGCGTGCTTCCTGTCATTTCGGCGTCGTCGAGGAGGGAGTCGTCTGGTATGTTTCGTTGGTCGTGGTGGTCGGCGTAGCTTGGTTGCTCGGCGGTTACATCCGGGTCGACGGTGGTGTTGTTGTAGTCTTCTGTTGTTTCGTCTAGGGTTGTTTCTTCGGCTGTTGTTGTCTCGTCGCCTGCTAGTTCTTCGTAACCTGAGAGCGACACGTTGGCAGATGCCTCGAAGAATTGCTTCCAGAACTGCAGTGGAATAGGTTAGCCAATAATTCTAGGTGAATATTAGAGTAATGACATGGCAAGCATACCTTAGAAGCATCCCATACATTTTTGGAGTGTTCGCCATATTGCTCTACTAGGGGTAGAATGCTCGTGGTAACGATACGGTGTGCCTTGCTGAAGTTATGATCGATCTCCTGCAGTGTAAGAGTAATTGACTGCTCGAGTCTCTCCAATTCCTCTGTTAAGGTCAGGCTCCGACCCGACGGTGGCCCCGGTCGAGACATTTTGTCGGATTCGGTCGGTGTGAAGGTGAAGAAAGAAAGTTGAAGATGGAAGCCAATCCAATTAATTGTGCGCTGAAGGGAAACAATTTACTGGTTTTGGTAGCGGGGTTTACAGGGGGTTAAGTGGTGGGGGAGACGTCGCGTGTCGCCAACCTTACGCGATGCGGGGTTCTTTGATAGGGGGTAAACTTAGCAGCTAAGGGGCTAAATAGGTACCTATGAAATCACTTAGGCACCTATATAGGCCCCTAAATATAATGAATAGGTAGTAAACACCTTACCTTATAGCTACCTATCACGATGGAAGACTCGGGCTGTAAAATGAGGTAAGATTCATTCATTCGGGGTATCTTATAATTCTATTTAATTAGGCCGCACGCGACCATAGTATCCTGACATCTCAAGCTTGACCAAAAGCATGTCAATTGTATTCTCGTCCTTCACACTATCTCCACGTTTTCCATCACTCATCAATTCGTCCTTGGTCGGCTTCTCTGTGTAACTGCCTTTCTCTCTGAGGCCACGACAGACCGTTATAAATATATCCACCTTCTTCTTGAAGGCATTATACAAGCTCTTAGGTGATAAGTCTTGCGCCTTATTTCCCTTGCCCCCAATGGCTTCCAGGCGAGCCACTTTTGAGAACTTGAGAATTAACGTGAAAATATCTTCCAGTAGTTTCATAACAGGTTGTTGTCTCTTTCGTAGTAATAATGTATGCATGATATGATCCAACATTCGTTCGTGTTCCTCGCGTACTCCGTCCGGGCTTATAACCCGTGCTTCTTCGTGGTCAAGGTCAGACTTCGAAATATTGGTCTCTACACCGTTAAGCCAGGTGTCGAATCGTTTCCATGGTATCTCCAAACCTGTCTCAAAAAAGTATGCGCTTATGCTCGTGATAAAATATTGTGCTTCGATGCGAAATCGTAGCGAAGCATTATCAATATGATGCCAATTCGATGTTCTCGCAAGACTATCCCGGAATATTTGCTCGGTCACGTAGAGCATTCGTAGCACTCGGAGTAATAATTTGAATATTTTGTCGTATTTGAGTAGGACCACTGTCGTGAAAATCGGGGAGAGAGGCGCAGTAGGCTTATATGAAAGCCGAAGGAAATCTAAAGCTTCCAACGATTCGGGATCCAAACACTTCTCAATTTCCTCAGGCGACAAGTCGCGGACGGCGAAACTGATATCGCCAGGTAGCTCGTTTTTACTGTCTACCGGTTCGGGTGACGAAGACAGGTAACTCTCTGCAAGAACACCCATCAAAGCTAGTCGGAGTTCGGAACTCGCTGGGGGCCAAGTCTTTCTTCCGCTTAATCGTAAGCCCATTGTGCCACCAGTTAGAGCAATACCTGCCTGTCGTTCAGCCGTGTCGAGATCAGGGTCAAAAAGTGCATGGGAAAGGCGACTACAGAAGACACCATTTCCGAGTAATTGGAATTGCTTCTGTAGGGAAAGGTGGTCTCGCAGCTGATGCGCACTAAACAACAGCTTCATGTACTCGCGATTGATGACTCGTGCTTGAACCGCGACAAGTGGTTCGAATGCCTGATATGGTATCAATGACCAATGAGGCGGGATTTCAGAGATGGCTTCTTCTGCAATAGAGGTGTCTTCGAATAATCGAGTGTCAAGTAATTCCATCAAGTTATCTTCACCGTAGGAAAGTGCTGGTGGCTTGTTCATTTGCTCGATGGATGCTAGCAGTCTCTCTTCTATTTCGGCTGCTGAGTGCCCCCAGAATTGCAAGGTGAAGGGCCTGTTTAACTTATTTTCGGTCGCACCAATTAACCCAGGCGTCGTTGTCTCTCCCGCAGACCAACGTCGCAAGTTTTCGAATAGGCGTTTCTCGTACTCCTTGACCTCTTGATGGAAATGTTCAATGGACTTCCAATCAAAATGCCACTGAAGAGTTGGAGGTTTGCTCTCGGCAATGAGGCTCATGCGGCAAACTGGGTTGTCTGGATGGTGTATGCGGAGAAGCCTCAGAGTTTTCCCAGTCTCAAACATGACTGTTGCCACTTCGCTAGGGACAAATTCCGGCATACGATTTTCATCGAGGACGTAGTCTGGTTCATCCATCTCGAATCCAAAATCGTCCATAACAGCGATGTTTTCAACCTTAATAAATCCATTTCCTGGGTTTGTTTTGCTTATTGGGAGACCATTTTCAGCCTTAACGCCAATCCATTTTTCAGTGAACTCAGCCCATGGCAATGAAGCGCGTGATAGCAGATCGCGCGTAACCCCATTAAGTAGCGCGTTCCCATGCTCTCGAATTTGGACCTCCTTGAAAATGAGAGATAGAATTTGCTCCTCGGTTTTTGTTTTCGAAATCTCGACTATCAGGTGTTTGAAATAGGCTAGTAATGATACAATGGGTTGAATGAGAAGCTGAAGTTGAAGGAGAGATCGTACTTCTCTCGCTCTGGTTCCTAGGTTCTTCTGAATGGCTAGTAGAGCCACATCCACGGCTTTTGCGACAGCTATCCTAACTGGTCCTGGATACTTCGTGTATGTAGTCTGGACGTACGCTGAAAGATATCGAGTTGCATTTCCGCATTCAACACAACGTTCCTGAAGGCCCTTAAGAACATCCGCAGAGTAGCCTGAGATTCTCATCTCATCTAGCTTCGGGATAAAGCTAGCCTTTTCCTCGTTCCAATTAAACAAGTTCGAAGCCCTGCCGAATGCCAGTGACAGAAGTGCTGCAATGTAAGGTCGCGTTTGAACCACACTGCTATTCGTACTCCCCATCCTAAGGGGATCTTCCAATTCCTTCATCGCAGCGTCGTAAACTCCTGGTCCAGCTTCGGTGATGAATAAGGGTGTCGTTACAGCGTTATCAGGAATTAAGAATTCGTCCCATGTTTTGTACTCGGCGTCCGCTTTTGATGGTTCATGGCATTGGGACCATAAGTCTTCAAATACGGCGGGTTCTTGTAAATCCACATTATGTAGTGGTTCAACAACAGGACTTTTCTGCTGTTCGCTCTCATTGGCTCCATTGGAATTATTAGAGTTTACAGACGCCGGAAACTCAGGCAACCGGAAGAATCCATCAACGTGTGGGTTAACAGATTTGAGACTGATGAGTCCATTTTTTGATATTTCCGAGTCTCTGAAATCGATACGGAAAAACTCCAAATTTGTCTCTGGCAACGTTAACCGTTTTGAACATTGTTCGTAATCCGGGAAGGCGAAAAAGTCGGCAGGATCTTTATCTGCCATTTTATCGACATGTGAATGAAGTGTGATGGATGCATCTGTGCGCTATTGCGGGAAGAAAGCTCATGAGATCAATTCTTGTAGTTAATATATTTAACTTCGCGCGAAAAGATGAAGACGAGAGGATCAAAGATATGTACCTAGGTAGGTACGTAATTGAGCTAGGTATGTGAACGCGTTGTTCCTACCATCTGCGCGGACCATCAGTTAAGTGCCCCTCGTTGATTAGATAAGCCAATACGAGCAATTCATTCGTCCAAGCTGCAAGCTCCCCTGAACCCTGCACCGTGGTCCTTGCTTCAGTAGGTTAAACCTCAGCTGAACAACAGCTTTAAGCTTCTGCACGACGTTTCAAGCAAGAGCCCTTCCAACATTCTATTCCCTCTCAACAATTCTATATCAACCCACTCCATTTCTTCTTCGCTTCGGTTTTTTATACCCAATGATAATTTTTAATAGGCAACGAAAAAATAAGATATGAAGAATTGATATTATAGTCTTCTTTTTAGAGGGTGAATATGCCACCAAAAAGAAAGTCCAAAGCGAGCAGCTTAGCAGAAGTGTCAACGCCAAAAGCTTCATCAACTCCAGCCCGCGACGATGATGCTATGGATGTGGACACACCGCAAGCCTCGGATACTCCCCGAGCTGCTGATACCCCCACAGCTTCCAAGCCTAGTCTACCACCACCAGCTGAGATCCTCAACAATCTCTGGACTGACGATCAGGAAGCTTCGTTATTTAAGGCAGTTATTCGCTGGAAACCTTCAGGTGCGTCGCATTTCATTTCGATACTCTGTCAATTAACCACATACCAATTGAAGCCTCCCATTACTAACACCTCATCCCTGTGCATAGGTATACATAAGCATTTCCGTATGATCGCTATCTCAGAACATCTTCGCAACCACGGTTTCGATCCCGATGTCGAGACGCACACGCGCATCCCCTCCATATGGGCCAAGCTCCGACTCTTCTATAACATGGACGCCATCGACGAGCGCGACAACTCCTTCGACTACGTCAGGGGCGAAGCCGAAGGCCCGGACGAAGAATCCCCCGAGAGCAAGTACAATGACTTCGACCTACCTCCCGATGACTTCCACGACCTCATGTGGGCGCGTGCCGCCGCTGGCCCAGGCGAGGAATCCGGCCCCTCCGACGCGGAGGTTAATGAAGCGCCCGAGAAGCCGACGGCAGGTAGGAAGCGCAAGCGTGGCGGCGCTCGTGCTACCGCAGGAGGAGCCGACATGGCAACCGACGCAGCTAGTGTTGCTGGTAGCACCACGACGAAGACGCGCCGATCTAGTACGGTCGACGACACCGATCAGGAGACCCCGTTCCCTAGTAGTCCTGCGGGACGGGCAGCTACCACCGCTAGGGGTGCGCGAAGTCAGAAGCGAGCTGCCGCCAAGGCGAAGGCCGCTAGTGCAGAGCCTGACGTCGAGGAGGAAGACGAGGAGGAAGAAGAAGCCGCTGACGAGGATGAAGATGAGGAACACGAAGATGAGGCAGAAGAAGAAGAGGGCGGCAAGGAGGAACCTGATACTACTACTCCGACTACGAGATCTGGTAGAGGGGCTGCTGCTGCCAGGGCGAGAGCGGCTCGTGGACGGGGGAGAGGTAAGGCGGGTCGGAAGAGAGGGTGATTAAGTTGAGTGCTTCGAGTGTGTTTTCCGCGAAGAGGCGGCAATGTTGTCGGTCCCGATGCCCGGCTTGCGACTCACGTATGGATTGCATAAATGAAAGTTGCGCCGACGAGGTTGACGAAGAAGTCACGATGATGTTTTAGGGCGCCAACAATATGCGGCGACACTATGGTCAGGCTTCATGCACGGCATCACATAGGGCAACGAGGTAAAGTCACGTCTATCTAACTTAATTAGCTTCCTGCTAATGAATGCCTCAGAGGTGACCCTTAGGAATTCATGAGAAAAAAACTGGGGCCTCCTGTAAAATACCCTAGGTCTGGTATATAAGTAAAAATAAACTACTTGATTTTCAGTCCCGGAATGGGGGTGTGGTAGTGTGCGATGGGTGCATGGTCAATTTTGTTACCATAGATCTGGAGCATGCGACTCGTAATTTACACGCTATCTCCAGTAAGACTTCGGCGTTGCTCATGGCAGTAAACTCCCATGCCTTTGTTTCGGAGGTCCACGGTTCGATCCGGCATGTCACCAGTGGACTCTATTCTTTTTTTTTTTTTTTGGCCTTGTAGTACAGTTGTACATGTCCCTCTAGCAACCAACATCTTCACGCTTCAGGCAGATAGATTATCCAGGAGAGGTGCGCCACCTGCACGTAATCTTGACGACTGGGCAGATGCCTAAGGAACATATATAAGTAGAGATGTGCATTCATTCTAACAATTAAAAATATATCGATTCAGCGATTGATCGATTTATCGACCAATGTAAAACGTAACGTAAGTTGTGTGTCGTCTCATCAAATCATCCCATGATTTGCTCCTAGTCCTAGATCCTCTACCCAGTACCCCTGATCATATTCATACCTAAATCAAACGGATGGTCAATATCCCAGCCCATCCTAACAGATATATGGGAAAATCACGTTTTACCCCCTATCCCATCCAAAGGTAAGATTCGCCTAACCAACCCCAAAACCGCGTCGCCGATGGACAATTAAAAACTCCTGCTTGGTATCTTCAAATGGGATAAATGTCAAAATTATTTAGTAAATTCAGATATTCAAAGCAGGACATAAGAATCATAAATCGCTCCCCGCACCCATTTTGCCTTCTTTATTTTATTTATCTTTGTCTCATCGCATTTAGGAATTCCTCCCGTCGCCATGTTGTCCTAGCCCAGCCTTATCCTCTTGGAAAATACTCCGCCTCGGGGAGTTATTTGACCCCGGTTGTAGGTTCGAACCCCCGTGGACGCTGTAATAGTCGAGTGCTTCGTATCCGCCGTCCACGCCAGTTACACTGGGTGGGCTGACGGGTAGTGGGGGACTCGCTTGCTGTGGTGCGAAGGGCACGTTGTGTTGCGGCGGGGGCGTCGGGGCGCGGGGTATCATGGACGAGTCCACTGTATCTTCGCTTATTTGCCTCGAGTGCCTGGGGTTCGACCCCATGCCGCTCGCACTCCTATTAACAGGTGCACCTGCTTGGCCCAAAGGCGGGGAATCGGGTCTCTGTGTGTAACTCGGAGGAGGCGGGTTACCAACTTGAGAGGAGCTGATACTAGGGGCGTGGTCGTGGGATGCGGTATTCGAAATAAAGGGTTGGCTAGTGGGTGTCGCGGTGGAACGTGGCATATGTGGATTCGAGGCGAAGGGCGACCGCGCGATATGTGTGAATCCCGTGTTACTATTGTCCCCCGTGCTACCGACTAATTCGGATGGGGGCGGACCAGGCGATGTGTCTATATACAGGATTAGCATATGAATTTGAGATCACTCGGTAAAGTAGGTATTGTGACTTACCCATAAGCTCTACTAAAGGCGTGCCCAACATCTCGGAGGGCTGAGCCATTTTCATTTCCATGTGGCCCGGTGAAACGCCTCGACTTTCCATGTCGTCGTATTGGACTCGCGTATCTTCGGAGGTCACGGTTGGCGCCTTGCCATCGCTCTGCAGGCCTCTCATCCAAGACGCAATCTTATTGCTGTTATCATTGGTCGAGTGCTCGCTGCCGTTCTTCTTCAGGAGTCTCCGTCTCCTATAGAGAATTATAGCAACGACGACAGCCGTAACAAAAACAAGACCGAGGACTACACCCAACACCGCTGCAAGCCAAGAAGGTGTACCTTTCCCTCTGCTTCCGTCGTCCGATCCTCGAGTACTGTTGGAAGGACCCATAGAACTGTAAGGGTAATATGTTGCTATCTTCTCTGTAGGGTAATGAGTAGCAAAGACGCTTCCGAGTGCTTGCGTGGCCCATCCTGAAGGGCTTGGGGTGGTAACTGTTGCACCGCCAGAGTAACTACCGCCTATCATCACATGAATCATCTCCGGGACCCCGTATGGCGCCCAGCTATCTGGGTTATATGAATCCATCCATGCCCCAGACGTGAGATTATAGGCTTGGAAAACTCCTTCGAGACATTCGATAGTATCGGCATTGTTGCCTGTCTTTCCTCCAATAGTTATCATTTGATCCGGGTATGGCGTCACGCACTGATGTCCAGCCCGACCGTGGTCTGGCGTACCCGAGGAAGCCTTCATCCACATGAATGTTGGGAGTGAGAGAATCCATACGTCATCATTGTAGTTTGAGGATTCATCAAGACCATCATAACCTCCATAATAGTAGATATTATAACTAGAGCGGTCCTGCGCGGTAGCAACGATTGCGCAACCCTTCGCGTATTGAGGTGGGCTACCAGAGGTCGGTTGCTGATACCATTTGTTACTCGCGACATCGTATATATCAATATTCGACATGAAACTGGGGCTATCTTTTTTCTACTATGGGGTTAGCAATCGCTTCTAGATTTAGGATGTAGTTCACCTTACACTTTGGGCTTCGTTTTGGGATGTGAGCTCGTAATTATCATAATCGGGATATGTCACACCACCCACTACGACCAGGATGCCTTGTTCTCCTACGGGGACCCAGACCATGGAAGGACTTGCACGGCTCGGGGTTCCAGTCGGGAGGGTCACATTTTTCCAGGACTCTGCTTGTTGCGTGCCCATGTCTAGGGTGATGAAGGTATTAGAGACGTTAGCTGGGTCATACGTAGAGTTGACACCGTCGTAAATTGGTCCCCAGGACTCTGAGCGATATCCACCGAAATACCATGCTTTATTCTCGGACGGAGCGTTGGCTGTGCCTCCAAAAGTAATATACCGTGTCATGCCATCGGGAAGTTGTTTGGTTAGGAACCCTGAGTGGAAATCTTTCTCTGTCCCATATTGCGACGCCATGTAGCCGAGCACCTTGTTTGCATCTGGTGCAGCGTAAGTTGAGGCTAACATTAGTGTACCACCGTATAAGAATAATTCATCGTTATTAGCGAGCAGCGCTCCGTCGTAGTAATTAGGGGCAAAGTCGTTTGCGGCGCCGCCACCGGGCGCCTTCGACAAGGTTTGAAGTATAGCACTAGCATTTGTGCTTGTGTTGAAAGGAGTACCGAAATTTAGCGTCCACATTAGACCCAAAGGATTATCTATGATCAATAATTAGGATATATTAGACGTGATAGCGAGCGATATACGACTAACCATCGTCGATCGGATCACCCAATGTCCCGTTGGCCATACCGGGAATCCAAGCTTTATGGCCTCCATCAATATAGACTGTATCCTTGAGGACGGCAACTATACAGATATTGATTAGATATTCACGAAGTAGAAGGGCGCGGCAATTTTGTGTCCCAGGTCGAAGCCTTACCTCTAAGATCAGTCCAATAACATATAGTTGCATTAACCTGATTATCTATCCATTTGAACTCCTGGCCACATACAGATGAGGCCAGCCGTGTAGCGGAAAACGCCAGCCAGGCTATCCTAGACCGACACATCGTGTGTCTAGTCGCTATGAATGCCAAATCTGCGAAGAAAACAGCAGCAGAGTTAACTAAAGATTAGAGAATGATGAGTTGTATAGGTAGGTAAGGATTATTCCATGGCAAGGGTCTGTATTCGCTGGATGGAGAGCCGACCCGCCTTGTTAGGTCAAGGCGAATCTGCCACAAAGGAACGAATACTCGTATTGTCTTGACTCTAGCCTCAATGACGAGTCTATTCTTTCAATTTGCTAGGAAATTCACGCCACAGAATTCGCTGAGCAGAATATTGACAAATGAAAACAGAACAAACGAAGAAGGCGGGTCAAAGAGTGGTACTCTTTGCCCAGGCAGACCGACAAAAAAGATATATACGGGAGCCCCGAACGTAAGAGTGTGAATGGTTTGCGATGGTAGGGCGGAACAAAAAGATCTCTCTAAGCTAAGGAGGCTCGTAATGGTTGGTCCAAATCTTGCGAGTCAAGTGATAGAGGGAACAATCCGTGAGGGGCCCCTATTGATGCAACATTTGGAGGGCTAATTATTACGCACGAATCTATGATAGACAACTAAGAAGACAAAGAGGCAAGCTTTTGCCCCTCTCGTAGATCGAGGCTCGGATGAGATGTTCCACACCTACATATGTATCTAGCTGTTCATCGTTGTTGGAGGGTGTGCTAATACCTCAGTTTGGTTAGACTAAGGCAGGTCAGCTCACTTCCAGGACCAGCCTCATCTTCCGTTATCGATGCTTGAGAATAGATACGGGACCCATGGGGTTTACTCTGGGGGATATTCATTGACCCCTCATAACCAGTACACCTAGCCTGGTACCAAGTTAATAACGTATAGGGATAATTGGTACTGAATTATAGATGTGCTAGTTAAACCTCAAAGAAAACGTTACTATGAGCAATTGGGAAATGGAGCTGAAAGGTTCAACATGAAAAAAAAAAAATCGACCGAGAGCCTGTAAGTAGAATACCTAAACTAGGTAGACAATGCGGTCGGGTTAGAGGACAAAGACATGAGAAGGACAACACACGTAAGAAACATCCTGGTAAGACAGCATGCTTCCATTGGGACGCAAAAAGCGGGATAGTATTTATTGCCATGACCCCATTGGATCAGGCACACCCTAGCTGCATAGAATCTGATGGTGGGTAGGACCATACTGATGTTGGTGCAAGTCGAAGATATCGTGAGCGATCAAAAGTAACTCAAGAACAAATGGCGGGGATATTGGGGGCCAATTTACTATGAGGGAAGTTGGGGGTTATAAGATATGTGCCGCACTCGTCAGCTGAATTCCAGCTTTGATCTGTCTATATAACCAGAGCCTCGGCCAGATCATAGCGAAGGACTCAATGCTGACAGAACCACGCCGAGTTGGGACTTAGCTTCTCAGTGTCAGCAGGGAAGAGAAGAAGAAAAAGACAGAGGAGGAAGCAAAATGCTGTTATGGTCGCACCAGGCTGTTGGCAACGGGCGGTCTTACTCTCGACCTGACCACTCTGCCGCTTTGGTAGGACTGATTGATTTTTCCAACGCTCTGGTACTGCAGTTATACGAAGTGGTACCATAACATAAAAACATGAGTTTTTCAATCTTGGCGGAGACTCCGTTATGTTTTGATTCACCACGGTAATTATTTATTGTCTTACATAGGGTCGTGTACCTACATGTAGGTAGTACCAATAGGGGTAAAAGAGGTAGAATTAGAGTAGAGTAGAGTAGAGTAGAGCAAAGTTGAGTAGAACGGGATAAGAGGCTCGAAATGGAGAGAAAAGTTTAAAGTTCTAGCCCATGAGCTGCACATCGCTCACGCCGCACATGTTGCTCCTTGTTTTTCTCTGTTCGGTACCTTCCCGCCCTAGGCCTTGTGGGGATTATTATCTAATTCATCGAACCAATCGGCAGCTACGAACGAGCTAATATTGCTTACGGGCGTAGCTCTGTGTGTTACGACGCTAAGCCCTTTGTATCTTTACCCATCGACCGGGATTCAAAAAAAGAAAAGCAAAATTCTGACATTCTAAGCTAAACTCGCAAGCCTCTCTCTTTTCCTCTCTTCCGCCTTATAGGCCCCTACAAAGAATAACATCCCAAGTATCTTCGATGAACTCGACGATCTCTCAAGAATCATAGGTTTTGAGAGACACCAATTGATTTTTATTGATCGTAAATTTATGTCATTGTTCTCTCAACAAATAGTCATTACGCCTCGATGCGCCACCAGAACCACACTCATACACGTCCTCAAACCGGTTTACTCTATCATCTAAGTATTGTCCGTTATCTACCAGGATTACCAATACGATACATGTACACCACTTTCTATTCAATGGAGTTTGATCTTCCACCTCTAGATACCTAGGTATCCAAGAAGTAATAGGCCAATTGTCTGACAAAAAGACGACGGGTACCTACTTACGACAAACCAACCTCCCGGCGACCTCAATTTAGAGTCTTTCAATACCCGCCGATTGTGTAACAAATGTTACTCTTTCGGATTTCTTAATTCGTGCGCAGATATGATGGCATCGCTTTGATGATGGTTTATTGGCTTACCTTACCGGTCCGGCCTGGTCTCGGTACTCTCTAATGTACCTAAACCCTTCCTTCGGATAGCCTCTTATTAGGCATCGACAAGTGGCGATCCTACCTAAGCGTCACGAACGATGGTACTATGCACTCGTCGTGCAGCTTATAACGTCCGGGGTCATATCATCGTTGGCCACAAAAGATGTGACTAGATGCAGTACAGAAACGGTGAAGACTGAGCCCAACCACTCGTCTTTCATATCACCCATGTTCTTCCCGTCCCTCGTACACGTTCTCTCGGCCTTGGCTACGACTCCAAATCTCCAAATGGAAGGTTGTAGGAACCATTATACGCAATGCACGATGGTATACACTACATACCCCGCTATCGTATACTGTTTCTACGCTGCCTGTGACTAATGTTCCATTTCGATATTCTCTTTTGGTCTCTGTCTTACTTTTTTCTTATTCCCTCATCCGAGCCTACCAGTCAGATACCTAGTTACCTAGGTAGGTACCCATGTGAGATTTATTTCCCTTGTTGGTTGCCGAAGAGCCTCGCTCGGATGTCTTACCAACTTGCATATGTATTATCCAACAGAATAGGACATTTCCCAACCCTAGCATCTACTTCGCTTGCTGCGGCTGGCCAAGTGCTTACTTGCCTGCAGCTCGTCTGATCGTTTTCGCTTTCTCTCTTTTCTCACGAATTGGTATTTTCATGTTGTACGTGGTATGTAACCTCTAACTATGCGATTTGCTTCAATTTTTTGAGGGGAAAAAATCATTGTGCGCGTCCTTATTCCTCTCCGGTCTGCTTCTACTCTAGCCCGGTAGGCTCTGGAGCCGGTACCCTTCAAATGATAGGTGTGGAGTTCGGACTTCCTCTGATTACCATGGGCGTGGGCAAAGGAACCTAGCATAACGGACCGGAGACGTGGTACAGATGTATACGTATAGTGCCACCCTCCATCATGCAGCTATCGTCCGGGGACGCAAGAAGCAGACTGGCAGATTTCTTTTTCGCAGGGGTGTTTAGTTGAACATGGCTCCGTAAAGACCTGACTGATGGCGAGCTGGACGTATCACATACTTGATCTACGCTTAAGCTTGGTACCTATCTCGTGTTGACGTTGCCGCATCTGTCAGTTCTCCTTCTCAGTTAAGTCAGCCTTATTGGTACCGCTATTCCCCCCCTTCGTACTACTCGATGGTTCTCTTTTTCATGGAACCACGTTTCCCCCAGGACTTGTTCTTCTGTGGGCAGCCCCAGTTAGCTCTCCGGACGGAACAATCAAGACACGCCCTGATCCTCAGCTAGGAGCGAAATACTAACTCGTTGCCTGGCTGACGACTACTCATCAGAGTCACGTTATAAGGAAATCCTTCGGGGTAGCTTACCAAGTCTAGGTTCCTTGCTAGTCAGCTCAATGAATTTAATACCCTGTTGGGAATTCGGAGTTCCTAGCTGAGGGGAGCTCGGAGCCTTGCTGACATAGCTAACTTTCGTTTTGCTTATACATATGAGGTGAGAGCTTTGAATAGTTTACTGTGTCGGCCCTTTCCTCTCCAACTCACCAATACACTCTTGGTAGAAGAGTCACTCGCTACGTGCGGAGGGACGGACGTTCGCTACGAAGACATTTGTTGAAATTCGGAGGGTTCACTAGGCATTGAAGCTATTTCGGTCACGATGGTTTTAGCACGACACTTTGGGGCCTTGTCGGCCTTTGCCCTTGCTTCACTTGTAAGGGCTTCGTACAATGACACGTACCCTGCGGACTGGTGGCCACATCATTCTAAGAGTGAATGCGCGCCAGAAACTGTTACCAAGACCAAAATCGAGACCGAGACTTGCTACGAAACCGAAACTACGACAGTTTAGTAAGTGTGATAGGGTAGATGAAAGCTACTGAGCTAACACTTCATACAGTGGTGTTACCACCGTTTTCGCTACATATAGTTACGGATATACAGTAACGGACAAGGAAACTCTTACCTATAAGTCAACAGTGACTGATGAAGAGACTACAACCGTTAGCTATGAATCGACAGTGACGGATAATAATACCATCACCGATGTAGAAACTACAACCACGACTGCTACTTACACGTCATTGGTTCCTACTGTTACTACAGAAACACTCACTTTCACGACAGAGATTCCGACCACAGTTATTTCCGGCACTACCTACTCTATGACCCAATATAGCACGTCGGTTTATACTACGGTATCAACATACACAACAAGTGTCCTAATAACTCTAACTGATGTGGTGACGACAACCGACGTGTCGATCTCAGCTTCACCAACTACGGACACTGCCACCGTGACAGCGACGGAGGAGACTACGTCGGTTGTGACTCTCATCTCAACTAGTACATTCCTGACAGTTTCGGAGATCACACTCACTGACTCGGTAGTGAGCACTACGTCGTTCACTACGACACAGGTTCTTACCACCGTCGTATCAGCCACGGTTACGGCCCCTCCAATTTCTATCACTCAGCCACCGGTCACTGTTACTCAACCTCCTGTTACCGTGACGGAGTCGTCGTACATCACAGATGTGCAAACATGCACTATCACCTTAGAAGAAAGCGTCAGCCCACAACCTCTCGATGTTCTCTCTAACTTAACTTGGGGCTGCGGCCCCGGAACTATTTGCGCTCCCCCGAAGCCGGAAGGCTGCAATGTCTGGGCCAATCCTCCCGATGCGACGTATGTTTGCCCAAGCGTGACACACTGTGTCGCGGCTCCGTACTATTTGTTTATTCAATGGCCGGAGTCCCAAACGGGCTACTATCCACCTACAGAACCCTATTTCAACCTTGCGCCACCTGCTTTTGGACTAAGCTATGACATATTCGAGATTGACTATGTAGAAACCACTATAACGACGGATGGCATAACCTACGTCACCTCCACTGGAACCGGAAATTGGGGATCACAGCCAGGCCTTACGGCACCCTATCCAGCGTCTACCCCGGCGATAGCTAAAAAGTACCTCCCATACCATCCTATTCATAAGCGTGCGACTACGCCGTCGACTTGCTACTCCATTTGCAATCAAGCCCAGTTGGAAGGCCAAAGAGTCGGCAAAGACGGGAAAGTACTCTGCGCAGAGGGCTCCTTATTTCGGACTTACGCCCAGAATTGTCGCGAATGTGTCACCAACCACCAGAATTGGGACGACGCGAGTAATGGCTATTTGAAAGGACAATTATCTCAATGGATTGATTTCTGCAACGCTACGGACCCTACCAACCCTATATTTACGTCACCCGAGGGCGAAGTTTCAACTACGGCTGGAGGTTCGACGGGTACTGGAGCTCCGCCAGCCACCAGCACTGGTGTAATTCCTATCACACCGACATCCACATCATCCGCGTCACCCACATCTTCAGCTTCGTTAACTTCGGCCTCTTCAACTACTTCTGAAAGTGCGTCTTCTGCGTCTTCTGCTTCGTCAACTTCTTCTAGCTTTTCTAGTTTCTCTAGTTCTTCTAGCTTCTCTAGTTTTTCTAGTTTTTCTAGTCCTTCCAGTTCTTCGGAAGGGAGTACATCGACCGAGGCTTCGAGCACTGGTAGCAGCAGTAGCGCTAGCAGCACCAGTACCGGCGGCACTACAATTTCTAGCAGCAGTAGTAGTAGTGCCGAGACCAGCGGTAGTACCAGTATCGGTACCAGTACCAGCGGGGGCGGTAGCGGGGGTGAGACTAGCAATAGCAGCAGCGGAGAATCTTTCTCAACTTCGGTGCCTAACACATCTTCACCAGCAAGCAGCGGCGCCGCCTCGTCAACGAGCACGCCGCCTGCTACGGTTCCGGGCAGTACGTCGGCGCCGAGCACGGTACCTACTGGCGGGGCCTATGCGATTCAGAACGGTCGAATCGCCCTTAGCTCCATATTCGGATTTATCTCATTTTTGATCCTCATCTAATGCGCTTAGAGACCCATAATGCTTGATTTTGAAACCTCGGAATATATATACGCATATTCAATTCGAATCCTTCCCTCAGACCATTTATAATTCTTGGCTCGGACATTGCATTGATCTGGTGGTTATACGGTGGGCGGCATGGGCGTGGACGGGCACATTCATTCCTTTTTATACCAACCACAACGATGAAAGTGCTTGAGGAAAAAAGCATATTTATTTGATACCCCGGGGACGTTACACTCCTTACTATGACGAAAAGACCCGCCACGGCCGTATACGATTGATGATTTGAGAGATGTTACAGGATGGGGAGTTGCCCCATTAGGTTTAATAGGCAGATATAAGCTGCTTGGGATGAGGGAGAAGAAGCGAACGCATGGGTTTCCACTACTGGGCCTATATAATTTTCAATGTACATAATTTAGGAAATATTAAAGATAGGGATGTATCCGTTAGGATATCATTCTACGAGGAAGGGGTTTGGTATGGAGCGGTGGGTTAACATTCTACCGTTCTGCTCTAATTATCAAAATATTTCAAAGTCATTTTGGCTGACGATGATGCGATACCGAAACAGAATATTAACATGTAAGACGGCTCGGACTTTTAACAGGGCAAAAAACTCCATCTGATATGAAATTGTGCAGGTTAGTTTCGTTGACAGGAGTCTGTTTGTTACGCCCTTGATTAGACACCTACATCCTAGTAGCCTACATATGTAGGTACTCATACGTGGTTTCCCGTCAGATTGCAACATTTCAAAACACCTCTTTATTTATGATTAGAACGAAAGACCATGTGTAAGTCGTGATGTGTACTATGTATATGTAGGTACCTACCCACATGCAGGTACATAATTATGCCGCTCTATGTACGTATAGTGACTAAGGTACATAGAATCGTGAAGAACTGTTTGGTAACTACGCCACTTTTCGTCTATGCTGTTTCTGGATTCAATAGGGTGCTAAGCCACATTTAACCCCACCATTACGGTGAATCATTTGCTGAGAAATCAGCTGGTTTAGAACGTTAAACCTTCAGTTTCAGGCGGGTTCACTAGCTCAACGCCATCTCAGCAATCTGCAAGAGGAGCTTCCACCTTAACTTTTACAACCTTCTACAGGAAACAGTCGTCTTCGGAATTTACTCGAGAGACATACATCCCAAAAGATCTCACCAGGCAGACATCAGCTGCTTTACTTTTTTAAAAGCTGGTCTTTTTCCCTCTCATAAATTTACATTTGTCCTCTTTTGTTTTTGGACTAGGTTTACCCACTACGTCATTTGGTCAGTTCAAGTACAGATACATCAGATACATACATCCTTGCCTGATTGACTTGATCGGTCTGCCCTGTCTGCCTCGTTTCGGCGCTACTAAGGTCGAGGTATTTGGTGGTGGGGTTGTTGATTTGGGTACCTTTTTCATCTTCCGACCATCTTGTCGTCGCGACATTCGTCCAAACTAACCTAACCCAACCTTCTCATCTGCCTTCTTCCTACCTTACCACATTATCAGCTTACTTCCTTTACCATTCCCCCATCCTACTGCGTCATACCCCTCCCTCCCCCCAGTAAGCAGAGAAGCAAGCTCCACCAGAGCAAACATCGCCAAACTGGGGAAGCGCAAACACGAGAACGGAGACTTGCCTTTCTCCCCTAAGAGAACTATGACCGTAAGTAAATAAAACACCCTTTTTCGAGTCAGTTTGTATATACTTTTGCACATACATAGTCTCAAGTCACACTCTACAATAAAAAAAAAAGGCAATAGAGATACCAAAGGACTAACATTTACCCCTCCTGCGCAGGATACCAAAATGGCTTCAGGCATACCCGAGGTCGATCTGGTCACCCGAGTCCAGGTCGACAACTCCGTCGTTGGCCAAAGCGAGATCGATGAATCCCTCTACAGCCGACAACTCTACGTCCTTGGCCACGAGGCCATGAAGCGCATGGGCGCTTCAAATGTACTTGTGGTTGGTCTGAAGGGCCTTGGTGTTGAGATTTCCAAGAATATTGCTCTTGCTGGTGTCAAGAGCCTAACCCTATACGATCCGACGCCTGTCGCCATCGCCGACCTATCCTCACAATTTTTCCTCCGCCCAGAAGATGTTGGCAAGCCTCGCGATGCTGTCACAGCCCCTCGCGTTGCTGAACTCAACGCCTATACACCCGTAAATATCCACAGTTCGCCTAGGTATGTTAAACATCTTCACCTTTAAGAATATCAAGTGCTAACCTTAAAATTCGACAGTCTCGGCGATGACTTCTCCCAGTTCGACAAATACCAAGTTGTTGTTCTAACCAACTCTCCCCTCAACCTTCAACTAGCCATCGGAGACTACTGCCACTCAAAGGGCATCTACTTTGTAGTTGCGGATACCTTTGGGCTGTTCGGTTCCATTTTCTGCGATTTTGGCAGCAAGTTCACGTGCCTCGATGCGACCGGCGAAAACCCTATCAATGGAATAGTAGCTGGTATCGACGAGGAGGGAGTGGTATCTGCTCTTGATGAGACACGACATGGCCTTGAGGATGGTGACTACGTTACCTTCTCCGAAGTCAGAGGTATGGAGGGCTTGAATGGAGCTGAGCCGAGAAAGGTCACAGTAAAGGGGCCCTACACATTCTCGATTGGCGATGTCTCCGGGCTTGGTCAATACGAAGGCGGTGGTCTATACCAGCAGGTCAAGATGCCCAAGTTCATCGACTTCAAGACGATTTCTGCGGCTTTACGCGATCCCGAATTCGTCATTTCCGATTTCGCCAAGTTTGACCGACCACACCAACTCCATGTTGGTTTTGAAGCGCTTCATGCTTTCGCCCAGTCACAAGGCCGCCTCCCTCGACCCAAGAACGATGAAGATGCTGACGTTGTGGTTGCGTCTGTCAAGGCGTTTGTTCAGAAGGAAAAATTGGACCTCGAGATTGACGAGAAGCTTATCAAGGAATTGAGCTACCAGGCCCAGGGTGATCTAAACCCTATGGCCGCCTTGTTTGGCGGACTTACTGCTCAAGAGGTCCTCAAGGCTGTGTCCGGAAAGTTCCACCCGATCAAGCAGTGGTTCTACTTCGACTCGTTGGAGTCGCTCCCTACCAACTCCGCCCGAACTGAGGAGCTTTGCAAGCCGATTGGATCCCGATATGATGGTCAGATCGCGGTGTTCGGTAAGGAATACCAGGACAAGATTGCGAATATTAAGCAATTCCTTGTAGGTGCAGGCGCGATTGGGTGTGAAATGCTCAAGAACTGGGCTATGATCGGCTTGGGTGTAGGACCGAAAGGTGAAATTATCGTGACTGATATGGATTCGATCGAGAAGAGCAATCTGAACCGTCAGTTCTTATTCCGGCCTAAGGATGTTGGCCAGATGAAGAGCGACTGTGCTGCTAAGGCCGTGCAGGCTATGAACCCCGAGCTTGCAGGACACATCGAGTGCTTGAAGGATCGTGTTAGTCCCGAGACTGAGCATATCTTTAACAAGGATTTCTGGGAATCCTTAGATGGTGTTACCAATGCGCTCGACAATGTAGAGGCCAGAACATATGTCGACCGACGATGCGTCTTCTTCCGCAAGCCTCTACTGGAAAGCGGCACCCTTGGCACCAAGGGTAACACACAAGTTGTTCTTCCCATGCTTACCGAGTCATACTCTTCTTCTCAGGATCCTCCTGAGGTATCATTCCCAATGTGTACTCTAAGAAGTTTCCCGAACCGAATCGAGCACACCATCGCATGGGCTCGCGAGCTCTTCGAGACTTCCTTCGTTAAGTCTGCCGAAACCGTCAACCTCTACTTGTCTCAGCCTAACTATCTCGATACAACACTGAAGCAAGGCGGTAACGAGAAGCCGACTTTAGAGACGATCCGTGATTACCTTGTGACGGATAAGCCTTTAAGTTTCGAAGACTGCATTATTTGGGCACGAATGTTGTTTGAGAGGCAGTACAACAATGCCATTCAACAGCTTCTCTACAACTTCCCTAAGGACTCAACGTCCTCGAGCGGCACTCCCTTCTGGTCTGGTCCGAAGCGCGCCCCCGACCCATTAAAATTTGACCCCAAGAATCCTACCCACTTTGGCTTCATTGTTGCTGCGGCCAATCTACATGCATTCAACTACAATATCAACACCAAGGGCGTCAATGAGAGTCTGTACTTGAAGGTTTTAGATAATATGATTGTCCCCGACTTCTCTCCCGACCCCGGCGTCAGGATTCAGGCGAATGACAATGATCCCGTAAGTTTATATAATTTCTTATCATATATGGATTATAGCTGATTGCTTGGCCAGGACCCGAACTCCAACAACAACTCTTCTGCCTTCGACGATAACACCGAGATACAGAAGATCATTAACGGTCTCCCGGCCCCTAACGAGCTCGCCGGGTTTAAGTTGACTCCGGTAGAGTTCGAGAAGGACGACGACACAAACCATCACATTGATTTTATCACAGCTGCAAGCAATTTGCGAGCTGACAACTACAAGATCGAGAAGGCAGATAGACACAAGACGAAGTTTATCGCTGGAAAGATCATCCCCGCTATCGCGACCACGACTGCATTGGTCACTGGTCTTGTCGTATTAGAACTGTACAAGATTATCGACGGAAAGACCGATATTGAGCAGTACAAGAACGGTTTTGTCAACCTTGCTCTACCATTCTTTGGTTTCAGTGAACCGATCGCCAGCCCTAAGGTCGAGTACAGAGGGCCGAACGGCAAGGTCACGCTAGACAAAATATGGGATCGTTTTGAAGTTTCGAATATAACATTGAAGGAACTGCTTGACGACTTCGAGAAGCGTGGCCTGAACATTAGTATGCTCAGCTCGGGAGTAAGCCTACTCTACGCCAGCTTCTTCCCACCCGGGAAGTTAAAGGAGAGATACCCCCTGAAGCTAAGCCAGCTTGTCGAGACGGTCTCCAAGAAGCCCATTCCGGACCACCAGAAGGAGCTCATTTTCGAGATGGTGGCCGAGGATCTAGATGAGGAGGATGTGGAAGTGCCTTACATCAAGGTTAAGATCTGATGGATGTGCAGTGATACTCTGAATCGGCTCAATCGGCAATGCAGAGCAATATCTAATACTCGCTGCTCAGGTGTTTTATTCATTCAAGGGTTATGGGATAGATATCTTGTATGAACGGGGTTAGTTCCCCGTTTACTGCCTAAATTTAACGATAGGGGCTATTGCTGCCACGAGTATCAGTACCCTTTGAGAAATAGTAAAATAGAGTTGCTTTTGCCCAACATGTTTCTACTGACTTCTAATTTGTCAAGTGTCTTTCTTCCAGCCCCCTTATTAATTCTAGTATATCTAGTTAGGGTCCCGGACTTCCCCACAGCCACCGAGGTACTTATTACCGATTACTATTCTTATGGCGTCTAACTCCACTATGTTACCGAGCTAAGGGGGATTAGTCATGGTACGCCGTTTACGTCACGATCCGTAATCGTAGTATAATCCATGAATAAGGGTAGATCATGACAAAGCCGGGTACTTACAAAGTGCACGCCATCTCCGCATCACCTGATTCGAAGATTCACCCCTCCGCTAGGTAGTAGTTAATTTGGAGAGTAAGAGGGCTTCATAAGGGTCTTAGTATAAATATCTTAGATTGGAGTAGATAAGTCCCCCGCATTCATGAATATTAAAACGGCGGATTTGTTTGCGCTTGGTCGTGTTGCGACGTTATCTTCGAGACCAACTTTGAGATCAATTACATCACCATTGGTGAATAAATCAATTTGGGATAGGAGACGATTTTCGAGTCTTGAGAAAGGAAGAGAATTTCGAAAAGGGATCATATCGGATTCGATTGTGAAGCAACAAGTTAGAATGGTGAGAATGAGCCCCGATTGAGAGAATAGAATTCTAGCTAACACGAGAAACAGGCTTCTAAGATTACAGACTGGGTCAAGCAAGGCGATACCAGTGGCGAGTTCAAACGCCAGGCCAGTTCGTTCCGCGAGTGGATATCGACGGAGCCTGGCGCGAGGTTCCCGCCTGAGAAAGGAAGATATCACCTTTATGTCAGCTATGCGTGTCCTTGGGTATGTCCCGTGTTCCCTAGTTCGAGTATACGAAGGCTAGACCGTTAACATTCTACGTAGGCCACGCGAGCTCTTATCGCGAGGAAGCTGAAGGGTTTGGAGGATTTTATTACATTCTCAAGCGTGCACTGGTATATGGGCGAGAAGGGTAAGTCAGCCATATAAGCCGAAAGGTCTAGAGAACTAATGAAGTGTAGGATGGCGTTTTCCCACACCCGAGGATACAGACGCCGCGGGCGAAAACGTGATTCCGGACCCAGTCCCCGGCCATGAATCCTACACGCACCTGCGACAGCTCTACTTCGGCGTAGACCCGGAGTACAAGGGGCGTTTCACGGTTCCGGTACTCTTCGACAAGAAGGCCAACACCATCGTCAACAACGAGAGCAGCGAGATCCTGCGTATGTTTGGTACTGCATTTAACGATCAATTACCTCCCGAGTACGCGAAAATAGATTTGTATCCCGAGGAGTTGAGGGCGCATATTGAGGATGCGTTTGGTTGGACGTATGATGATATTAATAACGGTGTTTATAAAAGCGGTTTTGCGACGACCCAGGAGGCGTATGAGGGAAATGTGAAGAAGTTGTTTGATGCATTGGACAAGGCGGAGAGGCATTTGAGGGAGACGGGAGGACCGTATTGGTTTGGGGATAGGATTACCGAGGTTGATGTTAGACTGTGAGTCTCCTTGTCCCTTTTCCTAACGTATCTACTAGAAACGGATCCTTGGCGACGACCGAGCGAGTTGCTTGGTCGCTTGACTGACATCTGACGTTGACAACTAACCTGAGGGAATAGGTTCCCAACACTGATCCGATTCGACCCAGTCTATGTCCAGCACTTTAAGTGCAATATCCGGGATATCCGGTCTGGATATCCGCATCTACATAATTACACCAGGAACCTATATTGGAAGAATGCGGCCTTCAGGGATACGACGAATTTCTTGCACATCAAGAATCATTATACGCGTAGTCACACTCAAATCAACCCACATTCGATTACACCGCTGGGACCTGTCCCGGATATTTTACCCCTTGACGAGGAGGTTGAGGCTGTGAAGGCGGCTTTAGCGAAATAAACGAAGCAAGGGGTTTCGTTTGGATAGGGCGTCAGTGGTAACACCCGGTGTTAAATAGACACCATTATTATTTCTGTTTCACCCCTTGGTTCCTGAATTGCAATGTGCTAATAGATGTCCTTTGAGTAAGTCAGTTTGGTTTTAATTAAGAACTTGGTCGGACGATCACAGCGTTCAAGCAGTCCCTCGGTCAGGTAGGCATTAACGCATAGAAGAGCGAGCAAATCCATTTCGATCCTACAGAAGTTGGTATCCAGCGACGGGGCCAACGAGGGGTATATCCTCCACAACCAGCAAAAGCCAAGCGGTCAAAGCAACGGGGTATCAGCCGAATATTCCTCCACATAACCGTTCGTAACACAAGCCCTTTTCCGTTGATGAATACCCTTCTCCAGTCAGAAACTCCGAACTCCATAACTTTCCTCATGATCATAATGATTACTCGAACACCTTGTTCCAAGCCCGGCTCACGGCCATTGTAGCCGATCGCGCGATTCCCTTGCCCTTATCCTTCTCTTCTTCCCCGGTTTCCGCTCGCTCCATGCGCTCGAGGTCGGCTTCGGTGGGATCTGGGAAGGGGAAGTTGGGGTCGATGGCTTTGTTGCCAGTCGTAGCAGTCGAAGTGCTTGCATCAGCGTCTTTGCTCGAATCTTTCTCTTTGGCTTTCTGTTTAGCTGCCTTTTTAGCCTCTTTAGCCTCTTTAACTGCAGCTGCAGCTCGTCGGGCCGCGGTCATAGGGCCTTCAATATTTATAGTGCTAAGAGAGGCGGAGGTGGGCGTTCGAGTTAGTGTTTGCTCGAACGTGACGCTGTACTCGCTGGTTACCGTGATACCTCCCATGCCGGAGCTAAGCGGGACGGTTGGATGTGGGTTCACCCAGCCGGCGAAGGAAGGAGGGGGACGAGGTTCAGCATCGGGATCGGTACTAGATGCTGATGCGCCTTCTTTGGTTGATGATAACTTCTCGCGACTGAGCATGCGCTTTAGGGTTGCGCGAAATCCGCGCTTTTTCTCTTCTTGGTGAGAGGAGTCGGAACCGTCGCCAGATTGCTTGTCGGATTCTGATGAACTGCCTCGGGGCGTCTCGATTCCCATTGCCGCGAGACCGATGAGCTCTGGGGGTGGAGGAGGGGGTCTGAGAGGTATAGGAGGCGGAGGTCTAAGGGGTATAGGAGGATGGGGGGCAGGTCTGTGGGGGACTAGGAAATCGCTTCTCTCTTCGTCGACAGGAGGAATAAGCTGGGACGGAGGGGTTATAAGGCGTATTGTAGGTCGAGGAGGCATTGTTGCGGATGTATTTCGAGATTTTATTATGATGGGTTTGAATGATTGAAACTGAGTCACTGTCTTTTTTGGCAGCGAGAGAGATGGGATTCAAAGTTGATGTGACGAGGTAAAACTTGAAAAACAAAAAAGAAAACAAGAGTGATTGGATAGAGTTCTAATCTCGCGAGGGTCCTCGTCGCTCTATTGAGTTCGGGGGATTTGTTTCGCTGACTACTCGCTCTGTATGCGCACGACTAAGCTGGTGTTTCGGGGTAGGGTCTAGCCTAGAGTTCTTGCGAATTAACCCATGGTGTCCCACGGCGGCGTAGTGAAAGACATCAGTCGGCGACATGGTCGTCATATCAATGAACGTATGCCAAACAGCGCATTATTATTGTGCCATAACTCTTCTCTTGTTCACCTACAGACCTACAGACTTCATCAAAGGCGATAATACGGCCCATATTCCTCTGAACTGACTTGTAAGGACAGTATCTGATAGTATATGTGACTATTCCGTAGGACTTTTCACATCCATTTACGGTAGTGACATTTTAGGTTACCGTGAACGCCAATACCAATTTTTTATACAATGAATTACTGTCTTCCTAGGCATCTTTTATAGGAGGATTACCACCTATTCAGATGAAATGATACTTCCTTTGGGATGGTTTTTGCTTGCCAATCCTGCTCTAGATTTTCAACTGTACATTTAAAATACAATCCCCTTTTTATTTTTTTTTTCTATATCACATTAAATCATCTCTACTCTGTCGGCGTAAGTACAGAAAATTCACAAGACCTTTAAAACCCCGGATTATGAGTAGTCCTCGATAATCTACAAGGAAATGCTTCAGGGTGATGCTAATAATTCAGTAAATATCAAAGGGTTTAATGAGACTTTTAAATGGTTTTTGTGATGGTATTTCTAAATGGTGTTCCCTGGAATCAAGGCACAGTTGATCCGTCCGTCCATAGACTGTGGACAATAGGCGAAAAAGGAGGCTACACTCACGTGAATCCGCGCGAAGTCTGGTCGGAACAGCAATATAGTAAAATGGAAATTTCCAATTTATTCTCTCATATGTAAAAACTAAAGCTCGATGGCTTCCACCGAGTGAAGAATTTTAAAACTCGCCTTGGTACCTAGGTGGTTAGATACCACGAAACTAGATTGCCTTTCCCATGAAACCCTCTCCTTATTAATAATCGCAAGTGCATCCGTCAGCTTTGCAGCATATTCCCCCAGTGCCGCGTGTCATGCAAGATGTGCCCTGGGGACAGCCTGAGCATTCCGGTCCATCTGGACCGACACAATAACTAGAAAATAGTTAGTATCTAACACATACCTAGGTATTGTACGGATTATGAGTAGTACTTACGCGTCGGTACTTTCCTGGCGATTGAGTAGTTTAGGTTCATAAGCAAGGGCTTGCGCAGAGGTTGCAAGATAAGTCAAGGCGACGGCGACGGTGATGAACTTCATGGTTGCGAGCTTGTAATGAAATCTACTGGCGTAGTTATATAGAGTTGTATGACTTGATGTATGATGGTAAAATGGATTAACTTGAGCTATGAGGGTAGAACGAGCTGAATCAACGCTCATTATATACTATTTCTTGTTAAGATACCTACGTACGTAGTGGCGTTTAAATTGCTTCATTTCAACTCCTCACCGACAATTACAGTCCCGTGGCAGGGGAAGTTTCTATCCAAGACGTTGGTTTATTCTTCAAACTATTGTTTTCATCAATTTGATTACGATCCGATCGCCCACGATGCGGTTAGTTAGTTCGTTGATTAGCACTGAGGTAAGGGTTAAATTTCAGCCCTAGCAGTTCTTACACCTGGAAATTGCAATATTGACGCTTATAGATTTTCTGTATCACGTTTATGATTTTCGTCTCTACCTAGGTGTGTATTTATTTCCCAGATACCTGGGTACCCCTGTTACTCCTTAGCCCCTAACCCCTATGCTGCATGACTTTTTACTTTTTCATTATCCCTTTCCCAAAGCAATGATCGTAACACCCGCGCAGGGATATGGGTTCAAGTGCAATTATCATGAATAATGTGCGGCTAGTCAGTTATTACTTATGTAAGTTTTATGGAATCAACAGAGTATAGACAAGCTAATTCAAGAAGCCATAGGAAGTTTGTATACGCAGCTAGCTAATTGCTTCAGTATATGTTCTAATCTAGGTAATTATTCCCGACGGATCTTACCAACTCAAGTATCAGATAGCATTAAATAGCATAACATGATTGGATATCTCGTATGCAGTCAGCGGTTCGGGATAAGCAGAGGCTCTATCACTGTTCAGTTCTTCTAGTCAGATAGTCAGCAATGACGTTGGTGATGATTATGTTTCTCCGAGAAGATTTTTATATAACTAGAAGTTCTTGACGGGTTAATCCTAAATTTTCACATGCTCCTACCATATGCCTATCTCGATGACCATCCTTTCTCATGGCGAACACCCTTTTGTTGGTGGTATACTATGCCGTACCAGCTTTTATAACCTGTGTGAGTGGGAAAAAGATCCTGGTTGAATATGAAGTAGTATCTAACAACTATTAAAGTTCGTTCTATACGTGCTCTATCAAATATTCTTTCATCCGCTTAGAAGTTACCCCGGGCCATTTACGGCTAAGTTGTGGGATATCTATAATGCATACCCTGCATATAATCAGGACGCACACTTAATCGCAAGACAGAATCAATTGAAGTATGGTAAGAATACGACTATCTGCCTTGAACTAGTGTAATAGCAATGACTGAGAGTAAGATAGGTCCGGTAATTAGGCATGGCCCAAATAAACTTGTGTTCAACTCTCTTTTGGCCTTGCGAGGCGAGTTCTCTATTTGTTCTTAAATGGGTGTCGCTAATTGGAAGCAAGACATCTATCAGAATGACCGGCTTACCAAAACTGGGGCTTATGCGGTGATGAGGGCAGACGCGACAGCCCGGAATGTTTTCAACGCAAGGAACAACGGCTTGATTGACCGATTCATGCGACGTTTTGAGCCTACCATGGTAGAACAAGTCGACATATTCCTCGAGCAGCTATTGATTGCATCTCGGAAGTCTATCCCGGTTGATATGACAGACCGGGCAAAACGTCTTGGCATGGACATCGCTGGTTTACTTGGGTTTGGGTATGACCTCCGCCTTCAAACGAGCGACGAAAACTACCCGATTCTCAAAGCCATAGGAAAAAGCGGCTTCTGGGCCTATGTTTTCTTTCACTGCCCTTCACTGAGGTTCTGGGCCCGACCATCTACTCTACTATCTGCCGGTTCAGTTATAATCTCTCGTACCTCGCGAGAGAAACGCGCAAAACGGGATCTGTACTCTCTCGTTTCAGATGCCCTAGACAGTGAGGCTGGTGGCGTACGACAGAGCGATCTGTGGAGCGACGCAACTTTCCTAGGGACTAATGGAGATACGGTCAAGACTATGCTGGCTGCTACGTTCTTCTACCTATCACGGAATCCGAAATGCTACGAAAAATTGGCTTATGAAATACGTTCTATGTTTACGAGTAGCCGCGAGATCTCTGGTCCGACACTCGCAAGTTGCCAATGCCTTCGCGCGTGTATTGATGAATCTTTGCGTATGTCTCCACCTACGCCAGGGGTCTTTTGGAGGGAGCAGGTCACGGACGACAGCGATAATCGGCCTTTGACCATTGACGGATGCACGATTCCTCGGGGAGTTCAAGTCGGCGTGAATACGTATTCAATTCTCCATGACGAAGACGTCTTCCCGAACCCATTCACATTTGCCCCTGAACGGTGGCTGAGTTCTGTGTCACCCGAGATGGCGAAGCTGATGAGTGATGCTTTCATCCCGTTTTCAATTGGCCCTACGCAGTGCGCTGAGAAGTCGATGGCGTACTTGGGAGTGAGTTTAATAATTGCTAAGACATTCTGGCTTTTCGACTTCGAACAAGCGCCGGGTGAATTGGGCAAGATAGGAGGCGGGGGTCCTGGTATGGGACAAGGTCGAGAGCGTTCGGATGAGTTCCAGCTTTACGATCGCTTCACTTCTGGACATAAAGGGCCTTACTTGGTTTTCAGGACTCGTGGTGATCTTTGGAAGGATATTAGAGCGTAAGGGTCGAGAGGGGGGTTGATGTATGGTATCTCGGGGCATACATAAGATATCTATCGGTTACAAATAACCCGGGCTTTAAGAAGGAATAGAAAAAATGTGTGTGATAGCTTAGATTTAAGGCTAACATAAGCTATACAATTGTTTCCACGAAATGTTTCTTAGATCGCGTGTGACGATTATAGTCTGGGGTAGCCTCCTTCGTCACCTTCTCCTCCCGCGGCGCTGAAATTCAGAAACCAAACAACTTTCGCCCAATAATCAGAATGTTTGAAACAAATCCTTTATTTTTAGATGTTTAATAGATGAAAAGAGATTATTGTGCATGACAACTACCGGGAAAGGTGGATATAGGTATCAGTCTATGTGGGTCGGATTCGTCAACCATCTTCGTCCCATTCGAACCATCTCAAGTCTAAAATTTGTGACGATGCTTGAACCGTCGAATCGTCCGAAAGCTTTGACAATAATGTCGTCGTGATTGGCGGATCGGATTGCTAGGGTCCCCCGATGGCCCCCAGGTTCCCTGTAAACATCATTCTACTGAACAAGGCTCAGCTTTTTATCATATTCGCAGTCTACACCTCCGCGTAAGGGACGCGTAATAGTACCCTAAGAGGCTGAGGCTAGTATACATAAAATTGACAATGGTAACATTCACGATGGAGAGGCGAATACCTGACGAGTCCTTGGTGTTGATATGCCAAGATAGAGCCATAGAGGACCCACGATGCATAACGAGCATTACGAATTGGTATCTCCTTAATTGCGATTGGTGGATCCAAAGATGAATCAATTGCCTTGGTAGAGCCTCTCTTTAGAGGTTTAAAAGAGTATCGTGTCGCCAAATTTCGTTGTGATCTTCACTCGTAGTCAAGCCAACCTCCAAGGCAGCTCATCCTCTATCCAGTCGTTTCAAATAGTCAACTTCTTAACATATACTCCTCATCCGTTCATCATGGTCGCTTTCTCGAACTTAGCCCTCGCGGCCCTCGCGGGCTTTGCTGCCGCCCACCCTGGCGAGAAGCACGACCCGCAGCAGATGAAGCGTGAGCTCGTTGCGCGTGACTACGCTGCTCAAGTCGGAGCTCGATCCTTGGCTTCCTGCTCGAATTCAGCTTCTGCTCAAGCCTTGAAGTCGCGATCTATCAAGCGTCGTGCTAACGCTGTCAAGAACATCCGACAGAAGCGTGGTATCCAGGCTCGTGAGTGATTTACACAACACATTAGGTTAGGGGATGATGAAGACTGACAATTTCTTATAGCCGCCAGGAAGGATAAGCGCGCTCTCGAAGACCTGCAAGCCTGGGAGAAAGTCAACCATAACATGACGGGAACCTACGATTACAACATGTTCACCTCCCTTGAAGACGTCTTCAGCGGTAACACAAGCTGTATCTTGGCCCCCGAGATCACCGACGGCCCGTACTACGTCGTCGGCGAGAAGATGCGATCGAACGTCAAGGAGTCAAAGTGGTGCGATGGTGTCGACGTGTTCTTGGAGGTTCAGTACATCGATGTTAACACCTGCGACCCTATCCCCGCCGTCGCAGTCGATATCTGGAACTGCAATGCCACCGGAGTCTACAGTGGTATCTCGACTAGTGGAAACTACGCCGATGGCGGCTATAACTCTACTTACCTTCGTGGTATTCAATTGACGGATTCCGATGGTGTTGCCAGCTTTGAGACTATTTTCCCTGGTCACTATAGTGGGCGTGCTGTTCACACTCATCTGTTGGCTCACACCAATGCTAAGGTGATGCCCAACGGTACCATTTCCGTGTGGTAAGTTCCTAAATCATGATTTAAAATTTGCCATCCCGTCTCGGAGCTAGGACTAATGTTGGTGTCACACGCGCAGGAATGCACCGGTCAGCCACATCGGACAACTCTTCTGGCCCGAGGACCTACGCGCCGAAGTCGAGACGACTTACCCATACACGACCAACACAGTGGAATTAACCACCAACGACGAGGACATGTGGTCTGTCCTCCAAGCCGACGCATCGTTCGATCCCTTCCCACAATATGTATACCTCGGTGACAGCATCGAGGACGGTCTATTCGCTTGGATCCAGATCGGCATCAACGGCTCTGCTGACTACACCGAAGACGAGTACTATGGAATAGGTATGTTTACTCCATCTTAAGAATTTTCTTCGTCATGCTGCAGGAAACTGATTTATCAATTGCAGCTGCATACCTCGATGCTGAGGGCGGCCACTCCACTGGCTCGAGCGTCGGAGGTGGCACTCCTGGTGGCAATGGAACTGGTCCGGGAAATGGCACAGAGCCCAGTGGATTCCCCAGCGGTTCTTTCAGTGGCGCTCTTCCTTCTTCTACCAGCGCGTAAGGCGTTCAATACTTGGGTAGATAGGAGGCATTGGCCTCTGAACGTTTAGTTCTTAGGAGCCCACCACTCCTCCGGCAGTGGTGGTTTTATACCATAAAATCCATAGAATTCAAATACAGATGATCATAGTTAAAATGTCCGAATACCTATAAGAGTCAAACTCCAATAGTCTACTTCGCATTCCCTATCTATGGGTTAATACTTGACGATTATTCAGGGGCTAAGCAACACTGATGCCTACTTTGCACTCATCTTGTATTACCCAACCAAGGAGGAGGAATGATAACGAACACACCTAAACAATCGCATTTATAACTGCGTTTCTAGCCTATTATGGGCCTGAAAATACACATATTATTGGGTACTTCGTAGAATGAATATCTATAGGTATCTGAAATAAAAATATAAATTCTTTCTAGGACAAGCTGAGAAAAGTATATTCGACGATCGCGATCAACCGCATAGTCTACAAGAGTTATTACTCCATGATATGATTTCCCTGTGAGATGATCGCTCAATTGCTCCGTTCGATACCGGTTCTGTTGTACGACGTTCAACGCCATTCAGTTCATATGTATGTGTGTAAGTATACTAGCAAACATTGGAGCTCAAAGGTGTTGCTCAACAGTTTAACAGTTAGAAATATTATTACTAGACCAAATTGGGTTTATCATTGCTGTTCCGTTAACTTTCAAATTGATGACCGAGGATACCGCCGAAAAATAATTGAAATGTACCTAAGTAAAGTAGAATAGAGGGGGTAAAAAAAGAGAGAAAGAATTGCGGTAAGTGATAACGCCACAATTTAAAGTGAAGAATGAGACAAGAACGCCCCCTTTAATTTTCTATTCGACAAAGCTCCTTCCCGTCCCAGCTGCAAGCTGAGCAAGGCAGGCGGGCAGGAGGTACCTTGATACGCCTAAAGGTGTCACGAGAAACAGGTTCCCCACTGGTGACGTGCATCGGGGAGGTAACATCTAGGCACTCTGTGCTACCACTAAAAAAATACGTATATGCACCACTGAGTCCGATATAATCAATTCGAATGCCTGCAATCGATGCAGGACGCTGGGTTAGGCAATTACTAGGTAATTGACAATTTATATACCATGTGAGCCGTATCCCATGATCAATCGGCAAGGTGTTTATTAGTCCGCCTGTAAAAGATACTATAAGATATTTCATAATGCTATACTAAATACAAATAGGTAGGTTCTTTATGGCCAAGTATAGACCTGCATGTATAGTACAGTGTCTATATTCACAAGCTGTTGTGAGAGGCTCTTCTTGTAGTTGAGGGGTAAAGTGGGACCACGGCAAGGATCGTCAGGTCATAGGTGGTGACGTAAATAATTAGGGGGGGCATCGGTCCGGGGGGGTGTACCTCTACATTGATACCTATGGGAATAAGCTTATGGCTTACATATTGCTACAAGCTGCAACAGGATCCCATGTCCATTTACTCTTTTCTGCGTGCATAAGAGTATACCGTGTACACCATGTACTCAATACTCAGGTACTTAGACAACAACAATTAACATCAATGAGAGAGCTCTCAGCTCCCACGTTTCTACAAGGTAATAATGATCGGATGCGCGTCATCGGAAGCTTCAGAAGAAATCTATGAATTACATAAGTATATCTACTAAAGTATCCTGGTATATTTATGTTGCATCATATATTTATCTTCTCATTGGTTGAATGCCTAGAACGTGTCTTCGTCAGGAACCAACACGGGGGGAATACGGGGTGCCCTGGAGGTACTGGGTAAGGGGCGAAAGGCGTACATGTATGCAATGGACTTGTCACACGGCAGAGAAAAGGTACCTAGCTCCTACCTAGCCTGCCTAGCCCACCAAAAATAAGGCGATGCTATGCGTCGGGGCAAGGCAAGAGCAGGCAAGGGGTTGAGGGGTTCATGGGGGGTTACAAGCCAATACAAGGCAACTACTAGGGAGTTAGGAAGTCACTATTCAGCTTTTTAATGTATGATACGCAGTAAAGCGTGCAGAAGCGTGGCGGTTACACAGGGGACCCGACCACCTTAATTGCGGGGCCGGAACAGCCGTGGCTCATTTCCTCCCATTTCTTCGTGGCTTCTTGCCCCTTGATTTGTTCTTCCTCCTTCAACATCCCACTCTCATACTAAGAGTTTAGTCCCAACTTGCAGTAATTTATGACAGAACGTTTCTGAATTCTTTCTAATCTCTTGATCTTTCTAAACTTCGGAGGCCACTTAATTGGTAACCCGAACTACCGTACCTTGCTGCCGCGGATACACAAAAGCCCCGTATACCACCTTTTCCTAGCCCGTCCTTTTCCTCGGACCCTGTTTTTCCCAGGATGGCCACCGTGAGAAAACTGCAGCTTGCTGTCGAACCCCCTTAGGCCCGCGAACATGTACCTGGTGGCTTTGTCACTGGGGCCGACCGAATTTGGAATGGGGCAACCCTTTAGCCCCAATTGACATCACCATTATTATCCTGGTGCCCGGGTCAGCGAGTGAGAGACAGAGAAAGTGTGTGTGGTCTCACAGTTAGGTTTGTTAAGCTTCTCATCGCGCAATACGCTTCATACTAGGTATAAGTAGGTATATACTTTGTACTATAACTCCGGATTCTTAATCTTCGTGTCCATCCCAGTTAGATACCTAACGGTATATATCATCCACGATTTCCTCACCCCTGCCAAGCTGGCAGAATCTTAGCAAATACCCTTTTCTTGTGTATAGTAGGCATTTTTATCTTCAGCAGCCATGCCATCTGTTGTCGAATCGCCATATGAACCCCAGTTTCCCATCCCGCAAGCAAAATTGGAAAGGGGAGCTAGTAAAACTGCGGGACAATCACCCAACGTCGATATCATCGACATCCGGCAAGCTGCCGTTGAGATAAATCTCAAGGAAGAAATCCACAAACAACTCCGCCCTCAGGAAGGTCCACGGAAACTGCCGACCCTGTTAGTCTATGATGAGAAGGGCCTACAGTTGTTCGAAGAGGTTTGAGAGGAGGATAGTCTCTGTCAGTACACAATGCTGACCGATGTTTCCAGATTACTTATCTGGAAGAGTACTATTTGACAAACTATGAGATTCAAGTCCTACGGCGTTCGGCTGCTTCCATTGCTAAGGCAATCCCGTCTGGATCCCTGGTGCTCGAGTTGGGCAGCGGGTGAGTTATAGTACCATCTCTTGTAACTTAGGGACGATTGATTGACCGTCCCGGCTAGTAACTTAAGGAAGGTGTCTCTTCTACTTCAAGCCCTTGACGACGCCGGAAAAAGGATCGACTATTATGCTCTTGATTTGTCAAAAGATGAGTTGTCGAGGACTCTGGCTCAGGTTCCAAACTTCCGTCACGTCCAATGTCACGGACTATTGGGAACATACGATGATGGCCGTGAATGGTTAAAGAATCCGCAGATCTCTGACCGACGCAAGTGTGTCCTGTCCCTCGGGTCTAGTATTGGTACGAGCTCGAAGTATATGTAGATACCATATTCATATCGTTTGGAATTGACCAGCCTAAATAGGTAACTTCCACCGGGACGAGGCCGCCTCGTTCTTGAAAAGGTTCGCCGATGTTCTCCAGCCAGCGGATAGCTTCCTGATTGGATTGGATTCCTGCACAGATCCATCCAAGGTCTAGTAAGTAATGAAACACCCCGTTTCATCCTCTTCCAGAGCCATATCCGGCCACTAACACCCAATAATAGTCACGCATACAACGGTTAGTATTATCAAAATTTACATTGACTTCTACTGAACTCGGCATATCGCCTCTAAGACAGACACGGTATCACACACAGGTCAGTTAATAATGACGCCATGCATACGTCCTACATATATCGGCTGCTTATCTCTATGCTAACTGGTCAAGGTTCATCCTTAATGGACTCCTCCATGCAAATCAAATCCTCGGACATAAGGAATTCAACCTAGACGACTGGCAAGTTATCGGCGAATACGTCTACGATAACGAAGGAGGGCGCCACCAAGCCTTCTATTCCCCAATCCGTGATACTGTCGTACTGGGAGAAACCATCAAAGCTCAGGAGCGTGTCCAAGTCGAACAGAGCCTGAAATACTCGAAAGAAGGCTGCAGTAATTTGTGGAGATCGGCGGGCATGATCGAAGCTGACCGTTGGATGACCGCAGATGAAGATTACGGTGAGTGGTCCACGAATCTTTTGTCTAACCCCGAGATTATGGGGCCTGTCTCACTTGCCCGCCATCCTATTCCGCGACTGGGTCGGGGTAGGCCTACCTATCCAGGGGCATAGCATTACAGTATGCCGTTCACGTGAGGCCAGTCAGGAGACCTCGTCCGCCTTGATCGAGTTGTACCTGTACTATCCTTGCGTCTATCAATAGTGGCTTTAAATGCGGGGCGGCCCTAGTCTTCTTAGCTTCTCGAATAGTCCCCAGTCCAAGCTTGAGGTTACCTACCTAAGCTAACACTTCACAGGACTTCATCTTCTAACCAAGCCGAACATGTCTTTCAGTCCAAACCCTTCCGTCTACGTTCGTTCTCATATCCCCTCTCTGACTGACTTCGAGAGTCTATGGGCAACATGGGATATCGTCACGAGACGAATGCTTCCAAGCGAGGAGCTACTAGACAAGCCGATCAAGCTTCGGAATGTCTGCCTTTTCTACCTTGGTCACATTCCTACATTCCTTGACATCCAATTAACAAAGACTACCAAGAACCCCCCTACAGAACCAGCTTTCTACTCCTCCATCTTTGAGAGAGGGATAGACCCGGACGTTGACAATCCTGAGCATTGTCATAAGCATTCGGAAATTCCGGAAGAATGGCCTTCCGTCGAGGACGTAATAGAATACCAGGGACGTGTGAGGAACAGGCTAAAAAGCATCTACTCCATAGGTTTGGACAACGTCCCTAGAAATATCGGAAGAGCCATCTGGGTTGGCTTCGAACATGAAATCATGCACCTAGAGACTTTGCTATATATGATGTTGCAAAGTGATAAGACTCTTCCACCACCCCATACCAAGCGCCCAAATTTTGAAGCCCTAGCTCAAGGGGCGTATGCTGCAAGGGTTGAAAATGAATGGTTCAACATACCTGAGCAGGAGATCACAATAGGTCTCGACGACCCAGAAGATGTGTTAGACTCCACTAAACACTTTGGATGGTTCGTCACATCAGTTCACCTTGATTCATCGAATTTACTAACCAGACTGTAGGGATAACGAAAAACCGCCTAGGCGCGTACAGGTTCATGGCTTCCAGGCTAAGGGGAGGCCTATCACGAACGAGGAGGTAAGATTAACCACTACCCGAGTCAGAATAGCTCTAATTACTTTTAGTACGCGTTATATATGTACAATACGAAGACAACAACACCACCTGCTTCTTGGGCTGAGCAACCTAATCATACTAATAGCTCAAATGGCCAAACGAATGGTGGCTCCGGAGAAGTAGACGACAAACAAGCTATTCCACCAGCATTCCTAGAAGGCAAGGCTGTGCGTACCGTCTACGGATTGGTGCCGCTGAAACATGCGCTTGATTGGCCAGTATTCGCTTCTTATGATGAACTTTCTGGGTGTGCTGCTTGGCTAGGTGGCCGGATTCCCACGTTCGAAGAAGCTCGGAGTATCTACTCATACGTTGACAACCAGAAGAGAAAGGAAGTAGAGCGAAAGTTAGGCAAAACCGTTCCAGCAGTCAACGCGTAAGTTTTCCCGCGACAAAAAAAAATAGAGTAAAATGCCCTAGCTTACCTCAGAGAACATATAGTCACCTAGTTAACGATGGCGTTGAGGAAACCCCACCGTTAGAACCCCCACGTGACGTCAATGGCGGTTCGTCTGGAAACGACGAGTTATTCATTGACCTCACCGATGCCAATGTCGGTTTCCGTCATTGGCACCCTGTTGCCGTGACTTCTCACGGCAACCGCCTAGCCGGCCAGGCCGAGATGGGAGGCGTGTGGGAATGGACCAGCTCCCCGCTTAGACCGCATGAAGGTTTCCAGCCCATGGCCTTGTACCCGGCATACACCGGTATGATACCTTATTAATTATTATCTGGATAGTTTACTAATACTGTGCACTTTAGTCGACTTCTTCGATGAAAAGCACAATATTGTCCTCGGTGGTTCCTGGTCCACTCACCCCCGTATTGCGGGAAGGAAGACTTTGTGAGTTACAACTGCTCCTATTTTCTTCCGCGAATACTATTCCTATGCGCGGCGCCTCGCATAATACCACATTTTCTAACGAACGTATTTATAGCGTCAATTGGTATCAACGAAACTACCTATACGCCTGGGTCGGCGCGAGGCTCGTTCGCGATCTATAGGTGTTGAAGAGACGGACTAATTCATTAACTCGCCAAATGATCATAAACGCCAACGGGCTTCTTTCAATCACCGCCAATAATATAAGATCGTGGTTCCCGCTACGAAACACAGGAATTTAATACATAACACCCCAAGATTCAATCTCGGTTCCCAACAACTGAATTGTCTCGATTAACACGCGCAGCGGGGTTTTGCGGCTGCGGCCAGGGCGAATTCAACTTTAGCCTGGTCGCACGCAATTAATATCTGTGTCTACCTAGTCTAATTCCTCTCATTTTAGGAACGCAACATGAACGAAAATTTGTCCCTTGGCGTGTTCGGAATATGAGTGGCTATCTGCAGATTTTCTCATACATAATCTGTCATATTATGGCTGCATGTTCGTCTCATTGTATTAATCGGCTGGTGGTATATTCAGAATGGCAAAAGCTATTGATTCACTCTCTAAAAGTTACACCATTTTTCATGATGAGATTAAATGTTACAATTTTTATTATTATGTTCATTTTTCTCTTCCCTTCGTGTGAAAGGGAGACATTTTTGCTGTGACTTGTGTAGCTAGAGCTAGCTGCTTATTGCTATACTACCCGAGCGCCTAGGGACCCTCGTTATAGTTGGTGTAGCATGAATATGTTTCAATGCCATAGATGCAACTGAACATCCTCAAACGAAGCATGCGCCAGGGGATCCTATGGCATCGAGTTCATCGACTTTGTATACCATTGGTAGCAGTCAGTAGGTAACAAAGCCAATTCAGCAACACCCTTAACCGTATTTGCTCGTGCAATCAACCGTAACGAGAGTCGCGCCAAGTTCTGTATAATATGTACAGGCTCTCATGGCGCGAACGGCCAAAGTGGTACCGGGTTCATTGAAGATTTGTCGCCTGGGTAATGTATGAAACTCAGTACATCAGATCTATAATCTGCTTAGCCACATCCGTTGGTGTGAGGACGCCGTTATCCGAAAGGAAGGATGAAATATATTCCGGTGGCTGCATCACATTATTAGCAATTGGAGCATGTTATGAATAAGAAGACTCTTAAACATACCGTATAGTCCACCGGATCCTCAATGGGATGTTTTGGACGATCATTCTTTATCTCTTCCTCATGAGGCTTTTTCGCGTGGAAATCAAACATATCTTGCTCAAAGCCAAGATCAAATTGATCTAGAGGGAACGTCTTGCCGAACTTATGTTGCTCCGCAGCAACGAAGAAATCCTTATTTCGCGCCCTAGCAAGTAGTGCCAATTGATACGTCCCCATTCTCGAAATGATTCCGCCGTTTGCCGTCACCGCCTCAGCACCGACTAGTATAATATCGGCCTTCGCCATCGAATACGCAGCCGCAGACTCAGGTATCGTAGCAACCGGCACCCCCTTCGCACGCAGCGCCGCAACCACACGCAGACTCTCGGTCCGTCTCGCCTCATTCACAACATGAATGACCTTAAACCTACGTTTCGCATCGCTATGAATCGCCTCCGCGGCCCTACCCAGCAGCGTTCCCACAACACGCGATCCGCCATGCGTAAGTATGGTGCAATTATCCCTAACATACTCCCTCCCAATCCGCGCAATCTGCTCTCTTGCCTGTTTCGCACGACTCGCAAATAAGCGCCCGTTGCGCATTAAATGCTGCCGTACGACCTCGAAGTTTTCGTGACTGCTAGTCTCTTTCCCGTCGGGGCCTGGCTGCTTAAGCGACAGGACTAAATACTGTTGGAAGAGATCGGTGCCGTGGGTTAGGGCGATTGGGTTGCGTACTGCTTTGCGCAGGGCCTCCGATTGCGCCTTGATGAGGTCCATAGTCTCGAACACGGTTTTGGCGGAGGTTTGGCTTAAGGCTTCGATTAGGGCTTCGATTGCTGCGACGGGCATGGTGAGTTCGGGGTCGTCGGATAGGAGTTTGTTGTAGGTGCTGACGATGCTGTGGGTAGGGGTTTGGGGTTAGTCATTGTTGTTCTGATATTTATTGGTAAACAATGTAAAAGTAAACAGAAGTAATGGCATACTCGAAGGACTCAAGGTCCGGGTTGCTGCGAACGGGCAGCTCCCGCTGGTTTTGGGCGATGGTCGCCATCGCTGCGGTATCGTAGTTGAGTTTCTCTATTGCGAAAGATTGGATTGGCTTGAGAAGGAATGAACAACCAGAAGTAACGCGTTTATACCAGGTAGATAAATAGGAGGTCCAATTTATGGATTAAATGAACAACAAAGTTATGACGGCTTGAACTTTTCGCAGAGCTACGTGTGAGTCAAATCGCGGGGCACGTCACCACGATAGTTCGATAAACTTTATCTAGGGTGCGGCTAATCGCATGGGTGTGGTTGTATCCACTTTTACCCTGGCAGATAAGGGTCCCTAAAGAGATCTAGATTCCAGGCCTATGATTTCTACCTTTTACATCGTCATTATCTCAATGGATGACTTTATTCTTAATAGTACTTCCCATAAGTTTAACCTTAAGCAAAAAATTAGGCTAGACTTACTTGATTCCCCCAGTGGCATCTTTCGTGCCATCTCAGCATTAATCAACCCTCAAATGAAGTTGCCTTCCAACACCTACGATATGAACATTTCTGTGGCATCGTATATATAGCTCTAGGTGCTACCACACCGATGAACAATAATATTATTTACCGAATACTATAAGATAGGTAAAATCACAGTCTGAACTCATAAAATCCAAGGTAGTTTGTATCGTTGAATGGTTGTTCTTTCCTCTCGTGGCAGCTAAAACAGAGCAAGAAACGGAAAGAGTGTATACCTCTACCGAGTACTCTATCGACATGTAAAAGCAAAACCACTCCAACCAGATACTTTACCTTTTTAGATTTCTTCAATTTTCACCATCTTTATACCATGCATTCTTTCAAGGCGCAGCGAATGTCTAGTTCTTTGAGCATATACAGGTCCAACTCTCGCTTATAATCTAACATTCATTAATATCTTACCTTTACTACGAATAGATCACTTACTTTCACAATGGTCAAAATACAAATCGTATCCGACCTTCACCTAGAAATGGACTGGGGCTACGACACCTACAGCATTCCCCCACAAGCACCAATCCTCGCTCTCCTCGGCGACATCGGCAGCCTAATCCCTCCTCACAGGCAGAAATACATCAACTTCATCGAGCGCCACCTCGCAAAATTCCAAATCGTAATCCTCGTCCTCGGCATACAAGAAGCCAACGGACTCTCCTAGGCCGACGTCCGAACCTGTCTATGCCAATACGAGTACCAAACACTCATGCGAGCCAAAGAACGAGACTCAACTCTCGGGCGCTTCATGCTTCTCGACAGCGACCGACTCGACATCCCCGGTGAAAACGTGACACTCCTAGGTACTACGCTCTTCACCACCGCGCCTCCGGACCATCGATTTGATATTTTCGACTACTACTACGACACCATCGTCGACATCGAGAATTGGGACGGACACCAGCACATCGCAGCCCACCACGACGCGGTAAAATGGCTCTCGGACACCGTCGCAGAGATCCGAGTCGAGGACCCGGAGCGCGTGGTTGCGATTCTAACGCACCATTCCCCCTCGCAGCGATTTCGTGCTTTGGGGTACCTCGCAGGCGAGGATCAGGATGGGATTACGCTACGGTGGAGCAGCGATATGTCGGTACATCCCGTGTGGTATATGGACAATATCAAGCTCTGGGCTTTCGGGTGCACGGGGTATAATTGTGATTACGTAGATGAAGCGACGAAGACGCGTATATATTCCAACCAGCGGGGACGCTTCCGCGAATGTAGCGATTTTGGGTTGTGGAAGGTTGTTGATGTTGCTCCGATGAATCCTAGGCCCCCACTCGAGGAGTTGAAAAGGACGATTGAGAGGGATAGGGCTGAGGATGGAGATGATGAGGATTCGTCTGATATTGATGATTTGCTGGACCCTATGGAAGAGGATACACCGGAAGAAGATGCGGAAGAGGAAGAGGAAGAAGAAAGAGGACGCAGCAGAACAAGACGAGGATGGAGGTGATGAAGTAGAGGGCTCAGATCTTTCAAATTAGCGACTCGGTTTTTTTACATTGGCATTCTGGAAGTTTAGCGACAGTAATGTCTAAGGCTGTTAGGCGTTAAAGTATTGATAGGCACTTCCTATCATTGGTTTGAAAAAAGTGGTAAACAATCCAGCTAATAATAGCTTAGCGACGCATAGGTTTAGAAATGGAAATAGAACAGTATTAACACCATTCTTGGAGCAAAATTTGCATTGAAAAATAGGTAGGGGGCTGAGTTATGGTGGGTGTTGGGATTTTGTCAGACGATCACATTCCTTTCTGGTTGGGAAGGGGTTGTTACATAGGTACTTGTATCCCGATAATAAAAATTTGGTCCGACGGTACAAGATCAATATAGTTTCATGCTGAGACTACGGGTAACTATAGCCGTAAGGATTGATGATGATATTTTAGTCCTTATTACTCACATACTCATTAATTTCATTCAGCAGTTAAGTAGGTAGTTAGCAATAACGAGTAAAGTTCATAAAATTTGCATTATTCGTTGACTTGTGGTATCTTTCGCTGTAGAATAGAGCAAAACCTACGGAGACGTTTTCTTCGTTGCAGGTCATTATAGAGCTTAGTATGAAGTACAACTAGAGATAGCCATCTCCGGCTTCTAATGTGATGATATGACTTTCGACTTGAGTACAAGCGGCGGTAGGAGGGGTTGCTCGAAGAATTCTTCTTTCGTTTCGTCGATCGTGTAATTAGTGCCGACCTCGTAGAAGAACGATTCCTTGACGTCGGATAGTAGACGACAAAGTGCCATTATGTCGCCTGTCGGATCGACTAACCCTATGTCTTCATGATCTTCGTGGATGTGATGAGGGTGGTGAATATCGTAAGTGTCGTGTTCCGCCGAGGTGTCACCGTCTAATACCAAGTAGACCTCCTTCGCTTTTGGAAAACTATGCATTAGGGCGTATTTGTTGTAGGTTTCCCATGGTCGTCTAATATCAGGCCTAACGTAGTCGATTGCGAGGTTGACAATATCATCAGTGCCCGGGACAAGTTCCGTAAATGATCGTAAGGCATCATCATAGCCCATGAAGGGAGGACGGGGTAGGTAAAGAGTATCTAGTTCATGGCAGAAGTATATCCTTGGTTCGTGGGACTGGGTACCAAAGGATGGCTTGTATATCCTCAAGGCTTCAAATCGTGACTCTCGGCAAACATGAAGGACGGCTGGAGGGGCTGTCAACGTTGTACATCGGTCTTCTTGATTGTCATATGAGACTTCGACGACTCTTGGATGGCAGGTGTGTCGCCATATGTGAAGCCTCAACTCGGTAGGCAACAAAGAGAAAAGAGTGAAAGAAGTATAGTCCTCCATGGCCAATGGTCTTACACGAGAAGGGAAGAGTGGACCGAGGGCGAGACAGTCGCAAGTTAAATCAAAGGAAGACCACGAGAACATAAGAAGTGAAGTTGGAAAATCGTGAAAGGCTGACTCAGGCATGTATGTATGAAGAACAAAGGCCAAGCCTACGAGGAAGAAATCCCCGTCTTTCATCTAAAGGGAGAGCCCACACTGTCCACACTTGGTCCATACTAAATCACTAAAAAGGAACTACGTATAGTGAAGAGGGATGGTCCCTGTTTGTGTTGCCCTGTGATGCATTTCCCGTACTGGCCATGACTCTGGATTGGGTAACAAGGTCTTGTACCACGAAAACGCCAAGGAAGAAGATCGTCCGGGCACATCTGCGAGACGAGTCGCCAAGATGATGATCGATAATTTTCCTATCAGCCAGGCCCAGGCCGTTACACGAACCCGACACAAATCAGAAGTGACTAGTTGGTCCGGCGGATAGGCCAAGTGAGGCAGCTCACTTAAGCTCCATCAACGTGGTAATGCGTAATGAATTAAAAACAGCGAATGTACCTGGGGGTTTCCCGGGATGACGCGAGAAGTATAAGCGATTATGGTATATTTGCCGAGATGCAAAGGCGACGTAGAAGATTATAGCCGCCCGTGAACTTCCTAGTGGCAAGTAGTGGCAGAAGCAAAAGTTGGAGAGACCACAAGCATTGACGACGCCTAATAAGTGATAATAATTTGACTGATGTACTGTATGAATTTGTTGTATGTGGTACATACACACATGTACGTATAATGAATGAATGTTTGTATGTTGTACCTATTAGCATGTGTTAGGTTAATGAAAATCTTATAATGAAACGTGAATAAGAAAGGAACAAAAGAAAAAAAAAATCATAAGAAAAAAAAGGCCAGAACCATCTTATTCGTATCGTAGCGTCTCATTCGACAAAGAAAGAAAGGGCGGGTGGACTGGTCTCGAGTCCCCTTTCCCAGCAATGTAAGGAAATCGTATGATTTTGGCGGATTTTCGAGGAAGGAGGCAGACAAAAAATTGCTTCCCCATGTCCCAAAAGGTTGAACAGGTAGAATAGGTTGAATTGATAGAGCCGCGTCGTTGGTACTTTACGCCCGAACGTTCCCGAATTCGGAACGGCTTACAGGGCCTGTCAGGCCACAAACCCACTATTTTTTTACTCCGTGATGGGGGCGCAAGGCTTCTGGAAAGGGCTGAGCGGGCGCTAACTACAGTACATCCTTACTAAGTACTAAGGTATGTGGTCTTGTCTTATTACATGTATTTTTGGTTTGCCTGCCGACATTTGAGGAAATGAAATCATTACGGCCTAACTGCCTAACAATTTCTTTTTTTTCTACCTTTCTTTTTTTAATGATCATATGAAAATTCCACCTATCAAATGACTTAAAAATTCTATATAATACAATCTCAATATTCATAATGCTATATGACAAGAAAAGGCTTGGTAATAAAATTTTATGAGATGCGATAGGTTAGCCACACGAATAAACGGACCACTCTTAGTTGTGAAGTCCAGCCCAAGCCCACCTAAAATTAAGCAGCTCTTCGAATAAGCGGACAAGGTTGAAAATGGAACACAATTTACGAGTGAAAAATTCCTTCCTCAAGCAACTCGTCAAACTTAATTAACTTCCTTATGCAGCCTCATGCACATATCACCCCAGTTTCCTTTTTATGACTCCACTTACTAAAAACATCGTGGAAGTCAGGGACGATTGATGAACATTTGATACACCTCGGTACCTACCTTCTTACTAACCCCTATGACGTAGCAATTCTACCAGTAATTGCATGTGAGTGAACAGGGTCAATCCAATTTCGATACATACATACGAATCGATCCTTGTCCGTTTGTTTAGAAGAATGGCTTCCGTAATAGCCTCTTCATCTTCACCTGCTCTCACTTTTGATCTCATCGCAAGGTGTTCCGTAAGTTCGCATAGAATTTCCCCCTCATCTCACCCCATCACACAAAAAAGTCTTACCCGTTGTAATCAAAAATCCCAAAGGATTTTAGTCTAACAATCAGTCATCTCAGACTACACGAGCACGTGCTTCTACCCTAACCCTTCCTCATGGACCGGTTCAGCTTCCGATGTTCATGCCCGTGGCGACACAAGCCTCATTAAAAGGTTTGACGCCAGAACAATTGGAAGAGACAGGATGTCGGTTGTGTTTAAATAACACCTATCATCTGGGCTTAAAGCCTAGGCAGGAGGTTCTTGCTGCGATTGGAGGGGCGCATAAGTTACAAGGATGGAACTATAACCTACTTACGGATAGCGGAGGGTATGAAGCATCCCAGTAGTTATGATGATTCAATAGGCTATGTCGGAATGTGAACGACTGACTTACTTTGAGTAGCTTCCAAATGGTTAGCCTGCTTAAGCTTGCCAATATCACGGAAGAGGGTGTCAGGTTTTTAAGCCCCCACGATGGCACTCCGATGCTTCTCACACCGGAGCATTCCATATCACTACAAAATACTATCGGCAGTGACATCATGATGCAGCTAGACGATGTATTGGTCACAACTTCGCCAGACTACGTACGAATGCGAGAGGCCATGGAGCGCAGTGTTCGGTGGCTGGACCGGTGTATTGTGGCGCACAAAAACCCCACCACCCAGAACCTTTTCTGCATTATCCAAGGCGGGCTGGACCTCGACATGCGTCAGGAGTGCTGCAGGGAAATGGTCGCTCGAGATACTCCGGGTATCGCTATCGGTGGGCTCAGTGGCGGTGAAGCAAAGGAGGACTACTGTCGCGTAGTAGTGACTTGCACTGAACTTCTACCAGAGCTAAAGCCACGTTATGTGATGGGAATTGGCTATCCTGAGGACCTGGTCGTTAGTGTAGCTCTCGGAGCCGACATGTTCGACTGTGTGTGGCCGACACGCACAGCCCGGTTTGGAAATGCGATTACGAAACATGGCGTTCTAAACCTCCGCAACGCGAAATATGCCAATGATTTCGGGCCTATAGAAGAGGGTTGCGGGTGCATGTGCTGTCGCAGAGATGGTATGTGTATTACTCGTGCCTTCGTTCATCACAACACAGCTAAGGAGACCGTCGCTGCGCATCTCCTTACTATGCATAATGTGTGGTACCAACTCGACCTGATGAGAGGGGTTAGGGCTGCGATTATCGAGGATAAGTATCCCGCGTTTTTGCGACGATTCTTCGCAAATCTGTATTCAGATAAAGATAAATACCCGAAGTGGGCGGTAGATGCCCTGCGAGGAGTAGGCGTAGATCTATATAGTGAAGATACAGATTGAACCATCCCCCGATTGAGTCACTTAGAGCTGTGGTGTATCCTCAGACACGCTTCGCAACAGATATAACTCGTTCCTCTTTTTTTCAGGTTTACGGCCAATATAAAAGCTCACCCAGTAGATCTAGATCTACAGATCAGCTAGGCAAATCGCATACCATTAACCATAATTCCCTTGTTCAGTCGTATAACGAGATTCAATAATAAGCAATTGATCTCACTTTGTCATTTCATTAGTAAACCTAGCAGCCACGATAAAAATAAGGTTCATTATACAAAATATGAAAAGTTCTTAGTTTTTACTTAAATTATATGCTTAGTATTTTCAAAACAAAACGATCCAAGACATTAAGTCTAGGCTTCACCCAAGCTTCGGTTATCGTGCATCTGCTTTATCATGGTTCAGGGTCCATTTTCAGGATGTTCTAGAACCCCTGATCGACAATGAATACCACCTCGCAAGCTCGGTCAACTACCACCCGTATATATAGATTTCAAACAGCTTGGTAGGAACAAAGGAAGAGGCACTGAAGTTTCGATACTATTTTGAGTGAGAAACAATGATCAATCCGTATGGGTCAATGCGGACCACGGCTCGCCATCCTAGGACTTTGATCTGACTTTGCGGGGAAGTGGAGCACCATGGGCCCCCACACTCGCACTTTACGCACCTTAGAGGTTAAGGTTCCCGGCTCTCCGTCTTGAATCGGGATCCAGGAGCGACAAACTTGCATAATTTTATAACTTAATACGTCAGCTTAGACCTTAAATCCTAGATCCTGCTCGGCTTGCCGTAAGGCAATCGACAATTGCGACCCTTGATCTTTCTTTTCCCGCAGATCCTGTTCTCCTTCCTTTCATCTTAATTATTTAATATCGAGGTTGCCATATATAATTCTCTTCGTCATCATTGCGCGATAATTCCAGCGCATACATACATACATACATTTCGCAGTCCATCCTCGATAACCGGGGGAGCCTTACCTTACACATATTTAATTCCACCCCTCACGCCAAAAACAGAAAGCCAACAGCGGCAACCCGCATCAAACACAATGGCCACCCAAGCAATGTCAGACCTGTCTCTCGACACCCGAGACACGCGCGCGAAAATAAAATCCAAAGCCAAGAAACCCGCCCCAGTAGCCGATTCCTGGGAAGACGAAGACGTAGACGAAGAAGAGCCCTCGTCCAAGGAACCCGATATCGTACTCCCCCCCTCATCTCCATCCGTTGAGAAGAACGGTCTTAAAGTCGACGGTTCGGGATTCAACGCTCCGCCGCCGACGCCGATTTCTCCGTCGGTTTCGTCGACTTCGACGCCGCCTTGGCAGGGCCCGATTTCGCCGATTAGTGAGGAGGGTGGACGGAGGCCGGAGAAGACGGATGCGGTGGCTAGACGGATGATTGCTAGTGCGTTGGGTGTGCGTGCTCCGCGACCTACGGAGGAGCAGCGTGCGTATGATCGTGCGGTTAGGGAGAAGGAGCGGAAGAGGCGTGAGGAGGAGAAAGAGGCTGAGAAGCGGAGGAAGGAGGAAGCGGAACGAGCTAAGGCTGCTATTTGGGAAGATTGATTCGGATCCAGATGCAAAAACCGGTCCTCTATGAGGGGATTCTTCGCGGATACCTGGATGCTTCCAGGGTTACATACTTTACTATACCATAGCAATGCTTGAAATGGTATGGAACGGATGGTCAGGCGGCTTTTGTGCTTCATTTTCGAGAGCAGGTCTGGGTTAGGGACCATGGCAATGCTATCGGATAGCTTGCGACGAGTGGAAATCGGGTAGTTAGGACATATCTCGTATTTCGCAGTTTACATTTATACCGGAGGACGGTTTATATATACATATAGTCTACGATCCTTAGGGTTACCAAAGCTATTAACCGTGTGGAATTCGTGATGACATGTGCATTTGTTGTGGCAATCTGGATGTTACCATGATGCATAATCTTGGGTATCTAACTTCAATGCACGCTGAGCATTCCATAAGCCTCCTCATATTCCGGTCATATAATTTGCAGCTTCAAATCAACCACAACTAAGCTTCACCCGACTCGCCTATAGGTCGTTGGTAAGGCACATACGGCCTCCCCTTCCAAGTCAACGTCAGCCTTTTCTCCTCGCCTCCCTCTTCTTTCCCCTCCCCATTGCCCTCTTTCCGAACAAACTGCACCCCAACACCAACACCCTCAAGCCCCTCCTCTTCCACCTGCGGATTCCACAACATCTGCTCCAGCCGGCCCTCCGGCGAGCAACACACATACCCTAACGGCCTCCTACTCCCTCCTAGCGCATCACGCACGCCCTTAGTCGCGGGTCGCGGAGCAACGAGTAGCGCTAGAAGACCCGGTCCGCGACGGAAACCGGGAGGTCCGCCTGCAAAGGCGCCTTCGAGCTCGCGGACGTGGTGCGGTCCGATTTTGGTCGTGCTGAGGGTCGTGCTCAGTTTGCATTGGATTAGGATGCGTAGGGCCGTCGTGGGGGTTGTCTCTGTAGAGGGAGAGGGCGTGGTGTTAGAGGGGGAAGAAGGGGATGATGCGGCGGGGATATGCCATAACCCCATCAAATCGATCCCCCGGTCGGATTTCCCGCCTATCCGACGTAACTCGAAACCGAGGGTGGTAAGAGCGTTGGCTACGGTGTACTCATACCGCGTGCCGATGTACGTCTTGGATTTCTGGTCTAGGCCGGTGCGCTCTGCGTATGCGGCGTAGGATGCGAGATCATGGTGTTCGCTATGATTAGGAGCTTCGGGGTAGATTATGGGGCGTTTTGGGGTTGTGCTGTAGTGGACATGATGGTGTTTATTATGTCTATGATTGAGATGTCTGAGCAGTCGGCGCCGTGCTGGGCGGTGGGTTAGGATAGACTTCATTCCATTCCTAACTGATTAAATTGAATAGAGATGGGTAATTTCAATGTTTATTTGTTTAGTTACGCTGGGAACTGAAAGTTTATGAAGGTACCTGCTGAGCTCTTGCTTCATGTCGTGCGACTTCAGCACATAATTGTCTTATCGATAAGACGCTGCATGCATCCGACGGGAGGGTGTTCATAAATCAGCCCCACCACCAGCACCCTGACACCTTGCCCAGCTATTCAATTCAGTGAATGCGCTCTTAGCTCTATCCCGTCCAGATTCATCATAAACCACCACATTTTACCAAGCTCATGGGCGCGCAGTCATGGGGGATAGGCTCACCCAACTGCAAGACGCTGTTGATCAGGTTGGTTCCTATGCTATACCAAGCTTCTTTCTCTGCGACAACTAATATTAGATGGTCTAGCTAGCACAACAATTCGTCGCATGCATCCACTACATCAATCGACATCACAACCTCGAGACCCTCGGCCCTGGAGACCAAATCAGAGATGTAAAGCAAGAGCCAGACCAGCAAGAGGGTATGCTATTAGATATACAATAGACATTTTCTTCGGATTATGCTTGCTGACAGGTGATTGTGGGAATTAGTTGACCCTCACACTGAAGATGTCTTCAAAGCGTCGCAAGTCGAACTCGCCCAAGATCTCATCACGAAAGAACAGCAGATCGAGCTACTAATCTCCATATTGCCCGGTCTCGACAACAGCGAACAGGACCAAGAGCGAAATATCAAGGAGTTAGAAGAAGAGCTCAAGGCGGCCGAAGCACAACGACAGGAGGCTATTAAGGAGAAAGAAGATACCATGAAAAAGCTGGACGCGGTTATCCGCAGCATTAGACGCCCTTGATGATTTAGCGAGGAAAATGGAAGTGGGATATTGATACCCTGGTGAGGCGTTATGGACATCAACACGTTTCTCTAAATGCGCTTTCGGCAAAACTAAAATAATGTTGACTTTGGTAATAGATTCTAGACTATAATTGTGGTCTTCTTCTATAATGTTGTGTATGCACGAGTGTCTCTTCCGGCAACGTACCCCCAAAACGCCCCAGCCATGCTCCGAATGCGATGCCGAATTCTATATATCATGCTACTGGTCTGTCTATGATGGATTTGATGACTTGAAGAATTGCGGAAATACGTTTCGCAGCTCCTCCAGATGCCTAATCTGGTATTGAGATGCAGGTGTTTCCGGGACTGGTAGGCCCTCCTCTACGATGTGAACCGACGTCCAGCCAAGGTTCTTTGCGCCGACTATGTTGCCGTATGAGTCGTCTAGATGCAAGTTAGCTACTGCTACAATAGCTTATGTGAGAATGTACCTACCAACAAAATAACAATCTTCAGATCGCTCTACTCCGGCCTCCTTCATCGCTTTAGCAAACATGTCCTTGTGGGGTTTGCAAATGATTGGGATTTCCGAATAATCGCAGTATGTAAGGCCCTCGAACAAGTCGTCGATGCCTAACAATCTGACAACCCTTCGACCATGCGTGACATATGCATTGGTTAAAAGCCATAACTTCACTTTTGAGGCATCGATGTCCTCGAGGAGTTTTCGTAGTTGCGGGTTTGGCTTAATGATTCCTTCTAGGGGTAAGGCGTCATCGACCTTGGCGTTATAATCTAGGGGGTCAATCTGGTGGTGTCGCACTAGCCCCTCAATTGCTAGACCGTAGTTCTTGTAGTATTGGTTATGTAGTTTGATGGCTTCTTCTTCTGGTAGGCCGAGATGTGTCGCAAAGTATCTGTCTATTAAATCTGCCATTAAGTCGTGTACTTTGGCGCCTATACTGGTTGTTAGCATGAAGGGTTCTATTCCTGCGGGGGTTATTAAGACGTACTCCTCGGGTAGAGGCAATTGTCTATGTCGCTATTCGAATTATTAGCACCAATACTCTCATTTACATCAAAACGCCAACTTACAAGAATAAGACAGGCCTGGATGTTGTTGCCCCATTAGGCTCTGTAGTTTGTGATCCCATTGCTTGACGTATGCGTGTAATACGTTATATAAGAGTGGAATTCGTAAAGAGAGATATAAGCCTTGTAGAAATTGGGAAGAATGCGGTGGTTATATGCTCTTTACACCGAATTATGTCCGTATGGAAGTCTCACTACTGAGTAATGTTGGAAGGGCTCGTCAGGAGTTTAAGAGTATGATGGCTGAGTGAATAACGGTCCGTTTAAGCGGTTGACGCGGATGGAGAAGGAATTGAATTGAGAATTGGGAACGTGGTAAAATAGTCTAGTTTGAGTCGTCAAGAAACACTTATAATTACAACCGTGATCCTTGATTACTATGAGACTTAAAAGACTCAGGATGTCGTGATTATATATACTTATTGTCCCTGAAGAATATAGTTCTTCTGAGTAACTATTTATACTAATGCCTCGGGGTTTGATGTCCCCTTTGAATTTCGTAGCTGTTTTTTTGAGTCACCGGCGACTCCAAGCATTTAACTTAGTTTGAATTCGGCGAGGAAATGATGAAGTAATCGGGAATGCGATCCATTCACTTAGTCATATTATAACCTATTGGGTAACGCGGCTAAAATCCGGCCAGAGCTAGTAGATGCCACAGCGCCTGAAATACGGTATATAAGCTAACAAATCAGGCGAGTTTGCAACTGACCCGTTACGGGGTGGTATAGTATAGTGGATAGTACAACACGTTGTGGTTGTCAAATTGACTACATCATGCTGATACCGTGTAGACCTGGGTTCGATTCCCAGTACCGCCAAGGCAATCCTTTTTGCTACTATTTCAGATTTCTTTTTTATTTGCTTGTATCTGCATACACCAACCTCCACAATTAGAAGTGAATGGTAGTATTTTGTTGCGAAGAAGAGGGAATATTGTGATTATATAAGCTACGTTTGATGTACTCACGGAATTTGAAGGCAGGGATTTGAATATTCTAAAATATGGGTCTATCCTGATGCACGGTGCAGCTAGAAGTGTCGTACCTATATGGGTACGTACCACAGTACCCGAAAAAAAAAAAAAAAATAAGATTTTAAGTTCCAACCAAAGCTTCTTCTCAAACCCGCGACACGTCGTCTTCCTTTTCTTTTTCTTCTCCTTTTCTTCATCTTCACACAACACTTGGGAGAGAGTAGCATCAAAATAATTCCCTAATCCTTTCGATGCATACATTTCTTCACATTCAAGTGATTGTATAAAACAAAATATCATTGACTATTTCCATTCTGCTCAAGGTTAATTAGACGCTGGTCTATGGATGGTTTTTCTTCCTCGAGTTGATTCATTGCAAACATGGCTCAAGCTAGCAGTATCACAAGAGGGCCCATACCCTCGGGCTTTCAAGCAGCCGTCCAAAATGGTACACTAACACCCGCAGATCTCGATGAGATCCGCCAGTATCAGAGAATTATCGGATTTCGAGATACAATAGTATCTGGAAAACACACCCGTATTAAGGTCGCCAAGCCTACCATGGTAACTCCTCAACATTCTACTTCCATCGCGGCCGAGCGCGTCGCGCAGCAATCATCATCTACACAGCTGTCGCGAAATCCATCTCATAATCTCAACTCATATCAGGTGGATAATATGCATTCTTACAAAGCCAATTCGCAGCAGCCAGCTGTGACCGTAGCTAGCACAGGTTCTACTACAGCCATTCCAGGTGTTCCAAGACCTTTGAATTCTGCTAGAACAGACTTCTATCCTGCTTTACATGGCAAGCCTGGAAAGGCAGAGCCTCTGTCAAAGAGACAGAAGCTTGAACAGGATCTCAAAGAACAGCTCGAGCAACGAAAGGCTTCCCAACTGCCCCCTGAACAGATGCTTGATTTAGACCTCTCTGATATTTTGGCAAAAGCACTGACTCTTGTACAAGCTACGGCTCCTCTATCCACAGCTGGTACTCCTAACGCTGGTAGTGTCGCCGATTCGAGTGATTCTTTCGATAACAATACTTTTTACTCTAGCCCACATGAAACGCCCGACACGCGTGCCTCGCCCAGAGTTCAGAATATTTCACGTCAAGACGTACAGATGCAAGATGCAACTACCTCCGCACCCCGGCAGCCAACATACCTTCCGCAGCAGCCACAAAGCCCCCTACCTATTCAATCAGCGGCGTCGGTGTACCAAACGAGACTTAATCGTAGCGCGCTGTCGATGCAGGTCGCGAGTAGTTCTCAGCAGCAGCCAAGCACCGGAGGCTTAGCTACGTCAGTCCAAAACCATACAACCCATACTACTACAAGGACTAGACGTGAAGGGGGTCTAATAACGCAGTCGCATCAGGCACGTCGCATAGACGCACAGGTTATCAGCTCAGATAGTGGTGCTGCTAGTAGATCCGATAATTCTGGCAATACGGATTCGGACCAGCCTGCTGACCACAGCCGTATTCAGAGTCACCACCAATTGCTTCCTGCAGCTCGCTTCAGACCTCGGGAATCCCCTTTGATTCGCGCTCATGACCTTTCACCATTCGCACCCCAACCTACCCATGTGTCGCCGTTGACTACAGATCAACGACCCCCTATACCTGAGCCTGAGCTAAGTATTCTACCCGGTGCACCCGCACAAGTTACGGCTCTACGACAAGAGCATGGACCAGTGACTAGCCCAGAAAGCTCGCCTCAAGGAGATAAAGGCGGCAAGAGGAAAAATAATAATAAGCGAAAGAAGCCACAGAAGAAGGCTGAACCGAAAGGACCAGATGCCCCTGGATCGCCTTATATCAAGCCCGAGCCTCGGTCACCCTCGCCCCTATCGGCGCCTCACTTTGTTCAACCTCGGAAGCGGCTCCGATCATCTACTCGGAACGAACAAGAGCTCGTATACGACGAGCCACGAATCGAACGGCCGGTCTCAATACTCCATCGTGAACCATATGCTGCTACACACGTGCAATCCGAGAGATCGCCTTATGGATTTGAAAGAGTAGACGATCCATACGCACGACAAGTACGTCAGTCTGTTGCTCCTACAAGTCAGAGGTTAGAACGTGCTATATATGAAGAACGACGCCCGGATGGAACAGCAGTGCAATACGTTCAACGGGTCCAATCTCCTTACGGTTATACAGCTCCTTTTGGTGCAGTGGAGTCGCGTGCTCTACGCGCAGCGAGTTATTCAGTAAATCCACAGTATAGAGAGGTTCCTACTTATCAGCGTGATGGTCGGATGAGTGTACGACCTTACGCCGATCGTGCTAGATCGCGATCTCCTGTTCTTGTTGAGAGACGCTCGCCCGCAATGGCACCCCCTGCACCCCCTCGTGTTATAGTCGACCAGTATGGTCGCGAGTATCTTGAGCCTACTCGTACCAGCGCTATTACTCGCCAACCGGCTATACCGGCCCCGAGATCGAATGAGCGTGAGGTTATCTACGAACGAGTACCGGTACGTGCTCCATCACGCATCGCTGGAGACACATTTGAGGAAGATGGAGTTATCTACCGACGTGCATCACCCGCATATGCTCCTCGACGCGTCATCACGCAGCCGGAATACGGCACCGATTACAGGCGCTATCGTGAGCGTGACTATTCTATGCAACCCATAGGCGCACCGAGTCAAGAATTCATCCCAGTTGGAGGAATTGCGGGAGAACGGGGTCCCAACGAGCTTTCACGTGAATACCTATCTAGGGCGGCAAGTGTTCGGCCAGCAGAAGCCGTTCCATATTACCATGGTCTGGGAGCCGCACGCCCCGAGGCACCCCCAAGACAATACGCAGTCAGTGTTCACCCCGAGGTAAGAAGGGAGGCGGCTCCGGTTATTCGAGAGTTTAGTGTCAGGCCAACGGAACATGATGTGACCAGGCGTGAGTTTAGTGTCCGACCAGTAGAACGCTTCTATGACAGACCTATTGCGCATGCCGAGGAGGAAGTCGCTTACATCGAGCGACCTCGAGCGGCGCCACAGGATATCATGTACGCCGACAACAGTCGAAGGCAAGTCTACCAGTAAGCGTATACGGTGCTGTCGAAGACGATGCACACTAGAGGTTAATAGTGTGAGGGGGTGTTAGTGGAGGTGATTTATTCTGATTATGGCTGGCCTCGTAATCGACGGTTGGGGATGAAAAGTTGGCGAAATTCGCCATGACCGTGAAGGGTGTATATGAAATACCAAGCAGAATATGAATCTGCAGGACAATGGCCATTGAGGGGCGTTCTAGGAGTATTCTAAGGGGACAAGTGGTTTGGGCTCGGAAAAGGTTGTAGGGACCTTACTGGACGAATCGTGATGCACTCTGGTACCTAACAAGTCACTACATAATTTGCGTGTGGATTTTAATAAAGTCGCCGAAAAATAATCTACATTGGACCCTAATGATATTTAATTCTATATGAAAAGAACCCTGATCTGTATAGAGGCAAATGTATCACTTGAGCAAGGGAGGAGAATAGGAGTGGGAGTATTCATGCATGTTATTGTAACCATATCTTTCCTGTCACTTTTGATTTTGGTTGCAAAAATGTGTTAGCCGAGAGAGGGTCGGCAGACAAGGTGTTTGATGGTTGGAGAAGATATTGCCTAATAAGATCTAACGGGTTCTACATACCCAAACCATCTATAGCGACGAGCTGTTTCTTTGTTTCTCAAAGTTGTGTTTTTTCTTCTTTTCCTTTTCCGTAGGCTTATCAATCCATACCTTACTTACCGAATAACCAAAACATAAAACATAGCCCCAAAATAGTATCACCTAAAACGAAAGCGGTTCGGGAATCGGAACCTGTAGTTTTCTGTAAATAGGGGTTCCCAGCCCTACATGTATAAGCCTATCCCACTACCGGTCCCTCGGCAGCCATCCACTACAAAGGCAAGACGCGCGGCCCCGGGATGCTCCCCTACAATATTAGTAGACGATCACGAGGAATTTTACGAAAGTTGGCTAAAACCAGGAGAGTATTTCCAAATTACGAGTCAATATTTCAATATTTCGATATATATAAGAACGTCCCATGGCCTATTGTTATCTGTACTTGAGAGCTGTTGATGTATAATGTCAACTCAGGTACACAATAAAGAACAAGTGGTGCTGCTTATGCTTATTGTTGGTATGTAGCATCCATTATCTGTATTCGATTTAGAGAGACAAACTAGCCTTGAATTATTCCTCGGAAAACTCGAGAAGGAATCTACAAATTCCAAGCTTTCTATACGAATTCTAAATGGCAACCTGAATACATAATAGACAATAGAAGGTAAACTTATCTAAATGTAGTAAAGACCAGATACGTGTTAAGCTCTGTTTTAATAACAACCCGCGGGGAGTTAATAAAGGGATGAAGAGCACAGCGGGAGATCTGCCAGCTCAGATATCCCAATGTACCTGTAGTATATGTATTATATACTAATACCCACCACATACATATATGTATACATAACACATGTACATATGTACGTGCCGTAATTTTCGTCTGATGCTTTATCGGTTCGAATTTCTCATTTACTCGGATTGCGAACCATACATGTTTCATTATTAGGTATATTTGTACCCGTCCATGTGAAAGAGAAAAGAAGAGACAAAGACAAAGAAGAGGGAAAAAACGCGTTTAGTGTCCCTGTACCGTACTTGATCAGCAGTGGTCCCGTGTACCGTGGCTATGTCTGTTTGGCATGCACCTCGAATGGATAGACTGACAGATATGAAATTTGATAATTCATATCCCTGTATACCTTAATCCTTGGGTTCGTGTTGCCCCCGTTCGAAACCCTGAAAGACAAGATTGGACTAGATGTTGCACGGACGAAAAAAAAAAAAAACATATATCGAGGTTTTTCTTTCATACATAACAGACGGTCTGATCTTCGAGGGTTTGATATAAAACAAGGAATGAGACAAATACCTGTATACCTATACTTTTACTTAGAGGCTATGTACTTGATAAACGCCTTTAGATTTTGCAATTTTACACATTTAAAGATAGATTATCTAAATGTCGGTAGACCCGAGTAAGATGTGTGTGTGTTCATGTAGTTGGGAATCCTGCTTAGGGGATATCATGCAGGTGAGAGAGATAGGAGTTCAATACTAATCAGTAGTAATATGCCTTAACAGGACACCTAGAACTTATTCGAGTACAGTACAGACGGTACAGTACCTCCTGACTTACATGTGTACCTACTATAGATGCACCGCAATTAAACTTCCAAGTCAACAGAAGCATATAACACAAAAAGAATATTGAGCATTAAGCTAAAGACTTTATTTTCAAGTACCTAAGTACTCGAAACCATTATCTTCAACATGAATTAAATCTAATTTACAAAGTAAAATCGTACTTAAGCATCCAAGCCTACATAGGATTGTAGGTGAATCTCACAGCTAATGATGACGCGAGAAAGTAGAACAAAATCAGATTTGCATCTATAATCTCAAGTACCTTTACCCATAACAATACTTGGAGGCCTATCTTTATTCAGGTAGACCGTTGGATAGGGCCAACTTAAATTTGCGGCAATAACTGTCCCACCTGACCAAGTTGGTGATAGTCGCGAAGTACCTAGGTACTATACATGCGAATCGATAACCTGACACTGCCCGCTGCCCACTACCTAGGTACCTACAGTTTGCGTTAACAGGTATTTTGCAGGACTCCAGTCTCCGGTGGCCCCCACTAGCGCTGGAATGAGAGTTTGGACCGTCCCCCAACCGCGCTAAGCCCACAACCTGCCCAGGTGCATTACTGCATTTACAGGGCAGTTTACCAAGCTAATCACGGTACGTACCGACACCTTTTTGCAAGGGCTTCCAGGGCTCCCAGGGCTTTTCTCACCCAGTTCCCCTAGAACGAAGGGATGTGATTGGCCACAATGCCCAAGCTGCTGACTGCAGCTTCGACACACCCGACACTTCGGGCTTTTGGCTCGTTCCATCGATTCTTCCAGTCCACCACATCTCACAGTCCCAAAAACCATCCGTCCATCCATCCCGTCAATTCCACTTCTCCTCACCATTCATTCTCTCAAAACCTCCCCACTAACCACCAGCAGCTTTGTAGAGAGGGTGCAGTGCCGTCCAAGCAAAAAGAGAAAGAGAGAAGAGTTAGAGGGACCGTAAAGAGAAGAGCCGCCCACGACAACTTCGGTTTTTTTTCTTCCTCTTCCTTAATTCTCTTTCTTATTCCCCTTCTCTTTTTTTCCCACTAATTATTCCCTTCTTATTCTTCCTTCTTTTAAACTTCTTCCAACACGAGATACCCCGTTTTCAACCACCCACCCTCCATTCCCCCCTCCGAAAATTCCCCCTTCCCTTTCTCCTTCTCCTTCTCCTTCTTTTTACCCCCCGGTTTCACCATGCAAAAGCTCGCCAATATGCGTCACTGGCCCGAGAGGATGAGCCCAAACTTCGGCATGTCATCGAGACCGAACATGAACATGACCGCTATAAATCCACACCAGAAGGCCGGGGCTCCGGGAGCTTCGTTAAGTCCCTCGCCTGCCGCCGACTCTACTATCCACTTCGCCTTTAACGTTCCGTTCGCCTCAGACCTCGCCGGTCCTAACACAGAGGAGATATTGCACGCGACCGGAGAGGCTGTCTTCCGCTGGACGCATCCGGGAGATGCCCCTGACGACGTGCCTGTCTACGAGTTACCCGTCCATGCTCAGAATCTAGTCAATTTGGAGAATTTATGTAGGGAGTTGACGAAGGGTCCTTTACCAATCGAGGCCCATGTTGTCTCGAAAGTACCCAAGGGATTCAAATCGCAAGTCACCACGGTGTGTCTTTCCGGTTCCCCGGAACTCGTCCACAAAAGCCGCGAGACCATTTTAAGTGACACGCCCTTAGCGCTGGTATGTCCAATCTCGCCCTCAATGCAACGTGATGGAGATGTAGGCTAAACTCGATGTTATCTCAGAGGTGTACTACTGTCGACGTAGATTATGGGTTGATCGTCGACTCCCAAGCCGGCGCATTACAGAAAAACGTTACCGATGCCTTAGATACTTTTGCTGTTTTTTGCGGGGTCGATATCTTTATTCTAGGCCCAAAACTCACTCCTACGGTCGACGGTCTTAACGGCGATGTCGAAGTCATTCGGGACCAGAGGTGGAGGGTTGCTATCTACGGTGATATCGAGTCTACAGAACATGCCAAGACTCAGGTTCTTATCTTCATTGATAAATTGGTATATACTAAACCTCAAGACTACAGTAATGTGAAGCATGTTATTAATGTTGAATTTAGCTTGGACGTCAGTTGGACTTAATGCGTTTCGAGAGTACTCTTCACCCCATCGTTTGCGGTCGTTCGCGTAAGAACATCAAGTTGATCGAGTCGGTAACGAATACGGCGATTTACTTCCCGCCATTCGCTCAGTTACATCGATATTGCCCACCGAACGCGAGTCGACGAAACCCAGAGGAAATATTCATTACCGGCGAAAACCCGCAAGGCATTGAATTAGCTAAGCGCAAGATCCATGAGCTAGTGAACAGGACGAAGCTATTCATCAAAGATGCCGTAGTGTCGCCTCCAAAGATCGATAGTATCCTTCTTGGACGAATGGACAAGGTTCGAAAGATCATGGAAACCAATGGCACATACATCATGTTCCCTCCACTGGCTTCTCAACGCAACATGATCAGGGTTCAGGGTGTTGAAGGGCTTCACATCGAACGCACCATGAAGGAGATCATGTCTCTCGTATGTCTCTTTATGTCGTTCGGATTTGGCATATACTAACTAACATTTTAGGCTGGCCAGTTCTACTTTGCGTCGTGGTGGATCCAGCAGATCGGCATATCTCAACTCCCGGGTCCTCAGGAAATACGCACCATGCTTGGTGATATCTCTGCCAATTCCGACGCCGATATCTCCTTTGACAAAATGACCTTCACGATCAATGGCTCCGATGATGCTGTGAAGCAGGCTTTGGGTGTTCTTTCGCAAATCGAGTTTGTGAACCGAACCCAACACCAAATTCGAGTCAAGATCGAGCTTGCCAACGAGCACAAGGAATTTGTCTCAGGCAAGAAGAACGGCAAGATTAACAAGATTATGACACAGAGTATGTCACATTACTCACATATTGGAATCTAACTAACATGATATAGGCAACGTCCAAATCATTTTCGACAGTTTTAGGGAGTACAATTTCGACATCGATGTCATTGCACCATCATATGACTCTATGAAACAAGGAATGACCCTAGTTGAGCAGGAGATGCCTGCTTCTATCTCTTTTCATGTTCCTGATCAGTATCACAAACGAATCATTGGTATCGGTGGTCAGCACATCCAGCGTATCATGAAGAAGCACTCTGTCTTCGTCAAGTTCTCGAACGCTATGGATCGTGGTAAGAATCCCTCCTATCACCTTTAGCGAGATTTAAAGCTTATTAACAGGCACGTCAGGAGGAATGGGACGCGAAGATGACGATGTTAAGGTGGACAATGTCATCTGCAGAACGCCGGCTCGAAATGCTCAGAATCTTGAGTTGGTCAAAACTGAGATTCTCGACATGGTGGATAGGGCGGTAAGCTACATTAATATTTCCAACATGCTTGGTCCGAATACTAATAATTATATGATATAGCACTCCGAGTTCACTTCCCAGATTGTACATGTTGATCGCCTGTATCATCGACAGCTTATCTCCCGTCTTCAAGAGATTGAAGAGCTAGAAAAGAAGTGGAATTGCAAGATCGTCTTTCCGAGCACCGAGCAAGCTAGCGATGAGGTTACGGTTACCGGCCCGGAATGGCAGGTGCCTCTATGCGCTGACGAGTTCCTGGTGAGTTTAATGGAATTCTAGTTACCTATTTGGCGCGATACTAATATTTCTTCGTAGGGTATGGTCCCAGAAACTCACGAATTGATCTTGACTCGAACTCCATCGCTAGTCAAATTTCTCGAGTCACCTGAATTCGTGAACGAGCTCGTGTCGAAGTTAAAGTCCCAACACGAGGTGACACTCGAAGTGCACGAGAATCCCGAAGAGAAAACTGAGGAAGGAGAACGAACAATGACTTTACTCTGGAAACTCACCCGCAACAACACTGGTGGCCTTCGCGATGCCATCGATTTTCTTATGCAGCAATTCGCAGCCGCGAATGTCGATGCCACCATTGTCAAAGGTGCAATTCCCCGTCCTAAGTCGGACTCGTTCGAAGACTCGTTACAGTACTTCGACTCCAAGTTGCTGCAGCATGCCCCTACCTCTGTCGGAACCGATTCGCCCACGAAAGCGGCTTTCGGCGAGGATATGTCCCAACAACGAACCACCACCATCTTTGACAAGCTTCGAAAGCCGTCTCAGCTGCTGTCTTCCCTAGACCGCAGAAAGAACAGCTCCCATTCGATGAACACATTCTTCAAAGGCTCAAGCAATGTGTCCAAGTCGTCTCTCATTTCGATAGACTCGACTCGCAGCTTCAATGCTGACCGAAACCCCTGGAATGATAGTGGCGTCAATCTTCCAGATGAGGACAACCACCCATGGTCAAGCCGTCATTTTGGCAATGGCTTCGACAACAAACTGACGCCCAACAGCATCCCACACGGCGGCGACATCACGCCACGTCACAGTACGCGTGCGTCTGGCGATAGTGGACGACCGTCGACTTCTCATTCTACAAATTCAGGATACCCCGGTCCAATTGGACCATACCGTTAGATTCCGTCTTTTAGATGCTCTACGTGCAATACCCCTCGGCTGGATATACCCTGGCGCGTACAAATACCCGATCCTATGATCATGCATCGGTCGGCTTTGCTTTATTTCTCGTTTGATGATTTCCCTGCTTTTTCTTCTGATTTATAGTTGCGCTTTTCTCTCTTCTCTTTCCAGGTTTTACGGTTTTATTGCTTTTGTTTTCGTTTTGATATCATTTTCCCCATCCGCTCGCAGGCAGCCGGGCGGAGGCTGCGGGACGATTTTACTTGACGCTTTATAGCCACGAGTACATCTGGACATGATACCACGACTGCGTAAGGCGGAATACGGCGTTGCAGATTGGAGCGGGAGGACGCCGTCGGATGATACCACAGAAAAGCACAGAAAATTTGATACCGCTTTGGGGGGCAAAAGAAATGCATCAGTTATTTGCGTATGCTCTCGAATTGAGTGGCGTTGGTGTTCTTTTTTATAGGACTGAGCTCGTTTGGAGCCAACACCCCATCGAATTATCCCATACACCCTCAACATCTGTTCCGAAACGAAACGACATAGACGACGAGTTTGTTTTCATCTCGGACGGCGACGACCGTATCTAAGGGACATGATGCAGCACGGAAGGGGAGAGAGGACTCGGGAGGGAGATTGCAATATGGGATTCGGGAGGGAGGATTTGGACGGGAAATACCACGATGGACGAATGACGGTGTAGCTAGCAGGCTACGGTTGTACGATATCACAGAGATGATAGGCAATGATACCCTCTGGTTCTGAGCGACTTTGTTTTTAGTGGTTCTTGGATGATTCCCACGTGCCTGTTATATACCTCACATACCCTCATATGTCCCTATGAATGATTGGTGGAGGTGACGGAAAGCATACAGGGAATAGCAGACAATTGATCTGCGGAGTTCCCAACCAGGCCAACCAAGGTATACGGATGACCTTGCCAAGTGGCAAAAGCAAAAGGGCGGTTTAACTTTAGGTAAGTCAAGGTGAACGGAAGCAAACTAGAATGAAGCTCCGTTTGAACGAAAATGATTGGACTATATGCCAATCTCTGCCATACTTGATTAATAGGGAAGTCACGCGAGCAGGGGAACACAAGTGGAAAAGGGAAAGAACTTCGTTTCCTTTCGTTTCCCCGTTTGTCGTGTATAACCTGTGAGGTAAGTGCAGATGCAAGTGCAAAGTTGCAGTTGCTTTTGATTTACAGTTCGGATTGATGTGGACTTTCCTTCCTAGGTAGCAAATACAGCTAAGTAAACAACATAATAGGGTACGTGGGTTGGCCGCACCTTCACGTTTTGACTCATTTTATTCCCTCATATCCTTCCACTTTCCCATTGCCCTATCTCGTTCTTTCCTTTTCTTTCCATATCTCCCTTGCGTTTCACAACTGCTTATTTCCGACTTTCGGGAAGTCCTGCCTCGGCATTCGTAACGTTTTTTTTTTTTTTCGCCAGCCAACGCTTCTACATCATACATCATTTTCAAGCTTCACACCTATTTTTCCTACCCAAGTCGGCTACCTATCAGAATCAAAGCCGTAAGTTTACTTGGAACTAACAACATTCCTCATCGTCCAATATCATCCCTCGTCGTCACAATTATACATCATATTCCTACCTTTCATATCAATCTAACACGTTAGGTGTTGATAGAGAAGGCAACGAAATCCATCATTTAAAACATCAGGCAAAAGAGTCGCCCCCGGAGCTTACGCTGTGACTTTTTTTATTCAATTTTTTTTTTCCACGTTTCTACCGGGCTCGGAGCATACATAGCACTATTCGCCTTCGAGGTTTCAGACAGCACGCTCAGTTCGTTCTCGCTGCTGCTGCACCCCGCGCTTGCGCCTGACTTCTCCGATACTACCCTGTGCCGTTCATTTCCCTCTCCCGTCAATACCAGTACATAGTTACCAGGTAATTCCTCTTTGTGCGACCTTACCACCCCGGGCGAGTTTAGCCAATCAGAAGGCATACGGGCAGACAAGTACCGGTGACACAATTGCGTGCATATTCGATTGCTCACCTACGGTAGGCTAGGTACCATGTCGGAACTCCCCGTCAGACCCGGCAAGGGAAGTCCTAGTGGTGGTGGTGGTGGAGCTGGGCGAAGCCGTACCCCTCCTGTTAGTTTCTCCCCGGGCTCCGCCTCCGGCACCGATGCCGAGGAGGACGAGGATGAGCTCCGTCGACCTACTTGGTGGCAGGCTATTAGCGGCGTGGGGCGGGAGCAAATAGGAGGTGTCATGCGACCGCGGGATGAGGATTCTTCATCGACATCGAAAGATCGCCGGGGTTCGCGATCGGCGTTCGAGGCTGCGATTGCGGCGGCTAAACAGATTACCCTGCCGATGGAGAACGCGGTGGATGATTCTGAGGATATGTCCGATGACGAGGTTGAGGTGCGGAGTAATTACGGTCGACGACATCAGAGTAATGCGGGAGCTCGCGGTGATCCGAAGTTTGCTCGTGTTCATGAGATTCTGCCGTTCCCGTTCCACCCTAATGTGCGCCCTTTGACGGTGTCGGATCTCGAGAGCTGTGTTGCGCTTGAGGATGCGGCGTTTGCGAATCCGGAGCATCGGTGTACGAGGGAGAAGGTATGTTTATTTTGATTTTCATACGTACTTCCTTTTTTTCGATACATATTCCTACGTATCTATTTCTGCATGGCTCTCTCTGGAGATACTTTTCATTTAAGCATTAAAGCCACATCAGTTCGGTGTCATTCGCAAATTATTTCGTGTTGGTTATCATAACGGCTTCCGACGCATATATTACTACAGCATAACATCTCTTATTCCTTTACCTATACCTGACTATGTGCTATATTTATATCAAGTAAAAAGGCTGCTGATTCACATTTAGTTCGAATATCGCTTATCCGTTTGCCCGGAGTTATGTCTCGGACTTTTCTGCACTATCGTTCCCGACAAGGCCGGAGATTTCGAGATTTCCACGTTTGCAACAGCGCACCCAGTTGAGACGAGTCGTGACAATGGCGCTCGAAGTGTCCTTGTAGCGCATATCGTATCAACGAGATCCTATGGCGCGGTTGTAACTGACGCGGCGATGGATTATCCTCGCGACTTCCGTACCAAGAAGCGGAACAACACTGACCTAGGCCACCAAGATGCCGGACAGACAATCTGTCTACATTCACTTGCAGTACACCCGAAGTTGCATGGTTGTCATCTAGGAAAGTTGATCATGAAAGCCTATCTCCAGCAGATCCAACACGCCGATATGGCTGAGCGCGTAGCGCTCATCTGCCAGGATGTAAGTACTTGATGCTCCATACCGTTTTCTAACTTGTAATTAATCTAGCATCTTTATATTAGTATTTGGTCGATTTCTACGAGAAATTCGGATTCAAGAACCAAGGTCAGAGCAAAGCTCAATTCGGTGGCGGTGGTTGGAATGATATGGTGGTCAAAACCGCCGATATCCCTCCGTACTCGTCTCGACGATAATCTCTTTGCCTCATATAAGGCATCCGGCGTTCTCGGTTGATGGGGAATACCTATTCTTTTTTCAGATTTGACGGGAGATTTGGTGGTCTGACGTGGCAATTGTTCACGTGGAAAATGGACGAGGATGATAAGGAAGGTGAGACGAGATCGAGAGATTATTTCTTAGCATCTGCACGTGCGCGCGGGATAAGCATGCAACAGTTTGCGAATTTGCGAGTTTTCTGATACCCAATCACGAGGAAGGGTAATGGCTGGGCATTTGATTTCTTCATTCGGCATTTACGTATGAAATCGGCTTCGTTCACGGCGGATGGCGGGCTTTATGACGACGGATGATCATGCGCTAGATTTGATATTACGACTCCCCTCATTCATATCGCATAAGGAAAAAAGATGGCCTAGCATATCTCGGATGTATAGAAGCTGGTAAGCAGGCAAGGGAGATGATTTACACATGAGGTAGACCAGCAGATAGACACATATGGCCCGGTCTGGCTTGATAGACTTGCTAGATAGTGCGTTGCGTTGCGTAATATTCGTTGTTTTTCCACCACTCATCTATCCGTGTTCGCCGGTGTGCTTACGGATAAGTAAATGAGTATCGGATACCGGAAATTGGTATATCCTTTTACCTATTTCACTCTTCCGAAGGGGGAAGAAGACTAGCCGAGATAAAATAGATGGCTGGCTGGGTTTGGCTTACTGGCTTTGATGATCTCCCGCTTACGCATAGCATATCCCACTTACATCCGTCACATTTGTCTTGTTTCTCGGATAAGCACCGCGAGGAAAGGGAGACGAGACGGGAAAAGTTGCCCAAAAGAGTAATCCGGGGTGGTTAGGTGAATCGATAATGGGGGAGGATGTATACGTATGGGGTTATATGTTTGATGTGGCGTATAGGAAAACACCTACGAATGGGGGATGTATCTGCGAGATAATAAGATGTAGACATATGTATAGGTACGAAGAAGAAAAAAACTATCGAAGTAGGTAGTATTTAGTCTTTTTTTATTTTTCTAGGGTTATTTTTTCTTGATATGCCACCCTGGACTTGTGTTTAAGCCGAAGCTACTTCAGCTGATGATTTGAAAAGAAAAATAAGGATGGTGAGGATGGTGATGAGAATGTTTTATGCAGTGTTCGCGTACTTGGCCGTGATATAGGTCGTTGATACATGGGGTTTATTGGATATGAGTTATGGGATATATGTAGATGTGCGGTCTCCCTTGCGTTCCCGCTGCATCCCTTACTTCGGGGAAGAAGCCATAAGCTCGCGGTATGCTTACTTGGTCACGTAGCTCTCACTGATGGGATATTTACTAGCTTGTATAGCACCCAGCCACCTAATCGTGTTAACTTGTTTTTGGTATTTTGACCATGCTACCGTTACGTTTACGTATCCTACGAGTGGCGGACGAGATGTTGTAGGACGCGAGATATGCATAGATATAAGCAAACATATGATATATCAATAATGAACTATTGAACACGACGTATAGGTTTCATCGTGCCTTTACTTTTCTTCCCCTTACCTCGGTTGTGTAAGCGACGTGGAACGGCTGTGGCATATGAAATAAAGGGGGGTGGCGTTTGACGTACGGAAATAGCTAGTACGACTAACTTTTTATCAAAAATATATTTATGAATATTTATAGAACAGCAGCTACCCTATGTTAGATACATAGTTAGGTAGTTGTATACCATGAAGCTCAGGGGGCGTGGCACGCGTAGGAGCGAAGCAAACATGTTCTTGATATTCGGTTAAGTGACCGAAATAGTTATATTCACGTGGGACGTCTACCTAATCACTGTCCTACTTCCAGCCTGAACGCCAAAAAGCAACCTAGCATGCCGTCGTCAATGAAGTCATACGGTGAGAGAATAAATACGTGTAAAATTCGTGTGGCTTAACGGTGAGAAGCCTTGCCCATAGTTCGTTTACCAGCAAACTGTGCTTAATGTTAGCATGTGATAATACGGCAAACATTAGAAGTATAGGAAAACTTACCAGATGCTTAGGCAACGAAGCACCAATATGTCGATCTGCCTCTCCCTGTCTAGCCATACGGTTCATCTTCCTCTGGCCAAGCTTAGCCACTCTTTCAGCCTTCGTTCTAGCTAACTCATCTTGAACACCGTCTTCTCGTCTGTTGGTAGCCGGCTGGCTTCTTGCTCTGCTCTTGGAGCGTAGTCTTTCTCTTGGCGTTTCGTCGATATCCATAGCGTTGGAATCTTCAGTACCAAGACGGCTTCTAGTAAGAGAACGACCACGGGTAACAGTTTGGGATCTGGCTCTAAGATGTAGATCTTGTGTGTCGACACCCATCTCATCAAGCGCATTTTCAAGTCGAGATAGGGGCTTCTTGATAGCCTTGCGGGGGAGGGCCGCGCGGTTCTTGACTTTGCGCATTCTCGCCTCATTGCGGATCAGCGCTTGCTTCTCTCGGATGATCTCCGCCTTCACCCGAATATCTGCCTCTTCCGCATCATCTATCTCCTCATCCGAGTCGTAGTAACCCTCAGCCTCAAGTCTCTCTTCCTCTTCCTCTAGGGCTTGAAGCTTAGCATCGATATCAGGATCAATGTAATCGTACACATTCTTTCCATCGAAGATCTCCGGTATCCTATCGTGCTTCCATTCGGGGTTCGCAAGAATGTAGTCGGCTTTCAAGTCGACGTTGTACACACCAGCGCCACCGTTCTCGGCCTCGACATCGCGGGCCAACCTGCGACGTTCGGGGTCATCCTTGTCGTATTTCTTCATTAATCTCACGGCTTCAGGGATATAGGTTTCTTGTGTAGCACCACCCATAGGCTGGGCCACGTGAATTCTCGTCATCACATCTGCTAATCTGCCACCAACAGTACCACTGCTTGATGTACCAGCCTTTAACTTCTGGGCAACTCTGTCGGCGAGTAGTCGCTCACAAGCAGCATTCTTTACCTCCTGAACGCCCTCTTGGGTGTTGCAGGAGAGTTGGAGTAGTTCCACTTCCCCGGACGAAACCAACGCCTGGAGTTCACCACCAGTCTTTGCGTCTAGCTCCTCGGGCCTTAAGATGTCGATCTTGTTGATGACGATGAAAACTAGCTTATTGGAGAATAATGGCTTGATTGACTTAAACAATTGCATTTGCGCGGCAACTGAGTAACCACATTGCTCGGAAAGATCCATAAAGTAAAGAATGGCGGATCTTAAATGAGCAATAGCTGTAATAGACTGCATTTCGATTGTGTTCATTTCTTCTAGAGGGTGATCTAAAATACCAGGGCTACTTCATGTTAGCTTATCCTAGAAAAGAGGTATCATCTCTACTTACGTATCAATAGCCTGGAATCGGAGGTATTTGTAATCGAAATGACCAACGAATAAGCTCTTCGTAGTGAAAGCGTATGGCTGAACATCGACATCGGCTCGGGTAACGCTCTTCAAGAAACTCGACTTGCCAACATTGGGGTATCCGCAAATCAATAGAGTTCGGGTAGTAGGATCGATTGAGGGGAGACGACCAAGATGTTGTCGGACTTGGTCGAGATATAGAAGGGGATCCTTCAATCGCTTGGTGATTGTAGCCATTCGACCGAGGGCGGCCCTCTTGAGCTGCTTGCACTGGAACAGACTCTGGGCATATTTAAGTAGGCGCACATAATCTCGCGATATGGTCTCGATTAGGTGCTTGGCCGTGGAGAGATGGCCCAGAGCGATTTTGAAATGGTCGGCATCGTAGAGGGTATTTAGAAGATCCTTATGGAACGGGTGGATATCTTGAAGTCGGGGGAAACTCTCGAGGATTTGGGCGAATTTTTCGGAAAAGGTTTCTTGTGTAAATTTGACTTTTCGGGTATAGAATCCTGTCGCGACAAGTTAATATGTGATCGCAAATGCATTGTGCTTGTGCGCCATGATTTATGAGACTCACCTCTGATACGGCTGATCTTGAATCCCGATCGGATTTGTGTGGGCAATCGTCGCTGAGTTCTGGACAAAACAATGTCGAGGAACTCCTGCGACGTAGGAACTGGTGGGATATCCTTCCAAGTAGTCTTCATCTTGGGCGACAGGAAATGCGACGATGATGACTATTAAAAGTATTGGTTGGTGTTAAACAGGGTCCTGTTATTTGGACTGTTCAATTTTTTTTTTTATCGATTTTATCGAAAAAGAGGCGAAGTGGAGGGACGGTGGGAATCGGTTCCACTTTACGAAATCTTGGCGCAGAAAAAATCTTATCGATATCACTATCTAATCGTCGATAGCAGGCTCTGCGCTAATTCATAGTAGGGGGAAAAAGCAAATAGCTACGAGACAGGAACGATGCTCATGAACTTTGTAGATATTCAATTCGATTTAACTCAAGAATCCAAATCTAAAAATTAAAATATTTGTGGCAGTTCATTAATGTGAGTGTGAAATCTCATAACATTCAAAATTGTGCTTGGATTTGAACTTTTCAAACTTAAGCACCAATTCCAATTCCCATCCGAAACTTCATCTACAGATCTTGTACTTACCCCGCCACGGAGTTTTAAAACGGGCGTAATTGAATTTATGACCTTGATGAGTTATTTTGGATACCTATTTAACTTCAATCCAATTCCTCTTTTTGTCACATAAAATAAAATGTATGAGAATTGAGGAATCACGGTAACTGACAAGTTCTACTTAGAATCCCGCAAGTTCGGACCTTGACCAGAGTGTTCATTAGATACCCATAGGAATTAATATCAGTGTACTCTTAACCATGAGTCTCCCGGAGTATAAGAAAGACTTTCTCAAGGCCGCCGCAGCGGGTGGCGCCCTACGGTTCGGATCATTCGAACTCAAGTCGAAACGTATCTCGCCATACTTCTTCAATGCTGGCGATTTCTATACCGGAGCTCTACATGAGCCCATTATGGACGCATACGCCCAAACCATTGCCTCTAGTCCAGAATTGGCGGATGGTTTCGATGTACTATTCGGACCTGCCTACAAAGGTATCCCTCTAGCTGCCGCCACATTCTACGCCTTAATCAAGCTAGACCGTGAGCGTTACCGTAACGCAGCTTATAGCTTTGACCGCAAGGAGGCGAAGGATCATGGCGAGGGCGGCACAATTGTCGGTTCTCCTCTCAAGGGCAAGCGCGTCTTGATCATCGATGATGTCGTATCTGCCGGTACTGCTAAGCGTCAAGCGATTGACATGATCCGCGCGGCTGGGGGTACAGTGGTTGGAATTATCGTCGCATTGGACCGTCAGGAGACGTTGCCGGACGGCGATGGAAAAACAAGCGCCATTGGTCAACTACGAAAGGAATATCAAATCCCGGTCGTACCGATTATAAAACTCGATGATATCATTGACGGCATGAAGGGGGTCATCTCGGACGGCGATATCGCAAAGATCGAGGAGTACCGGACGAAGTACGGAGCTAGCGACTGAACGTCATCCGGTGGCGAGGCGTTACTTTAGGATGGTTATATAGGAGGGTAGTCGGAATAATAGGACACGGCGGATTTCCTGCAGGTTGGGGAGTACAAAAATAGAGAAGGAATATCCAAAATGCTACGGTATTAAAATCAAATCGGAAAATTTAGAAATAAAATAAAAAGCAAAATTAAATAAAATAATATTCCATATTATAATATTACTTGCCTAGGATACATCACATCATGTTACTCACCGACAAGAGCCTCATGCCTGTTAGCCAAGAATTGAACCATGGATACATGCAACCCCCTTTATTAACCTATACGGTATAGTTTCTAATGCAGCTTACGAATCAGCGGCGTCTTTTTGTTCAACCTCAAACAACCTTGAAATTCTCAAATCCCGAAGGAAAAAAAAAAAACAAGCCACGATGAAAAAAAACCAACTCAGTCGCATGATCACAAAATGACCGCATGCCTAGCAAAGCAAGTTTCATACAGGCGCCGCATAATCTGTGAGATCCAAGAATAGCCTATTTGGCATTTTATCGTACGTGTTATACAGTACAATACAGAAGAAAAAAAAAAGAAAGCAGGGGGGGAAATAAATGAGAGGAAATTAAAGAGAAAAAAAAAAGTCTCACCGCCTTGCGCCGCCAAATCATACAACAACGCCAGCTTACGTTATCGATTCGTTCTTGGAGGCTTTGCTCATTGATTTCCCTTCGCTCTCGTACACGATAAATCGCTACTATCGGGTCGGTGAAGAGGAATAGGAAGGAGTACGACACACCGCACACATACGGGTGAACGGGCATGTCGTTGTTACAGTAAGTAGTAACGGCAACTTACATCCTTATTATGCCTACATTATCTACCTACATACATATCTGTCGCCTACCTACCAGCATACGTGGACACTAGAGCGAAATGTGACCACTCACCTTTCACCGTCTTACACCTCTCCCTGCTTGTCCCTTTCCTCTTTCTCTCCTTCGGGCGTCACCGACTCCCTAACGTACCAACAACCTACATACATCCATACATACATCCATACATACATATTTTCCAAGTCTTCACACTGGCTAGTTGGCCACTGACCTTAATACCTGCCTACCCTAACAATAGCATAAACACACTAACAATGACCTCACTAACCAACCCCCTCTCCCCTAACAAAGATCCTTCCGCAATCTGTCGCCGCGTGCCCGCTTAGGCGTCGGCCTAGGCATGCTAGCTTGGGGCTTCATTGGGCTGCAGCTGAGCGATCGCGTCGAGACACGGTACGGGTTGAAGCCCACCGAAGAGGAAGAGGAAGCGCTCAACAGAGCGCTACCGCACATCACCACCGTCGACAGGACAACGACGGGCAACGGTGGCAATAGTAGTAGTAAGAGGAATGGTGATGGGGGTGTCTGGAATCAGCGGTGAAAAAATGGGAGAATAAAAAAAGGGAATTAAAAATGGAAAAAATACAATTTGTTGCTTGCTTGAACTGATGCCCGGACGGCCCGACCTATCGGATCTCTAGCCAGACGGGCGGAAGACTAGGTACTTAACCTGCCTACCTACAGTATGTATGCACATTACATATCGTACATACGCACATGCCATGTCTATGCCATACTATGTATGTACACCTGGCCAGTCAGTTGAATGAGTGAAAATGAGCGAGTGAGAAGTGGAGAGGCGGGAAGCAAGAAAGTTCGCCACCTCCTAGGAAGAACCGTTGTTGGAAACTGCTAAGATGTTCGAGAACGACTGGCTGACTGGTCAGGTGTTCGAGTTTCGAACTGATGATGACGCTCCGAACCAAACGGCCGCTTCACAGTGTCGAATCGGATACATCCATCACGCAATGCCTATCTCTGGGGGTGAAGGCAGAAAGAGGAAAAATAGCATGGGGATTAGACAAGCCAGATAGAAGAGGATATGCAGTTTGTGAAGGTCACTTGGAGATTTTAGCAAGCAAATCCAGCAATTCCAAACTACAATCATCGAACGTTAGCCACGTAGGATCCTAGCTACCACGACGTAGCATACATCGTTTTTTTTCTTCAACGGGAAGCATTCTCCCTCGTGTTAGTCGTGATCCCACCAACGACAGGTACAAAAGCTCTTTCCTAATAGCGGCAACATCAACAACGACATCAATGTCAATGTCAACAATAACAACAGCAATGCCAACAGATCCTAGCAAAAAGCCACGAGAGAAGCATAACACGTTGTTAAGATCCCCCTGGACAATAACAACACTGCAGCTAGTTAGTCAATGAATGGTAGACGCCGAGAGATGGCAAGCACGAACAGATGGACGGCGGCAGTTGGCGAGATCTCGCCGCGCATATGCGGACCTCATGCCTCTTACCCTTACCTACCCTGTTCCCTTCCGTTTCGAATCTTCGTTCTTTGGCTTCAGACAGCACGACACGTCTGCATTTACGAACCAGGCCCCCTTCACGAGACGCACATGCTAGACAAGCATTGACTTCCGGCCCCCATCCAGTCAGAAACGACACATACGTAGAGAGAAGTTCGAGAACACCCCTGTCGAGAGGTCGGTAGACATATTTCCCAAAACGTATCTCCCGTATCTACCTAACCCTCTCGACCAGATACCTAACCTAACCTAATCTGCTTCGTGCGGCCTAGGGGGGAAGCCCGTTCGGGATAGCCGCTACGCGCTACGTGGCGGGCCCTTGGGCATTAGGGGAAGTAACGGAAGAAAGGAAAAAAAGAATAGTAACAAACCTAGCAAAGCAATGCTGGCGTTGTTGACGATGCTGCTGCTGCTGATGATGATAGTCCATTCTAGCAACTCATCTCGGTCCCCAGTCAACGTGACACCTGCCTACCTACCTAACCCACGTAGCCTATTTCATGCTAATGGACCGTCATTCCATTCCTATCTCGTCTCGAGGCCCTTCAAGAGACCCCAAGTAGTCTCGAAGTACAGATACCTGACGGTACTTGCAGCAGCCGAAGTAGGACTACTGTAGTTGCATATTGGAGTTTATACCCCCTTCAGTAATATACTTCTCATGATTCCTAATCTAGACACATTAATTGCAGTTTCTATCTGCCTAACCCAAGGTAGACAGAAAAAAACGGAAAGCATTGACATTGGCATTGCACAATCTCAGTCGTGCGCCTATACATACCTGGGAATTTAGCATAACATAAACATATCCACACAAGATCCACCGTAGCATAAAAAAAAACATAATCCTAGACCGAACGAACTAGGGGGGGTTACGCTGGTCCACACCTGTGGATGTGACAGGTCATTTTGCTATACCCCGATCCAGCCCTATCCTATAGTCCACTTTATAAATTCTCAATTCCTAAATTGTCTTGAAGTTGTGGATATTTATCGTGTTTTAGCAAGCCACAATGTGGAAAAATGGTTCTGTGTCACGATAGTTATTTAGCGTTAGCATTGTTGAAAATAATAGTATAGCGCTCAGCGGAATTAAGTTGAGCTTGTGTAACGTTTGTTAAGTTAAGATTAAATCAACTTCTTAAAAGTATATGAATAAGCTTCATTTTCGCAACGATAACGGTATTTATAGTGGTAGAAACGGCTTAAACATAGTTCACCTAAAGCAACTGTCGTTTTTCGTAATAACCGAAATGTAGGAAAACCAATTGATAACGATATCGATGAATTTTATTTAACATTCCACCGTTGGCCTAAATGTCAGGATTAGAATATCTACGGAGTCAAATCACGAGAAGTGCACGTGATCTGCACCAAATACCATACAACAATGAAACCATATACTTTATTTGTTCTGTTCTGTTTGGTCTATTTCATACGTCGACGTCAATGATATAAGAGAAAAGAAAAAAAAGGGAAGAAAAAACATGCTCAATGAATCCTGCCTCCGGCCACCCTCTTCCTCAACCCTCCCTCCTTTCGCACTTTGCTCGATGCTCCTCCTTTATGAAATAATGCGTGCCACAAGAAACGAGACCACCTCCATAATTGTTTGGTTACGGGGTCAATTGATTGATTGTTTGATTGAGTTGTAGACGTGAACATTCATCATGATATCGCCTCTCAATAGGAGGGGTTGTAAACCTGCCATTAAGGGCTGGCTGGAATCTAATCATCGAGTCTAAATGCAGACGCCTCAGCCAGTCTAGTATTGTTTGCGAACCAACCCGGAAATGCAGAAGAAATTGCCGCCGTCAACCCGATCCGATGCAGAGGAGAATCGAAACTTTTGAGACCACAAAGAGGAAAAAAAAAATTGTAAAAGAGGAAAATCGGGAAAACATGAAACTCAACGCCCCACGTATGCTTGTGATGTAAAAGTCATCATCATCCTGAACAAATTAGGAGCCACCACCTTTGCTCAAACTTCCGTTTTGACCGCTGGCATACCAGGAGATTCCACAACCGACGGTAAAGGTCTAAACAATTGCGTCATGTCCAGTGTGAGATCATTAACTCCGTACTCGTTGTCGATATCGCTCACAGATCCGAGTTCCTCACCCCTCGATGCCCCGTCCGTCATCACCCACGTCTTGACAGACTTAATTAATTGAATTACTTGTCGAAATCGATTATCCGGGGCCATTTGTAAATCCGCCACCGTTGTGTTCTTGAGCATGTATTTTGCGAGCCAGAAGAAATGAATTCCATCACGACAGAAACCGTACCGCCTAGGATTAGAAACTGAGGGAGGAAATTGAATCGCCATGTCCATGTCCCAGTAAGACTTGAACTTGTCAAGAGCAGTACACAGGGCCTTATATGTTTGCGCTGACACCCCAGCAACTGGCGTACCGGTTGCACTGTTGTTTGCGCTTACATTGCCACTTCCCGTATCCGAACCATTCGCAATAACCCAGTCATTTTGCGAAAGAGGAGTTCCATAACCATCCAATGCCGCTAAACGACCTTCAAGTTGTGCACGTCGAATCTGAGCAATTATAGCATGAATCAGTATGAACTTGCCATACAAATTGGTGCTTCCAGGATGTATTTGATACGATCCATGGAAAAGCGCGGTGAGTGTAAGATTCAATTCTGGCTGTTTGTTGCGTTGTGAGCCATCTGGGTTTTTCGCTCTTGCTGCGTCAGGTCCGTAAAGACCCAATGCTTGCGCGCAATCAACTGCGGACTGTGCTTCCCATGCTGCATCATCTGCAGGCAACGGGATACGGAGTTCAAACCCATCAAATTGAGGATCGCAATTGAAGTAGAGACCACGCGCAACGTCGAGAAGGTATATCATGTCCATGAGTCGAATGAGTGATTCTTGCTCAATCCATGCTGTCCAATCAAATTGACCAGGGTTCAGATCTTGAGACTGAATCTTGTGTTGGTGGAAAATGCTATATAAGTAGGAATCCTTTCTGACTTGCAGCAGGTTGAATTTTCTGGCGATATCCGCCACCAGAGGGAAAAGTCTCCTGGCACTTTCCCGCTGGACGGGGGTACCATGCCAAGTAAGAAGTGCTGAAATCAGAATAAGGGCTTGTAACCGTTCAATGTCCAACCTGGTTGGGTTACCATTGGTGAACTTGGAAGTTTGGACTCCACTGCTGAACAGATCGCAATCGCGCTCGAGTGCTATTTTCAAGAAATTCATAACATCTCGAACGTTAGACGACGAGCCACGGTTGGAATAGCAAGCACCGACACAGCACATAGCAGCAATTAGGCCAGTATAAGCATCCATGATACGGAAGGTCGGAATATGTAAGAAGGAAAAGTGAACGTGAAAATGGATATAAGAATCAAGAAAATCTCTAATATTGTCGGGGGAATAGAATTCGTTGAGGCTTGCGGTCGAGGGCGTGGTGACGGAACCGGGAGGGTGGTAAAAACTAAGGATCTGTGAGGAAAGCTGAAGGTAACGTTCTTGCGTCGAGGATTGCGCGTCCCAGTTCGAGAAAAATAACGATCGGTCGTTCACATCGCTCGGGGCCACGCCCGGTATACCCTGGGGTCTTTCGGAAGAGAGGTTAGGCTCGGTTTTGGTTCCGATCTGATTCTGTCCAATATTAGGAGGGAACTGATTGACGTAGGCATGGTGCGCACCAGACTGTGGAAACATCTGGGACCAATCAAGGCCAGATTGTTGGTTTGAGCCCGAAGCTCCATACATGGCAGGCATGCCATTCTGAGTCGGGGGCATGTTAAAGTTGGCCAACTGCGGGTTGATGTTCGAGGACATCGAGTTCGAGACGTCGCCGTTGTAACCGCCGGTCATACTTCTTCGGTCCCGATTGCCGTTGTCGTCCATCCGGCTCATGCTACTCGATCTAGAAAGCTGGTTCTGGTCGTTGGCCATGTTTCCCATACCATCTTGGATCTGGACCATACCGAATGGGTGTACGACATTATCACCTGGCATGTTAGCCATGCCATTCATATGACCCATGTCACCTTCATTAGCCTTTTGAGCATTCTGCTGCTGTTTTTTAACGTGCGCTTGGGGATGAGACAAATGGCTCACCCCAGTGGGGTTTCCTCGTCGAATCGAGCACTTTTGGAAATGACGTTTTAAGATGTCACTTCGCGAAAACGTATCACGGCATAACACGCACATGTAAGGGCGGTCACCCGTGTCTGTCAATCATTCATGGTTAGCATAGTGGGGGTATCATTATGCAGATCGCAGGTACTTACGGCGGAGAAGATGGCGCTTCAGATGCTTCGCGTGTAAGTATGTCTTCGTACAGTGGGGGCAAGGGAATTTGCCGTCTGCGTCCTTCTGTGGAATTACTGTATTCTTGGAAGCGCCACTACCGGTAGGGGCTGCAGGCCTTCCTGGAGCGCTGGGTAAGATACCACGGCGTCCTTGGGAGCCAACCACATGAGTAGGCTGGTCGCTTTCCTGCAATAAAGACTGCTGGTGTGGCATCATGGGACTTCCGCTGTAGGGGGAAGGGAGTCCTGTTTGTGGCATAACCCCGCCTGCAGGCATGGGGCGGAGGACAGGAGGTCGCGCCGCCGCAGGGGCGGGCGCAATGGGTTGCGGATGAGAGGCTGCGACAGAAGTCTGCGGCATCATGGAGGTCGTAGTGGGATAGCCCTGCTGCTGCGGCTGATACTGGTTAGGCATCATGCCGTAAGAACCACGCGTAGGTCCCGAGTTAGGGGGCGGGTACTGGCTCATCGCGTTTGGAGGCTGTGGTGTATTGGGTGTCCTTGGTGTTTGCGGATTACTACCGTAAAGAGATTGCATAGCAGAGGCGTTATGCTGTAAAGGTGGCAAGGTGTGTTGAAGAGACGCGTGGTGAAGTTGGTTGGGAGAGATTGCTGCTGGCGAAGGATACGATGACCCAGACGTGCCTATGCCGTGAGACGAGTACGGGTTTTGGTGTGAAGGGCCACTGTCCATATCCTTACTGAAGCTGTCCAAATGGCGATTGTAAACGAGGCCAAGATTGCTCAAATTGAAGCAATACTAAGGTCTCAATACAGTGCCGCAATTGTCCTAATTATTCCCCCTCTTCTATTTCCTTTGTTCGACAACACTCAATTGGAGTCGAGGAAAGTTGGAATGATCAATTCGAAGAAGAAAAAACGCAGCGAACGGTGACGATAGATGCGCGCGGCGTAGTGGAGGGGCACAGCAAACGAAACGCGTCGGATGTTGGATTGTTTTTTTTTTTTCTTAGCCGTCCGATGCCGGAATTGAATTGGCCGAGATCCGTTGGTCCTATAAGCCAAATTTTTCCTCCACGCCTATTACCCGACCTGAATAAGTCGATGTTGACGCCAGCGCGAATGGTGATTGAATTGTGGCCGGTCGCGAAAAGGATAGACTCGACTTGGTGATGTCAAAAGGCGGGATGGGAAAAATAAAAATTAAAATGGTGATGAGGGGAACGTTGTTTTTGGGGTAGAATTGGGGATTCAATGGAGCAGGTGGACGGAAGTAGTTCGTGAGGCTCCAAACCCAGCAGCAAGAAGATGGGACTGATGGGGTCGAAAATGGTGTTTGTAAAGTGGAGAATTTGGATCCACGTTCCTCGAGGTGAGAGGTGTGGTGGTCGCGACTTCTTAAATCAATTAGGGAATCAAATGAAAAATGGTTGGAAATTTTACCCCCTAACCAACTTAAACCCCTTGAGGAAATAGCAGGAAAATCTCTTTTTGTTTCGGTCGGTTTTATTATTTTGGTTCGCCTGAAGTAGGTACTAGTCCCTTGTCAGAAATCAACTTGCGTGTCTCGCCTACTAGACCTTGTTAAAAGGGTAGCTTGTAGTTTGTAGTTTGTAGTTTGTAGATAATATACTAGGAAGTATTGTTTTTTTTTCTTTCGCACTTGCACCAGGTTCAGGTACAAATACAATTGAAAATGGAAATCAGGCCTGAAAGGGAAAAGTGGAGATTGAGTGCCGAAAAGAACCGTTTAATCGGTGGTGGGTGGTGGATATAATGAATTGGCGGACGGGTGGATGCTATTTGATGATGAATGGATGACGGTGACTCGTCGAGATTTTGATGCATGCAGAATGCAAGTCAAATTTGAAAGTGGGTGGGTGTGTCAAGTTTGGGTTTGGTGGGAAAGGGAAAAGGGAAAATTTAGAAATAAAAAGGGAAACAGTGGATTGCGGCGTTGCGCAGGCGGGTAGATTTGAAGAATTGGGGCGGTACCTTGAAAGCTGACACCGTTTTTTGTGTGCTAATCAAAAAAGTCCAAACACTACTGTTTAAACCGTGGCAACAACAGTAGAATATTTTTTTTTAAGCAGGTACGAATTCTTCTTTTTTTGCCCGCCTGATCAAGGAAGGGGACGTGCGTACGGGGAACGCGTCAAACAATGATAAGGGTAGTGAGGAAAAAAAAAATTGGTGAGGGAAGGCGGGAAAAAAACATGGGAAAAATAATAAATAATAATAAAAAAAATACAGGATAAGGAAAGAGGCACTCACATCAAACCCGAGGTCCACTTCAAAGTACCAAATTCAGATTGACTCGCCCCTCTTCAAACGTTTCTCTGCACGTGGACACGAATTGCCTGCTTTTTTATTATCTTTTTTTTTTCTTGGTACAAGCGGTCAAGAGAGTCAGTCTGACGGCGTATTGTATTCGCAAAGATTTCCCCCCGTCAATGGACAAGAAAAATGCCACTATAATCAAATACGGCAAGGCGTCTTCGGTCAGTAAGGACTAAGAAAGATGTACGAGTCGAATTGAGGAAGTAGAGGGAAGAGAGAGAGGGAAAGGAGAAAAAAAGAAATGTTCGTTTGCTTCGAGGGAGAGGTTGGAAAGTAAATACCTGGAAGTCTAAGAAGTCTAGGAAGCGGAAGAGAGGAGAGAAAGAGGAAAAAGAGAAATTCAACGATCAAATCATTTCATCAATTCCTAGGAATATCAGTTGAATCGTTACGAGTCGGGAACCTTGGACCTTGACACGCAGGAGTAAGTCAGTCAGGGTATGTGTGTATGTGTAGGTAAGAAGGAGGAGGTACAAGTACAGCCAGAGAACTACACAATGTATGCGACTAAAGCATGAGGTTATGCAGCTAACAAATAATAGCTAGGTACCTAGGTACATATGTAGCTCTCGAACAGGGTAGGGGTGCATGTGGTACACGACCAGGGTTTTTTAAATACCGTAACAGGTTAGACACCGCCGATAGGCTAGAAAGTGTTCAATGTTGGCGTTTTGTTTACGCACGGACCTTAGCCAGGGCACGCGAATGATTTGTGGCAGGCAAGAAGAATGTAGGTAAGAAGGATATGTGTACCGCAGGATACCTACAGAATCCCAAGTCACAGCAAGTATCCACCTATCGTAGCGCAGGTACCTTAGGTATTGACTGCTGCACGTCTACCTTACGTTTATGTAGGTCGGTACCTACATCGGATAGTTGGAGAGACTGAGAAAGATTGATCCTTGACTTTTTTTTTGTCTTGACTTGAATCAATTCAATGTTCAAATCAATGGTCCTGACCTCGACGTGTATGTACATACATAAAGTAATGTAGGTAGGTACCTGCACATATACATTTGCATACGCATATACATGTACGTTTATGTGTTTTTAGCTTCAAAGTTTACATGAAGAAACGCTGTTACAGCCGGGCGAGTTTACCGTACCGTACTTTACCTTACATCCAGCTACATAAACGCAGCTACAGTACATGCACGTACTACATAAAAAAAACACTAGAGATACATTACATTATAATAGGAAAGCGCAGACACACACAAACTATACATCCCATACTTTTTTACCATTACCATTCATTACATCCCTCCATCCATCGTCCATCATCCATCCATCCCACTTTCAACATTTTCATGGATGGAAGGTATGCGCTCAATTGGGTTTACCTACTTCAATACATTACTCACTTCCTCACCTCCTCGCAATCATCGTCGACTAACGCAGTGCCCTGCGCGCTGTACCTGTGCTTCTGAATTCGGAAGTCTGGCCAATTGGTCCCTTTCAGCCAAAGGTCCAAGTCGAATTCTTATAGGACCGCTTCTTCTTGCCGCCTTAAGCACACATCACACACCTAAAAGGACCTATCTCAAATTATTATTAGTATTATTGCTTGATTTTAATCATTGATCGACCTCGTTGTCTCCTTGGGGGGATAATCATATGCGAAAGTCGATGGACGACGAAGAGAAGTAGGTATCTCGTGTTGCGTAAGGATGCAGCACACAAGTCAATCAGTCAAGTCACACAACACAACTATCTATCGTGTTTGCTTCCCCTGCGCGCAGCATCAGCATCGCATCTAAGGTAAGAAGGGGGGGGAGTGTATTCTGATATAGTATAAGTGCGTGTAAATATGGATACGGATTTGAATGGATATTTGGGGATTTGTTGGTTGCACATATCTCTTTGCTATTTGGCTATACATAGTATAGTCGGGTTTCTGGTCGACTTCAAGAACGCTTCTAGTAGCTTTACGTGGGGACATGGCGTTGGGTATACCAATGGTTGTATGATTTGATATTTTTCTACGCACAGCTACACATGGTCGAAAATCACTTTTTTTTTCAACCGATAAGTAATTCCCAAGGATCCAGGACCGGTCGTATCTAACCCTCCCTATTGGCATTCACCCACGAACCTCGAACCATGGAAGTGTGAACACCATTATGTACGTTACTACCGTAGCAGTACCATATATCCGTGCTGCCATGATAGACCTCTCTTTCCCATACAACCATACATCCATCATCCATCATCCGTTCATTCATGCATCCTTACATAGTGTTTGTCAGAATGAGAACGAGAGAACGAGAGAATGAGGCCGAAATAGGTATGTAATTACAATCACACACCTACCCTAAGTACTACTACGTATGCGCAAACCATGCACGGTTTTCTTGGAACACCACCCAGACCAGAACCAGACCAGACGGTTAATTCCGATACTAGGTACTACTCTCCGTCAACCTCCATGTCATCCGTCTGCGGCCGCTGGATGGTCTACCGCGACGTTCTGTATTAGTCTACCGTTCCTCACAATCATACGATGAAATATCGTAATTCGAAACGTGTACGTATATCTACTATGTAATAGTCCAATTGGACACGAGCCTCAACTCAGCCGTCAATGCGGTTACTGATTTGTTGGTCACGCATGCGCCTAGTCCAACACCCTATGTACCTATTCCATTGGGTGATCGTCAATGGAGGTCTATGGGGGGTAGCCAATTGAAGGAAGACGGACGGTTTTCCCGGCTAGGAATACCAGAACTCACCCTGACGAACCCCATTCTACCGTACTCGTAAGCAGTACATTACTTTTATTCGAATATTTCGAATATCAAAGGGGGTAGGTAAGCAACGTTTTATCTCTTTACGTATGAATATTCTATAGACCTTTTTGCATTTTAATACGAACCAATAATTTTGCAGCTACCTATTGTTGTCAATGATCCTATACAATACGTGTATCAATGAGAACCAAGATGCAAAAATATCGACCGCCCTGGCAAAGATTCTACAACCATAAAGTTATCAATTCACGTGTCAATCCCGGATGCTGCAGCAAGTATATTTACTACGCAGGGCACATAGATAACTTGCCGTGCTAAATCCGTATTGCGCGACTCAGGTCGGCTTTACCAGAATACGGCAAGAATACATATGAATCAGGCGAAGCTGCCCAGGGAGTTGGGCTTCAAACTGCAATGC